TAATATTTTTTTAATTTCATCTCTATATTTATTTATTTTTTCTTTTTTGTCTTTGTTTTTCTTTTTTTGTGTGTGGCGGCAGGAGAAACGCCATGAAGGCGCGCAGAACGACGGGAGGCGATGGCGGCACGACGGGAGGGGGCGGCAGAGCCGCGAGGACGGCCACGACGACGCGCGGCAGACATTGTTCTATGGCCAATGTTAGTAAAGCTGTTCCACACCTGTCTGACTCACCTGCGGTGGGGAAACGCCATGGCCACGCCGTCAAGTGGAACACCAAAACACTGGGCCACCACCAACGCCGCACCAAAACACCGCAGCAAGACGCGTCAAACGCAACGGAACGGAGGCAAGGGACCAAGCAGAGCTTGACAAGCGGTGGACAGGAGACCAGGCAGTGGGGAAAGCCGCTGGGAAGCGGCCAGGAACGCGAGGGGGACCGCAGGGCGTTGGGATAAGCACACAGGATCGACGCCACTAGCGGTCGGCACCGCCGCTGACGCGCCCCATCTGGCGGAATCCCACATGATTGGCGACAAAATGGACACAGGAATGCGGTGCAATGCAGACGACCAAACAGACGTGCGAAAATGATGCGAGATGAAGCCAGAAAGGAGCGGGAAGACTCACGGTTGCTTGCGAGGTCAAGACTTGGCGAGGAAGAAGAGGAAGAGGAAGAGAACCGCAGGTGGGAGGGCCTTTGTGTGGTGTGGGAGGCTGGTCACCGCTGCCTGGGAAGCAAGCGAGTCGCCTCCCACCACCCACGACGTCATCCCATCACAACAACGCGGTGCCAAACCACAACAAGGCAGTGGCCCAGCGCGTTTGACGCGTTGCGAGAGGCTCCCACCACAACAAACGCGCCGACGCGGCCAACCACTGCGGTGTTTACCCTGTTTGGCGGGATGTGAGGCTATACAGACGTTATATGACCACCGCAGGGAAGCCGTAGGGCCTCAGGCCCCCACCACACCCCACCACAGCCCTACCACATCCAAACCAGCCACCAGGCCAGCTACTATTCCTCCGGGATGGTGACGAATTGCCGCTGGCGGCCGCCGGATCGCGCTCTGCGGCGGGTTAGTTATATAAGATTCTGGGGGATGGAGATGGGGTCGCACCTGTTTAAGGCGGTCTTCTACGTCGGATCCAGCTTCAGCAGGCCAGTGTCCGCTATAGATATAACGAGCTGCATCGTGATGTCCTCGATGTTCAGCAGCGTCTGCGAACTAAGAAAGTTCTTGCGGTAGAACGTGTCCTTGTTTATGCCGGGCGTGCGGCGCGTCCGCTTCCACGCGCAGTACGCGTTGTATACTGCCAAGAGATCCGAGTCGCCTGCGGTCATCTGTTAGAGTGTTATATCGAAGAAATGGTGTGGAGCACGTACCTCAGCGGAAGGACAGTCGTGCCAGGTCCTTCTGCGTGTTTGACTCTATGGTGTTAACAGCGACTTGGAAGAAAGGATTGCGGCGATCCTGATGGCAGCATCTAGATACTTGAAGACCGCCCTATGCATGATTAGCTTTCTGAGGAACATGTCCAGCGGCAGTTTAGCCAGCTGCATGTCTAGTGGCGTTAGGTTCTCCGAGTTGGTCAATGTCTTCACCTTCTTTAGAGCGTCAATCGCACGACGGATCTTCTTGGAGAAGGGAGGATCCAGAGCTTTAAGAAGTGTCTGTTCCACCTTGCCTAGCTTGCAAATCTTGACACGCAGAACCAGATCCTGCAAGGAGAGCCGGAGTATTTTAGGCGTTTATTGCTCTGCGAGCTGCCCGCTGTTAGTGCTAGCTATTGATCACTGCGACGGGAGTAGATACTAAATTGTAATACCTAGGCAAGTTAACAGCAGATCGACCAGGCAATGCAGATCAATATACCTGTCTCTGCGATGTTGGTGGCAATGACAATCTTCCTCATACCCTCCGGCGGCACAATGAACGCTTTCTCCTGGTCCCCACTGGCAATGGACGAATGCAGCGCATGCCCAATCCATCCAGTCTAGAAAGTCGGATCGGACAGAATCTCATCGTTCAGACAGCGAATCTCCGCCATACCCGGCATGAACACGAAGATCGCCTTCCTGTACTGTGCCATGTCCGGAACCGTGGCACTCCAGATAGGGAGACAGAAATTCTCTACAGAAGGGGACCGAATATAAAGTGAATATGCCGATTTACGGTTCCGGGTGGGAGGGGACATTTTATCAGGCAGCCTGTCGGCTAGATTGCTTGCTATGCAGGCGGATTATTAGGTAGAAGGCCGGTGAACGTAATTGCAATATATGGTTAGAGCGAAACAAACAAATCACTCTGCTGGGATTTCTGTCTTGAGATATTCCCCCTTCTCCTAATCAATGCTAGATACAGATCTTCTTTGTGGTCCCCCTTGGCCTAACCCGTAGTGTTTCCTCCACGATGTTTCTGGTTCCCTTTATCCATTGCCCAAGATTGTTGCCTGGCTTTAGAGCCCGGCGCGAAGTCGCATCAACGAGTCCAAAACCTCGCGGGTTAAATTGGTCGCGCGGGTCAGTAGCTCATTCAGCTGCTCCCAATGATCCATTCGCTGCGCCAGATCGATTGGCCCGTGCTGTCTCTCCGCAAGGTACTGGCGGTATATCTGTAGAACACGCGCTAGGACCTCCTGGCAGCGACGGAGTAGCTGCTGGAGCCGGAGCAGCTCGGCATCACTGCCCGCTAGACAACCATCAGCGGTGGGCGTTCCTAACCGAAAAGATGACTTACCTGGGAGCAGTGGGCCGTAGGTGCGGCGGTAGTTCGGCATGATCAGTGCGGTGGAAGACCGGTAAGGTGAAGATACGGGAGGTGGGAGCGGAGTAGACAGTAGGAATTGTAGCAATTGCGGCAGGGAAACGGTGTTGATGAGTGTCCCGCGCTGGTAGAGGAAGATCAGAAGAGATAGGAGGTAAGAGGTGAGCGGTGAGAGGTGAGAGGTGAGAGGTATGAAGGGAAGCGGGCAGTAGTAATGAATTTAGATCAATTCCTTCACTGCACACTCACTAACAGATTGCTAATAGAGATAGATTGATTCACTGTAGCTTCTGGTGAAGATCCCTGATGGCAGGTTGATAGAGCTGCCAAGCTTCAGATAACTATCACCGGAATCAGATGGATAGAGAGCTCAGGGAAGAAGCAAGATAATAAGATATATTCGGACTTCTCTGTAGAGTCAATCGCTAGGGAATAGACCTTTTGAAGCAGAGTTGATTGACTTAGGATATATCCTGAGCGATCAACAGAGTAAAGTGCTCAATCAACTGTACAGCAGTAAATGCCATAGATTCACAGATGGTACTCCACTACTTCAGACCTGGAATCTGCCGCGGACGATATGGCATTCACTATAAGTGCAGCAGATTCTACCTTAGTGAAGCGGAGCATGTAGGCTCCACTGTTCATACAAGAGCAGGTATAGATGATGACACTAACTCGGCGTGTATTTTTGTGAGCTTAAAATTGGTAACGAAACTGAAGCTCTGGATCTACACAATGGAAGAGACCAGTGGCCTTGTATGGCAACTGTAATACAGTGATATCTGATGTCGGCTGATCCTGGACATCTTAGAAATCGGGTACTCTGTCCGCTGGTCAATTCTCAACTGCATTAATTACAGAGTTCCCCAGTCGCGGAAAAGACTAGTTGTTATCGCCTCTGGGTATGGTTTTCCTGATGTTTCTCTTGGTTTGTGGGCTTCAGACTGACTTGGCTAGATCCGGAGAAAGGCTTCCGCCTTCGCCCAGACCGACCCATGGGCCCAGGCGAGGTCTCCAACCCTTTACCACTATCGGCCAGGTGATTTCGAGAATTCCGCCCGGGGCACCGGATCATAACGTCCAGGGGGCTGAAAGCCGTGGTATACAACGCGCACTGTATGATCCAACCCAACAAGCGCGGTGCATCACGACCGGAGGCGGCGACGGCAACGATCACCCATCTGGCCTGCGAGGGTATACGAACCGTGAACTGGCATGTTTGCCGACGTCTCTGTTGGATTATCGGTTTGGAGCGCGAGAAGTCCGGAAGCAGATTGGCAACGCCGTGCCTCCCGCCCTGGCCGAGGCAGTGTATCGCGAACGCATTCGCAGCCTGTGAGAGACCGATAGAAAGGCAGTACGAGAGACTTGATCGGTCTGTAATTGCGGACTAACTGCGCCAATTCTTTATAATATATTTCGGCTAGCGCAGTGATTAGCCAACTATATATCTCGGTGAGCCTAAGTGCATATAAATAGGACAGAATTGACATACAGCTGAAGATATCGACAATATCTTACCTGCTCTCTGAACCGTAGCTTCTCTCTCCAGGCCGCCGACTAAGGCTTCTCCCTCCAGGGCGGCGACCACGGCTTCTCCCTCCAGGGCGGCGACCACGGCTTCTCCCTCTAGGGCGTGGTTTGCCTGGGCCCCTGCCTGAGTGGTGGCCTGGGTGGTGGCCTGGGTGGTGGCCTGGGTGGTGGCCTGGGTGGTGGCCTGGGTGGGCCCCTGCCTGAGTGATGGCCTGCCTCAGGCCCCGGGGCTCGCGCTGGAGGGCCTCTGTGAGCGCCCGCAGGCAGGCCTGCCTGGCCCCCTGCCGGAGTGGTGGTCGGGGTGGTCGCCCTCTCTCGCTCCCTCTCCAATCCTTCTCTCTTCCACTCCCACAGCCCTATCTCTCATCCCATACACCATCTTTCATCACTCTACTTGCTCTCCGCATCATCATGGATCACCCTTGTACGACCACCCGCCAGCGCGTCGCCTGCCTGGGGGCCCGCCCCGAGGCTCGCGCAGGAGGACCTGGGTGGTGACCTGCCTGCGCCACCGCCCCGAGCCCTGCTTCGAGATCTGTCTTAAGGCCGCTCTTACCCCGAGCCACTACGGACCTCGAGGCCTGCCTCAACGCCTGCCCAAGGATCTGACCAGTTCTCTGCCTCGAGGTCTGACTGGAGGTCTCGCTGGCGGCCTGCTTAGAGGCCTGCCTGATCTGCTTGACTAGTTGCCTCCCTGCCCACCGAGGCCGGACCACCTATTTGACCTGTTTGACCAGTGGTCCGACCCGAGGTCGGCCTGGAGGTCTAACTCCAGGCCGATCCATCGAACTAATCAATCGACCGCTCTCTCTATCCATTATATATATCTGACCAAGACTTTCCTTTCCTATCAGAAACTCACTACAACGTGACAGATGATTAATATATATATATAGACATCGTGGGTCCAAAGTCTCCTGACACTTCAATTGTTCAAAAAAATGACCGCTTTTTGAATGCAAATAACTTCGCTACACATCACTCTGTAGACAGAAACCTCGTTCCGTCGTTAATTTCCACTCGGATTTTGTATACCAACCGCGAACAGAGGATACTGCCTGCAGTCGGCGCAGCATAGAATCGATTAAACGATCAATCGTATTTTGCGGCATGGCCTGCCACGCCTCCTTCATTGCATGCTTCAAAGTCGCCTCATTGACGCGAGATCTTCCTGATCGAAAGCGAAATGGGTAAAGCTCTAGAAGCTCTCTGTGGAGGAGATTCCCGACGGGCTTAATGGGGTTTCAATCAGGCGAATATGACGGCGCATCTAGAACCTAAATCCTATGACGTTTAAACTGGTTTCTTGTGGCTGCAGAAGTATGTATACGCGTGTTATCTTACTACAAGATGGTTCTGGGTGTGTAGATTAGGAGAAGGCCTTCTTTTAGGTAGCGAAGATAGGATTGCGTTGAAAATCCGCTGTTAGGCGCGTGTTCGTCTCGATCTATAATCATTAACTCTGAGCGGCCACCGTACAATATAGCTCTCTATATGATTTGCAAGATATCTTTTCGGTGGTTCACGAGGTTTACACGATCGCGTCGGGAGGCTTTGTTCGAGAATCTACAGACGAATTAGGTTGCATTATTAGTTTTGTGTTGGACGGACCATTCGTCTGAAAACAGCCTTTCTCTTTAGCCGGTAACATAACATCGCGCTATGAACACGCGAATTCAGAGCGCTTTCGGGCACTATGAGGTCCAATCAGTATTCTCTTCTTCTTTTTCCACTTACACAGGTTGTCTTTGCGTAAAACGCGCGGAATTGTTAATTTTAAGCTGCCTCCAGGGGGGCTGGCAACCAGGGCTTTTTCTGACCATTGGGGGTTCCGGCGGACTCAACGATAGATATACCGCTTAGATTAAGGGTTTCACTTTTCGGGTTATTTACTGCGCAGTCGAGAATTGAGCGTAGCGAGTTGCAAGAAGCGTTTTTTAGTGTCGTACATTGTTTGACGACGGTAGTGGTATACCTTTGCGAGCGCGGTTGGCGATTGCCTGCTTTCTAGAGCTGCTAGGATAGCTGCGCGCGGCTCAGGAGACTTTGGACCCCTATATATATATATATAACGTCGTTCACAAGCGAGCGCCGCACCTCCTATAGAATTCTGCCCGTGGGCTAAATACTAGAGCTTTTATCAACCAAGCAATTGAATTTCTATCTAAAAACTAATTACTAAGTGGAATCGGATATCTAACTCTAGTATGTCCCTGAATCTGACAATTAGAATACTGCGGGGGGGGCTTGTACGCGCGGTCCAACTGCAGAAAGTGCAGGATCTATAGGAAGCGCATTCTGAGCTTTATTAATCTTATTCTCGCGCTGGAATCGCTCTAGGCTTTCCTGAATAGGTGGCCCCTCTGCAAGAGCTAGCTGCCTATTAGAGCGCTTGCGTTTTTGACTATTCTATTTATTCTTAGCACGATGATCGCGCCGTTCGTCACGCGCAAGAATAAGCTTATATAAAGCTATTTTATGATCTTTAATAATCTTGTCTAAACGCGTTTCTAGCAGCGGTAAAAGGCTGTACGCGCGTTCTCTCAGTAGTTTTCTTGCAGCAGATGCCTGCTTTTCTAACTGCTTTGTAGTATAGGGTGTTTTCGGCGCTGAATTCGTTGATCGACTGCCTGGTGGTGTAGGGGTCTTTAGTTGAATTCTTAACTGACTGAGCACCCTATCTGGATTGAATGGAACGAGGCCCGCGCCTGCGAAACTATTTCTAATAGTTTCTGGTTGAAAAGCGCTTCTGCGGGCAGCTGGAAAGGCCTTTAAAAAGTCGAATTTGTTAATATGATTGACTCTTAAACGCGCGTTCTGATCTATCAACGCTCCGTACGCCTTTTTTAAAGGCGCAAAGCAGCTAACATCCAGAGGTTGAAGCTTGTGGGAAGAATTAGCAGGCATGTAGATTGGAATCACGTTATTTTCGCTGCAGAGCTGATTGAATTGAGGCGTAAGGTGGCTGTCATGGCCGTCAAGGATCAGAAGGCGATATTTTCCAGTCGGACGACTAGAAGTATAAGGAATGAAGATATTTTTAAGCCAGCGAAGGCCTGTTTTGTCAGTAGTCCATCCATTAGGACTAACTTCAATCCTGCTATCGCGTGGGAGCTCTATATTTTCATACCAGCCCTGTATATGGACTTTTCCTTTGACGATAATGCATGGAGGAAGCACCCAGCCAGTAAAATTGATACATTTGATTGAAGTGACCCACTCCCGATTGCCTGGCTGTACGACAGACGCTTTGCCATAGTAATTAGCTCTAGTAACTACTAAAGCAGTATTTGCAAGGCCCATAGCGAAGCCAGTCTCGTTAAAATTGTAGATATCCTCCGCTACAATCCTGTGTTGCAGTATAGTGATTTATACGCGGTCAAACCACTCCCTAATTATCTTAGGGTCTTCGCATTTTGCTCGTTGATAATTATAGCGTCGACTATAGCGAGTTTTTATCTCCGGGCGTCGTTTAATAAAGTTGCTAACCCAGTTCTGGCCGACTGATTGAATAGGCGTCGTACCGCGCGCAGCAAGAAGAACATTGGCCATTTCTCGAATATGGGAAGGTCGGGGAGCCGCTCCGCGTCGATCTCGCGATGATATCCATTGTACGAGCGATTCCTCCTCGTTTTGAGTTATTTTATGGCTGTTGGCGCGTGTTTCTGCACGCGTAGATATACCGCGTAGTCGTCGAAGAGTTGTTTCGGAGACATTGTAAATGCGAGCCGCTTCACGAATACTAAAGATTTCTGATTTTTTTTAAAGCAGAAACTGCTAGTAAAACTCTACCCTCTTTCCTATTCAAATCTTTTGAAAATTGACGCGCTTTTGGAGGCATGGTTGGTGGTTGAATTAGATGAAGTTTTTGGTTGCGTCTAAAATGCGGAAGGTGCGACGCTCGTTTAGGTGCGGCGCTTACTTGTGAACTACGTTATCTCTCTGCCTGTCTATTCAGCCTTCACGAATCAATTACTCTATCCTTCTTTTCGATCTATCTGACCGGGCCTTTCCTTTCCTATCAGAATCCTATTCCACGTCAGAGATAACTGAGGTCTTTCGTTATCTACGTCCCTAGCTCCCTGCCGATCGGCCGGGTCGGGCCACCTACCTAACCGGCCAGTTGCCTGCCTGCCTGCCGGCTAGCCTCGCTTGCGATCATTGTATCTTCATCGTAGTGCAGGGGGCTGGGCTGCTGTCTGGGCTACTTAGTCGTGGATGAGAGCGGTCCGATCGCAGCGGTGCCTTCTACCTATCTCCGCGATTGTCTGGAGTCTTTAACTTACTCCAGCAGACGTCGTGTCGTCGACAACCTATCGTCTGTCCTTATATTGCAACGGTCCAACAAGAGTCTTTAGATCGTCCGGGCCGACTCGACCATCGTGTACTGTGTATTCTTCTCTATTTAAGAATATTCCGCCATCGGTTGGGAGAGAGCCATATCCTGTATTCTACAACTGAGTCACTTTTTCGCCCCTGCTTGATCCTTTTAATCTTTGGAGTATCCCCTCAGAATTCTGTAGTGTCTGTATCAGGTCCCGCGTAGATTCCGTCACCTTTATCCCTCCCCGCCCAGTGTAGCTGTCCATTCCACCGATCAATCGCCTGGGAGTCTCGGCCTCCCTACGCTGCCCCCATCCATGGGCTCCCTGCTTCAGTATCCTCCGGCGCCAGGACAACAATCACCGCATGCAGGCTCACCGAAGACAGCCACGGACTATCACAGGCGACATCGATCGGGAGACCCCAGTCCTCTAAGGCCGAGTCGTCGTCGACCGCGCAGGTCCCTTCGGCGGTCGCCACCTCCAGTCGCGTCTACTGGAGAATGGGCGGCCCGCCGCCGCGCTGCCAGCGGCCCTCAATCAGCTGCGCGGCCCGGTCAAAGCTGGTACAGTTGCAGATACGGATGGTCACCGAGCGGATGCTCCATTGCCGCAGGGGCTCGGTGGTCACCTCCACCGGGATCCACGGTTGCTGGTCAAAGGGGACCTGGCAGGTGGGAGAGCAGGCCCCCTCGGCCGGCGGGGCGCGGACGACCCACGCCGTGATGCAGAGGCGCTCCCAACCCGGGTCCGCAATTTGGAGGTCAATCCGATCACTCCAGTCGTAGTTCCCATGTCCCTCGCCGACCCCCCATTGACGTGCCCCCAGCTGGAATTCCAGGCCCTCCCACTGGATAATCGGCCGATCCCCCTCGCGCGCCCAGGTTGTGTGAATGCGCTGCCGGACGTCATTGAAGGTGAGGCAGTCGCAGAGAGGGATGGTCACCGTGTCCTGAAAGAATCGCATCGGGCCGCAGGCGGCTTGCTGCACGGTCACCTGGACGGCGGGCCGCTCCTCCGACCGACAGTCACACTGTTGGCGGCCCGAGTTAGATCGCGGATTCATGGTATTGTGAGGCGTAACCTACCATGGTTGGGAAGAGAGATAGAAAGATGATTTGGATCGCAGGGCGCGGTGAAAGGGAAGAGAGAGATGAAGAGAGGTTGGCTGCGAAGGCGGCAGTCTCTTAAAGGCCTGGCTAGATAGCAAATAAAGAACAGAAGATTCAAAAGAAATCTGTTGTGTTTCTGTGTGGAGCGGCTTTATTCCGGTGGCAAGAATTAGAGATGCCGGGCCGGCCTTTGTGTTCCTCCTTTGTTGGCCGCCATTCACGTTACGCCCTATCAGCTCTTTCTGGGAAGTCCTGTCGGTACCTGGCCTGGGCAGCGCTCATGATAGAGATATTAGGATGGTCAGCCGCGCCACAACCGCGCCGGTGATCCGACCAGCACCGCATTCCGATCAATAGACCCTGTATTCTCTGGCTATCGTGGTCATCGCTAGATACAGGACCCGGTTGTTCTCCTACCGAAACCGACAGGTCCGGAACCCGCGCACGCGCCGGTCGTCTGCCCCCGTAAACAACTGTCCGCCCACCGCTATCATCGACTGGATCCATTCTAGGCTGCGCTGGAGACATTCGCCGCGGCCCACATACTGCGGGTCTGCGTTGTGCCACACAATCTCGTTGACCACCTTGTCCTTGCGGCAGCGCTCGAGGAAGCGATTCTGTGTCCTACTCAGGTATGTGCGGGTCCGCTCGAGCGCGCGTGGCTCGCTCAACTGGGCGGGGTCGGGCCGGATGGGATCGACATTATACAGCAGCAGCGCTCGTCGCGGTTGGCTGTCTGCCCGCGGAATGAGGGCCACTGCCCAGCAGTGCAGCGGGATCTGCTGCCAGGGCTCCCCTTTCACCCAATTGGCCTCCACCGTCGAGAAAAGCGCTACCCAGACGACACAGCCGCCTTTAGGGGCGCGGAGGAACTCGCTATAAAGCCCCCGGCCTTGCAGGTTGTCGGCCGCCGTAAACGCGTCCCGCCAATTGGCTTTCATTGCGCCGTCCGCAAAGGTGAGCGGCTGGGGGTGCACATAGACCCCGTGCGCGCGGCCCTGCGTCGCCAGATGCTCGAGATAGGTCGCCAAGGTGGCCCCATTGCTGCTGGGGTGTGGCATCGGGGGGATCGCCGCGGTGTGGGACGCCATAATCTAGCGGTGGTTCGTATCTTGGATTATCTTCTCCCCGGTCCTTGGAACCAGCAAGAGGGATCGCTAACTTACTCCAGTGTTCGGCAGATCAGGTATTCAGGGAGATAGGTGAGATGTTGAGTGAGAGGCGTGTCAGAGAGGGTGATAGTGAGGTAGGGGGTCGAGCGACCGATCGGTGAGAGATTCAGCGCAGAAGGTGCGGTTCAGAGCGATTGGCAGGGACAAGGTTGCGGTAGCCAGGTGAGGTTTAGAGCGACACTCAGATATTGTGCGTCGGTTGTCAGGTGAGGTGGAGATGGAGAGGCAGGTAAGATGATCCGATAGAGAGATGAGATTTGAAGCAATGGGTAGGGATGATGTTGAGGGAGTAAGGTGAGGCTCAGGGCAATCCTAAGATATCGTGTTCAGATTATGAGGTAGAGTTTAAACCGCAGGACCGGAGGAGTGGATGTAGTACGATCAGGGTGAAAGTAACAGAAGGACTAGGTTGGCAGAGAGGAATAACACAACGTAGAGATCCGGTAGATTTCTGATTCAGAATCAGCAATAAGCAGGCTTCCGACCGCCCGCAGAATTCAAGACCTCTTTTATTGAATGGACTGATTTCTTCCGGTGAATCTAAGGGTTGCTTGTTTGAAAGATAAAGATCTCTGTATTACTTGATCCGGGTCGTCTTTAGTCGCTACAAGTCTTTAGCGGAGAATCCCATTATTCTCTACTTTCTTCACGCCAGGGTAGAGACCGCAACCCCAGGTAGGAATATTCCCTTTATCTATTCTGTTACCCTTAACTACGCGGGAAACAGAGAGGCCGCTCTTCGATCGATCGGTGACAGGTAGGGAAGTTCAACCTTCGGTAATGTAGCACGGGAATCCTATATATTTTCGAAATCAAGGCTGTCGGCGGTCTCCCGATCGAGTGAGTGAGATAAAATATATTATTGAATGGCGATACGGCGCCGCGACCTGTCGGCGGACAGGAAAAGGGATTTTGGCCGGTTAGGGCCCGCGGCTCTGCGGCGGCCGGCTCTCTGATTGGGCCCGGAGATCCTGTACTAGAAGCTTGGCATAACTTTAATTGTACTCCTTGCCTCGGAGACCGCTCGAACCTCTAGCGAGATCCCTACACCACAGGACCGGGTTCTCTATCGGAGTCTACCCGTGCGACCAGATGTCTCGCTTTTCCGCGCCGGCCGTCGGTAGAATCGCCTGTAACTTGGTATAGACTTCCAGTCAAAGGCCCGAAACCCCGGGCCACCGGCGGAAAGTACCCCGAATCGACCGGACCGTAGATAGAAGATCATAAAGTTAGACCGTCCTCTGTCGGCATAGCGATCCGCCATGTAGTGGGGGTTTTCGGAGGGGAGAGGTCCTTCTAAGAAATAGCCGACAGTGATTTATTAAGTAGTAAATCCCCTGGGACTTTCATCCTAATATTCTACTGAATAAGAGAGTACATAATTCTAGTAGCATTGGTTGCCCGGGCGCCTACCAAGATCAGACCTACTAATCCGCTTTAACATCTGAAAATCCCCTGGTCCGGCAACAGCAGCCGACTGTTGCTCGGTCCGCGGCGTTCAGCCATCCGCGCAGCCGTCTTAGTGGCCTCGGAAGATCGGGGTACACCCAGTAGCAGTCCCGCCCTGCAGCGGCGGCATTCCTTAGGTTACCGGCTGGATCCCAGGGTAGATTCCGATCAGATCTGACCCACTGTCCTGGAGAGTAGCGCTTACCGTGGTAAAGGCGCCGTGCCATTACGCGCTGAACCTTCCTCACCACACATGTCACAGAACAGACAGTTTCACGTTGAACCCCATGTCGGCTTCTTCGAATGCCAGATTCTCCACTAAGATTTCTTTCTTAGCCAAGAGAGTATATTTTGCGTCTTCGGCACTGAGAATGACTTCCTTCAAGCGGCCGAAGAGCTCCGTCGGTTTTGCAGACTTTAATGAGTCTTTTTCGATGTAACCGAAGTTTGTGCGGTTGATCTTGACGAATCGCTTGACTGCTGTGAGAGGAACAGCTTCCGTCTCATTGACAATCCAAACCAACTCATTTTCCGACCTGGGGATGTACATGCTGATATGGGTTTGGGCTTTCCCTAATCTTCGGCTAAAGAAGTCCACTGTCCCATTTGCGTCGGTCAAAAGGGACGTCACTCAACGATATGTCTGGTCGTGGAGTGCCAGGGATTGGCCCACTCAGTAAAGAATCCTATTGATGTAAATCTCTTGAATATCACGTTTTTCGGAGACAGAAGTATTGCCATTAGGCGACGCAGGTTGGCTCTTGTCAGGCGTCTCCCAATGATCAAGACGGATCTGCAAATCCTTGTTGGAAAGGTAGTCGCCTTCTTTGAGATGCTGGGGATCTTCGGTAAGGTCGACGACCTTCTGAATGTCTGGGGTGGAGGTACGGGTGAAAGAGTCTTCATCCGGATCGAGTTGGATTGGGCTGGAGCTGTTCGTGGGACTGTTCTGTATGGTGACACTGCGATCGGTGTCACTGGATAAGGCCTCGCCGCGTTAGGGCCGGCTATCCGCCCGAGGAATAAGGGCCACCGCCCAGCTGTGGTGGGGGATTTACGTGCCGGCCTCCCCTATCACCCAATTCGCTTCGATTATTAAGAAGAGCGCTACCCAGAATAGACCCCGTGCGCGCGGCCCTGCGCGCAATAGGCCGGGGCAGTAAGGTTCCGCGGAAGAGGCAGGTGCAGTGAGAGTCAGTGCAACCGGCAGGTGAGAGGCAGGGAAGCCGGCAGGGCTGGGGTCGGCGTGTCCGGTGCCGGGGTGGACGGCTGACAGGGAGGCGATCTATGAAGGATGTCAACCCTGAGGTAGTTGTAATTGAGGCTTCGGAAGCGGTTGACCTCTGCCTGCCACCAGTCCGTCGTGGGGAAATGACGCCCATCGGTCTCAAGGGCGTGATTGGAGAAATCCACCGCCCATTCGTTGTGGACGCCAGCTTTCCTAGCACCACAGGATCCGCCGCCGGCGCCACAAAAGGCATCCCCCAAGGTAGACTGTCGGTGCTGAGGCAACCCGCACCTTGGGTGCCCCAAGAGGCCAAGCGCTCTGCCAGGCGGAACGCCCACTAACATACCAATGTGGATGGAGCCTCGCTCCGTTCCTAGTTAGTCGTCAGTCATCTCCAATCAAGTGATTTGCCATCCCAGGTTCCCTCGACATATACTGACCGGAATATAAAAGTGGATTAGCCTCCTCAGTGAGGTCTATCCCAGCAGCGGAATTGTTGTCCACTAAAATGACCATGACACTACCAAAGATAGGCAACCCACTTAGTGGGATGTAAGGTGTCATATATGGCTGTCGAGGTGGTTTGACAATTGTCAAACACCACCACTGGAGCTTGTGTGCTGGCTCTGTCGCCGAACAAATGCGTCTGGCCATTCATCTGCTTCAGTGACCTGGATCGACGGCCAAGGGTCAACGACTGGTCCGGGTAGTGGTGTGGGAGAGGAAGCAAGTCAGAGGGTCTCAGGGGGGAAGACAGGGCCCTTTATAGTAGGCGGGAGGGCGACGTGGCCACTTGGAATGAATGACGGATCCTGCCGGTGGAGAGTGACGGGCCCCGCGGCTTGGTGGCTTCACTTCTCCCAGGGCCTCCCAGTATTCCAGTCCTCTCTAGTGATTATCACCTGATCACCCGCTATAACTTCACTGGCTTACCGTGATAGTTTGCTTACTTGTAGTAATGGGCCTCGGTGAAGTCCACCCGGTGCCTAGTGAATTCCCCGGTAACTCGCGCCTGGGCGCCCAGCAGTTCACAGGCGACTGCCTAGCCGATGAGGATCCGCCTGGGGGCCCGCCGAGTGGCCTGCGCGGTAGCCGGCGCGAGGGCTTGCCTGGAGGCATGGCAGGGACCTAGGTGAGGGCCTCGGTGAGGGCCCGCTAGGAGGCCTAGCTAGGTGCCTGCCGGTCCCATGGTCCGCGTTGTCGCCCTCCCTCGCTCCTCCCCTCATCTCAACTCACCTCCGAGGAGAATCCTAACTTACCGGGCATAATGGGCTGAAGATATATCCTATGTAGGGTGTGGGTAAGGAAGCGCGCTGATTGGCTCAGAAAATCAGCAGAACCATCTATCCTATTGAGATTCGCCATTGAGTGAGCCACCCCAGTTTATTAGATATCTGTCTATAATTTCGCCAGTTAGTAGATATAGGCCTTAAATCTACTATAGCGAATTTTTAGTACAAGACCCCCTAAGGCTGATCAGTAATGTGGCTGTAAAGTTAGAGGGTAAGCCGGGAGAGTTGGATAGGGTAGCGCCTCACCGCAGCTCACTTACCGTAGATATATATAACTCCCTACCGTACCTCCCGCATCTCAACCTTACTCAATCTACTGTTCACAGGAACAGTACTATGGCCGACATGCTCTTTGAGCGAATCCCGCGCCTCCAGGTGATGATCTGCCGGCAGTGTCGGTATGGCGTCTGGCGCCGAGGCGGAGCGACATCGCAAGCGACATCACCAGCTCGACCACCAGACCGTGCGGCCGATGCTCCAGTCGATTGCGCAGTGGACGGACGTGGCGCGTAACAGTCAGGCCGTCGACATCCCCCACTGCCTCGACGAGCCGCTGCTAATTATTCCCTGCTTCTCGTAGGGCCTCTTATGCCGCCGCGACCCGGCGACCTGCCACTATCTCGTCGCCAACATGAAGTCCATGCGGAAGCACTGGCAGGCGGTCCACCAGTGGTCCTAGTACTCCGAGCGCGGCCGGGCCCCCAGTCGCAGCAGGCCGCGCGGGAGGCCGAGCTGCAGCGGTCGGACGAGGTAGTCTCCTACCAGCAGCTGTTCCCGTCGCGCGCGGGCTCGCACTACATCCACATCCGGTTCCCGCACGGCCGCGCGTTGCTGCCGCCGCCGCCGGACCAGGCGCAGCAGGCGGTCGATGCGGTCGTGGAGGCGTGGGAGCAGGCGGAGGCCGCCAGCCGATAGGCCCCCACCGAGCCCACGCAGCTCCACGACGCCAACCCGTGGCTGCGCATAATGCGGTGAACGGAGTATCTGAAAGACATCCCCCGCCCCCCCGCCCCCCCTGACCTGCTGCGCAGTATGGAGCCGCCCGACCCCGACACGGCCGACCCCGTGGAGCAGGGGGTGCGCCTCCTGTACCACACCATGGACCAGCTAGCGCGGAAGAGCCAGCGGACGGTGTCGTACTGCAGGCAGGCGATCCGCATGGAGGCGGTGCGCACGCAGGCCCACGAGCTGCCGCACCGGCCGTTGCTGGCGTACATGGACGCGGTGAGCGTGAAGAAACACGTGCAGCCGTGGCAGCCGATGCTCGGGTTCTTTGCGCGCACGCAGCACCCGCAGGCCTGGAAGAGCCCGCTGTACCAGTCCACGGCGCGGCCGCAGCCGAAATAGGCGCGGCTGTGGTAGCTAGTGCAGCAGCTGAGCCGCCGCCGCCGCCGCCTGAGCCCCCGGATCTGGACGAGGCGCTGCAGCCGTAGCTGCTCGAGCCGCGCGAACGGGCGTGCCTCGAGTTTTGCGTCGAGCTGCTGAACCAGCGCCACCGCACCCACGAGTACGAGAGCGCGCTGGTGTGCGTGATGGCGGTGCTAGGCCGCGGCCGGGACGGCTGGCGCGACCCCAAGAGCTATCCCCCCATCTTATCGCGGGTCATCAAGATCGCGCGGTTTTTCGTCGTCGAGAAGGCGCTGTGGCTCGACCCCGCGGCGATGCAGACATTGCTGGACTGGCGGACGTACGGGCTGCGGGTGCATTACAACAGCACTACCCCCGGCCACATCATGTGGCAGGGGACTGACGAGCGGCTGTACAAGGAGCTGCGCTTCACGATGGGCGACTTTCGCGCCCGAGCTGCCGAGTATCCAGCATATGAACACAGATACCAACATCCGCCGGAATATATATCTCAACAACAGGCTGGTCACATTGGTCATCGCGTACCACAAGGACTTTTATGCCAGCAACGACGCGAAGATTATCCACCGATCCGTGCCGCAAGAGGTCGGCGAGCTCATGATCTATTACCTGTGGCTGGTGCGGCCATTCGTCGATCAGCTCGACACCTGGCTGGAGCAACAGTCGCCCGCGCCGCGCGAGCCCCCCTCCACGCAGGAACGTTGTTGCGTCGTTTCTAACGAACACTGCTGCAAGTTCATAGGAACCCAGCCGAAGGCCAAACCCTACAGGCGTCCTTTCATCCGGGTCATCGTTCAGAAAGTCAGAAGCCGGATCAGAGTTGGGCACCTCTTCTGCATGCACTACCCTATCCATCATCATAGCGTGGCTAGGGGATGCTGGGGTATGAAAGATCCAGTTTTCATCAGGCGGAGGTTTCAGTTCAGCGAAGGGTCCCACAGGGACAGTCTCAACCTTTCTTCTTTTACTTGTATGTGGCATTTCCCTAGTCGCCCGGACGAGGGGCACATAACCCCAGGAGTTGTCATCCTTGAGGTAACGAATCATGTACGCTTCTGAGAACGTGCGGTCCTGAGGGCACAACTGAAGGAGTAGCTGAACTCGCGTATGTGCGCTATTGATGAGCTTGAGGAGAGATGGAACATAGGCCATGTCGAAGAAATTTTGCTTATGCTTTGTGTGATTTCCGATCCAGGATTTGGCATTATTGGCTCCATACCTGACAAGATGTATTGCAACTTCTTGGTCTTTTTTGTCCTAAGAGAGCAGGAGTGTTATACCCCCTCGTAGGGCACGTATGTACTGCATGGCTCTGCTGTATTTGTCGACTTGCTCCCTCGGCGTCATCCCACGACGAAAAGCATTCGGGTCTTGCCACAATTCTATGTTTGCATAGGGCGAAGTCTCGCATATCGTATAGCAATATCCCCACAGAGCATTGAGAATTGAACTTGCCAGTACGGCAGTATCGGGTGCCTCTAAAGAAGCTCCGAGTGCTAGTGCCTGGAGCTCTGAAAGTGTCAATTTCGAGTCATGGAATGAGGATCGCTCACGCCGAACTTTCCCATAATAACGAAGGTTGGCAAGCGGCAGTGACCAGTAAACGCCATCTTGTTTGCCGTTGGTATTAGACGAAGTCGAGACAGAAATGGTCGTAATTCCACCCTCATGCACTAGTTGATCTCCCTGAGAGATGTCTAGGGCTTTCCGGTCCAGCACAATGAGATCTGGGTATAGGTGCCACGAGATCATTGCAAGCAAGACTCCACTATCTGATATTCTCTGTGGATTCCCTGATACCAACTTATCTAAAGTCTTTAGGGCCCGGCAAAGGTTGAGAATAACGTTCTCGTGCAGGTTCTCCTCGGGTGCCCCGGTAGCATGGAGGGTTTGTTCTTCGTCAGAGGTCCCCTGGTCTTGACGGCGACGGATAAATTGTTGACGATGAGCTGCACCTGAATTTGTTGTTTCTTCTTCGCGCCGTCCGCAACCTGGAGCCATGCTCGGGCGCTGGCATCCCAACCTTCAAGAGCGTCTCTGCCAATGTCATGAACCGCTGCAAGTTGGGAAACATTAAAGTTTCCTGTAGCTGTGTGTGCCTCCGAAGCTTGTGCTTTGATGATTTGGCGCCGATGCTCATCTAGCTCGACCCAGATCGCTGTTGCTTCCTGTGGCGACCAGATACGAGCCAACATGCAGGCCAGGAGATGCATGCAGAGTGCTGAGGGGCCGCTCGTCGCACTCGCCCAAATACTCGCGCTGTCGATTCCCAAGTGTTGGTCAAAGACTCCTTTTTCACGCCTTGTGGCGCGCCTGGAGCGTTGTCCATGGCGCTGGAAATTTGGCTCGCGCGAGTACCATATGCGCGCAGCAGGGACGGGACACTGGGAAGAATGTCCTCGAAGATAATCCCCAGTCGCCGAGCGAGGATATGGAAGGACACTATGTAAGACAAACCTGATGAATTGGTGGTGACTATCTTCTAACCTAAAACAAGATACAAATCACTCTGGTGGTGGGCTTTGCACCGATACAACATATATCAGGGCAGAGTAGCATAGCGGATACCCTTAATCACGTTGACATACCCTGGCCAAGAATGACCGGATTAGGCTGGTAGTTGAATGCCAGCTTTGGTCGAATCCAAGGATCGGTTCAACTGGAAAAGATCCTTCATCTCCGCCGTCATGATACTTGTGTCGGCGCGTTGCAATCCCAACTTCCCACGCTCGACTCGGGGCGCCCAACCGTCAATCACATCACGAGTGAAATTATCCAGATTCTTCTCCACTTTAGTCATTTTAAGCTGTCGGCCGATGATGTTGTGCAGCACCGCCAACTCATCGGCGGTTAGCTTCTCTAGCTCCTCCGCATTTTGCCCCGCAAACTGCACCTTGTCGAGAAGAGCCCGCTGGGCTTCCGGCGTCGCTTGGCCGAACCGCTCTAGCGAGAACTGGACTCCCGCAACCATGCGCTGCTGTTCAGATTCGCCAGTGTCTGCTTGCCCCTGGATAACAGGCTGGATGAGCCCGAACGCTGTATCGAACCCTTCTTCTTTGTCGTCAGTGATGACCGCTGCATTCTGTTTCCGCAGCTGGCGGAGCACCGCCATAACTACCAGAAGGAACCGCGTATATCCCTCGGTAACCTTGCTTGAGTGCCACTTGGCTGCGCTAAATTCACTGGTCTCGCCACGGCGGACTGCCTGAATCGTTGTCGCCGCGGAGAGGCCCCCTACCAGCGCGAGATGGACGCCCGATGAGAAATAGGGATCGATAAAGCAGCCGGCGTCCCCGGCCACACGAAAATGCGGTCCTGCATAGGCGGAAGCGCTATACGACCAGTCGGAAGCCATCTTCACGTCCGAGACAATCTCGGCGTCTTCGAGCAGCCCGCTGATCCCTGGCACGCTCTGCAAGCATAACTTGTACATCTCGAGCGAGCCCGGTGACCCGGCCGCCTTTTTCTTGCCGAAAAACAGATCCTGGCGCATCACCACGCCAACGGACAGAGTGCCGTTGTGCAGCGGAATTGCCCAGCACCAGCCACTGCCATCCGTAAGAGCCTCGAAGAATGGGGACCCTTGTTGGTCGCTGCCCTCGCCGTACACCTTAGCGCCCTTCCAGTAGGACCAGTTTGCAATGTTACGGAGCCCCTCATTAACCGTGCGGTTCTTGAGATACTTCGTGGAAATAATTCCGGCGCGCCCCGACGCATCAATCAGGTAATCGAATTTGATCCGACCACGGGTGCCATCCTTGCGAGACCATGTCGCCGCCACCGGACGGCCAGGGTTGACGAGAAAAGCGGCCGGAGTGAAATTCGCCCCGTCGGCGCCGTCGTATGACAGAAACTCAATATCGTCAACCTTGGTCCCGTCGAAGATATGCGCCCCCTGTTCGCCGGCGTAGCGGAAGATGAGATCGTCTGCCTCGGAGCGGATGACGTTCCAGGCGTAGCCTCCGGGTCCGAGAGAGGCGGAGAAGTCCGTGTAGGCTTCTCGTTTAGAGTTGATCTTGAAAGTTGCGCCATATTTCTTTTGGAACCCATACGCATCAAACTGCTCCTCTAGATCGATGAACCGGAGGAAGAAGCGCATCGATGCGAGCATACTCTCGCCAATATGGTAGCTGCGCCGCACAGTCAGTCTTGGTCTGCGAGGTGCGGGACGCGGCAACCTCACCGAGGGAACTTCTCCGCTTCCAACAGGACGGTATCGACATTCTCACGCGCCAGGACTGCCGCAGCGTACGATCCTGCCGGACCTCCGCCGATGACAAGGACAGTTGTTTTGTTCGGAACAGACATTCTGAGGGTGTAGAAAAGCTCGTCTGGTGTGATTGTAGAAACTAGAAGAAAAGAGAGGGCCACTGGCCGAAGCCAAGGGTATTTATTAGCCGGTCTGCCGTTGTTTGGCTTCATATCCCACCCAGCACGGGGCTGTGTAGAACCGAAAGGCCCGACGTCGGCATATTGTCAAGCTCACCCGTGTATGATCCGAGAGCGCCCCTATCGGACATTCGTTCTGTACAGTGTCGGTTCCTTACGCTACAGCAACGGACGTCTCGTTCTATGCCCGCCAATCCGAGAGACCATAGTGAGTAAAGGCCCGAGAACGCATTGAGTTGACCGCAGCATTACATTCTGAAGGGTGGATGCAACCAACCGCTACGCAGAGACAGGGTAGGGTATAGCAGATCTCATAGTCCATAGAGAGGAAGCAGGTAAGCAGCTATTTCTCCGACTCTAGCGACAAAACATGCGTCCAGTTCTCATCAAATCCAATGCCCCAGATCCATTTCTGTTCGATCGGCCGGTCGACCGTAGTGTCGTACGCCATCTGCGCAAGCTTCAGCCAGGCAATGCCTTGAATCGGGAACGTCTCGCCGGCGCCCTTCTCAAATGGGTTTGAGACTGCTTCTCCGCTCTTCAGAGCCCGCACCAGCTTCGCCAAATGCCCGTCATCGTGGACCGCTGCCACCGCTCGGTACAGAGCCGCCCAGTCCATGCCCGCGCTGGACGTCGGCATATAGTTGAGCAGGCTTGGGAGATGTAGCTGGACAGCACCAGTGGCCGTGTACCAGACGAGGTCCACCCGCGCCTTCCATTCCACCAGACGGGCTTTCACCACCGGACTGATCCATGGCTGTCGGACTAAAATATCTATCGAAAGCGATGCGGTGACCGTGTGGAGATGGAAGAAGTCAATCTTGCGCGGTTTACCGGTCCGCTGCACAGCACCGGTGATAAAGGCCGAACAGTTGATCATCTCCGCCAGCCGATGCTCGATGTCCTGCGGGTCGACGCGGAATTGAGCCGCCAGGGCTGTAATTGCCCTGGCGGTGCGGCCCAAGACTCCGTCTCGGACTCTGGCAGGACCATCATCAAATCCCTCCGCCGCATGTCGAAGTGCTTCGTCTGCTTCAGCATCGCGAAACAACTGTACGAGCGTCCTTCCCGAATGTGCCGACTGCGTTGCTTCTGCCTCACAATCCATCAAGAAGGCTTCAATGCCCATCGAGTCATGCGAAGCAACCTGCGCTAAGGCTTCTGCGACGATGCTCGGCTGCTCGAATTCGATGCCAAAGGCAAGGTGAATGACAGGGTGGTAGAGCCCTTCGTACAGCTGGGCAAAGAGGGTCTCGGCGTTGCGACTGCCACTGAAACAGTGTTCGTCCACTACCGCCCGGTAGCCCTTGGTAGCTATTTCCTGGCTGAAGAAGGCTAGAAAATTGGAGTACTGGTCGAGTTGACCGATGCGCGAACGGAATTGCTCGGGGTCCCCTAGCTGTTCGACCACCTGACGATCGACCGGGGGAATTGGCCGTTGGATGTCCCTGGCATCGTCGAAGGCGCGTTGGAGCTCTGCCGGCCCGCCCCCCAAGGCCAGAATGGTCAATACCGAATGCGTGAGGTGATTGTGACCGGCCACCGGTCGCCAGAACATGTGGTGTTCATCGTGATTCGTTTGCAACAGGTGATTGGCGGCTTCGATGGCCCCGACGGGGCATTCGCTGACGCGGGCAATTCCTGCATGGTCTGGAGATAGGAAGATTTGCGTAGCTGTCGCCATTATGAGCGATGAACCGTCGACGTTGAAGGCTTCCGTTGCGTGCCTACGGAAACAGTGACGCGCGAAATTGGGATCGAGCCCCGTTTGTCCCCTCTGCCGGATTAAATATTTCCTGTCCTAGGTGGCATGGTGAATCAGTTGGAGCCATTGGGTGGCAAGCAAAAGGCCCGTTCAAATCCCCGAACCGACGCGGTCGGGCTATTCTATGCTCGTCCGTGCTGGCAAGTTCGGTGCGGAAATCAGCGGAAGTAGTACTACGGGCAACTAGGCTCGCGCCGGATGTTTCTACTGGGAGGCAGCACTGGAATTGAACATGTAGGCAGTTCTGGCGGTATCTAACACAATGAAGGCTGTGTGATGCCCGGGATCCGGGTTCTGCGAACTCTTCTTGCTTCTGCTCCCAGGGCGGCACCGATCAATCCCTCAGATACCCGAGTCGTCTTGAGGTCTGTCGTTGGGAATGTCAACCGCATTGTAGTAGCGCTTCCACGAGGCGCATCGGTTCCCAAAATCATTGAGCACGCCCGCGTTCTCTATCAGTGGTTTGATCTTACTCGGTTGCTCGATATACTGTAACGCCATACCCTCGGAAGCATGATACTGCAAGTGGCAGTGCAACAGCCACGCTCCAGGGTTGTCAACCTCAAACGCAATCCAGGCGTACCCGCCGATATCCACATCGACCACATCTCGCCGGGGAGGGTTGTCCAGCTGCGGCGCAATATCTGGCGTGAATGGGCCCTTGCCCTGCGCCAGGATGGCAAAATCATGGCCGTGGAGATGGATCGGGTGGACCGAAGGCGTCAGATTCCGCGGCGTCACGACGTCCTCCAGGGAATAGTTGCTCGTGAGGAGAAAGTAGACCCATTCTCCGGTGTCGAAATCTAGGGTGACCGGGACTGTTTCCGGCGGGAACTCCTCGTCGTGGTCGGCGGTGAGTTTTTCGAGACTGGGGGTCTGCCAATCGACATACATGGCCGTATTCTTGATGGTCCATAAATGCACTCTAGGATCCTTTTCCCACGGGGTCGGGATCTTTCCTTGTTCACCGATCGTCAGGTAGTCGTGCGGGCCGATCTGGTTGACGCGCGGGCCGACAGTTTTCTTGACGACCGGTACCAGGTCTCCCAGACTGGGATCCGAACATCCGAAGTCTCGATGCTGCTCGCTCAGTGGAGGCGTGGCTGGCTCGCTCGTATCGCTCTCATCGTATCGGATGATCCCAACCTTGTTGTTCGGGATGACGTCCGGGATATCGCAGTAGTGCGCATGGATCCAGAAGCTGGAGCCCTGCGTCCGGTCTGCATTTGCTTCGACCACAATCTCGTATCGTTGTCCCATGCCTACATTAAGCACATTGGTCGAGTACGGCTCTACGGGGACGAAATCAGCCTCAATCACCGTGAAGTTATGCCCGTCGATCCAGAATGTGTAGGTGAGCAGAGTGGCCGTGTTCACGATCGCCATCTTGTACTTTGTCCCCTGCTGGAAAGTCGTCTCAAAATACTCCTGCTTTCCGGTGCAGGCCGGGTCCAGGCCCGGGTCACAGTCGTAAGTACCTTTTCCGTTCAACAATGTCGATACAGGGATGGGGGCGAGCTGGCCGGCGAGCGAGATCCAATTCAAGGTGAACGCATCCTCATGATACCAGTCGGTGAGGGTCCACGGGCCAAGATCCACGTCCCAATCGCTACTAGATGGACCGTGGATAACCAACGGTCCTGGGAGACATCAGAATGACGCTTTTGCACGGAGAGCGGCTGACCTACCGTACAGCCCGTTGCTATCTGGTTGGCATGTGAGCAGGCGCGAAGCCCCGATGGGAGGGATTGTGGGAGGAACTCACACTGCAAGCTAAAGTGCGAATGATACCAGGACGTGCCGTACTGAGTCGCTCGAAATTCATAGACCTGAGATTCTCCGGGCTGGACTGCCTCATCAGCCTCCTTCCCGACCACCTGCATCGCGGGGGAAACGAGGGCTTACAGGAATCGGACACTGCGTCACCCCGGGGACTCCGTCAATCCAGTTCGTCTCAAACAGACGGATGCCATGCCAATGAACAGCGGTTCCATTGCCATTCGTGAGGTTGTTATGAACAGTAATCCCTGCCGGTTGGGGTCAGAAGGTGCGGTGAAGAAGCTTGAACGCTACTCACGGAGAGTGTCACCCCAATCGGCCTCGATGAGCGGCCCGGGATATTGTCCTGCAGCCACCACGTCAATGGGCATATCGATCCTTGATCCTTGGGGCGCCGGCACCAACCATTGAACACCGTCCCTAGTCTCTCGTAGCCATCGGGACTGATGGTTACCTGGGTTACGGTGAGGTCGTACTAAGCAGGGAATGCGGTTGCGTGTTAGTGGCGGCGAGAAGGGATCGTTTGGCGGTGCACTCTCACCTCGACCAATTTGCCCGGCGGAGCCACCTTGGGATCAGTATAGTCGGACCAGATGTCGAAACCATCCTGCCAACAACGTCGGCTACTTGGACCGTTCGTGCAATTGCTGGGCAAGCGACTCGTACTACTCGCGATCGTCATGGGCACGAGCCCAGCGACCACCCAATCCTTCAGCGACGGCATGCTTTTCTTTTTTCTTTTCTTTCTCACTTGAAAACCGGTATCCGGCTCATGACCTCACCGAAACATGGAAATTCCAGGCTTTAAGACGACAGTCGGAAATGAAGACATCGGACGACGGCCTACGAGCGGGAGAGTCCAAACACAGTGACCGGAACGGACTAGGACAGCGTCGGGGCATCCAGTCCCCGTCCGGGAAACTAGATATTGTCGGCACTCGGTGGTAAAAGACAACCCAAAAAAGAACACCTCAACGTTGTGAAGGAATTGTAAACTACATCCCGAACACACGAGACCCAGTCTGCAGGCACTAATTTAAACCATCCACCGCGACGCCGTCCCGCACAAACTCTTCAATCCATCCGATCGTCATCCTATGGGATCCGAAACCAGTCAGCTACCGGGACACGGTCCAAGGGGCGGAGGCAGAGGCATGAAATGCACGAACAGGCTCTTCTTCGTATCGGCAAAGTGCTCATGGTCTTTGAACAAGTGTTCTTTATAATACGGATCCTCTTTCATTCGCTTATAGTCCTCCACGCTCTTGAACACAACCTGGCTAAAGCAGTCAAAGTCGGCCAGGTTGACCATTTGTGAATCGTAGAGCTGGTCCATCAACGTTCGAGTGACGGCGGGACTATGGATCTGTCCTGCCCCGTCAGTTGCCCCCCTAGAAGACCAGATCGGACGGAAACGGGACAAACCATGGTCCACCGCTTGATGCCATACTTGACCATCAGGTCTTTGGTCATCGGGGCCGAGATCTTAGTCATATGGTGTCGGTAGTCCTCCTCGCTCATGCCCGGTTTCCGATAGCCGCAGATGGTCAGACAGAGATATTTGCCGGGCGGGTCGTTGGACCCTGCTCGCACGTCGCTCATTCTTGGGAAATTTGGGAGATCAAAGATATTGCCGAAAAGAATGGTCCCAGGGGCACAGCATTTTGCAAATATATTGCTGCTCGGACCACAGTCGTTCACTTCGGGGAAGGCGAAACGACGCTGCGAGGGTGGTCCGGCTCCAATCGCCCCGACGACGGTCGTCCTGCCTGCGATGAAGTCACCGATATATAAACTGCCCGCTGTGCATCGGGTGGACTGGGAGTGGTGAACTGGAGTCTGCGAGGATCCCCTGGCAGGAAGCAACTTCGGTCCCGATTATTATTCACACGGTACGATCGCAGAAAAGACACCATGACCCCCGCCACACCACCCCGTCAGATCGGCGTCCAGGCGACGGCCGTCATCGCTGGTTCTTTTCTCGCAGGCAGGCCTTGCGCTTCCCCCGAGTCCGGAACCACACCGAAATGGCTAACCCGGCGGTAGGGGCGATGATGGGCCTGTCGCTCGTCGCGGTGCCGGTCTTCCTCGATACCAATACGCAATCCGAGCAACTGCTCGCGCAGTTCGCCTCCCTCTACGACTACGGACATAAACTCATGCCCACCATCGCCGTCGCCACGTGCGCGCTCCACGGGTGGGTCGCGGCCCGCAAGCGAGCCGCCCACCAGCCCTGGGGCCGTCCGGTGCTCGCGGCCGTCACGACCATCACCATGGTGCCATTTACGTGGGTCTGTATGGTCCCTACCAACAATGCACTGTTCCAGCTTCATAAGGGCGCGGACGCCAACATGGAGATGGTGCGGGGTTTAATCGCCCGATGGCAGTGGTTGCATGTGGCTCGGTCTCTGTTTCCCTTAGCGGGTGCCATTGTTGCTTGTCAGACATTGTTGAAGGAGCTTGTGGGTGGGAGCAGATGATGGCCACTGTTGCTGGCGTCGCGGGTCTCTACTCTGTGATACTCCATACTGTTCATCATGACGGCACTGGAATCGAAGAGGTTTCTTTCTTTCTTTCTTTCTGTTCTGTCTTCAAGCGTAGAGATCGGGTCGTAAGGTTTCCGTCGCGGTGGATATTACCTCTAGCCCCGATAGATATGGCGCGGAGACCCTCTACCTCTCCGAGAGTCCGTCCCCTCAGGTGCCCCGATGGTTGCCCCATGCGCTGTCGGACTATGTTCCACGGGCACTCGTCGGTGGAAACTGATAAGGGGGCCACGGGGAGGACGACCGATGATCAGCTTTTTCTACGTTGGAAGTGCCACGTACTCACTCTCTCTCATTCCATCCCAACTCACGAGGCCCAGGTGACGTTTGCGATTCCGCCCACCATGTCCGTCGACACAGCCAACCCCACCTCTCCGATGATGGAGACTCATGAGCAGATATTCGCGCAAGACCCCGACTTTTGGAAGAACTACCGCCGAGGCCGCCCGCAAGTGCCGTACAGCTTTTTTCAACGCATTTACAACTACCATCAGGGGCACAGCGGTCGTTTCGAGACGGTGCACGACGCCGGTGCCGGCAACGGGGTCTACTCGAAGGAGCTCAGGTCCAAGTTCCATCACGTCATTGTCTCGGACGTAGTGGCGGAAAATGTCCGCCAAGCCGAAGAGCGACTCGGCACCGAGGGATATAGCTTCCGGGTGGGCAAGATGGAGGAACTCGATGAGATTCCCGCCGCATCCGTGGACATGGTCTTTGTGATGAACGCCATGCATTGGGCGGACGACCAGACGCGGGCCATGCGCGCCATCGCGGCACAGTTGCGGCCGGGAGGCACCTTTGCCTGCGCCGGTTTCGGGCCAGCCCGGTTCCGCGATGCCCGGGTGCAGGACGTGTGGGAACGGATCAGCCAACAGGGCGGCCGGCTACTGCTGCAGACTGCGAACCAGCCGGTCGACACGATCAACGTCATGGTCCGGAGCCAGGATCACTACAACGTGGCGCCCTTGGACGAGCGACTGTTTCGCCAGAGGGCGCTGCGGATCTACTTGAACCAGGAGACCGGCGGATTGACTGGACTGCTGCCGCCGGAGCGACGGGGCGAAGTAACGGAGCCGGATCACGAGGGGCCCCATGACCAGATCACCTTTGAGCACGACGACGAGTGGCGCTTTGACATGGACCTGGACGGATTCAAGGAGCACTTCCGCACGTTTCCGCATGCCTTCCGGGACCCGGAGGCGTTTACTTCGCTTTGGCAGGAGATCGAAGAACTGGTTCGTCAGGGAAGTCGTCTCGATGGAGCCTGGCCGGTGACCTTGATTCTGGCGACCCGGACGAACGCTTGATCGTTGACATCAAAGGTCTATGAGATGGGCGGAGGGAGCGAAGGGCGAAAGGGGGGAAGGGGTTTCGGGTTGGTTGAAGCGTCGTCCATAGGGCACTTTGTAGACCTACCCGGTCCCAGATAGGGCTACACCGTAGTATAGTCTCTCCCTGGACAAATAGCAAAGTTCCCCAGCTGGACTATTGTCCCCACCTCTTTCTCTTTTCTGGGAATAGCGCTGACGATCTCCCTTCGTATGGCGCTCGCGTCTGTCGGGACAATGATCGGTGTAAAAGGGTTCGCGGGATATTATAGTCGGGCGTGGGGACAATTGCCCCGAGCCAACGACCCGACGACCCATCCCGACATTCGGGCGTCCAGTCCCTTCATTGCAGCCTTCTGCCGCAGTTATAGCACCCAGGCTGGAACATGGAAGGTATCAGCCCTGCTCGCGAATTTTCATCATCATCATCCTCATCAGCCGCTGCAGCAGCATGACTACGACCTATGCAGTTCTCGGCGCAACAGGCAATTGTGGCACGGCGCTGGTCCGCCTGCTGCTCCAGTCGCCCACGGCCAGAATCCATGCCTACTGTCGCAACAAGCCGAAGCTTCTCTCGCTAATTCCAGAGCTTGCAGACACTCCCTCCAGCCAGGTCAATATCTTCGAAGGTAGTATCCATGATACTTCTCTCCTGACCGACTGCATCCGGGGTTGTCGGGCTGTTTTTCTCGTGGTTTCGACCAATGATAATATCCCTGGCTGTCGGATGGCACAGGATACGGCCATTGGGGTCATCCAGGCGCTGCAGATTCTAAACAAAGAAAGTGAGTTTACGATAATGCCGAAGCTCGTACTCCTTTCGTCCGCGACGCTCGACGAACAGCTGTCCCGCGCAACGCCCGCATTAATCCGGTGGATTCTCCTCCGTTCAGCCTCGCACGTCTATCGGGACCTAGTCGAGACCGAGGCGTTTCTCCGCGCGCAGGGGGATTGGGTCTCGACGGTCTTCATTAAGCCCGGCGGGTTATCGCTCGATGTCCAGCGCGGCCACGCTCTGAGCCTGACGGAGGAAAAATCGCCGCTCTCCTATGCCGACCTGGCCGCCGCTATGATCGAAGCGGCCACGGACCCCGATGGCCGGTGGGATATGCGCAATGTCGGCGTCATCTCCGTCAATGGACCGGCCAAGTCACCCCCCGGGGCGCCGATGTGTATTTTCATGGGGTTTGTGAGGCACTATTTCCCGTTCCTCCATCCATACCTCCCCTCCACTGGACCAGGGTAGGAGGCGAGCCCGAGGGGTAAAACATGGGAGAACATGGATTTGCGGCAGTACTTTGGTTCCGTTCCAAGTTGTGATTCTTGAACCCAGCGGTTCCAGCCCTACGAATGGGAAATGGGGAATAGTGATAGGCTGTTGGCCCTAGACGTACATATGACCATACCACCATGAAAGGCAATAAGACAATCCGTACCATCAGCTGAGCGCTGGCCGCACCCGTATCTTACGTCTACCAGCATTGCCCTTCCCCCCGCCCCCCCGGTCGTAGCTGCGCCGTCGGTCTTTTCATCCACCGACCACCGACGGCCAGGAATTGACTTATTATTAAGAGCTTTGTAATGAATGAAGATCTAGCCAGGTCTAGGGTGTTCTCCCGAACAAGCAACCCAATACCGCACTCTTTTCCCAGGTTATCCCGGAGTATAATAATATTTCAACCCAAGCCTCAACCCCTAAGATCCTCATCAGTACCTCTCCAACACAGATCGCACCGAACGCCTACGAGCCAAGGAGAACGACCAGCAATTCGCCATGTCCAAGCTGCTGCCAATCAAAGTTTGGGGTCAGGGCGGCCCCAACCCCCCGCGAGTGGCCATTATTCTCGAAGAATTAGGGCTGCCGTACGAGTTCATGCCTATCCAGCTCTCGCAGGTCAAGGAGCCGGAATATCTGGCGATCAACCCAAACGGTCGTCTGCCCGCCATCTACGATCCGAACACGGACCTCACCTTGTGGGAATCGGGCGCCATCGTCGAGTACCTCGTTGAACGGTACGACACAGCACACGACATTAGCTTCCCGCGGGACACCAACGACGCCCAGCATGCGCGTCAGTGGCTGTTTTTCCAGGCCAGCGGCCAGGGCCCCTATTACGGACAGGCGTGCTGGTTCAAGAAGTACCACCCGGAGCCCGTCCCCAGCGCGCTGGAGCGATACATCAAGGAGATGAACCGCGTCTCGGGCGTGGTGGATGGCTACTTGGCCAAGCAACCGGTGCCGCCGGGCGGCGATGGGCCGTGGCTGGTAGGTAACAAGTGCTCGTTTGCGGATCTGGCCTGGGTGTCCTGGCAGATGACGTTGAAGAAGATCATTCAGACGGAGGATGGATACGACGTGGAAAATTTCCCTCATCTTAAGAATTGGTTGGATCGCATGGTGGCCCGCGAGCCGGTCAAGAAGGTTCTGTCGGCTGTGATGCCCCCGCCAAGCTGAAGGGTTACTAGGGTTACTAGTTAAGGAAGTCACCGGGGGAGTGGAGGTGGTCAGTCTACAGGAGGTTTCCTTCCGCATTATCTATGCGTGGGGTGTGTTAGGTGGAATTTCATGTTCTTCTTCCGCGTTGTCACTGATGAAGGCCTGTTGCTTGCTCGTGTAGTTTCAGATTGCTCTACAATGCTATTCTGCTAATTGCAACATCTTGATGATCTCGGATGACAGTGTGCCTAACTGCTTGCGTAGCTCCCGTTCTAGATGGTCCATCACGATCGTTGAGACGGCGGAGGAGGCGTTCTTGCTGGGCAGCAAGCGGTCACTGGCAGGCAAGGCCACGGATCGCTGTGACAGCTGGTTTAGCACCCGCTGCACGCGGTGAAGTTCACCCAGCACACGCTGTGCGGCTGACAGGCGGCTGTCTGTCATGGCGGCGGCACCACCGATGACAGCCTCACTCTCGGTCCGTAGCTCGTCCCCATCGGCGGCGATGACGGGCCTCGAGACTGCCATGGCGTATCGGTCCAGGGCCTTGAAGATAATCAGGGCTACAACGGCTTGCAGGTAGCTATCCTCCGAACACCCACAATAGAGCATGGTATAGATCTGGTCCATCGTCTGCTGGTTGATCTGGATCATGGCATCGATCGACCGTCGCCCGCCGGCCGATTCATCTTGCGGGGCGCCGGATGTGCAGTCGTCCCGCGGATCGCTGGTGGTCAGCCGCTTCAACAGATCCAGCGCACTGTTGAGACAGGTACAGGACGAGGGTCGGCGATGTTCCCCGGCATTGTCCGGGCGCCGGGAACGTGGACTGGGCGACGCACGTGAGCTGGGGGCAGACCGGCTGAAGAGTCGGTGGTCTGGCGGGGCTGTTGCTGCTTGTGTTGTGAGAACTGGTGATGCCACCCTCGGCGTCCAGAGGCTCTGAGTTTGCCGTTCGGGGCATGGCCAGGTGGGTGAGGTACTCATCCACCTCGTTGTCCCAGTCGGCGAGCGGCAACGACCACGAGCCCTCGGCCGAGTCAAACAGACTCGAGAACACGTCTAAGGACGAGGGTGTCGTGCCCGGAGGCGACCATGGCGGTTGGTCGGCCAGAGGGATGGCAGTCGACATCGGATCTGGTTCTAGCAACCCCTGCGGTACTGTAGCGAGGCTGGTTCTGGTGGTGTTGCTGGACTCTTTGGCGGTCGATCGATTGTTGAGCTGTTTCCGTCCGGGCCGTTTGGTGATGAGATACTCGCAGGTCGTGCCTCGTTTGGAGCATCGTGAACAGGTCGGCTTTTCCTTGGAGCATCGCACTTTGGACGCGGCGCAGGCATGACAGCTGCCACGGAGCTTGTGTCCTTCTGCAGACATTGTGATGCTCCCTGGTGACTTGCCTAACGAACAAAAGTGGAGGAGGGCTCCTTGAGAGGTGTTTCTTGCAAACTGCAAACTGCCTTGCACTGTCCTCAGCCAAGTCAGTCCCCTCTTTGTCCTAGCACAGCTTCTGGGACTGTCAGACTTCCAGCTCCCTAAATCTGACTCTCGGAACATCGCGTGAAATAGGTTCGCTTGCCGATTTCCACCATACGTAGACTAGCCCACCAACAAGGATACTTGACAGGGGGACTGATACTGGCGTTGTTAGACCCCAAAATGAGTATCGATTGACCATTTGGGTGTTCCCTTCATGAATGATAGGACGATGGCCCAGCAGTGACGGCCAGTTGTCTCTGTTATCCCCAGAGGCCAACCACCTACGGCAAAAGGGCGCCGCGAGTTGTTTTCGTAGTTCTTCCGTTGTCTCTGCCCACCACGGCCAGTGATTCCTTCAGGTGCGAGTAATCTTTTGCAACGCTGAGAACCGCGAATCAGAACGTCCTCCCGCGGTGCACGGCGCAGTGGTAGGGCTTCACGTGGCTTTGCCAATAATCATATTTGACAGGATGGTTGAGACTGTCGAGCGTCGGGCCCCATCGTGAGGACGCACGCCAACACCTAGGGAGAGTTGAGCGCCAGGAATGCTAGTGCTTACATGTAGGCTAAATAAGAGGAATGGATGGGATCTCGTCATCTATTCGAAGACCTCAACGGCAACCACCTACAGCTTAGAACGAAGATGGCAACGCGCCCGGCGCCGAGACTTCTTGGTACTTCAGCACGAATGCGACCAACAGGTTGTTCCGGGCTCGAAGCTTATCGGCAACTACAAGGCGGCCTGCTCCACCAGCCTCCACAGCATTGACCAAGTCGTCAAAATCAGCCACTTCGGGCTCGTGTTCATTCGTCAGCTGCATGAGGGTGAAGTCCCGCACTCGGCACATGGCTTCGACTTCCCGATGGACCGACCCCGGGGGCGGGAGCACCCGCGCTGTGGCGATCAGCACGGCGGAGGGGTTTGAGGACAGAACATCCATGTGGGCCTGCAGTTCTTTGACGACTATCGATCGAGAGGGCGAATTCGCAACCGACAAGGACGGCAGGTGCAAGATGTACACGGCCGCATCCAGGACAGGCTGGGCCAAGCCCAGGTTGCGTGTTTGCACACTGATATGCGGGTAGTTTTCATCCAGCTGGATAATTCCCGGAATGGAGGGCACTGGCGTCAGGGATGCGCGAGTATCGTGCGCGTCCTGGTCGGGGCCCGAGAGCTGTACAACGAAACGTAGCGCAGGATACAGCTTGGAGAGCACCCTGGCTCGAGTGGTCGACCGTGCCCCGGACTAGGGTTTTGAGTCAGCAGGAAGAGTTATGCAATGCCCGCTCGGGCATCTCGGGGGTCGCCAAAGACTAGCCCAGCAGGGACGGAGTCTTTACCTCCACAATACAAGACCGTCCCAGATGGGCCCAGTCCAACCGAGTGAGAACCTCGGTAATGCTGTCATCGGAATCCCCCGTGTTTCGGAGGTAGGCGATCCACTGACGGTGCAGCTTGGGCGTGACGCGGCAGGCATCACGAAAGGTCCGCGAAGTGGCAAAAGCCAAGTTGTATGCACTTTCGGCCGCACTTTCCGTGCGTCCAAGATGCAACGTTGACGCCATCTGCAGCGCACTCGGCGTAATGCGGTTGGAGAGAAATAGTGTGGCGTCCCGAAGAGAGGGCTGGCCGCCAAAAGCTCCCGACAGGGGTGTATGCATGATCTGACCGGGCTGCGGTTCCTGGAGGAAACCGGCTGTAGCTGTGAGCCGGACTACCCGCGAGAGAGTTGTCTCAGAAACGCCACAGAGCTGAGCAAGATCCCGAACAGAGAAGCTTGAGCCGAGGGGTAAGCAAATGAGAACTTGAGACCGGCCGAGCCATTGGAGACAGGCCAGGAGTTGAACGTGCCAAGCCAGCTGTTGGAAGAAACTAAGGGAATCACACAGCAGCATCTGGACTTTAGCCACGCTCGCGAGCGTCGCTCGTCGCGCCTCATGCACGCTTGTCGGAGCTTCGGCTGGAAAGCACAGCTGCGGTCCCGGAGAGGACAGCCCTCCTTCCCGGCAGAAGCTTACCAGGGTTCGTGCCGAAGCGACGAGCTCGTTGATGCAGACTTCAAGCTGGGTGACGGCGTCCATGACGTTGGCTGGGCGTATCAGCTTCCAGATCGTTCGGCAGGATATTCGGAGGCCACCTTCTCTCAGGCGTCAAAGCATGCCACTTGTCCCCTCCAGTTAAATATACTCAAGCCACCCGTGGATCGTCTCTACAGGCGGGGTCCTTTTCGATGGCACACCCTAGGCGCTTTACCTTGCTTAGCGGGATGCATTGTAACCTCATTATCTGCAGACTGGATGACTAGATGGCACTGGACAAGTATGTTGATAACAAAAATACCCATTCCACTATGAACAATTGTCCCGGTTCTTAAGTGGTACCTAAGCTGTATTTATAATACGGCTATAATTACCAATGGTTTTGACAGGTATCCATGATAATGGGATCGCATTGAATGTATGAATAAACCTATCGGACCAATCTGATACCAGTTTCATCTCGCCCTTCAGCTGTAATATTCTAGAAGCCAGCTCTTCAGGTCGCCCACGGTGGGATATTCCAAGAATAAACTCCCCGCCACGACGACCCCAAGTTCCTCACGAAATTTTTCGGCAATTACGAGGCTCATCAGACTGTCCACGCCCAGGTTGGCGAAAATAGCGTCATCCTGAAGATCGGTGACCTCCATCCCCGCCTCCTTTGCCACCAACGCCAGTGCTCTTGCTGCCGTACTATTAGAGTCGACCGGAGATGTCTCATCCACTTTGGGCGGCTGGCCTGTGGATGCGGTGCTAGTGGTGCTAGTGGTGCTAGTGGCAGCAGTGATAGCAGTGGCAGCAGTGGTGGTGGGTGCGGGCGGGGTCTCCCCAGCGGCTGTCTTGGCGGTGCTGTCATCACTGGGGGAGAAAAAACGGTTCAGAAGGAGTCGGGGGTAGCGCCGGAATTTGATCCCGCCCACCATGCCGATAATCATGTCGTTTTGGAGTATGTAGACGTCCCCCAGGTAGACACTGTCATCCTCCACGGTGGGGATCATCTTGACGTAGGAGCGGTATCTGCCACCGGCAACAAGGGGAGCGGCGAACCGCATTGAATTCCACCCGGGCGTCACACAGAAGTTCTTCTGGTTGTCGATGGCGTCGGATACATTCATGATGAAGCCGGCTAAATGCGCCACGCTATCAATAAAGTACGGCGGGACTGTCCAGGTACCCGCCTTCTCCACCGTCAGCGTCACATCCGCGAACGCCTCGAGTTCATGCATGACCACGGACTGCATCCCGCGGTATTTCCCCGCGTAGTCAACGAGACTGTTGGCAAAAAGGTTGTAAGCCATGCGTCCGGAGAACCGGTTGGCAATACCGGCTTCCGCCAGGCGCTCGAGAGCCTGGATGCGTCCCTGGACCAGATGGAGGGTCGGCCGCCAAGACAGCAGCCATTCGGAAGCGTCGCAGTAGTAGATCTTGGCGCTGGCAAAAGGTTCCTCTGCAGGGCCGTGAGCATGGACGTTACGCCATTCGAGCTGAAGGATCCTAGAATTGATGTCGGTGGTAGTAACCGTCACTTGGAATCGCTGGGGCTTGTCGGTGTTCTTGTTAGCCACCAGTCCCTTCAGAACCTCCAAGCTCGCCATGTTCATCGCGGGAACCTTGGTATTGGGGTTCAGTTTCTTGTAGACGTATTGACCGAGGGTAAATCCAACATCAGCGTGGATTGACTAGTACGGTCAGTGTCAGAGAATCACGGTTGGGATGAAACAGACAGTACGACCGCACTCACCGATGTCACGACACCGCACCCATTCATCTTATGACCATATGCAGCCTCCAATAGATCGGATTGCATCAGGTCCGATTGCATGACCACCCTGGCTGCACGTCCGTCGAAGCTCTCCTCCACGATCTTCTGAACTGTTGAAGTCCTCGGGCCGGATGGCAATTCATCCACGGCGGCGGAGTTCTGTTGTTGAGAGCTATAGAAGGTGTTGCCCTTCGTGAGCGCCCAGTCTCCATTATATTGAATCCAGTAGTTCTTGTCGTTCCAGCTGTAGGTAGGCAGGTCCAGAAGTCTCAGCGCCTGCTCAAATGGCCGGTGAAACTCGTTCCAATGAACCTCCACTCCGGCACAGTGCAGGGAGCTGAGACTCCGAGTGATTGTTACCCAGCTTTCCTCCCCGCGACGCAGGGAAGGGACTGTCAGCGCCGTGGACTGCAGAGTGGACCGGATAAAGCCCATGCAAACGGGATGGGGCCCGATCTCTACCCACGCAGTTGTGTCGTCAACAGTGGAGATTCTTTGCGCCGTCTCCAAAGCCGCGTGGAAATTCACTGTCTCACGCGACGCCCGTCGCATGTAGGTTGCATTGACCGTCTTGTCATCAAAGATGACCTTTCCGAGCAAGGGCGAGATAATCGGCAGGTTGGGAGGGTGGAATATCGCCCCTTTAGTGGCAATCTGTTCATACGTGTCCAGAATAGGGTCCAGTTGGGCCGAATGACCGGCAAAGGCAACTTCTAGAGCGGTGCACTTGTACCCTTTGGTCATGAGATGCTCTGCGATGTTGCGAATTTCCTGCCGGGTCCCGCTAAGCACGGTCTCCTTCGGTCCGTTGATACAAGCAACTTCATACAGCCGGCCGTCCGCAATCTCTTCGATTTGGGACACGGATGCGCGGACCGCTAACATCTGATAGCTGCCCTGTACGCAGTGCTGTTCAAGGAGTTGGGCCCGTCGACCAACCAGGAAGAGGGTGTCCCCGGCCGAGAGGACGCCGGCGATATGTAGTGCGGCAAATTCCCCTAGACTATGGCCAACGACCACCTCCGGCCGGACGCCCAAGGACATCCAGTACTTAGCAAGCGCAATTTGAGTGCCTGTCAGAGCGAGCTGCGTGACGACTTGCGAGTGGGCGTGGTCCTGAGGGTGGCTTCCATCAATAGCGGGTATGAAGGAGGGAAACCCTTGTTGTTGAGCAAGAGCGTCCAAATGCATCATTTGCTCGCGGAAACTTGGCAGGGTATGGAACAGCTCCACGTTCATGGACTTGTATGAGGCCCCCTGCCCGGTAAATGCAAACGCCACCGGTGGAGGCCCAGTAGCAGAGATAGGTCTATGCGACTCGACCGACTGCATCCATGAGGTCAGCTGCTTCTTTAACTGCTCGGCGTCGGACACCGCCGCAGCCAGTCGATGGTTATGGTGATGGCGTCGGGCCATAGTCGTGTAGGAGAGGTGAGACAAGGAGACGCCCGGATTGGTATCGATATAGGCAGCGAAACGCTCGAGGTTTCCTTTCAAGGAAACCTTACTCTTGGCCGAGATGGCCACCACGTGGGATGGACGGGGGTCGACTCCCGTGAGCTCTGTGACTGGACCCTCTTCAAGCACAACGGATGTATTGCCACCTGCCGCGCTAAAGTTATTCACAACAGCAATCCGGGACTTGCCCGGGGTGCTCTTCCATGACTGTTTCTCGTACGGAATGTGGAGGTTGCGCTTGTCCAGGTCTTTGGGTATCTGCGGGTTAATGCTGTTCTTAATGCCAACATGTGGAGGGATGACGCTCTTCTGGAGCATCAAGAGAACCTTCAGCAGTGCAGTGACTCCAGCCACCGCCTCTCCGTGGCCTACATTTGCCTTGACAGCGCCCACATAGAGAGGCTGGTTAGGGCTTCGGCGCTTCGTGAGGGGGGCAAACACATCTGTGACGGATTTCATCTCCTCAAAGTCGCCCGCCTGGGTCCCGGTACCGTGCAGCTCAACGTAGCTGACATCATGGGAATCGACGCCGGCATTCCGCAGAACATCCCGGAACAGGTGTGCTTGTGCACCAGCGTGGGGATGAGTAATGGAAACGGCGTCGGCCGAGTGATTCGTCGCAGCTCCCAGGATAACACCGAGGATGTTGTCATTATCAGCCTGTGCATCCTCCAGTCGTTTCATTACCAACGAGATCACCCCGTCGGCACGGCAGTAGCCGTCGGCATTACAGTCCCAGGTCTTGCACGCCCCGGGGATCTTGGACAAAAAGTGACCACGGCTTAAGCCCGCAAATGCGTCCGAGTTCGTCAGGACGTTTACGCCCCCTACCACTGCGGTGTCAGTGGAGCCGTTCCAAAGCGAAGTGCAAGCGGCCTAGTTCACAGTCAGCAGGGACTATGGTGAGGATGAGGACTAGCGAGACCACCTACCTCCACGGTTGCTAGGCTGGACGAGCAGGCGGTGTCAATACTGTAACTCGGGCCCCAGAACTTGAAGAAATAGTTGATCCGTCCGGGACCAAACGCGCGGCATCCGCCGGTGATGAAATATGTATCGACGTCTTGCGCCGTATTCACTTCGCGGTAGTCATCACTCGCTTGGCCATAGAAAGTTCCAATGCGGTGCTTGTTGGTCGCCGGTGTACGGTTCGGGACATAGCCTGCTCGTTCCAGGGCTTCATACGCGGTAACCAAAGCTAACCTCTGCATGGGGTCGGTCTGTTGCGCTTCACGAGGGGACATGTTGAAGAACGGGGCATCGAAGAGGCCTGGCTCCTCAATAAAGCAACCATACGGAGTGTGACTAGCGTTAACCCTTTTGCCCGCCGGATCGTAATGAGTATTAACGTCAAAACGGTCCGGTGGGATCGTCCGATACACGTCCAAGCCTTGCTCCAGAACATCCCAAAATTTCTCGGTATTGGTGGCTCCGCCGGGCAGCCGGCAGGACATGCCGACAATGGCAATCTTCGATTGCGATGGTTCTCTGGGGATCCTGTCTTTGGCCGTGTGCGAAACCCAGGGCATGATTTCCTTCGTAGTGGCTTGGAATCCCTTCAGTTCCGTGTTTACCGCAGCCATCAGATCGTGAATAGGGAGCGAGATGCGGAAGACCAATACTTGGAACTCGGACGGAGAGAGAATGTTGATCTGGTCAAGCGCACCTTGGATCACATTGTCCCATTGGATGACTTGGGTGAGGATTTCGGAGATGATCCCCTCAAACAACTCCGTAGCGGTGGCTGCAGGAAAAGGGCTCCCGCTGCTGGGCGAAAAGATGGGAATTCGAGGTAGCACTCTGGCACTTAACATATCCATCGGCTTCGTCCGTACGACTTGCTGTACGTGCGTCTCTGTGTAGATGTGCTTTGCATGGCATAATCCACCGAATACGGGGAGTGAGAAGAACCTTCGATCCCGGAAAAAGTCGGACGTGCGGAAGAGATCTTTCAGTCTCGACGGAGGGCCGCTCACAGTCACAGAGCTCTGGCTGAAGGCACTGACGAAGATTTTGCCTGTCTCGGGTATTCCCTGGTGGATGGGTCAGTCGGTGCTGCCGATGTTGTTGGGGCGGCGAGATTCAGCTTCTACTGACCTCTCCCGAGTGGATGACATCAAGCTCTTGCTGAACCGCCTCTCGCGTCACGTTCGGCAATACATACGCCCAACTATCGGGGGTTCCATGACTGGCCAGTTCCCGAGGTTGCAACTGCTCAGACACGTTGTCGACCAGAACCCCGAGACGGAAGGCCATGCGTACAACTTCGGAACCGACATAGGCAATGTCTGCTAAGGTCCGCGAAAGTGAGACTGCTGCGGCTGATAAAAGCCCGATTCCCAGCCCGGCCAGGTATGTGTGGGCGGACTCGAAGTCATATGTTTCAGGGAACTCTTCAAAGTAGCTGCCTCTAAGCGTTAGCGGACACTCCTGTCGCTGCAGTTCAGTTGAACAGACATACCCAATGAATGTGGCCAGTTCAACTGTGGAGAGCAACACTCCATCTATCGATCCACACAAAGGACCCTTGCGCATCTCTGGGTATTCGACAAAAGTCAGAACGGATTCGAAGGGGGGTAGCAAGTCTTTCAACGCCGGTGGCAGCTGCGCAACCTCCTCGCGGATAGCCAGAGTTGCATCTTGTAGGAAACGGGCCAGGATATGATGACGTCTATCTTTGCTGTGAAGATGCAGTTGACGAGCAAGACCGGGGAGGTCATCTGAGGGAAATTCATTGGTGAAATATGTGAGCTTCATCCTCCGGAACTCCCCCGGAGTGCCTGTCGACGGGGTGAAATCCATGGCTCTCATCGATCTGCCAGTATCGACCGGACTAGACGGTTGGATTTTCTTGACTTGGCTCCAGTAGTTAAGACCGTTTTGCTAGTCTTAAGACCTGCATTTAGGTAGGTATCCTTTATAATTGCACTGGGGTTGGAGAAACTGCCTTATTAGATCAGCGATCTTCCGTTGCTCTCGGGCCAAAACGTCTCGGCATATATGAGACGGGTTTCAGGTTCGTTCGACCGTAGTACAGTCCGAATCGTGATGAACTGCCCCAACCGAGCCGGCTCAGGATGTTGCCACCTCGGGCTAAATGACTTCGGCATATATAGGTACGTTGCCGCACAGCAAAACTTGGAATGCTCCGAACGGCCCAACTCCGCCAGATGTGCTTAGTCCTGACCTAGGATCCGCTGTGATTTGATAGGGAAAAGCGACCCAGAAAAGCGCCCACCACACAGCAACACTTTGCTTTCACTTTCGTGCGTGACCAGTCCACCCATTAACGGCCCTTGCCGTGTCCTTTGACCATGAAGCGGGGAGGCTACCGTCAAATCAATAAGGCACTGAATATCTCTGCTTTCGAGAACTATCTGGATATCCAGCACGACCATTTGCCCAAGCTGAACGATGTCGAGCAGCTGAGTCCGCGCGTCCTTCGTGTGCTGGGCCAAAATGCAGGGAAGGTATACAGATCCATTCTTCCCCATGGTTAAGACGCTCCTGTGTTTCTCAATCGCTGACGTGATAGACAGTTTACCCTCCAGGGGACGAACACCTACATCGTGGGGACCGGTCGAGAGAGGTTGATCATCGACACGGGCCAGGGTATTCCTGAATGGACGGATCTCATCTCTTCTACCCTCAGAGATTCTGCTATTACTCTCTCCCACGTGCTCCTGACACATTGGCACGGCGACCACACTGGCGGTGTTCCTGACCTAATCCGACTCTACCCTCATCTCTCCAATTCGATCTTCAAACACAGTTCCAGTAACGGTCAGCAGCCTATTATTGATGGCCAGGTATTCCATGTCGAGGGTGCCACTGTTCGTGCGATGCATTCCCCAGGGCATTCACACGACCACATGTGCTTTATTCTTGAAGAAGAAAACGCAATGTTCACCGGCGATAACGTCCTTGGGCACGGCACTAGTGCAGTTGAACTTCTAGGCATCTGGATGGCTTCGCTCCGACTGATGCAGTCGTCCGGCTGCCGGGTAGGATATCCAGCGCACGGCGCGGTGATTGCCGATCTTCTGGCCAAGATCGCAGGGGAACTGGACCAGAAGGCGAGACGGGAGGCCCGAGTTGTCCGGACATTGGCCCGGAACAAGAGGGAAGAGCAGAGCAAGGGCCGAAGCAAGGGAAGCATGACGGTCCAGGAGCTGGTGACCGCCATGCATGGCAAGGGGTTAGACGACCAGGTACGCACAATGGCGTTGGAACCGTTCATTAATGAGGTGCTCGGGAAGCTTGCCGGGGACGGGTGCGTCGCATTCGAGGTCCGTCGAGGCGAAAAGAGATGGTTTATAGTGAATGATGTCACATCCAGCCCGTAAATTCTGCCTACAGACAATGAGTCAGGAGACAAGCCGACCTTCAATCTGGGTGTTTTGAGTTATGTTACATTCTGGCGTCAAACCAATATGAAACTCCCAAGTACAAAAAATTAGACTGCACAACTTTAGGCGACAGTAAGCACATTCTACATGAAACGTTTAACATCCGAGCGAACAAGTACAAGAGGGTTTGACTACCAAGGAACTCTGGATAGAGCACCTGGCCGAATGAGTACGTGTGGAACCAAACCACCCCTCTCTCTCTTCCTCTTGGCCGTCCCCTGCGCAATGAGCCAGACGAAATCCCCCGCCTGCACACACTGTCATCGGGGTCGGCACGAATCATCGGCGAAATGACACCCGCCTCGTGGTCGTGCCATATTGATGGGCCGGGCGTCGGACGTAGCTTTCTCGGGGTTCGGACATTGGTTCGGACAGGAGAATATTCCGCTCTTCTCCCCCAGACGCGTGGGAGATATTTCCTTTTAAGACAATAACACCAGGCGCTCGTTTGCGGTTGGCAGGAAACAGGCTCCAGACAGATCAGAGCTGGACCGTCGACTGCACCAACATGGAACGCCAACCGAAATCCCTCTCGGACGCCGTACAGCTCCTCCAAACGACGGAGATTATCTCCAAGTGTACTCAGACCATTATAGCAGAATGGTCCAATGAGGCAGAAACGTTCAAGAAACGCGCGTCTTCGGGACGCGCCGGCGCGGAACTTGTCCTACCGAGCCATGAGCTGTTCAATGCTCAGCGCACCATTACCGCAGCCATCGGCAAGCTAATCGAGCTGGTGTCCGAACCGAGTGTAAGAATCCTCGAGATTGCCGGCCAATATCAAGAATCGCGCGCCTTGTACATTGCGGTGGAGAGGCGCATTCCGGATATTCTCGCGTCCCAGGACAATGAGGGCGGCATGCCTGTTAAAGAACTCAGCAGCCGGACTGGCATTGAATATCGGAAGCTGTGTAAGTGGCTCTGTCTATTGTGAAAGAATGAGGGAACGAATTTACTTACCCTGGCAAAGCTCGGATCCTCCGATACTTATGCTCAATGGGCACCTTCCGCCAAGTGGGCCCCGACGTTTTCGCCAATAATACAATTTCCGCTTGTTTGGTGGCTAACGAGCCTCTTCGAGCCTACGTCCGATTGACTGGCAGCGAGGCGTTTACGGCGTCCGATCGGCTACCCAAGACCCTCCTAGACCCTTCTACGGGCCCGTCATACGACGTCACTCGAACGGCATGGCAGGATGCTATTGGGACAACTAAACCTCGGTGGGAATGGATAGAGGAAAGGGTGGAGCCGGACAAGCTACTTGACTCTGGATACCATTATCCGGGAATTCCTAGCCTTATATTGGAACCCCAACCCCCAGGCGAAGATGGTCTGGTGGCACGTCCCGAGCTGGAAATCATGGGTTTGGCCATGGTTGGCGGTGGGCGCGTCTTCGGGGCAGCCCACGTGTTTGGTACGATAATTCTATCCTGTCCTGATGGTGTCGGAGAGCTATCTAACCCATCTATTCTCCAGACTTCCCATGGGCATCGCTGGACAATGCATTGGTGGTCGATGTAGGCGGTGGCGTGGGTGGCTTTGCTCTTCAGCTCAGCAAAGTGTACCCGGATTTACGGTTCGTTATTCAAGATCGAGGTCCAGTCATCCAACAAGCCTTGGAAAGCGTCTGGCCGAATGAAAACCCCGCGGCTCTGAAGGACCAGCGAGTGCAGTTCATGGAGCACAGTTTTTTCGATAAGAACCCCGTCGAGGGCGCCGACGTGTATTACCTCCGATATGTGCTGTATGTGGCCGGGTTCTTCCCCCAGTTGAAAAGCATGCTAACTATTGTTTTCAGCCATGATTGGTCGGATGACTACTGTGTCAACATCTTATCGCATATTCGGGAAAGTATGGCGCCACATTCTCGCTTGTTAATTTGTGAGCAGGTGATGAATACTACCATTGGTGATCCGGACTTAACCTCAGCTCCTGCTCCTCTGCCAGCAAACTATGGCTTCCACGCCCGATTCAGTCACAGTCGCGATCTTACGATGATGGCAGCTATAAACGGGATTGAGAGGACTCCAGAGGAGTTTAAAACCATACTTAAATCTGCGGGGCTGGCTTTGAAGCAGATATGGGAGTGTAGAAGTCAGGTTTCGTTGCTTGAAGCAGTGCGAGCAGATGCTAGAACAGCTTAGCCAGTTGTCCCGGTTCGATAGTATTGGCGCCTACGTTATTTCGTTTCTCCAAATGCGTTGTTGTCCAGAATGCTTTTAGTTCAAGCGACGAGTAGTGTCCGTCGAATCATGACGAAGAGAGCCACTGCCTCTGTATCTCTCCCTCCTCCTATATACATCTAGGAGTCCGGAAGTGACCGTTCACTGCCCATACAAACTCCGGCCTCACAGAAGGGGAGGCGCTAGCCCTATTCAGCTACTATCTATATCAAAGATTCTCTAGATGTTATGGGACGAATAGAGATGGATCTTCCTATCTAACTGTAACGCCTTGCTGCTGGGTTCTAATTTAATATTTATGACGATGGGTCTATTAGAGTCTATTAACGATACTATAACTAAAAGATCCTATCTAATTTCTGTACAGAACCTAAGTGATTTTCAATTAATCTAATATTCATCTTCCATATAAACCCTTGAGCTTCCAGATAAAAATGACAAGTATCAATCTTTCTCTAAACCACAACAAGTACGATTCATCCAAACTCTTATCAGAAGTGGATATACATATTCTCTTGGCCTTACTTCTACCTTTGCTGCTTTAGATCTTAGGATCATTGTGTTAGAGAACCTCGACCCAGTCCTCAGGAGCCGTCCGGCTCCCAGGATAAGTAGCATTGCCTCTTCGGACTAGTGGATTCTAGTCAACCTCGTGCTTGAACTACTATACTAGCAGGTCGCGCAGCTTAGGCAAATCACAGGGTTTAACATATAGTTGTATAAGTTGAATAGAGGTGCACTCGATGCGGGGTGGGTACGACCTGCAGGCATAAAATAGGACCCGCACGGGTTGCAGGTTTTGAATATAAACTCTATACCCACACCGCCGAGATATATATTTTACATAAACTGCCGCGCAGGTAATCGAAATGCATAAAAATTCATAAGTTTCATAATTTTCATAATATAATGGATTTTATCACTTTTTATGTATTTTTTTAACCTGCGCGGTGGCCCGCAAATCCGCGCGGTCTAAAGGATTTTGTCAACCCCTGGGATCTGTCTAAGCTGCGTAACCTACTAGTATTATGTAGGCTCGGTGATGACAAAGTTTCCATGTTCGGAGCTACAAGAGAATCAAATTTCCACAGAGATCCATGAGATCGCTTTCGGAGACCTCCCCAGCGCTTTGGGGAATATCACAATCCCAACATTGATCAACGCAGCTCTCTCCTTCATTTTGGCTAGTTTGGCCAAGATGGACGACGTTGTGTTTGGAGTGGTGACAAATACACGCGACATTCCATTGCCACAGGCGCAGACAATTCTCGGGTACTGTATCAATCGTCTCCCATTTCGAGTTTGTCTCGCGCAGGTCCGCAATGTAAATGACCTGTGCAGGCTTTTACATGACCAATATGCGCACTCTCTGCCATTCTGCCACCTCGGTTTCTCCGACATACGTGCTAAGAGTACGGATTGGTCTTCGGATACCAAACTAGGATGCATCTTGAACCACCTAGTTGTATGTGATAATAGTCCCTTGTCTTTAAAGGATGGTGGCAGTATTTCGAGATCTTTTTCAATGGGTCGTGTTGATCTACAGGATGAGCTTATGATCTGGTCTAAGCCAGGAAATGGAAAATTGAAGATTCAAGTTCTCACGTCCAACAGAATCATGGACTCGGAACAAGCTGGGTTGCTGGCAGAGCAACTGATCGATACGGCCAATGCGTTCGTTCTCCAGGTCTCCAGAAGCATCGCTCTCTTCCATGTCCTTTCTTCACACCTAGCTCTTTGCGGTTTCTTTCTCAGCCACAAAGCCACTATTTTCTAGTATGCGAGTATCTGGAACTTGACCTTCCACCAACAACACCTCTCGGCTTTCTAAATAGTACCATTTAATAGCGCTTGTTCTACTGCATCTAACAATACTACTCTTATTCTGTATTATGCTATTGTAGAAAGTTATAGTTATTTCTAGTTATATAATTAAAAATTAAATATAATTAGCGCATTTATTATATAATTTTTATTTACAGCTTATATTAGCCTATAAGATTAAAAATCTAGATTTAATTAGTATATCCGACAGTCTTTTATATCAGTCTAATTTCCTCTCTTACTTTCTAACTATTTATATTAAATATATATCTCTACTACTGCTAATGATATATATATATATCTAGAGTGGGCAATAGCCTGGTAAGGCTAGAATTAAATTAATAATCTCTATTATAATTTAACTACGGATTAACAGTAAGAGTAAATATTTTATTTTTATCTAACTGTAGTAAAAAACAAAAAAAAAAAAAAAAAAAAAAAAAAAAAAAAAAAAAAATTAGATTAATTTAATCAACTCAGGTTTTTAGTAGGGATGCACGCGGTGCGGGTTGGGTACAACCCGCAGGGTTAGGATTCAACCTGCGCGGGTTTGCGGGCTTTAGAAAAAAAAGGCTTAGACCCTCAGACTCCTACACCTAGCTAGTTATAGTTAGATTATAGTGAGGTACACCGGTGAGGTTAACCCACTCTATTCCAGGTAGAGAATCAGTTCTTGCTTGAAGGTCCTCTATGTTGCATTTTCAAAGTTCCGATTAGTTGAGGAGCAGGCGCAGGATGGGTCTGCGATGAGTTTGGTGGTTCGAGTATACAATACATATCTTCCGTCATATATCCTCTGACGGGCCTGATGTCCAACGTCCCTTACACCTACAACGCCATACGCACGTTTGGATCTTTTGCTAGCAAACGCCCCTTTCATAAGTGTTCATCTTCTGGAGCATCATCATCTCTATCTATCAAAGGTAAGTCTAAATCCTGCCTTGCAAGCTCTGCACAGTCGAAGCAAAATCCACCTGCACAATCTCCTCGACAATCTTTCCATAGATGCCCATGACCTGCTGCGCCTCTTGAACAGTGAAGACCCTCTCATCAAACTGCATCTTCAGCCGGTGCTGCCCGCCAACGTCTTTGAACACCTCGAACATGATCGCATAGTTCACATACATAGTCACATCGCTCATTGCCATCACAATCCAACGCATATGCTCCGGCTCATCGTTTGCCCCACGACGAACCGGTTCGAAAGGCTGAAACAAGAACAGCGTCTTGGCCGCCGCTTGCTCCCTCTCCACCCCAAGGAATCGATAGATCTCTCCCAGAGTCACATTTCCATGCTCCGTAATCTCCCAGAAAAGCGACTGGGTTGACTTTAACAAACTGTGGATGGGTGTGTCCCCCTGGAACCTCGATCGGAAGGGAAGGAAATTCGCACAAGTCCCATTGATGCTTTGCGGATTGTCCATGGACACGTTCCTCCCTGTGAGGAGGTAGTCGTATGTCACGTCTTGCGACTTGGCGAGGTGTGAGAGGAGGATGGTGTAGGCGGTTTGGAAGACGATGGAGGGGGTCACTCCCGCTTGTTGTGCAAAGGGATTGACCAGTGTGGTGCATTGTGAGGTCACTGTACGCATTGGGATGCGAGGGGTAGTGAAGGAAGCTGGGTACGCGAAGGAGTTGTTGCGCAGGAGATTCTGCCAGAAGACGGAGACTTTCCTGTCACGGCCGCTGTGTGTGGTGTATGCAACGAAGTCTTTGAATGGGGTGGAGTCAGGGAGTGCCCGGCCCTCACGCAGGGCAGCGAACTGGTCATCGAAGATCCGGAGTAAAGTGCCGTCGTACATAGCGTGGTCGAGTTTCGTGACCAGATCCATGGTGCCGTTATCGTGTTGGAGAATGAGGTATCGGACGAAGGGCTTGCCCAGGGTGAAGAGCGTATCCCAGTGCGTCTGGATTAGGCGTGCTCGATCCACCTCGTTATGACACGGCACGATGGTGAGATCGAGGACAGGATCTTTGAGGATCACATGGACCCAGCTCAACGGGTCCTCCTCATCTTGACGCAGGTACATGGCCCGAAGGATCTGGTTCTCCCGCGTCAGACGTGTCGTAAGATGAATCCATTGTTCCAGATTGAATCCACGGGGAAGTCGGCGCACTGTCATCAGCTGCCAGAACTGCTCCGGTTTATGGCCCTGCGTAAGGAACTCGACTTGTCCCGGTGCACATGGATAGATCTCCTCCACTTGGCTTGCATCAATGCCGGCGTGTTGTAATTGACGGTGGACGGATTCACTTGGGATAAACTCGAGGGTGTGTGCTGTAGATGCAACAGTAGGTGTGAGATGTTCGGCTTGTTCCTTCAGGGATGGATATGTGACTGCGTCGTTGGCGGAGAGCGTGTAGTTGGCCTGTCGGAGCATATTCACCAGGTTGATCGCTGCGATGGAGTCGCCGCCGTAGTTGTAGAATAGATCTGACGGTTGGATAGTCTCGGCGTCGATGCCGAATAGCTCTGCCCATGCGTCACGGAGAACTTGCTCTTCAGGCGACAGCACGGAGAACGAAGAGTCTGCTTGCGCAGTCGCTGTTGAAGCATACCGCGCAGGATCCCCTGGTTTGAGGCCCTCAGCGAATGGTATCAGTTTCTTGCGATCGATCTTGCCAGATGCAAGGAGAGGGAATGAACGCAAGGGCAAGAAAAGCCTCGGGACCATGTAGTGCGCGAGAGATGACAATCGCTCTGTAATCAGCGCGGGCTCAACAACGGCCTGGGGAATTAGTATCTCATCGTTCTCATCGTCTGCTGTTGCGGGCAGAAGGCTCTTGTTCGCAGGCACATAGTAAACGACAATCTGTTTCTTGCCAAGGACCTCCGCAACGCCTACCGCGCATGACTGGATAAAATCACCGGCGTTGCTGAGAAGCACGTTCTCAATCTCGCCCAGTTCAATCCGGAAGCCGTTCAATTTGATCTGGTTGTCTTTCCGCCCCAGACATTCGATCTCACCGTTTGGCAGCCAGCGCGCAAAGTCACCAGTCCGATATAGGACGGACCCATCCTTGGTGCTGACGAACGCTGACGCAGTGATGTCTGGTCGGTTGAGATATCCCATTGCTACCTGGTCCCCACTCACACAGAGCTCACCAACAGTGCCCCAGGGGACAGGTGAGAGGGTATCTGGATGCAGGATGGATGCCTTGACGGCCTTGAGGGGGTAGCCTATACTCTTGAGGTTGCCGTCAGGTGTCACTTTTGACACTGTCATGAGAATTGTTGCTTCGGTAGGTCCTGCATATAGCACACAGGGCATCAGTAATAATAGGGAAAAGGGATTGGAGAAAGTGTACAAAACCCACCGTATCCATTATAGACCTCCATTCTCGTCGCCCAAACAGACACGACCTCCGGTGTGATTGGTTCACCACAAACCAGGAGCGTACGGAGGCCAGGCACTCTTTCCGGCGAGAGGAGCTTGGAGATGGTCGGCGTGATCATCAATTGTGTGACATTGCATTTATTCACGCACATGGCCAAGTCGTTGATCATAGTATCCTGATCTGCGATGGAGATTGTTCCTCCGGCTCCCAAGACGGTGAACACGTCGAAGTAGGACGCGTCGAATACGTAATTGAGGAACCAGAGTACATTCCATTCTTTTGTGACGTTGCATGCTTCTTTCATCCCCTCCATAGAAGCCGCGACAGCGCGGTGAGACACTTGCACGCCCTTCGGGAGGCCCGTTGAACCGCTGGTGTATATTATGTAGGCGAGGTTGTCGGGGGTAAGTTCCGGGATAACGAGAGTCGCTGTTGATTTATCCTGGAGCCGCATTTCAATCTGGTCCATGTTGATAACGTCGCCAGAGAAGGAAGCAAAGCGGCTCGCGTTATGCGAGTCGGTGATCACCAAAGTAGCGGCCACATCGCTAACAATGAATTCATTCCTAGCGGGAGGATTCTTCGGATCCAAAGGCGTGAACGCTGCCCCGGCTTTGAGCACGCCGAACACAGCTATGAGAGTGTTAACGGACTTTTGAAGACAAAGAGGAATCACGTCTCCTGTTTCCACGCCCAGCGTGCGAAGATAGGACGCCATACTGGCCACTGCCGAGTGGAACTCTGCGTACGAGAGTCGTTGGCCGGAAATATGATGTAGGGCGCACCGTTCCGGATATGTAACTGCCATCCGCTCGAGAAGCGAGTGTGCCAGTTGACCTTGTTGAACAGGTCTGGTCAAAGACAGTGAATCAAGGAATTTCCGCTCCTTTGCTGAAGTAGGACTGATATCCTTGATGGGTCTGAGAGTATCGCCGAGCATTGCGTTGAGCGTCTCGACTACATTTCCCAAGATGAACGAAGCCCTTTGGGACGGGATAGAGGACAAAAGACGCAGCTCCAGGCCGCCAGACGTAGTCTCCGCCTCCAGCATCGTCTGATCAAGGTAATTTGGCTCATGGGGTGGACACGGGTCGAGGATACTGTACGTATCCGTTGAACTGGAGACATCCTCGCGGACCAGGACGTTGACAACGGTGTCATAGAGAGCCGTCTTTGGTCCTGCAGCGCGTAGGATATTTCGCAACCCATACTGTGCCTTGGGAGAGATCTCCCACATGTCCTCCTGTATCTTTCGTGCCAAGTCGACTGCAGAGGTATCGGCATCAATCTGCACTCTGAACGGGACGGTAGTGACGGTTGGACCAGAGATCTTGAGGATGCCTTCAACAGGGACGTCCCGACCGGAAAGTGTAACACCGAAAATAAGATCTTGCTGAATGGTGTGCAGAGACAAGACCACTGCCCAAGCAGCATATATCAATGCACCTACAGAGACTTTGTTCTCGGCAGCAAATCCCAGCAAGTTTGGGTTTACCAGTGCTCGCACGATATTGTTCTCGGAAGTTCTTCCACCAAGCAGTGAAGGGATAGCATCGCGCAACGTCTCCTGCCAGAACTTCCCTACTTCACTGTCTTTCTGCTGGGTGAGGGTATACTGGATGAAATTGGCAAAGCTGGGACGGATCACCAGCGGCTTTCCCAATAAGGTAGCTACCATGTCATCAACGAAAAAGCTATTAGACCAGTAGTCGAGCAAAGCATGATGCACTGTGATAGCGAGGATGTTCCCTTGTAGACCTGCGAAGTGGATAAACTCGCCCCCTAGGTCGACCGTGCGTTTTGGAAGGGCAGAGAACTCTTGCGGTGTCATGTCGAGGTTTTGCCAGGAGAGATTAGCCGTCTTTCGGATGACTTGTAAATAGGACGTTTTGTTGGAGACAAAGGTTGTGCGTAGCACGGGGTGATAGGACGCCATTTCTTTCAGGGCGTCAAGGACCTCATCTAACTGTTTTCCTTGAATGCGGTAGTAACGCCGGTAGATGTAAGTGGAGTTGCCCATCAACGAATCCATAAGCAAGCCTTCCTGGAGAGAGGTGGTTGGGAAGGCGTCTTCTGCGTTGTCCCGGTTGAAGTTGCTATTGTTGGGTAGGAGGGAGAATGGAGCGTTCGTGGTCGAAGATTCAGTCGTCTTGACTTGTTTCTTCTGTAGTTTGATCTCGCTGAGTGGTAGGCGAAGAACATCAGGGACTGAGACTCGAAGCCCGGACTGGCTGGCCTGGGAAGAGACTCTGATGGCGTTCAAGGATGTGCCACCCAGCGACTGGAAAAGATCGTGGGGAGAAATGCGCTCGACCGGGAGGGATAAGATGGAGGCCCATATCTCCCGCAGTGCTGCTTGGTCTTCTGTGAGGATGTCTTCAACGGATCCGTTTTGTTGTCCATTGGCATCACTGGATACGAGCCCATTGTTATAGCCGTTAGTGTGGGGCTGATGGTAATGATCCGAAGAGTATCGCAATAGATGCTCTCGCCCCAAGCCTTCCACATACTTTGACAGTTTGGGAATATCAACTTTTCCGTTGACGTTGAGGGGAAGTTCCTTCTCACACAGCCAGTAGGTAGGCATCATATAGCTGGGGATATGCTGTTGAAGAAGATCCTTCAGCGCTGAGCGCAACTCTGACCAGTTTGATTCTCTCTTGGGAACCACAACTGCTACCAACACCCTTTCTCCATTGATCTGTGCCGACACAACACTGGAGGTGTAAACAGGGGCGTGGGACTGGATGATTGTGTTGGAGTCGCCAGGCTCAACTCGTTGCCCGTTAACCTTCACCTGGAAGTCGATTCGTCCCACCATTTCAATGGAGCCATCTTCATGCGTAATGACCATGTCTCCAGTGCGGTAAAGTCGACCAGGAGCAAATGGATTCGGGATGAAAGCTTCGGCGGTCTTCTCCGGCCGATTAAGATAATGAACTGCAAGTTGATGTCCGCCCAGGCACAATTCCCCGGGAACAAGCAAAGGGGCGAGTTTCGTCGTCCCTGGCACAAGAACAAAAGCGGTTGTGGTATCACTGGGGCGGCCAATATTCTGCGGATTCTGGCCCAGAATCATCTCCCGTCGCCAGTTCACTTGCGTGTTCTCGCTCAGGCCGTATGCGTTGAGCAACTCGACCTCATTCACCCACATAGGGATCAACGCCGGGTTGATTAATTCCCCCGCCACGGTCATGCGTCGGAGACAAGGTACAGTCCCGGGAGTTATAAGCAGCGCAGTAGACGGCGTCACATCAATGACGTTGATCTGCATTTGGTTGATCGTGCGGCCAATATGGACGGTAAGATTCTCCTTGCTCGCCAAGCAGAGACAGCCGCCTTGTTTTAAGGTCGACCACACTGACCGTTGTGCGGCCGAGAAGACAGGATTGTGGAAAAGGAGCTGACGCAGGTCGGGGAGTGTTGGGAACGCTGCAAGGCCGGATGTGGCTGAGGAGTGTCTCTATATTGCCTGTTAGAGGTCTGAAATGCGTGCAAAATCAGGGAAGCGAACAACTCACATGCAAGACTCCCTTCGGCTTGCCGGTAGAGCCAGATGTATAGATCACATACACAGGATCATTGGGCTCGCAGAACCGCGCCAGATTGGTATCTTGGATATAGTACGAGCTTTCTATGAGATCCTCGATTACCACTTCGTTCACAAACCGACCGGCGGACCGCCGATCTACAATGACAAACTGTGCATTGACATCCTCCACGATAAACTTATTGCGCTCATCGGGTGTCTCGGGATCAAGCGTGACATACGCTGCTCCCGTTTTGAGAATGGCCAGCAGAGAAATTATGAGGTTGAGAGACCGGTGCAGACAGACGGGCACGAAGCTTCCCCGCCCAGATGATAGCTGTCGAGCTACCTGGTTGGATATACAGTTGAGTTGCTCGTAGGTCAATGGAGGATCTGTTTCAAACTGAACAGCCGGGAACTCAGGGGTCTTCTCCACCTGGCGTTCGAACAATCTGTGGACGTTGTCGTAGACCGGATCTGTGACCGGTTTCCCTAGGTCTTCGAGGAACGCACGTTCCTCCAGAGGGATGATTTCCACTTCTTCCAGAGGCATGGTGGGTTTGCTCACTACAGTTGCCAGTGCCGTTGAAAAGTGGTTGAGAATGATTCTCATCTTGGACTCTGGGATGGCCGTATCATGTTGCGCGGAAATCGACACCCACTGGCCCAAATGGACATTTATGGTCACGGGAAAACTCCTGGCTCTTAGCTCAGGGTTCTTGTCCTCGCCAGAGATCCGGATGCTCCAGTCGCAGCGGGCGGATTCGTGGATCGATTGGATTGCCTTGTATCCAAGGAATGCGTGGGAGGAGGCTGCGATATTCAGTGCCTGGGTCTGTTGAATGGCCTCAGACACCGAGATATCTGTGTTCAGGTCCAGTTTCAACGGATATTCCTGGTCTGCAAAGCCCACAACTGAATCATATCCCTCCACTGTTCGATCTCTTCCTTCCACAGCAAATACCACCGTGTCACCATTTCCCTGGCAGTGTTGAGATAGGGTGAGACCAAAGGCAGTATATACGATGGCTGACGAGTCGGATAATCCCAAATTCTTTGAGAGCAATGCCAAATCGGAGCCAAGGATGCGTGTGCCTGTACGTGACTCGGTGGTCCGAAATACATGCTGCCGCTCGAGAGGTATGCAATGGAGAGAGATCGGTGCGACGTTGTCTAATGCCTGCATCCAGTACGCTCGAGCTTGATCCGGCTTGCGCGTATTGAGTTTGTCTGAGTAGGCCGAAAATGGTAGTCGAGCTACCATGGCCCCTCCACTGAGGATAGCCAAAAAGTCCTTCCACAAGGATCCGAGGGAGGTCCGATCCGCCAGCGCAGGATGCAGACAGACATAGATCGTCGGAGCGGATTTGTCCCACTCCAGGACTAGAGATGCACGGTCGTGGGGCTGTACCAAACGTTGAACTTCGTGAAGGGAACCAAGTTGCACCGGGCTTGCGCTCCTTAAAACTCTTTGTCGAAATCGGGGCCGAGTTGTTGTCTCGTCCTTGACGAAGATGGTTCTCAGGACATCGTGCCCTTGTGCTAAGGCATGCCACGCCTCTGAAAGTCGTTCATAGCTCCTCACCATGTCGGACGAGAGATCCAAGCGGATGACGGTTCTGCTAGTAGGGTCATACTCTGTCTCAAGCACTTCCTGCTGTGCTGGAGTACACTCGATATCTCGTTCGACATTCAACAGTGTCGACGCTGCCAGAGCATCTGCCACCTGTCGATAGGTGACATGAATCGATATCGAAGCCGTCTCAGTGACATTGAATCCGTTGGTGTTTGCTTGTGACTTTGAAGGCAGCCCTTTTGCCTCCCCAAGAGGCAGGAATCTTGGTTTGCTGTCGAACATCGTCAATCAATGTTCAACCCGGGTGGACTGATGCATTCATGGATAAGCGTCTATGTACTTGGGTGTCATCGCCCAGGCCACGGTACCTTATATCATTTGGGCCGCATGATCCTCATGTCTCCAATATCAACCCCATTGCTTTCTAACAGGTCTATAGGCCATTGTGACATTGGGGCCAAATCAGAGTACCTGCTGAGCCCATACCTCCTCGGCAGGTCGGAAATGGTATTTCCAGATTTGGCCTTTATGGGGAACCAAAGCGCACTTCCCCGACAGAGCCCGATTTGGACAAGAGGCGGACGCCAGAATGTTTCCTGATACAGAAGCAGCGCTGAATGCAGAATTCCATAAGCAGGGAGCTCGGAATTAGCGTTCATTATGGGTGCGCGTTTTGTCTAGTCGGTGCAGCCCGGCTTACGACCTTGTTCACACGCTCCCAAAACGGAGGCAAGACGATAATTAACGCTGGAGCACTAGACAAGCGTGTCAGACGGCTCGTATTCTGGCGCAATGCTCCAGGATTCGCACCCTAAACCGCCAACCCCTTTCTTGGCCAATCGTCTATACATTCCCATCGTGTTCGAGCCGTTAGACAGCCCTCTAGTGCCACGCTAACCGCCTGCAGAAGTCGCTCTCTGCAACTCCACACGGTGATGACTTTGAACCTGCGCCTACAGACTCGAGAATTGAAACATCCTAAAGTCTTGGGGGTATCCCCCGCTCAGCAACCAATTTCCTCTTCAGGCAAAGGTCTTAAAAGCACCTCGAAGATGCCGAAGCCCCTGTTTGCGATGCTTCTTCCAGCACCGGCAGATTGCTCATTGAGGAAACATACTGCCTAATATGTCCTGTCCCCTGCAGAACCCTCGGCTGAGAACTTGTCTGGACCTGCGGCGTCCGGAATTGGGGACTCCGCGTCGGCGTCCTGCAGTTTCGGCAGGTGCTAAGATGTGGACCATAGGTACAGTCCACGATACTGTTTCCGTGGGATACGGACAATAGAGGACTAGAATGGATCAGCGTGGTCGAAATAGGAAGACAGCGAGAAGAGAGCAGATTCAAAGCATAAATATCGTCAGAATCGGCCCCGATCGTGGTGGAATTGAGAAAAACAGAGACCTTCCAGTCGCCACGGCTCAAGCGTACAGCACGCATCTTCAATAATTCTCTCTCTGTCTTATCTCCCTCTTCAAAGTCTCCGCCATCAACCACCATGTTGGGTAGCGTACTCCCTTTCAGCGAGGAAAACGCGGACCGCGTGAGCGAGTACTGCGAGAAGCGATCGACCCGGATCACAGGCAACCTGTCCGATCACTGGGAATACACCCGGTCCAAGTTCAGCGATGCGGACAAGATGTCTTCTCGCCTGCAAGGCGCATGGATGATCTTCACTGCTCGGGATCGCAAGCCCAAGCGAGGTATGTCCAACGTTGGGACCGAGACGCAGACACAGAATGAGCACTAGCTGACGAAGATAGTCCTTGAGATCGGCACGTATAGCGGATACAGCGCCATTGCCTGGTACGAGGGTACCAAGGACACCAAGGCTGAGATCGTCACCCTGGAGCTGAGCCCGAAGATGATTGCTGCTTCAAAGGCTGCCTTCAAGCAGTTCAACGTGGAGGACCGGGTGAGATTGATCGAGGGTCCCGCGGATGAAACGTGATTTAGTCCTTTTTTTCCATTTCAAAATAAATTTATCGTAGGCTAACGGGAATAGTTTGCAAACCCTTGACGGCGAATTCGACATCATCTTCGTCGACGCCAACAAGGACGGCTACGCCACGTACGTGCAGACCATCCTCGACCGGAAGCTTCTGTCGCCGAACGGGATCATTCTCTGCGATAACGGTGAGTCACCTTCCTTACTGCTATATCATGCATTCCATGTTCGCACAGAGTACTGACCCGCCCATAGTCTTCGCGCGCGGTCTCACCATTGGCGAGGATATGGCTCCTTGGGTCAACGACCACATCCGGCAATACTGGCTCAGCTGTGGCAAAGCCTTGGATGAGTTCAACACTCGTTTGGTGGACGATCCCCGTGTGGACGTTCTGATCCTGCCTGTCTTCGATGGCGTAACTCAGATCAGATGGCGGAACCCCAACTCTCGGGACATGCCCAATTAAGGGAGGTGACTGTGATCTCGGAGAATGGCCACGTTGGGTGCTAGAACGAAGTTCATGTAGCTTAGGAGGGTTTTTGCTTAACTCCTTTTGGAGATTCCTCCCCTTGTGCTCAGTTCTACCAGTTCCTTGGACATATATAAGTTTTCCCCTGTTCTGGATTCCCAAGCTCTCTGTAAACACCTCCATCGTCACCAAACAACCTTCTCGAGGAAGTCAGCATGGCTCAATCTCTAGTCCATTCCAGCTCTGACGGGTCTCACCTGGTCAACCACCCGATCCCATCCATCACGGGCCCAGACCAAGTCCTCGTGCAAATGTCCGCTGCTCCGGTGAACCGGGTCGACTTGATGACGCTAGCCAACCTCTACCCCGTTAAACCCCATTATCGCGTCGACGGAGACCCCATTCCCGGTTTCGATGGCTGTGGTGTTGTCCTCGCCTCGTCCTCTCCTTCATTCGACCCAGGCGACCTTGTTCTTCCCCGGATCCTGGGGCTAGGAACATGGCGCACTCACGCGGTCTGGCCGGCATCGTCGCTTCTCAAGCTCCCGAACAACACGCCTCCCGTGGCCGGGGCGCTGCTCCGCTCGGGGGCGTTGGTTGCCTGGCTTCTGTGCGAGCATGTCACCCCGCTCTCTTCGGGGGAGTGGGTGCTCCTTTCGGCAGGGACCAGTTGTGTGAGTCAGTTTTTTGTTCAATTTGCCCGGTTGAAGGGGATCAACACCATCCTCGTCATCCGCGATCGAGACAACATAGAGATAACACGGGAACGGCTGCTGGCGCTGGGCGCGTCGTTGGTAGTAACCGAGTCGGAACTATCCCAAGCAACGGAGTCGAGTCACCCGGGACGGGCGGTCCTCGCTCTGGATTCGGTGTTCGGAAGAGTCGGCGAAGACCTCGCCCGGTTATTATCGCCCGGAGGAAAGTTCGTGATGGTTGGAATGCTGGCAGGGCCCAAGACCAGCATCAACGTGAGCGCGGAACACCTGTTCCAGAAGCAGCTCTCGTTTCTCCCATTCCGCAGCTCGGAGGTTCTGAAGCGGATGGGTGACGAGCAGGCTATGGAGGTGATTCAGCATGTTGCGACCTTGCTTGCTGATGGCCGTGTGGTGATGCCGGAGCTGAATTGCGTCCGATGGGAGTCGTCTATGAGTGATGGAGAGACTAAGAAGGCGCTGGAAGCCGCGCAGAGTAGAGAAGTTGGATATAAGAAGACTGTGTGGGTGTTTGCACCGCGGCCGAGTGTCTAGGTATATTCATGCAGTAAGGAGTCTTTCCCGGAAATACATGAGTCCAACAAACCAGCAACATTGTGGAGAAAGCTGTAAATATATAGTATGCACTAATACGAGTAACAATAACACCAATATGCCGCTCCTGTCGCGACATCTATGCGCGCGGTTGCGAACCGGGTATGCTTCTGCTTCTTCTCTTGATTCTCAATTTTTCTGTGAGCACCGCTAGGCTGCAATAGCCACCGCATCCTTGAACAATTTCCGTTGCTACGGACCCGGTTAACAATCTCCGCCGCGTACAGCAAATCGGATGGAAAATACTCACGGTAAAAGAAACCGACACCACCAAGCTCACGGCCGCTCCGACATATACCGGGATGAACACATTCTGCAACGCACCCACAATCACGTCAATGCAGCTCGCCCGCAGCTCTTCCGGCAGGGAGCGAAAGTACGCCCCACTGGTGCCCGAGATGGCCAGCTGGAGCTCCGAATGGGACACATTAGGAAGCAGGGCAGTCAGACCAGTGACAGCTTTGTTGATGAAAACCGCTCCCGCAATGGCGAGACCAAAGGCAATGCCCCCGAGTTGTCCTGTTCAAGGGGGAGGTATGGATTAGCACTATTTCGGCACACATATTTTGTCACTGGGGCCCGGAGCGTACCCAACATCATGTAGCTGATACCGTAGGCCATCTCGGCGGGGGGTACCACAGCCTGAATGACAGCATAGCCGGCTTGGATGAAGCAGCCGGTCCCGATACCGACAATAATTTCATAACCGTAGATATTTGCCTCCGGGGTGTCGGGTCGAATGCGAGCTGAGAGTTCGTTAGTAGGGTTACAGGGGAAGACAAGATAACGCAGGACCTACAGAGCAAGACGCCGCCGATCAACGTCAGAACACTACCGAAAACATACCACGGCTGGAAGTAGCTGAACCGAGACATCAGATGTCCGTTGGCCAGAATACAGGCACTGAGCACGAATATTAAAGGCAGCAACCGAACGGCAGCCTTGATGGCATCGTCTCCCCTTGTAAACTGGAAATACAAGGGGATATAGTAGATTGGGATAAAGCCGGCCGTGTTGACTGCCGCTGCGCAAATGAAGAGGAAGATCGCGTTGATGTTTCGCAGGAACTGGCACGGGAAGATGCGATCGGTCAAGCTGGTGAACACCTCCCACCCCTGTTGGATCCCAAACACAATGAACAGCACCCCTGAAACGACAAAGAGGGCGATGGTCGGACCACTATTCCAGGGATAGAGCGCGCCGCCGAAGTTGATAGCCATGATCAACGTGACGATGGCGCCGATGCTGAGAATGGCTCCCACTACATCAAACTCACGGAGAAGCGTCGTGATCTTGGTCCCGGCACGGGGTTTGAACGACGGAATGAGAAAAAGGTAAACCGGCGCAAACAGACCCGATACGCACAGGTTGATATAGAAGGCCCAGCGCCATGTTGCGGGGGACTCCACGAACGCACCGCCAACCACCGGGCCCAGGACGGTTCCAATACCCCACACAAGACCCCTAGGTTGGAGTCAGTCTAAAGTAGCATGTCTCTGTCTTTACCGGGGCGGGGACGTACACAAAACTCAAGTATCCCGGCCGCTCACGGTCCGACGTGTTCACGGACAAGAGAGTCATGACACCAAGATACATCCCATTTCCTCCCATTCCAGCCAGGACGCGTCCCACGATGAGAGAATCCATGTTGGGTGCGGCGCCGCAGAGGGCGGAGCCGACATTGAACACGACGGACGAGATGATGTACAGCCATTTGGCATCGAAGAGACCGTAGAACTTCCCAAAGGGGAGGACAACCGCCGCTCCGCCGAGCAGAAATCTGGCAAAGACACATTAGTTGAATTTCTAATTATGGAGCGGGAGGTCCTGATCGTACCCAACCGAGAGCCAGGGAAGCTTCACAACGTCTCCGAATCTGTTCACGGCCGCCTAGCTTTCAATTCAGCGATGTTCTTGACTTCGGGCTTTCGGTCGTACCGGAGTGATGTCGGCCACCACCGTGTTGTCCAGCGAGTACAGGAAGATGCTCGACAGGATACTGATCACAACCAGGAACCACTGCAGGGTGTCAATAACGCGTGAGTGCTGAGTGTCATTCAGCTAGCTCACCAGAAACCCATGGATATTTCGAGGCGAAGCATCTGGAGTGGGGGCAGAGTCTTCTTGTTTTTCTTGCGCCGAGGTGTTTCGTTCCAGTTCTGATAATTGCTGGTGATCATCGATTGGTTCGACCCCCTGGGGCTTCTCGATGGATGACGGTGTGGACGACATCTCGAGAAGGAGCTTTTGGATTTGGAGGAAGCTATTGTCAGTGGATATTCGATGAATTGAGATTGAGTCTGCAGCTTCGAGCTAATAAGTGATAGCTTGGAGATCCAACACGCAAGAGGGACGAGCTTCCAACAGCTTAGAAATCAAGGCAGCTGAATAATGCCGTTAGAATGGAGCAAGGGGGTTTCATTGTGGCCGCAAGATTGGGTTCCTCCTTTGAACAGGAGATTTACCACTTAACCCTGAGGGTCTGGCATGCTGGCTGTTCTGCGCTGATACTCGGCCAACTTCCCCAATAGGAAGTTCGCCGAGGCGACGTGAGGGAGTCGGGGAGACTCATCACCGCCACCACCTCGAGGTGGCTCTGGACAGGTCAATATTTGTGGTATAAGGTCCTCAAAAGATTGTGGTGTATCCCTAGAGCCTCCCTGGTAGATAGCTTGCTAGGTCCAACTTTGAGGCCAGCTATCGCTGACAGGGAGGTCTCATTGAGTCCTTGGCTCAATTCGTTCTTGAGTTCTTTAAAGTTCGACTACCCAACTAAGCTTATCTATAGAGAGAAGGTTTCACGCGTTCCTGCATATGAAAATCCACTATAGTCCCCAGGAAAGCTACCTGAGCATACATAGTTATTTCTTAACTGATCACGGCGAGGTACGATGTCAAAATCCCCAGATATCCAATATACAAGACAGCAGAGAATTATTCTAATTTCCAGTAACGACCCCTTTTAGATGATCCTCTAATCCGGGAATTTCCCCGTCAAGGTCAATGCGCAGCCCCTTTGTAATGCGCGCGATGAGGACATAGACCCCCAGAACAATATAAGTCTCCACAAGCTCCTCCACACTCAGGACCTCCTTCGCCCGTCGGATGGTCTCCTCGGTATTATTGTACGTTGCAAGCTGCTCATCAACCAACTGGAGGATCGCCCGATCCCGCGGCGTAAAGATCGTCTCAGCCTTTACACTGTCGGCGCCACGACCGGCGGACCGTTTCAGAGCGTCGAATTTCTCCTCTGGCATGCCATTAATGCGTGCCACCGGCGCATTCACGTCCCATTCGTACTCAGCATCGAGGACGGCCGAGATACGGAGCACGATGAGTTGCCAGTCGAGGAGGGGAAGGGTGCGCAAGTTGCCGTTGAAGAAGGCGGCATAGACGCCCATGAGACGGGGGAACGAGCCATGGGAGTGGCCAAGAAGGTGGAAGATGTTGCGCCGGTACGGCAGGTGGGTGATGGCTGCGGCTACATCCGGAGGAGCATTTTCCAGCTCGAGGTAGGGTACGAGACAGTTCTGAGGAGTGGTGATGGTCATCGCTTCGACTGGAAGGTTGTATAGAAGTTGACAGGTAGTGCTTAGGTTACTGGGATCATGGGGGCGGCTTTTGTATGGTAAACTGCATTGCTTAAAAATTCCAATCTATTTTCTTCATAGGAAGGCAATTATCCCGGACGCTTTGGGAAGAAAACCCTCGATCTGGCGGGGAGAAAGATATTGGAAAGACAGTGATGATGGATTTCCCTTTTGGGCCATCCCGAGGGCATTGGTCAGCTAACGTTTGTCAGCGGGACTCCACTAGTTAACTAGCCGCTTTGGGATAACTTAGTCAGTTATGGTCTCTTAGTTACATAATTAGGTCACAATGAGGTGGCTCAGCCGAAACATCATATTTCCTCTTTCGGATACTCGCCGAGTGATTCCCAAAGAGGAAATCGATGCTACAAGGCCAGCGCTGAGATTACCTAGGTAAGACCAGAGGCGAAAACCCCCTGCCATAATCTCTCGCTCGCACCAGACAAGGTATACCGTCGGATACCTTATTCTGCCATCCGGCCTGAGGCGAAATGTGGCCTTTTATACGGACTCCCAGTCCAGCTACATCCGCTATACGAGGAATACCTACCAAATTGAGGCATAATACATCCGACATGAGGTCCGCGCTCTAATTCTGCACAGAGGGGAAGTGGCTGACATGGGATAGGTGTAGAGGCATGCTGTAGAAGACAGTGATGACCATGTAAGGTTCAAAAGGATATAGGATTACCGGTTCCAAACACGAAAAAACAGACCTAGGATTTGATCGATAATAAACAGTAAGATCGATAGGTCAACATGAGCTCCCCCCCAGCAAAAAGTATCCTTGCCGACACGGTCGTTTGTGTCTGGCAACAGATCCAGCTGCACCCTTGGTGGACGGCTCTCACCATTCTCTTGACTCGCCTTGTATTGACTCGATATCGAGATGGACTGCGACAAGTCCCCGGCCCGTTCGTCGCCAGCTTCTCCAACCTGTGGAAGTTACGCGCCGTCTGGAAGAAGAACATGCACCGCGAGAATGTGCGTGTTCATGAGGACTATGGCCCGATTGTGAGGATCGGCCCTAACCATGTCTCCGTGGCGGATGCTCCAAGCATGCGCGCCATTTACGGGGTGCAGAATGTATTTCGGAAGGTCGGTAACACACACATTCCATGCCTCAATCTGAAGCCTTGCTATATGGCAGACGGAGTATTGATTGTACCCTAGTCAGCGTTCTACCCTCTAGCAGAAGCCATCTACAAGGGACGGTTTCTGCCGACACTCTTCACCACAGAGAGCAATGACTACCACATGCGATTGAAGCGAGGGGCGGTCAAAGCCTTCTCCATGGACACCGTGGTGGGACTGGAGCCATACGTGGACAAATGCATTGCCGTGCTCGTCTCTCGGCTGCGGGAGGTGACGGACAACGGCAAGAGACCGGTCAATCCAGTCGCCTGGCTTCAGTACTTTGCCTTTGATGTATTGGGCGAGATCAACTTCTCCAAAGACCTGGGCTTTTTGGAGAAGGGCGTGGACGTCGATAACATCATTGCCGCGATTGGGGGTATTCTGACCTATGTCTCTCTGGTGAGTCCAGGTGCATCCATTTTAAAGGACTGCTTTCTCATCTGGCCATAGATCGGGCAAATCCCCCTAGCGCACAAGTTCCTTCTGGGAAACCCCCTGCTCCCCAAGCTTTTTCCGGCGATCGAGAAGACGAACCAAGTGCTGCAGTTCTCTCTGGCCCAGATTGAAGAACGACTGAAGAACCCGGTCGACCGCAAGGATATCCTCAGTCAACTGCTGGAGACCCATCGTGCGGATCCTGACAGCCTGACGTTGGATGAGATAATCGCTATTACGACCACGAATGTGTAGGTTCCGTCTTACCCCCTTTCCTGCCTGGACGATATGGATCTGACCCATCCCTCGAACAGCATCGCTGGATCCGACACCACAGCTATCTCTCTGTCTTCGGTCCTATACTATCTAAGCAAGTATCCCGACACGCGCAGAAAGCTTGAGAAAGATATACAGGCAGCAATCGCGGAAGGAAGAGCTTCGAATCCAATCACCTATGCGGAGGCTATCAAACTGCCATACCTGTATGCTGCTCTTCGTTATGTGCATGATTTCTGAATACCTGACGTTGTATTATTCGAACACGCTAACGCTCCTTCAACACAAACAGCACGGCTGTCATCAATGAAGCCATGCGAATTCATCCCGCAACCGGATTCATCCTCGAGCGACGCGCGCCCCCTGGCGGCATCACGCTCCACGGCGTCCATCTCCCCGAGGACACGATCGTCGGGGTCAACTCCTGGGCCATTCACCGCAACAAGAGCATATTCGGCGAGGACGTACACACCTTCCGCCCCGAACGCTGGATTGAAGGCGATGAAGAGGCGATCAAGGAAATGAAGCGGAATCTGTTTACGGTGAGTAGTCATGTTGGACTGACGTGGGTTACCGCGCCTGGATCCCAGCCTGCTGACAAGCTCATATTCAGTTTGGATACGGACCTCGGAGCTGCATTGGCAAGAATATTTCCATCTTGGAGATGTGGAAAGTGGTGTTTGAGTTGTACCGGCATTTTGACATTGATCTTGCGGGGGATCAAGAGTGGACGGTCAATGGGACCTGGTTTACCACCCAGAGTAACATCGAGGTGCGGTTCAAGCCAAAGGGTTCAACTGGCTGAAGAGCGGGACGGTGGGGACGGTGTGTGATAGCATTATGAGATCCATCCTCGGCTAGGGGTATCTTCACACTACATAAGGACCGAGGGTCTAAGTCCAGAGCGCGTAGATGGACCGCGAAACGAGGATGATAAGCGAAACTCTTTCGGCACGCATAATACAAATCGTAACCATTGGCACTATCTAGATACATCTATCTACGGATGGCTCACGGCAAAAAATTGCAAGACCGCGCGCAATGATGCATCAATATCAGAAGCTGCGCGACTCAGTCGAATGATGATCGACTTCACCTTGGCCGTGCGGGCCTCACTGCCGGTGATCTGACTTGCACTGCCGACCCGCATCAGCAGCGCCCGGAAATTCCTCACCTGCAGTTTCAGCAGCACGGAAATGATGTGCACCTGCTCCTCGCTCGAGTACATCGACTGGAAGTCGCTGGCAAATAACTCCGGGTTGCACTGGGCTTTCGACGCCGCCCCGCGCGAGGACGTGCAGTAGAGCTCGCCCAGGCGCTCGGGAGAGGGCACCGAGGAGTCGGAGGAACCCGCTGAAGACTGGTCACTCGAGTCGCTCAGTCCCGAGATGCGCTGGTTGGCCTTTTTGATGCGCTTGTGGATGCACTCGAACATCTCGGCCAGCCGATCGCAGATGATCACCAACACGGTGTGGACGGTGGGGAGCAGCTTGCAGTTCACGCAGTCGAGCGGTTTCGAGCATTGCGCGATGATCCATTTCTGCAGCTGCAGCACTTGGCCCAGGGACAGTGTGGTGATGCGGAAATCGTCGTCGTCGAGCTGCTGGACCACGCGCACGGCGTTGTACATACAGGAACACCCGTCATTTTTCGTCCATAGCGCGGAGGCGTCCATTGCAGTCTCCAGCATGGGGCCGTTGGACGGTGCACTGGACGTGGGATGGGAAAAGCTGTCCAAGAGGAGATCGCCGATGACCGGTTCGGTGGCGGGCTCGCTGGAGGCCATCACCGGGTCGAGGGAGAAGGTCGGTCGGGACGGCGTCAACGGCCGTGGAAGATTTCTGGCTGTCGCTCCCCTCCGTCAGTCATGCGTCGTCGGACACCCAAGAGATGCACCTGAGGGGTAACCGCACCGTGTGGCAAGCCGCCATCGGGGTCGTACTGCTCGGTGTTTTGCGGGTCCAGCACACTCAACAGGTCGGTCGCCCGGATGTGCGAATTGGACCGAGTGACTTCCTCAAGATCGACCAGCAGATTCTCAAAGTTCACATCAAACAGGGCTCCTCCTGGATGCGACTCGGAGTTGGGTCCGGGACGTTCCCCCTCCGGCGGGCTCGGGGACTTGGAGAGATTCGGGGGCTCGACAACCGTCTCGACCGTGGAAGCCGGGTTGGGACGGCCTAACGGGCTGGTCCATGTCGGAGTCTTTGCCTGGGCGGAGGGAAACACACAGGCAATGGACTTGGCCCTGCATCGGTCGCAATTCCCTATGCGGCCAGTACACCGCAGCTGTACGACGAGTGAGCATCTGACTCAGAACTCAGACCTGCAAGGCAGAAAAAATGCGCAACAGTGACCGACCTTTCGTGTCTGGCATGATATACAAGCCGGTCGCCGTCCCAGACGCATCCGACTGCGCTCCTGGCCGGGACTGGCCCCGCGTGTCGCGACTTGCTCCATCTCCGTATCTCCATCTCCACTGGGACATTTCAGTGTGATGAACATGATGATAATAGTATACTAGGTCGTGTGGAAGCGGGCAAGCAGAGAGGTAGATAGATTGGACAGATGCATAGAGGGGAACCAACAAAGACGAGACACCCACTGCCTTTTTGATTTGACGTTTGTCATCTTGCGGGCCGCAGAAGGAAGCGGGGGGCGCGATCGAACTGTTGTGCCGAGTTATCTTAGCGTGGGCCTTTTCTTCTGTCTATATTAGTGGAGTTAGTCTCATCGTCAGTCTCCTCGAGGTCATTAGCAGCAGCAAGAGGCTGAATTGAATGTAACGTCGGTTCGGCCGATGGACGTCCAACGAATAACTCACGGTCTTTCGAAAAGACGACCGTTGCGCGCGAAACAGCAGCCCCTGCTTCCTCGTATTTGCCCCTCGATGGCGTCTTGTCAGGCCAGGGCAGTGAATCCTTCACGAGTGGATGGTGGTGGCGGCGGCGGTGGTGTGGGTGGAGATCTTCCTGTCGGGCAGATTCCGTGACACCAACAGAGAAACAGATCAATTCAATCGAGGGAGCGGCTTAGGATGAAAAACCGTTGAAGGAGGGCTCTCCTATCTGCTCTATATTCACCAGCTTTTCTACTCGTCACACCGCGGGCAGTTACTCAAACGGGCCTAACCATTCGGATGAATGCGAATGCACGCTCATTGTCTGGGGGGAAGTGCGGCCAATCGCCATATCCGGGCAGTCCTACACGCAGTAGTACTACCTAGTACCTAGGTCCTACCAAGGTATCTACTTTAGTTCGTGGCAAGCCCATAAGCGCGGTGATGGCACCATCGCAACCCTATCACTTGTTGACACGTACATTATTCCGAAATCAGTAGTTGCTTAGCTGCCAGATGAACACTCTTCATCACCCACAGCGGAAGGAACCGAGGGCCCTCTGATGTGACAGCGGAACTGGTTCCCGTCGGCTCTCTGCTCACATCCTAGCAAGAATGATCGGCGCTCGCCTAAAATTGCTTATAGTGAGGAATTGCTTACAGGCAGGTCCACTATATATATATATTATAGTACGGAGATGACTCCCTATAATATATATTTTCACCTTCCTCTTTCAGTCATATAACTATTATATTATTCTATAATGTTTTAGCGTGGATTATCGGGTATTTAGACCTATATTTATTAATTTAGCTATTTTCTATAAGCAACTTTGTATGCGAGGGGGGTTCTTTCCTTAGCAACGTCTTTGTATCCAGGTTTGTTCTTTGTTTATATAGGAACTTACTTCGGCTCAGAATTTTCGTTGCTTATCTTACGTGGTTTTTTATAATAGGCGTTCCAAAAAAGATATTTATAATAAATGGAATCTAACAGGGCAGATTTGCAGATATTTAGATAAAAGGAATATCTTAGGGACGAGAGATCTGGAAAATATCTATATAATCTAGCCTGTTAACAAAGACAGAGAGTAACTATAGATGGAGTACTTTGGGAATAAGAATCGAACATTAGAAAGCAGATAGGGAATTTATTATCATCTACCGCTGTAATTAGGATCTTATTCAGCCCTAACCTAACCTAGTACCTAGGCTTAAATCCACCGGACTTCTGCTGGATTTACTCGCTCGCGAATTGGCCAATATTTAATGTTCCCTACCCTTCTACGCGGCCGTAGTTTATATAGGAAGTGGCTGTCACTTCCTATCTCCTCTATGTATATAGGCTTCCTACGCTTGTCACGTACGAAGATCTCCATGCAGCCATTAAGAAGGGAGCGGCAGATAGTTTCACACAAAGGAGAGACACTAGTGAGGTGGCTGAGTTATGGTATCCGAAGGTATCTTTACCAACGAATCAACAGACCTACAGGTATTCCAAGGCTTACCCCAGTTCGTGAAGGAAATCCATTGTACCTCACGAACAACGGTGTGATTACTAGCAGATAGCTCACTAGAATATATAATGCCTAGCACCTGCGCCTATTCTTGTCTAGCTCATTAGTTGTGTCTTACTCCCAGAATCAGGTTGTTTATAACCGCCGTTCCTTAGAGAATCTACAATATGCACCTCTTTTTTATTTGGCTTCCGGAATTCAATAATGTACTTATCATCCCTTCTGTCCCTTGATGAAACGAATTTGCAAGTCAGGAGGAGTTAGAGTAAAATACTCTTTCACCTGCCGTTCGAAGGCGTCTTGAGCTGATTTGAACAGAACCTCCAGTTCATAGCGCAGAATTATGGAACTGATGAATCGCCTCATCATCACCATTGCTAGCCGCTTACCAACACAGGAGAAACGCCCAAGAGAGAAAGGTGCGTAAACAGATGCATCGAGTATGAGCTCTGGTTCAGTCGTCCAGCGCTCAGGTATAAACTCATCAGGCCGAGAAAACGCTCGTGGATCTCGACAGAGAGTATATGAAGGCGTTTTGATGATCACATTTCCAGGAATCCAAGTGCTCTTTTTCTCGGTGCCAATTGTCAGACCTTCAGGGGGCGTCTCTCGTTGCAGCCCGTCCACAACAGCTGGCCAAAGACGGAGAGTTTCATCGATACAAGCCTGTAAATAAGGAAGCTTAGCAAGCTCGTCAGGCCTCAATTCCGTATCGGCTCTTTCCTTTGCACAGGAATGCAATTCGTCCCTTAGCTTCTTGCATACATCCGGGCTAGAAGCCAAATGATACAAAAGACAGATCAAAGTACCCGCGACAGTATCGCTTCCCGCAATGACAATGAGCGATGCGTCGCCGTAAAGATTCTCAGTATCCTGCCATGAAGGATTTTGCTTTCGCTGATAGTCGTTAAGAATCCATGAGAAAATATCCCTTACGGGCGGTGGAACTGCAATGCGCCTTTGAACGTGAGAACCGACCCACTTACGAAACGACTTGTAGTCGTTACTGAGGAATGGAACCGCCTTGACCACGGGAAATAGCCAGACCAGTCGACTAAATATAGCAATCAGTTCCAGAGTCTTGTGCGTCAAGTTGAAAAAGTAATGGAAGGTGCCGCTCTGAAGCATGTCAAAGCTGCTTCCAAAGGCTAGGTCTCCCATAATATCAAAACTGTAGAGATGTATCCATTTGGTCACGTTGAGTGAGGTGTTGTTCTTCACACTGTCCTCTATTGCGGCACAGAAATTTTCGGTGTGAGCGTTTACACGAGTCATATAATCGCCCAGGGCTGACAGACACATCGGAATTAGCATAGCTCTAAGCTGTTTGTTCTTCTTGTAAGTTTGGGAATCTGGCTTACCCCGATTATCAAATGCCTTATCCCAGGCTCTGCGTCTCTCCCCGTGTCTTTTCACATCGCGCTCCATTTGCAAGGAAATCATAGGAGCAGTCACATTGTACCACCTATGGCTCAAAAAGGTCAATTAATAACGAATTTCGCATTTGAAGAGCGTCACTATACTTACGGTCCTCTTCCACAGGACGATGATAGGTGAATCGCACGGAAAGCTTCTGGATTGGCAACAGACAGCTCCCTGGGGCCGACTCTGACAATATCTCCATACTTGGAGTGAAGTGCTTGAGTAGTTTTGAAACCTCTAGCTTCTGCTATGTTGACAAACGTCATGTAGAAGGTGGAAAATCGAGCCAAAAAAGGACCAGGGAATTCGTTCAGTCTGTGAAACCAACCCCGGTAGACAGAAATACTCGAAAATATACCACAAATTGCGATGAAGACTAACACAGACGAGTATTCAAGGCTTTCCCAGGTCGTTTTCCCCCTTGAGGGAAGATGGAAACTTTGGAGAAACGTCCCCAAGAATATCGGGACAACACTGAAGGCGACTAGTATCTTGAACGAATGCAGGTCCCACTCCCCGTATCGAAAGATTGTTTGGTGCAAACCAATGCCCAAGATATAGGCTGCGGCAAGTATGCAGCTCCCATCGAGGCTGATCAACATATTGTCACGTACGTTTGCAATAGTGAAGAAGACAGCTGATTTGGGCGTGTTGGATGCTATACCTTGTTGCAACAGGGCAGATAATCATCAATGGGGGAATTCACGAAGGTCGTGTATCAAATGTTCTAATTTTGGGTAGGTGGTTCGGTTTATAATCAATTATCTTCTGATAATGTTTAATCCTCAAATGACGCGACGAAACTCTTTCTCCAAACAGGTAATTAACCTTACTAGTGGGAGGCCTTACATGTAAAGATATGCAAGTTCCTATCTCCATTGATCAATACAGGGTTCTTAAATGGACGGATAAATTGGGAGTGAGTCAGGTGTAACACCACTGTCAACCTACAGATCAGTAGTACTCCCAGGGCCTGCACAGCCTCTCATGAACCAAAGGATGATCACGTTAATGGATGAAGGAAAAATGTGATTGCCTATTTCTCAGAACGCTGCCAGCCGGAACGGCCCGGATCGCTGTTTAATCTTCTGACCTATAGAAGAGGACCGCATAATACTCTGTGTATCTTATCATAAAATATTATCAAGGAAGCTTGGGACGCCTTATTCGCCTTGCTTTATAGAAACTCCCTCACTGTTTAATCTGGCCTATGGAAGAAGGCCACATAATACTTTGCGTATCTTATCATAAATATTATCAAGGAAGCTTGGGACGCCTTATTTACCCTTGTTCACAGTCGGCCTCTGGCCCAGTTCTAGGACAGAAAGCTTGGAACGCCTAATTGCATTGCCCGAGAGTGCTTCCGAGATATCCTGAGGGCTAGTCAAGGGATGTGTATAAAGAATTCCACCTGGAAGCCGGGTCTGTCTTGTAATTAGAAGCTGCAATCTGCCAATTGTCAAGAAAGGTTATATGCGCTTTGTGAATATGTCTGAAGCTGAGCAGAAGGGAGCAGAGACTCTCACTTTTGATGCAGTTGGGCTAGGAAGGGGCGGGCTCAATCGGGCAACATCTACATGCGTTCCAGAAAATCCTATGGAAATCATTAATACAACTCAGCAGACAATCACTTTTGCGAACCTGGGATGCTCAACAAAGGTATCTAATCTTCGGGAGTTCCAGGGGTCGAAAGAAGACTTCCCTGCTAATGCAACAGCAGATCCCAATCCCCATACTTCCCGAAGCTTGGCTACAGACCGCAGGTGTGCCGTGGACCAATTATGTTTCAAGGCATTTAGCCTGGAAGCGCCAAGCTTTGCCATGGCTCCCAGACGAGAAACTTCAAGACACTGCGCGTGCCGATCTCCAAGCGATGCAGCTAGGTTTCCCAGCAGTTGATGATGAGGCCTGCGCGCTTGGGCTTGCCGCGTGCCTGACAATCGTGTGCTATGTGGATAGCTTCATCGAGGAAATGGAGCCAGAAATGGCGAACCAGTGTGTTAAGCGGTGCTTGGCAATTCTAGACGGTGACATTCTAGATAATCGTATTGGTAAGGCCCTATCTACACCATTTCGTATTGTTACTAATTACATTGATGAAGCGGAAAACCCTCGCAACTCGTCAGAAAAGGCTCAAACCATATGTTCAGCATTCTACAAGCAAATGTTGGCCCTTTTTCACCCAAAAACAGCCGTTGCAGTCATTTACGATATGAAGGATATGATTGCCAGCCAACTTCTTGAGCTTGACTTCAAGGAAGGCATCTTACTCATCAAAACCTACGGCGAATATCTCGAGATTCGAAATCGGACCTTCGGACTAATGCCGCTGCTCACCATTGCAGAGCATTATTACCTAGCCGAGGGAGATTCGTTGGCTGCATCACCAGACATAAGCCTGTTAAAGACCCAGATAAGTCTTATGGGAGTTGGTCAGAACGACATTGGCGGCTTGGAAAAGGACATCCAGCTTTCAAACCCGTCGAATTCCATTATGGTACTTGCCACGTTGCTTGGTCGCAAGCCAATAGTCAGTGCAAATAGTCTGCTGGAGTCTCAGGATATTCTTTCTCTCTTTGAGAAGGAGAATCAGAGATTCATCAATGACGTGGTCAAGACCTGGAGTCGAATCCAAATTCGCTCCACACGGAAGGAAGAGCGAAGACTAAGTAACACACTTATCACACTGTGTGTTACCCACCTGAAGTGGGTTCTGTCTACCTCGAGATACAATATTGATGATGTACTGCAGGGAGATTGTATTGGTAGTTAGACCTATGTATCTCACTAATTCATGACTTTTTCGGTTGCTCACCCACACCGTACTTAGTAGCTAAGAAGATTAATAAAAATAGAAAAAAATAACCAGAAAAATATTATAAAATTATTAAAACATTCTTTATTAGTAAGCGAAACTTTAAGCTTTAAAATATATTTTTGTGTTGTTACTTATAGTTGGCGTTGGTCGAGCCGTATGTGGAAGAGAACAACATGTATGTCTAAGTACTCGATTGAGAACAAACCGACGGGCCCGCCTTGATCCCATGCAGCCACAGCTACAAGTCGGCCACGATGTACAGTGTTGGACCCAATCAGGATCCTCACTTTAGTGATTTTTTTGTTTATTGCCCCATGCAAGTAGTCATATGGCAATCACAGTGGCTGGCTGAATTAGGGCAGCCCAGGCTCTCTTATTGGTGATATACTGAGTGTGTAGGGATCAACCAGTGATAGACTGATAACCACTTAATCACGGGTTTAGGTAGAAGAGAACAGCACGCAGCGCCACTCCACCAAGGACGAAGGTTCTTTTATGACACTGCTGCTCCCACATAACGTATGTCACACTCCTCATGCGTCTCCTGACAAAACCGCCGGAACACTCTACCTCTACTAGGGATATGTTCAGTATGTTGTGCATATGCGAAGCAAAATCATATTACAAACTCAGTTATTCCCAGTGTTTCAGGTGAAACAAAGTAGAAAGCGACCGTATTGGAAAGTAGAAGATTAGATTAGCGTCCTATTCTGCTAGGCAACTGTGTTATGCACATTTGATTGAATGATATGTTCAGGGGTGTCGTGCAGATCAAGTTGATGGGGTAATGCTCATGCAATCCTTAGCGCACGTACCCTTTAGGAACAAGGTAAAACCAGGCTATATAATCTTTACTACACCCTCTAATTATTCGGATTACAAAATTTCCGCAGACAGGGAGACAGAGACTTGCGCAGATGGGATTGAGATGAGAATGGGATCGCCCAGCAAAGACACAGTTGTCGTCATATAACTGGACCTAATGAAGGGGTAGAATGATACTATATCTACAACAGGGTATAGGACAAGAAGGAGGTGTGAAGACCCAACAAGTCTTCCGAGTCCCTTTATGGCGGGAACCTTACTACTATCGGGAACCTTCTGCTGCGGATTCCTCCCTCCTCATCCGCCTAGGTAAGGGCATTAATATATGTAGGATGATCCAGCTGCGGAAGTAGATAGGTTCGACTCCATTACTCTGATTTCCGGTATTGATAAGATGACATTAAGAACTGATTTGTTCCTTGACTTTCTTGCGTCCTTCAGCAGGTATGATTTCATGGAATATTTCCCAACCATGGGTCCAGAGAGAAGCCACAATAAAGGGGTAAAGGAAACCCATTGTCGCGCGAACAAGATTCATTCAGCACTGCTGTGACATGCAAGCGACTTTCCAGGCCACCCCACTGTTGAATGAAGAAGGTTCAGCCCGGCAAAAGGATTGTCCTTGTCCCTTTATCAAGGCTTCTATCCGGCCCTATAGCAAGGAAATACCATCGAAAGGACTGCGATGAATCACTTGGGCCAGGAGAGGCCAAGTGCAGCCATGACCCTTTCGCAGGCATTACGATCCTTGTTGGAGTCATAGTAGACTGCGCCGATAATGGCTTCCATAGTGGTGGCCATAACATTCTTCCCAGCCACAACACCCCACTGTCCTGGATTCTTTATGATAAAAGGGTCAAGGCCTAGGCTAACCCCCCGGGAGTGCAGATTGTTATTAGAGGCTACCTGCGTGATGGTGTTCTGGATCTCGTCTGCCATAAACGGAGCCGTTAGTTTGCAGATGATTTGTGGGTTACGAAAGGGTATCCTGCCTGGGGTGGTCTGTCTCTCCCTGCCATAGTCGACAAGGACTTGGCGGAGAATGGCGTCGCCAGCCAACGCGAGGCTCTTATTGCCGCTGGGGTTGTATGGGGCACAGCCCTGAAGGGCCTCACGAATTAGGTCTCGATTGATAAAACGATAGGTTTGCTGGAGGAATGCTTCCTCGAATGCATCGATTTCGTTGTCCGTCGGCAGGGGCAAGATAATCATGGTGGCGGTTTGAGAGTGGTCAGCACGCTGGTGGTGGTCACGTAGGAATGTATTATATGGCGATTGGGAGATAAAATAGGATGTAATGGAGAGAGGACTCAACACAAGGGATATCCAGAATAAATAAACAGGATGAGGGTGCAAGGCGATGCAGGTTGGCGCTACTAGGATAGAGGACTGCGAGGCATACTAGGCTGAAACTGCCTTCCAGGCTTACTTTGAAAGCCACCTAACCCCGTTTGCTAAAATCTGACATACATAGATGTTGTATGTCCATAACTGCCTGTCGATAAGGTACATATCTCCGTACCCAAGACCCTATGGAGCCCATTGCAGGCTCCAAGGTTTTCCTAATCCCAGTTTCAGCAGGATGATTCCCCAATCCAGGGCATATATTACTACTCAAATCTTTATTTTAATGATAGAATAGTTAGGTAGTTTAATTCGAAGAAATTAGCAGCTAAGTTTAGGAAAATGAATCATAGGATTAAGCAAAATTAGAATATAAATTATTTATGACTAAAGGACTCTTAAAAAGTCTAATAAAATAAAATTATTATTATAAATATTATTTAATAAAAGACTATAAGCATTGAAAAAATTTACTTAAATAGATAAAAATAAATAATAATTTCTTTTATAAATATAGAAGGTACGTAAAATAAATCTTTATATTTGCTACTTAAAGAGATATTAGTAGCACTGCCGACTATAAGGCTTTCAAATCATGGGAGAGACGGACCTTTCCAAGCAGAATAAGACCTCCGATGGTGTCACCCCTAACACAGCCCTTCAGACTATACTGCACGAAGACACTAGATAGTAACAATAGAGAATTGAGGGAAAGGGATCTATGGCTGAGCATATCATCACAGACTGGCTGGTCTTGGGGATGTGCGATGTCCAACACACTCATTCCTTAAACTTCCCAGCGCGAGTGAAAGCGTGTCAGCTATCATTCGTGCCATGTCCGACTTTTTACCCAAAAGCCACAGCCCTTTTACACAGTCCTCGGCCCGCTCCATAATGCGTTCAAAATCATGACTATTGTGTCCAAGAGTAGACTCGTCGTAGCGCAAGGTTTCATCAGCTTCACCAAGAAGAACCGTGGAAGCCGTGGTAAACGCCCTGATCAGAAGCATGGTCCATGGCTCGGTCAGCAGCGTCCCTTCGTTGACAGCGTGGTGAAAGTCTGGCATTTGCGGCACGCCCAAGTTGATATCGCCGTCAGGCGGCGTAGCAACTCGTGCCAGGTCTGATAGCTCCCTTGCACTATGCTTCCGAATCCTCCAGGCCATTTGACTGGTCCTCCGGTTGCAGGTCGCGTCTTCCATCCCCAGGGCATTCTCGTCGATGAAGTCCAGGAGATCTGCAAGCAACAGGGCAGCAAGGTGCCAGTGTGCAGAGATACAGACAAACCAGCCCTGTATGCGCTGCGGAACCGCACTGTAGTTCTGCACGAGTTCCCCAAAGAAGGCACCGTGAGTCTTGTTCCAGTAATGATACAGTGACATTGTACTGGAGATAATGTCTTCAATATGCCCTTCGTGAGAGCCCTTGCGAACAGCGTTTTGTAGGTACGACAGGTGGCGGAAGATGAGGACTTTGACCGGCGCGGACTTAATGACGTCCTCGGCCGCGGCCTCGTAGGAACAGGGCCAGTGTGTTTGGTGCGTATTGTCGACGCTTCCTTGTATGAGAAGTTCAAGATTCCAGCGGCCTCGCACGAGAGCTTGGTCCATTTTGGCGATCTTCTGCTTCTCCTTTTGCGCTTCGTGCTCACACTCCTCATCCACGACAACAACTGGACGTTCGTTCATGGACGAGGAGATAGTGTCGAACATGATGGCCAGCCAGTAGAGCAGGCCGATTGTCGCTCGATCCTCGGAGCTCATAGCTGCAATGCCATGGGCGTCCTTCTCTCGGCTGCCGCGCTGCTTGCCGAGACCCTTTTCATATGCATCGCAGCGATACTTCAATGCGTGCATCTTTCGAGCTGCGCTCTCCATGTATCTCGGTGGCCCTTCCCTACGTATTATATCACGCACCTGTGACATGACCGAGTCAATGGCAAATTTGCGGTATCGCGCTTCTATCTGAGGTTCAAGGGACTGGTTGTCGGCATTGCATGGTCTTTGTGTTAGGCCGAAGATCAGTTCGGCACAAGCCACTCTGTATGACTCAACTTCGGAGACTTGCTCTAGTGCGTGATGCGCCTGGTCCCAAAAGTAGTTCCGGAGAATCTGGTCGAATTCGCCTGTGATACCATCTGCAATTTCATCACCGGCATGATTGAGAGATCTATGGGAATATTTCTCGCGCTGACGATGACTACCCTGTGCCCACTGCGTAGCAAACGCCATGATCGCAAGGTGCAGGGCCTTGGATGCAGCCCGATCTTCCGAACGTGTCAGACGTAGAAGCTGGCAAGATTGTGCAACGCGATCGAGTTTTATTGTGCGCTGGTATATCCTGTTGGACCAGGATGAACCCCATTCGGGCACGACTTTTGCGGGGCTTCGTGATCTTGGTAGATAGGGACAGGTCATCTCAGTCAACCAGCACGATAGATTGTGCTCTAGTACATCATGATAGATTTGAAGCAAGTTAGCGGAAGTCAATTGGTGGTTGGTAGTGGAGATCAGTTGTTGATCGATTGAAAAGGGGGAGAGCGAATATTGGGTGACGCTCCAGCGGGAGCATTGTTTGTTGGAAAACAACTGTGCAGATTCTTCCAGTTGCCAAGGGCTTTTTGATGAGGTGGATTGCAGGTTGCTGTACGCCTGAGACGTTTGAGAAGCCCGGGAGGCTGGCCATATCTGATGGCACATCGGATCAAATTCGAGGTCCGAGAGCTGCTGAGTTGAGATATCTGAGGCATCGGAGAGCTCTGATGGCAGGAAATCGGACAGCGAGTGGGCAGAGGTAAATGTGGCAGGCACCTCTGTCTGCGCCTCCTGAGCTGCCTCGCTATCGCTGAGCATAGGATTGTGCAGCACTCGATCACAAGTCGTCAACGAGCCAGGGAGATCGAGCCTGGCGGGCTCCCAGGCCATCATCTCGTGAGCGGGATTTGATCTGAGCAGATCATCCCACGTCCCAGATCCCGCCTCGAGGTAGGACTCATCAGCCTCAAATGGAGGGACAAGAGGCTCTCCACTCAAGCACTCGGAATTGGGTTGCTGGCTGAGCGAGTTCAGCACAGACTGGACCTTTGACTGGGCCCACTCCATGGTACAGCGCTTGTTTGTTTTGGCGCAATAGGAGCATGGCGACCGCCGGCTGTCAACATTGTCGAATGACGCTCGTCGGGTTTGACTCGGCCATTGTGCATCGCACGCTCGCTTGGATCTCCTGCACTGGTCGCAAGAGTGGTTCTGACGTCTGATCCTGGATCCTTGCGTGCGTGCCGGTGCGCGTTTCTGGACAGACATGGCGGCCACAGTCGTTGACTCTCTTCCTTTTCTTCTCTCTTTGTTCTCTCTTCTTCCTCCAAACTCAAAAGTGAAGATTCGATGTGTTGGTGCTGAAGTAATTGAAGTCGAGCCAGGGTGCGGGGACTGGAGGGGCAATTTAGATGGGTGTTCCAAGCGGGAGGTCCACGGGTGGGGACTATGGGGGATACCCTACGTATATGGGGAGTGTCGGGTAGATGGAACCCCAGCTTCCCCGGATTCTCCCCGCACTTCACGTCTGGGACGGTCTAAGCTTAATCCATCCACTGCCCGAGCGCAGCCATACACGGTACTCCGTACACGCGGCGTCCTGACGTATTAGGTATGATTCATATCAGATCTTATTCAACCCACCTATTGTCTTACCAGAGCGCATCCCGACCGTCCATAGTTTTGCAATCCGAGGGACAGGATTTTTCTCTCCATCAGAACATATCAAACCAAGTAGTCTCTTCCATTCACGGAGCTGCGCCTCAATTTGATGTAGGTCCATAGATGAATCGATCACAATTTCTCTTGCGGCAAGAGGGCATCGATGATACGGGACAACTAACTTCCTTATGTCCGGTAGATCTTCCTAAGTCCATCTCCCTAAGCCAGTGCTTTGTATATCTCGGCCTCGACTGCTCCCCATAAACCAAGCACCTTGATATCTGCAAATGGCAGAATCTGCGTACAAATAATCCCCGCAACCCCCTTCTCTCTGTCCGCCCACCACCACAGATTCGGCAGCCCAGCCCAGTGCGCTGTGCTCTTTGACCGTCCTGTCGCACCACCGTTGCTCAGCATAAACGTGAGACCCCAGCCCTGTGGCGGGTCCCCACTGACTGGATACAGCTCACCAATAGGGTTGGTTAGGTCCGGCTTTGCAGCTGCGATCCCTTGACGACTGTAGTTGGGGAACTGAGGGATTTGGTTGGTGAACATTTCGTCGACGGTCTTCTTGGAAAGCAACTTGCTCCCCGTTTTAGGGCAGGTGCCGTTATTGAGCAGCACAGATAGGACCTCTGCAGGAACGTGTTATTGCGTTGTGTATTGCCATGGTGGCGGACTACTCACTGCAGTACTCCTGCGGCTTGGCGAACATGCCTGCTCCGCCGCTGTTGAATAACCTGCCGACCTCGGCCTTGTTGTCGGGATCAATAACCAGGGGCGCTCGAAGAAGGTGGTCTCGGTCCCTGAGAGTTCCGTCTAGGTTTCTGACGTTCATGTACGCCAGTCTCCGGCGCATATCGTGACTCGGAATCATGGACATGTCCTTGATCCCAAGAGGCTGGAGGACATTCTTCTGCAGGTAGTCATTGAGCGACAGGCCGGTTGCACGCTCCAATGCAATTCCCGCCCAGTCGATACCAACCTGTTTTAATCAGCAATGCATTCCATGGTCATGAGTGGATGACGCTTACACCGTATTCCCAGCTTTCTCCAGGCTGGAAGAGCAGAGGAAGCTTCATGTCTTCAAACCGCCCAGAGAATTCGTCCACGCCCACCGGGTACGACCAATCTCTCAGTCTTTCATTGAAAAACGTGTAGCCAAATCCAGCCGTATGGCTCAAGAGCATCCGCAGAGTAATGGCTCGCTTCTTCTCCTCAAAAGTGCCATCTGGTCGCAGAACCTTGAGACTCTTCAATTCAGGGCACAAACGCTCCGTCTGCTCTCCATCATCCAGCGCGAGAATGCCCTGCTCAACGAGTTGCATGCAGGCAATACCCACCACCATCTTCGTGCAAGACGCAATCCAGAAGATGTTGTCCAGAGACATGTTGTCATTGGACGCCGTGCCTCTCTTACCGGCAGAGTGGGCGAATAGTTCGGTACCATCTTTGCGAACAACAACGACCGTGCACCCGGGGATACCGGACTTTTGGTCTGCACAGGCGTTGTCTACAATGCCTCGGAGGCGCGAAACCACATGCTCGTCGAGAGCCATGTTGATGGTGTATGAGGAGCGGCGGAGAATTGGGCAGAATTTTGGATGTTGGATATATAGATGGCCGTGACGATGCTTGATATACTGCAGACTGCAAACGTGACATGGCTGATTTAAGAATCGGTTCATACAGCCGATGAAAATCTCATCCCCTCAGTACCCCGCTTTGGCTGTGATATAATTAGAGCTTTCCCCGCATTTCTCGAGGGCTGTATGTGGCCCCGGATCCGCACCTTGCGGAACCGCAGCGGACAGCGATGTTCAATTGCGGACATACGCTTTGCGACTCCGCAACCACCACTGATCGCCCAAGGGGCCCAATCGGGGGCACGAACGGCCATCTAATGATGCCGAACGACCTGAAGAACGCGGAGCTCTGGCACATGATGCATGGAGGTGGGTCTGGATGCATGTGTCGTACGACTCCTACAGCAGATTGGAATCGACAAAGCTGCGGCTTATCTTTATCTTGACTGCGGATGCAACGCTGTTGGGAGCGGAGGCCGATCCTAGGAGCAAAGATAGTGTAGCAATGCAGTCAATATAAATAGGGGAGCCTGGCCTCTGGTAAGTGTTTTGATAACAGCAACCCTTCATCATTTGGATATATTCTCAAGATGGGCAGCCTAGGCGACATGGATTCACGTCCCAAGAAGTACAACACTGAGCTTACGGACTACTCGGCAGTCCACACCGATAAGACTGGGCCATATGCTGAGAACCTCGAAGTCGATGCGTTGATTGTGGGTGCCGGTTTTGGTAGGTGCCATCCTCTACAGGCCTCATGCACCAGCTAACGACATAGCTGGTATCTTCATGCTCAAGACTCTCCGCGACCGCGGCTTGAAGACGGTCATCTTTGAGGCCGGCAACGATACGGGTGGCACCTGGCGATGGAACTGCTACCCCGGAGCCGGCGTTGACTCTGAAGTCCCAGAGTATGAGTTCTCTTGGCCCGAGGTATACAACACCTGGAACTGGCCCAACAACTACCCCAACTACCAGAACCTGCGTGATTACTTCGATCACGTCGACAAGGTCATTGGTGTCAAGAAAGACTGTGCTTTCAATACCGTCGTTATTGGAGCTGAGTTCGACACGAAGGAGGGGAAATGGAATGTCAAGTCCGCTGATGGTCGCACGACCAAGGCCAAGTACCTCATTCTCGGAACCGGATTTGTAAGTCATGGCATTCATCAGTCAAGTGAACTTCTACTGAACCGTTCAGGCTGCCAAGCGTTATATCCCTCCCTGGCCCGGCATGGACAAGTTCAAGGGCGTCGTGCACCACTCGTCATTCTGGCCCGATGAGAAGGTCGATGTGAAAAATAAGCGCTGCGCCATCATTGGCACCGGCGCCTCAGGTGTGCAAATTACGCAGGCCTGGGGCCCGGAGGCCGGCGATCTTAAGGTCTTCCAGCGAACTCCTAACCTCGCCGTACCCATGCGCAAGCGTGACCTCACCGTCGAGGAACAGGAGCGTCTCAAGCCCGTCTACCCAGAGCTGTTCCGGTACCGTGAGACCAGCTTCGCCGGCTTCTTGTACGACTGGTGCGAGCGCAACACCTTTGACGACACTCCCGAGGAGCGCGAGGCCTTCTACGAGAAGGTCTGGAAAGATGGCGGATTCCGCTTCTGGGTGGCCGTGTACAAGGATTCCTTCTTTAACCCCGAGGCCAACAAAGAGACGTACAATTTCTGGGCAAAGAAGACCCGTGATCGTATTGGCGACCCCCAGTTAAGGGAGCTGCTTGCGCCGCTGAAGATGCCGCACTACTTTGGTATCAAGCGGCCGTGTCTGGAATACGACTATTACGAACAGTTCAACCGGGAATCGGTGCACCTGGTTGACATCAAGAACAACCCGATTAAGGAGTTCACCGAGACCGGCATCACCCTCGAGGATGGGACTCATCATGAGCTTGATGTCATCGCAGTCGCAACTGGATTTGTAAGCTCAAATTGGTGCACTAGACAACACAGTCCAAAACTGACAATCACAGGATATTGTCACCGGCGTCATGACCCAGCTCGGCCTGAAGAGCATCGACGGCGCCGAGCTTGAGAAGGAATGGGCCACAGGCGCAACCACCTACCTCGGCACCACCGTCAGTGGCTATCCCAACATGTTCCACATCTATGGCCCGCATGGTCCGACTCTCCTGAGCAATGGACCCACGTCTGTCGCGGTACAGGGCCGCTGGATCGCCGACACTATTGCCAAGATCGAGGCCCATGGTATCAAGTACATCAACCCCAAGAAGGAGGCCGCCGACAAGTGGAAGAAGCTTGTTGTCGCGCTAAATGACCGAACCCTCTTCCCTACGACGAAGTCGACATACATGGGTGGCAGCATCCCTGGCAAGGTCTTTGAGCCAGTGTGCTACTCTGGAGGTATTCCCGCTTATACCGCCCAGATTCGAGAGGCTTTGGATAAGTGGGAGGAAGGATTTGACTTAGTTAAGGCTTGATCGAGTATCATTTTAGTGTCAATTGAATGTTTTTGTCGTTGAACTTTATCCTGGCCGCTGCCCAATTTCCTCCGCTTACCTATAGCAATGGGCGAATGCCAGAATTGGCATTGGGAGACTTTATCTACTCTTGGATACAACGTATATCGAGAAGTCCTCACTAACATGACTCTTCCCGCAGCAGCAGCTCGCACCGCAGCATGTATCTCGCCCTCCGCGCCACTCTCAAGCGGAAGAAGAGGGGACCGGACAGTGGCATGGTTCAGGATACCACGGGCAACAAGGCCATATTTTAGCGCAACAATGTACCCCATATGGGGCGCGCGATGATAAACACTCTTGTTGACAGGAAGGAGTTGGTCGTGAATCTCGCGAGCCCACTTGTAGTCCTTGAACTTGCCGGCATCGATCAACTGGAGCAAGCCTTAAGACCAGGATGGCACGCGTGAGGGTCCCTGGAAGGGCTTCTGAACCCCTCCGTCTAGCAGCAAACATGGGTATCCATACTACGTGAAGCTGGGAGATATTGTTACCATCATGGGCAACTAAAGGAAGTACGACGGTTGGACAAGACCTGTTAAGGAAATGGGAAATGCTGCTGAGAAGGGGCCAGTATATCAGTTGCCAATTAGCCTTTCTTCTGGCGGAATCCTGCTGTTACCTTCTGTCAGGTCAGTCGTTACAGAATGAGATGAACTGCTTCCCTCCATTGCTTCATTCTTTGTGTTTCAATCTAAGTTAGATAGAACTATGAAAGCTAAAGAACTTTCTATAATATAACGGCCCCCAAATGAATATTTTATTCAAACATCCTCCGACCTGTTTTGACTTCACAAGCCCTGCCGGACTTTTGGAGAACTGTCTTCACTGCGTTGATCAACGCCATGTCACAGCCTTTAAGATATTGTCAGTACCCAGCATAGAGAGAAGTGGAAAAACAAACAGCACCTGGTTTTCCCAAGACAGAAACGACAACGGGGAGTTGCTCATCTAAATCACTGACACGAGAGCGATACTCCAGTTCGCCGACTAGATCTGCAATTAGATTTACAGTTCCAAGTGTGGAGTTTTCAAGGGATACCGTACTTGGCACTGAAACTTCAGGCGCCCCCATCACGGGCGCTAACCAGATGCCATCAAATGTATGTGGGGCTGCCGGTGGCCTTCATATGTATGAGTAACTTCAATTAGATTACATTTTGATGAAAACTCACAAAGGTGGATCTTCTTTATAGTCCACTTCTTGGCTGGTAATAGGCAGGATGACTAGAGGGTTTCTCTGACTTGTCTGCAATATATGCTCCAACAGCCACTCCTTATATACTTCGAGACGTCTCATCCCGTCTTCATGTTCTGCGCCTGAAATGTGTTTGGCAAGGTCCCTCCGAGTCCGTCAGCAAACGCTCCATAAGATTTTCAAATTGATAACGATTCACAAACCATCTGAAACGAGTCACAGGGTTAATGTAAGGCTCCCGGCCAAACTTTTCATGGTACTCTTCTCTGAAGCTGTCCATTGTATGATAAGCATCGTAGACAAAGGTGTTGATCCCAACCTAAACTTCCCCATCAGCATAGTGTCTCTGCAAAGCTGCTAGATGAACTGCATGATAGCCTCACATCTTTTAGATACTCCTGAACTGTGACGTTTACAGCTTCATTTGGTGGGAAATCTCTCCAGGTGTCAGCTATGGAAACCTTATCCGTCTTGATGCCGAATGTGGCCTCCATGTCAGCAAGGAATAAATCAATTAGTTGCATCTGCTTCGTGTTTTGAATTGGAAGAAAGTCAACAGGGTAGACAATTGAAATAGGAAGCTAAGTTTGTTAACGCATGTGCAAACTATGCCTGCTGTTTCAACTTACATCATTGTAGGTAGCACTCGTCTGATTGAGCCAAACGCCCATCCATTTCTCTAACGAGATAATACTTCTCGTGTACATGGCGGGCGAATCAAATCTCCTGAGATAGATTAGCCAACTCCATGCCCAACGAAGTCCGGAAAACGTACGGGAAAGAGGGTACTGCGTTGTCCAAGGGAATCAGGTTATGAGTAAGGCGGATCTGGAAAGCTCCATTTGCCATGGCGGGCCGCCGACTGCTTCCTGTTGCTATGGCATGATTTTCAGCGATCCTCGGCCCTCTGCCCTTATTGCGCCGAGTCAAACCTACTGTCTGTGCCAAGGGTGAAGTCCAGCCAATCATACGAAGCAATGGCTGCGCCGCTTCCACCGCTGCTGCTCCAAGCAGACTGATAGCCATCTGCTCTTGGATTGAACGGCGCATGGTAATCAACAGATTCCGTGGGCTCCTCTCGGGCGATCAGTGAGCCTAGTTTGAGAGTACCCAGGAGCTCAGCTCCGGCATCAATCAGTCTCTTGATTGCTGGGCTTGTTACAGTTGCCGGTTTGGAGAGGCTATAGAACGCCCGATCCCCTGCTGTAACCCGGAGCCCTTCGACGTCGAATATGTCTTTAACCGCAAATCTCACACCACCAAGTGGCTTGTCCTCTGCATGGACCCCAGGTATACGTGAGCTCACTGCAACTCCGAGGCTTGTATAGAAGTCACCGCTAACACGGAGGTTTTTGAATGGTCTGTCGAAATTTTATCCCATTAAACTGCAGTCTCCATTGCGGCCGGGTTCGAGTCACACTGACGTACCCTGGGGTAATCGGGGGCTGGATGGCGACCATGAAAGCCCCGTTCACGTCATCGTATATCCTGTGGACAGTGTAAAGCTTCCCGTATGAGACCATGCGAGGACCTGGGAGTAGCTGGCCGCCAACCTCTTTGTTGAGGGTGGTCCACCATTCTGGCCTCCACCCCATGGGCAGGCTTTCGATAGAAGCTGACAGATTCGGCTGTATACTGTTGTCCTCTGTCACAATGATGATACCCGCAAGGAACTCTGGCTGGAATATATCATCGATGTGTAGCCAGGACTGGATTTGATCGTGGAGCCAGGTTGAATTTGGAGTCTCCATGGGACCCAATCGAAAAACCGTGGCAAGTGAGGGGAGAGTGGTCGGTGGGTCAATCTGTGTTTCATAAATTACTTCAAAGATCCATAAGTTAATCGGAGCATGGACATGCCTCTAACTCTGGCAGTGTGAGGAAGCGCTTATCTTCCAGCTGAAAAAAGGAGTGATGCTCAATCACTGGGACAGGTGTTGTAGCGTAAGTGCGCTGCAGGCAACCCATTGGTTGAATAACTAGACTGTCACCCATTCTGAATACAGTTCGTAAGGATGTAATTAGAGTGCTAACAGGTCTGATGGAGTAGATTGCGGAAAGAATGGAAAACGCGAAGAGATGGAATCGGGCCTTTGTGAAGTGGGTTTTCTGAACTCCAGCCCGCGTTTCTGGTTCAACAAAGAAACCCGATTTTGTCTAACCTGCTCTACCACCAACGGATATTGGACGGACATATCCAACGTATCAAAGATAATCTGGCCATATTCAAAGGCGCCGGATCCATAGGATGGCCGAGATCAATGTTAAAGCCAGAAAAGCAACGAATCCTTGACGATGTTGCTGGAAAGCTTATTCGTGACTATGAATACCTTCTTTCTCGTTCCTTGACTCTACCAGAGCAGTGCATTCGCGCCATGTTGGTTGTCATGAATAACACCATGATCAAGGAGTCCTGTGATGCCATGAGTCAGGCCGAAGGCGTGGTAAAGCTCATGTCTTGCTGTTATCTTTGTACCGCTCTCTTTCACTGCGTCCTTCTTTTGGGCATGAACTTTGCACAGTTTGGACAGGGAGGTCTCAGCATATGGATATGGGTTGCTGTTTCACACCTATCTCTATACTAGAGCTGGTTTGGATTAGGTATGGTTTTCCTGGCAATGTCTCGAGAATGCCCAGGAAACCAGGTACGTGGACACCTAGAATCGATCGCAATGACACTGAATGTGGACCTTGAGTCATGGACACAGTGGCGCACATGACTGCGTTGCAGTTTCTATAAATTGGGATGGAAACTTTGATGCGTCTATATCCAATCATCGTGCCGTTCATTATATATATCACTAAGTTATGACAAACAGTTGGTTTTTCGTGACAACCCAGGACACTGTTCTGGGATCAGAGCAAGATGACATTGTGATTCTGGTTCAAGGCTGTGTTTTTCTCAAATTAAGCATGGTGGTTGGACTTCTAAGCTACCAACATCCTCCCTCATTCTTCATGGTGATCTGGCGGTATCTGTCCACTTGGTCAACCCCGTACCGCGGCGCATCGGGTCTAGCATCAATTTCGCGCTCAGTTGCCCCTGTCTATCTTGGCGATCATGGGTCTATGATACCACAACGTTTGCCGACTAAGTGCCGTGAGCCTGAACGGCACTTCAGTCCTCTGAATGGCCTTTTCGTTGGCTCGTATTTGTGATGAGCCCACCAGGTATTCTCGGGAATTCTCCCCCCGCATCGTTCTTCCAATTAACGCGAACATCTGTTCTTCATCCTCGGCTCAAACCACGAGAAACACGACGGAGGGCGGGGGAAGGAGTCGAACCGCAATATAAGTATATTATCATGCATTTGCCAAGTTCTTGTGCGCAACCACCACCTGGACGGAATGTCACATCTGTTGCGTTCTTTCTGGGAAAAGTCAATTCAGCGACGGTTCATTTACCTTGATCTGGTGCGGGGTTTAAGCAAGAGACAACATCTGAGCAGCCATGGCGCCCCCCTTTTCGGCACAGGTGGCCAGCAGCTCAGCCAAATGCCCATTCTAGCAGGCTGCGATGTCCACATCTGGAAATCACAGTTTACATGCCGAGGAGGTGGCAATATGAACAGTATTTTTCAATGACTGCAGACAAATGCCGAATCATTCCATGATATCCAAGTGCCGGTGCACCAAGGGCCCGCGACGAGGCGGCTTCTGGCATATAAAACGGCACACGACCACAGGCTTTGGCAAAAGAGGACCTAAACAACCATTGACAAGAGGAACACCTACTATTCTCATCGTTTATCAGCATCATGAAGCTTCTGACTGTCTTGACTCTTCTCACCGGGCTGGTTGCAGCTAGCCCGATTGACCTTGAAAAGCGACAGCGTATGTTCCCTCTGCCCCAGAAGCTCCTTCTTCAAAGATCCTGCTACTACTCCCGTATCATGAGAGTAACACTGATTATTACGTAGTGACAGGAAATGAGTTGCGTGTGGGCGCTTGCGAGGAGATCACTTTCATTTTTGCCCGCGCCTCCACTGAGACAGGCTATCTCGTACGTGAAGCACCATCCAGGTACCAAGGCCCCCATGCCCCATGCTTACAAAGGGCAGGGTGGCTCTACAGGACCAGGAGTTTGCAACGGCCTGAAACTGGCGCGGGTGGGCCAAGTCGCTTGCCAAGGTGTTGCACCTCGGTATACAGCCGATCTGGCGTCCAACTTCTTGCCTCAAGGCACCTCGCAGGCGGCTATTGACGAAGCCGTGGAACTGTTTCAGCTGGCGGCGTCAAAGTGTCCGAACACTAAGATTGTTGCGGGAGGATACAGGTTCGTCCATTTCTTAGACATTAGTATATTCCTCGCTGACGAGTCACCAGCCAAGGAACGGCGGTCATGCACAATGCGATTCCCGCACTGCCCGACAACATTAAAAATATGATCAAGGGGGTGGTGCTCTTCGGAGACACCCGCAATCAGCAGGATGGCGGCCGTATCCCGAACTTCCCAACTGACAAGACCAAGATCTACTGCGCCGTCGGCGACTTGGTGTGCGAGGGCACTCTCGTCATTACCGCAGCGCACTTTACCTATATGGCCAATGTCGCGGATGCCGTAAGCTTCCTTCTTGCGAGGGTCTAGAGGTCATTGTGACTATCGTCAACCTTGAGTGAGCTATGTTGGCGAGGAGTTTGGTTTCGGCAGCCGTGTGGCCCCTCGTTGATGATAGGGTGAGATAGTGGCAGTGCCTGTCAAGTGATGAACCAAATAGGCCTGTTACAACTAGGAGTGTACAAGAGCACAGATTGATGAATATGATGGTCTCAAGGCAATGTATTTCCTCCGTAAGTGGCTCTATCTGCAACGGACCTCCCTATGTAGATAGTAAGGTGCTGTCTGATACAGTACATCATCTTGCCATATTCCCACTTCTCGCTTATTTTCGGCATATAAAGCTTTTGTTCCTTGTTTTAAAAGAGGGTTGTCATGTACTGCCATCTGAGCGCTTTGTCAAGATGTTGAATATTAACAACTGTGCTTCAAGAGAGACCCCTCAATTCCGCTCTAATGTTATTCTCTAGACTGGATATGCAGTATTTTTGGCCTTGGTGGCACATGTTCTGCGGAGTCGGGGAAGCACAGGAATAAGCATTTAGCACGATATCGTTGGCTGATGGGAGTGCTTATTCGGAAGATCCAACAAGGCCCATGTGTCTATCTCGCCATCCATGTACTCGGTCCACAAGCTAGGTAACCAAGACCCATAGCGGATAGCGGTGAAAAGATTGTATTCATATCAAATGTGTTTACTATCATCGGAGGAATATTGATCCTCTCTTTGCCAGAAGAATGTAATTTCCGACTCAGGTGTGGAAAAGGGTCCCAGGTGCAATGTCCAGGGGCGAGCGGGAGTAACCGCCGCATTCCTCTACTTGGGGTAATGCAATGACAATATGGAAAGCCCGAAGGACGTTGAAACCGACACTCCACTGCTACCTCCTAACGGAATTTAGTACCGACCAACATTGAAGGATGCGTAGGATTCGACGATCGTTGCCATACTGCAGTCCCCGGCCTGCTCCCGTTCCGGCCCTCTTCTACTTCTCATGTCAGAGAGACAACAATAACGTTCAAACGGGGCTATTGGCCGAGCCACAGATACAGTCAATATATACCGTTTCGTAATGGACAGAGAAAGGAACGAATGAGGCAGGGAAAATGTAAAAAACTGCCTCCCCACCGTCAGGTTTGAGTCCCAAGCACATCCGTGCTCAAAACTAAAAATCCCAAAGGCAAGCTGAATAGCCATAGTCCGCTCGCATGTGTTTGCTAATTGAGCGGCATTGGCGAGTCTGGATTCTCGTCATCTCAACGCGCTGATCGATGCAGAACCGGGCCGGCGAAAGGATCAGCTTGGGACGGAGATAAAGTAGTTGTGTATAGAAGGGCTGAGTGTCTGCGGTTTCGGTTTGGGGGAATGGAAGGGCAACGGATTTGCACGGTGTGTTTTTAGCGTGTATAAATCAGACCCTGGTAGGAAGATAGTCATATATTCATATTCATCAGTCATGGGAGTCACATCTATATATTGACGGGAATAAAGCCTGTACAGTCATATTACTCTCTCCGCTTGAGAAGAGCAACCACACACCATCTCCGCCTATTCTCCGGCCCCTCACCTTCACGCTCGGGCATCCACTCCCGCCGCACCTCACCTCCATCCTCGGTTGTTGAAATAAGATCCCGCTCGTGGATGCGCTCGATCTCCAGTCCATTCTGCACGGCCGTCTCAAAGAACCACGAGACAATAGCACGCCCCGTGTGGAACCCTGCCACGACCCAGACCCTCCCGCCCGGCGCCAGGAACCAGTTCATTGTGCGCACTAGGTTCTCATGCTGCGAGCGCATCCAGTAACAGTCGGCCGCGATAATGCGGGTAAAGGTACCGCGGTGCGCGACAGCCCACGGGTCCGATTCCAGCGTGCCCCATTCATGCGGCTGGCTCGTGATTTTTGTTTGTGTAGTCGCCAGATTACGACGAACGTTAAACTCGATAGCGCCGGTTAATGCTGGCGACGACGGGTGATCGGTGATGGTGACAGCAGCAGCGTGCGCACGCGCACATATAACAGAAGGCAACGCAGCGCCAGCGCCGAGTTCTAGCACGCGCTCGTCGCGTACCGTCCACATAGCCGTGTCGGGGTCGAGCTCGCCCCGCGCGGCGAGGGTGTCAGCCTTTTCCACGCCCTCGGCGACCACCATCGCGGCGCTCCAGAGGAAATGCGCAAATAGCTTGCGGCCCTCGTCGACAGCATTCACGCTGCCGTCTTCGGAGGGTAGGCCGGCAGCGATCTCCTCCGTGCGGCGTTCGCTCTGGCTGGGGTACGAGGGCACCATAATCTCGAGGTCGCCGTAGCGCGGGGAGCTGTACAGGAGGCGCTGGCCGGGGTCTCCGTGGAAGGAGGGCGCGTCGTCAGGAAAGAGATGGGGGAGAAAGGCGGAGAAGAGGTCCTCAGCAGAGGAGTCGTCGTTGTTGTCTTTATCGTCGAAGTCTGGCGGAGGGGCAGCCTCGGTGGGGATTGTGGACGCAGACGCCGGTTGGCGGCGAGGGAGAGGGCGGATGCGTGAATGGAGCATGTTGAATCTCCCGCCAAGTAGCCCCTTTGGCTTCCGTCCTGGATGGGGGAGAATGTCTCTTGGGTGCTTTCCAAGTTATTGTGGTTATATAGTACTTGGACGGAGCACATGAATTTTTGGTGAGGGTCATTGCTGGATGCTTATTGGCGGTGAGAAACTGCCAGCGGAACTTTTCCGCCGGTCACATGATAATAGTCACATGACTATGAGGTGAGCCAACAATGTCCTTTTGGGATACCCTTAGTGGTTCTCCATGGATTCAGCGAAGATTGGCAGCCAGGCTTGCGGCTTCAACCTCGCAATCAGCAGCTAGACCTATCCTCTCCTTCAGAGTTCGCTTTTCAGCGGAAGTTGCGCAGACGACTGTGTATCGACCAAGGAGACACCCTTGTTGTCAAACGTCAGGGAGCCAACTTCCACGCTCTGGCTATCTATCTCAGACATAAAATCTGCGATGAGATCCGTGAGAATCACATCGCTCCCCTTCCCGCTGGAAAGCCCGATAGCCGTTGGCAGCCATTCGGTCGAGTTGGTCAATCGAGAGGTGAAGGACGTCTGGCCGACTGGATACAAATGTGCGTTAGTTAACCTCCCTTTAAACAACGCGTAGCCGGGATCAAAAAGAGTCTGCCTTACCGGGGAGTATAGCCTCCGGCGACCCAGAGTAAGGGGACAGATTGTAGAAGAAGAAGCCGATCCCTGTGAACTGCTGGGACCCGTCCCGGTATGTATCTCCATAGTCCGGCTTGCCACTACTCCACGGCAGGAGGAGAAGTGTGTCGGAGAAGCCTTCCTGAGCAGGGGGCAGGACATTAGTCGTATACCACGACTCGAAAACGTTCCATCTCCGGGTGCCTGCTTTCTCTTGCTCGTCCGTCACTGTGGGAAGGTAGCCGCTGTATTTTTTTAGGTTTGTCAGTCCAGAGTCAAGCTCACCTTGCAAGATACTCTCAGTTAGTAACAAAGAACAAGTGATGCATACCGCTTGGATTGTAGCTGGGGGTTGAGCACTGGATCTCGGCCGTGGGTTTGTCTATACTCGGTGATGAACGGGCCAAGAAAGTCTCTCCATTGAGGCGGGTTAGCGGCCCACTCGAAGACATGCTCGAAGTACTTCTCCAGAGTCGTGTTTTCGGGGACTGATTTGTTTTTGCCCAAACATCTTCTATGCTAAAACGTGTTCGTTGAACCCCGAGGTAGGTTTCAGCTTCGTGATAAAAGACTCCAAGACAGCGTCGTGATCCGTGCTTGTCTTCGGCCAGTATTCCTCAGGGTAAAGAAGCTTCTGTGGTTTCTGCAGGATTTTAGAAGTTAGGATACATGACATACATCCACTGAGAGAGGAGTTTCCAAGTGTGTCCCCTACCTTGGAGAACTTTGGATCGTTGGCGGAGCCGTACAGGGCTCGGGACAATTTTGCGAAGGACACTGCATCACGGGCAAAGCCGCCAACAGTGTCGGCTAGCCTGTAAAGAAATTGCGGTCAACCGAGAGACCATAACAAACCATGGCTCTGCTTTCGGGTGGGGTTCCAGGCATACTTGGTGTATGGGATAATTCCCTTGAAGCTTACGGCGTCCAGCGAGGGCCGTATACCGTAGAGGCCCTGGACTGTAGCCGGAGCGCGAATACTCCCGAGTGCTGTTTCGACTTCTGTTACCTATATGGACGAGAGAGGATGGAAGGAATATGATCGATACACATACTGTCAGTTCCGAGAGTAAAATCCAGCCAACCATACGAGGCAACCGCGGCTGCACTCCCACAGCTGCTCCCGCTTGTCGTTTGATATCCGTCCGCGCGCGGGTTGAACGGCGCATGATAGTCGACATAGTCACAGGTCGGCCACTCCGAGCCTGCAAACTGGGTAGATTTTAATTTCCCGACAACAATGAAACCAAGCTCTAGTATCTTCTGAACAACGTCCGCATTCTCGGTGCGTGGGCCGTGTAGTTCGGTGTACGCTCGGGAGGAGCCCCCTGTGCGCAGCCCGCTGAGGTCCATTATATCTTTGATTCCGACGCGGGTTCCCGCGAAAGGCTTCTCCGTCGTTGGTTTATGATATAACCGGGAGGGTACGGCTACCGTTAGGCACGAGGGACACGTCTCTCCGTATGCGGCGGCGTCAAGAGGCTTGGAGCTATGACTCGGTCAGAAGGAGTCTTGCTTTCGTCGTTCCAATGCTGTGTATTATATTCTCTCTGTCGGCAGACGCAAGCAAAAGTCCACTGACCTGTACGGATCTTCCGTAGGCACAGTCGGGGCAACAAATGCGCCAGCATAGTCCGGGTATAGCCGGTAGGCCGGATGCAGTCTTCCCATGTTTAAGAAGTAAGGTCCATCATTCACGCCGGACGCAAGGGAAGTGACGTAGATTGAAGATGTATTATACTGTTGGAGGAGCTCTTCCGCATCCTTTCGGATAGACTTCTGGTATGCCGGCGACTGCAGGACGACATTTTCCAGGAAACGGGGCGACCAGACATCGTCCAACCGGTCGAATCTCTCGATGCTCTCGCTGAGCACCTGTTTCGCTGTCGCAGAATCATGGATCGAAAAGACAGTGCACGGGACTGCGATTTGATTGGCATCAACGGGATCTCCATGTTACAAAGAGAGAGAAAAAGATTCAGTCAGCCGAGTAACAGATAAAGCTTGGTCGGAACTACCTCTTTGCGTACGTCAGAAATTTGGTGGACGTAGTATGCAGTCTCCCGTAGTCGGAGCGTGATTGATGCGGATAATTGGGAAGCCATGGCAGCGACTACTGTTCCATAAGAGAGAATTGTTGCGAGAATAGCCAGGGGAGAAGACACGGCTGCGGATAATAAAGGTCAGATTTATATGGCGAAGGCACGACAAAGAGAAATGAGGCTGGAAAGTGACTAAGAAATGGAATCTGTCAAACGGGGCCCGCTGGGAACACAACGAACAGCCCCACAAGGGACAAAGAAATGCCAGACCAAATGGAGTCTCAAATTGCGGTGACTAGTTAGTGGGCTCAGTCATGCGCTGAGCGCTCCGGGCGTTAGTACAAAAACCCTCTCAGACCGATCTCAAGACATATGGAAGGGCTGCTTTTGTAGCGGCCACACCGAAGTAAAGACCAAGGCGAAACCAGTGTATGCGCGAGACTGAGAGTATGTACAGAGTCGCGGTGGAAAAAGAAGGGTCAAGCTTGAAAAACCTCAAACCTTGAGAGGTCTACAGTGATCGTGATTAGCCAATTTACTCGAGGACTACCTACTGTAGCCTCCATCTTGGTTCTGTGGGACCCGTGGTGGAGGATCGGGTGGATGAGAGGCTCTTAGGTGGTCCACAAATATAATGTTGTAAAGTCCACTCAGGCAGTTGAGCATTTATGTTTGTTATATAGGGACTTCTGATAATGCTGATATCTGACTATCAAGTGACCTAACCCTGGTGGAGTGAATAAGCTGTTTGAGTGTTCTACCTAAATACTGCAGATCAATGGCAGCAGACAACACTGGGTTGACAAGGTAGACGACACGCTTGAGCTATTGTAGTTCAGAAATGTCAAGGACAGTGGCAATCCTCATATTTTCAGCGCAACAGCTCTGGGGAAGTATTCCATTACAGACTCGGGCAGGATGGTTGCTGAGCAATTAAATCTGCAGTCTCGGCGAAGATTGTCTCTGGATCTCCGCACGGAGAAGCTCGAACCCGGTAACCACTACAGACGGCCATGTCACTAGCGATAAGAGAAACCAGCGGACGGATTACATACCTGCTCCGGAAGTTTGGGTAACAAGTGCCAGAGATAGTGGCACATCTCCCGTTGGTGGCAACCTCACGCAGATAGAATGTCTGAGGAGGATAGAATTTGTAGTTGGTAAGGTACAGGCAGAATGAATTTGGATCCGGGCTAGACATTAGGCATCAGCCAATTGAATGATCCTTAGGTGCGCTGCATAAGGGGGGACTGAGCATACTCAACATAGTTCCAGCACACCTCCCAGTCTTGGGACACGGATACAATATCACTCGGCCCTGGCTTGGTAATCTGCAAGGCACTGGCCGTTGCTAGTATGGCCGCAATGGAGGCAGAAACGAGACGCATTATGACGGTACTGGCGCAGGTTGATAGTGATTGTAGAAGAGGCAGACAATTTATCGGACTGAGGAAAACACGACGACTTAGAGTAAAGAAGCGGAAGGTGGTCGAGAGACGGGAAGAGAATTGTAATGGATGGAAGAGAGGCTCCTTTTTATATAGCCAACGCCACAGGCTCGCACAACGCGTCCTGTGATGCGATGGGAGAAATTCTCCATCCACGACATATCCTTCCTGCACGATGATACGTGCCTCACTGCATCCAAGTTCGGAGTATATTACGACGGAGCGTAGTGACAGGTAGTCTAGAGCAGGTCAAACGTAGATCTATATTCTGGGAAATGGAAATCAAGTCGGAGGATCAGCTTCAGTACCCAGATTGGCTGAAACGTTCTGGAATAAGTGAGAGTTTACAATAAAGATACTAAGACCTAGTGGAGTCGTTCTGACAATGTTCGAACTATGATGGTCAATCTCCTGGTCATTGACTTCGTGGTCCTCCTGATTTTGGTACGTTGATTACTAGACTTGATCGTCTGCAGAAGCCTTACTGCCCAATAACGCGTTCCGCGGGCAGTGAAGTCACAACAATACGAGACATTGCTATGCATGAACCGCATCCATCAGCCATCTGTACCACCCGTAGATTGACTGATCACATCTGGTTGGTGGAATAAGCACCATCCGATTAGCTGCATCATCTCCTTACCTTCGCCCTCGTATACGAACGAGATGCCTCGATCCAATGAGCGTAGTCAGGAAGGTGTCCTAGAGCAGCTGACCAGCGTTCTTGAGATTTATTCCAGTCTGGTGCTTTGAATCTAGTGGAAGATTTGCCTGCTGTATTGCATTTTCCACGCCTGCATATCCAGTTGACAAAGCACAGGTCGGGGTCTCGAGGGAACTTTCCAGGTCGCACTGCAGGAGAAGCCTTTCTCTTAGGCTCTATCTTTACGTTCACTGGAAGAGAGGATACTCTACCTTGAGGCTGTAAGTTTCTTTTGTTGGCAAAGGTGATGTGTCCCCGGACTACGCAGCTCCATGATACGTGTGGGTGTCTCACTCCACCGACCAAATCAGGTCGCCAATAGCTGCTGAATAGACAGGCAGCTACCTCTCAAATTTCTGATCTGAATGGGCATATAATGTCGCATGCATGACTATGAGTCCACCTTTGGGTTTTCTTCGGTCTCCTAGTTTTTAATAGCTGTTTAATTGGCGAAGACGTGTTTAATAGAAGTCATAAGGCTCGAGAGATCTCCATGGTAGTAATTTACGGGTGGATATTCCCTTGTGTAAAAGAATCAGAGCAATAGACTTTATTGGCTGAGAGATTACCTCTATAACTGACGCCATCGGAACACAAGGAACATTCCTAGGGAGATGGTGAGATGGGAAAGATGGAAGCCGCAGACTGGAGCGCCACCGCAGACGCATCTACACCCACATTAACGCAGGCCTCATTTGAGCCAGCTGCCGCACATTCATCATTGGACAAGCAAGAAACACCCGCTGTTACTCACTGTATGGTTGATGAAGTGTAGTCAGGTAGTTGCAGGAATAATGAAACAGGATGGACGATCTATTGCCTTGGCCGAATATAATGTGTGGACAGTCGAGGGAGGAATGATCAGCCATGGCAGCTGATTGTTACATGTTACATAGTCGTTGCAACAAAAGTATTCGATCTTGTATATATTTCTATTCGTAATCCTTTGGTCGTCGGCATACTATAATTACACTTTAGGTGAAGACTTCCATGGACACTCTCAGCGGGAAAGGTAACATTTCCGATGCACCCCATGGATATGCACGTATCGGTAAGATGATGGACTCGTCCGACCTGCGACCTGTACTTGGCCACCAAGGCTAGCATGACGCAGCTATTCGGGCTAGCTTGTACGAGAATTTCCATTGCGTGACCTCCAGTTTCCTGACTGCAAGAGGATTCCAAGGGACCCTAGTGAACCACATGTCATCAGGACCGGCCCCCAGATGGCGGGAACGAAGCGTCCCTGCAGCAGGGCCCTCCGAACCGTGACATAACGACAGATGCCGTATCCAAAAGACGAAACGCTGATTGCCCAGCACACCTGGCTGGCCACAGTTTCGTTGCTGCCGGATGTTGCGGGTTCTGGTTCTTGGCGGCTCCTTTCCCGTCCGGCTCGTGCGGTCGTCGATCTTGCAGGCTCAGTAGAGGAGTCTGACACCGGTCGGATGTTCAAATCCCTGCTGAAAATACGGTCGATAATGCCCAGACGACCGAGAGCCAGTGCCATGGCGGCAAATGCAAGGCCCATTCGGGTCCATGACAGAAAGGTGCGCTCGTTGGCCAGGTGGTCTCGCAGTTGCGATCCGTCGTTAGCCACCGACTTGGCGAAGAGGAAGTGACGGAGTCGGGACACGATCATTATTGCTAGTGAGGAACATGCAATGTGACAATTGAAATCGAAACTAAATTGGGGTTGAATAGGAGGAGCCGACCCCTCCGCAAGAAGTTGTGGTCTCGAACTCCATCGATATATGTTTGTGCCGGTAACGTGATCCACCGCCCGCCCAACACTTCAGAAGAATTAGTTCGAACAGATACCCTTAAGTCCCTCTTGTTGAGCTGTACGGAGTAGATTAAGATAACCAGTCAGACAAACTGCTTAATAAAACAGTCAGCTAACGCTCATCACACCCGAAATCCAAGACAGCAATAGTCCGTCTCCTGATGCGTACCATTCAGGCCAGAACACAGCCCCCACTAGCGACCAAGACTGTAGCTGGTAAGCCCTAAGGAGCCTCGTTTCCCCCCGACGCCGACGCCGACGCCGACGCTTTTACTCCGACAAAAGTATAGTAAGCCCCGAGTCTTTTGAAGATTACAAATAGATGTGCTGAAGATATGATGGCAAAGGGACCGTGTGGAATTCGGGAGATCTACCGAATAAGTAGACGCGATGGACCACGCTCAACCTACCAAACTAGGCTTCTTGGCTGTGCCTGCCGCCCCATATAGTATCGGGATTCTGGTCTTTGTACTGGTGGTGCTGGCTGCTATCGGACCATGGGCTGTGGTTGATTCTATCTTGAATGTAAGTCTGCCTATTTACTTTTACATGAGTTTACACATTGGTTAAAGTATGTGATTTTTAGTGTTATTTGTCATTTGTGCATCGCATCCCCGCTGCAGATGGGAAGAAGTACATCTCGGGACCGGCGTACACATTTCCAAATGGACAGATGGTTGATAAGTTCTTGGATGCGCGAACGAAGAGCTGGGAGTGGGAGGAGAAATATGGTAAGACGTATCGCATTTGGGCTGCCAGTATCCCTGAGGTGTATGTATACCATTTCCCCTTCCCCAGGACAACACAGACACGCTAAAGCTGCGATACTCAATTCGGGAGGGGATAGTGTCATAACGGACCCCAAAGACGTTGAGACGCTATACCAGCAGTCTACCGACCACAATAAGGCGCCCCAGGCGAATGCCGGCTGGCTCTTGACCCAGCTGCTTGGGTCAGGCTTGGGCCTAATTAATGGGACTCGCTGGACATCACTACGGAAGACTTTGGATCCAATGTTCTCCCACAGAACTTCCCTGCAGTATTTCAGTGATAGCCTCGACGCCGGCGCTGAGAATTATGTTGCTGGAATCCACCAGTTCGCGAAAGCGGACCAGGTGTGCGCAGATGGCAAGAGCATTATCCTCAATGCCACACAGGCACTGCAGCGATATCCCTTTTTTGAGGTCGCGTCGATGTTCTATGGGAAAATGAGTGAGGAAGAACAGGAGCGACTGTGGGTTCTAGGGCGTCGGTATTCGGAGGTCTTTGCGGCGATCGTGTCTGGAGGAATTCATCGGTCTAAGCTGACCAGGTATCTGAATACAAAAGCTTGGAACAATGCGAGAGACTATCAGACGGCCTGGCGGGAGTTCAACAGGGAGATATATAAGCGGAGAAAGCTCACAGCCTCTGAAGCGCCGATCGTGGTCCTCACGGAAGCCGCCGAAAGAGGTGAACTGACATACAATGAGGTAGGTATACGATCCCATGAGATGATGGTATCGACATTCCTTTAGTGAGCATTTGGATTGACAGTATATCCAGGTGACTGACACGATTGCCGAATCCACCTTTGCTAATCTGGACATCGTCACCCACGTTATCTCGTCATGCATAATTCTCCTAGCCGATGCCCCTGAGGTCCAAAAGGACCTTCTCCAGGAGATGAACAGAAATAAAGCGGATCGAAAAGCTTACATTACCAGAAAGGACACTCTTCTGCATTACTGTCTGTTGGAATCGCTCCGCCTTCGGCCTGTTCTATGTAAGTCTTCGTCACTGCTACACCACGAGGGCTGGAATATCAGTTGACCGAGTGAAAGCATTCACTTTCCCCGAGAATCCACCGAGGGAGAAGGTGCTGGGAAACTTCGTGATACCTAAAGATACCACCGTTATTGTTGATGCTTTTGCAATTAACATACGGAATCCTTTCTGGGGACCTGACAACCGTGCATATCGCCCCCAACGATTCGCGGGCATCAAACAGAATCAGGTGAGAATGGAACTTTGTTTCATAAGGGCTACTAGGAAGCGTATTGATCATCTCATAGCTCCGGTATAACCTTGCGACTTTCGGCTACGGGCCAAGAAAGTGCCTCGGGCAGCATATCGCCGATAAGATAATCAAGGCTGTCGTTTATCACCTGTTCACCCACTATAAGGTGTCTCTGCAGCCAATGCAAGCCATCGAAGGAGACTTCAAAGTGGACAAGACGAGCTGGGTCGGGTTGTATGATGTTGATTTGAAACTGGATCCAAGGGGACCTTGTGTTGACAAGGTTGATGTTTGAAACGTCATTTTTTATGTGTTCAAAAAAGAAAGCAAGTAGCTGCAATCGATGGGAAAGCCTGACGGCCGTATGAGATTCCATAGGAAACTGTAGACAAAAGGAGTGAATACTGGCCTTACTATCACAACAACGGCCCGCTTCTACTATCACCATCTTGCAAGGGTTCGCGATATGGAATACACCGACGAAACATCGCGGCTTAGCAGAAATACGGCCCTCGGAGGTTGTGTCCGGCGGGTAAGCAGTATCAGTAGAGGCTCCGCACCGTGAAGCGAAAATGGGACGAGAAGAAGGCGGGAAATGAAGTTGAAGAAGAGGGGAGATCAGGCAGGAGATGCGCTAGGCCTAAATGGGCAGATTGACGGCCTGAGGCTGAACAGGAAATGTATCGGCGCGTAAATTACGACCCGCTCAAACGAACAAACAACATCACCTCCGTCACCAAGGCTGTCAGCCTGTCACCCCATCTGATGGACTCGACAACTCCGACTTCGCGGCTATCGACCGGCGGTTCTCAGCTGAGCTCTTCTGGTGGCATACAAAAAGGCCGGCAGCGCATCATCACCGCATGCCTGACATGTCGCCGTCGGAAGGTCAAGTGCGATCATGCGCAACCGGTCTGTTCGCCTTGCCAGAAAGGCAATCGTGCCTGTACGTATGTCAGTCCGCAGCCGGTCTCACAGGCCTCCTCCCGTACGGTGACCGGAAATCGAACGTCCCGATCCAACCTCCGGTCTGGCCAAGAGGAAATTCGTACTCGCCTCGAACGGCTAGAACAACTTCTGGAACGAGCAATATCTGGTGGCGGTACCATCTCACAGTCACCCGATGTGAAGGTTCCTTGCGCTGAAAGCCCCTCCGATACTGACCAAGGAGGAGGTGCATTGCCCAACCCGAGAAACGAAACCTTGTCAGCCGATGGTTACGATGGTGCCTTACTGCTGGAGGCCCAAGGAGGCCAATCTCGCTGGGTTTCGTCTCTACACTATGCCCTCTTGGCTGACGAGGTACGACGTTCCTCCCCCGTGTTTCCTGGTGTCCACCGCTGACAACATAAGATTCACGATGTCAAAATGCTACTGGGAGATCAAGCCAGGGGTGGGGTCGTTGACAGTCCGCCGCCAGACCAGACAACCCCTCCATTCCCATTTTCTGGCACGACCGTGGAGAGCCTTGCGCCTTGGGCGCCCAGGTCGGCAGAGGAATGCTCGGCATTGCTTGAAATATTCTATTCCAATGTTGATCCAATGACGAGACTAGTCCACAAACCTACGCTCCGACGACGGTTCACCCAATATGTCAACCAGACATACGGCACCACCGTTCAAAGTCCCGGTGAAGAGGCTGAAACGTCAAGATCCGACCATAGCATCCGTACCTTTGAGCCTCTGGCATTGGCCGTCTTTTACTCGGCCATTAACAGCGTGTCGCCTGAAGATGTGACTGCACAATTTGCGGCCGAAAAGGAGACCCTCCTGGCACAGTACCAAAGAGGAGTAGAACTTGGGTTAGGGCGAGAAGGCTTCCTCACAACCACAAGTATTGAGGTTCTCCAGGCGTTCGTACTCCTGCTGGTACGAAAGTAGTCCCCATTCGAACTGATCATCCCTATTTGGTGTACTGACTAGCCCGCTAGACTTGCCAATCCCGGGAGGATGACATGGCAAGGACATGGACTCTTCTGGGCCTTGTTGTCAGGATGGCCCTCTCGCAAGGTCTTCATCGAGAGCCTTCTCTATTCCCATCCAGTAATATGGATGTTGTCCAGGTCGAGACTCGTCGGAGGCTCTGGCATCAGATATGTCATCTTGACTTTCGTTCCGCAGAAGGTAGGGGCCAGGAGCCCACAATAGCAGATGAGGACTATACTACCCTGTTACCACGGAACATCAACGATGACGAACTCATTGAAGGAGCACATCCAACTACAGACGCATACTCACCTCCTGGGTTTACCGATATGACAGGACATTTGATACGTCTGCACGGCATCCACTGCTTCAGAAGAATAGTTCGGAGCACGTATAGGTTGGAGCGGAAAATCAAGGCTTCAAACGCCCATGGAAATGGTAATGTGTATCCAATCGCAGAGCTTCAGTCATTGTTTGTGGAGGTGCGAAGCATGGTAAATGAGATGGTCACTCATATCCAAACTCAATACCTGCAATACTGCGACCCCCGTATTTCCGACCAGCGCATGGCCCTTGGCCTGGCTGCGGTAATTGAATGGCGATGCTGGTCCATTTTCTGGCTGCGAACCCCAAAAGAGTACAGACAGGCTGTCGTTTCCCCCGAGATCAGACAAACGTGAGTTTGGTATCCTTATGACGCTTTCTTGCTTCTGGATCCCGAAATATAACTGTTCCGTTTAGGGTGTTGGCAAAATCAGTCAGCCTCGTAGAGAGCCTGAACATGATGCCACAGGATAAGGATGCCCAGAAGTTCCAATGGCATATAGGGGGCCACGCCTGTTTCCAATCCATAATGCACATCATATCGGAGCTGGAAACACCAGAATTTCAAGCGCCCACCCACCGTTCGCTCCGTTCTCGAGCGCTGGACGCATTGAAAAAGACGATGGATACAAGGGGACGTGATGTTACGCCAATGTGGAATGTGATCAATCGTATCATCTCGAACTGTCTCGCCAAGAACACGCCTGCTACATTCCCTTCAACACCATTCCCTGACATGTTCTCCCCGAATGGAGTGATGCCCGGGGTAAGCTCCGCAATCACCGTCCAGCCTCAGACAGTTGCACACAACCTATCCGTGTCGGGAGGGCTTACCACTACAACCCCGATGCCTGATCTGTCAGACTTCGGGAGTCTGGATATGCAGGACCCCACGACGGCATTTGACTGGGTAAGTGAGAGTAAAAGGTTGGTTGAAGACTCTCTGCTGATGATAATGGGTAGGAATTCTGGAACTTTGACCTCACAGATCCTGGGTTCCATTGACATTTTCCAGTTCTTACTGCGTGCCCTGTGAAGATTGACACTTGTGGCGGAACTTAATGTTTTCGATTCTAGCATATGATATCCCGTGTATGAAAAAGTGACCTGTATGATGAAAGTATGCTACTTAATTGACAAAGTGAACGACTGAGCTCTTGGCCAACAAAAGAATATGTTCATGACTTGGCATCAACTAGATCAGTGCTTTTCGTGCTGTACACCCGGGGACTGTAATACATGGTCATATACACCCCCTTTTGCTTCTTGTACGAAAATGATAGATATGTATGTGTGCCCGTTGACGACGACAGTGGGTGATGAGGACTATTGAGGTCAGCGCTGACACAAATCCACGTTGCAAACAAAAAGGGATTACCTACAACAGCTCTTCCAAGTGCTTGCAATAATCTCTCTCCAGGTCTTGCCATCCGAGCTTCCCAAAGAACAGTTGTAGCCGATTGGCAATCTGCACATCACTTTCACAATAGTGTCGGACGGGCAAGTAGACCTTAGGCTCAGGAAACCATTTCCCTGGCCGCAGTTCAAAATTGAATATTGTCCCTGCTGTCCGATGGTGATTTCGCGGCAACTCTGCCTCCTCATCGACTACCCCGAAGATAGTCCTCCACAGCTCGTCCAGCAGTTCTAGGCCCTTCGCCGTGTTCTCGTCTGTCAAACGGCCTCCGAGACAGTATGCCTCTTTCACTACCCGCAAAGACGTCTGTGGAATTCGCACATATATCTTTATTCGGGACTCCGCCTCGTCCACGCAGTCGACGCTGATCATCTCCCCCTTTGCCGCACCGTGGTGGCTAGCCATCCACGCCTCCAGGACCGACAATGCGGCGATGGTCTGCACACCCCAAACCTCACTTTTCATCGCCAGGCGGAGAATTGAGTCGGAGATCACCCTCATGGTGCTCTTTCCGGTTTCCAGCGACATGAGAATCGGGAAAAAGTACGCCTTCGTGGTGACTCGGCCCGCGTCGAGATCGAACGCCAGGAAGCTCTGCGTGGTATGCTCGCCTCCTGGTATCTTCGCACTGAGCCCGGCGTAAGAGTCCGGACGAACAAAAAGGTCTTGGCGAAAGTGCTCGAAAAGCGTCAGCGTGGCACCCACTTCAGTTGCATCGTACGAGTGCATGAACTGCGTGACGGCAGCTTGGTTGAATGGGTCTGCGGTGGTTCCGGCTTCAAAGCCCACGGGCTCAACACCAAGCCGGATTGTGCTCTGCGATTCCGATCTCCCATTGACGTTCCAGCTCGGTTCCAGTGGGGAAAAGTCATCCGTCAGGAAGGACCTCCAGGGTGCGTTGCTTGGAGACACCTGTGTCGAATTCCCAAGTAGCGGTCGAGGGCCCAACAATGGAAGAATATGGGTATGATATAGAAGGAGGTACTTGTAATGTGTATAAAGAGGATAATTTGCCTTGGCAAGAAGCTTGCTCATCAGAGGCCCCGTTGCCCGCCACCAGAACCCCGTGGCTGAAGCAGGAGTGGGCAGCGGAAGGGCACACGATAAGACATCATAAGGAGAGAGACGTGCGATTGAAGAACTGTCATGCGCATCAGAGTCCCCATTGGTGAGATGCTTCTGCGTTTTGCATGGATAGCCAGCAGCAATGCCGTTGAGGCCAGACGGAGCAGCAACTATGGATTCAGCGCTGGGTGCCATGTTGAATGCTGTGTAACACGGATTGGCTGCTTTCCAGAATGTTGTTTGCTGTTTGTTTTGCTCAATATCTCCTCGCTTCGGCTTGGGCTCGTGCGAGGCCTATCTATATACAGTCCGATAGCGAGGCGTCGCCTAGAGTTTCCGGATCAAATTCTAGTGTCTGCTTTCTTACCCGCGAATTGTTCGATGTAGACTTCGTTGGCCTTGCATTTGCATCAGCTCTCGTAAGCCCGGTGCTACACTTTGCAACCTCCGTTCCTACGGGATTCCGATGTCTCGGGGGTCTACTCCTTCGGCGTCCGATTTGCGCTGTTCTTACTCCGACGGATGGACTCGCGAGCGGAGCGTTTACCTTCCCATTTTAGCACCAGCTGGAAGCGCCCTAGAGGGTATGTGTGCAGGGATCAGTGTGCATGGCTCAGTGTGGTCCCACTATGGCGTTGTGTGGACAACGTGTTAGTCGATTATCATCCATATGCAGTGACCTTACTAGCAGATTATAGTTGTGGTTAATGGGAGGCAATATGCTTGGTGTCTATTTCTAAGGACTATCTGTCTCTCTAGATCAGCCTGACGCATGCTGCCAGCTCCCGGATACTTCTAGTTACAAAGATATCACGTAGTCTGATCCTGACACCCCGTTTCTCGCACATGTGTTGTAGTTGCAAGGCATCAATACTCTGAGCTCCGAGGTCCCAAAATGACCTCTCCGCATCCACTACCTCGGGCTCAAGCCCAAGACATTCACATACTGCAGCCGCAAGGATGCTCTCCAGCCCCTTTTGTCCTGTAGCGGCATCCACCCCGTTGCCATGATTGGTGAAATTGACATCCGAACCCTCCTGTCCAGGTCCAGTCAGTCCAGGGCGCCCGGCGGAGCCATTCCCGCCAGAGCGAAACGACATTTGGACCAGCTGGATGATTTCTTCAACCTCAGTCTCCAAAATCATGAGCTGTAACGCAAAGGAAAGTGCGAACTCCAGTCTCAGTGCAATATCTTCCCTGATACACCCAACATCATACTCCATGTCAACCTGGAGATTCTGGGATGTTGTCTCGGTGAATTCTACAGTCAACGGGAACTTAGAACCGCCGGTATGAGGCCATGGAATGGGCTGAACTTCCGTGCCATGCAGTTCTAGGAGGGGTCGTTGGTCAGCGGCCGTGTGATAGGTTACCATGACTTTGAAGAGCGGATCGATGAGACTTGGCTTGTGGGAAAGGTGGGAGCAGATGACTCTGAAGGGGAGAATGTGTGCAAGGGCCTGTTGACTAGATTTGCGAACGGATGAGAGGAATTCGAAGATGGAGCTCTGGTGAGGGTTTCGTTTGATTCGGAGCAGGAGCCGATCGAGGAAGAGGCCAGGGAGGGATTCAGTGCCAGGCTCAGTGCGGTGCATGAAGGGGGCTGCGAGAAGTATGTCGTCCTGGCGGTCGACGCACTGTAACGCAAAGAATATAGCGGCTAGGACGAGCTGGTGCATCGTTACCGAAGCCTTGGTCGCAAGGCTTGACAGGCTATGGTAGACTGAAGAGGAGATTGTCCACGAGCGGGTGAGTCCAATGTATGTTGCTGCTGTTGGGGAAGAGTTGCCGAAGGTTAACGGCTTTGGGGGCTCAGAAAGGTACGAGGACCAGAATGCGAGGGCTTGAGGGCTTCGTGGAAGCGCTGCAGTCCATTGTGCCCAGTCGATGTAGGATAGAGGATCGACTACAGTGGCGGGGGTGGTAGCTTGGGAACTGGATCCCAAAAGCTCGTATGCCCTGGAAACTTGGTTGAGATAAACGGTCATCGTGGTGGCGTCGGCGACGACATGAGACATCACAACTACCAATGTGGCCTGCATGGGAGTTCCTATGATAATCGAGACATCCACCGGTGGTTCTGTGCTTAGATCGAAGCACTTTGTAATTCTGCCGTGAATAAACGAGCTAAGATTGCCTGTTTGGACCACACGAGGGACCCGGACAGTTGCTGGAGCCTGTCGCCGGAAAAGCGTGCCGTTCATAACTGAGTACCTGGTACGAAAAACCTCAATATTTACAGTAACCTTCTGGAACGCGTCTGCCAGGGATTCGACGTTAATGTCGCCCGTAATCTTGCAAACGAAGCTCATGTTTGCGGCTGGTGAACCTCCAGATATGAGGTGGTTGAGAAGCATCTCTTTCTCCAGGTACGAGAGTGGAAGCTGGCCGTCCCGTGCAACCGGAACCATTCGGAGGAAGGGCATCGTTGTGACGGTTTCTGCCGGGCTACTCACAAGCTGGTCAACAGCAAGAGACAAATCCTCGAGGCTTTGGTGGCGAATCACTTGTTTCAGTGGCAACGGCTGGATGTCCCAGCGTTTTGAAATGGCTTGAGCGACTTTGATCTGTAGTAAAGAGTGCCCTCCGAGGTCGAAAAAACGATCACGTGGGCTGATGGGCATCTCGTTCAAATCCAGCCCAAGTACTTGTGCCCATATCGCCGCCACAGTGCGTTGCGTGTCTGTTTGGAGGTCTTTAACGGCGGCACCGCCATTCCTTTGGCTTGTCAAATATCTCTGCAATGCATTCAAGTCGACCTTGTTATTTGCTGAGGTAGGCAGAGTTGGAAGCGCGATGATTCGATGTGGGACAGCGTACTGTGGGAGCTGGGATTCAAGGCTTTTGGCCAATCTCTTGACATCAATGGTCTCGGGTGTCATGAATGCAATCAAGTTTCCATTAGACACCACGATTGCCACGTTGTTAGCCTCCGATGCTAGTTTGGAGATTGTGCTTTGGACCTCCCCAAGGTCAATGCGGAAACCGCGAAGTTTGATTTGATTGTCTTCTCGTCCGATGTACTCGAGACCTCCATCCTCCAGAAGCCTTACAATGTCTCCTGTCCGAAACATAGCTTGGCCTGGGTTGAAGGGGTCGTCAAGGAAGCGCTTGACTGTTTCTTGCTCGTTGTGAAGGTATCCCGGAGTGACCTGAAGTCCCGAGATGTATAGTTCCGCGCTGACCCCCATTGGCACGGGACGTCGGTTTGGATCCAGAAGGTAGCATCTCAAGCCCGGCAACGGTTTACCGATCGACACACTGTTCCCCGGGCGTAAGGTCGCTGTTGTGGATATCAAAGTGCATTCAGCAGGGCCATAGCCGTTGATGAGAATTCTTCCGGCCGCCCATTTGTCGGTGAGGACCTGGGACATAGCTTCTCCAGCAACAGTAATGACCTTCAGATTGGGGTAGTCGGTCGGTTCCAGGGTTGCAAGTAGGGACGGAGTTGCCATCGTGGCGTCAACTCTCGCCAGATGGGCAATAGTGTTCTCGGGGTCTTTGAGGACGAGGGTTGCACCAAAGCAGATGGTCGAGAAGACCTCTTTGATGCAGCAATCAAACCCGAGGGACAGCATCTGGGCATTGCGTTGGCCTGGGCGGGAGTACAATCGTCCTTCAGGCTGAGAGACCACGTTTAGGATACCTTTGTGTTGCAGCTGCACCGCTATTCAGTTGGTCAGTAAAGAGGTCTCGGAAATGGTGTTTGTGACCGATTGCAAATGTATCATACCTTTCGGCAAGCCCGTACTTCCTGAAGTATAAATCAAGCATGCGACATCATCACCGCTGGGAAGATTGCGGCTGTTTATTCCTTGTGATCTGGAAGATGAAGGGATTGCCGCCATAAGAGACTCCATGTTTAGAGACTGGACCCCGTCGCACACAGGATCCTGGCTGGAATTGGCGTACAGAATCAACGACGCTCTGCTGTTGCAAACCATGTAGTCCTTTCTATCGCGAGGCAGCTTTGCATCAACTGGGCAGTAGATAGCTCCAGCTCTGACTATTGCAATCATGGCAAGCAGCCAGGAAATGGAGCCATCACTAACCATGCACACCACGCTTCCAGGCTGAATGTAGTGTGAAAGATGCCATACAATATGTTCCGTCAGCCTCCCAACCTCCCTATATGTGACATGCCCCGTCGAGCTTTCGACAGCATAGATGTCAGGATGCTCTTGGATGGAACTCTCAATAGCCACCACTAGGTTTTCTGGCGCCTTGCGAGACCAGAGTCGCTTGTCCGAAATTCCGGTCACTATATACTCCCGCTCTGTGAGCATTTGCTCCATGATCTTGCTCAAATCGGTGTCTAATGGTCCAGCAACCAGAGCCGCAAGGACATTATCAAACTGGCGGGCCATTCTCTGGACAATTGCATCACCGAAGTGTGACCGACGATATATGAATCGCGCGTCGAATTGGCCATCGGTGCTATCCAATAGCACGGTAAGTGGGACTGAGTAGCCTCATTATAGCGGATATCCCTCGGCTCTGGCACCTTGCTTGACCCCCATTTCGCCTGTGGAAAGTCATACTGCAACGCAAAAAGTGTCTCCAGGAGCTCTGCCGGATTGCATCCACAGCCTTCCTGAATTAATGCGACAGGAGACCACTGGAATTCCAAGATATCACACACGCTTTTAAACACAGATTGCACAAAGCCGTAGGTCGACTGGTTCTCCTGCGTGTCTATTGCTAGTGGCAAGGTGTTGATCAGTGGGCCAACAATGTTCTCCGCACCAGATAGTGGTAAGGCTCGACCAGATAGTACAGCTCCGAGCACTGCGCGGTCTGTGCCTGTATATCTGGAGATCAGAAGTGCCCAAGCAGCGTAGAGAAGTGTTGCCGGTGTGACTGCAAATTGATTCTTGGCGGCAGCCTCCAGCTCAGGTACGTTGACAGTGAGTTTTTGAGAGAAATCTCCTTGCGTATAGTCGGTCACGTCAGAAGGTGGTGATACTCGAAGCCTCTGCGCGGGAGTATATCCATCCAGGTATTCTCTCCAGAATGCAACGGCTCTATCCGAGCACTCAAGCTTGAGCTGGCCTATCGCTTGTGCGGCTTGAGCAAACTGTGGTGGTGCCGGGAGGGTTTTATCGTCCAAATAGGAGGCAATATCCCGCATCAATGTCGCCATCGACCATCCGTCAACCAAGCTGTGATGGACTGTCCAGATGAATCGGGTTCGCTTGTTGGGAGCAATAATCAATTCAACCCTCGATAATGAGGTTCGGTCTTCCGCGTCGAAACTTCCGAATTCAGCCATGTCCAAGATCTCTTTGCGTCGACATACTGATTCCCATTCGGACTCTGCAACAAATTGCTCCTCCCACGCAAAGCTGGAGTCCTCGGATATTACTTGGGATCCACCTAATGAAGTCAGGATGAATGTAGTCCTGAGAATCCCATGGCGCTGATGCAGACGAGTCCAAGCAGCATGGAGAGTGGCTGTCAGGTCTTGTTTTTCCGGGTGATCAAAAGTAAACGATGTCTTGATAAATGAGAGACCCGGATTGGCAACAGTAGCACCAAGCATTCTGATTTGCATGTCGGTCATCGGTATGATAGTCCCGTTTTCAGGCGCCCGAATTCCGGCTGTATCACGGCTTGGCCGTTCTATCGAATTGTCCGGGGGATGCAAAGCACAAGGGACATCGATCAACTCCACGGCGGCGGCAGCTATATTCTCGACTGAATCCAACAAAAGGACTTGGGCGACATTGATAGCGAACCCCATTTTCCTCAACACCGAAACTAGCATGACTGCGGCTAGGGAATGGCCCCCAAGCTGACGGAAAGACGAAACCTGAAGAATTTGGGATTCTGGCAGTCGCAGGACATGGGACAGTCCTCGGCAGACTGCGTCCACCGCACTAAGACCTTTCTCAAGACTCGCCGTGCCTTGTTCTTGCTCCAGTTGGTGCATGCGTATCAGGCTCAGTCGATCGACTTTCCCATTGCTTGTTGTGGGGAACTCATCAAGGGAATATATCGTGTCCGGGATGAGAAATGAAGATACTGATTTCGCCAGATAATCGCGAAGTCCGTCATTCGCAGATGTAGGCGTGACATAGGCGACTAGTCGACCCTCGGACATGAAGGCCGATGCGCTGTCCACTTTGTCATAGGACTGTAAAGCAGGTTCGACATCTGCTTCGAGGTTGATTAAGAAGCCCCTATTCTTGACCAAGCTATCCCTGCGACCACAAAACTGGAGACCGTTCTTTGTACGCTTGCCATAGTCACCAGTTTTGTAAATTCTGACCCCGTTCCTATCGATGAAAGTGCGGTCTGTACGATGTGGATCAAGGAAATACCCCGGTGCGAGACCTGGGCCAGCGATGCAGATTTCCCCTTCCGTAGAGTCCAAACCATCGTCATCAAGTAACATGACAGTACTGTATGCTATCGGAAACCCAATTGTGATCGGAGATCCTGGAAGGAGCTCGCCCATAAGCGTCGTACACGTTGTCTCTGTAGGCCCGTACGAATTGTAGAGGCGTCGGTGGGGAGAGGACCATGCCTCTATCAAGGATGGGCTAGGGCTTTCACCACCGAGGAAAATCTTCTCCACTGTATCGAAGCCCGCCTTGGGATCCAGTGTAGCGAGAATGCTTGGGGTCAGCGGCCAGACATGGCATATTTTGGCCGCGGCTTCAAAGGTAGACGGGTCGGCCAGTACGAGGGTTCCCCCGTTGCAGAGCGTGTTGAAGACAACTCCGGCGCACACATCAAATGCAATGGAGCAAATAAGCAACACCCTTGTGCCATGTTCGGTGTTGAAATTAAATGGCAAGTCACCCCCTTCTTTGACGTAGCGAGAAATCGATCTCTGACTTATCTTCACTCCTTTCGGTTTCCCAGTTGTGCCCGATGTGAAGATGATATATGCCAGGTCGTCTTCCCTATCATCAAGACCGTCGTCATTGTGTGTATGTTGCAGGCCGTTACGTGTCGCAGTCTCGCCAAAATCGATCCGCTCCAATGAGACAACTGGGTACAAGTAGTGGTCCTTCGAGCATGCCGACGTTGATACGATGATCTGCGGGTCGACGGTTCTGAGAACAGTTTCTATTCGATCCTTTCCCCAGGAGTCTATGTCAATGGGCACATAAGTGGCGCGGAGTTTCAAGATAGCCAACGTAGCTGCTACCATTGCAATTGATCTTGTCGATAGAAGCGGAACAACCCAACCTTTGTCCACGCCGGCCTGGCGAAGACGTTTGCCCCAAATGTCGGAGAGCGCATCGAGTTGGGCATATGTAATCTTGACATCCTGGTCTGCAGACTGTGTCCTATCTTCAATTGCAACTGATGAAGGGTGCTTTTGCAGTTGAATGTAGAAGTGATCTAGGAGGGTGGGAGCTCGCGAGGCCATTGTTGAAGACGGCTGTATATTGGTAGTGGTGACAATGAAGTTCACTGTCGCTGTCTCCGAATTATTATGTTCCAGTATTACCATTGCGAGGGTCCCATTTCTCGAATAAAGCCTCACGCCGGTCGACGGTGGTGGCTTCGAGCCGAGTGAGACTGTGCCGGACGCCGCCCCGGGCGGCCTCGGCGCATATACATCGGACCGCAATATCCACCGAACACTGCCAGCCGTAAGCTGACATGGTGATCGATAAGCTTAGATTGATTCCTATAGAGGGGCCTATATCTCCGCTTTATTGGGGAGCCAAAACTTCCCTGAGACGCTCAGCTTTGTACTTGATCAGCAAAGATTCAGAATGGAAAACGAACTTGAGCATCTGAACTGGAACATCAAGCATGCCTTGTCGCAGCTTGAAGGTCCCTTGTCGGAGGAGCTCAATGCCTGTCTTGAAGTGTCACCAACGTCGCTGAACTCGTCTCCTTTAGTTTACCAGAAGCTTTTGGAGACAGTGCAGGTGCTGGACAAGCTTCTCGTCACCCTAACCCCCCCGAATATGACTCTGATGGATGGCATCTTCGGTAGGCCTCCCAAATCCCGAAACCCTCTGTATAGTGGAATGTGGTTAATTGAAATTAGCATTTACCAACAGCAAGGTCCTGCTGTCTGCGACCGAATATGCATTGGCAGATCACGTCCAGAAGCTACAACCCTGCAGCATTTCGGAGCTCGCTCAAGCCTCCGGGTTGCATGAACAAGGTCTCTCGCAGATAGTTCGGTATCTTCGTGAGATGGGGTACTTTTCACAAGACCCCGAAACCGGCCGGCTGTCGAACAATCGCCTCTCCGACCTCCTTCGCAAAGATCACTGGACCGGCTGGATCAATTGGGTTGATTTTTTCCCTCGCGAATACTACGATCTTCTCTCCCGTCTCCCTGACCAGTTGAGAAGCGATCAGCCAAAGACCGCCACAGAGCTCTTTTACAACACCGACAAGCCCATTTACCAGTATCTAGCCGAAACAGGTCGGGCTGCTGGCTTCCACAAAGTCACCGGTACAGGCAGCGTTGTTGAGGCCCCTGGGTTGCTAGCCGACTATCCATGGGACGAAGTGAAATCGGAGACGGTGGTCGACATCGGGGCCGGAGCAGGAGACTTTATTCGGTCCTACTTGGAGAAGTATCCCGACGCCACGGCCGCTGCATTCGAGCTTCCTTCAACTGCCGAAATCCTCAGGCAGAGGTTTCCCGCTGATGACCCTCTGACCGGTAGAATCGTCTCGATCACCGGGGGAGACTTCTTTCAGGACCCCCTTCCCAAATCATCCGTCTACCTTCTCCGATGGATTTTGCATAATTGGGGCGATGAGGATTGTGTCAAGCTGCTTCGGCGGCTCCGCGAGACTATCGTCATCAAGTCAGGAGTCAGTCGCGTCTTGATTGTGGAGTCGGTTTTGTTCGATGGCCGCTTGGGACGGGGGGCTCGGTACGCCGATATCCGCATGTTGGTGAGATGCCGAAACAAGGAGCGCACGCTGGAGGAATACCGAAGACTGGCGGAGGAGGCTGGGTGGCAGTTGAACCGGGTGATCACGCCCCGCGGGTGTCTCACTCAAGTCATGGAGCTGCGCCCTGTGGGTACTGTGCCGTATACTAATGGCGATAGAAGTGGCTCAGGAGGATTGGAATGGGAGTCGGAGTTGATGTAAAGCAGATCAATTGAGACTCTCGAACAGAATGAAATTGTGTGACAGTGGGAAGAAAGAGTTGTTGTTGCGCGTCTGTGTAGACAGTCTCTATAATGATGGAGAGAAACTGGAGTCTGGGAGAATCGTGTGTGTGTACGTATGGAGTAGGCGATGTTTGTTGAGGCCTGGGGCCGCAAGTAGCCTGTTTAGGACTAGTACCTGCTTCCTAGATGGGCATTATCGCGTTCCTGGCCTTGAGCATTCATCTTGACCGCCAGTAAGTATCATTAATCTCATCAATTGAAACGTCCTGTCCGATCTCTACCCCTTGACATGATATCAATATTTCTAGGCTGCAAGGGAATTGGAACCGGTTTGATACGGCTATTGACGCTGTTCACTCACCCTCGTCTAAATAAGGTCAGAGTTCCCCTTTGCCAACAAATATATCTCTACCCACAGCATTACATGCATCTAAGATCGTATCTAGTAGTACAAGAATCTTAATCACTTGTCTCAACCACAGCCAGTCCCTCAATCAGACTTTCTTCAGCAGTTGCGGACCGCCCTTGATCACTCGAGCGGCTGCCGTGCATATTCCCCCGAGAATCATCGTCGCTCCAGCAAAACACATCAAACCGGTGAATCGGTTCCCTTCGCGGTCTTTGATGGCTCCTTCGATGGGAAGACCCGTCAATGCACCGAGAGCGATAGCCAAGCAGAAGCCTCCGAGCTGGACCCCGATCTCATCCACGCGGTCCTCCGCAAGAGAGACGACACATGGGGGCCCCAGACTCACGAAGCCGCCGCTGACAAAACCAAAAAGCAAGGCAAACACAATGATACCGGCTAGAGAGGTGTGAAACTCCAGTGGTAGCCAGAAGGCTAACACGAGGATCCCGGACAAACTTGTCACGATGCACATGGTGTTGAATTGTCCGATGGTGTCACTAATCCATCCAGGCACAATCCGACCAAAGAGGGACCCCGCATTGGCAATAGCCAGGGTGTACTGCGCAAAGTCTTCATATCCATGAAGCGAAGCCATCTCTGGGAGGTAGTTCAGCGGCGCAAACAGGCCCCACATGGTGAAGAAACAGCCCAGAACGAAGAAACCCCAAGGCCAACTCTTGAATGCACGAAGACCTTTGCTGGGAGTAGCATCCTTCTCTGCAGGGGGGCTCTTGCTGAGGGGCGGGAAGGGAGACGAGCAAAGAAGGTTGGCAATGACCAGGAGGATGCCTTGCATGAGTGCAGTCCAACGAACAGCCGACGCGAAGCCGACCTGTTCGACCAGTCGAGGGAGCATACATGGGTAGATTACTCCACCTGCATCCGACATTAGCCGTGCAAACATTCATCGGTCTTCCGGGGTTGGACTACTCACCGAGACTGCTACCCGCGGACACAATGCCGACTGCCAAACCTTTCTTTGTCGAAAACCACTGCGTCGCCGTGGCCATGGCGGGAAGGGACAATCCCGCGGCAGCCAGACCGAAGGCGACTCCCTGCGCCAGCATTACCTGCCAGTACTTGGTGCACAAGCTCAGCATGCACACCGAGAACACAGCCATGATGCTGAACGGTGGGAGCGTGCGGCGGCAGCCATAGACATCAATCAGTTTCCCAACCGCAGGGCCGAGCATGAAGAGCAGGAAGATCTGTAGGGTAGTAATCCACGCCAAGTCCGACGAGGATTGGTCCTTGAACATGGTGTCATGGTAATACAACTGGAAGATTCCACATCTACCTCAACCTATCAGTTCCTTGTTCTCGACCGGCTGGAGGGACAACACGCACGCATTGACGTAACCGAATGAACAGAACTGGAGCAGAAATGAGCCTGCAACGCAAGCCCACGCCTTAGCGCCGCCATTGGGCGGGATGCGTTCGAGACCATTGGGGGCCAGCGCTTTCTCCTCTTGGTCGACTGGGCTGATCGCCCGGGGGGTCTCATTCCCCGGTTGTTGCGACATTGTGAGCGAATTGCTGTCTTGACAAGGGGTGGAGGTGGAGGGTCAACGTAGGGCAAACCCAAGAATCCGAGTCAGCGGCATGGTGAGAATGATGGCCCATGGTGAGACGTCTTATAAATGAGCCCTCGGTCTCGGTGGTATACACAGGTTTCGGTGTGCGAGGGACGGCGGAGGATTCGTGCGGAAGGAACAATAGAGAATAAGAAAACACAAGGGGGGCGAGGCTGATCATCGTCAGATTCAGGCCGGCAAGCTCGGCCGAGGTGCTTTAAGGCTGAGCTCGGCCGAGCCCGAGGCGGGACCGTTCGGTCCAGACGGGGGAAAAGTCCGGGGCCAAGCCGCTAACCGTCCAGGGCCGAACAAAGTATGAGCAACATGAATCCTTTACTATCATCTATCACGCCGTCTCTCGCCCTTTTTCTCCTTTTCTTCCCCGTGGTCCCATCTGGATACGAGATCCTCTTGATGCAACCCGCCCATCTCACTCAATACGAAGCCAACGCTTGTCTTATCCATCTTAGTATATTCCCGCTCGTCCTCCCTCCATCAGCACTAGTGCCATCACCGCCATGCCCTGCGAACTAACCGATTGCCCTAAATCATCCCCCCTGTCAGCAAAAGCGAATATGCCAACAAATGTCAGCATTGTGATTCGTCCGCTACGGGACTCGACTCAGTGCTCAGCGACGTGAGCAATGGGGCGATCGTAGGCGCGTCGGGCTGGTTCCTCAGAGGTCGCTCATGTGGCGTTTTCGCCCCATCACGCCGCTCCTATATGAACTCTACGGCTAGTATAATCAGCTCATCTGATAACTCTGAGCGCCTTCGTTGGAAGTAAAACCGTCCTTCTATTCAGGATTGATCTCGTCCCATCTTCCGGACACCATGATGACTTCGACGCATCCTTACTTGACCAGTCCGACGTCAACCCAGCGGAGCGCTTCAGATCATAAAAAGCTACGCTCCGCCTGTGATGCGTGCCATCAGTGCAAAGTCAAGTGTTCTGGAGGATCTCCATGTTTCCGTTGCACGACGAAGGGCTTATTGTGCCGCTACGGTTATCAAAACCGGGCAGGAAAGCCCAAGGGAAGCAAGAATCGGAAGACCCTAGAGAGAGAGCATCAACTCCGGATGGAATGGCTGACCAGTCAGTTGCGAGAGGCCGATGAAGGGCTGGGGGATATGAACATCGATCTGTCAGCTCCAACACTCCTTCCGAGTCCGTCATTCCAACCAAGCCGCTGGAAACAGGTGAGAGAGACGTCTGGATCTACTGCACAACCTGTGACCACGTCTAATGGTAACAGGGCCATGTTCATCTCCAATCTACTGTCCACCCCACGGCGGCCGATCAATGTATCAAGTCCACCGAACATGAGAACGAATGCCTTACATCGCCCCATGCCTTGGATACGTGGACGATGGACCTAGCCCCGATGCTACAGACACCCAGGGAAAGCACGTCAGGGGGCTTTGAAGGATTCACGACACCCATATCCTTGACCGACGATACGTACCTGCGGCAGCTTACTGACACCACCACCCCGAGGACCCATGAAACCCCATCCCCTGACGCCTGTCTAGGAAGAGCGGAAGATCCATGTCCCTGTGTCCAATCGCAGGCTGTCAACATATCCACCCTACACCGGCTTACGTGTCGCAATATGCCGGACCGGTTCGACCTGGTCATGAAGTCAATCTCGTCGACCCTCGAGACCTGCGAAAGATTTATCGCCTGCGACGCCTGCGACAAGTCCTTTTCTGCCATTCTGCTCACGCTGTCAGCGATCGAGCTGATCTTCAAATTATTCGAGCAACTGACCACGGACAACCGGGGTCTGTCGCCACCAGAAGACCAACGCGTCGTCCCTTGCTCTCTCGGCGACTACAAGGTGACTAGAGAAGAGGGCCAAGCGATCCGGAATGTCCTCGTCAAGATGACCCTCTCAAAAGGACGGCAAACTCTCGATGCGTTACTGAATCTGGTGAACGGACCCAAAGATCTTGGGAGCGAACCGGGGCAACGTGAGGCTCCTCGACACGACTGCAACGGTAATTTAGAGCCAGTGCTAAACGGCTTGTCGCTTACCGATCGAGACTATATGACCCAATGTATCGGACGCAAAAATGCGGCGTTGGAAGTCCTCATGGCCGCGGTTGTCGTGTAGGACCGAGACACCCAACAAAGATAGCAAAATGATAGAAATTCAATGATGATGATGATAATTACTCTCCAAGTCACATTGACAATGTCCTCTGTACACCAGGGTCGTTATGCAGAATTGTGACACCACCTGCATACGTGCCGCATTCTTGGCTTGCCTTGTGGACAAGTTCCTGGTCATCATCAAGCGGAATATATGCAAGATTGTCGGTCTGCAGAGAATATGTCCCGTGATCCTGGCCTATGGACGGAAGATACTACTCCGTTGTTTGTGACAGAGTTACCCACATCCACATCTGATTCAAAATATTACAAGACTCTTGATAATTATTACATAGCAAAAACACAGATCAACCTATCAATGGCTTTCATGATGCCAATACTCCCCCTGCAAGTAAGACAGGGAGACGTAACATAAAGTCAATCTCAGCTAGATGTGACTCACGTTACCAGGCCAGCTTACTTTTTCGGCTCATTGTAGCTGACTGTGATATTGGTGGACTTGGCGATGGATGGGTCCTGGCCTGCACTCGTGGGTGGGACGATGGCCTGGGTGCTGTCTGACGCACTTGGCTGCTCGGGGTCATGGGCGGTCCACAGGGTATCGACGCCGGAGATATAGTCCCACGGGCGTCGTGGTTTCCTGCCGGACCCTTTAAGAGGATAACTATCATCGCTCCGGGGGGTGTGCTGGGGACTTGCGGAGTCGATGTTGGAGAAGATCCGAGGGAAGCTCTTCATCAGCAGAGGCCGCATTGTTGGGAGACAAGCACAAATAATGCCAACATTGATCTCAACCATACTGTGCCATGAGATTAGCGGGGATCGACCCATTCACCTACCAGGGAATCGTGGACTATAGACTTACCACCACTTTGCGAGAGTCACTTTGTACCAGGTGAAGTCATTGCTGCCCATGAACGGGACCATGGTCACTATACGAACGATGGCAACAACGCATGCACTGCAGATGTCAGCAAGCTGTTCGAACGGACAAAAGAAGCAGGCTCTGGCATTAAACATACAAAGATCCCATGACGAATAATACGAGGAGAAGGACCCTCTGCCTCATGGAGGCCTGAAGTGTCCAGCAGATCTTGATCGGCAAAATCAAGGTGGCTAGATCAGAGAAGATGTTGAAGGCCGCGTTGGCATAAACGAAAGACAGCTGATCGATGCACCTGGCCTGGTCCATCAATGTAACATCCCACATGGCGCGGACGGGAATGCATCCGATGGTGAACAGTAAAATACTCAGCAGGCTGTACACTGCAACGAAGATCATGATCGCATAGGTCAATTTGCGGAATCGCTTCTCAGGGCTGAGTCGGAGGTAGAAAACGAGGATGGCCGTCTTCACAAACCACACCCCGAGGGCATAGATATCCTCTTCTGCCAGATCGTACTAGTGGGAGGAATGGTCAGTCATCTACCACGATGTAGGGTGGAGATAAGTGTCGAGACATACCTGCTTGAAGATGATAACTTGATCCACGTGAAGATCCCAGATATGCATTCCGTAACCGTGTTTGATGTCTTGGTGCGTGTGAGTACTGGATATCTGGCTCGGAAGCGCGAGGATCACGTACTGAGTATACTGAGAATGGCGAAGATCCAGGCACAGATCTGTCCCATAACGCAAAGCCCTGTATGGCAAGTCAGGTACTCCATATACAGCAAGGGGTATAGCGAGACTAACAATCGTCCAGGCCGGTAGCCCTCAGAATAAAGGTTCGCGTATACAAACGCGCGAGTAGGACGACTGTAGCGGTTGCGCACATTGCGATACTGATGGAGTAGATCTCATACTCCTCGCTTGGTGGGTTGTCGAAGTTGGGAGTCACCCCCGGTGGTGGAGGCGCTGCGGGCACCTTGCTCAGGTCCATGATTGAAGGGAAGAATAGAGGGATGCAAAGATGTGACTACAGGAGATTTGGGATGTCGCCCGATATATGAAGCGTCTGTCAGTGGAAATTCATCCGTTGGGTCTTCTTCCTCCTTGTCCAGAGCGGGTTGGATCTATATACCTGTAACACTACAAAGCTGTCAACTCCATTCGACTTCTACTGACATGAACTCCTCCCATATTCTCCCGGGTCATCCCTTACGCACGAATGTCGAGATCTAGTTGACAGGACACAAAGAAAGGTCGATCATGTCAACCGGAAGACCTCCCGACCAGGGTATATTCCTTTGGTACAAGGGACTGGTGAACGATCGACGTTCTCTTCGACGCGGAAGGCTTGTACCTGACCTGCCGGGCTGTTTCCTGCTTCACCATCTGCGCATGGGGCAATTCTATTTCTTCCGTCGGAATCGGCAGAAGCCGACTCGGGTCCAAGCGCATGAAGATCAACATGACAGCTCGAACTCTGCGGACTTGCCGTAAGGGGTTAGTGATGACTCGCGACACGAGTGAATCCTGGATGTGTACGATAGAGACTGAAAGTCTTGCCCGGTCCGGCACTGTTTACACTGGAGATCCTGGGTCTTTAAGGTTTGTCGTAGCGTCTGTGCATATTCCTCTTCATTGTTCCCGCAATGAAGCTGAGCCAGATCGCCGGGAAATTGACAGCTCTCAGCGCTGATCCTAGGGCAACCAACGTTATTGGCGCTCTAATGTAGACAGGCGTATTTCATCCTGCTGGCCAGCACGGCGATCCGAGGTTATATAACTGCCGAGCCAATAGCGTTGTCTCCGGATGTGGTCTGTCACATATAGCTCGAGGCCACCGGTACTAGTGGCGAGCTTACGCACCGCTTTGCAGCCGCGATGTAACCGTGCCCATGTCCATTTTCGATTTATATCTTGAGAGTGTGTTGAACATGTTTTTATCCTGGGGTTGTAACACCATCCGATCTACCAGGTATACGAGCGTCGTGGTAGGGAAACTTCTATATCCTTACTATAAGGCGCTTTAAGGACACGAGCCATCTTACTACCGCTGGAAAATCCGAACTTTTTTTCTTTTTGTTCTTGTGTGCTATATCGCCCTACGATCGGATTCGCGTTGCCACTGACTGGAGAAGAATCAAGGAAGACGAAAAAGCAATTATCGTTCCAAAGGGAAAGGCGTGGGCTGGCCTACCTACTATAAGCTGCCACATCTGCAGGCCCAGCCTTTTGGGTGTCTTTCACGTTACTTGCATTTCCTGAAAGAGTAGTAGAGGCGCTCTTATGCACGAGCTGCAGGAAGTTGCTAAGATGTACTGATGTCTTGACAACCGCTTTGGCCAGTGGTCATATTATGAGGGTTACACGGCTCTTGAGAGGACGGCAATTCTCAACCAGGGCCTCGAGTACGTGAAATTGAGGCGTTGATATACTCAGGTCGCCCAGTCTCTGGTACAAAAGACATGGCCCGAAACATCGGGTGGGAGAACGTGGCTGTCCTCTTTGTTGATACCCGACGGTCTGGTTTCTTCTTGAGGATGAATTTGTCATTCTAGAGTTACTATCCATCTGACAGGGGGCATGATGTGGACGCCTGCAGAGATCGACCGACACTATGCCCTGCATTCTGTGTCAAGTCGTATCGCAGATGATATGTGGAGAGAGTAACCAACAGATGCAAGAGCCTTTGATTCTCCTCCTACTGAGTGCAAAGTTGGTGCTTTATGGAGTGCAGTCAGCGAAAAGGCAGGAGACTTTTCGCAGGAACCTTCTCGCTAGGTGGCCACGCTTGGTTCATAAGGTAGTTTGTGATCATCCCTGGAATTTGCGGAAGTCCCTATCTCAGCTAGTCGCTATCATATCCCTGCCACTCCTTGTGCACGGTAGGCCACGGCGATGGTTTCTTCCGATTGATTTCACTATTGAATGCACCGGCTTGGTGATACTGAGCTGCTCAGTCAGGCTCTACTGGTAGTTCTTTGGATATATCAGGAATTTTAAGTTCTGATATTCTACACACATACTTACGGTCTTGGTTCCTCTCCAGTCAGGGGTCCAACGACATCCATCCTGGGAGCACAGCCGTCTTAAGGTGGCCGTCCTTTCGGTCAAAGGACTATGGAGGACCTCTGTCGCACCGAATAGAGTAACTCGATCAGCAGTAGTTTTGGCATAACGGGGAAATGCTAACCGGATTCAGCTGTTTGTCTAGCCATTTTAAATGTACACCTGTTGCGTTGTCAATTCGGGAGGTATGATCCGGCTTTACTGTGTCACTCATCGCTTTTGGGCCATTGTCCGTGCCTGCAGCTGGATATGGTAACCTTTTCTCTATTTCGCGCGGTTTATACCTAGGCACTGGCATATCGAAGAATAGGATCGGTCAGGAGAATGATGAGGTTGATCAAGATGACTGGATCATGATGGCTCCTGTCTAGGCAGAATAGAACGCTAGGCCTAAAGAGGCAATTTGGAGCCTAAGGCTCCAGTTCTAACAATATAAGGTATTGAAATACTCTGGTTGGTAACATCAATCAACGCCTTCATAGTACAGTCCACGATTGATGTCATACGGATAGCGCATTTACAGGTATTTTGAATCAACAAAACCTCGCTGGACTCCAATATGCGTGAAGGGTAGACTGATTGATCAACCGAGCTATTGTGGACACAAGAGGGACAAATATATATTGTGGTTGGTGAAAGGAACTCGTTTTAGCTATGTAGACGGATGATGGGAGATGAGAAGAATAATGCAAGATGAGTTTTCTTATTAGAATTCATTTGTCTATGAAGACTCCTACATTGGACCGTCCAACGATTGATGCTGTAGAATGCTGCCAGGATGAAAGTCCCACGGTACAGAGTAGATGAACCAGCGGAAAAAGGAGCAGACTATGTGCATCACGTGCCGAGTTGGAGATGGATTATCTAATGTCGGCATTGACACCTTGCAACTAATACAGAGGCAGAGCTGAAAGGTCCAAAAATAGACGAATGAGAGAGAAGCGAGGATAGAAGCAGAAGAGGCCTGCCTATCGCACTTATTAAGGTGCAAGGTTCTTTGATGCACCATCAGACCGCTCATCCTGCATCACTACCAGAGCAGATTCACACTGCAGACACTGCAGCAGCAGCACCACGCAATCCCCTCAATCGCGGCCTAATTCCGTGGATCATCCCACTGTTCCTTTCCATGGCACGATGAGATCCCGGGAGAGAGGAGAGGAAGCAGCAGAATACTCCGCTTAATAACACTGCTAATAATACTCCTGATGACTTCTGCACGAGTCTTATTGGGTGTCAACGCCAGCATCCGATGAGGGGAGAGTGCACCAGAGTGCGGGACAGGCCAATCACGCTGGGGGGAATCAGCCAGCCGAGGCGGCCAGCAGCAGCACGACCAGCACGATGTGCACGACGATCCCATCATGGCGGCCGGGGAACTCCTACAGCCATGCGGGGGAAAGGTCGGTCTCCCCCGCTTCGGCTGGCAACTGCCTCCCTTGCCACGCCCCCGCTCATCGCCGTCGACTCTTTTACTAATATTCTACGGCTAGACTCGTTCGTTATATAACCCTCATTTACTAATTGTCCACGGCTAGACTCATTCGTTATATAATATATAATCGACTGTCTGGCGTGTCGGCTGGAGGGCTTTCTTCTCTTCTTTTCTCTTCTTTTCTGGGTCGTGTCTCCTGTCACCATCAAACAATCCCTATATAATACTAGACCCTTCCCTCCCCGGCCGAAGCCCCATCCCACCCCTTCATCCTCCCTATACCTACCTCCCTCCCTACCCACTCCCTCCATCATCATGGGTGAAAGCAAGTGTCCCGTCAACTTTGCCGGTGGTGGCACCCGCAACAAGGACTGGTGGCCCGATCAGTTGCGGTTGAACATCCTCCGTCAACATACCTCCGCCTCCAACCCCCTGGATGCCGACTTCGACTATGCCGCGGCCTTCAACAGCCTTGATTATAATGCCCTCAAGAAGGACCTGGAGGCTCTCATGACCGACTCGCAGGACTGGTGGCCCGCCGACTTTGGCCACTACGGCGGTCTGTTCATCCGGATGGCCTGGCACAGCGCCGGCACCTACCGTGTCTTTGATGGCCGCGGTGGCGCTGGACAGGGCCAGCAGCGCTTCGCCCCCTTGAACAGCTGGCCCGACAATGCCAGTCTGGACAAGGCTCGTCGGCTGTTGTGGCCGATCAAGCAAAAGTACGGCAACAAGATCTCCTGGGCCGATCTGATGATCCTGGCCGGGAACGTCGCCCTCGAATCCATGGGCTTCAAGCCCTTTGGCTTCTCCGGTGGCCGTGCGGATACCTGGGAGGCGGATGAGTCCGTCTACTGGGGTGGCGAGAAGACCTGGTTCCCCAAGGGTAACGACGTGCGCTACCCCAACGATGACATCTATACCCGCGACCTCGAGAACCCGCTGGCCGCCTCCCACATGGGTCTGATCTATGTCAACCCCGAGGGTCCCAACGGCAACCCGGACCCCAAGGCCGCCGCCCGCGACATCCGGGTGACCTTTGGCCGCATGGCCATGAACGACGAGGAGACCGTCGCCCTCATTGCCGGTGGTCACTCCTTTGGCAAGACCCACGGCGCCTCGTCGGGCGACCACTGTGGCCCCGAACCCGAAGCGGCCGGACTCGAGGCCCAGGGGTTGGGATGGCAGAGCAAGTACGGCTCCGGCAGCGGCCGGGACGCCATCACCAGTGGCCTGGAGGTGACCTGGACCAAGACCCCCACGCGCTGGAGCACCAACTTCCTCGAGTACCTCTTCGCCTTTGACTGGGAGCTGACCAAGAGCCCCGCTGGTGCCAACCAGTGGGTGGCCAAGAATGCCGACGCCATCATTCCCGACGCCTTTGACCCGTCCAAGAAGCACAAGCCGCAGATGCTCACCACCGATCTGGCGCTGCGCTATGACCCGGCCTATGAGAAGATCGCCCGCCGCTTCTTGGAGAACCCGGATCAGTTTGCCGATGCCTTTGCGCGCGCCTGGTTCAAGCTCACCCACCGTGACATGGGCCCTCGGGCTCGTTACGTGGGACCCGAGGTGCCGTCCGAGGTGCTCATCTGGCAGGACCCCATCCCCGCCGTCAACCACCCTCTGGTGGATGCGTCGGACATCGCCTCTCTGAAGCAGGCCATCCTGAACTCGGGTGTGGACCGCTCCAAGTTCGTCTCCACCGCCTGGGCGGCTGCCTCGACCTTCCGCGGCGGCGACAAGCGCGGTGGTGCCAACGGGGCCCGCATCCGCCTCGCTCCTCAGCGTGACTGGGAAGTCAACAACCAGCCCTGGCTGAAGGAGTCTCTCGCTGCGCTGGAGAAGATCCAGAGCAGCTTCAACGGCTCTCGGTCCGATCGGAAGAAGATCTCGCTGGCGGATCTCATCGTCCTCGCCGGGTGCGCAGCGGTGGAGAGTGCGGCGCAGGAGGCCGGTCACGCCGTCTCCGTCCCCTTCACGCCGGGCCGCATGGACGCCTCGCAGGAAGAGACCGACGTGGAGTCGTTCAGCCACATGGAGCCAGTCGCGGACGGTTTCCGCAACTACAGCACGGCGCCCACGCGCCGCCGCGCGGAGCACTACCTCGTCGACAAGGCCCAGATGCTCACGCTGTCGGCGCCTGAAATGACCGCGCTGGTGGGTGGTCTTCGTGCGCTGAACGCCAACTACGATGGCTCCGCGCACGGTGTGTTCACCTCCCGCCCCGGCTACCTGACAAACGACTTCTTTGTCAACCTCCTCGACATGGGCACCACCTGGAAGCCGACGGACGCGTCCGGCGAGCTGTACGAGGGCGCGGACCGCCGGACGGGCAGCAAGAAGTGGACGGCCACGCGCGTTGACCTGGTCTTTGGCTCCCACGCCGAGCTGCGGGCCATCGCGGAGGTGTATGGCAGCTCCGATGGCGAGCGCAAGTTTGTGAAGGACTTTGTGGCGGCCTGGAACAAGGTGATGAACCTTGACCGGTTTGACCTGAAGCGAGAGAATGTTCCGGCGCGGCTGTAATCGCCCCGGATGTGGCTATGGAGTAAAATTGTTCGTTGCATTGTGATGTCGTCGTGACGAGAGTGTTTTTTCTTCAACCGTTCTGTAGCGTGTGTTTGAATGGAACAAGATAATGAAATTGATATTTTCGCAGCCTTCTGAGTTTTTGGTTGTGCATAGTGCTGTCTTACGAGATCCAGAATGCCTACTAACTAAATTCCCATTTGGCCCTCCTCTTTCAAAGAAGACCTTCTCTTATCAGATCTCGCTAGCGCTGACTCGAGTAGCAGCTCCGGTCCTCGGATGTTACAACGCCTCATCAGCCACGCCAAGCACCAACAAGGGAAAATTTGTGTCATCTAATAGAACAGACCACCGTTCCCTGCTGAGACATCTCCACCTAGTAAAGACTGTACCGTCGGCTATGGCCGCCTCTGTGCTGCCTGATTCTTGTTCCCGAACGTGAGGTGGTCCATACAGTATGCCATACACAGACGAATGGCGTGGTACTTCCAGCAAAAGCACATGTACCGTTACTCTCGAATGTGCACTCCTCGTCCTTGCCACAATGCCCGTCGAGAATAATGACACCACACGGAGTACCGATCAATCTCGCCAGCTTGGCGTCTCGGACGAACCAGACCCTGAACAATCTGCCCATATACGCAGAAATCCTGGACAGACAACCGACATCGCTGTGGTTGATGCTCTTGGCACCCTAACGGCACGCTATGCGAGTGCCCAGAGCGCCGCCAGCAGCATGATTGGATCTGGGTGCCTGTGTCCATCTTATCTGATCATCTGATAGGGGAGCTAGCGCATCCTGGTGGCATCGCGTACTTTTACATGCTCTTGGCTTGCAGCACATTGCGATATTTTCCGCCCTATATGTATGGGACTCCCCGGTGATCAATTCCTTCTTTGTTCTTCTTCGTTCATTCTCACGCCTAACAGGATTCTTCACTGTGCTCATAGAGTCATCAACTTGCAATGTGGACCAGCCGGGAGCCCAAGCTGGCCGAGGACAGCATGCCGAAACATGACATTGAGAAGAGCACAGCTCCCACTGAAGGGATTCAGGAGTTCCCTGCTGGAAACCTTAGTGACTCGGATCAGGCGTCGACGGATTTCCAGGATGGAATCCAGCGAGTGAGAGCCATCACGTCCACATGGTCTAAGACGACGTTGTGCACAATGTTTATCTTGTATGTCTGCCGTCTCTTCCTTACACGCGCCCACAACCTCCCTCGCAATGACTGACTCCTAGCTACCTAGGTTATACTTGGTGTCGTTTGTCGACTACCTTCTGTCCTCCGTCCAGGGTGCCCTGAACCCATACATCACATCCGCATTCCACAAACATGGCCTTCTCACTGCGGTCAGCGTCGTGGCCACCATCGCGGGCGGATCGTCGACGCTGACTCTGGCCAAGATCATCGACATCTGGGGTCGTCTGCAGGGCTTTGCCTGCATGCTGCTCCTGATTGTCGTCGGCCTGATCATGAAGGCCACCTGCAAGAACATGGAGACATATGTGGCAGCGCACACCCTGTACTGGGTCGGCCATCTCAACTTGAACTACTGTGTCGACGTCATGCTGGCGGACATGACCACTCTCAGGAACCGTATGCTCGTGCTTGGGATCATGGGCACGCCCAACATTGCGAGCATTTTCGCCGGCCCAAAGATCGCCGATCTCTTCTACACGAATCTGAATTTCCGCTGGGCATTCGGCGCATTCGCCATCATGCTCGTTGGAGTGTGTCTGCCCGTCATGTTGATCCTCCTCATCCTGCAGATCAAGGCGGAGAAGGCCGGGCAGCTGCAAAAGGAGCGATCTGGCCGCACTGCTTTGCAATCAATCCGCTATTACTTCCTGCAGTGCGACAGTGCGTATCCCCATTCTCCCGATGTTCACTCCGCTGGTTTACATTCGTGCTAATTGACGTTCCTCCCAGTCATCGGCATTATCCTGATTACTGCGGCCTTCTCTCTGATCTTGCTGCCTTTCAACATCGCTGCGTACGCCCCGAAAGGATGGGCCAGCGGCTACATCATTGCCATGGAAGTCCTGGGGATAGTCTTCCTCCCCGCCTTCTACGTCTGGGAACGCTTCTTCTCTCCCGTTCAGTTCCTCCCGTGGAAGTATCTCAAGGAGCCCACTATCATCGGGTCCTGTCTCCTGTACGGCGTTATGTTCGCCTCCTGCTTGTATGTGAACCCCTTTCACAAGGGAAAACCCAGCTCACCTAAACCAGCACCTGGAACGGGTACTTTGGGTCCTACCTCCAGGTCGTCCATCGACTGGATATCACCACGGCCAACTACGTTCTCAACTCCTTTTCCCTCACCTCAGCCATCTTCAGTCCCCTCATTGGCCTGTAAGTGCCCAACACCACTCCAACATCCAGCGTCTAACCCCAGCAGGTTAATCCGTTACACCGGCGAATTCAGATGGACAGTCTGGGGGGGCATCCCACTCCTCCTCCTCGGAACCGCCCTCCTAATCCCCTTCCGCCAACCAGACACCCACGTCGGCATCCTCGTGATGACCCAGATTCTCGTCGGCCTGGGCACCTGCGTCTTCGTCGTCTGCGGCCAACTCGCCATCATGGCCCCGGTGACCCACCAGGAAATCGCCGCCGTGATGGCCGTCTGGGGGCTGTTCGGCTCGGTCGGCGCCGCCGTCGGCAACGCCATCGCCGGCGCAATGTGGACCAACATCCTCCCGGGCCAGCTGTACCAGCGGCTCCCGGATGTCAGCAAGAACCAGACGGCGGCGATCTACGCCGACATGGTGCTGCAGATGTCGTATGCGGACGGGACGCCGGAGCGCGATGCGATTGTGGGCGCCTACGCGGACGTGCAGCGGAAGATGGTCATCGCGGGCGCTTGTATGATCCCGCTTTGTCTGGCCTGCGTGGTTATGTGGCGGAATATCAATGTGAAGAAGCTGGATCGCGGTCAGACCAAGGGGAATGTGTTCTAGACCTTAAGGCGTCTCCTTCCAGCGTGCCATTTTTTACCCAGACTACCTAATGGTCTGTGTCCTTCAGCTTTAACCTCCTACTGGCCGGACAACCGGTGATAGCAGTTCGGTTTTGAAAGAAAATTAAAATCTGTGGCATAATCATTACTCGTATACGTACACCCTATTCTCGACATGATAAACCATGGTATCCGTAGTCTCCCAGAACAATCAGTACTATCACAATGCGCCAATGCGTAATGGGGAAGTCGTGCAATGCACACAAAGGGACGTGGATGCACGGAGTTACTCAACACGGGGCACGACAATCTGCAAAAGGTTGCATTCCAGCCATACCGCCACTCGTACAACACTGAAAAAGATCTCGACATCTTATGCACCTGGTTCTGTTGCTGCAGTCAATTCCGAATGGCACATGGACGAATCCACTTGATTCTTCTTCAATGAACTCGAGGCGCGCGAGACTAATCGCCAAGGATAACAAAAGGATCATCGGACGTGTCCTCCGCTGCGGCCAGCTCCCGTACCTTCGATGATTCCCTGGGCCGGCGAAGAGGCGGGCTAAGAGGGGGGCGATTCTCGCTAGAAGTCGCCTGGCGGTCGGGACTTTCTGGGAGTTGGAAGAGGCGGGATTGCTCGGGAAGTCGGACACGGGGGCGATTCTCGCCCGAAGTCGGCTGGCTGTCAGGGCTTTCTGGGAGTTGGGGGCGGCGGGGGCGCTCGGGAAGTTGGACACGAGGGCGTTCTGTAGGCGTCGGGGGCAATGCTTCGAGAACTGCGCTTGTGATTTCGCCCCTGGACCAAAAGTCGGGATCATCGAGCACCTCATCGCTCACGTCAGCTGCACCACACAGCGCTGCGATACGATTTAACATCCATTGCATGTTGAGAAGCTCAAAGGACGGAAGTGGCATGGCCACGGGGTCGCGGGTAGTGAGAGTCACAAGCTGGCCTGAATAGATTGGCTGGTCTGTGTCACAGTTCCACAGCTTCGCGTTTAGGGGGCTGCCCTTTAACGATGCAGGGAGGCAGGGAGGATCGCAAAGTGGCATGTTCGTCACAAGCTTGTTACCTGGTAGCCACCAAAAGCGGACGGTGAGCGAGGTCCCGTCCTCTGCCACTTCGACGGGTTCAAGAGCGAGCCGGGCTTTGCCCCATAGGTCGTGGACGATGGTGGAGAGGCATAGGTAGTTTTCCACTGTCTCGGGGCCCCTGGGGCCCAGAACTTTGCTCTTCCATTTTTCGATCTTGTCGGGGGCCCAAAATGTCTCCAGTAAAGACCAGAATTCTTCCCGCTCGTTCTCTGGTTTCTTTCCTAGGGCATACGGGTAGATGTGGCACATTTGTATAGGTTCTCCCATTTTGGTTACGACACAGCGGTCATTGTCTCGGGCTTGGGCTGTGTCTCTGGCGGGTTTCGAGCGTCCAATTACATTGTCAGCCAGACGCGGAATCTTAGTTGGGGAAGGGGATTCCCCCTTCTTGCCCTTTCGTTTTGGTGACTTTGTTTGCGGGGATTTTGAGGACTCTGCCGAAACAGGTGCGGGTGCGGGTGCGGGCGCAGATGGTGGTGCATGTTCAGCAAGGTCGGCGGCTCTGTCAGCGTCTTGTTTGCCCGTGCGACGAGCAAGCCAGGACTTCAAGTGCTTCAGAACGTCTGGGGTGTTCCGAAAACCCCTCCTTACCAGGCGAGCTGTGGTCTTGCTGGATTCGGCATTCTCGACCATCTCTCGCAGTACCTCAAGGTCGCTTAGCCAGATCAAGGCATGGTTGGCGTTATCGACTGTGCGGAGATTGGTGGCCGCGTCCAGGCGCCGAACCAGGGCGACCCTCTCTTGGGTGAATTCAGAATCGATAGAAGCCATCTGTAAAAGGGTTCGATGGCAGGGAAGAGAGGTAGTCGGTAGGTAGTAGGTGGTGGGTGGATAAAAAAAGAGCTAGGACGGTGGAGAAGGTGGAGAGGTTGAGGAGAGAGGGAAGTTTGTTGGCAAGTTGATCTTCTTGAAATTGGACATTGTGGGACAGATGTGGTCACGCTAGCCCTAATGGGGAAATACCAGCGGGCGCTAAGCGAGTAGCTTTAGACAACCCCCGGATGCTCTTCGGCTCGGAGCATCTCTGGATCCGGTCTTCCCTGTCGATGTTTGCTTGCTTCTAACTAGGCAGCATCTCTTCGGATATGTCTCATACGACCATAGCCAGCCACATCCCGATGCGGCCACGATGAATCGCCAACAGCCGAACTGGGAAAAGTGAACGGGCGAGCGTGACATCAGCATGCTACTCCACCGTGGCACGCGAGTGGCTTGCGGGGCGGCGCCGCCATCCCATCTGCATTGGGAAATGACTGGAGGGAGGCTAGAACGAATCGAGGGATTATTGGCGCTTCACCCAGGCAGTTTCTGCGGACAAAGAGAAGGAGCGCTGTTTCGAGGGAAATAACACAGCCCTTGCACCCTCCCAGACACGGCTCAGCGCATTTAGTCGCCACTAGCGCGCCCGATGCCTCTCACGGCGTGGTCAGACCGGACGGAAAAAGGCACAACCACCCCCCTTTCCACTGCACTAAGTTCAAGCCAAGGGACCGATACGGTGCCTGATTCGAATGCCACCGCGTAATGGGGTTAGCCGTCCTATGAGAACCAGGGTCAGACGGCCCTAAGAGCCCTCCAGCCATCTGAAGGGGTCCGGAATCCCCAAACAAGTCAACGTTTCCCAAGAGGCGCAGCCCCCCGGAGCGTCGATAGACGTATCACAGGCCGTTGACCAGAAATGACCAGCCTTGTTGCAATCTTAACTGTCTCCGCATTGGTCGCCCGCCGCAGCCATAGAGCGGCCTTTGTGTTCCGTCCCGCCGGGCGTTCTGATAAGAGAGCCAATGTAGTTGAACCTTGGACAGTTAGATCGAGGTCGTATCGGCACGCAGGCGACCGTGAATATAATATATTATGATTATGCCTGATCGCCTGTGCTCACTGACTAGAGCTCTTTTCTTGCTTCTTTTTTCTTTCTACTCTCTTCGTCCGATGATTCTTTCCTCCATCGCCCGTTGTGCAACTGCATCGATCGAATTGACCCAACAGATGTCACTCGAACGACCTCACCACCTCAACCTCGTCTCTTGAGTAGTCCTTTGTTTGATCGACTCCCCATTGCGACAGAATATTCGTCCAAAATGGTAGCTCCCGACGAAAAACATGCCGGGGTGGAACGCTCGACCTCCCCGGAGGGTGACAGCATCCAAGTCGGCGAGAACATGGGAACCCTGCATCGCCGGCTCAACAACCGTCAGATCCAGCTCATCGCGGCCGGTGGCTCGATTGGAACCGCACTGTTCATCAGTATCGGCGGTGGTCTCGCCAAGGGTGGCCCGGGTAGTCTGTTTATCGCGTATACGGTCTATAGCTGCGTTCTCGCATTCGTGAACAACTCGATCGCCGAGATGAATACGTATATGCCCGTTCCTGGAGGTTTTATCCGTTTAGCAGGCTACTGGGTCGACGACGCCCTGGGCTTCCTCGCTGGCTGGAATTTCTTCTTCTACGAGGCCTTCCTGATCCCCTTTGAGATTACCGCTCTCAGTATGGTGCTGTCGTTCTGGAACGACCAAGTGACCAACCCCGGTCCGACAGCTGGTATCTGTGCTGCGGTTATTGTCTGCTACGCGTAAGACTTTCTTGAATGCTATCCCGATTGGAAAACGTGAACGCTAACGTCTGGTTGCACACTAGCGCTCTGAACATTCTTGCCGTGAGATTTTATGGTGAAGCCGAATTCTGGTTATCCGGGGGAAAGCTCGTCCTCATCTTCATGCTGTTCGCCTTTACGTTTGTGACCATGGTCGGCGGTAACCCCCAGGGCGATGCGTATGGATTCCGATACTGGCGAGACCCTGGATCTTTTGCCGAATTCCACACTACAGGCGATCTAGGTCGGTTTGAAGGCTTCTGCGCGGCCCTGTGGAGCGCCTGTTTCACCGTCGTTGGTCCCGAATATATCTCCATGGTGGCCGCCGAAGCGAAACGCCCCAGCATCTATATCAAGTCAGCCTTTAAGACCGTCTATTACCGTTTCTGTATTTTCTTTGTGGTCGGCGCTCTGGCGGTGGGAATTGTGGTCGCCTATAACGACAAGGCCCTGCGGAACATCTACTTTGGTGACGGCGACAGCAGCACTGCCGCAGCCTCCCCATATGTCATTGCAATGGTGAACCTGGGTATTGGCGGCCTTCCGCACCTCGTCAATGCTTTGATCTTCACCTCCATCTTCTCCGCCGGAAACACCTATACGTACTGTGCAACCCGATCGCTTTACAGCTTGGCCCTGGAAGGTCGCGCTCCCCGCTTCCTACGCTACTGCAACAAGAACGGTGTCCCCATCTATTGCTTCTGCATTGTGATGCTCTTCCCGCTCCTTTCATTCCTTCAGGTCGGAAGTGGTTCAGCTCAGGCGATCACGTGGTTCGTCAATCTGGTCACAGGAGGTGGCATCATTAGCTTCCTGATCATGTCCATTACATTCCTGAACTACTACAAGGCATGTCAGGTCCAGGGCGTCGATCGCAAGACGATGCCCTACTACGGGTACTTTCAACCCTATGGCGCGATTTTCGCGCTCTGCGTGCAAAGTATTGTCGTGATCTTTTATGGATACAGCTCGTTCACGCCGTGGAGCGTCTCCAACTTCTTCTCCAACTATACCATGCAACTGCTGGCCCCCTGTCTTTTCTTCGGGTGGAAGATCGTCAAGAGGACGCGCTACGTCCGACCGCATGAGGTCGATCTCGTCTGGGAACGTCCGGAAATCGACGCCTACGAGAATTCGATTACCACACCCCCGGTGGGCTTCTGGGCTGAGATGGGCCAACTCGTCGGCATTCGCCGTAGAAAGAAGACGCAAGTTGATGCTTAGTTCGATGCGTAACAACTGGCTGGTTATGGTGAATGTACATATATCCATACAGAGAACTTTGAGTCACCCATATTTTCTAGAACCCGGGAACAAGCCTTGCAGATATTCTATCAGAAAATTCCCCTGATGGACGACTTGGAATTGTATTGCTACTCCATCATAGAAATTTTCTTGTTCTGCTCCGCGTCAAATACCTTCGCCCCACTGCTCCAAGTCTGGTGTACCTTGGCCTGCAGCAACTTGTACGGATCCCACTCCATATCCAACAATACAAAGTCCGCCTGATGGCCAGGGACAAGACTGCCCGTCCAGGAATCCGCATGCCTCGAGTATGCGGCACCCCTCGTGGCCGCCGTGACTGCGGCAGCCAGGGACAGCTTGAATTGCTCGTTCACCGTCTCGGTACTCTCTGGCTCAATCGCCGACCTGCGCGTCGTCGCGTTATACAGATTCGGTAGCGCAAGATGAGCTGCCGTGGGAGCGTCCGACCCAAGCGCCATGGGAGCACCGCCTTCGAGAAACTCGCGATACGCAAACGCGCGGTTGCAGCGGTGCGGCCCGACCAGACTCGGCCACCCTTTGAAAAGGGCAGGATCGGAATGTACTGGTTGGACTGAGGCAGTGATGCCCAGCTGGCCCAGTCGTTTTGCATCTTCGGGTGAGGTCAATTCCAAGTGCTCGATGCGGTGGCGACGTCCAGGCGTTAGTCCTGACAAGACATTTACGGCCTGATGGACAGCTTTGTCCCCAATGGCGTGGATCGCACATTGCAGTCCAGCCTCGTCGGCCATCCTAGCTACCCGCCCCAGCTCGTCCTCGGGCCATATAGGATCCACGGGATCCTTGGCTCCTGTATACGGTTGGAAGAGGGCAGCAGTGCAGCCATCCACGACACCATCACATATCAGTTTAATCCCGACAATACAGAACTTGGGCGATTTGGATGGATGGTGTTTCTCGTTCATTTCAATGGCCTTCTGAAGATGCCCCTGGACCACTGATGCGTCCTTCGAGTACGGGATGATCCAATGCGCAGCGATGTGGAAGGGGAACTTGTCTCCATACTGCTGGCGGAAGGTCTCGAGGACCGTCCACTGCGTCTCCTCCATCGCCATATCAATCATCCCAGTATACCCCGCTGCAGTGTATTCCGCCACGGCATCTTCCAGCGCCTGGAGCTTCTGCGACACGGGGGTCGCCGCGTTCAACCACGGATTAGCCACGTCGAGATGCGCAGCCTCGCTCAGAAGGCCCGTCGGTCTTCCATCTGCGTCACGGTGAATCTTCCCGCCAGGAGGGTCAGCCATGGAGGGAATTCCAATTTCCTCCATTGCTGCCGTACTGGCCCAGCCGGAATGCATGTCGTTGGCCTGGATGTAAATCGGTCGCGGATCGAGATCATCCAGCCAGGCAGCCCGGGCCTCGCCATCCGTTGTAGATTGGATCCAACCCTTGCATAGGATGCGTGGTGCAGAGGGGTTGTTTTTCGCATATTCTTTGATTGAGGACCGAATCTCTGCCAGAGATTTGCAGTGCAGGAGGCTTAGCTTGCGTTGCGACAAGGCAAAGTCTAGGATATGCATGTGGCTGTCGATGAAGCCGGGGACGACCACTTTATTCCGGAGGTCGACCCGCCTGGCGCCCGACAAAAGGGCTTGCCGGACTGCTTCGTCGTCCTGGCAGCCAACATGGCTAATTTTGTCGCCGGCGATAACCATGGCCTCTTTGAAGTCGGCTTCCTCGCCATTGCTGGGGGTGAAGATGCGCCCATTGACAAACACAGTCGTCTCCATGGTCCTGTATATGAATTAGGGGGTGATTTGCCTTGATGAACGTTCTATGGCAGAGTTGAGAGCTACAGTAGCAGCAACGGTCTACTTATACACTGGTGCCATGGGGGGTCACAGCAAGCGCATACCTCCACTCCCGCGGAAAGTGACGCCATTCGTGGATATCCACTGCCGCCCCGCTTATACTGTCTGTTCCACGACAGCATGGACCTTGCCTACTGATAGGGATGAGGCTGGCTTGATATATTGCATTATGTGCCATTCAAGCATGTGTACGCCTGTGTTACGTGTATATTCTTCGGTAGAACTAGAAACCCACCGTCTTACCCATTCAGCCCTCAAAATCGGCGCCCTTGTTTGTACCTGGTGTCCTAGTGGTTCTTCCTGGCCACTGTCTCCATATAGAACTCAGCGCTGGACTGTCTTGCTGCTCGTCCCCACACAATCATGGGTATCACCAGCAGGAGAATGGCAAAGCATAGACAGCCCACCGAAATAAACATTCGCTGTACTCCCAGCCCGTCCAGCCAGGGACTAATGGCGAATGCTGCTGCCGTTGCGATGGCGTTGCGAACGTATGTGATTCCCACAAGGCCTTCAGCGACCAACTATTCAAGATTAGTAACAGCACAACGTAGGGGAGTGGGAGCTAACTACCTCAGGATATGAGTCGCCAAAATATGGCAAAATGATTGATGTGGTTGAGCCAATCCCGAACCCAACACATCCAGACCCGATCAACGGGACAATCCAGGGTTTTCCCTAGTGGACAATTAGTCTGTGGATTCGACTGACATGATAATGGGAGTTGTCTTACATGTGCAATACCAATCCCATATAAGAAAAGCCCCAGCGGTGTGATGATAAGCGGCGCCAGCAGCATGTGCAGCCGCATCTCCGGATCGTAAATGCCAGATCGGCGTCTCGCCAGCCAAACCACATAGTAGTCGTTCAGCGGACCACCAAAAACTGAGCCAACTACCGCCCCAGCAAAAGGGGCAATGTTGATGTTTCCCACTCCAATTGACGAAAAGTTGTATGGAGGTGCAGCGAAAAGTATCGGCTGTGTTGTAGCCAGCACGGCGACCCAACATAACATCAAAGAATATTGCACAGCCACGAAGGCAACAGCTGCGAAACGAAACAGCAGTACAAATGGCCGCCAGACTTGCTTCCAGTAATCCCGCATGTTGAGATCAGAGGCGTGTCCTCGCCATGTCACCCGTTGCGTGTACGGTCTCCTGGGAGGCGGTGGTAAGTCGGTGGCTATTGTCGTCTCGCTCTTGGATGCAGGCGAGGGCTGTATGGTCATGTCTGGAACGGATATTTTGCCTTTAGTATTTTCAGCATATGCTCGCATCGGCACGTCCTCACCCACAACTGGGCTGACTTTCTGCTTAGCATATCGTGTTTCCTCGAACCCGACTACGATCAGGACCAGCACGACCCCGTTCAGAATAGCACACCACCACCATACCCACCGCCAGCCCTGACTTTCAACAATGTATCCGGTGGGGATGAGGCTAAGATATGTCTATCGAGGTTAGCCTTGTAGGCAGAAGCGGGATGTGATCAGACTTGCCCCAGCAGTAACCGTGATAGAGTAAATGCCATTCATCGTAGCTCTCTGATGCACGAAAAAAAGGTCGACAATCTAGATTACCCAGGACTTAGAGTAAGCCATCGCCTCTATAAGGAAAACAACTCACTGTCATCTGTATGATCGTATCATTGACAGATCCCGCCAGCCCGGCCAGAACCTGCAACACGACATATTGTGTCTTGCTCTGGAACAAAGCCTGTCCAACATTGACAAGTACCATCACAGTAGCCGCCGCCATGTACACTGGTTTTCGGCCCACCATGCTTGCCAAAGGTATAAAGAAAATGCATCCCATTGCCAGACCGGCCAAGCCGGCCGCGTAAGTATTGTTCAGGTAGGCGTTTCCATAGCCTAGTTCGGAAGATAAGGAAGGCCAGGTGACAGTGCCTACATCTAGGCTAAAGCACGTCAGTAACAGACAGCAAAGAGGTACAGAGGTTGGGAATGGTGATGACATACGTGGTGAACACCATCAAGGTAAATAAACAGGCAATGGCATAGTTCGCTGACTTCTGCCAAACGGACCAATTCTAGTCATATTCATCAGAACCCAAGTAATAAACAGTAGGATCTGCACAATTCTCACCAGTGGCTCATTTGGATCCTTTGACGGTTGCGGTTGGAGAACGATATGGCCGTCAGTATCGCGATCTACTCCATTCAGGTCGCTTTGGCCTGGAGTAGATACGTTACTAAATAGCAGTCTTCATGAAGGGAATGAACGACGTATACCGTTTCCTAGATATGCAGTTCCTGGCGGAAGCTGTTGCGTATGCTGCATTTCGCGAGGATTCTGGAGACTGTTCTCCATTGTTCTACTTTGACGAAAGAATCCCTTAGTGAATGGGAGGATGATGTATGTATATATGGAGAGGTCGCATGACAATAGGGGGATATGTATGATCACAGTCTCAGAAAGTGTATGCCCCTGCGAATAGGGATTCGAGGTCAGGCTACTATCATTGAGCAATTCCACCCCTCAGAATATTGGCATCGTGGAGTCGACTTGGGAGAGGGAGGGACATAGTGACGGATTACCTGATTGGGCCAATATGGCGGAAAGTGACGCTATTGGCCGAGATATGTGCTGCCTCAGGCATGCTACCCCGGCGCTTCTCCATATGGATCTCCGCATTCCTGGTTGTAATCTGGGGGCAATTACAAGGCTAGAGATATGCATTATTCATGTACGTTGATGGTTTATTGAGTCGGTACTATGCTTGGGAGAGGGAAGAACCTCATGTGGAACTCTACATGGACATCGACTGATAACATGCTGAGAGAGCTCCGTATATACTTTCCTGATAAGGAAAAGCGTGTGCCCAATTCCCGATATCGAACCCGCCCCCGGATGGGGGCAGCCTGCACGATACATTGTATCCATTCACCCCATGGCCCATTAATATTCGAATCTCAATTCGACAGTGCCGTCTTCCAGGTTGCTGCGTCCAACCCTCTGGTCCATATGCCGCCGACCCAGGTGGATTCTACGCCGCAGAAATCTTATCGCCCGGCCCGTCGTCCCCCTGCGTATCTCCGAACAAAATCCGGATGCCTAACCTGTATGTGCCCGCTTCTGGATACCTTTCCCTGCATCTAGGAGCGTAGCTAATGCGGCGCAGGTCGCAAAAGAAAGAAAAAGTGCGATGAACGTCGGGGTACCTGCGGAAACTGCGCTCGCAGGTGCATAGAATGTGTTTGGTCATCGCCTACACCAAAAGTGGTTAGAAGTAACAGCTCTGCCTCAGAGCCATATGGGGAACTTATAAGGCTTCCGTCCGAACCACTTGACGCCTTGGGAACTCCCAGTGCTGGGAGTCCTCCCTCAGCCTCTCCAGCGCCCTCCAACGCGGAACCCGCGGGAGAGTCAAATGTCCCTCTATGCTTGATACGTGGGCCAAGTATATTGGGACCCTATCTCGCAGAGACCTCAGGTGCAAGCAGTCAGCTATTCGATCTGCTACAGACCAAATGGCTCCGTCAGTTAATCAGGCCACTGGCGTCCGATTCGCTAATCGAGCTCTACCATCACGAATCGATGGTCATGGCCATGTCTACACCTTTCCTTATGCAATCCCTCCTCGCATGTTGTGCGTTCGAATATCCAGCACATGACACATACACCCAGCAATACTTTCAAAGACTGGCGGAAACACTCTACGTCCAGGCTGTGGCTGGGCTGCGCAGGTCTCTCGAGTCGACAGGACGCATGGCACCTACAACTGCTGTTCCCCGCACTGTCCTCCTGCTCTGTATATTTGAGGTATGTGCTTCTTGATACCACGTCTGTAAACACTTGTTAAGATTGCGCCACCCCAGCGAACGAGGCCGTTGCCATCCTCAGCTGTTGATACCCACCTCTCCGGTCTTGCCCAGTTGGTACAGTCTGAGGTTATCAAAGCGACATCAAACGAGGCGTTATCTCCGCAGGAACAGCTTATGTGCCGGGTGACCCTGGAGGCCTTCATATTCCATGCAGCAACCAGCGTTTCTTTTCAGCCGTTTCCTGACCAAGACCCAAACGTCGAGCTTGCTCTAACACTTGCAGAGCATGCGCTACAGGGTGTGTTTAGCCGTGGGACTCCAAATCATTCCGACTCCCCCGTATTAGGTGTTCCACCTAGGCTATTCCTGGATATTCGGGAGATCTCATTGATGCACATGAAGCATAATGAAGAATACGACTCGATCCGCTACCTCCATCTCCTGTCCGACATTGAAGCGATTGAAAAGGAGTTGTTGGCGAACTGCAATTTTCACCCCAATGGTCCCATATTTGTGAACCGGACGGCGTCAGAAATTACCCGTCCAGCCACATATGGCGAGAGGCCTTGTGCCAGCGATACCTTCCTCCTTGGACCACAGTTATATATCGTATCAGCCAAGATCCTCCTCACGGATATGTCACAACGCTACGGTCATATGCCGTCATATGATATGGACGAATTGATACGAGAAGGAATGCGGTTGGTAGACCAGTTACAGCCGTCAGTCGACTATTACGCAGAGTATTATAGTTGGCCTATCCATGTCTTGGCCCGATTTGTTTCAAGCCAGCATGACCGGGATCTTCTCGTGGCAAAGGTGCAGGGATTTTGGGAGGGGACAAGGTGCGGAACAATGAGGAGGTTGGCGGATATACTGATAGCTGATATCGGCGAGTCATTCCCTTGCAAGGAGTAAGAATGAGGCGCCCAGCTCGCCAGGCCAAATATGTCATAGTGCATGTAAACTAATTCAAGGTGGCTTTCGAGGCGCAGGTGAGTGAACCACACGGTGTGCGAGACATACTACCCGGAAGATATCGAAACTTGGAATGATAGAGATCCTTATGCATTTTAAAAGACCCAGATTCTCCCTCCAGTACTGACTGATAGCAATATGGACTGCAGAGCACCTATAATATAAAGCCAATACAGCGAAAATAGCATTGTCTAACCTAATATGACAGTTGTGCATTGCTGATAATGACAAAAATGTACGATAACCGGTTGGTTGAGTATAACACCAAATTGGTTAATGTGCATAAGCTTCATAAGATTCAAGAGGCAAAACCAAAGGGTATAAAGCACATACCTAAAGGACTCACATGCATCCCCAGCACCAAATGCCGTAGCCGTGAGAACCTCATCAATAAATTTATTGCAAGCACTGCAATTCGTGACAAACTACAGCCCCAGATTTGAAATAATACTTAATGGGCGCCGTTGCAATCTGTACCGAAATTATTGTCAGCTCAACAAGCAGTATTTTAACACTCAACAAGAACTGACCTATATACAAGGGCGTTGATAGAGCTTCTCTGGGTTATCTGATTGATGCCTGTATCATAGTGAGAAACCTCTTACTTCTGCTCACAAGACCTGTTACGCGGACCTATCCAGCCTTCGCATATGCGCCTCTGCACTTGGATGCGATGTTTGGACAGTATCGCTAACATACCTAAATTCCTTAACAGACTTCATACAGGACCCCATAACTCTGATAGGTCTGTTGCATGTAAAACAGCACATGCATTGCGTAGAGTCAGGCGCCCACAATAGCCGGTTTACGCTCACGGCATATCCAATTATCCTATGGCAAGTAGAGTAGGATATCTTATCGTGTCTGACCATCCTTCCTGTTACCAGGCTGTTGGTCGCACATATAGGAGCCTCTCACTCCTGTCCTAGCCCCTCTTCTGTGGATATCAAGATAGTCGACGCTCCATAAAAGTTGTTCATCTGTATTCTCCAATCGCACCAAGCTACAACTATTTCCTACGACGCCTTGCCTGTGTGACCATGCTATCCAAGAAGACATGGGATGTCCTCAGCACTGTCGACAACCCGGCGCATTTCAGTCGATTCCCAGCTGGGATTGCACATAACGCCAGCGATGTTGTCACCACACTGAACAAATTAATCGATATAACTTGTACCCCCGGTTCCAAAGAGGAGCGAAAAGCCAGGCTCCGCCACCAGGCTGCTGACAAGGACCCCTTTGCAATTTGTCACTGCACGTCAATCCCGGAACGCCTTGTCCTAGTCTCCTCTATCGCTGAATTATTGTGGATTCATAACGGTACGAGCTATAAAATCGATCTTCCCATCATAATCTAATAGGCAAGAGCAGATGTGACCGAAGAATTGGAGCACAAACAAGCCTGCATAAAGCATGACATCCTCAAAGATTCGATGTTCCTTGAAAAGCTTGTAAATGCGGAGATTGGCCAATTCAACGCCCGGGAGACAATCTTCGGGTTGCTTGTACAAAAGGCCTGTGCGATGGACCCGAAAGCTGCACCGAAAATGGTTGACACCCTCTCCAACTTTTTCCAAACATACAATAGCAGTGATGAGGAGTTTGTCTCCATGGACACATACATCCCATACAGGGTGGCACAGAGCGGATACTGGTAAGTAGCTTAACTACCTGGTTTAATCAGTACTAAGAGTTCCATCATAGGACGTCGTCGTACCTCATCCGCTGGGGCATGGATTTGACACTCAGCGATGAAGAAATCGAGTTGATCAAGGATTTTGACTTCAGTATGGGAGCTGTTATGGGGTTGACCAATGACTATTTCAGTTGGAATGTGGAAAAGGACCGGGAAACCGATCGAGTGCGCAACGCGGTCCGGGTGTTGATGACGGAGTACCAGGTTCCTGACAGGGTTGCAAAGGCTCAGCTAAAGGAGATCATCTTGGATGAAGAAGAGAAGGCGTGCAGGGCAAAGCACAAAGTGCTTGAAGCCTACGATTCTCCACCCCCGAAGATTTCGGAGTATTTCGAAGCCATTGAGCTATATATAGGAGGATGTTGCTATTGGCATACCACTGCTCCATGCTACAGAGTTTGAGAAATATGAGGTTCTATATAGCTGTCACGTGTTTTAACTTGGCCCCGATGTCCATACATTTCCAGCTCGGAATAGAACTGTGATACTAGGAGGGCAGCTGCGGCCTCTTTGGCCATTCTCGAGCTCTCTATGCCCTATGTTTCTGCCGTGTCAGACAAGACCATACGATCAGCTTCCATAATTCAATTACAAGAATATAGACGAGGAATTATTATTCATGAACGCACAGTAGTAGCGCGGGCGAAACTACTCCGTAAACCAAAAAATATACAGCCCTTTGGCTGGTCAACCCAATCTCAACTTGCTAGGACTAGGAAATCTCAGCTCTTCTCCGGATGTCCAACTGGAAGAACACTCTCGACCGTCTCATCGGTATTCTTCAAATCAGTCTCGATATCCACATGATCCTTGATGCGGAGCCAGATCACGGGCGCCGCGACGAGCAGCGATCCGCCCAGTAGACCCCAGTTGCTGGCGAACTCGGCCGCAAAGGAGGCGTTGTGGAAGTCAATACTCCACATCACGGCCGCACCGGCAGATTGGATACCCTTGTAGAAGCCGGCGAAGTTGGCGCCTTTGCGACCGGAGTTGGAAAGGGCTCCCATGTACCTGGCGGTGGGTTAGTGGAGTTGACTTGGGAGGGGACGGGAGTGAAGAGAGGACTAACCAGTAGATAACACCCTGCCAGACGGCGTCGTAGAAGCCGTAGAAGAAGTACAAAAACATCGGCCCGGCGTAGCCGGAATGCGTCCAATCCCAATGCTCGAAACCCTTCTTGACGTCGACTGTCTCGCGAGTATAGTTCTTCTGCCAGGCCCAGCCACCACCCCAGATAACCATGGTCAGGACGAAGAGGATGACCCAGGCGCCGCGCGCCCGCACTGAACGACGGAAGTAGGTCATGTCAAGGAGCGGACCGATGACGGTCGCAGCGGCGATTTGCGCGAACCAGTAGAGGAAGGAGTTCAGGGCCCGGGTGCGGGTGTTGAAGTAGGCGACGTTGATGGCGTTTCCTTGGTAGGTGTAGAACCAGTTGGACGACCAGAACATCGGGAAGAGAAGGACGACGAAGGGTTCGTTCTTCAGCGTGTCGTAGAGCCCGTACAGCTCCGTTTTCCACGTCGGGTTCTTCATCACAATAACCCGGGATCCATCGCGGCGAATGACCTTCTTCGCATCACAGAGCAGGAGAGCCAGGCAGGCACCAAAGAACATCAGCACAATAAAAGCAATATACGTTCCATCGGAGACGGTGGCAGCTTCTTTGACGTTGATATTCGTACCAAGCGCGATCTATTACCCGTCCATTAGATGGGAGATACCTAATAACGGGACGCCATCACTTACCAGACTGCCCATACACGCGCCAATGTTAAAGATACCCCAGAACCACGCGAAATAGCGGCCTTTCTGGTGCTCGTGGGGGTAGGACATCATGATGGCTCCCTGAGCCGACCACAGAATACCGGCACAGGCACCGAGTAAAGCACCGGCAAAGATGTTGAATCCGGGCACGTGCTTGTGCACCGACACGAGCAGACTGATCGCATAGATACAATATCCAATTCCGCCGAAGGAGAGCGACAGTCGGATGCCGATCCAGTTGACGATGGAACCCGCGAAGAAACCGACAACGGCGAAGACACTGTACAGGGTGAGGTTCTGGCGATATTGATCAGTTTTACTTCTCGATCCTCATCCCCCCAAACGCGATCCAACAATGCTCACCATTTGATCAGCCAGTTTCGGGTCGGCTTTGCCACCACCGCCCAAACCGCCGAGCGCATTGAACATGCCGGGACACATGAAACACACAAAGGCGACCATACCCAGCTGGAACCTCGGAGACGCATACCAGGGCGTGCGCCAGCGGCCAGAGCCCCACGATTTGTACATCCATCCCGCGGGAAGCTGGAGATCGCCCGCTGCCTCATCAGCGGTGTGAACGGGCACCCCCTTGTCATTAGCCAAACTAGTGCCGGCCGCAAGATCAGCCATGATGGGCCGGACGGATCGTGGGTCGAGGGAGATGGAGATGCGCGTGGAGGGGAGTGCAAGACAGGCGGCAGTCGTGATCAGAACCAGCTCGCGGAGCAGACAACATATTTATCAACGACCAGGGAGCGCGTCGGCAGAAAGCCGACTAGGCCGATAGGAGATTAGATAGCGGCGTCGCCAGCTAGTCATATTGCTACAGTTTCCTCACTGGCGGCCACAGACTGCTACGGTTACTCTGCGGCCCCCCGGTCTAGTGCGCTGACTGCTGGACTAGTCGGCGTCGACTAGTCCGTCTGGGCTGGTGGCGCTGGCGGGCGGCCTTACTGTTGGCTTAGCGCTCTGGCGCCCCCCCATGTGATAATTCGTATTGTTGGTTGATTCGCGAGATAAGAAGGATTGGGCCGGCCTTTATTTGCCATGAGCGTTACATCCGCCCCAAACAAGCGAGATGTCACTTCGGCTGCGATCATGCGATCAGTTTGAAGCTGGTAGGCTTAGGGCTGGCGGTGGTGGATGCGCAGGAGAGACATGAGATAGGAGATATGACAGGTTACACGGTGGAGCCACACCACGCTCTCCTACAACGTGGCCTATTGCTACTATTTTGATGACTACTACTGCTACTATTATTATGTCCACTAGTATTACTATGACTACCTTGTGATAACCCCATAGAGACCCAGCAGTTCGGTCTCCCCGCACGGTCGTCCCGGGGAGGTAGTGGAGATCAATCGACTCGACTGGCGCGTAACGGTCGCCGAAATCATATTAGAAGCATGTTACTGTTGCTGTAGATATCATGCTCACCAAATCATTGCAACATGAAGGCGTTCTTTGCCTTGGTTACTATCGCTGGCGCCGGGCAGCCAAGTCTCTGGATTCAACGCCTGGAATTCGCTAAGGCATACTGCCGACTGGGTCTGAAGCTCGGTCACTACGGTGATAGTGGATATTGACTTGTGGCTCTAGACCTGGGATCTGGGGCGACGAAGAACGAAACACACTCACCTCGGCGCAATACGGTCGACTACTGGAAATACGGCAATTGCGGCGGTTTTCAGTGGGCTCAGCCAGACGCACCGTGGGTCCCATTTTGGAAATGGAGACATAGCGCATTGTCGTATGTCTCCGTTATTGAGCCCCGAAGGAGCGGAAGGCTCAATGCTTGACCACTAACCAGCACGACATGAGATTGATTTAACAAGGAACCACCAACAGGGAATCGATCGCCTGCTGGAAAACTAATACAAAGAGAGCAATGCCCAAAAGAGATGAGATCGCGAGAGCTTCTGTGTCACATGATTGTCACAGTCACTGCGCATGTCATGTGATATGTCGCGATAGTATATCGGGTGCCCCAAGTCTTGTTCTATATGCCCTTGTATTCAATGCTTCTAGGTTAAAGATACATGTATCTGGATGCAATCAAAAGGCGCACGAAGGCACCTCGCTTACAGACCCGAGAACTTGTAGACCATGTGTGCCTTCTCAAAGGTGTCTCCCTTGACTACCACCACCCGCCGCGTCAAATACTGCTGGGAGCCGATATCTTCCAATCCCCAAACCTGATCGACCATTAGCCTCCAAGACATTCATCCGGGCGAGGGGACTCAAATACCTGCTCCGCGGTCCATCCAGCCTTCTCATTCCGTCCAAAGTCATGAATGTAGAGATCTTTGAGCTCGTCTTCAGTCTCACCCGTCAAGTGTGGCTTTCCTCCAGTGAGAAACTTCACAATCGCTTCCTCCTGCTCCTTGGACGCCGGCTTCGATTGCAGCGACAACTCCGGCACGATCGAACCGTCGTCCTTCTTGATCCCTTTGATGAACTGACTCTTGGTCAGGGTATCTCCGTAGATATGGTTGCTACGCTCCCGCTCGGTCCAGTCCATGATACGCTCCTCGGTCGAGGCTCCAATGCCTCCCGTGAGGGCTTGGTTCATGGTCAGACGAGTGGTCGGGGTCCCAGCAGCTGACGTTTCAGGAGTGGAGGTGAACTTCAGAGTAACAGTTGCGGTGTTGATTGCCTTGCGCGTCAACCATCCAACGCCTTGCTGGAGGAGGTCAATAGACGTCATGGGTAGGTCGGGGATTATGTGCCCACCAGCTTCAGAACATCATCCATTCCCTCCGTGACTGAACTGTCCTGTTCGTAGTTAGTATTGTCTTCACACCGGGAGCGCGCGGGATGTCTCTACCAGAGTCCAGGAGCCCTTCAGGGTCGGGATGGTAATCTCGGCAGGGACGGCCATTTTGGATATTTCGGAACGGTAGGTATTGGGGATGCGATTAATACAAAAGAGTTGATCCGAGAGAGCTCTATTTCTGTTCAATGGCTTGTTCAGAGCATTGGACTTGGGTGAACTTATAGTCAGGAGAGTATATAGATGGGTGGATCCTTCACATGCTTGGGGGACCTGCCGAACCTCGACTTTCACATGTGACGGGGATGGAAAGCACTCCTCCAGCTCCTGCGTCCACCATCACAATTAAAGCACTCATTGAGATGAAACCTGCTCGACGCCATTGCAATGTCCGAGGTCCTCTCAGCATGTCCACAGGGGTCGTTGGAGCATGGTTGTTCACCAATGGCTGAGGGTTTGAGACCATCACTCCATATACCAGCGTCGTCGAAGCGAACACCCCAGACTTGCAATATCCGGGGGATCTGGGCATCCCCCGGAGAACCCTCGTGGTATCAATTAGGGGCGGACGACGCTCCCAGTTGGGTGCTCCGGTGGTGCCTGGGCCCACACTCACGGCTTGGGCGTCTGGCACAATGATGCTGAGAACAAATCATTTTTAACATAGGGAGCAAGTATACTAACAACCAATCGGTGATCCGGATGGATTGCATCATTCCGGTCTCCGTCATGGCAGGGCTCCGTATGGCAAAGTCCCATCGACCCATGCACTACCGAGGATGATGAAAGAGTCCACGCAATTATTGGCCGTTGCAGCGATCAATGGAGATTACTCTTATACGTGACGTTCATTATTCAAAATTGGAAGCTGGCACTTGAAACGTCCATTCAATGGTGATATCTCATGTGACTGCATACCCTATGCGATGTAATGGCTATAACCATTCGCCCTCGTCCGCTCGCTGGACTGCACCATCCAGCCCGCGCGCCTTCTGAAGCCGTAGCAGTTCCTGTTCCTTCATCTCTCTCGCTGCTTTCATCCTCGCAGGGACGATTCGCTTCCGCTCCGTCGTAATTTTCCATCCCGGCAACCGATCCTTCCCCAGCGCAAGGAGAGTCTTTCGCTCAACCAAGCTGTACTGGTTGGGATCATCCCGATCGAAATTGAACGGCTCCTTCAGACCGACGGGTGGGTTGGTGATGATCCGGGGAATGCGCAGACTATTCTTCGAAGCTGAATGGCACATGAAGGGGTGCATCAGAATGACATCTCCAACGTTTCCTGTCATTTCATGAAACTCATCGCATCCCCGAACCAGAGACAGGTAAAACTCCAGCCCCTCGTGCTCTACCGTTATACCTCGAGGCACCATCTGCGGCGACACGCCTTCCGGGTGTTCATACTTCCAGTGGTTAGGCAACATGCTCATACAACAAAGCGAAACACTATCGAGCCAGGGCCTACTTACCAGATGTTTCGCAATGAGCGGTATGGCCTGAGGGCAGATCATCGTACCGCCACCATGCTCCTGTATGTCTGTGAACAACGGAATGACCAGCAACGCTTGCTCCGGCGAATCCAAGTAATGCACGAAGAAATCCCCGTCCACATGCCAATTATCCAGGTCGCGCGGGTCTGGCCAACGGCCCTCCCACTCGTCACTCCCTAGGTTGACTATGAGGCCATCCCCCCATTCCGAAGAAATATCAGACACCCGTTCCTCGCCGCCGCAGAGTTCGCAGATGGCCGCCCACGCTTTCGGGGCAAAGTCGCTCACGGGGGCGGAGCGATGGCGCGGCATGTTAATGCGCTCCTTTTTCCACGTCGTCTTGTCAGTTGGCGAGTATCCAAGTCGGATCCACACGTCACTCGTCCATTCCGCGGCTTTTTCGCGTGAGAAGCAGTCCGGTATGCGCACGTAGCCATGCTGAAGGAAATGGGCCTTTTGTTCTTCGGTCAGTCTATATGGGGAATCAGCCATCTTGTCTTCGGTCTGGAGCAAGCAGTCTGGTATCCTCTGCTGTCTAGATCTCCGGGGATGGGGGGACGCGGGATGGGGGACTAAATATTCGTCAGCAACTGGTCTTTGTTGCGTATATGAGGAGTGGCTTACTGTCACAGGGCGCGCAATTCAGGCTAAACACGGTCCTCTACAAGGCTTCCCCGCAGTATAGTCGAGATGCAAATAACATCGCTTCTGCTTCTTGGTCAGTCATTTCATATGGGATCTTACGACGTCAAATGATATGGGACATGACGCTCCGAGACAGCTTAGCCAAGATGATATGTGTGCGTCCAGGAAGCCACAGGCTTATACCATTGCAACGCGTCCTGTGCATCGTTCCTAGCCGCATCATCTACAACCGGATAAAGTCATCCTCTTCGGCCCAAAGACCGAACAGTCTGTGGGAATCCAAAGTTATTGACGATCTGCTGCTGACCTTTCATGCCATCGAGAGTGTGTAGTTCTCCACAAACGCGGATTGGATTTACAGGCCTTCGACGGATAAGTATTGATTGTCCATATACATATAGGAGACATGATTCTATAGTAGGATGCCGTCTCGCTGGTAAAAGGACGATTAATCAATTCTACAAGGAGGCCTTTGTCTTCCCTCCACGCGCCACACTCGCTATATCCAACGTCAGACCTGAGAACAAAGCAGAAACACATTGGCTGACCTTTCGACAACTGCTCAGTCTTCTTGCGAAACCGCTCCACAGGCGCCCCATCCACAAACCGCTCAGCCAATGCGTGGGCAGCATCAAACATGGCCAGGATCCGTTCCCCTCTCAAGGGGGCATTCTGCAACCGCTTCGTCTCCATCATACTCTTACCATCATTAACCGCCAACTGTTCTTTCAGAAAGCCGCGAACGCGCTCATGGAACCCCTCCGCAGGAAAGATCCGATTGATCAGCCCCCACGATTCCATCTCCTCGACCGAGCACTTGCGGCCGAACATCAGGAAGTCGTTGGCCCGGCGAGCGCCGATATTCCGAGCAAAGGTCGGCGCCGCGCCAAATTCCGGGACCAGGCCGAGGGAACTGAAAGGGACCTGCATGTAGGCTCCCTTCGCCGCGACGACGATATCGGCAATGCCTTCGAACCAGGCCGCGCCGCCGCCGACGGCTGGACCGTTTAACGCTAGGACAAACACCTTTCGGTGATCGATCATTGAGCGGAAGAGTTCCATTTCTGGTCGCGGATATCAGTACAAAGTACCCTGTAGTGTGGTGGAGCGAGTTGTTACTGGGTCGTACCGCGGGAGAACTTGCGCATATAGAACAGCTTCGTCTGTGCGGCGGTTGACTCTGGCGGGGGTGTCTCAATACCCCCTAGGATAATTATTAGGGTCTGTTCACGTCGAATGAATACCCATCGGGCTCGTACCTTTGATATCAGCCCCGGCAGAGAAGAAACGGCCCTCGCCGGTCAGGACCGTGAACACAGTGTCCGGGTGCTCGTCCAGGTCACGGAATGCCGCGACCATGTCCATGAGAAGGATTTCATTCCAGGCATTGAGGGATTCGGGTCTGTTGAGCTGTTGAGGGTCAAAAATTGAGGTCATTCTCATTCGCTACAGACAGTATCGTACGCACCTTGATGACCCCGATCTGATCGCGGATATCCACGAGAAGGTGGGTGTAGGTCGACGACATCTTGTTCAAAACCGATCGCCAGTAGGTGACTGCATTGAGCTCGACTTCCCTTAGAGGATGAAGTAGAGGATAATGTTTTCCTCGACCGCGGTTATCAGTTGATCCCCCGCATCGCCGGCACTTGGCCGAATGTGGGACCATCCATCGCTTATAGTGTAGCTATAACGGTTGCTTCAAGTAAATCAACCAAGCAAAAACGAGTTAATAAAGAAATCCGATTTATGCTTGCATATATATACTACACCATATGCTCCTACCACGATAGATGCTACACTGACGACCAGCCGATCGGAGTCGCTCTACGATGCTTGAGGCGCGAGGGGCACGAGATCCTTCATCCTATTCCTCCAGATGAAGCGGCTACATAATCTTCATTGTTGAAAGACAGAGAACGCTGGTCAAGACACTACAACCGATAACCCATGGCTCACCTCACGGGCTACCTTGCATCCATACCGAAATGGTGGACGTCGTAGTGTAAATCATAAACACCAACCCCAGTGTCATCATGGCGAGGTCGCCCCGTTTAACCCATGTCGACTGAGCAACTCCCCGGCGATGCAGGTAGGCTGGGTAGATGTACACCAGGGGTACACAGGCAAACGACCCGATCAACGAGACAAACTTGTCCAAGTCCCCGGCGCCAACCCCAGCCACCATTCCGCAGGCAATAACCATCCCCGTCCGAAACACGTTTTTCTTCCATTTTATCGACGGGTCACGCTTCCCGGATTTCGGACCAAAGAGTTTGCCCTCCAGGATGCGGGAGGCGGGGAACAACTGAATTGGAGTCCCAACGAGAATGGCCAAGGAATAGAGGAACTGGATGGTGTTGACGAGGGGGCTCGACTGGGGAAAATTACTGAAAATTTCCGTCTGCGTCTGCTCGCCAAAGGTCCCATAGGATAGCGCTCCGACTGCAGTAAATAGGACGGTAATGATTGCCATGACAATGTAGAGCAGGTAATTGAAATGCTCCGGTCGTTTCATAGAGGATTGGACCGGGAGGATTAAACCAATGCCTTCGAAGGTGAAGATGCAGGAGCCGATCGTCAGGGTGAACGAACTGGGGTTGAAAAGCTGGACACTCGGCTCTAATCCGTGTCGCGCGGCCATAGTTGCAATATCATAGTAGTAGATATAACCTAGCCCAATGAGGATAAAAACATCGGCCAGTAACGCCACTGGGCCAAGTTTGGAGATGTTCCGAATCCAGGACAAGGGAGTCAGCACCACCACCTGGAGCAGGATCAACCCCCCGGTGGACCAGACGATCATGGAATGGGATGCGACCGCACGAAGAAAGACGTGAAGATTCTCCGCTGTGAAGATGATGCAAGCACACACAAAGCCGATCTGAGAGAGGGCGATGGAGGAGAGAATCAACGACCGGAGACGAGGTCCGGCGATCCGTTCGCCGAGATCACCATACCCACCGCCGTACTGACTCCGACATTTCAGCAACAGGTGGAAGCAGAGAGTGGTGATCAGGGAGACGGTAACCAGCGTCACCGACGAAAAGAGAATGCCACCATTCCGAAAGGCCTTTGGCAGGAAGATAATCCCCGTGCCGATAAACGCCTTTAGCAAAGTGAAGAAAGTCTTGACATCGGACGCATCGCCTGGACGACCAACCCGTGAGCGCTTCCGAGCCCGAAGCAACGGGGTGCGCTCTGATGGACGTCGTCGGCCTTCCTCTGCCTCTTGTTCATCCGTCACAACCGATTCCTCGTCTTCCGTCTCCGCTAGGTCTTCACCGGCAAAGTTGCCATAGAGATCGAGAAAGTCCAGAAAGGATGTGGTGACGCCGGGATTGTCGAAGTGACCGTTGTGTTGGCGGATGAAATGTCGACGAAAGCTGCCTGGTTCCAGGGCGGTGACTGCCTCGTCGATCGTGTCTTCGGGTTCACGAGGGATAAAGGAAAAGCTGGCTGCACGCTTGTCGAGTTTCGCCTGCTTCGATTTGGCATCGAGACGGTACAGATCGCGGTGGATATCTCCGCCCTGGAGTTTGAGCGAGGACTGTGGCGGATCCTCCACGGGGAGAGTTGAGCTCTCCGGCTCATGGTGGTCTCTCTCGATTCCGGAAGCAATGGGGGATTCATCTCGCAGCGAGCCGGTGAAATGAGGATGGAGGTGCTGGGACAAGATCTCGGATTGATCCTGAGGTTCACGAACGGACGAGGCCGCAGCCGAGGAATTGCCGGAGTCTTCAGCCATGACGAGGGCGAGCAGTCAGAAAAATAGAGGAAATGACCAAACCAGTGATCAAGGGACGTCCAAGGGATCGCGAGATAGCATGGTGCTGTTGGGAGAGGCAGCGGGAGTTGTGGTGACGAGAGAAAGACGAAAGAAAGAGGAAGAAGAGAAGAACACCAGCGGATTTCCCCATCGGGAAGGACTGACATCAGTGCTGACTCATCCCTGTCTTCCATCTGCATCCACCATGATTCTATTCGCATGATGCATTATGACTGGTTCAGGTGGATTTGTCTTGTACAATAAAGTCAGGGGACTCTGAATTAAATGATATAAGACTTTACGGGGTACTCTAATCTACTCAGAGGGTGGATGTGCTGTTAGGTGTTAGGGATCACTCTCTCAGCGCTGGAACCCCATCCAGACAGAAAATATATATCGCGACCACAGTGGCATATACTTCATCTCTCCTTCAATATCACTTGTTGTGACGATCTGGCGATCGTTGAGCAATCTAAAGCTGGACATCCTTGCTGGGTCTGATAGTCTGAACAGCGTGTATCCATCACGCGGGCTTACGCTAAGCCATCTACTTCATGCAGCGCCAATGACGCGACTTCTGCCAACGCCTAGTGAGAATCATCTCCGCCGGCTGACACGTCCGAAAGGTCCTCTTTTTCCCCTTTCTCTTGATGATTCGATCACCCGATACCGAAATATAAACACGGGTAGGGGTTTTGGTTGACGTCATGAGGCACAACGGCCGTCTGGTTGCGGAAGTCCTCCATCCAGGGGTTCTTCTACCCTTCGAGTTGGACGCAGTGGAATGATATCAACGGTGTGTCGCTGATAATTCATCGCCCTTCCATACCGGAAAACTTCAAGTGTGCGACTCGACGATGGGCGGCGGACCTCAACTGCCTTCAAAGGCCCATTCCTTGCCCGACAGGACCGTGACGAGCGGTCCCGGAGAGAAGGCATACCTGTTTGGAGTGATTGACTTGGGAAGGTGAGTCCATCTAGGAGCCCGTGCTGCATGCATGTACTCGTGCTCACCGCTCCAGCAACGGCATCCGCTGTAGTATCTCCGACCTCACCCCCCCAACCACTCGGATTATCCCTACGGTCCACGCGCGACGGTTCAACATCTCGCTTTACGATGCACAGTTCGATCCAGACACGGGGGAGCGGATCCCCATCCCGCAGCATATTATCGAACGGGTAGTCGGCGTCCTTGTTCGGTTTCAGATTGTCTGCGTGGATATCGGGGTGCCACCGAAAAATATCCGGATTATCGCCACAGAAGCCACGCGACTAGCTATCAACGCGAAAGAATTCGTCGACGCGATTGAGCATGCGACCAATATCCCCGTTGAGATACTGCCGAAGGAGCAGGAAGGCGTCATCGGCGCCTGGGGGATCGCGAGCGGGTTCTCGGACATTGAAGGCCTGGCGATGGACCTTGGGGGCGGTAGTATGCAGATGACGTGGATCATGTCGCATGCGGGCAATGTCCACATCAGTCCGAAGGGAGCCATCAGTTTCCCGTATGGCGCCGCAGCCCTGACGCAAAAACTGGCGGAGCTGAAGAAGGGAAAAAGCAAGGAGGAGGCACGGGAGGCCGAAGAGAAGTTCCGCAACGAGATGGAGACGAATTTCCGCAATGCCTGGGACGAGTTGGAGATCCCGCAGCATCTGGAAGAGAAGGCCCGAAAACAGGGCGGCTTTGATCTGTATCTGTCCGGTGGAGGGTTCCGCGGTTGGGGATATCTCCTGCTCTACCTGCATCAAGTCCGTGGCGAATATTACCCCATCTCCATCATTAACGGATACTCGGCCGGCAGAGAGGATTTCGAAAACACCGAGGCATTGAAGAAAATTGCCCGGACGGCCCAGGATATCTTCCGCGTTTCCGATCGGCGGCGCGAGCAAGTCCCCTCGGTCGCGTTTCTGGTCAACGCACTGGCAAATGCGGTGCCCCATGGCATCAACAAAGCCCATTTCTGCCAGGGCGGCGTTCGTGAGGGTGTCCTTTTCCAGCGCATTGTCCCCGTTATTCGACAGCAGGATCCTCTCGAGGTAGCGACCGTGAGTTTCGCGCCGACATCCGCTCAAGCGATTGCCTACCTGATGCTCTCGGCTATTCCACGCCCCGATGGGAAGAAGCACTTCCCACACACCATCACTGCTCATGTCATACAGGCTTTTGCCAATTCCTTGTACTTGCATGCACCGATGTCGAAGGAGCTATCTTCGACTGCGGCGTTATATTGCACCAGCGCCGGCCTCCTTGCCTCTGCTCATGGGATCCCCCACGGAGATCGAGCACGGCTGGCGCTGATGTTGCAGGAGAGATATGGCGGAGAACTACCACCGCGTGAGTTGGACTTTAAGGAACGGCTGCGGGCCCTGCTCACCCGTGAAGAGGTGTGGTGGACTCGCTACCTGGGGAAGGTCGGACTGGTGATTGCTCGGTTATATCCGACGGGGACAGTGGACCCTGCCCGACCTCGGATAGTCCCTAGCGCGCGATGGGCGACAGACCTAGGGAAGAAAGGCAACAAGGAGGGCATTGAGTTGAAGATCTCGGTCCAGAAGGTGGCGTACGATCCTACGCGGCTGAAGGAAGAGCTCGAAAAGGATCTGAAGAAGATCAAGAAGGTAGGGAAAAAGAAGCATTGGATAGGGGGGCGACATGGATGGGGGATGAAGGTCAAGGTGGTTCTTGTGGAGGTCGATTTACTGTAGTCCATGAGTTTTGGGAGTACCGTTTCTGTAGCTCAAGGTGCCGATGCCGATCAGATACCCGGGTGGTGTCCATCTTTCTGTGTTTGTCGGCCACTTGGACGATGCCTTATAAAAGGCCAGGCCATCCTGCGCTCATCATCATCTACAATGTTTCCAACTTCTTTCTACCGCTACAGGTGTGCCTGTGGTGTATGTAGTGTACAACACCTACTAACGATGGCCGCCAAAAGTCAATCACCGATCAGAAAAGATCGGGCCTAGGGCTCTATGCTTTCGTCTTAGGGCTACTGGTTGTGCAATGGGCTCTTTTCGAGGAGAAAGATATTATGATTGAGAACAAGATATGATACAAAACGCCATTGGAAACATTATTTTCTCATGCATTGACATGGCATGGGTAGATGATCAGCGGCGACAATCGGATCATGGTGTAATAATCGTGATGGTCTATCGTCTCACATCTTCGCTGCGCCCTCCACGAAGGCCTGTAGTCTATGGGGTTCCGCTCCGATCAGCTCGTCCATTTTGGCGCCGTTCTTGAACGTTATAAAGGTGGGCATGGCAGTGATTCCGGCTTCGTGTGCTGCGTCTGGCACTTTTTCGACATTCAGTTTGTAGAACTCGGGACCCTCGATGTCCTCGGCGAGATGCTCGAATCGGGGCGAGGTGGCCTTGCAGGAGCTACACCCATCGGTGCAGAAATCGAAGACGCTCGGAGTGTCTTTGTTGATGATCTCCTGGAATTCCTGGAACCTGTTGCTGGTTAGTCAAGGTCTGTCGCAACGGGTTGGTGGAACTGACGTGTTGACTTCTCGGACAGGCATTGTGCTGGTGTTTCGGTGTGTATAGAATGACTGGACAAAGTCGGTATTAAACATATGATTGTCTATAAGCGATCTTGAGAATAGAATAGCTTTTTTTTCTTGCAACTCCTCAATCTCCTCCTGGGATGCCTGGGTTTTATATACATCGATGGCGGCGATAAACCGGAAGTATATGACGTTTGCAGTGAGACTCCACCGGTAGTCTCCTGAGGTGTCCGGTCGAATGACTGTGCTGTTCTCGCAGGAATGATAATGATGACGGTCATGGACTGGCTGTGTAGGTTCTACATCGGCCTCGAATCGCCCGTCTCACCACGTTGTTCGCCTAGTGGGACGATGGGGTTCGCCGGCCAGACCGACCGAGTTATTTCCGGGTCTGACCGCGGCCTATGCTGCACGGACAGATGCAACGATCGGATGATTCTCTTCACCTGCGTAGTACAAATCAGGCTAGTTGCAGGTACACAAGGATATAAATAGGGTCTCTATAGATGATCATCGTCCCGTGCATAGGGTGCTGACGCAGATGTCATAGGTACACCTTCGCTCATCGTCCGTCACCGCCTGATATCGCACGATATGAAGCAATATACAGATAAACAGACCTAAATTACTTCGTAGATGAGTGTCATGGAGCGCCGCCGCCGCCTCCACCTGCGCTCTTGTTTTTTCGTCGCCTGGCTTTTTCGTACAAACCCAGGCAGGTAATAAAGACCATCGTGTCAAAGTCCTGCCCGTAGTCCACATTGACCTGCAGTTTGCCACACTTCCGGTACGTTCTGTCGCTGGTAAAAACAGCCACGATATTACCCGAGTCATCCAAAAGTTTGAAGTTCCGACTGCTCAGCTTGGACGCACTGACGCCGTCCACAGTAACATGCTGCGTCCGTTTCCACACGAACTGGGTCCGTTTCCGTGATTTATCGGGAGAGGTCTGCAGATTCATCGACCAGCGATATTCCGAACCCCCGACCTTCTCCGTGATCATGTCCTCCCACTGCGTCGCGTAGTCGGTTTGGGGACTTCCGAGGCCCACCTTCAACACGCTCGAGAACTTGGGAAATTTGCACATCGCGATGACCGGACCGTTCTTGTCAGCGCCCGCGTGTAGGAGCAGATCGGGTTTGTGAGTGAAGGAGGATATTTCGCCGTATAAAAGCGGTCGGTCGTCGGTCGACGTGACGGTGTAGTGTCGCTGGAAGGAAGTCTTGCAGACCAGGTACTGGCGACATATTGGTTTGTGGGAGGTGGACGGGATATCTTCCGAACTGGACATCGGATGGGACAATCGACTGTTGTTCAGTGTGGCATTGAGACGGGCTGGAGATCACGGTGAGAAGAATAATGCACGGTCGATCGATGTCTAGCTCTTCTCTCCGGTTTGCCACCGGCACGGCTCGGACAGGAGGAAGACGAGCATTCCGCATACGGGCAGTCATAGGCTGTGCGTAAACAACATCTCATTTCAAGCTGATCATCAATCAAGAGGTATCCAGTTGGTGTGATGAGTGGAGTGGTAACTATGTACTAGAGCAGACGGGTGAGAAAGCATATCGGTAGACCACGATAGATCGAATACATGATGTCATTGAGAACATGTATAGGTCTAGATCTTTACTCTATGTTCGACCACAACCACCACACACAACAACTGCCCTCCTGTGACAGCTGTAGCTGCTCTGGGATTATTCTTGCGAATAGTGTTGCACGCAAGAATGTCCGTGCGCGAGACAAATAACTGCTGAATTTAACAGACATAGAAGACTTCAGCCGACTTCTTCTCCTCAACCGACCAGCCTACTAGGTATACCCCCATTATACATACCCCTCAGTCATGGCAGCATCAAATGGCGTCTCCTCACGACTTCACCTCCTCAGCTGTCCGTCTGACCCGTTGACAACCCCGCTTTGCAGGATGAGATATAAATGAACCCCAGATTCCCCGCACAATGCCAATCCCGATGATGTGCATGGAGATTAATCAGTATGTCGCACGAGGTATTCGAGAGCCCGCGATGTTCGACCTCTGCTTCAACGCTAGCTCAGCCATGCCAGGATATCTTACCAGCAGATGTGTGGTATATCGTCTTTCACACGGTATGTCCTTGAGAATTAATGACTGGAGATATGAAAGTAACTCTTCCTCTCGCTTGAACAGCTGGGAGTGCATGGCCGGCAGTGGCTGTATAATGTGTGTCTGGTTTGCCGAAAGTTCTACGCTTTAGCAACACCTTCGCTTTACCGCAGCATTGTACTCAGGAAGGACTGGAACGATAAGACCTACAATAGTGTGAATGGTTTACTTACGCGGCTAGACGATTTCAGTGAGAACATTCGCAGCCATGTCCGCGAAGCCACGATCCTGAGTATTGGCGATGTTGACCTACTATTCAAGGCGTTGAAGGTAGTCAGCCGGTTACCGAATCTTCAAAACGTGATGTAGGTGCTACTTTTGTGGATTAGTGTTCTCATACTGATATACACTACGTAAAGCCTATATAGCTCAAAGCACCTATCCCCGGGGTTCATCGAGGCCTTAGTAGCCCACCCTCGTCGGCCGACGCTAGAACTACTCGACCAAGATGGAACTATGAAGGCTCCCATGAAGCTCTCTCCAGTATCATCACTACATGCGGCTGTTGATGTAGGAGCTGGCATACATGAGGGGCCAAATTCGAGACTACTCGCCCTGCAGAAGCTTCTTTTCGCTTGTCCAAACCTCCGCTCCTTGTCCTTGAGCGTGGTTGATCAGCATGATCACTGCAACCTGCGTCACCTTATGTTTCCCAGCATAACCAACTTTCACCTATCAGAGCCCGACGTATTTCCACCGATCAAGGACTTATCTCTAAACGGATACCAGATTGGTCACCTCGAATGGCCACACTGGAGAGACGGATTTCGCTGGGACCAACTCTCCTCGTTGACTCTCGGGCCCCAACCTGACCGTCACAATCTGGGCCTACTTACGGGTTACGTGCAGCATCTACGCCATTTCACTCTACTGGCATATAATGAAGAAGAATCAGTACCCGCAGAGGACATTGATCGGTTCCTCATGGCCTTCACGAGTCTGGTCCATCTGGAGATAAGGGGCCACTCATGTTCGGTTGAAGCCGTCACGAACCATCCTGGTCTAGTCCATATTTGCCTCCATGAATGCGAACGGAGCCCTGAGCAGCTCACACAGTCGGGGTTATCCATCCATCGTGAAACACTAACCGCGCCCGACCTCGAGCTTCTACATTCAAGATGTCCACATATCGAGGACTTGGAGATAGATTGCAATCGCCGAGATGGGCAATGGGTAAAGCACACTTCCAAGGTCTATGATACCAACCACTGACCGTTCCATCTTCCAGCCGGAGGACATACTCTTAACTCTCGCTACCCGTTTTCCGCATCTGCGACATCTCTCGATCCACCTGGAACTGGGGATAGCTAACATACGTGCGCCTATCAAGCCTGTGCTGAACTACGCCTCAGTACTGGATATTGGACAAGCTTTCTATACGATGAGATTTCCCAGAAAACTGCAAAGTCTGACGATCAAAACCGGAGAACCTCTACGCCGGTATCCCCACAACGAGCCTTTGTATCGGAAATGGGAGCAGCTGCACAGCGCCACATTCGAGATAAGACGCAAGCCTTCATCGCCTCCCCAGATCGGTATCTTCCACATTGAAAGCGATGTCCTGAGGGGTATGCGGCTGAAGGACGAGCTCGACCCTACCAATCCAGTTGACCTACGGCTTCGGGTCCAGGCAGCAGTGCATGGAGCTTGTGCTAGTAGCAGTTGGGATGGGAGAAAGAGAGGCTTATTGGGTGGTGATACACCCATTCCCATGCACCCACGTCGCGCAATCCCAGCATAGTAGTCTACTTCCAATCATGTTGGTTCCTGCTTCCTCCGCTTGTGAAGTAGGCTGATGGCCTCGTATTCCCATCAGCCGCAGCCAGTCAAGGCAGACAAGCTTCTTTCGTAATATTTAAACGGAGAGTCTGCCGTCCCTCGAGTGATTAAATGTAGATATCGAAGAAACCCCATCAAAGACATGCGTCACGCCCCGATTCTTGATCCCACTGGTGATATTGCCGCTCGCGAGGATTCCTTCATGCTGAACAGCGGCACTGCTGGAGCAGCCCTTCGCCCTCAAGCAGAGATGGAGCCTCACCGACCCGACGAGGCAGCCGATCTGCCTAATAACCCCCTGGTACCGGAGCAAACCATGTCTATTCACTACCACGACACTACTCGTGTGGCACCCCAAATGACGGACAGCCTCCCCCTCCCCATGAACAGCGACAATCCCCGGCCACGTCGTCAGCGACGAGGCTCTGACTCCTCTGCCTACGATTACTGGGCGTACCCTATCCCCCCACCACCACCGCCGAAGGCTCGTCCAAAGCCCCTAGAGACCATCTCGTCTCACCAGGACCTCATTCGCAGCAGCCCAACGAAGGACCGATTCGTAACGCTGGGCCACTTCTTCAATGACGCCTATATCACCTCCCATCCCGCCACGCCGACCGACTTCCGACACTGGTTCCCTCTACTCGCCTCCGCCCGCACGGAATGCTGGTACGCCTTCATCGGTGATGACGCCCGACCACATCCCGCAGACTGCAACCTCCAGCGACCGCCCGAGCCTGCGCCGAAAGTGCAGAATGACGCGCGCCCTGTCGGCTTGTTCATGCCGTGGGTGGCTACCGGCGCAGCGCTGCAAGCCTGCCTGCCAGACGCCTCGGACCACCCACCCCTGATCTACCTGTCGGTTCAGCAAGCGCTGATGGGCCGTCCTCGCGAGCGGTATCGCTACGGCCGCGACCTCTCGCCCATGCCTGAAATGGCGGCGGTAGGAGCGGTTTCGGGACAGCCGATCTATAGGGTGGTCCGAACGGGCAGTCGGGATGCAGCGGCTGCGGAGGCGTTCTATCATGCCGGGGCAAATCGGTGGTCAACGGTGTTTACGTGCGTTATTAAGGATGTCGCAGATGGGCCGGCGTACCCGCGATGGGACTCGTATGAGCGAGTCGGGAGCTTGGAGGAGCTGGTTGAGTGTACGGATGAGGAGAAGCTCAGGGTATTCTATTGAGACGGCGATGGGATACAGCTGGATCTTACGTCTTACGACCTCTTGAATGATACATTGGACAGATTGTTCTTTATGCAAGCATACTACAGGGATTGGGAATGGAAACAAGATATTGTCGTACATCGAGTGATTGATTGCCGCGTAGTATAGATTTGTCCTCTGCGTACGGTGCGAACGTCCAGTTGACTCTATAGTCTCTGCAGCAAAACGGCCTCTGCCTGGAGAAGTTCAAACTCCACGACTCCATTCCTGCGCACAACTGCCCGGTCTGGCTTGCTTTTACCAATCCTCTCGCCAGAGCGCGGATCGAAACTGACACCCGAAACGTTGACTTCACTCTTTGCGTTTGTGCCCGGCCCCTGAAGCCTGATGATTTCCACCTTGGTTCCCGCACGCCACGATGTACGCACCTGGACCTCACGTCGAGGTCGCTGTCCCGGCGAGACAAACGTGCTATCTGTAGCAGATACGGTAGAAGGGTTGCTAAGTCCCATGCTCGAGTTCCACACGCCCATATCGACAAACACCAGCTTCTCGAGCTCCGGCCGGGCTGCCTCTTTGAACACGGCGTAGCCACTGAAATCGGACGAGTTTGCAGAAGGCAGCGCGGTAATTTGTCTCGGTGTATGATCATGACTGGCGAGCACATGCGCAAGGAATACATGCGAGTAGAAGTTCGCTCGAATACCAGCAGTCAGATTCTCGCCTTCGTACTCATACGGCAATGGCGTGAACGACGAGTACTCGCTATGGTGTCCCAGGTGGAAATACACCTTTTCGATCCCGATGCTTGCCGCCGTGAGAACATAGTCCGTCGCCCAGAGAGCCGCACCGAACGTGTCGCTGATACCACTCTGTCCGCTACAAGACGCAGAGTTCGTTTCACCGAGGACCAGCGGGCTGCCGGCTGCCTGTGCGGCCGCCTGCTGGGGAACGTATTGCGACAAGTTCCTCCACACGACCTGGTGATCTGATAGCAGGTCGAGCGATAGACGCGCTCGACGGGGTGCATCGCAGGTTGATTGGGGGTAGAGGTGGACCGCGTACGACTTGATGATCTCGGGGTCGACGAGCCCAGCCCGTGTCACATTGATAATATCAAAGTCATCGATCTCGTCCTGCTGGTCGGGGACCCAGGGAGGATCGGCGAAGACGGCAGCCTGGAACAACGGCTGGTGCTCGGCTTGTCGGTAGAAATCAGCCGCCATAATCTGGCTGGTCAGCTGCTTCCACTGGCGGGTGTACTCCTTGGTGCCCCAGCTGGCGTTGCGCCATCCTTTACTGATATAATGGTCGATCTCGTTACCCAGCTCGAACATGGATAGCGAGTCCCCGAGCACATCCATCGCGGCGGCTGCCTCCTGCATGGCGTTCGTCCACGACTCGGACGTATTGCGCAGGTTCAAGCAGTAAATGAAGTCCGTGCCATCGGGGAAATACTCGATCCACCCGCGAAACCAGTCCTTTTGTATCTGGAGCACGTCGACTGTGGTGTCGTTGGGGATTGCACGCGAGGGGACGTCCAGACCAGGCACGAACAGCGTCTGATCAGCGATATTACCACCAACGCGGATGGGCGCTGGTACGCCTGCGATGTCTGCGATATGGTTCAGGAGCTTTGAGGCAAGGCTGCTCTGCAGGTATGGTGCCAGTGAGGACGGTTCGATGGAATATCCATACGCATCTTGTCTCAGGATAGCTCCGGAGCTGTTGAGGGGAATGTCCACGGAGGAGAACACCACGGCCTGGCCGCAGGTCAGCACCGATGCCAGTGCGATAAATCGATGCATATTAAGGCGCAGTCTGCATTGATATCGTGTGGTTGCTCATATGGAGGAATGGAGGTGCCGTGGAATAAGAGCTATGGCTTGAGCTTCATTCGGTTAAATAGTCTGCGTGAGATGACTACCTTCATCTGCGGGGTTATACAGTGATGGAGTCGGTTAATTGCAACATCCTCGTTTCTCTCTTCTGATTCTCGGGAAAAATAGCGGAGAAATTGTCAACGCTACAATGGATCGGCAGTCTCCAATACTGGAGATACCCCTCAGAAGACGTCTGGGGTTCGGGATAATGTGTCCCGGGCTTATTATTTGTAGGCCATAGGTTTGGGACCTTGCTCTTTTTGGAGAAGCTTGATATTGGTGACTGGATATGCACCGGGCATTGTTACGTACCCATATAGGTTGAATATGGTTCAGAAGTCACCAAATGAATGACTTAAGGACAATCCGTGGAGAGAAATTGTAGATGCTTCTTACTACGCAGGTACGCCCAATGCTCAGCCTATGCCCCTGCAGTTATAATATGAAGCAATGAACCCTATATTAATTACGATTAGGACACCACAGCAACAGTCAAAGTTCCCGATGCGTTGTAATGAGACCCAATTTGCCTTCTCGTCATCACGCTCACTCTTTTGCTCGAGGACAGTTTTCAAGCCCCTCCAGTAGCAGCATTCGCCCCGTTCATCCTGGTTTTCTACACAGCCGCACATTAGTCTTGTGTGCATGCGTTCCTACGGGCTGCACAACTTACCCATAAAGGAGGAGTCAGGACGAAGCTCATTATCCCAGCCACCAAGAAGAACAACCACACGTTGCTCATCGCCTCCGTGATCTGCGGCGTCACCAGGGCTCGCTCCGACTCGGACAGTTCTTTGTACGTCCGGCTACTGGTGCCAGCGACGAGGTTCGTGATCTCAGTTGCACTCAGTGAGGGCATTGCCTGCGTCACTTTTTGCAAGGCAAGGTTCTGATAGATCGAACCGGCCATAGCAAGGAAGATGACCATGCCGAGATCTTGCGCTATCAACGGAGACACAGGGTTAGTATATGGTAATTGGATGGACTGGTGCTTCTTACAAATAGCCATTGCGCCCACGGCATTCGGTATATCCTTGAGGTCAACCAGGGACTGCACCACAGGGAACCCGGCGACCACATAGCACCCTGATCCGGCACCGACGAGGATACAATATCCATAGATCTTCGCGTTGGACGTGTTGAGGTCCGCGGTGTCTGCGTGGTCCGTATTTGTTAGCAGGGTTCTCGGTGTTACTATGGGCAAACTGACACAACAGTGCTGTTCCGACGACGACCAGTGCACTGCCGAATAGATGCCATGGGAGGATATATGGCAGTTTTGGCATTAGTGCTCCGTTGGCCATGGCGAAGACGACCATGGAGATGATGAAAGGGAGGAGTCGTACGCCTGCATCCAATGGACCGTCTCCCTACCAGCGAGGAATGACCAGTCAGGTTCAAACTTGGAAGTCACTTTGAAGAAGTGAAGGAACAAACCCGGATAAACTGGAAGAACAGTGGAATATAGTAAGTCATTGCCTATGCCCGGTTAGTATCGAGCGGCTCTCTTCATTCGGGTAGGGTAGTACAGACCAGCACAATACCGGACACTAAGAACATCTGCACCTGGAGGTTGATCAGGATCGGCCGCCGCAGGAAATGTGCTGGATAGAGCCGATAGTCCTTATCCACGCCTGGATGCAATTTGGCGACGATAATACAGACAATGAGAAGGACACCCGCGACAACCCAGAGCGCAATCTCATTGCCGGAGCTCCACGCATACAGCGTGCCACCAAACGTGATCGCCATTACCAGACAGGCAGATCCGGCAAGAAACGTCGTCGTCATGATCCAGTCTACCATACGACACTTTTCTGCAAAAGTTTTGCCTGGCTTTGGGTCCACGCTGGGGACCAGGAAGAGATAGGATGGGGCGAAGGCAGCTCCGATGGGAAGATTGATGTAGAAGGCCTAGAACGATGTACATGAGCAAGAATTCCACATCAATATTGGACGTATTGGTGACTTACCCATCGCCAGGTCGCCGAACTATCTGCAAACGCACCGCCGACCTATAACCATCAGTCGCGGTGGTCAGACACCCTGCCAAACGAGTGTGTGACAAGACCCTACCACTGGACCAAGAACACTTCCAATTCCCCAGATGACGGTGCTCCCAGCCATATAGATTGGTCGCTCTTTCAACGAGGTCAACATGGCCACAAAACTCAGCGTCCCCGAGTACATCCCAGATCCGCCCACGCCAGCAATGACACGGCCGACCACAAGGGCAGTCATATTCGGAGCGGCGCCGCACACTGCACTTCCGATTTCAAAGAGTGCGATATTGAACAGATAGACGTATTTGACGTTGAAGACCCCGTATACCTTGCCCCATGGCAGGACGCACATAGTGCCGAGCGCAAACCCGACGCCGATCCAGGGAAGAAGCGACACCTCACCGAACAAATCGAGGATGACCGGTTGAATGTCGGCGACCTACGTGAGTAATGTTAGCTATTTTCCGCTCGGAGTTTCTAGCCAAGGAGGTGGTATTGGAATTATGGGGTCGCACGATAGTATTGTCCAAGGCGAAGAGAAATGTTGTCGAGATCATTGAGGCATACGCAATCGCCCACTGCACCAGATTAGCTATATTTCCCGTACTCATCGTCAGTGAAGCTGTACCTTCCATCCATGAATCGGACGAGGAGATGCCTCTTTGGGAACGACATTCTCGCTGGAGTCGCTGCTCGTGACGTTGCCATTGCTGTCCTGTTTTTCTGGATCTGCATCCATGACCGGTACGATAAAGACAGTACGAGGAGGCAATTTGGGTTTGCAATACGCAATTACTCAAAGGAAGGAATCTTTCGCTGGCATTGCTACTTCTACTGTTTATATAGATGTCCCCAAACGGTCAGTTAGGGCTCCGAGCGGCCGCTCCAACTCCGTGTCTTGGCACCGATCGGCCGCCTCAATTCCGCGAGGGCGCATTCTCCCCCGTCACCTGACCATGTCCGTTCGACAGTTCGTTTCTCAACTTGGATGGTTCCTCTGTCTTCTTGTCCTCCCCAGCTTGTCGAGAATGCGTCGTCGGGTACTCCTCGATGACCCCTCGATAGTCTTGTGGCCGGCAGGGAGTGGACCATTCTTCGAAGAAGGTCTTCTTCTGACGTGGATTGAGGCCAAGATCTCTCATGAGAGTGTCCAGGTGCTGAGTGACGAGACAGCAAGACCCCTGTCAGTATTTGCTTATTGATGGTACGTCCTGTAAGCCTTGTCAAATCCGGTGCAATTGGCGACGGAAAATCCGTTCTTAAGGTTGACGACGTTCAAGATGGGAGAGTGACATACATCAGGTATATCTAACCGGTCTAGTCCACCAGCCACAGCCTCCCACTGTAACATATCCCTCTATAACTGGGTGAACGGAGTAGAATCTGGACCAAGCCCTGTGACAATGGACCCTCACGGGGAATTTCCCTGTCTGGGGTGTATATGTATGGTTCTGCAACACAATATATTGTGCCGTGTGCTAGAGCCGCAATATATTCACCAGCAAATGGAAACACACCCCAACTTGTTATTTCAGCCGATGTCCTCCGGTGATAAAGGCCCAAGAGTAGCTAGCGCATTTAAGGGCGTAGACACAGTCGCTAATCATCCGGATAGTGAATTGTTGGTGTTGTGAAGAGGCATTGGTGGACGACGGATGCTGACGCATGCATGGACCACCTCACGGGGGAAACAAACGAACTACCTTACTCCTCTTGCATGCTTCTGCCTCGTCTCTTCCTTCCAAGTCACCCTAATCGATCGGATAGGAAACAGAGACCATCTGCTGTACAAATCTTTAGCCTGCATCTTCCGATCTTTCTCCTCTCCCCTGTTGGGGGCCGTTGGGTCCTCAAAGGGACAGGAAATCGCATCTCACCTGCCGCGTCTCTCATTTAAACGGCCCTCTTCCCACTAAAGGATAGCCCACTGGCCTTGCAAACTATCCCACAGCATGCAGCGCCGTACAGTCGACGCATTAGACTCCACCGCAGGCTCAATGGAGGACCATGGCGACGACCGTCACAGATCTAAGAAAGAACGCGTTACCCATATCTCGGGACGACTTGCCTGCGACATTTGCAGAGAACGTGCGAAGACCCCATTGAAGTACCATCTACCGTGTTAACCCTTTTGTACAGGCAAGGTCCGTTGTGACCGGGGAGATCCCAAATGTGGCCGTTGTACGCGCCTTGGCTATGAATGCAGCTATCAGGGGCGCAAACGATATCGCGCTGCGCAAGCGGACATGCCACGCCAACTATCCGAATTGCAGACCCGATTAGGTAAATCGCACATTTGGTCTCACATTTGCTTGATTACCAACTCAACCGCGTTCTCGCTGACCCTTGTCCGTTTGTCTCAGCACACGCAGAAGCCCTGTTGCGGACCTCATCTTCGACAACGTCCACCACTACTGCAGCCGATCCGCGGCCGCTGCCTCCACATATGGATCTATCCTGGCCGGTGCTGACGCCGTCAGAGTGGCAGGGCGACCATGAACGACTGATGCAGCGGCTCCAGAGCCAGGTCACCCCGCCAATGGACCGCGCCTTTGAGGGGCTGGACATGTTGGCAAATCTGACGGAAGATATCCCGGACTTTTGGGGAGTCATGGACCCGGTTCTGGCGCCGGACGCGCTGTCAACTATCCTCGCGGGCGATAGTACTACTCAGCTACCCACACCCTTCGACGGTGGCTATCCTCCCGCTGGGAACGGCAGCTCCGTCTCTCCGGCCTTTGAAACCCTCTTTCCCTCTACTCAGGACCTAGAAGAGCCTATTCCCCTGTCGGATCTTGCATCTCTGTACCGGATTCCCGCTTTTTCCTTGTCTCCAGGATAATGCACTGACCGTCGACACAGACACCAGAAATACTTTGATATATTCTATCCGGTCCTCCCAATATTGAATCCATCGCGATTCCGCCGAGAATGGGCCCATGACCCCGCCTCCCCTCAGATCCGGGCGCTCAATTACGCGGTGGCCCTTGTCGGTTCGACGGTCGCCCCCGAATACACCCATCTACAATCATCCTGTTACAGCAACGCGCGCAAATACATCGAACTGTGTGAGCGCGATGATGACGAGACGCGTATTACGAGCCTGAATGCATTTCAGGCGTTATTATTCGTTCTCCGCTACGAATTGACGAGGAAGCATTTCGTGCGCGCATGGATGACCCTCGGCCGGGCCGTGACGCTGGCACAAATCCTCGACCTACGGAACATCGACAACGGTGAGGCGGCAAGACAACGCACCGGATCTCTACAGGGTGCCTCTCAGATCGGATTTGCCTGGGATAAGCGCGATCCCGCATCGCTGGAGGAGATCCGTCGGTCGTTCTGGTCCTTGTACATCTTTGAGAGCTACGGGTGTGTCCGCATTGGCCGACCTTGCACTCTCGACGAGGACGACAACTTGTGCATCTTCCTCCCGTCGCCCGGGGAGCTCAACGAAACATTTCGCCCCAGCCCAATGCCCTTTATTGGGGACCCGACAAAGCTTGCGGGGGTCAGCTACCTGACGTCCTATGCTGCGGTGACCATCATGGTGAAGCTGGCCCGCCTATGCTTTGAGCATGTGAACATCCTCTCGCGAAGTATTAGCGACTCCGGCTTCTGGGACCGTCATTACCGTCTGGTGAAGACGATTAATGACTACACCGCCATTTTCCAACGATATCTAACTGCGAAAGCCGTGCGAGAAGATGCATTGGCGTTTTCGCTCCACCTTAATCTCTGCGCAACGCACATCAACCTCCACGAGGCAGCGATCTGCAAGGTCGAAGAGCAAGACTTGCCCAAGCTCGTGGCCGCGGAAAGTCGTAAGTGCAGTGCCGCCGCGGCGTTCAAGATTCTTGGAGCTATCCGCATGAACTGGCCGATGCAGCGGTCAGAGGTAAGGCTTTCCATCTTCTTCTGCTTTTCCGAGTCCCATCTGATTCATTGTTTAGCGAGATCACTTCACCCTCCAAGCAACCTTCATCGGTTGGCCGATCTCTATGAGCCTGATGGCCCTGAGTCGCAGTCTTGCCAACGGTGACACGACTCCGATCGGTATCGTGGACTCACTGCGTCTGTTACGTGCCGCCCTGGACCAGGTAGAGGAACCAGATGGGTATTGGCACCAAGCCAGCAGAGCTGCGGTCACTGCTTTGGCCAAGTGGGATGAACAACAACGCGAGACTTCTTCGGGGGAATGATCTGACGGTTTGTCCGGAGACATGACTCCACTTTCTTGACAGAAGATAAAGACAGATTAATGTAGCAAACGATCAAGAGAAGAGCACGGATCGGTAGGGGCACGGCGTACTCGGGTTGCACTTACATATGGGTTATCTGGAATTATCCCTGGATCAGCTAGTGATTTCGCTTGCTGGATGCAGCACTTGAAACAAGATAGGGGTTGAGAATTTCTCCTTCTCTCCTGCAGTTGTCCATGACAACCGTATCTACTCCATATCCATCCTCGCAGGCGCGAGCTCAGCCATGGTTCATTTATTCACCGTCATCACAGCCCTGACAGCCCGCAACCCAGACGCAAGTCTGGTCCGACTTTTCATTCCGACCTGAGAGCGACTCGCAGCAGCAAATACGCTGCCGACGAAGACGTCCACGAGTAAAACTGTCGACGTCCTCGAGCAGTTCCACCTGTTTAGCCAGTTTGACTGGATAGTGGCGTCGCCGTCGTGTAACGTATTCACACATCTTCTCTTGTCCCGGGCGAGGGAGACCAGGTCAGGGAGACGGGAGCAAAACTACTTCCCCCTTTCAGATGTCGGATATGGAAAAGAGAGACTTGGGTCTTTTGCTTCTTGGGGCGCTGGTGTTGGGGCCGGGGGCGGCTGGCTCTTTTGGGCTGGCGGTGCGTGAGATACGATTGAGGCAGCAGTGGAATGGGTCGAGGAAGTTGCACTAGACTCGTTATATAGGGGTATGCCCTATCAAGGGACTTCGCCGTCTGCTTAAGTCTGGTGTATCGGCCACTACGTTGAACACATCACATAAACACCTTTCAATTGCTCTCCTCTGACACTCGAACACTACTAGACTCACCATCCTGCATCACAAACCCCATCCTCACCCTCATCACTCATCCTTCATCCTTCATCTGCTCGACGAACCCCATCCTCTAGTACCCCCCATCACCGACCCAGCTAATCACAAATCTAGGTACATCCATTGGCACGGTTGCTCAGACACACATCTCCAGCCTGATCACTGGTGCCGAAGCCCTCACAAGAAGCGCTGGTCAGTCCCTCAGCCTGTACTTCACTGTTGCAAGTAGTCCAGGTGGTCGAGAAGAAGCCCACGCGCACATTGAACGTGGACCAGCTAATGCAGCAGTTCGACCCGCCCTGCTGCTGACATTGGCTGCGCGGCGACTTGCCGATCTGCAGGTCAAACGTGCAGGTCGTGCCGGAGACGCACGAGAAGAATGCCGCACAGGCGCCCCAGGTCACGGCGTGTCTGGTGTCCGTTAAGAAGCTCGACCGCTTGGCGAGGCCCAAGGTGGTGGTGTTGCCCGCTACAACGGCCAGCAGGGCCTCCACATCCTCGGCCATGTCCGGGTCGTTAGCATCGAACTTCCTGGCGTACGCGGCCTCGGTCAGCATGCGGGCTTTTTCTTCATCGGTGCTGGCCGTATGAGGGTCCAGCGCAGTCATCCAGGCCTTGGTGTCGGCGTCGTAGTTGACGAAGTAGGCGCTGATGTCGAAGGGGGCCAGGTCACCTTTGGCATCGGGGAAGTAGTCCGCGGCCGTCAGAGAGACAACGAAGCCGGTGTCCTCTGCGCGAGGAGGGAGAGCTGAGCTGTAGGAGAGCTGCGCGAGGCCAAGAAGGCTGGCGGTGATGGTAGAGAAGTGCATCTTGTTCTTGAATTGGAAGCTTGGTTGATTGCTGATGGAGAATCACCTCTGCTGCCGTCTTTCGGGCTGACTTTATAGTCGAGGCATCTGCTCCTCATGATCTGAGTGTCTACTCACGACAGACTGTAGTGAGCTGTTCACGTCCGTTAACTCCGACTCCGTGCTCTGTCCTGACGTGATATCAACGCCACTCATCAGAATCACCGGTGTATGTGGCCGTTTCTGGTGGGCAAGAGACCAATCGATGAAGCTGTACTTGAGCCTCCGCCCACCGGATAATCATTAGAAATCACACCGGAGCAAGTGCGTGCCGTTACCCGAGACGAATATAGCGTACTAGTCGCATCTAGGAAGGAGATGAGATGAAGATGTTGCAGTCACAGTATAGCCAATGTTTGCTACAGGGTCCGGAAGCAGGGATCACGCTGCAGAATCTCACCGCGTGGTCTCCCGCAATCTCCTCTTTCGTGATAGCGTGCACATAAGCCACTTGATCTTAGTCAATGATGACAAGGAAGTCAAGCCGGGACAAGAACGAACAAGCTACTCTAGGCGCCGATCATGTCCATGCCATTCCCCGAAAGCTGTCCCTGACCTTCGAGCCACTCCTACTCCTACTCTTCCCATTGGATCCAACACCAGACATAAGCAGCCTCACCCCCAAAAAGGAAACTCGTACCCCAAATCAGCGTCCCCTGTCCTTGGCGATGGTACCGGCGTTTGCATGGGGTGCACCCGGGATATGGGTGCGGTCACATGAGCGACTTTGGAGAGCATTGTAGGGTGCCGGGTCAGCTTTTGGCCAGTATCGCATGATGACCATTGTACTTCCGATGATGGAGAGGAGATGGAGTGTAACGAGGATGATAAAGGTTTGCAAAGGAGCTGCTTGCAGTCGCTCCCCAATAGAAGTGGCCAACGACTCGATGAGATGGCCAAGAGAGGGTAACTCGGGCATTGTGATGGTAGGAGAATCTCTTCAGCCGATATAGACCATGGGGATTCCTCAAGTGGTATGCGTGAGATCACAGAGCTGAGGCTGGGAAACTATTTATAATATGGTGTCAGCCTGCTGACGCCACACCGCGATCTATTGGAGTAGCTTCCAGAGCCGTGCATGTCGCGCTATTCAGGAATTCTGCTTTTCCCGGTGCCAGCATTTTCACTGGAACTCTCTTAGTAGCCATACTCAATATGTCGAATACTGACAAGTAGGGAGGCGGGGTTTATGCTGACTGCCCCGACTAGGGTCTCCCCAATAAAACAAAGATCAAAGTCGTCCAGTACAGTTAGGCTTCGTCGTCGTGATGAAGAGTAGGTGACAATGGTTGCCATTGGTCTCAGTATGTATTAGAGCATTGACAAAATAGAGCGTCCTGTCATATGAAAGGTGCCTCCAAATCAGGAGAACTGCAGAATCATCGGCCTAGCATTCTGAAAAACTATTGCTAAGGAGACTGTAGAAGTGACAGTGAGGAGACCCGAAACCTATACCCTCAATTACGTGGTTCTGTATAGTAGACTGTTGGCCCTCTACTTCCAAACGTCATGCCTTCTCTACCACAAATCGCGTGGCGTCTGCAATAGGTCCAGCGCTTGCATAGAGTCTCGTATAGTCATTTTCGTCTTGGGCTGCCTTCCAGTACATGTGCCACAGAGTGCGAAGGACAATAGTACTGCCGTCGTGGATCGCAAAGCTGCTTTTCTGGTTGGCAGGATCGTATGGAAGGAAAGTCTCCCAGTCATCTGCGCCGCCCCAGCCTACACCCCAGTACATAAATCCTCCGGACTTCTTCGCGCAGGACAGCACCGTATCATCTCCGATCTGGCTGTCGACATGAGCCAGGCGGACATTGCCGTTGGCGCCACAAGAGTCAGCATCCGGATTGCCGCTTAACGGCCATTCCCAGGCTGGATTCTTCCGACGCTCCCGGATGAGAAAACGAGTATTGTCCGCTCGGCCGTACACCAGGGTCACGAGACTGAGATTTGTGTTGCCGGGAGGCTTGGTGTCCACGGCAAGGTAACGCCCATCCGGTGCCCTGAGCCGAATGTAGCTCATATAGTTAATGATTGGACCCAGAGGGATCTCAGGGCTCTGGGCAAACTTGTTCAGCCGGATAACGTAGGCGATTCCAGCTTCATTCCATCCTTCATTGACGAAGTCGCGCTTGACAATACCCAAGCTATCACCCGCCTTGAATTTGGTGAGCCATTGATTGAAGACCGGCGCGGCCCTCTGATCACAGTCGCTAGGATGGTGTCCCGGCTGATAGGACCGCTTCGGTGTGTCGATGAGCTGGGTTATCCACAGCTTCTCCCTCTTCCACAAAGATAACGCCTGATCAAGCCACGCCACAATCTCCTGTGGGGATTTATTTGGGTAGTCATCTGCCCAGTTGTCGCGAATATTGCTGGCTTGTGGAGCCCAGAGCTTTCCGCTGTCGTAGTGTTTCATCCCTCCGTTAACCTCCTCGTCTTCGCCCCAGATGATGACGTATTGTTTTCCGTCCTGCCGCAGCTTCGCCCAGGTGAGATCCGTGTTGTACATCTTGCCGTCCGGAGCGACGTGCGCGGTTGCGAATGCATCCTCTTTGCCGTCTCCTAGGACCTTGATCAACATGGCGAGAACGTCGGCTGCGATACCGTCCCGATGGTTAAAATCGAGATCAAGGAAAATGAATTCGGATTTATGCGAATCGGCAAAGCTTTTGATTTGATGAAGAACCGTCTCAAACGTTTGGAACGTGATGGGACCATGCTTCATCACCAGCGTCCTCCCCTCGCGGGTGATCCGAACATCAAAATATCGAGACCCGGCGAGGAGCTGGCCGGTGTAATCCGCGATTTGGCAGATACTGCCAGCCATCTCATGCATTCCATTGTTGCCTCCCTCGAATTTGTAGGCGGAGGCATCATGACTGCAGGTGATGTAGGAATCGATCACGCGTACACTGGAATCCAGGTACTTCATCCAGTTTGCAAGATCAAGGACCGACATGGTTCAAAGACAGAAGTAGATAGTATCAACCAATTTCAATGGTGAGACGAATAAATATTCGAAATTCGAATGCGAGTTTGGAACTTCCTTGGACTGGAGGCGTTGCCGTAGTTTGGACAAGGTGAGGATGTGGACGCGACCTTTGAGCGCTTTTATACTATGGAAGTCGTACTGTGATCATCCTCGTAAGCCATGCCAGAGTTCCTCATCATCGGCTACCTCTGGGTAGGATGAAGAAACAGATGGCCCCTCAGCAACTTGTGGCTGGCTGAGAATTGCATATCTGAGTATCTTCTGATGTCAAACTCCAGCCAGAGGTCTATATCCAGGTCGGCAGGATAAAGCTCTTTGACAAGGTTTGGCACGGTCGTTGCGCACCGTCCAGTAACTTTACCTCCACTCGTCGGGTTGTATTTCCCCAGCTAACAGGGTGTATAGTTTCTTTTTCACGCCCACGAAAGTATATCAAACGCCTGGTGCGGCGGAAACTCACGTTTTCATTCAGCTGGAGCTCCAACGGCCCTGAATGGCCACCCTGCTCGTATAGATCAAGCCTCCCTCTGTTCTGCAGCTGGCACCAGGAAACAGATATGCCCAGCCGAAGTCGAGCCAGCCACCATGGGCAATTGGATAGCGTGCTGAGTGTCTGCCTCTCTGTGGGGAGAGCATCGTCGCTCAGACGCCAGGACACGCATTGACTGGGAGTTTCTGGGAGCCCGAGAACGCTGAGGGTCGCCAGCCGGACGCTCAAACATGGTAAGAGATAACGATAGGCCGCGGTTTGTTGCTATCATAGAAAGTAACCCCGCCAGTAACGATAGAACTCGTCAGGTTGTGTCGATTCTTTCAGGTGAAAAGGACGGACTAGTCACGCTCGAGGCTTGTGACGATGGCAGTTCCCACGCCCATGATTAACATATAACTACACGTAGAACGTAAATAAACGATTGGTCGTGGGTCATCCGGAAAGCTTTGCCGCTGCTTGTGAGTTGCAAAGTGCCTCTGCAGTGTATCTATGGCAGCATATGTGTAGATTTTGGCCCTAGGGTGGATGTTGGCGCGACCAATGCATACTGGGCATTCAAGTCCACGCCCACTCTTTAACGAGGCAGGTTTCTCAACGATCATGTCAACTGCATAGTTCCTGGCACCAAACCACGTACAACCGTGGCCTTTCCGTCGTTACCAACACTCGCTCCGGATGTTGCTAGTATGTTGGGTGAACGGCTGAAGAAACACCCGAAGTATCCGCTGCCTAGGTTACGCGGATATTCGTTGGTAAGATAGCCACTCTGGCTTATGAGTCACCGGAGGCACTGGGCCTTGAAAAAGTCCCTTAGGATCTCACATTATAATTTACATCAGGCTGGTTATAGTATGATGCGGAAATCCAAGGAGGTTGAAGTGTTGTTCTTCATCGGTAGAACAATCTAGCGGGATCCCGCTATAAAGTGACTCACCACCAGCCGAGGCAATATCACCAACAATGTACCGCTCCCCCACAATGCCAAAAGCAGTGATCTTCGATCTTCTAACCGCCCTCCTGGACAGTTGGTCCCTCTGGAATGCAGCAGCAGGAGGTGAAGATGCAGGCCGCCGATGGAGGGCCCGCTATCTCGAGATCACCTTCGGATGCGGGAAATACCGGCCCTACGAGGATCTCGTCAGAGAGTCGGCCGTCGACACCGGGGTAGGCGAACAGGCTGCCACGGCGCTGCTGACAAACTGGGACCAGTTGAAGCCGTGGCCGGAGGCTGTTGAAGTGCTGCAAACCCTTCGTCGTCGCGGATATCTCCTCGGCGTGGTGACCAACTGTTCCTCAGAACTAGGCCATCGTGCGGCCAACCGCTGCGGCATACAATTCGATGCCGTGCTGACGGCGGAAGAAGTCGGCTTTTACAAACCACATGTTGCGACATACCAAGGCGCAATTGCAGCTGTCGGGGTAGACCTGAAGGAAGCCCTTTTTGTCGCAGGCAGCAATGGCGATGTCATTGGGGCTGCTGCCGCTGGAATGGATGTCGTCTGGCATAATCGAATCGGCCTTCCGGCACTCCCGGGCTCTGCACCCTTTGTCGAAGGGAAGAGCCTCCGTGAGACTCTGGGTGCGTTGCTACGATATCAGGGCGTTCCCCGGTCAGAAATCCCTACCCCGGTTGCGTACATAAACCGCACGAAATTTGCAGCCAACTGCGAGAGAATGCGACAGAGAGCGAAAGCGCTGGGGGCTGCATTCCGCGTCCATATCAAAACGCATAAAACAGTCGAAGGGACAGAGTTGGAATTGAAGGACACCGATGGCCGCGTGATCTGCAGTACCCTGAACGAGATTGAACACCTGGAGCCGTTAATGCAGAAGGGAGTCGTTCGAAGTGTTCGTGTCCAGTCTAGCTCTATCTACATCCAGGCCTTGCTAACCTGATATTCCCAGGTGTTGTACGGTGTCCCGCCTCCTAGGACAGCAATCCGTCGCCTCGCAGCCCTGCGAAAGAAGTTTTCTACTGAGCTCATCCTGATGATCGACCATCCAGCGCAGATTGCGTTCGTGGAAGAACTCACTACGGGCGATCCCTGGCCTGTGTTTATCAACGTGGATTGTGGGTCGCGGCGTGAGGGTGTTCAGCTAGGATCTGACGAACTTGCCGTCTTAATTCGACAGACTCTACAATCCACCCGGGTGCGGCTCCATGGCTTCTACTGCCACGCGGGTCATTCCTACACTGGCAATTCCCTGGGTGATGCCGAACAGCACCTCCTGCACGAGATTGCCTGTGGACGTGCCGCCGCCCAGCAGTGTCTAGATATCCAGGCCGATCTGCGGCTCACCGTCTCAGTTGGCGCAACACCGACAGCACATGCGGCGTCAGCAAGCGTGTTAGACAAGATCCAGACACTATCGACAAACCTCAAACTCGAGCTCCATGCAGGCAACTTCGCTGTGCTCGATCTACAGCAACTGGCCACAGGTCTTGCCAGTTTCGAAGATGTCTCGGGCTTTATCGAAGCCGAAATCACCAGTATCTACCCCGGGCGAAGAGAGGTGCTTGTGAATATCGGCTCTTTGGGCCTGGGACGGGAGCCGGGCCGTGAGCCTGGGGTCTGGGGTCGTGCGGCTATTATTTCAGAGAGTACAGCCAAGCAAGGGCTATATCCGTGGAATGTGGTGCGGATATCCCAAGAACATTGTATTCTGGCTCCCCGGACAGCGGACGGGGCTGAGGTTGACCGTATTATCAACGCGGCCAGAGTTGGATCTCGCGTGCGAATCATTCCACAGCATGCATGTATCGCAGGCTCCATGTATGATTCGTATCTTATAGTCGATGGCGACGATGGTGAATGTGTAGATGAGTGGGTTCGGTGTAGGGGGTGGTGATGTTCGAGGATCGTGATCCTCTCTTGTCAGTGTAATATATATCATTGCATGTAATTTCCTCTCATCATCTATCGAATTGTCAAACCCTCACTTTATTGGATTAGAAGAAGTTCATTCATTAAGACGACTTCACCTGTATAAGGAGTTGTCTAGACTATGTCCATCCTAAGCAGCTTGCCAATCATCAGTCGCGCCTGCATGCACCTATGATGTGATTCAACTGTCCTGAACCGTTAAGTGTATACCTAAAAGGATGCGCATGAGAGAAGAAAGACCCGAAATTAGAATCCAAAATCAAAGGCAAGAAATTCAAAAATCAAGACAAGGAGACTCCATCCCCACGGCACAGAAAGCATAGTCGCAGCGCCAGTAAACAGAGGTGGTGTCGATGTACCGGTGAATCCGCCAGTGGTTGGCGTTCCCACGACCTCTCGGCTCGTTGTGACGATGCTTGAGCTGGAAGCAGTTGCTTCACCACCACTACCACCACTACCACCACTACCGGTGCCACCGTCACTGCTACTGCCACTGGTGCTGGTCGATATGACGTGTACCGAGGTCGGGATGCCTGAAGTAGAAGCTCCCGGTTTCGCCGTTCCAGAGTTATCGGACTGTGAAGTAGGAGTAGTCCTACCTGAAGTTTGGCTGGACGATGAGATGGACGATGAGATGGACGTGCTGCTGCTTCTGCTGCTGCTGGAGCCTGTGGTAGTGCTCGCGCTTGTCGTCGAAGTCGTTCCTCCTGTGGTGGAACCGGGACTGGTGCTAGAGCTGGCCTTGCTGGTCGTGGTCGAGCCGACGGTTTGGCCCGCAGCAGATGTGGTGCTCGTGCCTCGGTTAGCACAGTAGTAGAGCCACTGCTGGAACTCGGGCTTGACGTCCTTGTCGTATGTCCCAGAACCCTGTTTCTGATATACTTTGCAGCACTTCTCGCACACGCCCAAGTCCCGCATGAAATCCGAGCCCGCCTCACAGAGTTCTGGCTTCTTTCCTACGGACAAAGCCACGAGTCCAGCATTGTTACAGTCGTCGAAGCAATTGCCTGGGACTTTCCCTATCGGTGGACTCTGGCGACCCAGCAGCGCACCCCAAACTTCTCGTCGGGCATATCTCCCCCGAGCGCCCATCATATGGGTAGACTCGGGCGTGGCCGGTACCTGGAAGATGGTGTCGTTCAGGCCGAACTTCTTCGGGTCGAGGTTGAAGTATCCCTGCGAGACATTGTAGACAGTGCCGATTTCGTCGGAAGTGCCAGGTGTGCCCCAGTACTGATCGTGGATGTATTTCGGCGCTTTGATACATTCGTCCGGTCTGCAGACATATTGGTCTGAGGGGTAACCGATCTGGACATTACATTCGCTGTCCGCGCCAGTGCGCTTGGGGTGACAAATGTACCCCGGAGCACAACCCCATGTCCAGTCGGTTGGCATCGCAAAGGGAGGCGAATACGTTCCCGTGGGAGGTAGCGGGGGGCAGATGCTGCGAGATACTGTTACGGTTGATCCTGACAATTGTTAGTGCGAGGTCGATCCGCTCAATCAATTGATACGTACCTGGGGCCGTAATGGTGCCGGTGCCGCCTGGCTGACTCTCACCTGACTGCATCTCAGTGACAGTTACTGTGTTGTAGATTGTGGATCTGATAATTTGAGTGACCGAGATAGTCTCTGTGGATGTTGCTCCTGGAAGGGTGGACGTTACTCCTGGAAGAGTTGTGCCATCTGTGACGGTGACTGTCTGTCCCGGTTGTGTCAGCGTGGTGGTTATTGTAGATGCAGGAATTGTCGTCAGTGTTCCCGAAATCGTGACAGTGCTTGCGGGAATCACCGTGGTGGTTGTGTATGTTGAGCCGGGCAGAGTAAACGTACTGCCAGGCTGGGTGAGTGTAGACGTGACCGTCGACGCAGGAATTGTCGTGACAGTTCCTGAAATTGTGACAGTGTTGGCTGGAATGACCGTAGTATACGTCGATCCCGGCAGAGTAATTGTACTTCCAGGCTGCGTCAGAGTCACTGTACTTCCTGGCTGGGTCAGAGTGGACGTGACTGTCGACGCAGGGATCGTCGTGACCGATCCAGAAAGCGTGATGGTGCTTGCTGGAATGACTGTAGTAGTTGTATACGTCGACCCGGGCAGAGTAATCGTGCTTCCAGGCTGCGTTAGAGTAACCGTACTGCCGGGCTCGGTCAACGTAGAGGTGATTGTCGATCCAGGAATCGTCGTAACGGAGCCAGAAATCGTAACCGTGCTGGCCGGGATGACTGTCGTCGTTGTGTACGTCGACCCGGGCAGGGTTACCGTACTTCCCGGCTGCGTCACCGTCGGACCCTGCTCAGTCACTGTCGTGGGCTGCGTCACTGTCGTTCCCGGCTCGACCACTGTGCTGCCGGGCTCGGTGACCGTCACGGTAATTGTCGATGCAGGCACCGTTGTGACTGAGCCCGAAACGGTCACTGTGCTTGCCGGAACAACGCTCGTGGTAGTGTAGGTTGATCCGGGCAGTGTTCTAGTGATCGTCTCGGTCCCCCCTGGCAAGGTGACCGTCTCCCCGGGCTTAGTCTCTGTGATAGTCAGGGTGCGAGTAGTCTTGTGCCCGCCGAGACCGAGTCCTACACTGATGAGCTGAGTAATAGTTATCGTCAAACCAAGGCCCCCTTCACCACAGCACTCTGTCACTGTCTCCGTAACTGTCGGCCCTGCGGCTGGAGGCTGAGTGATGGTCATCGTCTGTTGGCCTCCTGGCACATCAACTCCAACGCTGACGAGCCGAGTCACCGTGACCGTCGCCCCGATAAGACCTCCTTCGCCCTCCGGCGTTACTGTTACCGTCCTTTCGGGGACCGTGGCCGTCTCTGTGACTGTCATGGTTCCAGCAGACTGGGTCACTGTGACGGGCGGTGAAGCGGCCTCAGTGACTGTTACGGTACTGACGGTGGGTGGCGGCGCAACAGAGTAGGCGGGTGCAGATTCTCCTGCCTATACCAAGGTAAGTCTCTCAGATCCTATATTTTCAACTGAACACTTACATGACATTCCGGCAGCGTGATGGTACTGTGGGTGGTTTCCGTGACTGTGACTGCTCTCCTCTCAAAGGGCCACATGCCCCAAGCCGGGGACAACAAGGACGCTGTCACCAGCTGGGCGAATGCAAACTTGAATTCCTTCATATTGACAGCCTCACCCTGCCGCAGGATGAACGCTTTATGTAACGAGCGATAAAGAAAACAATTGGTGCCTGAGAAGCAATCGCTTTAAACAAACAGCATATCGCCGTCGATAAGTCTTCGGGGGAGGCTATTCAGGAGCAGTCAATTCTGTCCCTTGAATCTCCGATGACTGAAGATGGTGAGATGGGTGAAGCAGCAGAACAAAGAACCCGAACCCACGCTGCAGGGGACAGTCTAGGGACTTTCAATCCACCGCAACAGTTTCTTTTAGGCTTGGACAAGGTGGCACGACAGAGGCACGGGGTTTTTTTTTGGCTGCGCAGTGACCAATCCAGCGTCGAAGACAGCTCGTATGCCTACCGGGGCAACCGACGAGGATGCCTTCTCGGAGTTAGGAAGAAGTGTGCATATCAGCCTCGTGGGAAGCGGGGCAGACGACACTGGATCCAACTCATCCCTGACATCGGCAATGCCTAGATTCTCTCGGCTGGCCCTGGCTACGAAGAGCCCAATCGTGGGATTCAGTTCGAGCATCCTTGGCGTTGAGGCTCACGCAGCAGCACTTGCTGTGCTGTTCCATCAGACGGTGTGAGGAGCTACGGCAGAAATACTCTATAGGGACTAGCAGCCACCGAATCCTCACGATCGTATCGGAACTGTCAGATTTTAGCCAGCTCGAGGACGGCAGAGGCTTTACCGTGGGGCAAGGATCAGCAAAGTCAGTGCATGTTCGGGATACCAAGAATGCTGGAGGAGGCCACTACGTCCTCTGGATGATGCTTTTCTCACTCCTTAGAGCCTGTTGCTGACCCTTGAGATCACCTGATTGGGTTTGCAGTTCGTATCCGCACGGCCTGGCCTTCCGTCGTGTCATCCTCCGTCCGGCCAGCCTTGACTCCCAAAATCAGACAGCCTGCATAAGCCCTGCTTCTAGCTCGGTTGCTCGGAGGAGAAGGATTTACGGGATTCGCATGCTCCTCATTGGTGCTACTGCGGGCCGTGGTCGAGTGGCTTTCACTGCCCCCCTGCTTAGTGTGAGACCTTCCGTTGTCTTTCTTTCTCCCCCGCTCCCCTAGCAAAAGCAAGGCTTGACGCATTGACAGCCAACGCCAGTGGGATTGGATTATGGCTGTTGCAAAGAGCCACTGGCGGTGTAATGTTTGTATTTGTGGATCATGGATTGCGTTTAGAGGGTCTGAATTAGGGCATGATTGACTGGGGGTTTAGGCACTGGACGCAGGACATCCCAACAACGCAGTGGTGGGTTGATTCAGCCGTATGTCACCATTTCCACTTGATTGTCAGGTTCTAGCGTATTGGGCCCTCAGATGTGGCAGACCCTCATGATGGTTGGGGTAGTGTCCGTTCCAAATGGCCGAAATAGGTGAAGGGACTGGTATCTCTCCACCGTAGAGCGCAGAGCCGCGCCACCCCACAGGCTGGCCGCCATCCTGTGTCACTATTTTGCCTATTACGGCTGGCGGTGGTCTTTCTTTGTAGGAAAGGACTAGAGTTGCACCGAGAAATAATTTGATTTCGCGGGTGTGCAACAGTGCTGACCTATCTACCTCCTGTCATCATCCAGCATTCAGTCTGCCGCAGCTGATGCTGCGTGCCTCAGCACTGGTAGACCATTGATTTTATTCCAACCACACGAAAATTGACGCGGAAGTCTCAGCTGGCAGTATATTTACGATGCCGCGATATTTGCTGGTCGCGAGGGCAGCCCTATGGGCCAGCTTCGTGAGTCGTGCGTGGGCCCAGGACATTTGCAATTGGAACAACGTTCGAGGTAAGGAACAACTTATATTCTGTTTGTCAGTCACTCACTCAATCCAGTGAGTGTCGTTCGCGACAAAGTGTATCTCGATGGAGGCCAAATATGGCGAGAAGCGTAAGAGGCCAACGTGACACAGTAGACAATATGTTTCTCATCATCTATCCAGCAACGTATCGACTGGGGGCACTACACAGACCAACAATGGTTTGCTTCTCCGTCGTATGCGTATATTCAACTGCTCACACCCCCAGGCAATGTCGACGGCCTCATGTACTATCTCAACTTCTCGACGCCATTCGACACAACCAAGACCAACCTCACCGGCCTCCTTGGCAACATCGCAAAGTCGGCAGGCCCGGGGAACAACGTCGCCCCAAATTACCTAGATGGAGCCATGTTCTCAAACAACGATATCCTCATGTTCTATGGGTATGTAGCTGGAACCACTTCCAGTCACACAACTATTCCTAACCATACGCAGCGGCATGCTGACAGGAGCGTCATCCGAAGCGGAACCGTACGCCGACCAGACCTTCAGCTACGAGTTATTCCAATACGGCGCGGAGCGCGCCAACTGGGCGCCAGGGCCATGGGACGTGAGGCTCGACAACGGTGTCACGAATTTCGTCACCAGCGGCGCAGGCGTCTCGGCTCCTAGCGAAAACCTAGGGTTCTACTTTAGCGGCGTGCACGAAGCCAACTGGGGCTCGCCCGAGTATAGCGATCCCGGGCTGAACGCGACGTCGAATACGATGGTCACGGTTGATATGTCGTCGATGCGCGACTACAAGTGGACAAACAGGACGCTGCCGGACTATATACGGGGGCGTACGAACGCCGAGGCTGTCTGGCTGCCTGTTGGTTCTTCTGGAATTGTGGTCATCATTGGCGGCGTGACGGACTCTGTTTCTGTTGTACGGCCCGTGTTGAGCAGTGATCAGGAAAAGGAGAGCAATGCTGTCAGTCCTAGTTTTATGGAGTCGGTGGCCATCTACGACATCGCAGCCGACAAATGGTGAGTGGCTAGCCTTATTAGCAAGAGACCGAGTTATTACTGACTTGTTGCTTTAGGTACCTGCAAAACACCACCGGCGATACGCCCCCCAAGCTCACACAATTCTGCTCTGTCTACACCACGGCCCAGGACTCGTCATCCTACAACATCTACATCTACGGAGGCTATGGGGGTGTCCTCGACACGGACGAACGTTCGGATGATGTCTATGTATTGTCACTGCCGTCGTTTGAATGGGTCAAGCTCTACAGTGGCCAGACATCGCATGGACGCAGTGGGCATAAGTGTGTGACGCCGTACCCGGATCAGATGTTCATCCTGGGAGGGAAGAAAATGGACACTTCTGAATGTCTTGATGGTGGTATCATTCAAGTCTTTAACCTGAACACGGGCAAATTTCAGGACACATACGATCCGACCAAATGGAGTGACTATAAGATTCCCGATCTAGTGACCGCGCAGATTGGAGGGAGGTACGTCAATACTTTTCCATCTCTCGATCTACCAGATCACTAACTATTGTAGTTCCACCGGAGGCGCCACGAAAACAGCCCCCGACTCATGGACAAACTCCTCCCTGGCGGACGTCTTCAAGACGAAATACACCAAATCGGTTCAGACATTCTATCCCTACCAAAGCGCCAACAATGAACCGACTCCGACTCCCGTTCCGGGCAAAAACTCTAGCTTTCCAGGCTGGGCCGGCGCCATTATCGGCGTTGTTCTGGGCCTCCTGCTCATCGGAGGTGCTCTTCTTTTCTGGTGTCTTCGCCGCCGCCGCAAGGCCCAGGCAGCCCAGCCGAAGAGCGAGATTTCGGAACGCAGATCGCGCATCATGGGATGGGTCCTCGGGGTGCCCAAGTCAGGTGAGACGACTGTTTCTGCCGGTGATACGGCCTACGATGAGTACCCGAACATTAGGGGTACTTCTCACGGCACAGCCGTCTCGCCTGATCGCACAAACGAGGCGGCGAGCGAGCCCGTCCATGAGCTGGCTGGTGAGTTTCTTCCCATCATCCTTCATATAGATTCTTAAGTCTAACAAAAGGCACATCAGACCCCAGCACTTCACCTCCCGTAGAGCTCCCAACTTCGTATAACAACCTACCACTTCCCAGTCCAACGGTGTCTAGCGCCACCACTTCACATACGGACTTCGCATCCCCGATAACTCCCGGAACGCCAGACCCAGAGTCCTCTCCGACACGACCAGGACACCATCGCCAGGTGTCCAGTGTGTCCAGCTCACAGTCCTTCACTATCGCCAATGTGCTTCATAGGGACAATTCCGAGAGACATCCCCACCGGCCGAGCTATGTGTCGGATGTCTCGGAAGTAAGCGTTGGTTCTGATGGACCACGACATAAGGATACGGCAGCTGATACTAGTGGGCTTGAACGGATCGATCATTGAATAGGGCTGATTATGTGGATTGACACATATCTAACTGTTTTCCCATCCCGGTACCCGTCGTATGACGCATTGCTTGTTCGATATCCCTGCTCGGAGTATTGTGGACTTCTTTTAATATAATGAGTTTACGAATGGACGCCACGTCCCTTTACAGTCTACCGGTTTAATTAACAATGAGCAAAAAGTAACGAAACATACAACAGCATAAGTATGGTGGTGGTCACCAGGCGCGCTGCGTGGGCGGCTTGGAGCCCTATTCAGTCTTCCTTCAGAGTCATTCAGGCCCCTGTTCACCCACCCGAATACTATACTATTAGAGCCCCAGGCACCGCGGGTCATGATAAAACACATGATTGCCTACCCTGTCAAAACCTGCCGCTGGTCCCCAACCCTTTAGGAGACCAGTGAACAGTTATGTATCTATCCCCTAGTCTTCTATACCGCAGATATTCGCCATACTATTTCTCTTTCCTACTGTCGGGTCCCTCTAGCACGTTAGCTCACCAGCTCTACCACTCTATTACTGGCCATTGGTGTGTATTGCTCAAGACCTATAATTGTCCACAGACCTTCGTTAGTTAAGCCTAATACTTCATAAATAGTCTGTTCTATGTATAAGGATCAAACCCCAAATTTCTGCTTTTATCTAATTATTCTAAGTAACTAGCTCTGCGTTTTTACTTGTTGGCTAATTTTATCGCCCTACCAGCATCCTTTTCCCCAGGGAGAGTGAAGCTCAGCTGGCAGGAAAGTCCATTGACTCTCCAACATCTCACCTTATACTATCTTGTATATATTACCGACTGTAAACACCCTATATTTACTAATTGCCTAAGCCGATATAGCAGAGCTCATTCCTTAGTAATAAGCCCTTCTCCGTGAGAAGTTTGAGGAGCACTATGGACTTGGGCTTTTATTAGACGCCAAGCAAAGCGACCATGAAGACCAGCATAATCTCATTGCTATATTTAGCTTTTTGTATTTGGATTCTTACAATTTGGTTTCCCCCCTTTACCGAAGGACTGAGCGACTTCGAAGGTTTGCATCACGACCGCCGCTCGGTGACTAGCGAACTTACATTCAAGAAAACAAACTCAGAGGTCGATGAATTCAGTATAGAGTATCTAGCGTGATAGCGTGGCACCTGGGTTGGATGTTAAGAATTCGCTGCGAGCCTCTTCACAGAGGCCAGAAAGTGCTCAGATATGCGGTCCTTATCTGGGTTGCCCGGTTCCTCCCAGGATACGAATTTGATCTTGTTGTTGGCTCTATCAACAATTTCCTCGGCGTCAATCTGGATGACTTGCATGAACTCGAAAACACACGCCAATCTTTTGCTGTACCACGTATCTCTGTGGCATCCAGAGTCTCCAGAGTCTATCAATCTGCTGTACTGGTGCTCCAGCCAGACGATGTATTCGGCCATACGGCCGGACACAGATGGACGGGTATTGATGTCTAAATCGCAATGGACATGGTACCTATCATTTTTATAATCCACTTCATACCTCATCTACTTCTGTCAGACTTGCCACAGGATATTACATTTTGAGGAATTGACTCACTCCTTTGATCTCGTCAAGTTTATCGGTCTTCTTGTTGCGCTTCTCAGATGCTTCCAATTCTTCGAAGTACCTGTCTCGGAGCATGACCATCCATTTCGATTTCAAGCACTCTAAAGGTTCCGAAGCCAATGACAACATATCATCTTCAAGCTCAGAAATGAATTCCTCCTCTTCTTCGAGGATTTCGTCAACATCATCATCCGGGATTGCAGCGTGTTCAAGGGAAGTTTCCCTCATTATGCCTTGTCCTCGATGGCAGCATACATGGGTTAAACCAAGTTGGTCTGATTTCATTCTGCGCAGAAATGCAAGTACCAACTTCTGCGCGTTCTCAGGGCCCCTGGTTTCCTCAACGAGGGACACTAGCTCTAGTGCCCACACAGAGCTGGGGGCACCACCGCCGAATATGGAATTCCCGAAAGTAGTATGAAAGGCAGCAGGAAGAGAGCACCCTTCGGGGGAGCATGGGCAGCGACAACCATCCGATGAGAAAATGGGGAGCCCCTCATACAGGCATATCCTGATAGAATCCATTATATCCCATGTTCTAAAGTGCAGGGTAGATAAGTGTCGGAGTAATGAGAACAAGACAGTGTGGCCCCTTCGGTCAACGACATTGATGTCGGTCCCATTGTCAATCAAAAAACGAGTCAGTTTCGAGTCTAGAACGCGTGACAAAGAATATATGGCAGTTCTTCCTTCACTGTTGGGCTGGTTGAACAATCGAAACCCGTGTTGAACCAAGGTCGAGGCGTCTTCTTTAGTCGAGATATAGTGAAGGAGATTGTTATCGCCCGTGCCGTGGTAACTATCGTGAAATTTGATATTGGTATCCGCAAGTAAGGCGACAAGTCTTGCGAAATAACTTCCCCACGAGTCCTCTAGCCAGGTATCACGAGACAACAGTCGCATTAAAGCGCAAGATACGAAGTATTGGAAAGCCTTCGGTGGGTAGCAGGTTTGGATGGTGCCGAGAGCGTCCATAATTAATTCCCAATTTCCACAGGCCGCTGCATATGCGATAAAATCACGCTCCCATTTGAGGTCTCGCATGAAAAGATTCGCTCCTTGGGTAATGAGTAGCTGGGCCACATCGGTCTTGCCCATCGCAGCAGCATACATCAGCGGGGTGATTCCTTCGCTGTCCGGGATATCTATGTGATGCCCGGCCTCAACCAGCAGGTGGACTATTTCCACATTGCGGACTCCCAAGTGTAAGGGGGTCTGACCCAGAAAGTTCTTCTCCATGTGTAATGCTGAGCGAGAAAGCAATGAAGCCAAAGAGGCTGGGGACTCGAGGAGCACGGCGTCGTGCAGCGGCGTCGATCCAGCAAAACCTGCATTCGCAATCAACAAAGTAGAAGTTCAGTAGGTATCTTGTACTTACCCGGACTAGCTTCGACGAGCATAGCCAAGTACTCGATGAAGAATGGATCGGGTGTGAACTGTTCCGAGCCCCAATTGGGTGAACAACGGGCAGGCCAGTCCTCGTAGACCGGCGATTCAATACACCCAGGGTCAAAGCCGTTGTTGAGAATTGTCTTGAGCAATTCAAGATGCCGGCCTTCGCCGATCCACATTGCGCAACGGACGAGGAACCTGAAAGTTGTGGTTCAGCCAAAGAGCGGACAATATAGTTCAAGACTGACCTCTGATCCTCATTTTCCAGCGTCATACCCAATTCGCGGACGAAGAATTCCAGAAGCTCGAATTGCTGGACTTGGCCTCTAACTCCATTCGGACCGTAGTGTAGCAGTTCCTGTTGCGGTGTTAGATCACCTTCCTGCTTTTGGTAGGCTCACGCTATATTTACCTCGACATAGTTGCGACCTCCTGGATGTACGTGTTGTCTGAGCGATGGATCGGATCTTCTGAGTTCTCGGAATCTTTCCATGGTCTCGGATAAAGATATCAGACCCTTTCGAAAACGCCACAGAGCCTCAAAGCCAGGAGATGTATATTTGACCACTCTCTCAATAGCGAGAGCTGGCCGAAGCGCATATCTTCCACTCCCTAAGACGAATTCTAGAGCAGAATGCATTCTGAACGGGATACCGTACTTGGTAAGGGCAAAGTGAACGCTCCACCGGTATCGTGTTGCCGTACAATGTAGGTTGTTGCAAACCATGGAGAACATGGATATAGGAGTGTACTCTACGGTCCAGAGACGGCCTGAGCTGCGTCTTATCAAATGGCATGAACAGTGACAGTGTTTCAATGCACAGTCAGCCGATCTTTGTCGAGGTAGCACGCTTCTAGAGGATTGCACAACGGCTCCAACCGCTGAACTCAAGTCCGAAAGAGGACCACTTGTCGCAACTGAAAGTTGATTGTTGTGGGAATTCGCCGGGAGGGGACCGTCGACAAGATTTGATGCTATGAGAGCATCTGTATCGATAAACCGTGGCGATTGGACATGAATCTGCGCAACGAGACTGGGAACAGCTTGGCCGTCAGGGAGGGAGCACCATGCTTAGGGGATAATGACGACTGACTATGAGCAAGTGAGATCAATGATGACAGAGCTAACCTTTTGTCCAGCCTGTTTAAGCTCTTTTTTGATGCCCCCAGAGTGGATTCCAGATTTCCACCTGCCATGATTCGAACGGGGTCAGCTTTCCGGTAACCCGCTGCAGGATATCATCGACGCTGCTGTATGCCAACTGGCAGTTGCTGACAGCACGGTCCACGGCGCTCGACCCCTGGACGGTCTCAAACGACAGAATATTTGCTCGCAACACTTCTAACCGCTGAATGAGGAATTCCAACTCCTCTTCAGCCTTGCCTTTATTAAACTGACGGAGGTCCTTCAAGCGTTCGATCTTGTCTGCGACCTGAAGAGCGAAGGCAGCCAGCCCGATGCCTGCAGACACAACTCCGACAACTTCAGCCATGATTTGGTCGCGTGTTTGGAGGTACTGTGGTCGAGGTAGAGCAGGACAGAGTCAAATTATGTTAAACAGTTCATGGGAGGAAACGATATAGCCGCCGAGGCTCATGTCTTGTCAGCCTTGCCGACAATGCCCTCACACCAATCAGCCAATGAAATAATCTACAGCTTTAGAGGTACTAAAACAGATAGGATCATTGGTAACGAGAGTGTGGAAACGCTCCAGGGAGCGGTTAAGGATTGGGACTTTCGTGACGAGACTGCCCGACTCAGGGCACTCTCCAGGCCGCTCATGGTGTGCTCGGGGCTACTCTGCAAACAAAACGCCGGCGAGGAATGAGTCCCCAAACAGGAAGTACATAAGAGCTATCGGCCTGCCGTTGTCTTTGCCTTTATAGACACTAGCCCATAGAAAGGCTAGGATTACGCCCAGCCGGGATTCACTGGTGGTCAGCCACACAACTACTACCCGGCCGGCGTGTGCGTAACCAGCAATATATATGTGGATGATACCCTGACAAACATCCCTAACACTGTGCATGTTATAATAGTCTGTAGTAATAGTGGTTAAGTAGGATCCTATGGATTGATACAGTCCTTTCAGCAAGCCACCGTTGTGCCTGTTTGCCTATTGACTCCGAACTCGCTGTCCAGGAATCATATTTTTGCCCCTGAGCTTCTCCGATTAATGTGACGGGGCTGTCCGCTTCTACGAAGTCTTAAACGATGCCAACATCGAAGAAACCATCAAAAAAGATGCCACTGCGCGATCGGTTCAGACGCTTTTTGGGAGGATCGTCAGACGAGCCAGACGAGCCCGACAGCCCCGCATCCCGCACACCTCGTCAGCCTGAGCATACATCCAGGAACGCGGAGCCAGATTCTCAACCCTTAAATACCCCGAGAGTCTTAGAGCTTAAGGGACTATGGAAAGAAGCCTATGAGGACCTTCGAAAAGATGACTCAGAGCTTCTGGATGCCTACGAATTTGCGCTTTCGCGGGAATGTGATTCTCAGGCAGCGGAAGAAGCTGACGCTGATCCTGAGGGAGGAATGCGAGGTTTCGTCAAGCATCGGCTTCAGGAGATACAGGATTCGCACCTCAAAGTCACTGTAGCGGGCAAGAGTATCGGTATCAAAGACCAGGCCCGCCGAGCAGTCCATGCAATCCTCAGCGTCAAAGATTTTATTTCATCGGCTGTCAGCACGGAACCGCATGCCGCACTTGCCTGGGCGGGGGTTTTGGTGCTCCTACACCCAATACTCAAGTCCTTCACACAGGAGGAGGATTCTATAGATGGCTTTGAACGCATTTCAGGCCTTCTGGTCCGGTACCGGGTCATTGAATGCACGCATATCGAGGTCCCAACTAGCAGAACTGGCTCCAGCTCAGATAAGCCCGTTGAAGATCTCGAAGCAAGTATCAGGTCTGAAACGCTGAAGCTCTACTCTATGATTCTAAGGTACCAGATGCGGCTACTGAAGCATTTCTCGCGGTCTGGGTTCTTCCGGTTCATAGAAGACTTGAGGGTTACAGATGATTGGAGGGAGATGTTGCAGATGATTGTGGGTGTTGAGGAGTCGATTAATGGAAATCTGGGTGCTTTAAGGGGACATATCCTGCGGCAAATTGAGACTGGGGTTGCCCAGCTTAATGATCAGTTGAAACTGGCGCAGGACACCATGAATGAGGCTCGGGATGAGGCCAAAGTACGTCAACGACATATCACCAATGCTTGCATATTCCGCCTGTTTTTCTGACTGCTCTTCAGGCCGCGAAACAGGACAGTTTACTTAACAGCTTGCCATTTGCCGGTGGGGCAGCGTTCAACTCATGGGAGGACCAGCATAAGGCTAGGTGCCTGGAGGGTACTCAGAACAACACTCTTACTCAGATCCAATCCTGGAAGGAGTCCCCAGGCCGAGAGACCATTTACTGGCTAAAAGGAATGGCCGGTACAGGAAAGTCCACCATTTCTCGAACCCTTGCTACAGCCTGTTACGATCAGACGCCCTTATTCCAAGGCGCATCGCAGAAATCACTTAGCAATGCGGTTCTCGGAGCGAGCTTTTTCTTCGATCGGACGAAGCCTGATCGGAATAATGCCAGCAAGCTTGTCACGACTATCTGCAGGCAAATTGCGATAACGATCCCTGAAATCAAAGCGGATATCTGCAGCTCGATCTCAAAGTATCCGAGCGTAGGAACCCAATCGCTCAATAACCAGTGGGAATATCTAGTCCTTGCTCCTCTCCGATTGTTTGAAAAGCGTATATTGGTGCCTCTGACATTGATCACGGTGATAGATGCACTGGACGAGTGCGAAGGCGAAGCGGACCTCGCGGCATTCCTTCAACTCATCGCCCAGGCACCGCCGCTGACTTCAATTCACCTGAAATTCTTTGTAACCAGCAGACCTGAGGCACATGTGCGCTCTGGCTTTTGTGTCATCGCAGGAGTCTCTATCTTCGAAGACGAGCTTCATAAAGTTGCTTTACTGCCTGACACATTGACTGCTGACTACAAGGACGACATTACGCGATACCTGGAGCACGAGATCACGAAGCTTACCCCGACAAAATGCATCGATAACTGGCCTGGCAAGAAGAGAATTCATGACATTGCCCGGAAATCGGACGGGCTTTTTATATACGCAGCGACAGCCTGCCTTTTCCTCAGTGGTGCGAAAGGACGCGAGGACCGTCTAGATATGCGGCTGAACATGATATTCGATGACAGGGTGGCGGACGGATCACCACAGAAAAGCCTAGACGGCATATATACCCGTATTTTACGCTATTCGGTAATCGGTGGTGCGATCGACGAAGAAAAGGAATTGATATGTCGTCGATTCAGACAGATAGTGGGATCTATTGTAATCCTCTTTGAGCCTCTTACCACCGCTGCTCTAGGATACCTGTTAGGGCAGCCCGTGTCACAAGTCAAAGACACGCTTGGGGAGTTATATTCGGTTTTGGCCATGGGCAACGAGCAACTGCCAATCCAACTTCTCCATCTGTCATTCCGTGATTTTCTGCTCAACCCGGCCAGATGCATTGACCAGAGCTTTTTGGCTTCCGAGAAGGAAACACACACTGCTCTATTTCGGCACTGCCTCAGTGTTTTGAAGGCCGTCCTGAGGAAGAATATTTGCAACCTACCCAGTTTCGGTGTTCGTGCAGCAGATGTTACTCCTCTTACCCTGCTCCAACACCTGCCCGAAGGCGCTCAGTATGCGTGCTGGTACTGGCCGGGCCATCTTCAGCGAGCTGGCCTTGAACCCGCTGATGAAGACGAGGTTTACAGTTTCCTAAAGACCCACTTACTACACTGGTTTGAAGCCCTTAGCCTAATTCACAAATTCTCTGATGGGATTGTCGCGGTGCTTAAGCTTTCCGACTATATCTCTGCTTTGCCAGTAAGCTCTAACGCCATGGATGAACCGTCTCCCACTAACGATATGTTGTAGGGCCCACCCAGGATGGCTCTTCTTGGCATACTGCATGATGCAAAGCGGTTCATGCGAAGATTCAATTTGGTTATAGAGGCAGCGCCGCTTCAAGTATACAGTTCTGCACTTATACACTCCCCTGAGCGATCTGTGATTCGGCAACACTTCAAAGGCGAGATCCCCAAATGGATAAAAAGGGCCCCGGAAGTGAAAGCAGAGTGGGATCCACTACTGCAGACACTTCACGATACTCTTAGGCCTGAGGATCTTGCGCTGTCACCGGATGGAAAGCGGGTCGCATCTTCTAATCTGTGCATCTGGGATACAGAAAATGGAACGCTGCTGCGGGAATTTGCCCCGTTGGGCGCCGGGTATCGTGTTGCATTCTCGCCTGATGGTCAGTTCGTCATGTCAATCTCCCATCCTGGACACGTCAGGGTGTGGAATCTGGCTTCGGGGTTGTTGATACAGGAAGTGGCGAGCTCCCTTGAAAAAACTCAAAAAACTCATTTGGCTCCGTTGCATTTATTTTCGGCGGACCGAAGAATTGCCGTCATAGCGTCATATACTTTGAAGTTCGAGGTCATTGATATCAGAAACGGGACATCTCTGAGAATTATTGAAGGCCCCAAGGACGATCTGCTGCACATGGCACTTTCTAACGACGGCGTGCTCCTAGCCTCGGGCTCTGCAGACGGTTGCGTTAGACTATGGGATGTCCGCACGGGCATCTTGCAGCATGAGTTTGCTGGACACCTCGATGCGATAGGTCGTGTGGTCTTTTCTCCGGATGATAAGCTTCTGGCATCCGTCTCCAATGACAAGACCGTCAAGGTCTGGGATCTGGACAAAGGAGAGCAGCTGGCTGAGCTCAGCGGAGAATTTTTGGACCTGGCATTCTTAAACAGCGCAATACTGATGTGCAGTCAACCAGACCACAGTAACATCCAACTGTGGGACGTCATATCGAATGAACAGGCGACATTGCACGGCCCCCGCTGCCAGGGACTCAGACTCTCACCAGATGGTACGCTACTGACATCCGTCCAGTTCAGGCGAGTCAACGCATTCATTTCGCAAGGGCCAACGGTTGCGGTCTGGAGTCTAGTAACAGGTAAACTGGTCCATCAGCTTGAAGGCCACTCAGACTACATTTACAACGCAATCTTCTCCTCGGACAATAAGCTTCTGGCGTCTGCGTCGAGGGACGGGACTATCAGGCTCTGGGACCTTTCTGCACAGGCCAGCTCAGAACGCCCTGATGGCCATACCGAGTCTGTGCGCAGCATTATAGTCTCACCGGATCTCCGAGTCGCTGCTTCTCGAGCAGAACTTGGTCGGATTCGCCTGTGGGACGTGGAGACTGGATCCCTTCGACAGACGTTTGACGGTGGCCCCATGGCTGACCCGTCCTTTTCGCCGGATGGGAAGTCATTTCTTGTTCCTCTTGGCAAGGAGGTGCAAGTTTGGAGTATTGCAACCGGCGAATTGACTCGATGCATCAATCGTTATTCACGCCACGTCATCTGTTCGGCCTTTAGTCCGGATGGTAGTCTCCTAGCACTCAAATACGCCAATGCAAACCTGTGTCTAGCCAAGGAGCGAACGCTGGGAGGTACGGTCGATGGAGGAAACGATCCTGGAGTCGACACCGATGAGCTCCAGTTGTTTGGATGTGGGGAACCCCATTTTATCTCCTCAACGATCATGCCTCCCGCTGTCGGAATCTGGAACTCGGCAACAGGCGCTCTGCTGCAGGTGGCCAAGGGGGCTTCTGAAGATCACGGGTGTCTTGCGTTTTCGCCGAATGGTAGATTTCTTGCCTTCGGACCACACCATACTTCGGTTGAACGAATATGGAACGGGGGGTGGATTGCCATCTGGGATGTCCCTAACGGGGAGTTGAGTGTCCTTGGTGATTTTGTGCAAGACGTGATTGCCGTTTCCTGGTCCCCGGATGGGAACGCTCTTGCGTCGATTATCGTGGATGATACATCGGAGAGCCAGATTCAGATCTGGGACATGACCACAAGATCGCTGAATACATCAATTAAACCAGAGACTTGGCCTCATTTGACGGCCTTTTCTCCCGATGGACAACTACTCCTGTCCGCGTCCCACGATGGCACCTACCAATTATGGGAAGCCAGAACAGGCACGATGATCGGCCAGCGTGAGAGTCCCTGGGAAGCTCAGCGGCTACAATTTTCCGAAGACGGGAATATGATAGATACCGGACTCAATCGACTCGAACTCGCGTCGTTCTACCCTGGTTGGGTCCCAACTAATAGCACGGAGTTCTTCCTGACTGGTAATTGGGTTCATCAGGGGCAATTGGCCTTGCTGCTGCCGAATGATGATCCTCCAACGTGTGCGGCGACTGCAGATGGTGTCCTAATCATGGGTCACAAATCTGGTCGAGTGACATTTCTTCAATTGGGAGAGGAGTAAGACGGTACTGAGTGTAGACCAGCATTGTCATGATATGTCCATGTCGGTCTTCACCCCTGGTTTGGATACTGAAGAACGCTCTGATATCCGCTCTCGTAGAGGATTGTTGTATACATCATCTATTTGATTGCTTTGGTTGTGGACAATCCATTTCCTTATCTGACCCAACTGGGATCTCAATTGTTGGCCGCAATACTTCTCTTTCTTAGGATATATGTGAGTATTGTTCGCTATGGGCCCCTCGCAAGGTGGATTTGCATACGTTTTACATTGGTCCATGTGAAGTCAACAAAGACCGCGGAAGTAACAATAAGGGCGTATGCTTCGTCCGGCTTTGGCTTCATCTCTGCACCTTTTCTTTCAATCATCCATCCACTCTTCTTCGCTCCAGGTGCCTTCATATATACGACACGCTCTCGCGTTATATAAAAGAAATAGCTGCCGAAAGCAACTGTCGTAAGAATTCAAAGTCACATGAGAATCTTAATGCACTACCTGGATTATCATGGCGACGTACTATTGGCATCACATAGAGGTAGAGTGCTTACAAAATTTCTCCCCAGAGTAAATAATTAAAGGCAACGGTGATTATTCAATGGCTCATACTGTTTGTTTCTGGTAAAGACCAAAGCAGCCTGTCTAGTCCTGGACATACCTAGTTTCAGCTACATATCTCTCCTCTCCTTGAAGAATAATGTCGTTATGCTATTCACTAACCACATCTTGCTTTCTCCTCGAATGAAATTATTCCACTGTCCTCCTGTCTGGACTATACTTCTCGGACGCGGAACTAGATCAGTCGATCCCCCAACGGAGTTCCTGGTACAACCAAGTAAAGAATTGGGTTTTTGGCGGAGTAAATCAGTCCAAGCTGGTAAGTGGTAGCTAAGAACCTAATCTTGGTACGCAGACCACATGAGGAGCGGTCCGTTAAACTCAAGAGCATACCACTATTCGAATGACCTTAGCTGGATCCTATCTATGTCATAACGGGTCATATTGGATCTAGACCGCTGCGGTAAATCCCAATGGACCCAAGGCCTCTCAGTGGCCGCAGGCTATCCATACAATATAAATGGAGGCTTGCTTATAGGTACTTCACTGAAAGTGTTTTCCTTGATAATAATATTGAGTCACTGTCTACAGACTTCAACTCGCAGTTAATTCCGCCACGAAGCCACTGGAAGATAAATGCTGCCTAAAATAATGCAACTCGGGCTTGGAGTTGCGGTCTTGCTCATCTCCCAATGCAATTGGGCTCTTGCGTGGGGTGATGTCGGTCACCGCACAGTGGCCTACGTCGCAGAGAATTATCTCACCGAAGATGGATCCAAGTTTCTAGACAACCTACTGCCTTTTAGCAATAATTTCGATATCTCCGACGCGGCAACCTGGGCTGATGAACAGAAAAGAAGATATCCTAAGACCAAACCCTGGCACTATGTTGGTACGTAACCTCGCCGCTGTGAAACGACTGGTGCTGACTCGGTATATCAATTCAGACATAAAAGATGATCCTGTACATCACAAGTGCGACATATCGTCCCTGGACTGCCCGAACGGGGACTGCATCATCTCTGCCATGGAAGCTATGGTTCGGCTCCCTCCCACCCCCTCAGGTCATTTACCTAACCTTGTCATAGACAAGCCAAGTGAGCGAATACAGCTTTAACCGGACAGAAGCCGTGCTTTTTCTAGTTCACTTCTTCGGCGACCTGCACATGCCCTTACATGTGGAAGGTCTTTGCAGGGGCGGAAACGAAATCGATGTTTCTTTTAACGGTCGCAATGATAACCTGCATAGTATTTGGGACACAGATATGCCGCACAAGATAAACGGGATCAAACACTCCCTAAAACACAACGACGAGAAAACGGCTTCCCTCAAATGGGCCAAAGATTTGATTCAAAAGAATCTGCATCGACCGGCGACAGTCACTGAATGCAATGATGTGACGCAGCCCCAGAAATGTTTCAAGCAATGGGCAACTGAGTCCAACCATCTTAATTGTGCAGTTGTTTTCAAGCGAGGGCTTCAATACCTCACGACACAAGATCTAGCTGGGGACTACTACGAAGATGCCGTACCCGTTATCGAAGAGCAAATCTTCAAGGCGGGTGTTCGCCTGGCGACCTGGATCAACTCCATCGCAGAGAAACAACATGCCAAAGCTGCATTTGTGGCTCAGGGTAGTGGATCCTACGAGCTGTGAGCTCGGTAGGTCAGCGACTGTAGGACGAAGAGGTGGTGATTGCAAGGATCGGATTGGACTGTAGGGCTATTGGTGTTAATCGAATTGCACCTGACTTTTGTCCGGATTTTTTTAATATCTGTCGCACCCTTGACCTATGTAGTTCAATCCCAAATCTGCTTTCCAGCTTTAGGCTCAGTAGCGGCGTCAAATGATAAACTGGTGATTGGCTGCAGCTGCTACCACTCTAAACGACACGCCCCTTATCCCCAGCACTCCGTTAAGCCCCTCTAACACCTCATCGGCGGTCAGTACATCCGTCTGGTGCTTATTGTTGTTTCTATCAAAATTATGATGATCTACAGGGCCACTGAGATTGCTCACAGGGTTCTGTTAATAGGATACGTATAAAATATATTTCTTAAGGTGCATTCACATGAGCATACATCTCTAGATAACTAAACGCGACTAACATATCAAGAGCATAAATAACTAGTCTAGACCTTTTCTTGACTTGATAGCAATAGCACTGCCTATCCTACTTCAAGTTGAGCACGCTAAGACAAAGGATAGATAGACATCAAGTGGTTGACTTAGTAGGTCATTACCCTGACTAACGGGGATACGATTCCTAATCTAACGGCGACGTCCAGATGTTATATAATTGTGGATATTTTAGTCCCTGAGTAGGGTTAAGACTAGATTCCACGATAGTTCATTTTCGTCAAACATGTTACATGGGTTACGAAGCAGAATACATTAGCGACGCCATCGGACTCATTTTCGGGGTTCCAGTAACAAAAGAGCAATGAAAGCACAAGATAGAGATGTCAATCGATAGTGTCTGGATGCACCTTCCTAATCAGCCCTTTCAATTGTTTCTCTAGTCGAGACGCTTCGAATTCGGGGATCTTGCGATGACTATTCTTCAAAATCCACCCAGAACCATCCGACTTCTCCAAGACATGAGAAGGCCAATACGCTGGCCTATCAGATGCCTGGAGGTTACGTGCCTTGACCGATTCATGAATACTTTCGTTGGTGATGCTTTCATGCCCGAGAGCTGTGTATCCGAGCGGTTTTCGCGCTGAACGACCCTTAAAAGATTCCAAGAACGTCGAGAAACGCCACTTAACAGGATTAGCATCACCAAGGCTTGTGGCCCAGGGTGTCGGGCTCTCTGGGTTGACTTGTTGCGAAAACCCATCATGAAAATAGTCGAGATTGATGGACAGTTGGCCGTCTTTCGTGCATTGAGAGACCATCCACGCTAGTGCAATGTCCGCTAGCCTAGGGTCTGGAGCTCCACCACCCACGTCTGTATGGTAACCTGAGAACCACACCTGACGAAGCTCTTGCCCGACGTTCTGTTTCGGAACATACCATAGGACAGGCTCATAGGTGTTCCTTGATTCATCGAGCGATAGAGCCTGGAATGCATGTTGGACATCCGGCGACAGGATAGTGTTTGGCAGTTCAAATTTCTCCCCTACGCACCGGCTCAGCCAGCTATCATGGAATCCAACGGTGTCCCAGACCCCGATAATCTTGACCGTAAACTGTTCCAATGGCTTTTCTCGAAAACCAATACGACGACGCCAGTCTGCATCTTGGTATCTCTCTCTGTCAGCGGAAGTGCCTCCCTGCTTCACCATGTAGTAGTCGTTGTAAACAGTCGGAAAATTGTCCATTCCACGGGAGGTAAGTAAACCAAGGCTAGTGACGAGGCCAGCAACAGCCCGTGCGGTGTAAGCCCCTCGAGAGAATCCGAAGAAGAATATCTCGTCACCGTCATCGAAGTTATCAGCAAGAAAGGCATATGCTGCCCGGACGTTTGAACTGAGGCCCAGGCCAATAGCCCCTTTTAGGGTTAAGAAGATAACAATGTCAGTATTTATAGGAAGAGACAGATCAGAGGACAGAAATGACATACCGCCACCTAATTTATCGCCTATAAGACCGGTTCCAACACCCCTCTGATAATACACTATCTGCGATATACGTTTTTTCTGGCCATTTTCCTCAGTATACCCGTCACGACTGATGGCCCGACTTATGCGAGTCACATTTGTAGGTGGCTGAAATGTATCTCCTGTTGCGTTTGCCCAGGTACCTATAAAACTATAAGGACAAGCTGCCAGTACTTGAGAAAGGCAAATGTTCAAACATACCGTCGCAGCAGACGACAAGTCGCTTGCGGTTGGACCAAGGCAATGTATCAGTTTCTGGCAATACAGAAGCCATAATGTGTAGCGTCCTAAACTCTGTGTCTTTTCCACATGAGCGGATTTACTCTATAGTGGGATTGTTACAAAGACAGAATTCAAGGGTTAGGCGTAGGAGGTCCTCACTATTTCAATATACACGTCAAGAATTAGATGCCTTTGCTTGATACAGTCGTAGTCAAGGATATGGGCAATGGCGTCTTCAGAAATTGACTCCACGTACTAGGTAGCTACCTAGTAGTCTAAATACAAACAATGCCCTGCAGAATTTATGATGACACCATGATAAAGGTAGATCACACCACTGACGTACAACTGGAAATATCGGCCAATAACTACTAGAATGATCATTGTAATGTTTTACCGCTGTCTCTCTTCATGAATGCAGTTTGAGCTTTTGAGCATATTCTGGACCTTCCACTGGTACAATGCTCGGCGTGATCTACTTGAAAGAACATAAAACTGCCCATTAAGTTTAACATTCGATGGCTAATTCTAGCCACACTCGATTTACTTTGCAGATTAGATCCAGATTATAAGCAACCGTGGAACCGGCGCATCATGCGGTTACAAAGAGGCCGGAAAAGGATAACCCTCGTCACAATTAACCTCCCACTTTTGAACGTGACACGACTATGAATTCGGATACTGAGGCATCGTGACTTGCGCAGCGTGCCCATAGAGCTGCTGCTGTCCCAAACAATGAAGATAGCATGACCAGTGCGGTCGACTGTTCTAGACCTCTCAGCTTGTGACAGCGACCAAATCCACGAAAGGGCGAAATGTAGGTGTCCAACAACAGCCACCTTCAAGGCCTCTGCCTGAATGCCGATTTCTGCTGGTCTCACCTATAAAAGCTCATCGTCGTATCCTGAACCCTTACGTTGCTTCGCACAAAATAAACCCCCACGCATTAACCACAATTTCGAATCCTCTTCTATCATCACATCGCGCACGACCAGAATGCCTGTCCCCGACTACGGCGTCTGGAAGGGGGTGCCCGTTCATTACGAGGTCGAAGACCGCTACGAAGACCCAAGGTCTCCTCATCTGTCGCTCTACTATCATGATAACCAAGACGTGGAGCCACAATTCGACCGCAAGTATCGTCAGAAACATAAAAACTCGCCTCCAAATAAGAACAAGCCCAGGGAGATTCCTGGGCTCTTCCGTGCAGCGATCAATATCAAATCTACTGGTCGCGAGTCTCGACTTGCCTACTGGGTGAATCATAACATTATAGCGCACCCAATTGTCCAAAAGATCGCCAACCTCAGTTTCGGCTTTCATCCTCTCAAGGAACTTGATGGTAAAGGGCTGGACTATATTCGATCTGACCTTTTCGACACTAAGAGCGGTCGCGTTCTTCCCCATGATATTGACGGCCCAAATAATGATATTATCGACGTACTGGTGCCTGAAGTACAGCAATCAATTGAAAAACAAGCCGACATCTACTTGTTTGGTTCATGTTTCGATACGAAAAACGGTATACACAATGTGCATATGAACCAGGGCAACATTGACAGCTTCCGTCGCGACGATGGGGTCTTCCAAGATGGTGGCCTTCTCATCCATTATAAGGACACCGATCAATGGACTGGAGTTTTCCTTGCGTTTGCATCGCAGGCTTTGCACACTGACGATGATGCCGGCCATGCTATCTCGCCATTGACCTGGGGAGAGTTCCTGGCCCCGGAACTCCTTGAGAATTCAGTGGCCATCAAGGAAGCATATGTCGAAAAGCAGAAATCAGTCACTCTTGCGAACCTTACACACCACAGGGTGTCTCTGGCATCATGGCAATTGCATAACTCAGCTGGTGAAGTCCAAAAGCTTCCTAAGGATGCCGCCTTGGACTCTAAGGCGAGCAAAGACTTCGCAGTGCCAAATCTCCCTTTCTCAAGGAATGGTGACATTATAACTCTTGTTGATGACCACGGGCTGAAGATTGATGGCGTGAGTTACAACTCTCAGCAGGCAAAGACTCAAGGTCGACCGATTGTTTTTGCGCACTAGTTCATCCCGATATGTTATTAGTTTTGTTGGCAAAACACATCTCTCACAGTCACAGGCGCTGCCTCCCACTGGACAATAAAACCGGACCTATATCAGGACTGGGGCAACGTCGCCGTCAAAAAATCCCGTGAAGAGGTGTATCAAAATGCTTTTTCGGGGCTTTAATTATCATAATCTGCATCCAATGTTCCTCTGCGTTGATTTTAGGTATTACAAAAGGTATTCGAACACTGAAAGTTAATGGAAAGTGCTGCCCCAAATTGCCGATGCCGATGCTTACGCTCCCTGCAATAGCCAAATCAGGCTGAGGCATCAGTGTAGCGGGCTCTGAGGAATATTTGGTGGCGTAACATCATTGCTTTGTCTGGTAGAGCTCCGTTAACATCTATTATACTGCTTGGCATGGACAACTATCGGATCAGAACCAGTGTGGTTTCTGTTCTACTTCGGCTTCTACGCTCGTTATGTAAACCTGCTCCAGGTCCGGAGACAAGCTCATATGCTAAAAAGCCGTCCTCCCGGTCTTCACCGTCCCGATAATACCCTCCTCCGCCATCCTTTCCACCATATTGAACAGCATTAAGTCACATCCCCGACGAGCAATCAAATTGATACTCACAGGCCACTGCTCAGTGACCATTGTTACCGGCGAGTGATACACAACCTGCCCGATTGGTATCGTCAGATCGACACATCTGCGCGAAGTTAGTATCTTCATCGTAGCATCCAGACGAGAACATACCCGAAAAGCGGACATATCGTGGCACAAGAAACAACTAATCCGTCCGGAACGACGTTCAGATAGGTAGCATTCGGCCCATCATTGAGACCTTTCTCCCGAAAGCTCGGCAGTCCACCGGTCCCAATATCGCACAACATCAACGACTCGGAACAGGACTCGGGAGTTTCATAGAGAACTGTACTCTCGAACCACTCGACCGCCCGCGCCTTATCTTTCAACGCCTGATCATACGCACTCTGCGTGAGGGCGCTCAGGTTCAGCTGGCTCCACGTGGTCCGCCAGACAGATTCGACCGGGGGAAAGCGGCCTCCGTAGCGGGTTTTGTACTTCGACATGAGGGGGCCAGAAACATCAACATACTGCGACCAGGTGGTCGTCATACTGGATGCGTAGAACAGACCATCCCACGGCTCGATGTTGGGGTAGATAGTGGCATTGCTCACGGTAGCAGTGAAGTTGAAACGCTGAACCGTCATTCCGAACAGCGTTGACATCTTGGCAATGAATGCATCGGCTATTCCTTGCGCTGCGGGGTTCTGCATAGGAAAGTAGTCATCTGGATAGAGGATCCGCGTTGGAAACTTCATCGTGTCTGGGACGTTGAGCGGGGATAATCCTGTAACCGCCACATTCTGATGGAGTTCAGGAGTATACCAGGCCTTTGCGAACCGCGACCATGCCACTGGGTCCCGGGAAAACACACCAGCTGTGTCTTGGGCCCAGTTCAATGAAACTGCCCCTTCTAAGGAGATCATCCCCTGACTGGGGCGATTGCCAAAAGTGCCCGAGACAGCAGCCGGACGACGCATCGATGAGCCTGTGTCGGTGCCAATGGCCGCATCCAGCCAGTCGTATGCGGCGACGGCACATCCCCCGCCGGAGGACGATGCCGAACATGTCAAGTATCCATCACCGCGGGGATTGAAAGGGTATTGCTCGTCGATCCATTCCCACGGGTCGGAAGCGGATGCGAACTGCGCCAATTTGAACTTGCCGACGAGGACGGCCCCGAGGTCGACAAGCCGTTGGATAGCCGGCGCTGTAGAGTTGGCGATTGGCGTGACGAGAGTCCACGCGTGGCTTCCAGCCGAGGTCTGTAGGCCGTGGATGTCGAACAGATCTTTGACTGCGACTCGAACACCTGCCAAGGGGCGTGTGTCGTTCCAGGAGTGGATGCGGCTTGGGACGGGGATCATGGGTGCCTGCATGCTCGAGGACGTGAATTGCAGGGGTATGAAGGAGTCAGTGCCCTCGTTAGACGGGTAGATCCCAGTGATGAAATCCCGGTATTCATCGGCGTAAAGTCGATAGGTGGTAAGGAGCGTCAAGGTGGTGTCTGATATCACGGCTGTGTAGGGACCAGACGCAACGGTAGTCGCAGCTTCATAATGGACGTGAATGAAAGACGCAGGGACAGACTGGAAGACAGTCGTGTCAACGAAAATCCTGTTTACATCGAGGGTCTCGAGGTATTCCACCGCTGTTGGGTCTATTACAGCGCCAGACGACGCAGACAAGTAGATGTTGGCCAGGAAATCCACGGAAAAGACGTCGTCATGGGCGAGATAGTCGGAGATGGTGGCGTTGAGGAAGTCTCCAGTGACTTGGCTCTGGTTGACAACGATTGTTGTCAAAGGAAGTAGGCCATCCGTTGCGAGCTGTGCAGACACGCTCAACACTCTGTACGGGCGCTTGGAGTTGGCAAAATATGTAACATTTCCAAGGTGGTAGAAGGTCCCTGCTAGGCCTACCTGAGATTCTGTGATCGTATTGCGATGGCTTGGAAGTGCAGTTGCTTCCTGGCCAAACGCCAATGCGTTCACAAGGGCGATGGCCCACGCTCGCATGGTGTAAAAAGTGTGGAGCATAGGTGCATCCAAGAATGCGGGTAATGTCTTTTTAACTTGTCCCAATATGAAGACACGCCTGTTGGAGCGAGCGAGCGACTGTTGGAACAATCCTACCCCATATGCCTGCGTAGGATAAAGGGTGAAGTCACCTGAGTGTTTGGTCTTCCTGTGTGTTCAGTGCAAGTCTCAACTGTCTCAACGCAAGGGATTGGTTCTATACGGACGTTCCAGAACACATGGGTTTGTGTCCACGTTGCTCCCATGTCCAGCAGACCCATTCGCCATGTTGCGGTGTATCATGGATGCAGGTCAGTGGGATGGGCCGGATGCAAAGTCCCTGGACGGTGCTACTCTGTTAGTGGGCGTCTGACGCACCGATACCGATACCAGCTTGGCGGTCCTGATCCTGAGCGGACAATATCAGCCAGTACGGACTATACCTAGGATTGGTTGTATTCTTCCGACAATGTCAGGGAAGCCATGATCCGCTAGTATTGGGGTGATTAGACCTGAATGTGCCAGGGCTGGGACAATGCAGGTCAGACACATTGTCCCGGCAGAACAATCGAAATGGCACTGGTTTCAATACAGCGGTGGAAGCCTGCTGTGTCACCTCAATATTGTTGCCTGGCTGGAGTTAATGGGACAATCCACTGTTGTCCTGGATAGTTTGTACATGCGGCTGTGGTGACTACCTAGGTATTTCTCAGCGTACTGGGATGTTAGCTCTATATTCGTGGGTGGATTTCTAATGTTGACATGAACCGTAGACCAAGTCTAGATGACCAGCCCATGCAGATTCCCCAGCCACTTGGATTTAATAGCATCATCATAAACTCTATAACCGCCCCGTTCGTAGCACCCGTGAACGACCAAAGTCTCGCGTCCCTCGTTGCCACATTTCCCAGAAAGCCGGCACATGGCGGACGGAATCAGCCAGCTGGCGCAGCCCCTGAATCCCGCGCTGCGCATGTGTTTCAATCACGTCCGCGCCCGGCTGATTTAATGAGCTGTTAAACACCTCGAGTGACATGGGCCCTTGGTATCCGGTAGCAATGACGGCCGCAGCGACCAAGTGGACGGGCATGTACCCCCCGCGCTCGATCTCAAAGGGATAGAGACGATGGCTCCGCGACCACGGCAACAGCGCCGGGACCTCAGGATCCGTCGGCGGACGAAACGTGCGTGGATCCATGCGTTCGGCATCGCCGACCTGGAAAAAGAAGATGCGATCGCCCGGCACGGAGGCGACGAACCCCGCGAGCGAGGCACATAGCACGTCAATGGATTCCTGGAGAGTCGGATAGATCCGACCGTGGCCAGCGGGATTGTACGGGTCGGCGAATTCAACCGCAAGCACGTTGAACGCATCGACAATCAGACCGACATTTGGGCGGTTGGCCATGCGGACTACCTCCCAGGTGGATGCCCATGTATTCCGCACAGCCCACGACAGACCCTCGTACCCGATGCGCAGCATGCAGCCTCCGTCAGCTTCAGAATACTCCTTGGCCATGTCGCCCAGTTCCGCTAGGTCCCTGGCGACGGTCTTGAGATCGGAGGTGACGCCGTCATCGGTCCGGATGTTGGCACACATGAAGACCAGATCGGTGTCGAACGCTCTCATGAAAGGGAAACGCTTGGCTACGAGGTCCAGGGTGGCGCGCCGTTCGGCCGGGTCCTTAATGCCCTCGATCTGCCGTAGCGGCTGCGTACAGGCGATGCGCATTCCCAGCGATTTAACTAGATCTCCCAGCTTGCGAGCGACGCGCAAATTCTCCGGCGTGGCTTCCCACAGCTGGTCCGCGGGCAACCCATGCTCTTCCAGATATGCAGCCCAGCATTCATCAAACAGGTCGATCCAGCGGTACCCTGCGCGGGCGGCGGCTTCTAACCGCGGCCGGAGTTGGTGATACTTGGCGTTTCCCAGCGACAGCGTGGCGATACCGAACTCGTTGGGGATGGCCGCGGGCGGCCAAGAAATAGGCATGACGGCTGATTTCAGAAATGAGTAGGTTTCGTTATGTTATGAACGAACTGTGCATGAAGTTGACCAGAAAGGGAATACAGCATGGTGATGGTGGTCTTGATGGCGGGAAGATAACATCGGAGGGATGAACGCTTTTCCCATCGCCCGGTCATTAACGCCGGGCATAACCCCGGATTTATATCCCCACATATGCCAGATAAACGTTTATCCTGGTGTCATGGGAAGACTTATAGGTGGAAAAACGGTGGAATCCGACGGGTTTCTACTTAAGAAAAGGAACTGAACTGGGCTGTTGGAGACCCCTTCCTAATTAGGTATATTGGGTGCCTGAGGCATAAACAACCTTGCTCGCATTGGATATATGCACATAGAGGAATGCACATACAACAAATGAATAGGGAAAGCTGGGACGGGAGAAGGATGCCAGTCAACAGTCAGGCCTGCACTGTCTGAAGACCCCATACTCCTGTTAAAATAATGCAATAGGAGACTGAAATGAGTCGCGGTAGACGACCTATCGTTGCCTTGCATTGCCGTCGTTCTATTGCATCTATGTTATTCCAAACTGTTGGGTGAATTGGTCAGTCCTCTACTGTTTATTCCCGTAGATGCATCTTGCCAGATCGCGTCCTGGGTGGAAGTCAGACGGAATGGGATAGGTGAGCAATCGGAGCCTTTGGGGCCATTGAATGTCTTGTCGAGCGTGGTCATGAGGCGAATAGAGAGCCATAGATGAATTATATGGATTAAATAGAAATGAATGGATGGGTAATGGTAGATGTGTAACATTCGATTGAAGCATGTAGAAAGAAAGGTGAGATGAGGTCCGAGATAGTTACTGTGAAAATATATATCTCTGCCAGATCTGCCAGCCACTGACATCGATCAGTAACCCAACACACTATATTGACGATTAATAACATGAATATCAGGCCTATATCATGATTCCTCATACTCAGCATGCCCCTATCTATTGTTCCATCGTCTATGCCTGATGTGGCAGCTCTTCTGCCAAGATCGCGCAGGATGCCGGGGCAAACCCTTATTGCTAGTCCAAAGCTTGGTCAGAGTGATGGTATCGGTTAAAAACTACGACTGGATGAATTCGAAATCATGTTATTAGACCCCTTCATATCAGATGCAGCCACAAATGTTACGGTCCCGCGATGGAGTTGGTATAGATCTGGTCAACTCAACACCACATCTACTACCGCCCCGAATACTGTGCTCCGTAGAACAAATACAAGGATCTTCAACTTAACATACTTCTCACTTATTAAACTAACAATCTTGCCTCTAAGACATCCCGTCGTCAGACAACGTCCAAGTAGAGCTTCATCTGCTCCATAAAGGCATGTAAACGACCTCAACGCACCGCAGCCACATACCGGAATGCAATCGCCAGCGTCCCCCAATTCAGCCGAATATGCATCGCCATGATGGTCTGATCTTGCAGGCCTCTGATTGACAGGGTCTCAGACTACTATCGACCCATGTCGATCGGCTCCCAGCATGGCAACTCGGGCGACAATCGATATTACAAATGGAATTGAATCCCCTCATCTCTCCACATCTCCGCCTCCCCACGCTCAACTTCATACTCCATACGGAGCGCTCCGGACGTGGGATGCCGGACTCTCGGCCAGAGCTGCCCAGACCGGTCGTGCTTTAATCAAGCGAAATATGCGGCGATCGCGGCCTACAGACGCTCCGTCCATACATTCCGGTGCTGCCTGATGTCATTCCAGCGCGCATCGCACAGTTCAGGCTATTCTCACGGATAAACTTGCCAGTCTATGATAAAAAGAACGAAGACATCTCGTAGAAATAATGGCCTAGGCACTGGTCTCTCTAGTAAAGCGATTATACCACCATGTATCGCTGGTTGGTGGCTCTGGCGGCCTGCGCTGGGCAGCTGGCCCTGGCAAACCCCGTTCACCCGCGAGATACCGACTACTTCAAGCCCAATTCCACAGGCTTTCGCATGCGCCATGGTTTCGAAACGGTCCTGGTGCAGCCCTTTGGGTACGACGGGTTCCGCGTGCGCGCCTGGCCTTTCCGGCCGCCGACGGGGCAGGAGCTCAGCTTCGTGTATGACCCCCCTCTCGAAGGCTTTGAAGATGGTCAAGCGCATGGTATGGACTACGACACGGCTTTCACCGGCAACGAGTCCCTGGCCATTCGCAACGGGAACATGATCGTGCGCACGACCGGCTGGGGTGGCAACCCCGGCGGATATCGACTGGCGTTCTACCGCGTGGAAGAAGATGGTTCCGAGACCCTTCTCACCAACGAGTATGCACCGCTCAAATCCGTGAACCCGCGATACTACTCGTGGAACGGCCCTGGCGCCGAGTTCTCCGCCGAGTTCACCTTCAGCACCACGCCCGACGAGCAGTTCTACGGCACTGGCACGCAGCAGGACCACCTGGTCAACAAGAAAGGCACCGTCATTGACCTGATCAACTTCAACACGCACATCCCCACCCCCGTGTTCATGAGCAACAAGGGCTACGGCTTCGTGTGGAACATGGCGTCCGAGGGCCGCATGGAATTCGGCCAGCTGCGCAACAAATTCACCGCAGCGTCGGCCACCCTGGTCGACTACGTGATTGTCGCTTCGCCCGCAGGCGACTACGACACTCTGCAGCAGCGTCTGTCCGCCCTGACCGGGCGTGCTCCGACACCACCCGACTTCGCTCTTGGCTACATCCAGTCCAAGCTGCGGTACGAGAACCAGACCGAGGTCGAGCTGCTGGCCCAGAACTTCAAAGACCACAACATCCCCGTCGGCATGATCGTCATCGACTACCAGTCGTGGGCAGACCAGGGCGACTGGGCGCTCGACCCGCGCCTCTGGCCAGACGTCGCCGCCATGGCACGCAAAGTAAAAGAGCTCACCGGCGCGGAGATGATGGCATCGCTGTGGCCGAGCGTGTCCGACGACAGCGTCAACTACGAGGCCCTGCAGATGAATGGGTGGCTGACGGCGACGCGCGACGGACCGGGCACCACCGACTCCTGGAACGGCTCGTACATCCGCAACATCGACTCGACGAACCCGGACGCGCGCCGCTTCCTCTGGGACACCCTCAAACGCAACTACTACGACAAGGGCATCCGGAACTTCTGGATCGACCAGGCCGACGGCGGCGCCCTCGGCGAGGCCTACGAGAACAACGGCCAGTCCCTGTACATCCAGTCCATCCCGTACGCGCTGCCGAACGTGCTCTACGCCGCGGGCACGCAGCTCGGCGTCGGGAAGATGTACCCCTGGACGCACCAGATGGCGATCGACGAGGGCTTCCGCAACGCCACGGACTCGAAACCTGGTTCCGCGTGCGAGCACATCTCGCTCAGCCGGTCGGGATACATCGGCTCGCAGCGGTTTTGCAGCATGATCTGGTCCGGTGATATCACCTCCGTCTGGGAGACGCTGGGCCTGCAGGTGGCTAGCGGGCTGTCGGCCGCGGCGACAGGCTGGGGCTGGTGGACCGTCGACGCGGGCGGGTTCCAGCCTGATCCCACGGTGCCGTGGAGCGCGAACATCGACACGCCCGAGTACCGCGAGTTGTACGTGCGCTGGCTGCAGTGGACGACGTTTTTGCCGTTTATGCGGACGCACGGGAGCCGCGAGTGCGACAGCCAAAACGCATACACCTGCAACAACGAGCCGTGGTCGTATGGCGAGGAGAATACGCCCGTCATCGTGTCGTATATCCATCTGCGGTATCAACTTGGTGCGTATCTGCGCGCGATCTTCAAGAAGTTCCATGAGACCGGTCGCAGCATCATGCGGCCGTTGTATATGGATTTCGAGAAGACGGATCCGCGGATTCGGACTATGACCCAGGCGAACACGAACGTCACTACCCAGCAGTACATGTTCGGTCCGCGTTTGCTGGTCTCCCCGGTGACTACGCCCAACACGACCGAGTGGCCAGTGTATCTGCCCCAGACGGGCCAGAATGGCACCAAGCCGTGGACGTACTGGTGGACGAATGAGACGTATGCCGGGGGGCAGACGGTGAAGGTCCCTGCGCCGGTGGAGCATATTCCGGTGTTCCATCTAGGTACGAGAGAGGAGATATTGTCTGGAGATGTTTTTTAATGGCGAGATGGTCATGAGGTTGCGTCGTATACCAGTTATGTGGTGGCGCCTTCTACCTAAGTAATATATGATGAAATGGGCCCCTGGTGAATTTGGCTATTGAAGAGAATTGTATCCAGATAATGGCTTAAATCAATGCTATAATATCGTAAGAATGGCTATTGGCGAATCGTATGGGTTGACAGAACTCGCACATCTCAGGAACATATTCATTATGTCATGTCCACGTCCACGTCCATGTCTATGTCTATCTATTCACATAGAACTTTGCCCCCAGACAGCGAATGTCACGCCTCCTTAATCCCATCAGCCGGAACTAACCTGCTCATCCTGCGCAAGCGACGGCCGAAAAACAGGAAAAGCACCGGAATGGGAATCATCACCACAGCCAGACATCCCAACAGTGTCCCGGCCCATTGAATGCCCAAATTATCAAACATCTGCCTAGTAAACAGCGGAAACACTGATCCCACCATGGACCGCATCATAGTATTCGCTGCAAAGGCCGAGGCAGCACTGACGAGTCAATTTCGTACACAAAGCAATGGTAGGGACGCACTCACAAGCTCAGATACGAGTCGAGCAGATAATTGAATCCCTGCATGAAGATGGAAGTCAACCCAAACCCGACAACCACCCCAGATGCAGTGGGCGCCATCCAGTGGATGGACTTGGTCCATCCCGTCCAGCCGAACCTGAACATGTCAGTATCAAGACACATTCGTGTAGCCGCGTAGTCTTACCAGAAGAGACCGCCAGCAAATGCGATACCACCCACGATACATGGCGGGAGTCGCCATTCAGGCACCGCTATGTTGTTATTCGCCTGCAATTTGCGCGTGTATGACCGCTGCAGACTGAGCACAAAGGCACAGCCGGACATTTCACCGATAATGAGCCCGATGAACGGCAGGCCACTTACACCACCGGACATGCCGTAGGTTCCCTCGAACACCACCGGGTAGGCTTGGAGGAAGGCGTAGGCGATGCCGTAGATGAAGGACTAAAGCCGTTAGTATATACCACCCGTAAGACTGATGGTATAAGATCATACCATGTACAAGGTCAGACAAAATGCAATCGGCTCGGTAAACAGAATCTTGAATGGACGGGCTAAGTTTTTGGTGACGAGTTCTCGGAAATCAATCTCCAGTTCGGCTTGACGCGCGTGAATCCCCCAGTTCCTCGTCTGCCGCCGCAAAATGGCAGCCTTTTGCACGAGAATAGTCGGCGCATAGGTCTCCCGACAGAACAACGCCATGAGAATCAGACTGAAGAACCCCACAAAGGCCGGGATATACAGCGTCCACCGCCAGCCGAGGTAGCTTGCGGCTGTGAAGCCACCGATAAAAGGGGATGTAAACGGACCGGTGAACACCGACATGGTGTAGACGGCGATGGCGATGCCGCGGTGGTGGTTGTTGAAGAGGTCGGACAAACTGGCCGGAACCAGGGCAATAATACTCGCCGCGAAGAATCCCGAGAAGAACCGCGTCAGCATCACAGTCTGCGTGTCCTTGGCGACGGCCGTCGCGATGGTGAAGATATCAAAGCCAAACATGCCGACGAGCAATGGCCATCGCCGGCCGATCAACTCCGACGCCGGCGCCCAGACCGTCGGACCAGCCGAGAACCCCAACACGTACAGAGTCGTCCCGAGCGCTGCAACCTCTCGACCGAAGCCGAATTCTTTCATGGCGCCGTCGCTGGCGGTTGCGAAGACAGCACTGGCATACGCCGTGACCAGTGCGCAGAACGTCAACAGTGCGCCGATCGTAACCCTGAGCCACGATAAGCATAGGATGATGTCTACAGTCCACCATTCCACCTACCGTCTCTTCATCGGCCAGTTCTGCGGATGCATGGGATCGTCCGATCCTTCAAATTCCACAACGTAGTCGTCGGAATGCGGGAGTTCCGGGGGGTACGGCTTGCCGGCGCCCATGGGCAGCCAGTCTTCTCGGGGCGCGCGACTACGAGCCGACCCGACAGTCGCCTGTTGCTGGAGCCGGTATGTGTGGATTCGTTCGAGTTCGATCTTGTCGTGGTGGCCGTCGGTTGGCTGAGCCTCGAGGTGGGAGGCATCACGGTATGATTCCGAGGGCAGATCACGGACCTCACTGCTCGACCACAACTCCGGCTCGGGATCTTGCTTTTCGGGGGGGAAGGGCCTTGCCATCCCGATCCTCTTGGGCCTGAGATGGCCTCTTCGGGGGTGTTTTCCGGGTTGAAGGTCGGACTACAGCGATAAAGGCTTCCGAGGGCCTCGGTCTACTTAAGACTTGGGCCTGGAGTGGATGTGCTCCGGATTTGAAATCCTTTCCAGTTACTTATGCCATGGTGGCAGGCGCTGTAGATCCACAGTCTTATCCACTCTTCTGTTGAGGAGGAGTAGTTAGTTAACTATAATACTCCGGAGTATTTACCTACTCCGTAGAGATACTGGAGCGGGACGATCCATTGCCGTACGGAGTACAGTACCTCTGCAGCCCTGGCGACATTGAATGGTGGGGTTCCGTGTAAATTCTCTGCTTTCTGTGCACAGATGCGCATGGCGAGGCCATTTTTACCTTTTAGTATTATTATCATCTGGTTCCATGGAGGTACGGGGTATTCCGCCATGGAGATGGTATTCGGTCTCTGGCCGAATGGCCCATTCTGACCGCCGGACCGCAATCCCGGATAACCGGCATAGGAAGCTTGTCTCCATGCTGTAAAGGACCTCGGTCCTCAGGGGGCATAGGATAAAAGGAGTGTTTGTGCGTCGACAGTAGTTCGTCCGTGCATTCGGGGTCTACAATGGCTGACAGTAAGACAGCTTTGCGCAAACCACCGCCAGTACATGATACATGACTGCCCTCGGGGGTTTCATCTTGACGATAAGAACATCTGGTTGATTCATGAAGGACGGACGGCTTCCGCGGTGGAGATGGAGATGGAGATGTACGGAGTAGAAATTGCTGGAGCTGACGCCACTCGACCCACGCGGACCCAGTTAGGGCTGGGTTCGATATGGGTTGAGCATAAGTACGAAAGTCAACCATCGCATGCAAGAGATATTGCTTCAACTTCAAATACCATCGTTTGCTCATATCATTGTCTCATTGGAGGGGAATCGACCTTCCGGCTGACATCATGTCGGTGCAAGGGTCCGTTCCCGTATATATGAGCTGGGATCGCAATAATAGAATCAACCCCGTTTCATCCTCCAATATCCATCCTAGTGGCCATGATGAGTGATTCAGACGATCTGGATGTTGCTGCCCTCATAACCGACGACGTCGACATCGATCTGTGTAATAAGTGCCACATCTGCAAATTCAAGATTGAGTCCTGGGATTCTCCGGGATTTTCCCGAGTTCCCCCCGGACACTATGGCGTGAGTGATGCAGATCAACTGGTCGATCTTTACAGTCGCGACAAGGACTTTCGCTGGGGTGTTATGCGGATGAGTCAGTTAAGCACAATAACTACCATATCGTGCGTGATCTTCTAACATGATTCCAGTCGTCTTGGACAAGAGAACGGGTGATTGTCGAATCTCGGGCGTGAGTCTGATACATCAGGATCTCTCTCTCACCGTCCCGCTGGACCAGGACGACGGGATTTTGGATCCCGTGGGAACAGAGGAAGATAATCGAGTGTTCAAGGGCGACTACGTGAGCCCTTGGCGCTAATGCCCATTATCAGCTTTTTCATCCGGCCGACAGATCTACCGCCGTGGCACAGAGATACCTCCTCTTGTCCATATTTGCCGAAGCGATGACAACTGGTGATATTGAAACCTGTACCGAGAAAGGGTAGTATATTGCAGTGCCTCCTGCTACATGATGCAGGCACCTCAGTTCAGAGTACTATCTCCTGCGCTGGCTGCGCAGGAACACGCACCAACGCCCTTTGACTACCTACCAGTTGGAGGTCTATGCAGACGTACTATTGCGATGATCAAGGCGTCACAGGTGTTTATTACTGCTAATCAAGCGTGAGCGGACAAGTTTACCACATCACTGCCCTATCTATGGCCCAAGACTGCGCGACCTATACTTATGTACCCAGTGAGTCACGCCGATTATATCGACCGCAAACCCGTTCCTAGCTATATCTACGCCTATCCCTTCACCTTCTTCAATAACCCAGGCAAGCGGCGAGGTAGTTGTCTCTCCCTCGCAACGCGTAGATATCTTCCAGGCCACTTGCGATTGACAGTAGCTCTATCCGACCACTCTTTTTGGTCTCCTGTACCTAATCACTCATCATACTAGTCAATCCGAATCATCAAAAATCGACCGCGTCCCCAGAAAGGGCGTTTTAACTATGAATAGCTTGCACATTACTCCTATAATCTATTCTCGACAGCGCAAAACAGGAGATGTTTATAATTCATTCTCTCCAGGTATCAATTGGAACGGGTACCCGCTATCCTGGGCAGCCTCTGCACATTGATCCTCCGACCATGGCAGGTGCACGACAGACGTTGCCGGTGACTTAATGGGTCGCAATGGATCCAACAAAGGCTGCCAGTAAGCCTTCTTGTGCTGGCCGGGTGGGAGATAGTACTCCGAACTTAGGTGCACCCGGAGTTCCTGCAACCCGTGCAAGGAGGCGAGGCCATCGCAGACTCTGTGCCAGGTGGTGAGGTCATTGGGTGGATCAGCTGAAGACGCAGGCTCCTTGATGTTCCAGGACAGATTTACCCTGCGAACCTGGTTGAGACGTCGAGGCAAGACCAATTGGCGAAAATACAGGAGGGAGTCGAGATGATTGAAATCAAAGATGTTGGTCTCGTAGAGGACGGCGACAGCCTCTGTGTATATCATTCGACAGGTTTGGAGGAGAGGAAGCAAATTGGCCGCTCTCGCAGGGTGATTGTGCCGCGGCTCGAGATAGAACCCCAGCCAAGATCCGAATGGGGGGCCATCGGGGCAACCCCAACAGCCATGGTGACGGGTCTCCAAATTGGGTCCGAAGCCCTCAACGCATTCGATGGCTAGAAGGGTCTTGGGCGCGCGAACGATATGCAGCAAACGGCGGCCCAGGACCTCCGACCAGATTCGGTGCCGGATTTCCCAGGGTAACCGTGCCAGAGCCGATTGGGATTGATCTAATGTCCTCTGCTGGGGGGCACTTTTGCTGAACATCAACAGATTCCACGGCCGACGCGACTTTGGCGGTGGAGATGGGAGTGGACATGACAAGGCTCGAGGACGAGGGTGAGGTAATGGCCGGGGAGCGAGAGTTACGCGCTCTTTCTGTACCTTTTTGAGATTATATTCATGTCCACATGTTCTTCGGCGCCTCATCTTGTCGACAAGATAGTGATGTTATCCTGTTACTTGTTGACACTGCTGCCTGGTGGGGAGGGTATGGAGGGGGAAAAAGTTGGTACGGGATAACAAAGCATTTAAGAAAGCCCTGCCTGGTCTTTCTTTGTCCGCCTCGGCCCACCTACCATCTTTGCGGCGGCGCAGACCCCCAAGTAACAAGTAAGCAGTTCTTTGAAGGTGGTCTAGCCCTCTTTTTGAAACAGACACAAATGGCGCTGACAAGGAGGATCCCGATCCCAGCATTGGGTCCTCCGCAGGGGATCTGCGGGAACACACTTAGCCGCTAATGCCTTGCTGTCTATGTAGGTAGGTAGGTATGCTTCTATTCCATCCTAAGATATTGGTTCTTTTGCTTTTTACTTTACAACAGGTATCGACATTGGGGTCGTACCTTAGTTACATCAACTATCGACTGTCTCACTGTACCTTTTAGACTCATGCCTGCCAGGTGATCGTTGGTGGTGATTGCCTCACATGATGTCAGACAGAGCTAGGTATCTGGACCTACTATACGGTACTGTACCACTACCAGCCAATGTGGCATCACGCTTCTTGGTCTAGTGGTAGAGTTTCACACTTGGTTGAGTGAAGTTGACACTAGTCGTGATGAAAGAGGACCATCGTGCATCCCCAGCCGAAACCATGATCTCATTCAGGAATCACAGCCCAATGGGCACAGCTACAGCGATGTTGCTACCCCGTAGTCTGCCCCTTATTCCTGCATCTATTTATATCCGATAGAACGATGGACGTGTGTACTGGAGATGTATATATCTCCCCTCCTCTTCTAGGTATCTATGAACTTACCATTTCAGCTTTGCGTGAAGGGGTCAACGGTTTGCCGCAGCACCGGGGACGCGTGTGACAGAGCCTACCACCAGTTTGATGAAGATCGGCTTTACACATCATACGCGGCGTACGTCGCCGGAGTCGACACTATGATCGTCCAGGGTCTGACGTTCGGGAAAGGACGCTGTATTGCTCAATTCGAGTGCGAAGATTACGGAGCTGGTATGACAGGCAAGCAAATCAAGGATGCGTAAGCGGTCTCTTTCTCTTGTTTCATTCTTTCTCTAACTTTGCACTGCGTACAGGATCGAGCATCTCAAAGAAGCGCACTATGCCGGAAAATGTGGGAATGGGACTACGTATCTCTCGAATACGTGCCATATCACCCTGAACTACTGCACTGATTGTGATGTTCGCAATTAGATGGCTGTCTTAGTTGTTCGAGTCTGCTTTAGTCCGTTGAAAAGCGCAGCCGTGGTCACCGCTGGTCTACTTCGTATCGGGCAGGCATCAGGAAGAAGTGGCAGCGGGATCGGGGAGATCTGACCGTGATACTTTCGTTGTGACATCTCTTTTGTACGTGCCTGAATAGGCTCCTTTCGGACGAGTAGAACACACCCGCAGAGCAGGCGCTTGGCCAGCTATTTCGGGTGTATAAATACTCCTACTACTACTGCGTACATAGCATCAAGATGGTATATTTCTATATGTCCTTAATAAACTTTACATTCTTATTTCGATAGTTGTGGTGGCTTTGTCTCTCTTGTCAATAGTTAATACTAAATAGAATCAATACCTATAATTCACTGCCCCTTCCACCCACTCATAGCGCTGCGAGAGCATCATACTGCTCCTGCGTCACAGGCAGCACCGAACCATGTCTCATGAACGTGATATCCGTCGAAGAAACTGGACTGAACGCCCCCGAAACCGGATCGGTAGATTCCCACGCAGCCAAACCAGGATCACTCCCAACTCGGTCACAAAGGAGATATGCCTTGCCCTCTTGAGCATTATCCCAGAAGGGATAGGGCCCCTCAAAGCTGGAACTGTCCTCAACACTGCCACTGGGAGCCGCCCAATCCCCAAAGAGCCCATTCTTGCTTACTTCGACGACAGGGCTTGAGGAGTTGCCATTTACGTAGAAACGCACGAAAGTGTTGTCGTCGACGGGGAGAAAGGCGAGGTCGATTGTCGTGGCGGTCTTCAGATCAATGTAGGTCTCTGGCTTGCTGAAGGTCTTGAAGTCGTTGGTGTATGCGTATCGGAGGATCGTGGTTGTGGTTGGATTTCCACTGTGGTTAGTGTCATCTTCCGCGTACTACATTTCGTCAGTAACATCGTCCAGAACGGTTTAGCGGAATACATACGAACTGCGATGCCCAATGGACGAAATATTGCCCTTTGACTGTTAGTACAACGCACAGTCATGCGAGATATGGCAACTCACCTTTTGATGGATCCCACACCGCATCAGGAGCCCAGACCATGCCGGCGGTTTCGTCCTCCACAGTCACCAATCTCTCGTTGGTCCATGTCACCAGGTCGGTGCTCTCCCAGACGAAGATGCCACGGGAACCAGTTCTCACAGCTTGGCTCCAGTTTGTCTGGACGGTCAGGACAAGGCTTTTCCAGTAGAATGTACGGTAGACTTACAGTGTCGATGTCCAGGTCCGTTCCGATGATATAGTACTTTCCTGCAGCATCTCCGACGCCCTCGATGATGGACACGTCGCGCACCGCTTTTGTGCCCAGCGTCGGCGAGACGATAGGCTTTCCGCTGTTGATCGATTTGAACGCCGTGGGGTTGCTGTTGTCGCTCAATGCGAGATACACGCTCTCATTCGCGGTGGTCCAGTACACACCGAGGTAGCCCACTTTGGTGGAGTCGGCCTTTTTGTACAGAGTGCTGTCCCAGAGTTTTGGCAATGCCAAAGCGTAAGAGGACAAAGCCAGGGTGGCAGCCAGAATGGACAGACCTTTCATGATGGGTGAATTAAAATTGAGGATAGAGTACAGTATAGTATACCCCTGGAGGGAGGGAGGGAGACCCTCCAATTTATGCTTGCTGTAGTTCTTCACAGGCAAGACACTATACGCCTCTCCTGCAGGGGTTGTCAAACATCTTCATCTTGGCACGGGTGGATTTCTACCGAGACTTCCTACGCTATGGAGAAGCTAATACTCTGCTCGGAAGCATAAACATTCGAATTTCCGAGCCTCTTCAACGGTGGTAGCTTTGCGGACGTCATCAAGGGAACAACAGACGCAATGTCTAACCCGAAGAATCGCGCGATCTCCACAATATCAACCGATAGATCTCCGTTCCCCGCATTGAATGTCTCGGAGGACGAGCATTTGCCCGATGAGTGCATCATTGCCTTCTCCTTCAGGAAATATTCCAGCGGCTGCTGCAGATCATCCCGCTTATGGTACATATATTTGGCTTGGCCTATGGCCGGTTCCATCTCCGCCGCACTCTCTTTTGCCTCGTCGACCTCATGTCACCCCGCCAAATCTACAACTGGTATCTCGGCAAGGTGTAGCTTCGCCCCGCCGTACGGAATCAGGTCGATGTCGAACGGATCTCCGAGACAGCTTCTATTTTCGCTCAGAGGAGGGTTCGGCGCATAACCGTCAACGAGGTCCCAGCGAATCTCGCAGACTTTCGCTGTAATGGCTGTCGGTGCTTGATCCGTCCACAGCGGATTGGGGACCTTCGTCGTGTTGATTGGGAGCCCCTTGTACCGCAATGTCGATGGGTCGATGGCGTAGGCCCATGCTGCCGTCGGCAACAGATCATGGTTCAATACATTCGCCGGGGCGTCTGGATAGTTCGAATCGCGGTACGAGGTGAGATTATACGGGATAGGGATGGCATACAGAAGCGCGCCATGGTATATCGATACGGTGTCGTTTGCGCGCGATTCAACCCGGATGTCGGCACCAAATTCCACGCGGACGAAGGACACGTCCCCGTCCAGTGAGATCCGCTGCAGCCCAGTGACGGGGTCGGGCTTGACATTATTGAGCTGGAAGTCGTTGATCCAGAATTTCACCCACCGCGCCCACTGAGGAACACGCACATGAAAGTCAAATGAATTGTCCGCCCTGATCCAATATGATAGCTGTTGTGTGAACGGATACGCGGTGTCGCAGATAACATCCACCTTCAGGCCAGCTCGCGTTGTTGCATTGGCGGAGGTTGGTCCGAGGAGAACATGCGCGATCCCATTCTGGCCAACGCGAGCATACGACGCGGCGACGTATTTCGGGTACCCTTGCGGGTGGTTCACGGTACAGCAGGGATAGTTGGGCTCAAGACCGTACGTCTGGCCGACCTCGTTGACCGTGGAGAACGGAGACTGGTCGAGCTGGTGGGAGATGGGTTGGTTCGTCTGCGCGACGTACTGGTGCGCCCACCAGTCTGGCAGGGTCATCACCGGCAGCGCGTTGTATGCAGCCAACTCGCACCGATCGGCAAAGTGGTTCTCGCCCAGCGCATGATAGATGTAGCTGAGCGAGAACATTGTTTCGACAACCGTGCACAGCTCAACGCCCCGGACCGGACTGAGGCCTACCAGTCTCTCGTCGGCGATGATGGACCCGGATGGGGTGCTGTGATACTGCATCGTCCAGTTGACAGCTCTCCGGGAGGTCTCGGCAAAGGCATCGTCGTGCTTGAAGCGTCGGATCACGGCGCCAAATTTCAGACCCTCGGCGATGTTGACGCCGTGTTCGTAGGGCCAGTTGGCACTGGTGAAATCGTCGGGCAGGGTGTCGAGATCCGCTTTGGGGTAGACTTCGTCGGTGTACCAATGCGACCAGTTCAGGGCCTGGTTGTGGAACAAGGTCATGCAATCGAGTAGCGTTTCTGAGTGATTGCGCGGGTCATGCTCGTACAGCCACTGTAGCGACATGATCATATCAGCTGCACGCGCACGCCCCCATTGGTCGTCGAAGTTTTGGCCGTCGTGCTTGACGTAGCCTTGGTAGTTATCGGAGAGCATGGAATGGGCCAGCTCGACGAAACGGTGGATCGCATCGAGGATGCGAGTCCGTAGGGGCGTGTTGGCCTCTACCTCCGCTAGCTGGGTCAGTCCCAGGAGCATCGGATACCGCGCCCAGAATGCGCGCTCAGTGACATTGGTCTCTGGGCCGAGCCATCCATCGGGTTGTTGATGGGATAGGACGTAGTCGGTAGTGTTTGCCACCTGATCTTTGAGACGCTGGTCGTTGAGGAGGTAGGCAAGAGGCACCAGTCCGTTGTACCAGTAGGGGAGGGCTTCGTGCGCATCGCTGTATTCTTGGTCTCCGCCTACCCAAAGATTATCGCGGACGTAACGATAGAAATCATGCTCATGACCCGGGAGACCGTCGGCCATCAGGCGCAGTTGATCGCGCAGCCAGCCATTTGGGTGGACTACTCCCAGCGGGAGCGGTTCTAATGCATACGGGAGTACTATAGCCAGTTAGATCTGTCAGAGTTTATCCCGAGGAGACCATTCCGACTGACGTGCTTCGGATGCGTCGCGTGTTTCCAGCGAAGGCTGAGCATGGCTCAGGTAATAAGGATTCCAGGAATTTGCGACTGCGAAGAGCGGACTCGAGAGTCCGGCAATAAGAGCTGTGGACTTCATCGGCGATTTGTATGCATGTTAGATGTGTTCTCATATGAGCCTCGGAGATGTTAAACAAGGCTAAAGATAAATTGCATATGGACGTGTCGCACATTAAGTCGGGCGCGTTGGATGGAATGCATCATAACAATAAACACTGCAAGTGGAATGCGAGAAGTACTATGGGACCCGCGATGTCTCGCATCAAGGGATGAAGTCATCCCGAGTCCGATGAAGAGATAAGGCAGACAGGATCCATCGATACGCAACCTGGGGTCTCTGGGGTCGTCCCGAGTCCGTGTATCCAGAGATCTCGAGTAATCTTAGTTCCATCTTCAGCTAAGGGCTGTACATGGCCAGAGCTGCCTCCGATATACGCTGCCACAGATTGATTTCCCGTTCATGAACAGTCAGTAAGAGGACGCAATGCAGTTCCCCCTTAGTAGTTGTCGGCTAGAACCTTCACGTATGGGCCAATGCAGTGATGCAGTTTGTCATTCCGGCTCTGTTTGCTCCAGATGACAGCGGACCGAGTGATGACTGGCGAAAGGGCTTGGAGTTGCTCGGCTCCAGCCAGATGCAATAGCTCCAGAAGGCTGTAATGGACCGAGGGACAAAGGGCTTCTTTCAACGAGTTCCCGCGCCGGAGATCATCGTCGGGGATGCAGGGATGGACGACACACGCGTGATGGCCCTAGAAGATCGCGACAGCCGGAGGTTTTTGGTGTATACTCCGACGTGAAGGCCTTTTGTCATTGGCACGAGTCGACTTGCCTCTTGTCGAGCGCACGGGCATTGGTATGATCCGTTGACAGGAGAGGAACATGTTGTGGAGTCTGCTTTATGTGGGGTGAAGGATCGGGTCTAGTGGTTTCAGCCTCCAACTGAAGGCGACTGAGTGTTGATTCTGGAGGAGAAGTGAGGTGGTGGAAAGTAAGTACTCGTAGGTCGATATAGATCGATGTCCAAAAGAGGAAATATATCATCATACTCCCAACCTCATTGTCCGTAGTGTCAACACGAAACAATTAAGAAAGAAAGACAATGAATCCACTAGGAGTAGTATAGTACGATGCTAAATATACCGGACACACAATAGATGCCACCACCGCCAAGGGTGTACCTGGGGGGTGTATCTACGTTTTCCTCGATAAAGAATTGATCCCCACGAGTCCCCCCCACACGGGACCCGCAGAGCCTCTTTTTCCCTCTTCGGACTTGAACCCTCTCACTTCCGCTTCTTCTTCCCTCTCTCTCCAACCCCGACTTCAACTTCTCCTTCTTCTCCCCATTCCTCCTTTTCCTCCTCTCCCCTCCATCCCACGCTCTCCTCTCCTCTATTCAATACCTTACCTTCTCTCTTTGCTCTCGCCCCTCCTCTTGCGACACTCTCGTCGCTTTGTCTCATCATGGCCTACCAGAATGGCCAACAACCACCTTACGACTATCCCTATGACTACAACAATCCTCCCTCTCTCCGTCGAATGCCCAGCTATAACCTCGGCGATGATGCTGCTCTCTTTGCCCGGACTACAGCCGAGTCCGTCCCTACCTCCACAACCGCGACGACCATGACAACAACAACCACAACGGCTGACCCTCGATATGCACATGTGTCAATGCCCTCCCCGTCCTCGGCCTCACCTCAGGTCTCGCGCGATCGGGCCTTCTCACAATCCAGCTACCAATATAACTACACATCCGCCGCCCCAACCTATCGACCGCAGCAATATGTCTCTCCCACCTCCCCGTCACAGCCGTCCTTTGGCTATAATCCCCTGGCGTATTCGACGCTGAACACCGCTCAACATCAGCCCTATAACCCCGCTGCGTACCAACCCACCAGTGTCACTTCTCCCGTCACTTCCTACGCCGTGCCTCATCCCTCGTTGCCTCCGCCGCCCCCACCGTTACCCCCTCGAGGGCCCGATCACCCCTACGGCGCGCGTCAATCGGTCGCTTACGGTTCCTCCTCGTACGCCCCCATGTCCCCGACTGCCACATACACATCCCCCACACTGCATCATCGCGCGTCGTTTTCCATGTCGGCCGCATACCCATCGAGCGCATCATATGCGCCCGCGTTGTCGTCGGAAGCGATTCTCGATCAACCTCCGGCGCCCCCCGCACATGCGTCCCTCGGCGAGGACCCTTATGCCAAGCACCAGTCGCCCGTGCCCCCCATGCATCAATCACAGCCACAGCGGTCGCCGCGAAGAACGGATACGCTCACTCGACACCCTCAGTCTCGTCCCCTTCCTGGCCCACCAGTCCACGCCGAGGACGATGCTGGCGTCGCCGCTCCCGCCAATGGTGCCATCGCGGGGTTCCCGACTCCAGAACCGCTGGGATACGAGGATCTCATCAAGGAGGTTGATGCCGCCGTCATGGACACCCGGCTCTCCGGTACCTCCTTCCGGAGTCATCTCCACCCCTTACATGTCGACACCGCGGAACCATCCCCGGAGGGCCCCGATATTGGTGCGTCCATGCGCTTGTCGCCGGATGAACGACATACCCATACAAATGGCAGTATTGCGACGGGGATGGGTCAATATGTGAACTACGACGCCTACAGTGATGACAGCGAGGCCGAAGCCGCGGCCGGCCTGGCTATGTTGCAGATGGCCGATGAAGAGGACAGGGCCCAGGCCGAACGGCTGCAGGAGCGCTCGCGTCGGGACACCAACACCTCCCGCAGTGCCTATGGTTCCTACGCATCCGCCCACACCCCCTCACCGCACCGCGACAACCCTCCCGAGGAGACCGCCCCCTATGGTTCCAATTATCGCCCACGGTACTCGTCCTACGACGATACAGAGTACGATGACCAGGCCGGCTCCGACCACGGACGACTCGCTCCGACGTCCGGTTCAATGAGAAGCTCCAACGTGTCCGCCGACGACCGCGGAGACTACTCTGACGACTACGACTATCCCCCCTTCTCCACGGATCCAGGCTACCCATTCCAGGATTTTACACCTCATGCACGGGTGGATGCAGGGGGCACTGGAGGCTTGGCCGAGCCCGGAGCTTATGCACGTCGCATGAGTTTCGACTACGGTGAGGAGGAGGCCGAAGAATCCCCTTCCCATCTCCATTCTTCCTCACCCAATTCGGACAGTGAAGGTTTCGAGGACGGCGCAGAACCTGGGGATCTCTTCTTCCATCCTGGCATGCGACCCCTACCGCCCGCCCCAGTGGAACCGGCCAATGCGAACCTCATTTCTCATCTGATGCCGGCGGGGACCTACCGCCACCAGGATCAGGCGGACTGGCAAAGTTCCAACCAGTATACACCCTCTTACTTCTCCGTTGCTGCTGACTCGTCCTCGCCGACCGTGTCCAGCCCCTCGCAAGTGCCACGGTCGACGTCGTTGTCGAGTCATCCCATTGGACCTCGCGCTGACCCACCCATCAGGTCCAAGACCGACGCGGATCGGGCCAAGTACAAACAGCAACAGCAGGAGCTGCTGCGTCAGCAGGACTATGGCTCCGCTGTCGCTGAGACCTCCCCCCAGGCGGACATGACCCTCGACCTGCCTACCATCCCCGCCGGCCGTCGCAAGAAGTTCAATCCGGCTAAGCTCTCCTCCGAGCACTTCCGTCGCTGTGCAGAACCCTGGGCTCTGAGCGCCATTCTGGCCTGGATCCGCGAGCTGAGCGAGGAGGAGACCGACCTCAAGGAGCATGCCGTCGTCGACGCCATCGTCGCCTTGTTTACCCACAAAGTACCGACCATGAATATTGCCGACGCCGAGACCCTCGCCGCCCGCGTCGTCGGGAACATGATGGAGGAAGGGGCTCTCGTCCAAGACGAGGAATGGGTCAAGTTTGGCTCCGGAACACTGTCCGGGGTTCTGTTCCAGATCACTGGTACGGGGTGCTACTCATCGCGTCTGCATGAGCAGGAAAGCGAGGTGTTTGGTCGTTGCTACTCCCACCACTGCATGCGTACCCTCAAGAAGGTCAACCTGAAGGCCCAGATGATGGAACCGCAGAAGAAGGCAGAGGACTGGTTGACCTTCTACAGGGTCCCCAAGGAGCTCTTAGAGTCGCATCCCAAGAAGGAAATCGACCGTCAGAACAACTTGCACGAAATCGTCACCACAGAAGATACCTTCATCTCGCAGCTGGATGTCCTCCGGGAGCTTTACCGGGATCGATTAGCAGCCATGCAGCCGTCAATCATCAACCCCAAGCGGTTGAACAAATTCCTACACGATGTGTTCGGGAAGGTTGATTCCGTCAAGAAGGTAAACGAGGACCATCTCCTCGCCCAACTCAAGTATCGGCAGAAAGAGCAGGGCCCCTTTATCGCCGGCTTCAGTGACATCTTCCGAGAGTGGATCCGGAAAGCCAAGACCGTATACATCGACTATGCCGCGACTTTCCCCTACGCCAACTATCTTGTCCGCAAGGAATCCGAGCGAAACATTCATTTCCGCCAGTTTCTCAACAGCGTGCGCGAGCACAAGCAGTCGAAACGTCTTAGCTGGGACACCTATCTGAAATCCCCCATCACCCGAATCCAGCGTTACACCCTTCTCCTATCCACCGTCCATAAGAATATGGTCAAGGACAATGAAGAGAAGGCAAACCTGGCACAGGCGATTGAGGAGATCAAGTTGGTCGCGCTGGAGTGTGACAACAAGGTCGGGGAGATGAGCAAAAAGGTTGATCTCGTAGAGTTGTCTTCCAAGCTTCAACTTCGTCCCGAAATGAAGAAGGCAGTTGAACTGAACTTGGAGCACCTTGGACGCGAGATCATCTACCGTGGAGACCTCCAGCGACCCGGGACTCGGACTCGATTCCTCGTCGACACTCACGCGATTCTCTTCGACCATTATCTGGTCCTGGCGAAAACGTTCACTGCGCGGGATCCGTCCCGAACTGTGAAGTACGAAGGTTATGATGTCTCGAAGCTTCCCATACCCATGGATCTGCTAGTTCTTGAGAGTACCGACGATGACCCCGTGGTCAAGTCGACAGTTCGTGGTGTTGTAACCACGGCACCTCAGCCACAGGCAGCTGCGCGCGGCGGAGGGCCCTTAAATAATGCCAACGGTGGTAATTTTGCCAACAACGGCAACCTCGCCGGAAAGACCTTGGTCCCGACCACCGTCCTGGACTCCGGCAATGACAAAGTCCTATACCCTTTCAAGATCAAACACCTCGGCCCGGATGACACTTACACGCTGTATGCATTCTCGGCTCAAAGCCGGAGGGATTGGTGTGAGAAGATCATCGAAGCAAAAACAAAACACGCGAACGCTCTCTTCGCTCAGAACGCCGAACCGTTCAGGCTGCGGGTGCTCGCAGACACCGCCTTTGCGAACTCGGAGCACTCGCCGTCCAAGAGCGTCATCATCAAGGGCACGCCCCTCGACCGTGCGATCAAAGAAGTGGAACAGAGATTCCCCGTTGCCAAATCCCGGCCGCTCCCCATCTGTCGCAGTGATGTCCATTGTGCCACCGTTTTCCAGCAGCCTGCGGGCCGGCTGATGTGTGCAATTGGCACTGACAATGGAGTCTACATCTCCGAGTACAACAATCCCCGTGGTTGGGCCAGGGTATGCTTTCATATTATCCCTCCTTGTACTTTGCAGGCCACCGATTCTAATGATATTATAGAGCATCACTATTGCACGAGTAACGCAAATTGCCGTCCTTGAGGAGTTCAACTTGTTCATTCTCATTGCCGACAAGTCCCTTATTGCTTACCATTTGGATGTTGTCTGTCCTGTAAGTGGTGTGACGTCGCCAGCATCGAACGACTCTGCACGCCGGGCGCCGCAGAAGCTGTCGGGGGCTCGAGAGGTCGGCTTTTTTGCTGCTGGACAGATGAAAGACCGCACCTTGGTGATGTACAAAAAGCGGGATGGTCTGTCCTCGACATTCAAGGTGCGCCCCAGATCCCGTTCCCATATCTGTTCTGATGGCTAACATTTCATGCAGGTGTTGGAACCAGTTCTGCAGAAATCAGCAACTAGTAGAAGTAAATTTTTCTCGCGACGATCGCAGACTGAGTTCTTCCGTGAATACGACGAGTTCTACATTCCCGCCGAGAGCTACGGCATCAACATGTTCCACTCATCCCTGGCAATCTCCACACAGCGTGGCATCGAAATTCTCACCCTCGACAAGAAACAGTCATGGTCGGTGCCGGATTTCCGTTCGGAGACGGCCCCAGAGGCGCAAGCCCGTCTGAGCAGCATCTCCAACCGTATCAGTGCCCTCAAACCCTTGGGCATGTTCCGTCTGAGCGACAGCGAGTTCCTGGTTGTCTATACCGAATGTGCCGTGTACGTGAACAAGCATGGCGATGTCTCGCGCAGCGTGGTCATGGAGTTTGTAGGCCATGCGCACTCCGCCTGCCTGTACGGCAGGTTCCTCATCCTATTCAATGAGGACTTTGTGGAGGTGCGCAACGCGATGAACGGTCGTCTGCGGCAGGTCATTCCAGGCCACAACGTGACGTGCCTCGACGACGGAAGCAGCATGCCTGGCTCTGGGGCGAATAGTGTGTCTACCTCTGCTGGTGGCGCTGTGAACTTGTCCAGCGGCCTTTCGAATGGAGCTGCCCTCGCCAACACAGGCCATACCGTCAAGCTCTCCATGCAGCATCCCCAATACGAGCGAAGTCAGATCATTCTTGAACTCATTGAGAATGAGGGACAGAAGGACTGATTGATTCTTGCACTGCAGTAGGAGATTACGGAAGATTATTGATTGCTTTTCCTTAACTTTGTTCGTTTCCTTTTTGTCATTTGTGACGCCATTTATACCCCTTTGGAGTTTTTATATGATGATTCGCATTTCAAGCCTATAGACCCATGCGATGGACATGATCGGTGCGTATTGGACGTCTTTTGTACATAAGCAAACTTAACGCAAGATGCAATGTTGTATCTCTCTATTGATGAACTGGTTATATATGGTTTATGACATGCCAGGTCAAACCACAAGAACAAGAATCGACCAAAACGCCAATGGGGTCTCATCGTAGTACTCAAGCTAGAGTTGAATAATGGCAAAAACAGAATAGTACAGACACATGCTCCTTCACACGGAAAGGGGAGGGGAACGCAGGCCGGACAGCACGGAATAATGTAACAAAATATGGTTGCTGTATGAGATATGCACAGACCGAGTCCGCCCTATGCATCTCACGAGTCGAATTCGACCACCTTGCTGACGACGCTATCTTCCTGTTCATGTTTGCTGGACTCCTGACCAGCGGAGGAATGACTCTCGGACGCGCCAGTTGGTTGTCCATCCTTCCCATCAAGGAGAGACGCGTCATCTTTACCGCGCATGCTGACGACCTCAGCACCCTCCAGGAGATCACGGTCAGTCTCACGGACGCTTCTGCGTTCTGGGTCGGCACCATACGCGCCAGCGCCCCAGCTGGAGAGACCACCCACGATTGCAGGAGTGGCAGGACCACCGGTGTGCGGATCATAGTCCTCGTCTTCGTCCTCATCGTCTTCATCGCGACTGAGGGCATTGCGTTCCAGTTCACGCTGGGCCTCGTCCATCCGCTTCTTGACCTCAGCGGCCATGCGAATACCATCGGTGACGATGTTGTCGAGGACACCGCGGAGACCCTTACCCGGGGGAACGATACCGCCTGAAGCTCCGGCGGGGGACACGCTCGACACCGAGCCCATATGGGGCTTCGGGACGTTAATGTTTGAGAAGGTGGTAAGGTTCGAGGACAACGATGAGACCATTGAGGCCGGGTGAGAGAGATCGGAGAGATGGAAAGACTGGGGGAAGAAGCTGTCAAAGAACTGTTCCAGCAACTCGTCCGCCAGGATGACCATGCGGAATGTAGGAAGTGTGATATGAAGAGGGTTATTGGGATCGAGGGCGGGGTTTGCAGATTCAGAAACACTTCGATGATGGTCAGCGTGAGAGTCGGTGCTGGTGTCTGGTTCCTCGGAGGACTTCGAGTCGGCCTTGGACGCTTCGGGCTTGCTTTCCGCATCACCGACATCAATCAAGTCCTCCTCCTCGTCACCAATGGTGAAGGAGCCCAACTTGTCGGCTGCTTCGCTAGTGTCCTTTTCGGCGGCGTGAGATTCGGGATGACTAGGGTCGGCGTACTCGAAACATCTACGGATGAACGAGCTCACACTGCCCAAGAACCTCTCGTCTGTGCTCAGTTTGTCCTGGTCCATCTGCCCCGGCGCAGTCCGACTGAAGTCTTCCGTGGACTGAGTGGGCGTAATTGTGCCTTCAAAACCGCGACGAGAGAGGAACAGCAGAGCCTCAGACATCCTCAAGATCCCCTCTCTATCCACTTTGCCGGCTCCACTGTCATCGTACAGGTCGAAGAAGTACTGAATGTTATTCATGATATCACGGGGTCCTTTGAGGCGAGCGAGACCATTAACAACATTTTGCAAGCTCAGCCCTTCCGCTGGGTCAGTGGCCCATTTGCGGAACAGGCGCTGCATGAACTCGTGGTCTGCCGGTTCAGGCCTGCTCGGAGGGGACTTGCCATATCCCCTCCAGCTGTTTGAATCAGCGGATTCTTTCCTGGAGGGACTGGGAGAGTCGCCAATAGCCCATTTGGCCGTTGCAGCCAGGAAGTCGCGGAAAGCATCGTAGTCCATATGCGTCGGGCTTGGTCCGAGTCCAACACGTCCGACTTCGCGATCCGCTGGAGGACCAAGCACCGACGCGCGCTCCATCCTCTTCTTCTCCCGGCGCTTCTTTTCTGCTTCCAAGAGTTTCTGTTTCTGTTGGTGTTCATAGAGGATCTCATAGAAGCGGTCGTAAATGATGCCTAGATCATCCATACTGAGCTTTTTGCTGTCTGGACCCAGATTTCTGATGGAAGTCCGTTTGGCGAAGCTCTCGATATTTTCCAGTACGGCGTCCTTGTGTTTAGCACGCTGATCGACAATGGTTTGGTGGGTGATGCCAGCAAATTCCTTGAAAGCTACCACCATCAGCTCTTGGAAGCGGGTGATCGCCCTCAGTTTGGGGTTTTCGGATCTGGGGTGGGCGGACTCGTCGAGGCGGGAGAAGTAGGATTTGAGGATGGAGATGAAGGAGCCATCGTCTTGGATATCTAGCAGCTCTTCGCCGTTGATGCGGAGGATTGCCAGGCCGACCTGGAAAAGAACCTTGGGTCCCTCCAAGAAGAAGACGTCCAAAACTCTGAACGCAAAAACGAGGGGCATCGAATTGATATACAGGGAGAGGAACCACGGGAGCGACACCACAGACAGTTGGACATCGGACTTGGTGAGGTGCTCCCAGAGTACGGGCATAGTCTTCTCAACTAACGATTCAAAGACTTTCTGATCCAGCAACGTTCCGTACATGGTTGTCGAATAGTATCCCGGGAGAAGACGGTCACAGAGAACAGATAGGAGGAAGAAGGCTTGGGGTTCAGACATGTAACTAGAACCTGATAGTTAGTGCTTGCTCGGACTCGTGACTGGGGGAGGAACATGCATCAACAGAGCGGCAACGACAATATTCATAGCCTGACAGTACCCAATCTCCGCGTTGGTCCAGCTATAGGCCGTGAGGACCCTTCGTAACCGCCCAATTCCCTCTTCACTTTGGAATCCCGCATATTCAGGTAAACTTCGATTCAAATCCTTTTCGATCTCATCAATGGCCAACGATTCCTGACCGGAAAACTTGGACAGGGTTTCCGTATAGAGGTTTGGGGATCGAAGGCGCAGATACAGTGACCCAGAGGAAATTTCCCAGATCTCCCCGCGAAGGCGATTCGGGAGACCAACTCGAATTAGTTTATGGAAAGTTGGTTGGCGGATGAGGGTGGCATTGCGGCCATTCTCTACAGGGACAGAAATTTAATACGCGATCAACGGGGGATGGAAGTTGGAATCGACCACAGTGTCCGTACCTCTGAAGTATTCTCCCCACAGCCTCATTTTACTGCGATCCCGTAGTTTGCGGGCGTCGCCGGGATAGCGAAAGATCATACCCAAGCCAGCATCCGGGGGTTGACGAACCTCCGCATTGTCCGCATTCTGGCCTTTGGATTTGGCGCCCGAGAGCAAGTATTCCGAATAGCAGTCATTGACAACCACGCGCAGGTTCTCGATTTCCTTCATGCCTTCCCGCAGACCTTTCTTCAGACCATCACAAAACCGTTCGCAGGCCTGCCTGCTCCCGACCAGCTGGATGGTGAATCGCTGCGGGACAAAGCTCCCGGCTTGTTGTTTTCCTAGAGCGCCGTTCCATGTCGTCAATGCGAGAGAGAAGACATGGCTGAGGCTGTTCAGCCTCTCGACGCGTCGGATCGAACACAACGGGATGGTGAAGCCATTGCCCGATGGACCGGTTCCATTAGTTTGACCGGCCCAGTGGGTTGAGGCTCCGTGGGAGGACGACGGAACAAAACTGGTGGGTTGTGTCGAGAAACAGAGAAAGCGCTCGCTCAGATGAAGCCGACCGGCATACCGGTTGCCGGCGCGATCAAGGTTCCGCGGGTGGTCGCTGTGAGCGGTTGAGGTGGAGGTGTGAGGGATAGGAAGAATCAATTCAGCAGTGATCTCTTGCAGTGGGTTCTGAGAATCGGGGAGACGGAATTGCTCGCGAAATAGGGAGGCCTTGGACGGGTTCCGATCGGAGGAGCTCAGGGCCGGGAGGTTGAAGTTGGCCGGGTCGATGAAGGACTGAGCTTTCTGCACGAAGGACGACCACTGCATCATGGTGCCGGTGAGATAGGATGAGGGCCTTCAGGCGGAGCAGCTGGACAAACGAAGAGTCGATCCCACCGGTCCTCGTGGTGACGATAAGGACTGATGTGACAGGTAGGGAGCACCTAGTATGTAGGCACCAGCTATCTAGGGAAGCTCCCGGCGGGAAGGAAGACAGAACCAAGGGATTCGCTGATCCAAGACACTCAGATCATTGTAGAATAGGAGCAAACGACAGCATCCTTAGCGGAAGCTGTGGGAAGGTAGGGTGAAGCACCGAAGTGACCAACAATCGGAGGTGTGTACGGAGCGAAGGAGAGGGAGGTAATCCGCATGCATGAGAGGAAGAGAGGGGGAGGCTCGATTGGGAGGAGCCGCTTAGTCAAGTCACGTGAGTCACCATCAACAAGTACAATACATAACTACTACGACTTTCGATAGTCTTAAGGAACTTCATTTGTACGAAACCGGGAAAAGTACACAAAGGAGAATACGAGACCAACACAACAGTATGGAAACCAGCTCCACCCATGCATTCCTTGATTCAATCAGTCTCCCAGTCCTAGCGAATCCCACCGATCGATCGAGATGTATTCATAACTCCATTAGACACGCCATATATCGAAGCAAACTCCGCTAGTTCTTATCTGCGGGGAGCTCCTCGATGTGGAACTCGTCGTCATTGTACGCAGGAGGCAGATCCTCCGCATCGTCCGCGATCAAAGCCTCCTTCTCCGAGTCATCGCCACGCTCGACCGACTCCTGACGGTCAGATCGACGGTAGCGTTGCCAGAGATAGACGAGCGTCTGACCAACCAGCATGCCCAGAGCGCTGGCAGTCAAGCCAGCAGACACCCCCAGGATGGCCGGAACAACAATGAAGCGGACCATGCGGGCAAAAGTGTGTCTCCACTTGGCGTGGTGGAAATGGTGCATGTTGTGGTGGTGATGATGAGGATGGCCAGGGCCCATCGACCATGCGGTCCATATCTTCAGGTGACATCCGATCCGGAGCGAAACCGTCCGGGTGAGGGGGGTGGTGCGGACGGCCGCCACAGCCCGATGGCTTGCGGCCCAGTCCGAGCATGCGTGCTTTGGCGGCGGCGAATAGGGCGCGCATACGGTCGAACAACAGTCTCCGCAAGCAGCGAGGCTTTCCACGACACTGCTTCCACGAGATGCGATCCGGGGTGGTCTCCTCGATATAGGTCTTGGCCATGTAAAGGTTGCCGTTCATGTCATGGATGAGGCTGATGGCGACAGTATCGAGGGGGACGGGATGGCCATCGAGGTCAAGGACAGTGAAGCGAACATCAACCATATCCAAGGGTTCTTCCGGCGGGGATGGCAAGGGGGTCATTTCGACGGCATATCCCAATGGAATAGGCTCCGACTCTTCGCCATCGGTCAGGCGACGCTGCTTCGCGGTGATAAGAGTAGGAGGGGGCGGCGGGAAGATCTGATGGCCGTTTGCCAACAGGAAGCCGTTGTCGATGGAGAAGTTCAACAACTGTCGGTTTTGTTAGCCAAACCACATTCATAGTGCTGGAACTCGTTGCTCCAGGTCGGAAAACTATACCAAGGACGTCTGATAACCGTCGGTCCAGTGGACCTTTCCATGGCGACCGACTTCGCGGAAGGGACACTCTGAACATAGAAGATCGACGTTCTGCCGCTGGGAAACGTGGGCGTCGAAGGGCTGCAGGTCGGAGAAGGCGCCTTCATCCGGGGTGGCGATGGCATCTACCTCCACGTCTGGGACCACCAAGAAGGCCTTGGCGCCCAGAGCGACCACGCTCCCCAGAAGAAACGAGCGAAGGTTCATGATGAACAATGGGGAGGGGCGAAGAGATGGAGATTTTAGCAAGAGACCATACACAGAGGTCTGGGATAGCGTATGATGATGATGGAGAGATGGCAAGGGATGCGAAGTTGAGAGATGAGATGGCGTGAAGATGATGAAAGAAGAATGATGGGGGGCGCGAAGGGAGAACGAAAGAGAATCTCCCGCGGCTGCCTGGGCCAGACCGCGTGGTTTCCGCCTGCTGATTGGCCCCCGGAGTCCGCGGATGATGAAAGAGTGGTCGCACCTTGCCATAAGCGGCTTAGCGTATGATGCTTGGTCATGTGATCATAAGGCTTATTTATAGATCGGCCACTAACCATTTCAGGTAATATGATACCAACAGTATCCCTTTGTCTGGCAAAACGCGCGATAGTTCTAAATCTCTGGCTATACTCTTCAGGGTTTATCACAGGAGCACTTGGCCGTGCCAGCCCAAGAACATGCCCGTTTGTTCCATGCTCACCCCCTCCAACACTTACACCATGCCAGCAATGCATTCATCCATGTCGTCCTTGAAGCGGTAGTTGGTCAGCTTCGTGGCAACATAACCGGGATTGAAGGCTACGACAGTAATATTGTCACCGTCCATGGTAATTTCCTTTGCCAGGGTGACAGTCAGGATCCATGAAGACCATGGTTTGGGCAAGGCTCAAAGCCTGGCAGGTGAATTTCTCCAAGCGCCAGACGGAAGCCACTGTGAACTTGTACTGTTCTCTCAGGGGAAGACCTTCAACTTAACTAAGTTCGTTCAGAACGGTATCCGAATAACGACTAAGGTATTCGCCTATAGTCATATCACGTCGGCTGATTTGAGTGGCGATTTGAGTGAGAGCTAAAGGGAAGTTCCCCAAATTTTTGGCCAGCTCGAGAGCGGCGCGGTCGGAGGCCTGGCTCGGGGCCTCTTGCACCTGCTTCTGAAGAAGTAACGCACATCCATGGTTGGACATGGGCAACATATCAACTCCATTCGCCGCAAGGTCTGACTTGGCCGTTGGATCGCGCGATGTTACAAGGATAGACCCCTGTGCAGACACTGGCCAGTAATTGCTCACGAGTCCGATGTTATCGGCGTTGTCAAATATGATGAGCCATTTCGCAAGTTCTGCCGGAGAAGAGGAACTGTTGGCCATGGCCGGTGGTTGCAGCCGGGGTCTGGAAAGCCACTCAAGGACTCTGTCCCGGCTCACGACCTTGCCCCTTGGTCACTTTCGTCGACAAGGCCGAGCGCATGAGCAATATCATCGAAGGCTTTTGCAATCTTGGTCTCTTCGTCGGCTTGGATCCAGAATATAGCGTGGAACTGATCCTCTCGCTTAAATGCATAGTCCATTGCGATTTGGGTTTTCCCAATGCCCCCATAACCACAAAGCGAGAATGAGCGAAGGCCAGGCGAGTCTCTCTTCTCGGGTATCAAAAAGCTGTCAATCATCTCAGTGACAGTTGGTCTTTCGACAAAGTTGGGGTTTTTTTCGATCTTCCTGATGTAGCAAGGCATACGGGGAATGCTCTTCTCCGCCATGAGGACCGAGTAGCTCGACGATAAAAGGGATCCCCCAGAAGCATTCGAAGAGCCAGACGGAGTCAATTCCGGTGCTGGTTGTACGGGTAAGCTTTGTGCTCAATCAAACCACTGAATGGTGTTATGCAGGCAAAGGGCTTACGATTCATGTTATCGGATGAGTCAACATTTGACTCAGTGCTGGTCTGCATATTTCCAAGATCCGCAAGTTGGGGATGGGGATTCAAAGAAGACGTAGGATTCAACGGTACTCGTCGGAGCTTCAATTACACAGATGGGTCAGTAGCTTCGGGACCAGTACAGTGAAGTCCCGTGCAAGGTGTCAGATGATGCCCTTCCGCGGTACAGCCTCTAAAAGAAGGACTGGGAAGACAGAGGTGCGGAGGAAGACAAAGGAGTTACCAGAGGAGCGTGGAAATATGCCAGCAGCAGCCATTCAGCCACATGTTCAACCTAATAATGCCTGAAAAGGAAACAGGACCTGATCATTTAGAGCGTCGAGCACATACATATAGTATAATATTTGTTGCGGCATCGCCGAATTCTTCTACAGACATGTAGTTGTGCAAGTAAAACTATTTGGCTATTTGGCAATGCAACACTAGATTCCTTGATTCCTTGATTCCTTGATTATTTGGTTCCTTTGTTCACTCTTTTCCGCTGTGAAAAGGGATAGGGCGCCAATAGACAGTGCGTTCATCCCAGTCTCTAGGGTGGGATGGATCAATGGTGCGCTGAAAGGCGAATGTCCAATTGGAATCTTGTCAAGAAGCTTTCCCTCCTTCTGTACGTGGTCGAGAGATCTATCACGTAGGATGCCTCTATAGCTCGGGCCAGAAGAGAAAAGTCCTCGCAGGGATGGCTGGGCACGTCGTGGAAGACTTTCTCTCCCCCGAAGAAATTTTGAAACCCCGTTCGGACGATTTTGGCCATTTCCTCGTTGTTGCTGCTCAGCGGTGCTCGGACCGAGGACCATATCTCAGGTTTCTTCGCAGCACCCGAAGCAGTTGCTTCATCCTGGATGATGCCATTGATGCCATCAAGGAGCTGATCTCAAATGTGAGGGCTATACGCTTTGATATCCAAGACTATATCCAGGTCCTGTCTATCGCGCGTTTTGCCAGACGAGGGGATACAACATCATATCTATCCCTGCGCCACCCTATCCAACAGGGACATGTATACCATCTGATAGTCAACGATCTCTGGAAATCGAAAGTCGGAGATCTGATCGTCACGAAGTTTATGCAGAACACCATGAGGCACCTCGTTTGCATCCATCCATCCGGCGTCGGGCGGGTCCTGTCCACGATAGAGCCACATATATATCATGACAAGAATACTCACCAAAATAATCCAACAGTCGATACCGATTTTCGGTCGGCGGGGGGAAACTCGCTCTGGTGGAACGAAAGATCCAGGGACAGAATTATCAGGCATAAGGGGGCCCATCACTGGTTGTCCTCTCGGGATAGGCTGTCCGTCCACCCGAGTCGAAAGAGCCTCACGAATCGGACTGATTCTATCTGGGAGAGGAGAATGGACGTTCGGATATGGCGGCAGATCCAGAATAATTGGTCGCTTTTTCTCTTGCCCTGGTGGTGGAACCGGCTTCGACCGCCATGTCCATCCATGCCAGCTTGGTACACGCCAGTGTGAGAGATACACGGGACCATTGGAGAACAGGGCAAATGATTTAGATGACCGGGTTCCTGGTGGTAGAGTCACTGGGTCAGCAGGACCATTCTTGTCTTCAGTTTGGACGTCGTGTGGTACCTGAACTTCGGCCTGTACACCAATTGACCTGGAAGTTTGCGATAATGCTGGTGCAGGTGGGGAGGAAGCCTTGTCAATGACTGCCACCGCATTGTCTATTATCTTCAGCGAAGCCATATGGCGCACCAGAGTTTCATCAAGCATGGAAAATTGGGAACACCAACATTCACTGGTAGTTTGTCCTTTGTCCGTCTTGTCACCCAATGGACAGTCACGTTGGCGTTTTGACAACGGCTCCTTGTCTTCATTGTCGGAGTCAATATCGAACGTCGGGCTCTCTCGGAAAGCTGTCCATGCCTTCGAAGGTGGTGATCGCCGGATCAGAGGCCCCGTGATTGCGGTGTCGCTGCCTACGTTAACCATATCTTGGTCGGGGTTAGTATCTACACCCACATCCATTTCCTCGAGGTATGATTGCTCGGGTTCTGTATCGATCGTCATGATAGTCGGGGTTGAATCTCGTCTCGTGAGGCAATGCATGCGAGAATTTCTATCGCACATAGAGTAGTCCATCTCGGGTTCGTGCGTATAGACCTCCAACTCTGGCGAGGTGTTCTGACAAACATCAACGCTCATCTCGTCATGCGTGTACCCAATCGCCAATGCACTTGACTGACCCGAACCAGGTACTGGCTGTGAAGGCAATTGTTTATAATCGTAATAAGTCGCCTCGACGGTACTTCCCAATTCCCAGGCCTTGGCGATAACCTGCTTCAAGAACTCGTTCTCAGCCGCCAGCATCGGAAGCATCTCCTCGATTGCATCTTCCAATTGTGCGCGCTTGTAGTTTCGAAGAGCCAATGACTGCGTGGGGGTTAGTGTCGCAGTAGTCGCGTCGTGTAGCTCTTTGGAAAGATAGTTAATCTCATCTTCCTTTTCATCAAGCTCGACTCGCAGCTCCCTCACCTGTTTTCTCGTCTGTTCCAAGACTTGGTAGAGTTTTCGTTGTATCGGAGACTCATCTTCAACGGCGGGATGAGTCCCGTGCGCTTCGACGCGCTCCTCGGCCCTGCGCAGAGCAGTCTGAGTGCTTTTTAATAATTCTTCCTGGCCTCGGATCTTGTCCTGATGGCTCGTGGTCCACTCCCACATCTCCTCCAGCTTATCACGAAGTGTCTTGTTCTCATGGTGAAGTCGGATGACCGCCCGCTCTCTCTCGTTCAGCTGGTCGGTCCGTTCCTCGAGTGCCTTCTCGAACCAGTTGCATCGGTTAGTCAACTGGGCTCGCTCCTCGGCGATGAGGGCGTTGACCTCTGCCTCGATATATGACTCGGGGGGCGTTTCAAAGGTAGGCATAGTGAAGGTTAGTTAGAGTGAACGGGATAGTATCGATAGAGTTGATCGACGTAGAATACCGAGTGAAGTGGAAGAAGCAGAGAGACAGCAATATATATCCGGGAGGACCCCATTGTTTGACGAGTTTCTTTATTGAAACTGGATGTCTCCGTATGATCGAGGTAATCGTGGGATATTCCAATCCCTGTACAACTACCTGTATTGGACCTTCAAAGAAGATAGACAAACAATGACATTATGCAGGGATTTGTTTCTTTGTCCGCCCCAATGTAGCTGACCAGGTATACCACAATGCTTTGTTTACTCTTTGTTTGCGTTATGCGATCGTTTATCAATAATGGACCAAAGAAAAAGAATTTGTGAACTTGCACAGCATCTATCTATACACATGAAACTCAATGCAATTGTTCAAAGCTTGGACTGCTTCTGCCCCTTGACATGCTGGACAGCTTCCCCTGAAAGAAGAAAGTCCGGGTATCCCATCTCTCCTGCTGCGGCGCCGCCCGCAGACATACGCCAGCTCGCTCCATCCACTGGTTCCTATTAGTAACGCGGTATGCATACAGTGGAAATGGTGAACTTACCGACGAGCGTCTGACCACTGACATAGCTCCCGGTATTGGAAAAGAGGTACACTGTGGCATCGGCAATATCACGGACTGACCCGATGCGACCCAGGGGCTGGGACTTGATGTAGGCTTCCTTCACGGGGGCAGGGAGAAGACGATCGAGGCCTTCCGTCGACGCAATGGGTCCAGGCGCGATGATATTCGACGTCACGCCTAGAGGGCCGAATTCAATGGCAACGCTATGTGACAGAGCATCCACGCCGGCTTTAGCCACCGATACGTGGGTCTGGAAAGGGGCTCCACGGTAGTGCAGCGTGGCGCTGACGAAGATGATACGTCCGCCGGTGCCGAGCGGAGAGGGCTTCACTGTATTGCCGTTAGTGACGACGATCACTCAGTAGACTGAGGTAGCAGAGGAGAGTTACAAGAGTCGGAGTCAACGCGGTGCTTCTTGGCAGATTCAGTCAAGTGAGGAATAGTGGCCTTCAGGGTGTTGTAGGAACCCAGGACATCAATGTCCATGACGGACTTGAACGCATTGACGGAGAGCTGGTTGATAGAGGCCAAGAAGTTACCAGCGGCTCCCGCACTGGCTGAAGGTTAGCCACGACCTCCCCAAACAAAGGGAATTGGTTCGGACATACATGACAAAGTCAATGCCTCCCAGCTCACTGACACAGCGATCCACGGCGGCCTTCAGACTCTCGAACTTGCGCACATCGACGGCGCCAATCCCGATCACCTTGGCTCCAGGGCGCGCAGTGGCGATGTCCTTCGCCGCCGACTCGGTCTTTTCGACATTTCTGCCGACAATGCAGGCATCTGCGCCTAAGTGGACGAGAGCGCGGACCTGAGCGCTGCAGATAGTTCCTGCGCCACCGGTACAAAAGACCACCTTGTTGGCTGTGGGGACTGTTAGCTGGGTCGGTGGTTGGTGGAGGAATCAACATACTGAAGATACCCTCCTTCCAGGAGTCGCTGAGGTATTCTTCGCGTGAGAGAGGCATTTTGGTTGTCAAGGAAGTTGGTGGACAGGAGTTGGAGAAAGGGTGGAGAGACAAAGAAAGTGATACAAGGAGAATAACGTGTGGGGAAGATGCCGCGGTTCATCGGCAGCCTCGGAGGTTCCCGTATTTCTGTTTATTCATCGCGATCGATGGAGATGGCGCTAGACTAGGTATTATTAGCACTAGCGAAACCAGGGGCCTAGTAGGATGATGATCTATATGAGCATAATCATCATATTATTGTAATCCAGACTGATGCACGATTAAATATGGGCTGATGCTTAGGGTAGCGCTGCCTTGGTGCCTTACTGCCTCAGGCAGCATAGACGACGTCACTGCTGCCAATCAAACATTGACGCGAAAGAATCGCTTCATCTCACATCTTCCTTTGTATTCCATTCGGCCTTCTTTACCCGCATCATCTGTCAACTCTGCTTCTCCCCGTATATACACCGCTCCTCTCCTCACTGCTCGTCTCTAGCTGTCAGCGCGTGGTCACCATGGCCTGTCCCATCACCGTCAGCAAATTCGTCGGCACCGTCTCCCTGGGCCTGTTAACCGTACGCCCCCAATCACCATCCTCCTAGTCTCAACCCCCCATTCTAATACCTCATCAGGGCCTATCCTACTCATCCGCCACAATCACCCTCCCCTCCCTCAAACTCCTCCCAACCGCCTCCGATGCCTCGCGCTCCCTCAGCGAAGTCAAGCGTCTGAACCGGAAACATGGGCTCCGTCTCACCAACCTCGCCAATGGCTGTCTGCTTTTCGCATACGGCATTTCTCCGACCCACCGGAAACACCCGTACCTCGTCTGGATGTGCGTCGCCTCCACCATAGGCTCCTACGGCCTGGACTACTGGTTCCACCGGGAACTGGGCATCAAGGCCTGGTTCCGGAGTCTCGTGCAGGACGGATGTGGGTGCGGATCGAGTCGCAAGGCCGCGGGCAAGAAGGATGAGGATTTGGTGGTGGTGGAGGCGGAGGAGAAGGTCAACGGAGAGAGTATTGACCGCGATATGGATAACGAGCGTCGGTTCCAGAGCGCTCGGGCCGTGTTTTCCGGTCTGGCGCTTGCTATGGGTATCGTGGGGCTTTGGGGAGATCGGTCGTAGGCCAATATTCGGCTGTGTTGCGTGTCAAGATGAAGTGGTCTACGGTCTGGGTTTTGATGAGAGCGGTGAGAATTGGAGATGGGGTCCCTCCAGGGGAGTTTTATGTGTGATGGCGTTTTATGTAATTCTGCGTGTATGCTACAATGTATATTGGCGTGATGGGTATACTATATGCTGGGCTCGGGCGAATCTCAGCTGTTCCATCTATGATTATGTATAGTATGTATGGCTGTCTCCGCAGTGGCGGCGGGGGTGGGGGTGGAGTAAGCCTCGTACACTATGTACGGAGTACTCGGAGTAAGATCATCGCATGCGAACTCCAACTTTGCTTCATAAATGCCACACCAGACTCTATGAGCTGGGCTCATCAAGAAAAGGCACTTCAGTCAACATGTATCTCCTTCTGCTCCTCCCCGTCGGACTCATCGCCTACCACATTCTCTCCCTCGTCTACAAAACCATCACCACTCGCTCTCTCATCTCCATCCCAGGTCCTATATATACTCGCTTTACTAAGTTGTGGTATTTCAACCGCGTTCGTCAGGGTCATTTCGAACAAGACAATATTGACCTACACCAACGTTACGGCCCCGTCGTCCGGATCGCCCCGGATCATTACACCATCAATGACCGCGCAGCCATCAAGACGATCTATGGAACCGGCAGCAAATTCGCCAAATCGGCCTGGTACGAGGGATGGAAACACCCAGACCCGGAAAGATGGACGCTCTTCCCAGACCGGAATATGAAAAGACACGGTATTGCCCGAGATCCAGATCCAGATCCACATAAATATGAACACTCACTCACCATCACAGCCGAAACACGCAAGAGATTCTCGAGTCTGTACTCGATGAGCTCGCTAGTCCACTACGAAGAGTTCGTCGACCAATGCGCCGACATCTTCGCCCAGCGCTTGTCCGAGCACGCCCAGCGAGCCCAACGCCTCAACCTCGGCTACTGGTTCCAGTGTTACGCCTTTGACGTGATCGGACATATCACCTTTGGACAGCGGTTCGGTGCGTCCCCTCCTCTGTTACCAAGTACCATGCTAAACGCCGCAGGCTTCCTGGACGAAGGACGGGACATCGAAGGAACCATCGCCGCGCTTCAGAAAGTGATGACCTACAGCACGCTGGTCGGCATCTACCCCGAATGGCATCCGCGGCTGTTCGGCCCGCTCAGCAAGTTCAGCTGGTCGGGGGCGGGAGGTCGTGCCTATATAATGCGGTTCGTGCAGGAGAAGATCCGCCAACATAACGGGCAGCCGAAAAGCGGTGCGGACCAGGGCGCCCTGCAGACGCAGGACTTTCTGGAGAAAATGATGCTGGCACGGGACAAGGATCCGGAGAAGGTCACGGATTATCATATGTTCATGATGGGGCAGTCGAACGTGATTGCGGGGTCTGACACCACGGCTATCAGTCTGTCCGCCATCATGTACTATCTACTGCATCATCCGGCCGTGTTGGAGAAGCTCCGTCGGGAGATCGATGACTTCACCGCGCAGGGCCGCTGCAGTCCCCGCGTGACCTTCAAGGAGAGCCAGGAGATGCCGTATTTCCAGGCCGTCATGAAGGAGGCGCTGCGCATGCACAGCGCCACGGGGCTGCCGTTGTGGAGAGAGGTGCCTGCCGAAGGCGCAGAGCTGGGCGGTTATTTCTTTCCAGAGGGAACTGTCGTTGGAGTCAACACCTGGGTCGCGCATTATGATGAAGAGGTGTTTCCTGATGCGAAGAGCTTTCGACCCGAACGCTGGATTGAGGCAGAGCAAGACCCTGAAAGACTGAAGATGATGAACGACATGTACATGCCGGTACGTTGCAGCTGTCCCTGTACTCTGGAGGACATACTGACACGAAACAGTTTGGTCTGGGCTCCAGGACATGTCTCGGAAAACATATCTCCATTCTGGAGATGTCCAAGTTGATCCCCCGATTGATCCGCGACTTCGACTTCCATACTGACGTCCAGCAATGGAGCACGGAGAACTTTTGGTTCGTGAAACCCACCGACTTTGAGGTTACTGTGCGCAGTCGAGCGAGTTCGGTGGCAGGAACAGTGTAATTTTGTTGTCTTAATCATGTAGAAGTAGTAACTCCCAAATTCAGTCGGCGATACTCCATGATCAACCCATTCACATCCGTCATATCCGTATGGTCATACCTATGCAAGCTTTGCTCAGGGGAGGATGTATCCGGTTCGTTGTCCGCTGTCCTCGACCTCATTTTCGTCACGAGAATACGGGCCAGATGCCAGAACTCCGGAGCGTAGCAGGGAAACCCGATCTTCTTCCAGATCGTGTCGGGCAGGTTGGGGATGTCTTTATCTTCGGGTTCTCGTTCATTCCAGATCCGCCGCCAGTTCTCCAGCCCCGTCTCCACCGGAGCGAGCGAGGGTTCAAAAATGATGGAATTTTGCAGGTGAAAGGTGAGTGAGTGCAGGCCTGCTCGGTCAGAAACCGATGTGGTTATGCCGTCATATGAGGATTACTTACACTGCACAGTCGTAAACATGTTCAGGGTGCCCATGGAAGCAAAGTGGCTCACGAGACGACCACCTAGGTCGTTTTGGCACATCCTTCGCACTACTGCTGAGATGGATAATCGGTCCTGCCAGAAGACGCTGTTCTCCCATTTCTTCAGGGCCGAAAAGCATTCGGCCGCCGACTCAGCCTGGAAACACGCTTCTGGACACGCAACCTCCATCTTCAGTTCCGATACCACCATGCGCGGGGGCGAATTGTGGAATATTGTGAGCGCTGCATCGAAGAGAAATACATATGTCAATGTTCTGAAGCAGTGAGCATGGTCATGGTCTGTATCTGTTCGACAGGATTGTGCTCACCGGATCAATTCTTCTTCGGCCGAGAATTGATCCCACCACGAAGACGACGGGCTATCTAGACTGAGGGTTCGATGGTTCCCCGAGCTCAGGCCAATGTCTCTTGCAAGCTTCTACTATTAGCAACAGTCGCAGGATAAAAGTTAGTGATAGCTCACAGTGACCATGGTGGCATGGCGATATCTCCGTATCCGGGCCTGGGCCTCCAGAGAGCCTTCTCTCTTCTGCAAGGAGCACGCGAGGTATGTCATCTGGATGCTCTCTATGCGTCGTTTCTTCCGGGCACATTGCTCATCAAAGCGAGATGATGTTGGAGTTCCTTGGACTGGCTCTTCACAACGATTATCAGTGAATACCAACTCTTCCACACTGTCCAACCAATTTTCTGCAGCCTTCACATCCTCCTCATGCGGTGATAGACAAGCACCAATAATGACCATTACAGCGACCAGAGCGGCGGGTGCTGTCTGGGGATTGAATGACGGCCGGTGTACTATGGGACAGTTGGGGTACCATAGGGACCAAAAGTACCCCAGGTAACGACGGATGGTAGACGGTGTAAAGAAGGAATGGCACAGCTCTTGCGTAGAGGGATCCCAGTCGATGGTTATCACGGTTTTGTCACGTTTGCCGACGACGACGGTCTCCAGGCGGGCAATGATGTCTTGGGCTTTCAGTTCAAGCGGGTCTAAGCTGCTGATGGTGAAGTCTAGGACCGATGCGTCAAAGTTATAGACGGCGTCTGTTGTGAAGTCGGTGGCCAGTTTGTCGAAACACAAGTCTGGTAACGGACTTGCATCATAGAGGCTTGTTAGTATGCCACTACCGGGAAGATTCCTCACTTCATCCTCTAAGACCAGTCGCTGCCGTTCACGCAGAGTGTTCTTTTTGAGAAATGCCCCCATTCCCCGAGTGCTGGTGAAATACGCCAGGTATTCCAGCCCCTCCGCCAAGGACATGCTGTCGGTGGCCCACCGCGGTGCATATAGGAAATCGAGGGCGGCAAAGTCCAGGTCAGGGGGAATGTCGAAGAGATTTTCTTGGATGTGAGTTTCTGTCATCATGCTTTGGGACGTGTTTGCAGCCATGTTCAAGGCGGAACGACTTTCCATAGCAGGTGGCATAGTGCCCGTTGAGCGTGATTTATCGCCTTGGGCCCGGCATGTTCGTTCATGGCGCCTCATTACATCTCTAGGAAGGGTCAGGTCTATCTCCACCGGACAGTCACAAGCACACACCTTCGCGTAAATGATCTCCGACAGTATCTACATTCGAACGGTCTGGTATCGGCGTCTATCTGCTGTCAGCGATAACGGTGTTGCAACAGGGCAGGACCACCCACGAGACCGAGCATGCCGCCGGAGATGTTCCAACCGACTGTACGTGGTGGAGCAGAGGGCACAAGTCCACGGACGCTGAGGCATGGTGAGCGCGTGTGTTGGCTGCGTTGAAGCGATCGGAAGAGCGGCAGATGAATGCTGATCATTGTTTAAAGAAGCTTGGCAGCCGATGTGGGGGAATGGCCCGAGGTTATGGCGAGTATATAAACCTGTCGGATCCTGCTGTTTGAGTCGGACGTTGGTTTATACAGAACTACCTGAGCTAGTTATAACCTACTTTCGTCTTCATACGATATTATATACTACCTAGTAGGTATAGATTCGGGGGTTAATGTACCCGTGCGGAAATTCTCCGCCAGCATACCTGATATATTTACGGCCACTATCACCCTCAAACGCTACCTACATAGTTGAACGCTTACACAAGAGGAAATTTGGTCGAATATATGTACAGTTCTAGATGACATCGTAGTTCCAGGCCCTTGACCTGCCTGATCAAGCAAAGTTTCCCCTAGTTAACTACATGATTCGTCTCTTTTTGAGCTTGATTGGAGCCTCAGGCTCTTTAATTGCCTCTTTAGGCCTAGCGCTTATCTATGTAGAATGGTCTTCAGGACAACCCAACAGTCCTCCTTGATACCACCCTTGGCAAGCTTCATCCAGCTATGTCCCGATAACGCAAAGAACATATTTCTCAATATGCCTGCTACGGTACATACTCGTATAATCAACAGTTTCTTTCCCAAACGCGTGGTATGAAAGGGGATTGGAGGATCATAGACCAGACAGAGTCCATGAGATCGTGTCCGATGCACGGGGCATCTCAACATCACTGTCAGTAAACAACTAGGCTGCCAACAGGTCGACGCATGCAGAAGACCAGGTGGAAACGAGATACAAGTCTGATTCACTTGCGTTACGTGTGTGGCTTGTGACTCATTCTCTGGCCAAGCGTGGATCTGTCGACTGAAGGAGCCTCGATTAGCTGGCAACAACCGGGCCAAAGATAATCAGTCTGGTCCTAGTCTCGAAGGAGCAACCTGTAAGACGCTCTCTGACGGTCGGTCTTATCGGGGCTCCGCTTTGCCGACCTGGAACGGAGCTATACGAAGCGAGATTAATAATTCCACCAGACGGGCAGAAGCTTCCATCTCGTATTCTTTGCACCATTAGCAAGCCACCGCACCGCATGTCGGACATCGGACATTAACGGCCCCAAGTCCTTGGAAATCTCTGCCGCGCACTATGTATATAGAGCTTCAGTCCGTTTGATAAAAGGAAGAAACCAGACTCATTCACATCACGATATCATATCTTTTACCAAAGAGTACCTGGGACGCAGAATGGATTCAACTGCAATGTCCGAGACCAGTAACATAGACCAGGAGAAGCAAGCAGCCACGGAGACCGCCGTCGACTCCAAAGACCCGGTCTATCCCAGCTTCGCTGCGACGGTGGTCATCATCCTGGGTCTCTATCTATCTGTTTTCCTCGTGGCTCTCGACCAGACGATCATTGGGGTTGCCATTCCCGAAATCACCAACCAGTTCAAGAGTATCGAGGACATTGCATGGTATGGGAGCGCCTACTTTCTGACCTCCACGGCGCTTCAACCGTCATATGGAAGACTTTATAAGATATTCAGCGTATGTCTACCACCATTCGTCCTCGATGTCATGCTAACCTCCATCCCTACTAGGTAAAATGGAGCTTCCTAGCTGCGATCGCATTCTTCGAGATCGGCTCCCTCATCTGCGCCGTGGCGCCGTCGAGCACGGTCCTCATCGTTGGTCGAGCAATTGCCGGAATCGGAGTCGCGGGAATATTTTCCGGCGCAATGGTCATCATTGCACTGACTGGTATGCTGTTGCGTGGTCTGTGGATTGGACTTCATGGAGCTGACTATGTCTAGTCCCCCTGCCCAAACGGCCGCTCGTCTTTGGCATGTTCGGCATGGTGTGGGGCGTGGCCTCCATCGTTGGCCCTCTACTCGGAGGTGCATTTACCGACGGAGTTTCATGGCGATGGTGCTTCTATATCAAGTGAGTTCTGGTTGTTGTCTTCGTCCACAAGTCTGTATACTCATATATCAGCCTCCCCATCGGCGGCATCTCGATTGCAATCGTGCTTTTCATCCTTCGACTACCGTCAAACAGTGACGCCACAACCAAACCCCTCATCGAACGTATTAAGCAGCTGGATTTCATCGGCGCCAGCATCCTGATCCCCGCCATCGTCTGCTTGCTGCTCGCGCTGCAATGGGGCGGCAACCAGTACCCGTGGAACAACTCTCGCATCATCGGGCTATTCATCGGGTTCGGGTTGATGGTCATCATCACCATATACACCCAAATCAGACTCGGTGACAGGGCCACGCTGCCCCCGCGCATCATGAAGCAGCGCGCGGTAGTCGCCGGCGCAACCTTCGCCGTGTTTTTTGGCGGCGCATTCTTCGTCTTGGTCTACTACCTCCCAATCTTTTTCCAGTCGGTGCGGGGCGCCTCGGCGATGAAGTCCGGCATCCAGCTCCTCCCCGTCATGCTCGCGACTGTTGTCTCCTCGGTCGCGGTGGGAATCTTGGTCACGGTCTTTGGATACTACACTCCATTCTTGATCGGAAGTACCGCGATTGCCGCCATCGGCGCGGGCCTCGTCACTCTCTACTCCAAGGACATCTCCTCCGGCAAATGGATCGGGTATCAGATCCTGGTTGGCGCCGGCGTGGGCGCCGGCTTCCAGATCCCCATCACCGCCGTGCAGACGGCGTTGCCGGTGGAGGATATCCCGACCGGCAGCGCGGTGATCATGTTCTTCCAGACGTTGGGCGGTGCGCTCTTTATCGCCGTGGCCCAGTCCGTCTTCCAGAACGGATTGATCGAAGGGATTGTGGAATATGCGCCGAAGGTCAATCCCGCGGATATTGTGAAAGCGGGCGCCACCGAGATGCGAGAGGTCCTGACTAGATTGCACCTGGAGGACCAGCTCAGCGGGGTGATCGATGCGTATCTGAGCGGACTCAAAGACACATACCGTGTTGCGTTGGCGTTGTTCCTTGTCTCCTTTGTCGCCAGTTGCTTTTTCGAGTGGCGCAGTGTCAAGGGGCAATCTGATGAAAACAAAGGCAGTGCTGTACCCGCTCTGTGAGATGATCATGGGAAGGCTTTGAATCGGGATAGATATAGATGTGCGGATGGAATTCGCAGAGCATCTGGCTAATGTACGTTAATTTATAATGATGGTATGGTCTAGATAGACAGATAGAAACTCGCCAATCTTAATGAGCTTCAGATGACCTTTCCATATCCACCCTCAACCAGTAGCTATATGCAAGATGATCGCTATGTAGAGCAATTTAGACCAGCAACATACCCACCACCATGGCAAGTACAACTACCCCCTTCACTCCAGACTGCATGCGACTCCCAGGGTTCGTCTCGCCCTCTTGACTACTACCACTGCTAAAATTCCCCGACAGCCACGGATGCGCCGGCAAGGAATCATTACTCGCCGTCACCACCGCAGGCGAAAGCAATTCATTCTCGAGCAACTCGCAATCCACACGATCATTCGACTCTTCAATACTGTTGGTAACCGAGATCGGCAGATCAAAAACCGTGTAGTAGTCTGTTCCGTTCCAGCGGAAGGACTGGTGCATCGAGATGTTATAGTCGCCGCGCGCAGAGCCAGAGCCGCCGTCGCCCTCGCCGACCAGACAGGCCGGCCAGGTCCAGTCGACGTGTTTGACGGTCGACGAGGGCTCCAGGTCCAGCACGGGGCCTACGTATGCATGGGAACCAGATGAGGTGCCGTTGGAGATGGTGAAGTTTTTGGACCGGTCGTTGGAGGTGAGGAACAGCGTGATCTCGTGGAATTCCGTCTCCGAATTTGAGGAGGATAGTTTGCCGTTCCCAGAGACGTCGATGGCCACCTGAAGCGTATCTGCGAGTGATCAGGTTGGATTCGCGTTTCGAATGGAGGATAGGCCTACCTCCCCCTAACGGGGTATACGGCTGCGGCGCATCCACAATGGCCAGCCCTGGGGTATATACTTGGCCATTCACGACAGTCGCCATGGTGGCAGCTGCACAGATAGCTGGAATGGTTTCCTGATGAGATAGGGCTGATGGGGTATTTGAAGCTGGTGGGTATGGCGCCAAGCAGTAATTTCCGACTATCCGGACATGAGACGCTCCGCGGCAGGATTTGATATGAAGGGAAATTAAAAGGTCCAAGGTGTGACTGGTGGAGAATAGGGCTCCTTCGAAGGGGTATAGCCGTTTTGCCTAATTCTGAATCAGGGGTCCGTTCTTTGAATATAAAAAAAAATGATATAGTACTTGTCTACTTTTCAGTACGACCTTGAGACATCACTCTCAAATGCCTTCGACAGCTACCACATCATAATAATCTCAGGACTCTGGGGATTTCTCTTCCAGACTAGGGAAAGCCCATTTGGCCCATTGCCTGAGAATCGACCGATAGGTTGTGACACTCAGCCAAATCAAGAACACCGCCGCCGTCGTAGGAAGAGTAAACGCCCAGTAAACCCAGAAATTGCTCTGGATCACGTCCTCATGATCCCACTGCAGCGAAGGCACGGCAAAAAGAGCAGCAAAGAATGTTGCAGGGAGAAAGGCCATAGTCATGATGGCAACGGTTTTCATCGACACGCTATCGTTTTTCATAGAGACCGCCATCTCCAGGTTGATCTCAGCATCCGCATGACCCAACAAGGCGATTAACTACCTTTCGTTAGATAACACGTCAAGAGGACAAGACTTTGGAGGCGGGCATACCACGGACGAGAGCTTCTCTGCTCTGTTTCCAAGATATCGCAGATATGCCTCATAGGCATCCATTTGTCGCTTTAACATAGGGATCGTCTCCGCAAGCCGCCTCGTGCCATCCCGGCACTGCGGGTGGTGAACATCTACGCTTATCTCTAGCAGTTGACATTCGTCACTAACAAAGTCCAGAAGCGTCCTGGATGTGTTAATATGGCGCAGCTTGTTAGTGATGTTTCCCTGTATTTCTCCCGTAGTCTGGGACCATAATGTCAATTCGTCCACGCTGAAACGCGAAACGGCCTCGGGTGGATTTGGACCGTAGCCGGTGCTCTTCTCGACAGACCGGATTCGGGCGTATTCTCGCGCCTTGGTCTCCTCGTCAAAGGCTTGCAGATTATACACCGTGGACACAAATGCAAGGAGACACGGGGTGTGGATCAGGTTCTTGAAGATCTGCAGAACGGCATTGAATCGAGAGAACGGATCGGTCTGCCGGGGGAGGAAGAGGGCGATGGTCGACGTGGATGCTCGTTGCCATTGGGATGTCCAGACCAGGCCGTACGTCGCAGTGCCGATGAAAGCAGACAGTAGATTGTTCGGTCCTTTTGAGTAATGGAAGCCATCGTAGTCGTGACTAATGAGATACAGAAAGTAGGGATCGACCTGCATTGCGGTCATCAGTCGATGGAAGAGGTTCTGGGAAATGCATAGGACGCCTTCGCGAGGGATCTGAACAAGCTTCAGCACTGCGCTGGTTTGTTTGTCGGGCTCCGGCATATTATGAGTTGTAAATGGCACCAGCTCCTCTCCTGTCATCGATCTCTGATCCAAGTAGGCGGGGCACTCATGCGAGGCTGCAATGCAGACAGTAACATAAGATTGTCTCTCCTCATACTGACGGAACTTGTCAGTTGGGCTCCAGAATGTTTCTCTCGCAAGTGTCTGCAAGCCCTCCATCCTCGCTACTCGGTCTCAAGAGATCAGCAGATTCAACTCTAGGTTTGCTTAGAGCTGGAGAGAATGCAAGATACTGGCACGGAATAGATATCTGGCTGTATAGAGCACAGAGTTAGTTCAGCCAGCCACCGGTACTCAGCCACTTACTTGGACAAGGTTTAGACTGGGGTAGGCTGTACAAGTATGGATGCATCGGCTATCTGCACCCAGTTGGATCATTGAAGGGGTGCTGGCTTACCTGGCAGTCAGGATATCAATCAGGGTCGTCTTGCTCACCCTCCTCCATTCGCCTCCTACTCTATACATGTCCTAATGATATAGTTTGTTCACACTTTCCAAACATCAAACTTCGTATACATCCATATACCTAAGCACATCGAACAGCACCTCAGCTACATTTCGAGCCCTTACACTTCACCTAATCTGATACGAACGCATGTGCCTTGGCGGAACCCGACTCGAGAACATAATATCAATCTCCTCAAAGGTCCGACCCTTGAGCTCGGGGATATACACCCAGCTGGCCATCGTAGCCACAGCCGCACACCCACCAAACACGAATCCCACTCTACCCTTCATGTTCGCTTCATCAGGCGTCACCATATACGGGACCGCCACATTCATCGCGATGCCAAACACGGCCTGTACGGCGGTCGCCAATGCGGTCGTTTTCGCGCGCAGCAAAGGCGTCGAGACCTCGCCCAGTAGGACAAACGCGACGGCCCCGACAGTCATAAAGTATACAAAGGCGTAGACCACAGTGGAGGACGCCTGGACCCATTTCGCTGTGTTGGAGGGCACGACGTCCATGATGCCGATGAGGAGGAGCAGGCCCGTGAGGGTCACCATCCCCGACAGGAACGATCGCCGACGGCCGACGGAGTTGACAAGAAACCAGCTGAGGAAGTTGCCCAACACGCCACAGGCCGTGACACCGACCCCGAGGTTGAAGGAATGCGAAGTTTCCAACCCGGCGAGTTCGAAGAAGTACGTCGAGTAGCCCAGGACGAAGATGATTCCCACCAGATGTTGGCATACAAACCCTGCACATGAGATCATGCTGCGCAGGAGATTCGTCCCGCGGAAGCAATCGCCATAGCTGGCTTTTGCCTGCTGCGCGCTCTCTTCAACGGAGAGCTGGATGGCGGCCAGGAGCGCTGAGACGTCAAAGTCCTTCCCCCACAGCTTATGGAGCGACCTCCGGGCCTGGTCAATCTGGTTCTTCCGAACTAGATGCCACGGTGACTCTGGTGCAAAGGGAACCCCAGCCAGCAGTGCCAACGAGAAGAACAACTGAATGGCAAATGGGCCCGCGAACGCCCAGCGATCCGCGCGCTCCCCAAACCCCTTGATCACGGCATTCGACAAGAGCTGGCCAACGCAGATCCCCAGGTTCACACCAGCGGTCGACAGACCACGCAGCACCACAGGGGTGATCTCACTGCACACGAGCGGACCAAGGGTCAGGTAGAACCCCAATCCCACGCCGAGAATGAACTTGGATGCGAGAAAGGCGCCGCGAGCATGGGAGAAGATCTCCCCAAATGTGCCTCCCATACAGATAATAGAACCACAGACAAGGGAGCGCTTGCGCCCGACTCGGTCGGCCATCCAGCTGCAGAGGAATCCCCCGAAGAACTGGCCGATCGAGCTGGCGACATTGAACGCGGACTGCCAGTTCGCAGGCAGGATGGCATTCCCATCCGAAACATATCCGTACTCGCGCCGGAAGGCAGGGATGGCAATGACCGCACCGTTGATTTGCGCGTCGAATCCCCTGTACGTCGCTGTATGAGTTGTCGTGTTCCTCCGGGGCAGTAGGGGTAGAGTACATACCACCCGATGGCACACATGGCCCAGTAGAAAGACCATAGGATGATGGCTTTATGATGTTTGACGATATAGGAGAACGTCATGGCATCTTCGACTGAAGCGTTAGCTTCGCTGTGTTCCTTGTGGATGACCGAAGTCTCCTGTTCGGCAGCGGCTGCAGAGGGCTTCTTCATGGTGTTGTAAGTGATCGATGATAGATGTACAGAGCATAGGATGCAGAGGGATAGGAAGCGGTGCCTGGTACATATCTATACCCTCCATGGCTGGAAATCCGGGGTAGGGAACCCAGACGAGTAGAGTAAATCTCGATCTACTAAGACGCTAGAAAGGTCAGACTCAACCTAAATCCTAATGACCGACACTCCGCGAAGGTGGTCTTTGTCGCGGAGTGTCGCAGATGTCAGCCACTAGTCTGTATCACTGCTTGGCTCGCCGACCGTCGCGGAGTGTCGGGAAGGCCAAGTATACGAGCAGGTCAAGAACACCACATATATAGCTGAGTCTTCTGCATAGGATCAATCATCGAGCACAACCATCATCTACTAGTCAACCTAGGAATACTCCAGCCACCATGACCTCCGACACAACCCCGTCCTTTCTCCGGGTGTCCGGTACAAACATCGTCGACTCCTCTGGCCAACCCGTCATCCTCAAAGGGGCGGCGATTGGGGGCTTCCTGAATATGGAGAACTTCATTACGGGGTATGCAGGCCACGAGCACGAGCACCGCGAAGCCATGGCATCAGTCCTGGGGAAGGACAAAGCGCAATACTTCTTCGACCGACTCCTGCACCACTTCTTCACCGACAAGGACGCAGAATTCTTCGCCTCCTTGGGTCTCAACTGCATCCGCGTCCCCTTCAATTACAGACACTTCATCGACGACCAGGAGAACCCGCCCGTCGTCAAGCAGTCAGGCTTCGACCTGCTGGACCGCGTCGTGTCCATCTGCCGCAAACACGGGCTCTACGTCATCCTGGACCTGCACACCGCGCCCGGCGGCCAGAACCAAGACTGGCACAGCGACAGCGGTGTCGCGCGCGCCGTCTTCTGGGACTTCAAAGTCCTGCAGGACCAGGCCATCAACCTCTGGGTCGCGATCGCGGCACACTACGCCGACGACCCCATCATCGCCGGATACAATCCGCTCAACGAGCCCGCCGATCCGGCACACACGCGCCTGCTAGACTGGTACGGCCGCGTGCATGCCGCCATCCGCGCCGTCGATCCCAACCACATCCTCTTCCTGGACGGGAACACCTACGCGATGGACTTCTCGCACTTTGACCGCATCCTCCCCAACGCCGTGTACTCGTGCCACGACTACGCGACCATGGGCTTCCCCGGACAGCCGCTGTACACCGGCACCGCGGAGCAAAAGGCCAAGCTCCGCGCCCAGTTCCAGCGCAAAGTGCAGTTCATGCGCGACTGGAACGTGCCCATCTGGAACGGCGAGTTCGGCCCCGTCTATCCCGATCCGCGGGGCGCGGATGCGCACGAGGTCCTGCAGTCCCGCGTGGAGCTGCTGCGCGAGCAGCTGCGGGTCTATGCTGAGGCGAACGTCAGCTGGAGTATCTGGCTGTTCAAGGATATCGGGTATCAGGGCATGGTGTACGTGCACCCGGACACGCCGTATATGAAGCTGATTGCCGGGTTCGTGGAGAAGAAGCAGCGTCTGGGGGTGGACTTCTGGGGATGCACCGATAAGACCGGGGTGAGCCATGTGTATGAGCCGTTTGTTGCGGAGCTGAAGAAGATGATTCCTGCGCATCTTCTGAAGAGGAAGTATCCTCCGGTGTGGACTTTTGATCGCCAGGTGGAACGCGTGGTCCGAGAGTGTCTGGTCAGCGAGTATTTGACCTGGGAGTTTGCGGAGCTGTTCGAGGGGAAGACGTACGATGAGCTGGAGGATTTGGCTACGTCATTTGCTTTTGAGAACTGTGTGAAAAGGGACGAGCTGAACCGGGTCCTGACTGAAGATGCGTATAAAACCAAGGTGTGATAGAATGGGTAGGATCAACGTCTGAGGGTATTCGCAAACATCACACGTGAAGCATATGGAGAACATGTAACAGTATCCCTTAGCACATTACTAAATTGTTCGTAGGCTCTAGATATCGAGCCCTGCAACTCGCCCCCAAGCAGCCTCAACAAGACCCCCCAGATACCCCGCATCCGCCGACTCCACCGCCCAATACCGATTCATCTCCATCGCTAACAGCACCGCCTCCCTCCACCCCAAAGGCATCATGACCTCGCACTGCCCCCGAATCACCAAGGCGGCAGCTACGAGAACCAGCGCGCTCCGACTACACATCCGAAGCAGAAACAGGGTCCCGTGATGCCGATGCTTATACCCGGCCTGGTTCACCCACAGCCTCTCCACATGCTTCTCGAGTCCCTTCCGCGCAAGACTCCGCAGTAAGACTCTCTCTCCGTCCAGTGAACACCCGCTAATCAGGGCATCAACGAAGGGCCAGTAGATGACTTCGTATAGATTGAGCAGGTGGCCGCGAAGGACAAACCGGCAGATATCATCCGTTTCAGCCGGTTGGTCCAGCGATATCACCCGTGGAAGCCGGCTGACCCACTCCACTGCCTGTGCTTCGTGGACACAGGTGGCTTTGGCTAATCCGTCGAGAAAATGCTCTCCCGGTGAGGGGTTGAATTGTACGATGCCTTTCGCGATACAGGATGCTAGGCGGCGGAGGGAGATCTCGGAGAGGTAGAAGTACCAGGAGTGCTGTCCGCGGTCGTGTTGGCTTCCGCTGGAGTGGGGGGATTCAGCATTCTCGTTGACGGGAGGCGTCGGGAAGAATTGGGGGTATGTGACCAGTTCTGTGTGCGAAAGGGCGAAATCGGGAGTCGTCATCCCGCTGCGGAGTTCGCGTTCAGATTTCCAGGAGGACCAGTAAATACTTTCCTCCCAGGTGAGAGATCGCTGGCCGCGGGTTCGTTCGTGGCGGACTGGGTCGAAGATCTGAGCGTCGGGCGAGGAGTGGGATGACTGGAACCGGAAGGTTTGGCAGCATGCTAAGGCATGGAGGAAGAATTTCCAGGCGGCGTCGGGCTGGAAGAGGGTAGCTGCATATACCCCCGACAGGAAATGGCATTGCGCTTCGAGTATCCGATCAGGGCCATCCACTGTCAGAGCTAGTCGCTTCTGTGCGGCCTTGTAAAAGGCGCGGGCACTGGAGATAGATGTCGACTCGTTCTGGACCTGACCGGGGGGCTCAAAAGGAGTCGCTGTTGCTCCGAGGGCGAGAACAAGAAGCGCAAGACATGATTCTGGGGACCAGTCTAGCCCCTCAGCACAGAAATGAGCGACTAGTCGGCGCGTGCGTGGTTCATCGAGAACCGGGTTTTTGACGTGGACGTATTGGAAAAACCGATCGAGGAGTGGACGAGTGAGTTGCGGCTCCAAGTTATCCAGTGACAAGGTCGCCCCTGTGTCTGTCGCAGCTGAGGTAGAGGAGAGGCCCTCCCACTCAGGGGTAACCGGGGGTAGGTCCAAAATCGGCGACTGGCAAAGGGCCTCGATAGGCAGAGGTAATAGTCGGGCCCGATCTATGTCAGAAAGCGTCTGAGCGGGAGAGTAGTTGAAATCGACGGTTGTCGAGGCCCCAGCAGGCGCCACGACGCTCCCCAGGGTCTCAATAGCAGACTGACACTTCTCCACCGTACCCTTGAGCTCACTAAGCTGCTCGAGGATTTTGATACTCGCCGGATCGAAGCTGGATAGGTCAACGGTGGATTGGATGCACTGAGCGCCAACTTTGAGGCAGAAGGAGCAGGAGGGCTTCCGATTGTCGCATTTGGTGCGTCGCGCACGGCAAACCTGGCATGCCGTGACGGCTCTTTTGCGAGGGTATGCCGCCGTTCCGCGTGGGTTTGGACGAGTGTCGCCTGCTGTACGCGGGACTGATGCATCAGGAGCCTCCATCGAACAAGTGTGGGTGATGCAGACGCATCGCGGAATGTCGCAGGTGTATTGTATGTAGATAGTACGGTAGAAAGCGTGGGGAAGCGGGGGAAGCCGGGGAAGCCGGCTAAATACCGTCCAGGTAGGATCATCTCCGCACTACGAAGTAGACTAGCCAGCTAGCGGATGTTTGTTCCAATAACTCTTCTATTATAGACAGGACCTTTCCCAATCATGTAGCTTCTTTAACTATACCATAAGATGTTGGATCAAAAAAAATCCTCTGTCGTATGGATACGGCCCGACTCCCAAAGGATTTAGCGTTGTTTGGCCGCTGGCGACATGCTGTCTGACACTGCGATGTAAGCCTGAACTGGTTGCTACCATGAAGATGGGTGATGATAAAAGGCCTTCACAATTGCCATGATAATAAATCTATATACGTAGATGGACCTGATGGAATGCATACCATCCATCGTTCCACGGATTAATGAACGTTTCACCAGATCTTGGCGTCGTCCCGCATTCCGCCATCAAAGGGACACGACGACCTGTCGTGTTACATGTATCATCGCGCCAACTGCTAGCGCCATGCTTAGACTGCCCTTTCGACATCGTCGGCGCCGTGGCCTATTCCATGCGCTTCTGATACTCTTCGTTATCTGGAACGCAGTCGAGGTTGTTCTCATCCAGCGTCATCTCTGGCACCCTCTAGCCCATAACAACCACCAGCTCCAGTCACCACCAGAGCGCATCTTCATCGCAAGTATCCACTGGAATGATGAGATCATCCTGCGCAGTCACTGGAACCAGGCGTTAATCAACCTGGTGCAGGCCCTCGGTCCCCAGAACGTCTTTGTCAGTGTCTACGAAAGCGGCAGCTATGACAACACCAAAGACGCGTTACGGGCCCTGGATCAGTCCCTCGCAGCTCTGGATGTCCCGCGGAACATCACTCTGTCTAATGTCACCCACTGGGATGAGATGCACAAACCCCCAGCTGACCACGACTGGCTCCAGACCAAGCGTGGGAAAAAGGAGCTGCGGCGGATTCCGTACCTCGCCCGGACACGCAATATCGGTCTCGAACCGTTGAGCCGTCTGGCCGAAGAAGGAGTCCATTTCGACAAGATCTTGTTTCTTAATGATATTGTTTTTACGGTTGGTCTGACCTCACCTGTTGATCGATGGAGGCTTACAACCCCAGGTCAATGATGTGTTTGCGCTCCTCGGCACGCATAACGGCCAGTACGCCGCGGCATGCTCGCTGGATTTCTCCAAACCCCCTTACTACTACGACACTTTTGCTCTTCGCGATGCGGACGGCAAGGAGCCAATCATGCTCACCTGGCCCTATTTCAGTGCATCCGCATCCCGGAACGCCTTGGTGCAGTTGGACCCTGTGCCCGTGAAGAGCTGCTGGAATGGAATGGGTATGTCGAATATCATTTCAATTGCACGCCGTCCGTCCACTGACTGCTCCAGTTGCCATGCCCGCCGCGCCCTTCTTATACACTGATAAACCCCTCCGTTTCCGGGACATCCCGGACTCTCTCGCCCAGGAGCATCTCGAAGGCTCGGAATGCTGTCTGATCCATGCCGACAACCAAATCGCGTCGGACGGTGTGTACCTGAATCCCCGCGTGCGCGTCGGCTACAGCGGCCCGGCCTACGAGGCCGTGCATCCTGACGACCGATGGTTGTCTTCCTGGCGGATCTTGCGCGGACTATGGTCGAACCGCCTTCGACGATGGAGTCATGTTGACCTGAGGGGGAGGAGAGTTCGGCGTCGACTTGCCCAGTGGGAGAAGAGTCACGGCGTGCGCGAACCGGGGGATTATTGTCTAGTCGATGAAATGCAAGTGTTGATGGAGTGGGGATGGGCGCATGTATGACTACTCTGTTCCTATCTTTGAGCCTCAGGCCTTCGAATTGCCTCTCTAGGCCTAGGGCCTGCTGCCTGCCTTGATATTGATATCTAGAGAGGCCTTCACGACCTCACCCACAACAGCCATCAATCATTCACCTCTTCTTGAGATTCACTTCTTTACCTCCCGACATCCTATGTATCTGAATCCATATGTGTGTACTCTATACACTCTTTCCGAGACAGTCTACTACTAAGAAAACACCGGGCGGATCTTCCCCGTCACCCGATCGGCCAATCGCTCCGCCATCATGACCTTATACACATGCTTCGCCCACGCACAGCACACCTGCCGAGTATCCTTGGGGTCGATGATCTCCTCCACGCCAAACGCATTCGCAGTGCGCACCGGATTCATGAGTCGGCGATATTCCTCTTCTAGCTCCTGGTATCGCTCAGCTTTCTTGCCCACCTTCTCGGCCTCGCGCAGTTCATGTCGATGGCCCACTTCGATACCTCCCTCCAGCGGGAGAGAGCCCCATTGTCCCGACGGCCAGGCGACTTGCATCACAGGGTCGCGCGCCCCGATCATCAGTCCTCCCGCCACACCGTAGGCGCGGCGCGTAATAACATTGAAGATCGGCATGGTCGTCGCATGGTACGCCTTGCCCAGTTCCACGCCCCAGCGCATGGTTCCTGTGCGTTCTGCCACCGTTCCGATAGCGTATCCCGCTACACGGTCCAAATTAGCAAGCAACAACCGGGCGGTAGGGACAGCAAACTTACGGACATCGATGAACTGCAACACGGGCAGGTTCATCACATCGCACAGCTTCAACAACCGCGTCAGCTTCTGGCTACCAGCCGCATCCAGCGCGCCACTGTTGACCTCGCAGTTCAGCGAAATAATGCCCACCGGCCGTCCGCCCAGCCGCGCGAGACCACCGATGGCGGTGCGGCCCCAAAGCGGCCCGATCTCAAAGAACGAGTCGCGGTCCACGACGCTGTTGATGATCGTCCATGGGTTGTACATGCGCGTTTGCTTGCGCGGGATGATCGACCGCAGGGCAATGTCCTCGCGATCTTCAGGATCGGTGCAGGGGATCACGGGTGGCGCCTCGCGGCCACTGTTGGGGAGATAGCTCAGCACGGTGCGGATCTGCTCGTAGCATTCGGCCTCGTTGGCGGCCAGGTTGTCGATTGTACCGTTAGTGCAGTGGACCATGGGGCCTCCCAGCGTCTGGAAATCGAGGGATTCCTCAAAAGTCGCTCCTTTGACGACTTCCGGGCCTGCGTTGAATAATGATCCTATATCTGCTGCCATAACACTGAAATGGCACGACACCACCCGGGCAGCGCCCAGTCCGATCTGTCGCGTGTGTTAGTACATGGCCGTCGAAGGACTCAGGTCAATGCATACCGCAGGCCCGACAACAGCCCCCAGATTCGGGATGCCTTCGTTCAGCTGCTCCACCACGTATTTGTACATCGAGACGTAGGGCAGGTAGCTCCATCCAGCGGTCTTGATGGTGGTTACACTGCCGCCTCCAGAGCTGCCGTCGACCAGCTTGACGACGGGCAGCTTCAACGCCAGCGCCAGTTTCTCCAGGTAGATAGTCTTGCCGGCGGTCGAGCCATCGGCATGGCCGCTGCGCAGAGAGAAATCGTCCGCCGTGAGCAACACGCGACGACCGCGCAGCCGTCCCATGCCCTGGACGTTGTTACTAGGGACGAAGGAAACGGGCTTTTCCCGCATAGGGCCGGTCTTCTCCCACGTCACAGTGCCGGACAGCGAGCCGATCTCCTGGAACGTGCCGCGATCGAGGAGCTCTTCCAGTCGCTCGCGCACCCAGAGCTTTCCATCGCGCTTCTGACGGACATAGCCGCGTCGGTTAGGATCTGGGGTGGCTGCGATGTTTTGCAGCGTGCGGATCTGGTCCAGCACATCGGAGTAGTCCGCCGGGAGCTTTGCGGACGCTTTCAAATGCGAAGAGACCTGGTTAAGTCTCTTTCGCGCCGAGGAAGACTCAGAGTCGTCAGGCATATTGATAGCAATTCTAATGGTGGGAAAAGTAGGTGATATCATGTCATGGGGTATATATCTGGTTTTCTCCTCGTGAGGGGGTGATCCATGGAACCTCCGAGGGCCGAGGGTCGTCCTGTATACAAAACGATCAACTCCATACACTTTTAGCACGCATCCTGGGCAATTACTCTTATCTTCTCTGTACAGTTCTCTCAATGGCAACTCCACAGATCCAGCGACTTCTAGTCGCCAACAGGTACCGCACTCCCAACCCGCGACACATCGCCACCCACTAACGAACCCAGGGGCGAGATTGCCGTGCGCATCCTCCAAGCTGCCCGCGAGGTGTCGCCGTCTCTAGAGACATTTGCCCTGTATACAGGGGACGACCGGTCGCACTGCGACCTGGGCCGGCCTCACCACGCCCTGCGCGTCCCCTCGGCCGCCGCGTATCTGGACATCGCGCTGCTGGTTGAGCTCGCCCGACAGCACAAGATCGACACAATCCATCCGGGGTATGGATTCTTGAGCGAAAGTGCCGAGTTCGCGAGCCGCATGCAGGAGGCCGGCATCACCGTGATCGGTCCCGGCCCCGTAACGCTCGCACGCACAGGCGATAAACTCCAAGCCAAGCAGCTCGCAATGGAATGCAACGTTCCTGTTCTGCCGGCAATGGAGCGCCCCACGGCTGACGCTACTGAAATCCGCGCCTTTGCGCGGCGTGTCGGGTATCCCGTCATGATCAAGGCTGTCGATGGCGGCGGCGGACGCGGGATCCGGCTGGTTCGGCGGGACGAGGAGCTGGAAAACGCCGTGCGTGGAGCGATGGGCGAGTCGCCCTCGCAGACAGTGTTTGTGGAAAAGGCCGCCGTGGACGGGTACCATCACATTGAGGTGCAAGTGGTGGGCGATGGGACGGACGTGCGCCATCTCTGGGAAAGAGATTGTAGCGTCCAACGGCGGTTCCAGAAGGTCATCGAGATCGCGCCGTCGCTCATGCAGAACCGTCCACTTATCCAGCAGGTGGTTGATGCCGCGTTGCGCATGGCGAGGGCCATCAACTATCGCTCCCTGGGCACGGTCGAGTTCCTGGTACATGAGCAGCAGAAGGAGTTCTACTTCTTGGAGATCAACCCCCGTCTGCAGGTTGAGCACACCATCACGGAGAACGTGACTGGCTTCGACCTTGTCCAGACGCAGCTCCGTCTTGCTCAGGGCCAGACGCTGGCTCAGGTTGGCCTGGGAACGAACCCTCCCACCCCCGTGGACACGCACTCAATTCAACTCCGACTGTGCTCTGAGGACCCACGACGGAATTTTTCGCTGAGCCTGGGGAAGGTCACCGAGTTCAGCGTGCCTGGCGGCCACGGTGTCCGCGTAGACACCCATGTCGACATGTCTGGTGCCGTTCCAGTCGTGGTGGGCGCGAACTTTGACAACCTGCTGGCCAAGATCATCGTCACCGCATCTAGCTGGGAGGCGGTCGTCTTCAAGGCGCGCCGCGTGCTGGCCGATACGAGGATTGCAGGCGTCCAGACCAACCTGGATCTGTTGCGCGGCATCGTCGCACAAATTGACTTCCTGAGCGGACGCATCGACACCCAGTGGCTAGAGGCCCATCTCCAGGTGTCGCTCGACCAGGGCGAGAAGATTTCGCAGTCTGTTCGTCGCGACCGGTCGACGCAGCCGTCGCGCACGTCGGCCATTCCCAGCATGCCGGCGTCGAGCTTGTTGTTCCGCGGCGGCGACGCATGGTCTATCAAGCTGGAGCCTCTCGCAGGCTCGGATCAATCCCCCCAACAGCATCATTTCCAGCTGAAACGCGTGCTACAGAACGACTTCCCCTCCTCGCTGGTGGCGGAGATCGAATACACCACGCCCACGTCGGCCACGGCGTACAAGTTACACTTGGCCACTACGTCTACCGCGGCGAACGCCCTGGTCTCATCATCGCACCGTCGCGGCGATCCCAACAACCCCCGTCACATCGTACTCCCCCTCTCTGGAAAGCTGATCGAAGTGCTAGTTGGACCTGGCGAGGTCGTGGCAGAGAACCAAGTGCTGGCGTTTGTCAAGCAGATGAAGATGGAGTTGGAAGTGCGCAGTCCACGCGCCGGACGCGCCGGCTGGGTGTATGAGATGGAGGACGAAGAAGAAGATGTTGCAGAAGGCATGCTCCTGGTGGAGCTGGAGGAGGACCTCCGGGGGAAGTTATAAGGATAGTTAGATGGAATAGAGTAGATCACGCAGAGCATGCGCAAGGGATGAAAATCTGTAGGTCGACGTGGCATGCTCAGGCGGTGAATATATATCAACGTTGACTTTCCAAGGACGAGATTTCAGCAAACTTCTGTACTCTTTTCTATTCTTTATTCACGCTTCTTGTCCTCATAACATGCGCACCATCAACACCGTCATATTCGATATGGGCGAGGTCCTCTTCACCTGGAAGCCGACCATCGACACGCGCGTGACATTCGATAATCTGCGAACTATCACCCACTGCGAGACATGGGAGCAATTCGAGCGCGGAAAAATCGACCCAGACGGTTGCTATCAACAATTAGGAGCCAAGATCGGTTTCCCCGGATCAGAGATCGCCGCGACCTTTCGCCAGACTACGAGCTGTCTCAAACCCGATCCCAGGATGACAGCCCTGCTCCACGAGCTGAAGTCGCAGAACGTGGCCATCTACATGATGACGAACATCCCTCTCCCGGACTACCACCAGTTGCGGGCCATGGAGTACGAGTGGGATTTGTTCGACGGCGTTTTCGCGTCCTCGCTAGAGGGAATGCGAAAGCCGGACATGGAGTTTTACGAGCACGTTTCGAAACAGATTGGCGCGTCGCCGGCGGAGACTGTCTTCGTGGATGACAAGTTGGAGAATGTTGCAGCTGCGCAGAGCGTTGGGATGATAGGACTGCATTTTACTGATGCGCTGGCGGCTTGCGCTAAGTTGCGGGACATAATTGCTGGACCGTCGTCGCTGTGCAATGATACATCGCATTCTTCTTCTGCAGTTGAATCTAGTATTGAGTAGACATAGAGACAGCTGGACCTCCTGCACTATGCATTTCCATGCCGAATCGGATGAGCTTATGGTCACATAGCAGTCAAGCACACCAGGAAGAAAACTGAGAATCAAGGATTCATATTAACGTGTTGTCATTTATCACTATAGGATTGTTGTAGTTAATAAGAAAATGAGTCTATCCTTATCATAGACAGAGGACGTCAAAGCCTTCTGCGAAGGCTCCAACCGCCGCAAATAACCCTGACGACAACCCAGCATGCAAAGCCTGCGGTGAGTCCAGACCCAGCAAGTATGATAAGTGTGCTGTATGTTCCGTCCCGAAGTTGAAGTAAGACACCACCTAGTGGTACACCGATCAAAGACCTATATATAGCCCTTAGCATAAGACAGTACAGTCATGGCCACAAGGTCTTCTTCATACCCAATACTAGAGAATGCATATACTGTCCCATATACTTTGCCATAGTTCTCTGTGGAACAGAGTCTTGACAGGCAGACAGGGACCAGGCTTATTCCAGATCCATTGGCGACGCCAAACACTATAACGAACAACCATAATACAGGCGTGTTGGCTTCGGCGGGGAGCCAGATGGCGAATATTGAAAAAGCGCCCAAGCCAAGGATGACAACTTGTGTGTTGAACCATCCCACATAGTCCCCAATAAACCCAGCGGCCCAGCGCCCGATCAGCGAGCCGACGTTCATGACAGTGACAAGGTAACAAGATGACGATTGCGACATTCCATAGTAGACTGCGTATGACGTGATATAAGTCATTGGGATGAACATCCCAATCTCAACGAGTAGAAGCCCCATGGCAATCAATCCCTCCTGAGGTTGAAGGAGGAGTCGTGGGTTTGGAAGACTAGCCCAACGGCTGGCTGGGGCGGAGGTCACTCGAGTCTCCATGAATATTATAGCGGCAAGCTCGAACGGGAGGAGGAGGCATCCTATTGTAATCGCAGTCCATCGAAATCCAATCTCCTCCAGCAACTTGCTGATGATCAAGGGGAGGATAATCCCGCTGACACTGCCTCCGCAAATAGCTACCCCTGTTGCCAAGCCACGTCTGTGAAGGAACCAGTGTTGAACAGTCCCAATGGCACATGTTGATAATGCGCAGGCACCAAGACCACCTATGACGCCGATGCAGAGGAAGAAGTGCCAGTATCGTTGGCAAAAGCCCAGCAGAATATATTGAGTCAAGAGAAGGACAGTTCCCGCAAGCGAAAGAGGACGGGCGCCGTAGGTGTCGAAAAGAGGACCTAGAGCCAGACTTGCGGCATAGGAAAGGAAATTGTAGAATCCGAAAATCCATCCTATTCTACCTTCGCTCTCTGAACTCAGCTGATGCGTTGAAATCCAGGACTGATACACCCCGATCGAATTAAGAAACGACAGAGCGCAGAAGAAGGCGCAAAAGCTGCCCAAAACGACAAGCCACGCTTTGAGTCCGCCGTCCGGGTAGGATGTGCATTTTGATACAACATCTCCCGCGCAGTCTGCCTCCGAGTCCGATGTTGGCGTCAAAGACGATAAACTTTCGTCGCTAGGACGTTTCTCTATGGCTCGTCCCCGCCCCCCAAGAGATTTGTCCTGGGGCTTGAGATCTAGGCTCATCATTCAAATCTGGGGGAGGAGGCGACAAGGGCAATACAATGTTCGGGAAGGAATTAGTTAACAATGGCATGGAAAGAATGCTGCGATTGGAGCCCTTCCTGGCACAGACTTCAAAACTTGTAGGGGGCTGGCTGGAATACCGAGGGATGAATCAGGTCATAGTTAGTCTGGAAGATCAATCCGGCAGCGTTAGTACGGAGATTGTGATGAACCGTAGAGCAGATAATCAGTGGAGACATGGTTCTTCTTCTCCATAGATCCTGTACTCCCAGGTCTGCATGAGGTGTTATGTTAGTGGGCTTTCCATAGCCTAATCATAGAAAGTCAGCGCAAGATACATCATGTAAACTGGCCGAGGTCATATGGACTATTTTAGTCACAACGTCATAAAATGACTTCATTCTTCCAGTGGAATGACATCTCTTTGTAGAGATCTGACTAGTTTCGTAGGATATTGCCAGGGATCATGTCACTAAAGGACGCCCTGGCTTCCTTTCCGCTTCAACGAACAGTGCTCAGGCAAATTACTTGCAGGCAGCTGTAACGAGCTGCACAGATAGGTAAGTGCTCGCTAGCCCTTCACAAACCTGAGATAGGATATGGAACCCGTAGCCCTACTGTTGCGAGGATCGGATTGCGCTTGATTTCTTAAAGGGGCAGGTTTGGGCGTCTCTCATGACCTTCTGAAACTTCTATAGCATTTCATACTGCAGCCAGCCACTAGTCTGTGGATCCAAGGCTCCGAGACGCTGGGTCCGACAGCCCCGAGATCTGCCAGTACGTAGCTGGCTGATGCTCCCTAAGGATGCAAGGGCATCCTCAAGAAAAGAGATTGACGCTCGAGAAGGGATGTGGAGGCCGTGCGCTCTGCCGGACTCCAGCAGGGCGGTCGTTCAATCGGCAAACATTCCAGTCCATGCCAGGAGTATGTCAAATACTTTGTCAAATTAGAGGAGCTATGAAGGATGATCAGCACAGGGGTACAAGGGCGAAAGATTGGGCAACACGTTCTAGGGAGATGTAGACGAAAGAGATTCCGACAACCTAGCACTTACTAGTGTCTCTCCATTGAGTCATAATAAATTCTTCCCATATCGATAATGGAAATGAGATGCATCGAAGCCAGAGTAGTGGTAGGAGTCGAAATGTTGATGAATTACCGCATTGGGAGTAGGCCACAGTGGGTGAGTCAGCCATTGCGGCCCATTCCCAAAGGAGAGGAGATGACCTCATCAACTGATGGCAGCTGAGGTGGAAGGGCAACATCGACCCTCGTTCAGCATCATGCCATCGAAAATGGCCGATGACATTCTTCTCTACCTCCTTACTTTCAACTGCGCCCGGAATCTCGTCGACATCGACCGGTTTGCCGACCATTTCTTCGATGCCTTGCCCCTCACCGACACTTCCATCTCACAGAGCTCCCCAGATGTCATTGCGGTCAGTCTTCAAGAGGTCGCTCCTATCGCCTATGCATTCCTAGGAGGGTCATTCCTTACGCCATATCTTGCTCGATGGAACCAGGTGGTAGACCAGGCAGTGGCTCGCCGCTGGAAGGATGTCCACTATGTCAACTTGCTGACCGAGAATGTCGGCATGACAGCGCTGATGGTGTTTGCTCGGTCTGATGTCGCAGAGAACATCTCAACCACGGCCTCCGCCTGCGTCGGGTTGGGTTTGCAGCAGATGGGCAATAAAGGCGCCGTTGGGGCTCGGTTGACTTATACCTCACCAGGTCCGGACGAAGTCTCGACCGATCTCACCCTAGTGGCAGCCCACCTTGCCCCGATGGAGGATGCCGTACACCAACGAAATGATGACTGGCGTGCTATCGTCGAACGTCTAGTGTTTGAACGCCCAGGCACAGCTCGTCCGACCCATGAGACCGGAGAGACCGCCGAGGAACCGGAACGAACTGCCCTTCTACACGAGTCTACATCGCACGCTCCAGAGGACCTCCGTGGCATTTTCATCCCTACAAGCTACCTTTTCCTCGCAGGCGACCTCAACTACCGCACCTCTGACGCGTCACCGAGTAAGCAGGACTCCGCCCGATTCCCACAGGCGCATGCAGATCCGACCAGCGCCCTACATTACTCCCACCTCCTGAAGGAGGATCAGCTCATCCGGGAGATGCAACAATCCCGGACGTTCCACGGCCTGTCGGAGGCCCCCATCACTTTTCCGCCGACGTATAAGTACACTAGTGCAGCGCGCCAGGCAGCAGGCAATACCAACCTCGACGAAGGGGCGCAGGAATGGCTATGGACGAGTACCCGCTGGCCCAGTTGGTGCGATCGTGTGTTATACCTGGAATCCCCACCGGGCCTGGACCGGGATGCTCAAGTAAAGCCGCTGGCGTACAAGGCGCTCCCGTTGTTTCCGACCTCAGACCACCGTGCCGTCGGGTTTTCTGCCTTGGTGCCCGTCCGCCCAGCGTCGCAGGGGGTTACGACCCGCACGGTGGCTCCGTTTCCGATCGATTCAAAATGGCGGCGTAAGCGAGATGCGGCTCGGACGAAGGAGATGGTGGTGGGTGGGTTGGCGTACTTGGGATGGACCTGGGAAGGCAACGGCGTGTTGGTCGCGTCAATTGTCGGCATTTTGGGGGCCTGGCTCGTGCTTCGATCACTGTTGAATGGTTGAATCGTGGAATCGATCCAACTCCAGACCGAGATCTCGGGTGAAACGTCTTGCCCCATGTCGATCATTACGATCGTCCGGCCCAAGAATATCCATGAACCATATACATGCAGACCGCTAGGTTTCATGCTCAAACGTTCTCGGTTGGGCAGCTTGACTCTCAGCCGCGTCTCCATCGACTATTTCGCCTGTCGCCCGCCTAGCCTCCTGGCGCAGTGAGATGGTTGCAACCAACAGCGGAAAACGCGGATCGTCCGCTCATGCGACATAGAAAGTGATGGTTCTGAAAGCCTAATTCGTGGTCAGCTGGATGCGAAATGGATCTAGAACGGTCTGGAGTCCACGGCAATGGGAAGTGGAAGGATGCGATGTCGATCCATCCTCAGCGGCTCAACGCAGACAAGCAGGATTTCTCTCTTCCCGCTGCACCAATGCCTGCAGCCGATGACATTAGGTGCGAGTCCTGCGAGTCTCGGGAGGCCACACGATATAGCAGGCTCTCGAAGGCCCCGGTGGAAGGGATTTCTGTTTTTTCCCCTTGTCAAGATGTCTGGTCTGACGAGAAGGCCGATATTCCGAACGGGCCGGTGCCTGAGCTATGAGCGGGTTGTGACGTCTGTCGGAATGTTCCCGCGGTTGACGGCACATCTGGGCCGCTGCATGCAATCTGGTGATTGGTTTGGCCCTAAATTACCTGGATGATGGGCATCAGACTCGAACTGTGGGAAACTTTTCATCCTGCCTCTCCTTAACTCGTATTGTGATTGCTATTTTTGCCCCTGTAGAGCTACTTCCCACTAGGGGTCCCGCACTGGACTGTTGGTGAAACGTGAAAGCCGATCGATTCCCACCGGTTGAGGGTCCGGTCATCCAGTGTTTGAAGCCAGGGCTCTTCAGAGGAACTCCTTCTCTTGTTGGTAACTATCGCGATTCACATGCCGAGAGGATGAATTCTCCGACCCGTCATACGATCGGGCAGTAGTCTATCTGATTCCTTTCTTCGATATACTTCGAGCAACAGACGAGCGAGCGATCCTCCGCATCATCTAAAGCACTCTCCCGCCGACCAATCGGGCAGATGGGGGATTCCCTCGCGACGTTCTTCGACTGGTCTGTCTGTCTGTCTGTCTGATTCTCGTCCTTGTTTTTCTTCCTACGGTCCAGGATGTTAGGGTAACGGGCAGGCACATGACCGGGCCCAGTGACCTCTGTCAACAAACGAACAGGATTCAAGCCATGCATGCACCATGACGCCGGAGGGACCAGCCACTAGAATCTAATCTTCCCCTCAACCATCCGTCTGACGTGATGATGCGATGTCAATGCCGAAGGCCCCGGGTCATCGATGACACCCATGATTATGGATTATGGATTCATCTCGCCGGTCTCGAGGATGGATCCTGGCGGATGCTCGCCGACGGGGATGCCCCCACTCCAGGTCGCCAACCTGACAATAATGCGGATGCCCAGTCCGCCTGCAAATCCCGTGACTCCATTGGTTCTGGCTGGACATGAAGGGGGAACGGGGGGTCCAGGAGAACATCGCTGTTCAGCTCGGCCGCCGGCTCGGGTGTTCCTTAGTTCTGGTGGTGTTGGCTGAGAATACGATCGTCTCCCGTGGATCGCCTTCCGCGAAGGGAAAGCCGGTCTCTTCATGATCCGATGTCTCCTCCCAGCGTTATTGGCGTAGGCCAAACAAAGAGATGCGGATGATGGGCATGACCGAGGACGGAGTACGTAGTGCAGGCACCCTGTAAGTGGCTCCGATATCCGCCTCTTCCGATGCACGAGGCATACACCGTTTACCCACCCCTCCTGGGAGATGGAGGCTTGGACGTTATTACTCTCATTATTGTACATGTTTTGGGGTTCAGACGGAGTACGATTACATACTACGGAGTTAGTAGGGGTAGGCCTGTGTGAGAGTTGTGGTGGCGATGAGGAGATCTGACTCATCAGCGAACGGCCGCAAACTTTGATTTGTTCCAGAAAGCGTCGAGGAACGGTCTGTTGCGTTGACCCTCATCTATACGAAACCGTTCGAAATGGACACCGGCGATTGGGACCAGTGGGGGTCCGTCCGACTGTGCCTGTTCGCCTAAGTAGCCTTGTGATTCGTATTGTCTGTTGGCTGATTATTGAGATTATGTATTACGGAGTACATTTATATTATTATCATCAAGCTGTGACATGGGTTATCTTTTAGGATTTCCCTCTATAGACTCGGGTATCAACAGGGAGTATAAAGATCGCGGTAGGCTTTAGAGGCCTCCCTGCCTACCAGATACCCAAGTAGTACTAAGGAGTCCGGGGATCCCGACCGGGATTCGCTACTAGTCAGTACGACCGGTTTTTCTGGTCTTTTTCTGGTCTGTTCTGGAGGATTGGCGGGACAAGTCCACAGCACTAAGAATATCCGGCATGACAAAGAGTTCTGACAATGGGGATGGACGTTGGATTATTCTGATGGCAGTGCAGAGTACGAACTCAATGGTGTTGGCTTTGATTTCATATAGATTATCTGATTTTTATTATATTGAAGATAAATTGTACTGTTTTATTATTATTATCGTGGTGAGAGAAATAAGAGGAAGAGAGAAAAAAAAAAAAAAGAAGAGGGTCTGGACTGCTGGAGCCCTAAATCGATCCCCAATCCGATTCGCGGCACGCTGATTGGACTTTTCTAGAATCCGGCCGTAATCAAATAAAAAAAAAAAAATACAGGATAATATTAAGGGAAATAATAAAATGAAATCGAATATGCCTAAAGGAGAAAATCAAAAAATAATCACCATTATTCTGAATAAAGAATTATAAAACCGTCGCATCACCCGGTGATATAAACCCAAGGTTCTCCAACTTCTACAACTTTCACCACCACCACCCGTTACTTTCTTCCTGCCTTTCCTGTCGGCCTTTCACTCCATTCCACGATCACCCTTCTCTCCTTTTCGGTGGCGCAGTCCACGCTAGTGTTTAGTGCCACTCACTGCAGAACAACGGCCCCGATCTTGACGTAATTGAGTGTGGCTTGGGCCTGTCGGGGACAATCGATTACTGCCTGGATTCCTTCGATCATCGCCAATTCCTCGCCTGTCTCAGTCTCAGCCGTGACTTCGGTCGCCGTTTCGGCTTGGGTCTCTCTTCCCCTTTTTGGGCCCGTCGCCAAATTCCGTCCCTGTTTCAGCCCTGTGCGCAGGAGAAGGGCTGAAAAAATTCCCCCATTTGCCAAAGAACAAAAAGGGTGCTCCCTGGAAGGAACTATCCGTTCATCCGTCGACTTCGTCTCTTTGTGATCCAACCTCGTCTCTCTCTGCGGATTCGACCCTCGATTCTCTTCTCGTCCCAGTCTCGTTGCGACAATCCCATCCATCCTTTCATCATGTTCTCTTGCGCCAATTATCCTCGCGGCTGTCGCGGCCGCGCGAATATCCAGGGAGGCAAATGCTCCGACTGCGTGGTAGGTTTACTTCTAGTTCTGTCTTCACTATCCAGTCGCACTAATCGCTAGCTTAGCAATTGAACCTCCGTCGTCCTCGCGCAGCGTCTCCCTTTGCGCAACCACGCGATTACCGACGAGAACTGCCCTCGGAGATCCTAAATAATTCACCATACAAGACTGCCGTGCCTCGAGAACTGCTGTAAAGCTCGCCACCCGTTCAAGGGGAATGAGTCAGTCGCGACGGTCCTGCTGGCTGGGGCCACGACTCTCGGTTCTCGTGCGTTCGGACGATTTCAACGCCCATTTCGATGCGATGCATGGCTAGGAGTTTGATCAACCCTATCGGGTTATTTCCTTATCACTGTTATACCCATCTTCCTACTTCCCCACCTCCTCCCTCAATCTCCGGTTCCTTTGCCTTTAAGGCGGCTTTGTCGGTTCCGGGGTTGCCATCGTTTACTTTCCTTTGTGTGTACCTATGCATCATATACTGGGAGGCTCAGCATGTCCGATTTCTCGTTTCTAATGATTGGTTTCCCGGGTGGGTGATGGCTGGGCTGGACTTGACCTCGGGATGGCACAACAACCAACAACAAACCGACGTGCTGGGAGGTCATACCGATAGAGCGTCATCATGAATCTGCTGCGGGATGGCGGGAAAGGCGCTGGCGGACATCCGTCTCTCGTTTGGTTTGGTTGGGGATTCTGTCGATTGTTGTGTGTGCGAGCCGGTTGTTATCATACCCATTTCTTCAACCGAGTGTCTATCTATTGTTAATTTGATTATTCCTGCCTTCATGCCCGTCAAGTATTCGTCACGTGAATTATGTAGACTGCGTATATGGCGGCTCTTCTTCACCCCGTCCCTCTCTTGGAGTTCTGCAGAATCTCTTCACACACCCATTGCGCCGTCCTCGTATGCAGACTCCAATATCGCTCATCTTCCCCACAAATCCGTTCGTTCCCCCCTACTCTTCTTCCCAGCGTTTCAAAGACCACCACCTGGTCTCGCATATACTCGTCCACGCAAGGCCGATCACCAGCGCCGTCCAAAGCAGACCCTTGCAAGCGTGCATCATACAATTCCCGGAGGAATCCCGCCACGCAATCCTTCGCTAGCTCTCGAGCTGCCACAACCGTTTCCCGGGACGCGTGGCGGTCCTGGCCCCCAGTCTGCCGCCGGCGCCGTTCGCCCTTAGCGCCTCCATACAGAGCGTCATGTCCGATCTTGAACCCGGTCGAGGTGTGCGCCACAATTAATACATACAAGTGCGAAAAATGACAAGTACCCTCGCTGGTGTGGATCCGCACAGGCACGCTGTCGCCCTTCTCACCGTCGTCCCTTGAGGAGCTTTGCGCATGGAGCACCCACGGGGGTAGGGTCCTCATCCCCTTCTGCAGCCCTACAAGGACCTCTTTCTCAACACAGTTGCGGATTGTAGCAGTGGGTTCACCTGAACGACCAATTTCCCAGTCCTGGTCAGAGATATGCTGATGACGCCCTCCACGGCTGGCCGTCCTCTTCCCTGTCCGTCCCAAAACCGGGTTATCCGGTGCAAGGACCGTAATATCGATCTGGGTAACCGATCCCCGCCGATGATTCCCCAGGTCAATGGACGGCAAGGGGGAAATTGGGCTATCGTTGCTGTCTTCGCGGCGACGCAATGGATCCACCCGTATCGTCACCTTTCCTAGATTAATTGGCCCCGTCGCCCACCCACGACGGTCCAGACAGACCTCGAGAGAGGGCAACCCGATCCGTGCCAAGTTGGGGACTAGCACCTGCGCCACGTAATCGAATGATGGCGAAAACGACACATTGGTTCCACCGGTGATGGTGAGCGTGATTGGATGCGGAGTCGTCGGCGACCTCGTCCCAGCATGTAAGAGATAAGGATATAGGGCTTGGAAAACGAGAAACACGGATCCTGCCGTGGCCTGTTCGATATGGATATCAGACCTGACCGCGACGCTGCGGCCCTGCGGTGATGGAGGACTGAAGGTCAGCGTTGACGATCCCAACTCCACCCCCGACACAGTTGCGCCGCTGAGTTCGGCGAGAAACTTGATCGCGGCAATGTGCGAGCCTTTCAGGCCCTTTTTGCCTGGTCGATTTCCTCGAATATGGTTGATCCGGATGGCTTGGCCGGTGAGAGCGGCGAGCGCGACAGCGATGCGAACGAGCTGTCCCCCGCCTTCGAGGGTTCGCCCGTCCAAGTCCAGGGGGCTCGTGGGTACTGTTTCCTGGCTCTGGGGTGGCTCTCGAGCCATATCGCCATATATTGTGGGTAATTCGAATATTGTTGGTATAACCAGCCCCACTGTTCGGTGTCCTGGAATCTGGAGTTTGGCTTTTTGATGCTCAATTGAGGTCAACTTCCACCCATATTCTCTTTATATACACGCTCGTTATGTGCACTCTCATTCCGGTGACTGACTCAAAATGTGGCCATGCAGACATCATGGAGGCGCAGTCATGACTCACCCGTCCCACCTGCAGCCACAATGACTCGTATCATACCAGGTCCAACACCGTGACTTCCTCTCGACATCAACTTATCGATGGAGCAACAACAGCAACCGCTGTCGCGCTCTTTCCCCTTGTTGCCCATAATGGCGACATCAAAAGGCAAGCCGTCCTTGCGGCGGCTTCGACCCTCACCATCGCATCTATCCAGCAGAGCATCTTCATTCTCTATCGGATCCACAGGTCTATCCCAGTGTGTTCACAGTTCTCAGAATGAGTTCACCGGCCCCCTACAGTGGGAAAGGATATCTGCGCAGGAGCATGTCAACACGCACCATCCGAAGAGGATCTCGCACTCCTCGGTCCTCCTTATGCTCCGAACCGTTTGACGCGGAGGATGCAAAACACCAAGCTACCGTCGCAGCGTCTCTGGCCATGCGACGTTCCGCCGAGCGGTCTTCCACGGATTCCAGGCGCTCGTATGATTCTTTGGGCGGTCCCAGCAGCATGGCCGTTCCGAGACGATACCATCGCTCAAACTATACCCAGGATCGAGGCGACCATACCCCTGCTCGCAAGCCTATGGCACGCGAGGTCGAACCCCAAGATAATGACCAGATCTCACTTGCGACTCTGCCCTCCATCAATGAGTTCGGCGGTCTAGATGGCCGCAACGCGTCGCTCCCTTCGTCGTATCGCCGGCTTCGTAGGTCCCGGTCCATGTTCGCACCCAGGCAACGCCTTTCTCACATTTCCTATGGACACTCACATCCAGAAGATGGGGACCAAGCCCTTGGATCCCCCCTCTCTCACGGAACTTTGAGACGGTCGATGTCTTTTCTCAGAGGAGGTGCTAGGTCTTCACATCCAATTCGGCATGCGAGAAGCCAGGAGGCTGCAATCCAGTTAGCTCGATCTGAGTTCGAAAAGAACAGCATCGCCAATGACGCTCAGAGTCGACATTCGTCTCTATTCACACTTAAACCAAGGAGAGACTACAGGCCATTTAGAAAAACGTGCCGTTCCACCAGCACCTCCGGCGTCGATCCATATGATACACCCTCGTCGGCTGAGCGCTATCGGAGCACTCCAGCCTTTGGGAGGGCCCGGTCGTTCTCTTCGTCTATCAAGAGAGGTATCAAACGTGTCCTGGGATGGAACCATTCTAAGCCGCCCTGTGACCCAGCACAACTGCAAACATCTCCGTGCCAGTCATTTGATCAGGAAAACCGCTCACCGCGCAGCAGGCATTACCATCATAGCACTGAGATTGGAAGTGAAGAAGAACCAAACCAACTTCGACCTAGGTCAAGCTTTGAAAGCCTGGCAACATCCTCTTCTCGTGTCACGAGCTGGGCGGATTCGACTGTTGCGAACACCTTCACTACGCGCCGACCTGGCGAGCAGAGTCACTTATCCATCATCCATGAGAGGGCCACTTCAGGTCAGGATCTTTCTCAACCTGCATCGGCTGACTATCTCCAACGGAAACTGCCCTCCACACCCAGTCCATCGAAATACTCTCCTCCCATTGACAGTCAACGCTTGTATACCGCCTTGATGAGAAAGATCGGCAACCCCAGTGTGAGGAGCTCAGAAGAAGAAATTGTGTTCGGTCGTGTCAAGGAACATCGTGCGATTCCTACGCGCATGTCGTCTGTGTATCCGCGCAGTAGCAGACAGACTATCCGTCCCGTTCCCAGCGACGAATCCATTATTTCCCGGGGATCTTTTACAACCGCCCGCGCAAACATTGTAACCCCACAGGCTTCACGCGCTGTGTTTGGGCAGAAGATGGCTGAGGACGACACAGGTAGCGTCATCTTCGCTACGCCAGAAGGTCTCCGAGCATCGCCAGACACCTCTAGCGTCTATTCGAGGTCCATTAGCGGAAATGGGCCAGCGTCAGAAGGAAAGGCCGCCGATATAGAGGTCGCTGTTTCAGAAGACGAACCTGGTGTAGCAACAATCTTTGAGATCAAGAGGACGACGTACTGTTCGCCCAATCGAACACCTCGATCTCCAGCAGATATGCCAATCCGTCCGAGTGTAGACTGGCAGCAGTGGATGAACACTCAGATGCAACGGTTCGACAAAGGTGTTCTGGTAAGAGACCATTACAGAGAGGAGGCCCAAATCCACGGGGAAGAAACCGACCTCGCCCATGATTGTCAGGACTCTAGCGCATCTCGCATCAAGGACCAAGGCCGCTCCACTCCTGCACCTGTTGACGATGAGTCCCTTTTCAGACTGCCTACCAACAATAACTTCTCCCGACCTTTCAGTCGGTCTTCTAGCGTTCGCACAGTCGTCGTTTCCCAGAAGGAGCCCGAAAAAAAGGCGGCAGTTCCGTATTCAACTTCGACATCTCCAAACTACGCTGGGCCGAATGCCTTCTGTGTCAGCCGTACGCGTCCGCGAAGCAATGCTATCAGCTTGTCTCCAATCCATCCCAAACCGGGTCACCGCTTCGCTCCTCCCGAGTCACCAACCCCGAAGCGAGGCCCGGCAGCCGTGCATCCGCGACTCACCGTGAAGTTGCGATATGGCAATCAGACTCCCGGACTGTCTCCAGACGGCCGAGCCCTTTCCCTTCGTTCGGCCCGGAGCTACCGCGATATCACTAGACAGACGAACGAGAACGTCAAGACCGAGGATCGGCCGGGGGGTTACAAGGATCTCTACACACAATCTCAGCAGAACAACTCGCCGATATCCAGTAAACGTATGGTGGAATTGTTCCTGGATAGTAGACGTCGACAGATGGGAACTGAAGTTTCCGATGGCAGTGTTACAGAAGATGCTTTCGTTTAAACCATGCAATACATGGATGACTGGCATATCTTTATCTTTTCATGGTCGCATTTTTGACGATCCTTTCGACCCTGTACTCTCACCCCAGCTGTCATTATTCTGGTTACACCTGGTAGTATTTTGCATTATATGCAGCCTCATTAGCTGATATGGCATGTCACCGACGCAAGACTGTACGCAAAACAAAAGACGTGTATGTATTATTAACAATAGTGCTGTAGCTATAATTCATACCCTCGTGAACTATTTGATGGACAAGCGCTTCATCAGGATAATGCCATCGCTGGGAGTGTATGCTATCGTTCACTCCACATAATTGGCCGGAAAACTCCCCTTGACACCACGCAGCTCACCCTCCCACCATTCGTCAGTACTCTCTGTCTTTTTCAGAACCCGAATGCGATCCCCCTCTCGGAAGGCAAGGTCGCCTGGGCTCTCCCCGCCGAAATCGTACAGAGCTGTGACGAAAAGCGCATTGGAGGAGCCTGCGCGGGGTGGAGGCGGAGGTGGGGGCTTCTTCTTCCCAGCGACAGCGGCGAGCACACTATGTCCCGGGGAAACCGATCCGGAGCCACTGGAAGGGTGACTCGGGCTGCGACTGAAGTAATCCGTTCTCGATGCTGCGGCCGCAGGCGTGTAGGAGTCGTTCGGCGACGAGGGAGTGGCGTATGTGCTGGGCACGGTGAGATTCGACGCGGCGGATGAGGCCAGACCCGTTGGACGTGGCTTCGTCTCATACACCGGGGACGGTTTCGTATCGAGGGGTGGCGACGGCTGAGAGGCCTTTCTGGCGGCAGGGGCAGAGGCTTGCTGGGGTTGGGTGGAGCTCTGGCCGCTAGGGCGACGATGAAAGTTCAGTCCATTGGGCAAGTTTGGTAGGCGGCCGTTGGTGATGCCGCCGGTGCGGTGGTCGTCTGTGCCATGGCCCATGCGCACGGTTTTGCCGTTGGCGAGACAGCCGAAGCTTTCGATTTCTTGCTGCACCGACAAGAAATCCTGCTCCCATTGCTCGACGATTTGCTCCATGGGCGGGGAGGGCGAGGGGAACCGTTCCTGCTCCGAGTAGTTGAGGATGACAGTATAGTAATGCCCGAGCATGGTGTTCTGTATCTCGATCTGGGCCGCGAGCAGCCGGGGGAGTAAGGAGAACACGGCGGCGATCAAGGGCGGCAGAATCTGTCGCAGGTGCTCGTCTGCTGCTTGGTATTCCTGTAACGGTCAGTCTCCGTAGAGTCGGATCGCATAGGGTATTGCCACGCCATACCTCAGTCGCTTTGGCCAGGTCACTCTCAGCCTTGCTGAGAGCCACATTGTCCCTGTCAGAGCGTTTAGTCTTCTTGGCATAACTATCTACACGCCCTTGATAGCGCTCGTAGTCCAGCTAAAGGCGGAAGCGAAGCATCAGTATTGTCGTTTCAATTGATGATGGGCGGGCGGGCAGCGACCAACCTTGCGATCGTCTCGCTTCTTGATGGTTTTCTTTAGCGGAGACATGAACTCCTTGGCTTGGGACGCAGGCTGGATCATGCGCTGGTCGACTGCGGCCAGCTCCTCCATCAGGTCTTTGCGCAATTCTTCGTATTCATCGTGGAGCTTGTTTGTGCGGACGATGGTGGCTTCAGGGGTCTCGACGGGGGTATGCGAAGTCGACGTATCCGCAGAGCCGACTATTGGAGCATAGAGCCCTTCGAACTCGCCCAGCATTCGGCTTTGATGAGAGAGGAGCGATGACCAGGCATCGCGCCAGGCACTTGTTGATTCGATGATCTGACGATGGAGGGGTCAATTAACGGCAAAACCAAAACAAGCGGAAATTGGACGTATTCTGCCGAGTGAGGAAGGTCAAGCACATACTTTACCCAGTAGCTTATCTGCATCATCGAAGTCTTTCAATAGAATGGCGACCTGGCTGTCATCGGCAGATCGCTTCATGAATCTGCCAAATTGTCGCTGCACGGACTGCATGGTGTCGATAGGCCCCTCAACGGGTAAAGAGCTGGGAGTGACAGTGTGGGGAAGGCAAGACGGATGGGTAAATTAAGGCGACGGGCGGAATGGCCGAGTCAATGTCAAGAGCGAGACGCGGCATGAGGATTCCACAGGGAGAAAGGGGTTTGACGAGCGGCCGCGGAGGAGGGTAAGAAGGGGAGAGCCTGGGAGAAAAAGAGGAGCCTGGGAAAGAGAGCCTCATTCAGCTCAAACAGCCGATGACGCAGCAACTTCCAGGGCTTTGCACTAGGCGTGTTTCACCCAGTCTCTGGACCACGCCACTATTTTTGTCATTTTGATCGTTGGCGGCGAGGAGTGAGGGGAGGGGTTCCAGGTGGGTTGACCCATGTAGATCGTTACCCCGAAGACCGGGGGCATTTGTCAAGCCAACATTGAATCTGTCGTGAGGTTCGCGATGTGTCGAGAGAATCAACACAGCCACGCCGCTGTGGTTGGAGTCGCGTCCACGGACCAGAATGGCCGTTCCTGCAATATTCGCGCTACCATAGGTTCGTCTCCTTCACGCAAGCAAGGGCTCAGGCTAGACTGTGGTGGAGCCAACAAACGAGATGCCTGATGGTTATGCCATGAGCCGTGGAATCGCCCATGGTGGTTCTGCCAAGGCGTTGGTCTATGCAGCCGCATGGTAGGCTAAAAACAGGTGCCTTGACGGTGAACACGACCATGATGGCAGATGCAAGGTGATACAACTGAGAGAAGAAAGGCATGTATGGATAATATAGAGAACAAGAGGTACTCCGTAGAAGAAGAAAAGGGAAAAAGAAGTCATTGAGATAGACAAGACGAAGTGGAGGAAGTATACCCACTAAACCGCTTTGGGACCGCAGCCTCAGGCTCTCTGCGGGTCCTTATTTTTCCCGCGTCACCTTCAAGCAACTCACATTCAACAACCCATCACCACCAACACCTCGCTTTTTTCCTCCGCCTCTCCGATGGTGCTCGGCCAGAGGGTCGCCATCTCGGGGCCCTCGTCCTCCATATGTCAACTCCCCGTCCCTCGCAACAGCCCTGGGCTGTTCCCGCGACCCAGAATACCGCCCCCGTGATCAAGTTCCGATGTCTCTATACCCACGATCTACGACGGAAAGCCAAACGCTGGCAAGATGGCTATATGCGTTTCCACACCTTCAACAAGCGTGTAATGGTCTATGATGCCACCGGGAACTTCATCGGAGATCACCATTGGCGCCAGGACGAGCCGTTGCAGGATGGTGACGAACTGGAATTAGACCGAGGCGTGTTGATCCAGGTGTGCGAACCTATGGAGAAGACTGAAACAGACATCTCGGCCATCTACAGTCACAAGAAGAGTCAGACATGGCCGTTTCAGGCCGAAGATCAGTCGACCGCCTCTATTCGTCCGTCTACGCCGGTGCGATCGTCGATCTCATCTCAGCCGACCCGTTCCCTCAATGACCTTCTCGGGATTAAGAAGACGGCGCCGGCTGGGAAATTGGTCTCGCCGTATGAGGAGCGGCATGGTACGAAGCCCAGTCAGAATGAACAGCAGACAGTCGAAAGGGCGCCAAAACGGCAAAGGGTGGATTCGTCAGCCAGACCGCAGCAACAGGACTTTCCCCGTCCACATCGCCAACCGGAAGTCATCGATCTGTCGGAGCCTTCGACGACTACAGGCTATCCGAGGAGAGGCGATTCCATTCCTCAAAGGAGTGCGAATGCTGTAAGGCCTCCGTCGAAGGTGCCGTCGAAGCCCTCGTCACCAGCCGTGCCGTCGAAAATTGTCGATAATGCCGTACAAAAGAACCCGAACCCTGTGCAAACTCCCTCAAATCCTCAACAGTCCCCGACGGTCCCATCGAGAAGCTGCCCTGAGCCCCCAGCTACGGCCAAACCGCCGCCCTCGGCCGCGAAAGTTCCATTAGCCGGTGGCCCGAACCCTCCATCCAACTCTCTTCGATTATCGACCTCGAAGCCACGGAAGAAGCTCATGTACAGGGATTTATTGCCAGGGCATGGATCCGCACGGACATCCACTATGCAGTCAGTATGTACTCTGGAGGGTATTCCGGGCTTGAAACTGACTTTAGTAGGGTCGTCGATCTGACAGCCTGTGACTCCAACCCAGCTGCAGACTACACCCCGTCAGCTTCGACAATGCAGGCTTTAGATGCTATTGACGATGATTCGGCTCCAAATCACACCCGAAATCGTGCCCCACACACAATCAAAGCGAGGACGTCTTTGACAGGGCTGCGCAAGGCACACTCCGATCCGTCGCCATTATTTAAAGCCCATATTCCGCCCCGGTCTGATTCATCCAAGAGCCCACTTAATGACGATGATGATACTAGCCAACAAGGCCCATGGACTTCTGAAGCGCAGGATCTCTTCGACTTTTGGCCGCCGGGACGACCGAAACCTACCTAACGGCTACATGATACCCTTCCTTCCTGTAGTATATAACCATGTGTTACTTAGCGTTGATGTCCATGACAATGTTGATACCCTAAACCACACAATACCATGCTGTAGATGTCCCAATGCCATCTTCCAACATAAGTCGTAACCGACTCCACTCACTATCCCCTCTTAACCAACACCCCAGAGACGTACGGCAAAGGCGACCTCCCAAACCAGCGATCCAACTCCACCGACTCCCAACCCCCGTCCGCCTCCGCCGCCCTCCGCAACGCAGCCTCCGTATCCCGATTCAAACAGCAATTCCCAAGGTACCAGCTCCACCCCAGGAACCCATAAACGGCCTGCAACGCCCGCGCCACAACAGATCCCTTCGGCGTCCGCCACGGGTTCACCACATGCTCCGCAACAAGCAGCTTTCCCCCGGGCCTCAGCAACCCATACAGCTCGCGGATGGTGCGCTGCATATCGGGCACGCTGCACAGCACCCGCACACAGATGATGGTGTCGAAGACGCCCGCCCCATCCGCAGCCGAAAGCCCCTCCTTCTCCAGCGCAGGCACCAGCTCCGCCGCCACCACGCTCGACGGCACGACGTGGTACTTCGCACCCAGGCCCTCGGCGTCGGCGCGTGCGCGCAGCTCCGCGTGCAGACCGGCGCACGGCTCCGCGCCGTAGATCGCCCGGATGGCCGGCGAGCGCAGGAATGGCATCTGTGTGCCTGTGCCAGGGCCGACGTCGAGCACGATGCCTGACGCGCGCGCTAGCAGCGGCGGGATCAGGTCTGATGAGCATTGCACGGGCGTTGGTGCTGCGTCCAGCGCCGGTGGCTGTTGGGTGGATTGCGCGTCTGCGCGGGTTGCTGTGGCGGGTTAGTTTGGTGGTATTCACGCGCTTCCAGGTGGTAGCTGAGACGGAGGGAAGGGTGGAGGGGTGACTCACTGCTAAAGGCGACCCAGAACTTGCCAAAGGCTTCATCGCGCAGCTTGCTTGTCTGGAGCAGCGGGGCGAGCATCTGTCCGCGCTTGAACACTGCGTCGAGATTGACTCGAACGTAGTCTGCGATTCAGTCAATAGTCTGCGGCAATGGGGTTTGTTGGACATGGTTGGGGCTATACAAGTCATAGCCCAGAAGAGGAGCTGGCCGGGCTCAACGAGGGACTGGATCCATTCTCTGGTGGTTGGCTCGGAGGATGAAGCCATGGCTGTCTATATGTGGCGCCTACACAACCACGGTGTCTTCGAACAAAATATCCCACGCACAACAGGTTGACTGGTAGAGAGGGATAAATGCATGGGATGGTTTGGATACACTAAAGAGAGTTCCCTCATGCGGGGACTGACTAATCACCGAGGGCACGGAAATCCGAATGGAGATGGATTCCCCTCACGATCTAGATTCTAGACCATGCAGATGCTACATCCAGAACAGACGGATTAAGATACCCTTTGTAAAGGTATGCTGGTTCACTATCACGATATAAGGTCTTCCCCTAGCATGGGCTCCTCCATAATCAATCTCGTCATCACAGATCAGAGAAATAAAGAAAAGACAATACAAAGTACAGTGCTTCAACTGGCGTAGATATCCACACAAGGTGAAGGAAGAGAGGAACATGCCAAGCCGAGTGAATGAATAACCTAAAATGGTACGGATGCATGCCAGGCCGATGGTAATATCAACAAAGGAAATCAAATCAAGAAATCATGGAGTAGTATCACAAAAGAATGACTTGGAAAAGCCCATGCATCAGAGAGGAGAGGATTCCCAAACGAGAGGATATGAGAACACCAAACAGCATTATCTGGCCGATCAGGCCAACCGACGATGCTAACTCCAAACGGCAGGGCCAACGAAGAGAACCAACAAGAACGAGTAATGGGCCATCTGAAATGCTAACTTGCACGCTCGTCAAATCTGCAATGCATCAAGTACGATGTAGGGTAAAAGTGGGACGCAAAGTCATCGATCAATGGTGGGAGTGGATTCGGTTAACACGAGGGCTGTATCGGCTTGTTCGTGCGAGTGAGCCAACGTCGTGCTTGCCTATCTTCAGAGTTAGCTAACGGAGCGTTGCAAGCCTTCCAGAGAGTGTGCATGCATACCATCACAGCAGGCCCGGACATTCTCGAGTCTGTCTGCCTCTTGCTCCTGTCTCTCCATCATCTGCCGCAGATCCTCTTCACTGTTTTGGTCGTGGACGCTACCGTCATGGAGGCTAGCGGTAGCATGGTTCGGACCCCTTCGACCGAACGAGCCCTTGATCGTGGTATTCAGTATCGTACTGAGGCGTGATGAGGAGCTGCGGCGGGAGTAGTTGGACGGCGTACTCAGTGCAGGGGAGAGACGGCCCGGGGTCGCACTGTGCCGCACTGACAGGGCAGATCCCGCGCGTTGTTTGGGCCAATTCCTAGCAGTCCGACTTTGCGAAGAGGAGATCGACAAGCGAGCTGTTTGGCGAGAGCGGGACCGGAATCCGGGGTTGAACTCGTCGATATCCTCCAGCGTGACATTACCGTCGTCCTCTTCATTCTCCGAGTTCCGGAGTAAGAGGTACGACAATGCATTAAACCAAGTCTCGTGCCTCTGACTCGTCGTCGCGGTAAAACGCACTCGACGGCCCGGACTCACCACCTCCAAGCTTCTACAGTGAAGACCAGGAGGGTAAGGATTGTCATCTGCCACCACTCGAATAGCTTCGATTGCCACACTCTTCGTTTTCAGTTCACTTTTGCCGGCAGACTGAGGGTCTTGTGTGCTCCAGTACAGCGTGCGTGTGTACGGATGGACCCAGAAGTAACGGCGATGTCTCGTATTAGACATGTCACTGGACCCTGTCTTACGCGTATATTTCCAAAGGAACTCGCCGATCATGGTCTGAGTGATAGCTTGAATCATGCGGGGATCCGTACCCGCCGCATATCCGTGGGCCATGGCGGCTTGGTTTGCATTGATGTTGAAACGCTCATCAAGTTCGGAAGCAAATGATGAAACGGACGACCGCCGGGATGCCAGGCTTTCACGTCTAACCTTAACCCGCGAAGTCGTGCTCTTAGCTGAGCTGACTTGACCCACGGACTCATTAGGTGTACGCGGCCGCTGAGCTGAGTTTGTCCGGTATGCAGAAGCTGGGGCAAGTGGAGGGCCCATCAGGGCCGGAGAAGCTGGACGTAGCTCCATTGACTTCTTCTCGGCGGCCATGATGATCTCCTTGTGGTCAGGAGGCAAAGGCGGGTGGCTCTGAATGCTAGAGGTCTGACTAGCAGCACTACCAGGTCTCTTGTGCAGAGAAGTTGTGGATGACTGGTGAGACGGACGTGTACGAGGCTTTGGTGTGGCGAAGGGGGAGTTACTAAGCTCCTTGGCCCGGTCACTGTCAGGCGGCGACAAGGGTCGGGACGAGACACGGTCCATCAGGATCTGGTCAATTTGCTTGGACGACAGAATGGTCTGAGCCCCATGATCAGTCTGAGTAGATGACTGGCGACGAGTATGTCGTGGGACAGTATTTCCAGAGATAGCACTCAACGGCCGGGTTGCTCCCGTCTTGTCCCACTCCCCAACACTACGATCGACGGGGCTGTCTTCGGCCACCACAACCGACGGCGCATCGGACGTTGGCTTATCGGCTGTAATAGCTCTAGACTCCGCAGGCGGGACGTTCTCCCCGGAAGGCAGCGGTGCGGGCACAGGCACCACGCTTATCGCAGGTGTGGACTCCACGGGTAGGGTCTCCACTGAGCGAATTGTGGACAGAGAAAGCTCCGATGCCAGTGACCGAGGAGACTCCTTGGGGTGTGGTGCGACTGGCTCGGTGCATTCGGGAGTAATGAAAGTAACCGTCAGGTCCGGAACCTGAGCTTCGGTCACTACTGGGTCCACGACCACTGTAGGCTCCGGCTCAGGGGTCGGTTCCGGCAGCGTCGCCTCGATAGGCTCAGTCTGCTGGAAGGAAATAACAGACACCGACAGCTCGGTGACGTCCGTGCTTGTGCCATGTTCGGCAACTGGAGCCGGAGGCGTTGGCTCAGGGAACGTTGCAACAACAGGCAAAGTATGCTCAGAAGAAACGACTGAGAGCGCCATGTCTGGCACGTACTTCGGCTCGGGTTCGGGGAGCTTGGCAGTGACTGGCTCCGTCAGCTGCGAGGAGATAGCTGATAGAACCATCTCCAGAGGTTCGGGAGCGGGTAGTTCGACCGGCTCAGTGGTACCTCCAACGAAGTACGACGTACTTAACTCGGGAAGCTTAGGAGCCAACGGCAACGTCTCTTCAAACGAGATCTCAGAAACGTTGAGTTCTGGCAGAGAAACAGCCGCATCCCTTTCTTCAGCGGCATGTTCATCCCACGCCATCTTAGGCGGCGTGGGAACGAATGCCACATGATCGTCGTGCGACTCCGGAGCGCCTTTAAGTGGCGTCCACTGGGTTGCGGAATGGACCACCTGCGGGGATTCGGTCGTCTCAACCGCCATGTCCGCATACACGGGCACAGGCTTTGTCGGGGTCGTAGGGGCACTGGGCTGCTCGCCAAGGCCTTCGCTACTCGTTGGAACAACGGGCTCCCAAGGATCAGTCATCACACCAGAATCGACCATGGCAGGCTTGGGCGTGTCCAGAGAGATTTCCGATGCTCTCCTCGAATCGGACACGGGGAGCATACGCGGTGTTGAAGCTTGTGAAGCGGTGTCTTGTTGCATCGGTGGGCCAAACTCCTCCTCACCATCGCCACCTTCCAGCTCTGCGAGCTCAGCAAATAAGCTCTGGCCTTCGGAGGCCGTAGTTGCTTGGGTGAAGCTTGTCGCAGGTGATTGACGCGCGCTAGGTGGTCGGCTGCCGTATGCCATTGGTGCTTCTCCTGAGGGGCGAATCTTCCGCAGCACGCTTCTCTTCTTGTGGAGTCTGAAGCGAGGGGTGGAATTCTGGCTGGGGGATGCGAAACCGCCATCTTCACTGTCGTCCTCATCTGCCGACGTGGAAGCAGTGCTCTGGAACGAGTTGCGATCCCGGGCCTTCGCCAAAGTCAACGACGATACTCGGCCACGGGGCGTGGTCTGAACGCGGTCTTCCGTTTCTGTGAGCTCATCAGAATCGGTACTGTCGTCGGCCATGCTCTCAATGCCGGTCTGGAACGCCTCGCTTTCTGTAGCGGTTTCTCTTTCATTAGCGGTCTCAAACGCATCGTCCGCCTCCGTAGCGGTGTGGTATGCATCACTGGGCTCATCAGACGACTGCACTTCGGGGCGGCCTCTAGAGACGTTCCGCGCCGATTTGTGCGATGGGCTTCCTTCTCCCGCATTGTCTTCCCATTCAGTATCATGAACCTCCACTTCGGTCCTTCCTTTGCGTCCGGCACCCAGGAGATCGGGGCGTGCAAGCTTTCGGACGGAATCCGACTTCGTCTTCTGGCGTTTGCTTGTTGGGCCAGTGGGCGCAGCAGCTTCACGACGACGCTGCTCCACTTCATCACGTGCCTCCTGCAGCATCCGCTTGAGTTCGATCTTCTCGGTTTTCTCGCGGTGGATGGTGCTCTTGAGGTTCTGAATCATACGATGAGCATGGCCCAGCGAGCTTCGCAGCGTCTCAGTCTCCAGGTGGTTGTGACGAGGAGTGAACTTGTTGGGAGACGGCGGGGGAGAGTTCTCAGGCGTAATTTGGTCTTGGTCATCCGAATCATTGTCCAGCGACACTTCGCGAATCGACTCTTGCTGGTGCTGCCGGATGCGCATCGCCACGGCCTTCGCAAGCTCTTCGTTCTGGGAGTTCAACTCTTCCACCTTCTGCTGAAGCGCAAGCTTCTCGGCATCTCCTGCGTTCAAATTCCTCCGCAAGAGATGAATTTCGGCATCATTCGCTTTTTGGGCCGCTGTGTGATCCTCAACGAGTTTGGCGTTTGTCTGTTTCAAATCCTCCAGCTCCCTCTCCACCGCATTCTTCTCCGAAGTAACCGCGGCCAAGTGACTGCTGATACGACCTTCACGATCAGCGGCCTCCTTCATCGCGGCCATCAACTCATGCGTCCGCGTCTCCAACGCCCAATTCTCGTCCTTGTAGCGCTCCTCGCTCTCGTCCAACACTCGGATCCGCTGCGCATATCCTTCGGCCTCCAGCTCCAATCGCGACTTCTCCAGATTGACGGTTTTCAAGGCCTCCTCTCGTTCAGCCAACAGGGCCTGCAATTGGCGTACCTGGGCCAGAAGAGAGGTGGAGATCTCGGTTGCGAACTCAATATCGTGGACTCGGCTGGAGGGTTGATTCCTCTGTTTCCGCGACGGAACGCTGACTTTGCTCGGGGAATTTGTCGCTTGACCGGCAAAGAACACGGAAGCCAGTGGTGACTGCGGAACAACGTTAGTCTGTCGCCGAATCGACAATCAAATCCCCGTGATAGCCCTACCTTTGGATCCAGGGAAGGAGTTCCCAGATGCGCGTCGTCCCCACCAGCGAGACGTTTGGGGCCCAAGAAAGCGCGAGCGGTCTCCCGTCCGATTTCATTGTACTCCTTTTCCAAATCGGCGAGTTTCCGACGCAACTCGGGACCGATCTGACCATCCTCCTGCTGCTGCTCCACCTCCTTCAACTTCTCTTCCAGGGACTTCTGCTGTTCGATCAGGGCCGTGCCCAACTTGGAGGCCTCCTCGAGTCGGCGCTCGGTCTCGGCGAGATGCGCCTCGAGGGCGCGCTTGGCCTGGGCGGGGGATGAGGCATCGAGACTGAAGAGTTGGGTATCAAAAGAGAACTTGGGCACGTCCCGCGGGGTGACGACGCCCTCGCTCGAGTTCGAGACAAAAGGATCATCCATCATGGGTTCACGGTGGATTGCTCAAATTTGGAGAGGCAGGTGGTGGCCCTCAGGGGGAGATGACTACCGTTGCGAACCTACGGACTCGATCCTTATGCGCGAGAATCAGACCACGATCATCCTCCGATGAGCCTGTGGAGGTATTGTTGAGCCGACCAGCGACTGGGGTTGTTGACAACTGTCTCGACGGTTTGAGAGTTGGCGTTAGGTGGGGATGCGACGACAATCAGCGGGAAGGAATGCGCGATCCTCGGTCGGAGTAGCTCAGAGATGGACGGGAGGGTCGTTTGAATGTTGACGAGGGTCGGATGGGAGACAACGGGAGCAGTGAAGATCGAATGAGTTACGATCGGGAGGGTCGGGAAGGAAAGTGTTGACGTCGACGTTGGCGTTGATGTTGACGTTGTTGTTGTTGTTTTGGGGTTAGAGGGGACGGCGGCCGAGATCCCGCTGGACTCAGAACAACACCGACAACGCGTTGTGGCCGTAACGGTCGAGTGTGCGTGCGACCAGGATGCAACCAACCACAACACGCAACAGTGGTTTGATATCAGGTACTTTGAACAGGTTGGAACCCAAGGTATCGACAATTAATTACGAGGATAATCGTCGTGGGACACAAGGAGTCCGGCACGTGGGAAAATTAAAATAGTAATTAAGAACGAAGGTAAAAGAGAGAAAAGAGAGAGTCAATAGAAGGAACGACAAACGGAATTGAACAGAAGAAAAGAAAATCGTCTAGAGAAAAGAGAGAGTGGAAGAGGATGAAGTCACAGCCAGATCGACAACGAGACGAGAACCGACTCGTTGGGGCGGGGAGAAGAAGAGAAAAGAGAGAAAGAGAGGGAGAGAGAGGAGAGAAGAGAGGGAGGGAGAGGACACGCACGGCTCAGAGAGGAGAATTAGGACCGTGCGGACCACGATGAGACGACTAACGAGTTCGTGGGTTGGGTTGGATACGTAACAATCTCCTCCCAGGACCGGATTCAATTCGATCATGGAATGATGCTCTGCTTCTAAGAGAGAGGGACAACAATATCATTCTTATGGATCTGATATTCGGCCCGGTTTAAGTTATCGAAACTAAGTTCTATCGACGGGTGTACCAAAGACGAGGTACCAGTACCGCATTCTGGGTGCGCCCAGGTACGGCTGACAGGTATCGGGTACATCGTCATCTCCCCGCCCGATCGGTCAGTCCGCATCCTCCTTACGCGGAGTAGCCCCGTTCAATGAGATCTTTGGGCCGATACATCCCTACTATAACAGAATGAAGATTCAGCTGTCTGCAAGAGTATCGATAGAACGTACCACTATGACCTCCATTATTATCATTGTTCGGAAGGGTTCTTTCATCCGTAGAACCGTCTGGTGGCATTTTCTCCCGTCTTTGTCATCGAGCGATTCATGTGATTGCTGAATCACTATCACGTGACATTTCCCGTCCTAAACAGGAAGCCTTTGCGCCACTCTGAATTTCAATTCATCCCAGCTCCAACTCACTTCCCTAACTTCTTCTCCGCCAAATCTCACCATGCCAGAAGACACTCAGGTGGCCGGCGACGTCCCTCAATTCGCCTTCAAGAAGCGATCCGCCAAGGCCAAGGCCAACTTCCGCAAGAAACCCGACACCCCTCCACCGGCTTCCGACTCCGAGTCTGGCTTTACCTCGTCGGATGATGACGAAGGCCGCAGGATTAAGCGACGTCGCAAAAATGCCGCAGTGACCGCATCATCAGCATCTAACGCGCCGCGAAAAGGGCCGTCTGATGAACAGCCGCCCACGAGCACCGCGCCAGCGCCCTTGGCCACCAGCAACGACGCCACCAAACACTCCAACTGGTACGATGAGGACCTAGACGAAAAGAATCTTCTCGGAAAGACTCGAGCGCGACCTACACCCAGTGACCCTGCAGCAGCGGACGGGACCTACAAGGGCGCGGCCAACTATTCTTCCTTCATCCAGAAGAATCCCGACGCGCCCAGCAAGAAGTTCGGCCCGATCAAAGCCCCCACCAACATTCGCACGGTGACCTTCACCGACTACATGCCCAACGTCTGCAAGGATTACAAGCAAACGGGCTATTGCGGCTTCGGAGATAGCTGCATCTACCTGCATGCCAGAGAGGATTACAAGCAGGGCTGGGAGCTCGATCGGGACTGGGAGGTTAATACTAAGGGGAAGACGGTGAGCGGCCAGGTGGTCTCCCAGCGGAGTGGCGGCAAATCCGCCGGGGACGCCGATGATGACGAGGACGATGAACTGTTGGAGAATATTCCGTTCGCCTGCATCATCTGCAAGAAATCGTATCAGAATCCGATCGTCACGAAATGCGGGCATTATTTCTGCGAGTCGTGCGCCCTACAGCGATACCGCAAGAACCCTTCGTGCGCGGCATGTGGCGCCAGTACAGGCGGGGTTTTCAACACCGCCAAAAAGCTGAATCAGCTACTGGAGAAAAAGAGAGAGCGAGCCCGGAAGCGACGGGAACAAGCGATCGCAGATGGCGAGGAGGTCAGCAGCGATGAGGAAGAGCCCGAGAGCTCATAAGCTGCGAGCTCTGTGTTGGACCGGACTTGGTTTTCCTGTACAATTAATCGACGGGGGTGATAAAAATGGCAGTCGGTCTGCAGCTGGTCTGCACGCTAAATGAATTTCTGTGATGTCTCTGAATGAGGCTAGTGTGACGCTACATACTCCTAGACCATATATAGTCCGAAAATAGCAACGATAGAATGCCCTAGTTTGAGTCTCAAAAATGCGTTAGATGTCTTATTAACTATTTTTGGGTCATCACCATAGTCGAGATTTACATAATTGCTTTCAACTCGATGAAGACAAGGAGACGCTTATGACCAGTCGTGACATGTTCTTTTGCTGCATAGACCCGGTTTGTTTTGTCTCCAAGTAGGTCCGCCCCCAGCGGCTCACCCTCCACCAACCATTCATGTACTGGAGTGTGTTCCAATTCCCAACATCCCGTCTACCTTCGCCCATAAGTGTCTTCTAGCGCTCTGGAGCCAATTCATTTCCTGGGCGTAGAAATGCTGACGTCCGTTCTACGGTCGGTTCCCCTTTTTCGACGAAGATGGACACCACTTAATTTCTCCAATCCCAACTTTGTCCGGCTATCTGCAAGCCAAGCAATTGAAGAGGAGACCCTCCCTGGCTATGTATCTGCGCGCTATTACCCGACTCGAATAGGGGAAATCCTCAAGGACCGGTATCAGGTCGTGGGTAAGCTAGGGTTTGGAGCCAGCTCCACCGTGTGGCTTGCACGAGACATGGAGTGAGACACATAGGATCCGTAATTATGGATCTCGAGTCACTAACAAACGTGTAACTAGTTATCGCCGTTATGTTACTCTCAAGATCTTTATCAAATCTGCGTCGATGGGGCGGCACTTGGATGATGAGCTCGATATATATAAACGCATAAGAGAGGCCTCACGGCGGCATGCGGGCCGGAAATATGTCCGCTCATTACTCGACTCGTTCGATGTCGTTGGACCCAAGACAATCATCGGTGCCTTGTGCATCCTCCCTTATGGGAGAGTGTACTAGCTTTTCTATATCGCAACCCGGTCCGGAGATGCCGACACCAGTTTTAGCGGTTGTGCTGCATCGTTTGTTTTTGGCATTGAACTATCTCCATACAGAATGCAAGATCATACATACGGGTATGTGCTCCTAATCTACATTGAGCGTTCTACTTCCATCACTTATGCGGAAGGCCTATTAGACATCAAGGCAGACAATCTTATGTTTGGCATCGACGATGACTCGGTGTTTAGCGATTTCGAAGCGAACGAACTCTAGTACCCTTCTCCTAGGAGGGAAGTAGAGGGCAGAACAGTTTATGTTTCTCGGGAACTCCGAATGCCCAAGCGATTGGGTGCCCCCGTGCTATGCGACTTTGGCTCGGCCGTCCCTGGTGATCAAATACACAGAGAAGACATTTAACCTGATATCTATCGGGCACCGGAGGTGATTTTGGAAGCACCATGGAGCTACGGCGTTGATATATGGAATGCGGGATGCATGGTAGGAGACTTGGTAGTATAATGCACAGGCTAGCAATTCCTGACTCGTTGCAGATTTGGGACATCTTTGAAGACGGATCTTTGTTCACCGGCCAGGATCCAGAGTTGCGGACTTACCGAAGTCGAGCCCATCTCGCTGAAATGATAAGTCTTCTCGGGCCGCCGCCACCAGGTCTCCTTGCGCAAGGGAACTTATCTCGGAAATTCTTTTCAGAGGAAGGTGCGTCAACTATCGTCCTATTATTTGGGTGAGGCAGGCACTCACTATGTCTGATTCAGGTCACTTCTCCGCTGGGATCCCGGTACCAGAACGTAACCCGCTGGAAAAGAGGGAAACTAGACTTGAGGGACAGGACAAGGAGATGTTTCTGTGCTTGGTACGAAAGATGTTGCAATGGGAGCCCGGCAAACGAAGCTCCGCTGGGGAACTGGAAGAGGATGAGTGGTTGCAAGCTCAATTGCATAAATAGTCCGTGTACCATCAGTATTCTTATAGCATTCGGGCAAATCATGCGTATCTGGTTATGGATGGCAATAATATCAGAGAGCAGGAGATCAAATATCGGAAGATAATATCTTTCATGGGTGGTCGTATCGATATATTGGGATCCTTAAAATATATAGTATTTCCTGCACGGTCACGGCCAAATCTCCCTACTTACTAGGATGTTGATATCGAATCCTGTCAAGAAGACCGAGAAGATTTCGACACGATCATCGAACGATCAATGCCAAGGAAGTGGAAGCGGGTTGTTTATTTACTTACGCTGGTCTTCGTTGACATCATTCCAGGGTCTCTCAGGAATTCAGCCTTGACCTAATTCAGCGATGGAGCTTGGGTCCACTGAATGGAGTGAGGACTCCGCCTAATTGCTGGCGATCCAGCCGATCAGGGCTTGTCAACCCCCCGTCTGACGTGCTCAGAGACGAAAATAAGGGACCGCGGGTCAGCGTCTGACCGTCGCCTCCACCTGGAGACCCTTCCCCTCCGTTCATCTCACGGTGGCTGTGACAGGCGTCGTCATTTGGCTTTGCCCCTTGTAGCCATCCCACGGGAAACTCCACGTGCGGCCCGTGGTTCGCGGGTAACCTTGTGGCCTTCTGATGTTGGTTGCTTCGCCTTCGCAATGGGACAAAGAAGGGCAGGTTGAGAGGGGAGAGAGGCGGGTGAGGGAGGATATTCAGGTAGCGTGATTGGAAGAAGGAAACAGCCAAGCTTCCCCGGTGAGGGCGCTACCGCGGGAGTTGAAGAGGCAAAAATATTCATTGGACGCAGGGGTTGGTTAAGGTTATCCACCGGCCGTCCCTGCATTTCTGGCGCGCCCCACTCGTCAGGAGTCCCCTACTGGTCGCTCAACAACGCGTGGCCATTGAAGCCCCTCCCTTTTTGGGGAAGGTTCTCCCCCAGTCGTACCATTGCTTCTTCTCTTGGGGGACCTAGATTAACTAACCATCTGGTTGCCTCTTCTCTGGTCCATTGTGTGTTCTCTCTCTTCTCCTCTCTTCTCCCATCATGCTACTCTAATCCCTCCAACTTCTACACTCCTTGACCCCCTTTCATTGCCTCCTTCCACGCCAAGTCTTCCCATCTTTCCCTCCTTCTTCAAGACAGTCCCTCCCCAATTGCCTCTCCTTCGACCGGTCTGCTTTCCCTTTCAATCGGTCTTCACTCCTACCTGCCATTGACCTCACATACGACCTCTCAGACCTCGGGTTCCTGTCTATGCTCTAATTTTCGGTTCGAGTCCATAATCAGGGTGCCTCATTCGGCAATCCCTGTCCCCATCACCCCAACCTCTTCACCATGAAATGCGGCTTTCGACTCGCCATCTGCGCCTTACTGGTACTTCTCGTTCCATTCTACCTCCTCAAGGCCCATTTGGAAGACCTCTGCAACCAGTATCGCGCGGGCGCGTACTTCATTGATTGGTTAAACTACAATGACCGACCACACGGGAAAGCTACCACCGACCCCGACCTCAAGGGGGATAAAGTTATTGTCATGGCGAGACTCGAGGAAGAGCCTACTGGCTGGGTGGAGGAAGAATTGCCGGAGTATGGAATATCTCGTTCGAACCCCGTGATCATCTGGACTAATTTCTCATTCTCACAGCTGGCAATCTGCCATCTACGTCGTCAATCCGTCGAGGGTCACGATAGAGAACGAAAGTGCCCTCAAAACTCCCTTCAACAAGGGCCACGAATCCATGGCCTACCTTACCTACATAATCGACCATTACGACGACCTCCCGTCCACCATCGCCTTCCTTCACGCACACCGGGCGGGTTTCTTCATGGCCTGGCATGTCGATGCGCCCTTGCACGATAATGTCATGGCTATGCGCAACCTCCAGCTCGATTTCGTCCAAGAGAATGGCTACGTGAATCTCCGCTGCAATTGGAACCCCGGGTGCAAGGCCGGTCATCGCATCAATCGTCATGTGACTGAAGGGGTGTGGGAAGAGATGTTTGAAGGCACCAGCACTCCGCCCTTGAACTCCTCCACGTCCCCGGCCGTTGGGGACTACGCCCAAACCCAGAAGTTCCTTCAGGCCCCGAAGGAGGTCGGCGCCGCCTGCTGCGCCCAATTTGCCGTGTCTCGGGACCAGGTCCGTCGACGACCGCGCGATGACTACATCAAGTTTCGCCAATGGGTGATTGATACGGACCGAGACGACGCCAGCAGCGGTCGTATCATGGAGTTTCTCTGGCATGTCATTTTTGGCAAAGAATCCGTTTAGTAGGTTTTACGCCATCCCTTGGAACTAAGATCGGAGCGCTAACGGAAGTTCCAGCTGCCCTGACGAAGAGCTCTGCTACTGCCAGGTATATGGGAAATGCTGATTGGCCACCCCATCACCACCTACGTTCGTTGTAAATATTATGCGACCATTCTTTTATTGCTTTGTCTTATGTTATAGAGTCTATATAGAGCGTGTTTTCCGGGGTTGGAAATGGCGTTGCTTAGATGGCTTGTTATATTTTGGAGACATACAATCTTTTTAGCTATAGCCACCTCGTTTGGCTACATTTTCTTACTCTTCGGTTCGCTATCTGGACGCGCGTCATCACATCTGGAATATGCGCAAATGCTCGTGATTGATCAGGTTGACCTGATCGACTTGCCGATCGTGGGACCGCTGCAGGCTTATGCAGACGCTTTGTTAGGGGCTTGTATAGCTGCACTTCACTGGAGGGTGCTGATGGAAGGACTAAGATTGAACTGAAGAAAGCTTAGTCCAAACGAACAATCTTGTCCAAGCATGCTAGCTGCTAGTCATTCCGCGAGAGAGAAAGAGAGAGAGATTTATATATATATATATCCGTGGCGAAGGTGTACGCTGAGCCTCCTTACGCTCGACTAGAGCATACCTACGCCCTACGTTATATCCACAGCCCTTCAACCCACACCAATCTCATCAATCATGTGGTTATCTGGATTCCTACTAGGAAACAATACCAACACCAAACGCCAACGCCCGCAATATCCATGAATTAATCCATGCCCGGGTATACTACTTCCGATCAAAATACTCCTCCACTCGTTCCACCAGATCCGCCTTCTTGCCCGCAGCGGAACGACCATGCGACGTAAGGAACTCCTTCAACAAGGCCACCGTAAGCTGCAAATGCGGGAGACATGTTAGCACATCGAAACCATACGCATCATATGCATAAAGAAAAAAGCGCCTTACTTTTGCGACAGTCCCCTTCTGGTAGTGATGGTGGACTTCGTCGTCAATGCCGCTGGGAGTGGCTTCTGCCTTGATGCGTTTCGATGGCTTCGCGGCGCCGTCTTCGGTTTCTGCCGCCCGGTCCTTTGCGGTTCGTTTCGCGAGGGTGCTGTTCGGGCCAGGGGCGGCGATCTTGGCATAATGCTTCTCGAGCTCGCCGGCCCAGTCCAGCACATATTCTCCAGCACGCTTAGAGCTGTTAGTCACGGTCGAGTCAAGCCACAGGGATCGAATGGGATGCAAACGCACCTTATGGATTTGGCGGTATTTGGGTACTGTCTTGTCTTCCGGCTGCTCGGGGAGATCCTCGTCCAACGCAAGAGCTTGCAAAATCCGATAGTGCCATTGAAGCGCTGGATACGTTGTTAGTACGCGGGGAGAGCGCAAATGGTGCACCAGCCAACTTACAAGGATTCGGGTATTTGGAGGGCTCGTACACTCCCTTAGGTAGCTGCAGTTGTTGGATTATGAAGCGCATTTGGTCGATTAACGGTTCCGGAGCGACACTGAGCGACGTTTCCGGGTTCTGTCGTACATCGTCGGCGAAAGGTAAGGGGATGATCCACATGCCGGGAGGGAATTTCTGCACTCCATTTTCATCGAGCTTTTCCTGGCCGGCAATCATCGCACCGAGGACCGGGGCTCCGTTCTTGCGAGGAATGAACCACACCAGCGCCAGCTTCTTGTCGCGAAGCAGCGTCTGATGAAGGGCGGAGAACACGCGCGTAGATCCAATGAAGTCTTCTTCGGAAGGATAGATGAAGAACGGGTGTTTGACGTTTGCCCAGAAGGGAAGAGCTGAGAGGGGCTTGAACCCGATGATGCGGATAACAGGGTCGCCGAAATTGCGCAGTTCCTTGAGCTCCTCGGGAGAGAAACTGACCTGGTCGCCGCCGAACTTGTATGCTTTTTTGACCTCCCATTTCTCGATTGTCCGAGCGGTATCGTCTGCGATTTGGGTGGTGACTCCTTTTGCAATTTGGGGTTTCTCGCCACCAAGCCAGACAAAACAGTTTCGGGCGGGTTCCTGCCGCTTAAATAGAAGATATCCCGAAACAGATATCTTGAAGTCTGGCCCTAGCTCTAGTGGTATGTTGGAAACATAGGCACGGCGGGGAACCGATCTGGAGTTAATACTCGAGAGCAGTGTATTGAGTAAGGAGATGCCGTCGGCGGTAGCGGTCGTATCTTTGGAGTCAAGCTTCAGGTATGAGGGAGCTTCAGGATCGGTGGGGGAGGTCTTGTAGATAATGTCCTAGGTGACATGAGCATTTGCGCATTTTTAGCAAAAGGGGTTTCTTTACATCGTAGAATTGGCTGGTATCAAAGTCATGGTCTGGACGCGAGATGGGAAAGAGCTCAATGATGACGCCAAGGTCGTAGAGATCCTTGGCTCGGACCGTCGCCGCAGACCGGAGAGATTTGTTGTCACCATGGGGGTTGTCATTGTCCGTCACGATGAACAGCCGTCGAGAGAGAAAATTTGGCGCCTTGGAGGTAAAGATCTGGTTGGCGCAGAAGAGAACGTTCGCCATGGAGACTCGTTCTGTGGATGGAACGAGCACATCTCTCGTTTTACCTTCATCTTCGGCCAACGCTCGGAGGTCCTTCACTTCCCGAGCGGATGGAATGTCCAGGTCCGTGAAGAGATAGCAATGGGGGTATGACAGATCGCCTCGGCTGTTTTCATCTTCGTCGTAAAACTTGGATGCCTGTGTGCCGTACAATAGGACCCCCATCATATCATGAGGATTGGAAATGATCCGCTGCTGCATCAAATGGTATGCGCACTTCAGCGCGGCGGTGGTTGGTGATTCGCCGGACGATTTTTTGGGATCTTCCGACGGACGAGGAGAGAGCATAGAGTCGCTGACTTCGATCGCAAAGAGGACGGCATCTTTCACTGTTTTATATCCCTGCGTGGTTGGTTCCTTTCGTGAGTTGAGAGACTCTCATGATTGATCCAGGCATGACGTACACTGTCATCGAGCTCCTCCTCTTCCTCCAATTGCTCATCTTCGCGCGCTGGGTTGTCGTCCGCCATGGTATTTCAATTTCGCAGAGCCACAGTAATATCAGGCCATGGGAGGGATTGTGAAGGATGAGGCGAATAAATACACGGATACTAGGCACTACCTAGGTATACCGTTTGCTGCCTGCCGCCTGCCGGCGGGAGACGCGATGGGCGACGCGGGGAAACACGAAGGTCATGTGACCTGATGACGCTGGGTTGTCGGTGATTGGCCCAGTCGGGTCGCTCCGTCATCCGACCGTTCGGGACTTCTGCTGCATTTGTCCCTGACAAATTCCTTCGCATTGCCACGACTTCCTCTTCCTGGTCCTTAATTCCTGCTACAGTCTGGTCCGCTTGTTAGTGCTGTTTTGGTCTTTTGCCTTCGACTCTATCCCAATTCTCTCTTCGCTGGCATGGCTCTCCGCAGACCTTTCGGCCTCCCTCGGCAAGTGTTGCGCTCTCCAGTGCGGAGCTCTCTTGGATACAATTATGAACAGAGGTTCAACCTTGCAACGGCTGTACCGCCGGTGACTCAAGATGCGACGAGCTCAAAGGGCCCGACAGCCATGGTGTTTCTCAATATGGGCGGGCCGTCGACAACAAATGAGGTGGAGGACTTTCTGAGTCGGTTGTTTGTACGTATACTCTGGGCCCGACCGCCCTTGGGGTCAATTTCATCGCAACACTAACATCGTTCCCATCGTGAAGGCGGATGGTGACCTCATTCCCCTCGGAAGACTCCAGACCTACATTGGCCCACTCATTGCGAAGAGAAGAACGCCGAAGATCCAGAAACAATACGCCGACATTGGAGGCGGCTCACCCATTCGGAAATGGTCAGAATACCAGTGCGAAGAAATGTGCAAGCTACTCGACAAACTTAACCCGGAGACCGCCCCTCATAAGCCTTACGTCGCGTTCCGGTACGCCGATCCGCTTACGGAGGAAATGTACACGAGACTACTGGACGACGGATTTGGGAGAGGCAAGGGAGGCCGCGCTGTCGCGTTTACGCAGTACCCGCAGTACTCCTGCTCGACGACGGGCAGCTCTCTGAACGAGCTGTGGAAATGGCGGAATCGGTTGGAGGGTAAGCGCGCAAATGGCGTTGAGGACCTGACTGGATCGATCCAGTGGAGCGTCATCGATCGGTGGCCCACCCACCCTGGACTTGTCGAAGCCTTTGCGCGGAACATCGAAGATCAGCTCAAGACCTATCCCGAGGACAGAAGAAACGGTGTGGTCTTGTTGTTTTCCGCGCACAGTCTGCCCATGAGCGTAGTGAATCGAGGTATGGCTGCCCGACACCTTCATCGTGCGAATAACTCCAGCTAACTCGCTTCTCAGGTGATCCGTATCCAGCCGAGGTTGCAGCCACGGTCCATGCGGTGATGCAGCGCCTTAATTTTAGTAACCCTTACCGCCTCTGTTGGCAGTCGCAGGTGGGCCCGTCCGCTTGGCTGGGCGCTCAGACTAGCGATACTGTGCAGGAGTACGTGAAGCGAGGACAGTCCGATATCATCCTGGTACCGATTGCCTTCACCAGCGACCACATTGAGACTCTGTATGAGTTGGACCTTGAGGTGATGGAGGAGGCCAACAGCCCCGGCGTCAAGCGAGCGGAGAGTTTGAACGGAAACCCGGTGTTCATCCAAGCTCTTGCCGACATCGCACAGGACCACCTGCGCAAGGGAGAGAAGTGCTCCCTTCAGATGACTCTGCGTTGCCAAGGCTGCAAGAGTGACCGTTGCTTGGAGCAGAAGAAGTTCTTTGCTGGCGAGAAAGCTGCTTCCCTGGTAGTATAGAGTCCGTGTATCGTGTTGTCCGGATTGCATTTTCTGTACAGTATATTTGTATCGGGGCGTTTGGATTTGGGTGTACTTGAACTTCAATCGACGGCATACAAAAAGTTGTCTGGATGTGTAGCAGTAAATTAACGATATAGACGCTGCGTCTCGCATAGGTGGTATGGTTACATCTATGAGCCCTGCAGCCTCGGGCTCCACTTTAATCCTCCGCACGTCAACCATCTTTGACAACTCCTCCGAAACTTCTTCACTCTTGTCGCAGACTCACCCTGGTTGCTCGGATTTCGGCGATTAATATTCCGCTCATTAATTATGTCACGGTTGTATAACCATTGACTGCGGAACACGCCGCCTCTTATCATTGGCATGCACCCTTGCTCGGATTCCTTGATTGATAAGCCGCTGACGCCCCTTCACAATGGCCTAGGCACATACATTCATTATCCTTCCTCCTGATATGCGCTGGATCTCCAAGCTCGCCAATGTAGAACCATCCCACCTCGCTTTTGCCAAGACCTTCGAGCCGGTGTGATTCAACGTCGCAATGGAAAATGAGGCGTCATTAGCCGCCAACAGAGACATTGACGCACAGCTACGACCCAGAACCACCGTTTCCCGCGATCACCGTCATCCGCCGTCCCGCAGGGACGACACAAGAGATACCCTCCAGATGCACAATAACGAACGAACACCTTTACTTCCCCGGTCAGGGGAAGACTCAGACCAGACAGATTGGGACCCCTCTCAAGATGCTGCCGACGAAACCCCATCGGCGTCGTTGCCATCCTGGCGGAGACCCAGTGTGAGTGCTGACCCTTTGCAGCGATGATACACAGACATGTCCTTTTCTAACGCCATCCAGGTCCTCTGGCTTTTCCCCTTTCTGCTCCTCTATATGCTTAGCTTCGGGGGGCCTGTGGTCCCCAAGATCAACCTAATGATCTCTATGATCTGTAGGGATTACATGCAGAAGAGAGCTGAAGCGGACCCAGGTTTCACTTATCTTCCTGTCATCATCGGCCAGGACAATCCTCAGTGTCAAATTCCAGAGGTCCAGTCTCTTGTGTCGCGATTCCAACTTATTTTCAACCTGGTAGCCGGCATCCTGTCGGCTTTGGTTAGTCCTCGACTAGGTCGCATATCAGACCGCTATGGCAGGACACGGATTATCGCCTTGAGTGTTCTCGGGACTCTATTTGCGGAAGCCAATGTCCTCCTTGTGGCAGCTAATCAAGAGGAAATGTCTGTCAACATGCTGTTACTGAGTGCGATCATAGATGGACTAGGGGGTTCCTTTACGACCGTTCTGGCCTTGACAACATCGTATGCGTCCGACTGCACAAGCTTCAAAAAACGCAGCGTGGCATTTGGCTACCTGCATGGATGCGTGTTCATTGGAATGGCTGCTGGCCCACTCCTGGTCGCCTTTCTGATTAAAAGTACAGGCACCATATTAAGCGTCTTTTATGCCGCGGTGGCGCTCAATGCGGTTTTCTTCCTAGCGCTTCTCCTTGTTATTCCCGAGTCACTTTCAAAGGAGCGTCAGCACAATGCACGCGAAAAGCGACGGGTGAGACACGCCAACAAGGAAAAGATACGCTGGTTCACACTTCAACGCTGGAACCCGAAGAGAATTGTTACCCCGTTGACACTTCTGTATCCGCCCGTTGGACGCCCCAGTACCTTGTTCCCTTACCCTGGAGGAGCCACCTCCGCTATCCGAAGGAACATCCTTCTGCTTTGTGCGATTGATACTGTCATATTCGGACTGGCGATGGGGGCTGCTCAAATCGTCATCATATATGCAGAATATATGTTCGGCTGGGGAAACATCGAATCGAGTTTATATATCTCCCTGGTCTGCTTTGTCCGGGTATTCAACCTCTTTGCCGTCCTACCCGCAGTGTCATGGGTTTTCCGCAAGCAACAGGTCGGGGACCACGAGATCCCGGGATCGGACATGCTCGATGTGGTCCTTATCCGTGTCTCTATGTTGCTCGATTTGGTTGGACATGCAGGATATGCCTTGTCGAAAGACAGCGGCGTGATGATTTTCTCCGGAGTGATTACAGCCCTCGGAGGAATGGGATCGCCAATGTTGCAGTCTTCCCTTACCAAGCATGTGCCCCATGAGCGGATCGGACAGATTTTGGGACTCAAGGGACTTTTACATGCACTTTCTCGAGTGATTGCTCCCACTGTTTGCAGTCTGATCTATAGTGTGACTGTTGCCAAACTGCCCCAGGCCGTCTTCTTTTGTTTAACCGGGATCTATTTGCTCGTGCTGGGCTGCAGCTTCTTTATCATACCTCACGGTAATTGTACCCCTCTAATTGCGCATGCGCCGAATACTGACTTTGTCATAGCATCGCTTCCGGGAACCAGTACAGACGACGATGGACACGCTGAGCCGAACCAGGATGGCGAAGAGGTGGAGACACTGCTGCGAGAAAGCACGGGTACTTTATGATCTACTTAATGTTCACAGTTTTCATAGAAGATTTGTAAATATGGTAATCCTACGGAGTCAACGTGCAGCGTTGAAGGTATTCTTAGCTCTTAGCTCTGGTGGGCTGATCAGGACCTTCTGCGGCGGGCGACAGAGACCAACTCCGCCGACCGGTTGAATTGCTGCAAACTTTCCGTCCGGAACAATCATCCATCCTCCCGCCAATTCCATCCTACAATTGCTGCCCTCGCCGACTTCTCAGGATTGCAAATCCGATCTTTCCAGCATCATAGAGTCAAATCTCCTTCTTTCCCCCCTGATGGTCCATCGGTGAGACGTTCAATCGCCCGCTCTCTGCGGTGCACACTTTTCGACCATGATTGCCAAACCCGCATCCGGGCCTCCCACCATCCCATCGCGAAATGCTCTTCGTGTTCTGCGCAGATTAGCTCTGGCAGGTTCGACCGTCGGCAGCTTTTGCACCGTCGCAGCAATCACCTACGATGTCCACCGCAGGGTCCGAGTCGCCGAACGCATTGTGGAAAACAAACGTGCCCTGCAAACCTCCGCACCCAACTACGATGCGACTTATGCGGCAAATAGGCTTGCGCGGATGATGGAAGCTGCAGAGGCAGGAGAATTTACGGGCATGGATGCTTTTAAGGAAGCAGATCGGAATCGACTGGCTGCCAGCTCCCAGGCTGAGGCGAACCTAGGAGTCCACAACCGTGATGAGCCGTTGGATATTGGAATCGAACACCATGAGAATTCAACGCGGGCCGAGTCTTTCCTTGGACCAGCGCGTTCGAAGCTGGTCAACCCCGTCAGCTCGACCCAAAACTTCGGCACAATCCCGGCGCAAGCTGATTTCGTCCCCCCCGAATACATCGCACCTACAGAGGCCCTCGACCGATCGAAGCTCTCTCTGGAACAAAACAGAGCCCGCACGAAAGCCGCTTCGCCGAAGGAACATACTATCGTACAAACAGATGAACACAGCTCCGTGCCGAGTCAGATGCAGCAGCTCCTGGACCACGGCCGTCCCATCGACGCTGCGCAAATTTTCCTGGATGCCCACCCGGCCTCGCTAAACGGTATATCTTCAGACAGAAGGGAACTTGCGGTACAGGCATTCTATGTGAATTGCAAGGAAGAGAACGTTTTCATCGCGCGTAACATATTCGAACGACTAGAGCAAGTCGACAAGATATCACCGAACATGTGGAAGGTGCTGATATTCGCATTGGCGAGGAAAGGCTGCATCGAATCCGCGGCGACAATTTACACCCGTTACATGCACAAATTTCAAGTTCCTGCAGATATGGTCGATGTTGTGCTGCGGTGCCTGCTAGAGTCCCATCGTCTCACGACCGCAAAGTGGTTCTTGCTGCGGAACCTACAGGTTGATCGGGATTGTGGCCTCTGTGGTGCATACCTTACTGGCCTTTGGAGAAAAACGCGCAGCATTGAGCTCTTAAATGGACAGCTGAAGAAGCTGTTGACAATGCTTCCTCGACTCGGGAAGGACCCGAGCGACAAGCTCTTCAACCCCGTCATCAAGGCGTATGTCGAATTTGGCCGATTGGCTGACGCAGAAGCCCTCGTCGAGGATATGACGACAACTTACGAACTTCCCCTTCGTTGCCGCACGAAAGGCCTTCTGATATATGGGAAGGCCCTGATGTGCGATTGGGATGGGGTCGAGGCAGGTCTCCAGGAGATGCACGAATTGAACCTGACTACACGTCGAAGAGATTTCACACCAATCTTCGACCGCATCTTCCTAGAATACTGGCCGTCTCATACAGGGTCTGAGGTTCGCGATTTTGTTTTCCGTCACATCGACAAGTTCAACATTGTTCCCGATCGTGTTTTATACAAGCACATCTTGGAGGCGTTTGTGGAAAAAGGCAACAAAGAAATGATATCAGAGCTGTCGAGGATGGCGCGCGAACGCTCCTGGAAAGTTGCAGTCAATGAACAGGAGTTTTTGGAGATGTTACGGGTGCGGCGCCTCGCACTTGAGGGTGCACCGGTTGGGTTCTGGCAGATGTTACAGGCAGCCCGGGTCAAGTACGGGCAATCTGCGGCCTCACAACAGATCCTAGGCTACGATCAGCGCTCATTCCCCATTACCGAGGTCAACAAAATGCCTTATACGCAAAGTACCTTGCCGTGGTACCAGCGAACGCTACAAGAGATGACACCATCGAAGCCTGTCGATCAATACCAAAAGCTTCACAAACAAATGACGCATTATATGCATGTTGGCAAGATGAGCGAGGCCCTCAAGTGCTTTGAAAATGCAAAGAATGCAAGGTTCCAGATGAAGCAGCTTCATGTTGAGCTGGCGGTCGTGGCGACCCTCCTGGAACACGGACTGGGCGCAGCCCGAGCACTGATCGAGGCCGAATGGCGGAATATCCGGCACTTGATCCGATTCTTCCCTCAATTCTTCCGCCAGATCATGGAAGTAGACTCGTCCGCGGAGGGCGAGATCACCAAGCTCGCCGTCCTCCGATTCTATCAGCTCTGCTGGTTCAACAAACAAATGATTGTGAAGCATCACATCACTGTGGCTACGAGTCGACGGCTGATTGCTTGTAACCGGCCTGACATGGCGCTGGATCTGTTAATTGCGGTGTACATGTCGCGATACCGGAAGGCGGCTGCGTTCGACGGAGTGTGCATGAAGATGTTTCTGCGCGCATTCGCTGCGGTGGACAACCTGCCCGGTATTCGGTGGTGCATTCTTACCGGTCTTGCTCGCGGAAGTGCTGTCAACCGTGACCTGGTAGTCGAGGTCCGAAGGGTTCTAGGGGTTTTGAACCGCTCGTTTACTCCAGAAAGTCTATCCAAGCGAGAGGCGGCGAGAAAGACTGAGCAACTTGAATATCTCGGTCACCTCGCTGATCTCCTGGAGAAGAAATGTGAGGGTGATGCACAGGCTTGGAAGATCAAATCCGACCCTTCGGTGAAACGGTCCTTCCGGCGGATGCTCAAGCGACCCCTTGACGAGAGACGGCTGTTTAAAGAGGCCGACATCCAAGAGACGATCGAGGGATGGGATGAGGAGTACGAATTGGAGGCTGTGGTCGGTCGTATTGAGATCAATCCCAAGTCGATCGCTGCGCATTGGAATGAACGAGCCGTCTTGGGGAAGATGGCACGGGGCAGTGATGCTTGATTGATCCCTTCGTTTCTATGTTTGACTATCTATCTTGTTTTCCTGGATTTCATGCTGTGTTCTACGGCGACGGCATTGACATATAGACACTCTTGTACATATATACAGTTTCCCAATGTACCATTAGCGATGTGTGATGGATGGATCATGCAGCAGATCGAGATGCGTCCTGAGTTCTCTCCTATAGACCATATATAATTATAAGACAGTCGTTCGTGTGTGGTCGAGTTGCACGATCGAAAAGGGGCGGTGGTTGTATGGAGATCATACGGTACTAATCACATGTCACGCCACTCCCATCGCCAGGAACCAAAATCTCCAACCACACGAACTTCTTCCTTTATTTAACCCTCACGTCCCTATTTTCTCCCTCCCCCTTCCCACCTCATATTTCTTTCTTCCTCTCACGCCTCTTCCTCCGGAGGAAGAAATATGCTTTGCGATCCTCACTGACACTGCCGATTATTCGTCCTTCTCCCCGCACAATGGCCACCGCTGTCGCTAATGGCCATGCATCGAAGTCCGCGGAAGCGGCCAAACAACGCCGATTACTTCACCATGAAGCCGACGTGGTGATTGTGGGCGCAGGAATTCTGGGTTGTGCGCTCGCGGTCGCTCTAGGACGCCAGGGACGCAGCGTGCTGCTGTTGGAGCGGTCCATGAAGGAGCCCGATCGCATTGTCGGAGAACTCTTGCAACCGGGGGGTGTTCAGGCCCTCGAACAATTGGGTCTCGCAGATTGTCTGGAGGGGATCGACGCCATCCCCGTGGAGGGCTACTATGTCTCGTATTTCGGCAATGCGGTTTCGATCCCCTACCCCAAGCCGACACCGTCGTCCCCCCGCCCGGAAGGCCGCTCCTTTCACCATGGGCCGGTTTGTGATGAAACTGCGCGAAGCCGCGCTGGCCTGCCCCAACGTCACCGTCGTCGAGACAAAGGTCACCGATCTGGTGACGTGCTCCTTCACCAAGCAGGTTCTTGGGGTGGAGTGCGTGACCGGCGAGGCGAAGGACTGCTATTTCGGACACCTCACGGTCGTCGCCGACGGCTACGCTTCCAAATTCCGCAAAGCGCACCACCCGCATACCCCCAAGGTGCGCTCCAAGTTCTGGGGCCTCGAACTCATCGACACCAAGCTCCCGATGCCACTGCGAGGACACGTCCTCCTGAGCGACGATGCGCCCATCCTCCTGTACCAGATCGGCACCCATGAGACCCGCATCCTCGTCGACATCCCCGAAAACCTCCCCTCCGCGTCGGTCGAGAACGGCGGCGTCAAGAACCACCTGCGAACCGTCACCCTGTCGTCCCTCCCCGAATCCGTGCGACCTGCGTTCCTAGCCGCCCTGGACAAAGGCGGCTTGCGCTCCATGCCCAACTCCTACCTCCCCTCGGCGACGAACAAGACCCCCGGACTGGCCATCTTGGGCGATGCGCTCAACATGCGACATCCGTTGACCGGCGGTGGCATGACGGTGGCATTCAACGACGTCGTGGTTCTCCGCAACCTCCTCAGCCCCGAACAGGTGCCGAATCTCGGGGACACGGACAAGGTCCTTCGCCAGCTGTCGAAGTTCCATTGGCGGAGGAAGAACGGTTCGTCGGTCATCAACACTCTCGCCCAGGCATTGTACGCCCTTTTCGCTGCTGACGGTTCGTTCCTCCCCCTCCCCCGCCAATCCCCTTCCCCTCATCCAACCACCTGGAGCATCCCACTGACAGGTTGAATCCCACAGATGCAAATCTTCGCGCTCTCCAACGAGGCTGCTTCCGTTATTTCGAGTTAGGCATGATCGACGGCCCATGTGGTCTCCTGGCTGGGTTGATCAAACGGCCGGCCGTCCTCTTCTTCCACTTCTTCAACGTCGCATTCCTCGCCCTCTGGCTGATCATTCGCGAGGGTCCTCTGTACAAACTCCCGCTGTTGCTGCTTCGATGCATCACGACTTTCTGGACGGCGTGCGTCGTCATCTTCCCATACATGTTGATTGAAGCATTCTGCTAAGCGCGCATCGTGTGCATGGGCCGGCTTTGTCCGTGGGTTTCCGGTCCCGATTGCTCATTCTTCTCATGGCTGGGTGTATTTCATGGCTCTTCCTTTTCTTTCTTCTGTACTTTATATTATTATCTCCCCCCGTCTTATCGGACTTTAATGTTCACCTTATAATCTTCCCCTTTTCTCCCGGTCTCATATACCGCAACAGGAAGCCACTCCCAGCCATCACCCACCCTTTAATGTATACAGAATGAACCACGGTCATATATCTTAGAAGTATAGAGAGAATACGAAAGGAAAGCCTCCGAGGAACTCCGTTGATCTTTTCACCATATGTAAATTTCAACTTCTACATCAGAAACAGGGCCCACCCAATCCTGGCCTAGTGAACATGATATGTAAACAACGTAAAACATGTGGGAAAACAAACAACAGTAACATGAACAAAAACACTGAACCCACTCGCCTGGCTCCCTGCTATGATGGTATATTGACAATGATAATGATAATGATGATGACAATCATGCCGATGGGATATAATCCTGAACAAATCCACAGCCAGTACCACGAAATCAATCGAATCCATGCAGAAAGACGTGAAAAGAAATAGGGAAAACAAGGAAACAAGTCGATACCGTAATTTTTCCATCCCCGACGATGTTGCTTTTATGATTTTGCGTAGTCTGCTTTTCCTTTGTAGTAGTATCGAGTCCAACTGTTGCTTTTTCTCTTTCCGGGGAACATGAAAATGGAGGTATTGTAAAACAAAAGACAAGCATAGCCCGCATGCATGGAGAACGGACGTTGTAATGAAGAATCGAAAATGAAATGGCTTGACGGGCGGCCATCTTCCGAGGGCGAGTCGAACACGCATGCTCGCAGCCAAGGTCAAAAACCACCCCAGAGCGGTTGAAAAATGAAATGGTGTAATCATGCAATGCACGCCAGTAACCAGCAGCATCCTTTGGCTGCCAATCCCATCATCTCTGACCTTGCAAAACGCCAAATCGAACAGCCGAAGTGGAAGGACGTACCAGGACAACACAAAAGAAAAAAAGAGAAAACTTGCGTATATGCAAGACAAAAAAAAAGGTCATATACTCTCTGTTCAAGTTCAAAAGCGTGAAAAGAGTAAGTACCGCCGATACCACGTTTGCAAGCGTGGCTTTTCTATACAATGGCAACAGAATCTCTTGGATCTGGACCACGTTGGCGATGGAAATGTGCACATATCAAACACGCCGAACATCACTCATAGCACAGGATCTGCACTGGTGCCACACACACTGGGTCGTTCTTCGTGGACTAGTTGTCATCTGGCGAGACGCTCTGAAGGACGCGGACATGACACTGAATCAGAAGAGACAAGGAACTCCATCCGGCAGGTTCGCGGAGTTTCTTATGTTTCCTTCGTCTTTCCGCATAATAGTGTAAAAGAGCCGCAGGTGACAACGCATCCTGCATTATCCGCCTTTCCTCAGAGACTCATCAGCAGGAAGGGGTTCTGCACCGTTGTGAAGCCCATGACGATGCTCAGTGTTAGATTTCGCACCCTTCTTTTGCTTTTTCTTCGTCGTCTGCCAGCCACTGTTTGTGTGATGAGAGTCCTGAGCAGGGTGAACACCATTCATTTTGCGGCCGTGGTGACCATGATGGCCATGGTGACCGGAGTGCCTTTCCTTGGTATCGCCTGATGTAGTAGAGGAGTTGTGCGAGGTGTCGGTTCTAGCTTTAGACCTCGGTTTGTGGCTGGCTCCATTGGTCTTATCCGACGTGTCCAGACCATTCTGTCGCCGTTTGCCGTTCGACGATGGAACATGCGACTCCGCTACTGGCGATAGCACAGATGTGGTGGAGCTTTTCTCCGGTCCACCGGTCTGCTTTTCTTGATGAGTGTGGGGCACCTTTGCTTTCTCCGCAGCAGATTTCGGCGTGGGTTCTGCCACCTTGTCGTTGTTCGAAAGATGCAGATTTTGCAGACGGCTCGAGAGAAGACTCTGCTTCCCTGCGTGTCCATTCGCCAGAGATTCGGCCGCAGTCGCAGGAGTGTGCATGTCGATACCCTGTCGACCAAAATAAGGCGGCTGATCCACCTCCACGGAACTGCTATCTTGAAAGTCCTGGGAGAAAGAGTCGGAAACGCTGGCGGGAGTATCCGTGGTGTGATCGTCTGAGTTTGAAGCACAATGGCTCATGGCGACATACGGATCATACCCCTCAGCCGCGACCGGTGGGCGATGTTCGCTCAAAGGCACAGATCCGTCCACTATCAGGGGCCCGCTGCGATCACCGGACGCCGTCGATCGGGGCGTCGTGCGCTGGTGTGAGCTTCCCATCTTCAAACCTGACGTTGTATCGGTCTCTCTCCAGAGACCCGCCTCATGCGGCGGTACTGTCGACATGTAATCTTGGGGATTTGCGACAAATGGAACAATGCCCCCGTTCTGCAGTGCCAAGCCGACTGGCGCTGATAGAGGAGTTGACATGGCATTTTGATGGTAGGCCTGCAGTTGAGGAGATGTGGCAAGGTAGTAGCCTATATACTCGGTCGACCGACTCTCATCAAAGTATGTAGAATTGGACACGTTGGGCACGCTGCTCGGCATGAATGGGCTTTCGTCTTCACCATGCGTCCTGTCGGGCGAGCCCGGAGTATTCCTGTGCTTGGACATCTGAGGGGTCTCCATAGATTGGGTCGCAGTATAAATCGGGGCATAGCTAGGAAGAGAGTGAACGGTGCGTGCAGGTTGGGAATGGGCTCTTAGAGATCCGCCCGGTGATCCATTTGCTACCGAGGAGCGGCGAGGGTTGCGACGGAGATCCGGAGATGCAGCCGTTGCCGACGGGGACGGCGGGTTTGTGCTGCTTCCCTGGACACCAGTGAGGGAAACCGGAAGGTAAGGAGATGCGTAATAAGTCGGTTGACGCATTGACGCGTTCAGCGGCGGATGGTTGACCGTGCCGGATCTCGATCGGGATGTGTCATCAGCGGTAGTCTCTTGCTGTTGGGGCATTGGGAACTGAATGAAAGGCTGGCGAATAAGTACCGGAGGTGGTCTCCCCGTTATAAGCGCTTGGTTTTGCAACTGGAGGCGCAGCTCTTGCTCCTGGGCCTGTAGGATCTGGATCTGCTGGTAGAGGTGATCATGCAGCAGGTATTGAGCCTGTTGCGCCCTGGAGAGAGAGCTCGGACGCGCTCACACCATTGTTGTGGGGCTGCCGATAATTATTAGCCTTGTTCGGTGTGTTCGACGACCGACGACCACCCGAATGACCTCCGCGCGTGTATTGATTCGAGTGTCGCCCGCCACGACCACCCCCTCGCGCGCCTCGTGTAGAGTGAGATGGTGCGGCGGTGATAATGGGTCGCGGTTGAGGCGGAGGTCTCTCCCATGACCGCTCTTCCTCCGGAGGATATTCGTATTGTTCACAGCAATGATCCAAACTGCCTTCGGCGACAGCTTTAAACGCCCGGCGTAATTCCATATGAACACCCCTGAATGACGTATCGTCGGCCGTGTTCCCCAAATTTCGTGACGTGTTGAACGGTTCTTCCACACACAAACGGTTATTTTGCAGCAAATGCCAACCTTTGTCCTCTTTGGAGATCAGTCCTCCTTCCCGCACGGATACGACGTATTTTTCGTAATTGAGCTCGTGGCCATAATATCGGAAAAACTGAAATAGTAGTTCCCCAAGAGTTTGCTTGTTTTTCCGCCCATACCCACTCAGACTGTTCATATCATCGTCGAATGAGCAGACGAACCCTTCAGGGGACAAGCGCTTCTTGTGAGGCCGAGCTTGGAGACTGGGGAGAATGGGCGGATCTCGGGTTTGGAGGAAGTTGATGATCAAACATATCCAGGTGTAAGAACTTAATGTGCCACCGAGTCCTGTAGTCGACAGTCAACAAGAAATTCCAACATCCGCACCTGGATAGAGAGCAGAAGACATACCAGCATCGCAGAGAATCCTCCGTTTTGTCCAGTATTTAATGATCATAGCGAGGGGGCGCACGCGTTCATCGATCTCCACATAGGTCCGCACCATCCGGGTGTTTTCCAAAGCCAATGTATTATTGACATTCATGTCGCACGCGAGGCGTAGCTCGGGATCCCAGATCTTCACGATGGGGACCTTCGCGTGTGAGACACATACGACTCGTTCCATTCCGTCTGTAGCAAGGCGTCTGTCAGTGACCGAAATTCGAATAAGTGAATATGACCGTCAACTCCTTACGTCTCGCCAGCACGTCAGCGAGTAAGCAGACGTGCTCCAGCTCCTTATATGTAGTTGTTATACAGATATCGACTGCTCCGGATTAGCGCGATATTCCACTTGTCCCGGGATGATCACGTACCATCCGAGTCACTCGAACACAACTTATTCCCAGAAGAACCAAAGACGTGGACTTTGATATCATGCCCGGGCCACTGATCGTTGAACAATCTCTCCAACTTGCGGACGAGCTGCCGGCGTCGATCGTCACTCTCGGCGGAGGGGAGTAACCGGTCATAGACCTCCAGCATGTCGGTCGTCAGTTTCCGCTCCTCATCCGCGTCCAGCTGTTCTTTGAGACCTTCCTTCTCATCCGGCAATACATCGGTTCCCAGGGTATACGGCATTCGTCGACGGAAGAAGGCCATGGCGGTTTCATATTTACAGTGGGTGAAGGGTTTTCGGAAGGCGGGGGGAAGATGGGTCGACTCGGAGTGGGTGGACCGCGGCGAGGTGCTACCGTGAGGAGGGGACGGCGACCGGGAGTGGAAGGAGAGATTTCGCGCATGTTGGTAGGGGGTCGATGGGAGGGAGTTGGACTGCTGGGAGTTCAATGGTGGGCGAGTGGGAGCCTCTGTAGACGTGCCGGTGGACGACAAGTTCCACGGCATCGTCGATGCCTTCCCCGAAGCTATCGGTGAGGGTTCACCTGGGATGGCAGGTCGGTTAGAATTCCCATGAGTCTCTGGGCTCATATAGTGACTCCAACGTTGTCAGGCAACGTTGGCCTCCACGAGGGGGGAAGAACGGGGGCTAAACGCGACGAGCGACTGTCGTGGTGTGCAATCGGCACCTGCAGGTTGCCTCAGTGCGGGACTTCGTGTCGGCGCGGCGAACAAGAAATTTGTTCCCTCCAAGCCAAAGACTTGAATTCGAATTCAGACTTCCTCCAAAAAAGGGAATCGAATAGGATAAGGGGAGGCGAAAATCCGGAGAGGCGAACGGAGACTCAACGCAGAAACCGGCCGGCGATGGGTCAGCAAAATTGTGTCGCTCGTTTTGCCGCAAGACGAGACAGGTCTTTCTTTCCTCAGGGAATATGTCCGCACGGAGAGAAAGAGAGGGATCGTCAACCGAATCGCACAGGAATGGATAGGGAGCGAGAGTCCAAGGTGCTTCAGAAGGACAGAGGCCACAGGTAACGGGGGGGTTGGATGCGTGTCGATCGTGACGGCAATAATGGGTTTAAGGGGAGAGAGCGATACACTCTAGCCGGGAAGGGCACACACACCCCGTTCGGAAATCGGAAATGGTGGACAATGGAGACAAAAAGGAACTGGGCCGAATGATCTCCATGTAAGGACCAGCCTGAGGAATTTGATTGAGAAGAGATGAGGTGGGAGAGAGGAATAGGAGAGAAGAGTCGAAGCGAATAATTGGGGGGGAGGGAGAAGTTGAGGTGGTGGTGGTGGTCCGCAGTAATACTGATGATGCCGCAGAAGAATTAATTACAGTGACGGCGGTCCAGGGGGGTTTGCGGGCGGTCAATAATACTTCACTTTCTACTGCAGGTACACATTCACAGATCATCCAGAGCGAATCGGAAATTCATGGGACCGATCAGATCCTATAGAGATACTCACAAGCAGAGAAGAATTGCAATTCTGAGAAATGCAGAATCTTGCCTCTGGTAACTGTACAGGACGATCCAGACACCCATCCATATAGTGCCTCCAATGGTTCCCATGCATGACTACGCTTGGTATTGTCTCCCTAATCATTGTTCCAGGAAACAATCTTCCTAATCTGACTGGTTTGGCCCTATTCCTTGGATCTGACATGAGATTACAGGCTTCTTTTGCCTGAATTACCGGATTGTACCCCGTGTGCCTGAGGCAGAGATCCAATCTGCTCCTGATTATATAGTAGAGGACTCGATCATTCGATCCTGATGTATAACTATCCACAAGGAGACAAGGAGATAAAACACCTCCGGATGATAGAGTTCGGAATTTAAATAGCTCCAAGTTCCCATTGATCCTGACGATCCATTGATTGATCGACGGTCAAAATATCCTGAGGATGATAGTATACACCCCACTGTTTCACCCATCTTGTCTCACTCAGGCTCTCAGCCAACATCCATCATTTCCCTGACGGCGTGCAGGCACCGATCACTCTGGATTTCTTTGTATTCATCACGCTGCGGTGTTATTGACTGGGTTGTCAAGCGTCGACCATGGAACCTCTCGTCGACAGTCATTCATTGTCTACGCCCCTTTTGCCCCGCGTTGGTTTGTTTGGCTGCCAGGGATCGACTCGGCTCCAACTCCGGCAACGCGTCGCGGCCGACAGGTCTGGCTAATGTCTCCTCCATATCAGGCAGGTCACTTTGACGGAGGTTTCTCCTGCGGACCATCAAGGCGTTTTCCGGCATGGTGGTCCCCTGGGTCCTACTTTATAGCCGAATACCAGTGTCGTGAGAACCGCCATGATCCATGCGGATTCTTTTCCCGTTGATCTATGACACCCTAGAGACAGATTCTTCTTTAGTCTGCGAAGCCTACTAGATAGTGACGTAGCGAGAGAAACTATTAGATACGTGGGACAAGGTCTGGTTAGTATATAGTATGAATGTATCCAGATCGGATCGACCATAGCCTGGGCCAAGCGTTCCAGAAATCGTGGTACTGAACCAGCCTCACCTCGCATCGGGTTGGACAACAGGGGACCGCAGAAGCGTAGAACAACAGGCAGGACAAAGCAAGGAAAGCCACCGATGCCATTGATGACCGTTCCTGGATTTCTTGGCCTTTTATTCTCTGGCCCAAATTTTGATGGTTAGGAGAGGCATTAAAAGAGAAGTCCGATCATGATTGAGCGCTCGATCGCAGAGCCATCCGAGCCATTTGGGATTCGAACCTGTGAATCTTACGAGGCACAGGACCAGCTAGGTGCATGCAGGAGGTGCATATGTAGACAGGCTGTTTACGCGATCCATGCGGCCCTGGAGCGACACTGGAGGACAGAAGCGAGACTGGCCAAGAAGGACGTCCCGACTGTGCCTATTGGTAGGCTGCAGATGAGAAGTCTCCCACGAAGCACGATGACGCTGGCTGAGAGCCCTTGCGGTTAGACAGACCTAGGACTGTCAACGATGTCGTCCTGCCCCACCGGTTGAAGACGCGGCACTGGAGCCTTGCAGACGGTGGTATGGAAATTTATCATGATTGATGGATATTATTATTCTCTGGTGACAGGTTTTGTGATTTGCGGCTGACTGAGACCGGCGATGAACCAGCACAGGCCGTGACAGATGTAGTAAAAGCTATTTGGATGATTCAATTAAGAAGACAACTGTCGACGCCTACGATGATCCTCGATACCGTGGTATAGGGGAAAAGTCGAGCTACAAACGATAATTTTGCAAGACAGATCCGTCACCGACGCTCTCCCGGTCACGGGAGATGTGATGGGTAGGGACACGCTCGTGCTAACTTACTTCCCCACGAGGGGCAAAGTGTTTATAGAACTTGGGGACCGGCCATGAGAGATCGATATCCTCAACCTCTTTATGCTTTTATCAGCGATTTACGTACTTCCTTAGACGTCTTCCGCAGATTGGACGGTAACTAAGGGATTGTTTTGTCACTCAGGGTCAGCCCGTGGGCATGAGTACGTGCACGTGTCGCATTGTGAATCTGGAGCGTCGACAGAAGAAAGTTTTGACCCCAGAGATGAAGGTCCTCTGATAGGATGTGCGGCGGACTGTTACATCTCTGAATGCTGGCTGATGGGGACTCTCGGATGACGCTCTTCCACTGCCGAGGCCGTCAAGGAGGGTGGGACAGTCGGTCGAAGAGGATTATTATTATTGACGGGCCGCGCTAAGGCGGTTTCCCCTTCGCCAGGTTTGATGATATCGCCAAATTTCCGGTGACCCGCTAAGACCACCGCAGAAGGTTCCGTCCGCAGTCCTCCTACGCCATTGTGCATGGAGGATGGGGGAGGGGAGGATTACCTGTGTGGTCTGCCTGATCGCCACCCTGATCATGAGCATGGGTGATTCTAATCGGATTCGGGAGAGATTGAGGTTGCTTTCTTCTGCTGAAGGAGATGTGATTCATTACGGTGGTATGCATCGGTAAGCGGAAGTTGGTATTGTACTCCGGAGTATACAGACGGGACTGTGGCTCTGATAGTCCATGTGGACCCCTGACCTTCAGAAGAAAACATTCCAGCCGATGGACTATTGTCTCTGCATGAAGTTGATAGTTCCATTACAAGTAGTATAGAATATCGGATACAATACTACTATCTACCTGACTGTCCAAGGTCCACCTGAGGTGATACTGTAGGTTGGGTCTTTTCCATACGTGATACCTGAGGGAGAACCTCGTGGAGGGTAAAAACGGGCCGGGAAGAAGCGATTCCACACAGTGGAAACCAACCAGGATGGGGGAAATTCACCCGGAGTCCACTTCATCATTTTGATTAGGACTCTGATTCACCTGCCATCTTCACCGTGTGTGGGTGTGTGTGTGTGTGTGTGCTCTGTCTGTGCAAAGACACTGCAGTGCGTAAGATACCTACTGAAGGTACAGGAGGAAGCCGTATGGTACGGTCAGAGGGTAATTTATTCTTCATTCAGGAGACTCAAAGAAGATGGGATTATTTTTGGTCGACGAGCGCGAGTAAGCTAGATAAATCCTCTAGAGTGATCGTTCAGATTATTATTCTTCTGATCATTATCATTATAATTTGGTAAATAATTCTTATTTCTAATCATCGTCAACCCCCCTCTTTTCCCATTATTCCTTTCCCCTCACCACGAGTTCTTCCTTGTACTTGGGTCTGCTACCCGACCGCTCTGACTTACTCTCCCCCTCTCCCTCGTCTTCTTCCTCTCCCTCCTCTCTCCTCTCTCTTCCGCCTCTCACCTCCCCTGTTATTTTCCCTTCCTCCCCCAGCTTCTCTCTCCCCTTTGATTCCTCCACGCCAGACGTCCCTGTCTGTCGTGCCCAAGGGTGAGAAGTCTTGATCTTTCTCCTGCCTCGTTCACTCGTGGTAGACTTTTTCTCGGGATTCCTGCTCGGAGGACAATCACTCCTTTTCTTGTAAGTTTTTTTTTTTTTAACCCTCCTCCCCGAGACAAAAAAAAAAAAAAGTCCGTTGGATAATGCGCCCACCTACCTCTTCGTCCATACCACAACGATTCTGGAGAATGAAAAGAAATTATACACACATACATTACCCATCTTTCTGTTCGCCTTGAATTTCCCTCTCCAAGTCGATTGAAGCGGGTGTGTTGCCAATGGACCCGCCGTGTCCGCAGTCGACTCCCGAGAAAACCCAAATAAAGAAATTTTCGAGATGGATAATGACGCCCTCTCTCATCCAACGACACTGCCTATAGAGGAGGAAATACCGAGAATCCGTCGCATTCCTATGATCAGTCGTCTTTGCTCTCATCGCGCCCGGACACTTAGCCCGTTTTGTTGGGACACACCCGCTTCATCCGCTGTGGAACGAATTTCTTTCTTTCTTACCTACGTACCTCCTCCCGAACTACCGCTTACCCTTCGACCCCATTAGGTCTCTCCGGAATCCCTCTCGAGTGGGTTCACCTCCCTCGCCGATCTCGTCGGTCCGTCGTCTCCTTCGCCGGTGAAAATGTCGTACTACGAGCCTCAGGGTTGGCAGGCTCCGGCCGCCGCCACACGCCAGGTGTCCTGGGAACAGCCTATCCCTCCGTCGCGTTCCGGTATGGTTGGCCGATAATTGATACGAAGGGACCATCTGTACCGTCCGGTCCAGGAATCAGACGATAAAACTAATTCATGTCCGTGGTTAGGGTCCAGCTCGGTCTCCCAGCGCGACGAAGTTCCGGCCTTTTCTTCCCAATTTGACGGTATGATCACAAAGATTTTCCTCTCGCCTATGCCATACTTCGTCGGAATGACCCCGTCCTTTGATACTCGGAGGTGGATGGGTCCATGATGTGGCTCTGGATCGTGTCCGGTCGTCGTCCGCTCGATTCGGCTTCGAGATCAAGAAATCGCCTGGTCGTCTGGTTACTAACGTCTCCTTGCAGAGGTCGATCGTGCCATCGACAATCTCGTCAAGAGTGGTAAGCTATGGACCGCTCCCCGCAGGGACTCAATGCCCATGATGATGGGTCGCCCCTACCCGGAATTCGGTACGAGATCGTCCACTGGTGTGGTTGATACCCATTGCTAACACTTTCGTCTCCCTTGGACAGACCCCCGCGTTGCCGGTGCCATGTCCCAGCGCCACCACTCCATCAGCGACTTCGACGGATCTCGGATGCACCCCAACCCCAACTTGCAAGGCTTCTACGCGGCGCAGCGCTTCCAAGGCCGTCCCAATGAAGTAGAGCAGATGATGCAAGCAAAGCGTCGGATGGCGGCTCAGCGTGAGAGGGAGCTCCGCAACTATCACCAGGAGCAACAGTACAACCGAAGTACGTGGTAGCGTTTGTTTGTTCTTCTCTTCTTGGAGCCTTTGCTTTTCTTCTCTCCAATATTCCCCACGCTTCTCATTTCCCACATGTATCTGCCGCCTTGTATAGTACCTTGGGACGAGATGCCCTTTCTTCTCTTTCTTGAACATGGTTTTTAATACTCTCGGTTTTTCTCAAAGGCCTCCTTGCCGAAATGTCTGGGAACAAGTCCGACCGCTCGCTCAGTCCCGCCGCCATGAGCGAAGAAAGTCGCCGCGAACTTCTGGCTCGCCAGCATAGGGCCCTGTACGGAAACGAAAGCCCCGCCTTCTTCCCCCCAAGCAGTTTCGGCGACGACACTCCTCGCTCGGAGAGCCAGGCAGGCGGGACCCCGTCGTCCGCCGTCCGTGGCGCGTCTCCCCGCGGCATGGACCCATTTAGCCTGTCCCAGACCCCGGTCCAGGGTAGCAGTGCCGATGGCGTTCCGGCCGGCGCCTCCCTTCAGTCCCCCTCCCGCGCCAACAGTACCTCCTCCCCCAGCTCCGGCGTGAACCCCGTCTTCGGTGAACAGTCCGTGACCTCCGCTTCCTCTCCCGGCGGCGCAGAGTCGCCATCTTCCCGCCAGACCGCATCGAAGACCCTCGCTGGACCCATCGGATCCGTGGGCCCCATCGGATCCCGCCCCGTCCAGCAGGCGGGCCCGGTGCAGGCGACCAAGCGTTCGACCACTCCTCTGCCCTCGCCTCTGGGATTCGGCTTCACTCCGGGCGATGCGACTTCGGCGGCCTCCACGGCGTCCAACCCCACTACCTCCGCCGCTGCTTCCGCCCCCGGTGTCAAGGATACCTCGGGCGGGGTGGGACTCGGTTGGGGTAATGGCAGCGGCGTCTGGGGGTCGAAGAACGGCCTTGGCGTCCAGGCGTCCGTCTGGGGTTGATCGATCATCCGTACGATTTCAACTTTCTTTGGCGTGTCCAACCTTTCATTTGAGATGCGTTCGCTTCTATGCCGTGGCGTTATGAGACAGGGTGCCTTTTTATTTTCTTTTACGATTCAAATATTGGGTAAGAGCGTGGTACTTATATGGGAGAAGTGGTGCAAGGATCCGTTCTGTTTAGCGCTCCGTCATATGTGGACAGTTCATAATTGCTTGGTACATGTTTGGTTTACTGACTAGGGAGCTTGGTCGGCCTGTTGGTTTCTGGAGTCGGTATGCCTCTCTTCCTTGGTGTGTGTTTTGCATGGTGCGTTCCTTATCTGTTGTGCTTCGTGTCTATTACCCGCTTCTGGTGTTGCATCTCCAATACCCCCCTTCCTGTCATGCTACTGGCATCGGCGCAGTCCCATTTGGATTGGGATTGTATCTCCATACGTGGTGAGCGGGTGTTTCGGGCTCTCCTCCAGACGGGTCTCCGTTTTTCTTTCTGTCATTGTTCGGGTCTGGGTGCGCGTTCGGCCGAAGCATGCGATTTCTGTTCATTCCGCAATGGGTTTGGGGCAAAACAAGGTTGATCTTCTGGATGTGAATTTTGTTGGGATCGGTTCTTTTCTCCTATGTTTGTTTTGGGGGCATGGGTCCGGAATCAGGGGAGCAGGCAAACATAAAAAGAGTTCTGGAGTCTGATCTGGAATGTGATTCTGGATTTGCCTTGTGGGTATATGTTCATTTGATTTGGTTTGGCTTGCTTGGTTTGGTTTTGAGTTCTAGTTCGATCTTCTCTGTGGATTATTATGGATGGCCGTATCTACTCTGTTCTTGTCGCCTACACCCACTTTCAATCCATTCTATCCCCTCTTCTCTACTTACCTTATGCCCTAGACCGCATGGTTGTTCATTCACACCATTTGTGCGCTCGAGTCTTCGTGTTCTTGTGTCAGGAGCGGACTTAGATTGACTTGTCTTCATCCAGTTGACATTAGCCTTATGAGCGGCTCATGATTGGGATTGCAAACTTTGACTATTACCTCTAGGAGAGCACAACACTACGAGTCTCAGGTACAACAATCAAGCCACATGTTAATCCTCAGAGGGGTCCCTTTTCCAAACCCTTCCATGCAATATCCAACCAATACTTCACAAACTTGCCAACAAGTAAGTTGTCTACGCGCACCGCGCGATTCAAAGCCGGCGCGGAGGCCCTTGCACAGCTGATGTCAAGGGAACGGTGCTCATTACCCGCGTCCTTGGACGTCACATTGCCATATCTCTCCCTGAAATGGTCCAACAACCGGTACGGCGAATTGCCCCGCACATCCGGATCCGATTGCTCCAGGCGACTCACCCACTCCTGTTGGGGCAGCTCGTCGAACTGCAGACCAGCCTCTCGCAAGGCCGGCAGGAAGTCCGCGTTCCAGCAAAGTCCCTCTCCGTTAGAGACGTGGAACACAGAAGGAGAGGACGATGAGTCCCCCGACGACAGGGCGAGCTGCACAACAGCGGCTCCACAGATATCCACCGGCAGCCAGAAGTGCGTCTCATCGCCCCCCCTGTATTGTTGGCAACGCTCCAATGGTCAGTGCTGTCTGAACCACGGACGGGATAGCCTCCCGCGGGTTCCAGATCCCATGGGCGGTGTCCCCGGCGATCTGACCTACGCGGACGATCTGGATCCTAAGACCGTCGGGTCCGCCGTGCTCTGCAGCGTGCGTGCAGATTTCCTCGGCCACCCATTTGGATTGCGCGTATCCCATATTCCCGACGACGTCCCATCCATGGCGGGTCTCAGCGATGGGGGTCGTATGGGCGTGGAGGACCGTCGCGGTGCTGGAGATGAAGGCGAAGTTCGGTTTTGAGGCCCGGGTGGATTGGCGGGCAAAGTTCAACAGGTGCAGAACACTTGCGATCGACGGGTACTCGAAACTGGCTAGGTGCATGTTGAAGTTGACGGCCCAGGCGTTGTGGATGACGGTCGTGACGGAGGCGTGGAGCGCCTCATACACTGCGGCAGAGAGGCCAAGGTCAGCGGCTGCAATGTTACTGGATAATGCTGTGACCTTTTCGAGCTGACTGGACTCGAGAGCGGCGAGGAGACGAGCACCTTCGAGTGCCTTTCTGACCCGCTGGACGGCGGCTTCGTCGGAGTTGGCGCGTACGAGGCAATAAACTCGCTTCACGTCGTCCCGGACAAGGAGGCTATGCAGAACAAAGCGTCCGATGGTTCCTGTGGCGCCGGTAAGGAGCTAAGTTTTCCATTAGTGACGGTATGGAGACTTTCAAGCAGATCGTACACACCACGATGCCTTGTGAAGCGCCAATGGCAACTTCTGCCAGGGGTTCACATGTCTCCAGCTCGCCAGATGTGGCAACAGGTCTTAGTTGCCTGGTATATTTCCGTACAAGACCCCGTGCTAATTCCTCGATCGATACCGTGACCCCTTCAGTGATGCCATGCCTCACGTCTAGAATATGTTGAGAAAGCTGTTCGATAGTTGGGTAGTCGAAGGCGACATTAGTTCGCAATGTTCGACCTCCCATATTGACCTCGCGCAACAGACGAGCACGCACATGCGAGGCAAGCAGTGAGTCCATCCCTAGGGTAAAGAAGTCATCGGCTTCGGTCATAGATCCATCGCCATCCTCAGGGACCCCCAACGTCGTGCACACAAGGCCTCGGACCACTGTGTGTACCAGGTCGTCGGGGATAGCTTTCGCTAAACTATTCTGCGCCCTCTCCCGCTCCGCGTAGAACTCGTCGATATCCGACGCAAACTGGGCGAGAACCTGCGGCCGGATCACAGTCGCCTTGGGGGTCATCGGTACTTGCGTGCCGACCTCTTTGAGAACCACAGAGTCCATTGAGACCTTGGCATAAACCGGAACGCGCGAGTTCCCTAGGTCTAGATTCGCAGCGATTTTCTCCTCGAGCTCTTCGCGCGACAGGCCGGTCGCTTTCGTGGAAGGGACCACGAGCATACCCAGGGAGCTACGACCGGCCCCAAAGACAACCGCTACGTGGACATACTCACTGCCGCCGACAGCATGTTCCAGTGGTGTTGGGTCCGCCTTCTCCCCGTTCAGCATCACAATAATATCATCGTGTCTCGCGGCGAATTTCCACTTTCGAGGATCGGTTGGGTGTCGCTTAAAGAGATCGTTTGTCCCATACGCCCCGTCGGGCCGGTTTGTAAGTCTCTTCGTCTGAAGACCAGGGAGAACAACGAGGTGGTGAAGATCCCGGTCCACCTTTTCGAACCTAAGATACGGCTCGACGTGCGGCATGGGGACGAGCCAGCTCCACCCGTCTTGAGTGTCTGACGACGGCGCCATCAGGCCGCCGCTTTCGGTCTGCCCGTATAGCTGGCGGAGTCTGACACCGCGCGCGATGAGATGATCTCCAAGATGATCGGGGAGCGCGGACCCTCCTACACTGACGAACCACAGCCTGGCCAATCGCTCAATACCCTCGGGAGCTTCGGTCAGGATTTTGAGCGTGTATGGATCGGTATCGAGCGCGGACACTCCCGACTTGTCGAGACCAGCCAGCACCGTCCCCGCGGTAATCGGCCTCAGTGCATTCATGAGAGCGAGCTTCGTCCCCGCCACCAATGATCGAATCAGCAATCCTTGCCCGTGGCTGTGGTATAATCGGAAGGGTAGACAGCGTGTCGGGCAAGTTGACGCGGCCTATGATCCGCTGTGTGAGAGTTATCCAGTAGCTTGTGCAGAGGGGCACGAGCTTGGGCAGGCCGGTTGTGCCGCCCGTATGCATCAATAAATCAGGAGATTTGCTCGGGCTGGAGATGTCCATCTGGCGAAACACGAATCCCTCATGCCCGGGGTGATCCACGAGGGCCTCGATTGAGGCCATCGGGATGATTTCCAGCGCCGACATGTCGAATTCGGACCTCACGCGCTCGAGAACGCTGCATAGTTGATTCGATGCGAGAACTGTTCGACAGTTGCTCTCGCGGAGTAAATTTGCAAAGCCTTGATCGGCTAACCGGGGTGAAAGGACCAGCGGAGTCACCCCGAGTGGCAGCAAAGCCAGGAAAGTAATATAATATTCCAAGTTCGAGGGTCCTGTGATTCCCACTACGGCGGCCTCCTGAGCATTGCCATGCTTGACAGACTTTTTCAGCGCCTGCGGAAAAAGACTTGCGGCGGCCCTAGTGAGCTTGTCTATGTGTGTACATGTGTAGTCGGTGTATTCCAGCACGGGAGTCGGATAGGAGATGATTACCTTGTCCGGTGCTGTGTTGGTCAAATGTCGAATAGCCTGGTCCACGGTGAATAGCTCGGTTGACCCCATTTTGAAATGCGCCTGGTTGTCCTGCACAACTTGGAACCTTGACGGCAGTCCAACCAGGCGGAGTGTTGTTGGTTAGTCGGAGTAGATCGGATTTTAAGCTTATCAATCGGCCCCCGGCTCCACTGTGGAGACCCCGACCAAGTCCGAACAATATCGGTTGAGACGCAACAAATATAGCCTCGAGTATACGGGCACAACGCGCCGCCTTCACTGCTATTCACATAAAGTTGCTGCTGCTCTATCTCAGGAGGGGCTGAGGCTTTCCGCAGCCAACGATCGATACCCACGATATCTTCGTATAAGGTCGTGGCCAACAACACCACGGAGTCATTGATGGACTCTTGGGGAATTTTAGGCATCCCAGTCAACGGCAAAATGTTCGCCTACCTCGTTGCTCCCGTCCTCTTTGGCATCGTACTCTACTCTCGCCCCACAACAAAGTCCAATGTCCCACTGCTCAACCCACGACACTGGCACGAGTGGACTGACAATAGAGCCAAACAATACTTTATCACAAATTCCAAGAGCCTGATCGAGGACCAATTTGCAAAGACGCCTGATAGGCCGTTTCGGGTCATCAGTGACACCGGCGTAGCGACGGTCCTGCCGCCTTGCCTGGCTCATGAGATTCGGAATGATCCATGTCTCAATTTTGATCTCTGAAAGCAAAGCGAGCAGTGACTGAACAAGACCACTGTTATCACTGTTGCCACATATGTTTCCTGGCATCACGGGCGGGTTCTGTACTGCCTGCGAGGATGACGAACCTGGCGCCGCATTTTCCGTGTCGATGTCGAACAGGAAGATATCATCCAACCCATTGGCCGGTGGCATGTCATAATGATCGAGATGGTTGGCAAAGTTGGTGGCTTTGTCCATGACCTCCTGCAATTGAACACTATCCCATCCGCGCATGTCAAACATCGTCGAGTCTGCTGCAGGCTCGATGCTCGGGCCATTGGCCATGGTGACAACGGGGGTAACGGACGCCGTTGATGGGGTCAGCGGGCTAGGGAGAGTCGCTCTGGAAAGGTTGTTCGTGGTGGGTTCAGACTGACGCTTGGACTCGCTAATCTGGCTGGTTGGCCGTCGTCGACCGAACACGCAGTCGACTTTGGCCCGGGCACATCGCTGGCATGGACCGTGGCCTTCAGGACCCACAGGTCCGGTGTATTTCAGCTTTTGGAAACGACAGCGCTCACACGATGAGCGGATGGATGCCTGTCCATGATAAGCGGTTCCGATGGGCGAGGGCATTGTTTGATTCCCTCGGGGTGTTCGTTGATTAGAGCCGCAGACAAGCCAGAAGACTTCATTCTTGTATGGCCCTCTCTCGTCGGTTAAAGACAGTTCCTAAATGCCCAGACGGCTGAAATCAGGTACCCCATCAGAGGCTATGGGCCCCACTATATCAGAGCTTGACTTCCTTCGACAAAAGTTCTAACGGTTGGATTTGATCAATGGTAGGTCAGCATGCTCAGGAGGTGCATTACCGAGCCATTGTGTTGCCAATATCACCGTTACTTATCCTGTTCTTCCCATGGTTCAGACTCTATGCGGCACACAGCACAAGTATCTAGTGTGGTGGCGGTGGTAGTGGTCGTATTCATCTTGTCACGCAGTGAGGTCGATCGCCAATTGGTGAGATTATCAAAGCATCGTATAGACTTGTGTCTCTCTTTGCTGTCATGATTTATATGGCTTCATTGGCATACACTTGGTCCAATGATGATGCATATCCGACTCCTTCGGCCCTATTCAGCCCAGTGGAGCCCCATCCATCGCAAAAGTTCGGTGTTTATCGGGTAGATCCGCACAGCGATCCCGCCGATAACGGGCGGCTGTGATGTCCACTTTTCTGGCCGTTTAGACTGAGGCTATCCAACTCAGCCTGAAGGTCCCTCTTCTGCATCTCAGCCGCAATGCTAGATCTGTTGAGATAGGGCACTAAACTAGTAGTTCTTTAGTTCGGCGTACACAATCCGCGGAAGTAGCGCCCTGGTTGCCGGTCCTGGGGGGCGTGGAGGCCCCCCAAGAAGGATTTTCAGTGCAGGAAGCCCGCATTGGTCTGTCGGCTGTGGTGTAAGAACTAGTCTCACTGAAAGAATCCACAGACAGGACGAGTGGATGAAGGTGAAGTCTGAAAGAACGAGTACCTTACCTGAGACGAGGAAATCAGGTGAGCCCATATGATGACTCATTTCCTCTTTCGGTTGGTCTTTCTACCCCCCGGTCACCAAGTTTCATTGTTTCTCTCCCGACTTTTCTCCCTCCCTCCCTCCAACCTGCATTTCTTTGACTGTCCTATCGTTGACCAGCAATTGTTTTTCTTCCATCTCTTCTCCACTCTTGTCATACCCCTGGTGGATACTATTCATCAGAATGCTCCGTTCCGCCCAGGCGGCGCGAGCCTGGAAGACGGCCTCAATCAGCCGTCCCTTCACCCACCATCGTCCTCTTCCAATTCTTTCATCGACCCAAAAACCACTGTCTCATGTACGGCGTCATGCTACAACTGCCAATGCCATCACTGAGTGAGTTGTCTTCGCCCATTCTTCTTACTCACCCCATCGCCCCCCGTCGAGAACGCAATTCTCCCGAGAATGTGTATGCTCATAAACGGCCCAGGAACGCACAAGAGAGAGTCATCCCATCCTTCAATGCATCGACGTCGAAGGATGTACAGCCCCTGATCGATCCACGTCATGGAGAAATGGATGAATCGTATGTTGATCGACCATCGCCGCATCCGGTACATTGCCATTGACAGAGGCCCAATTAGGTTCATTGGAATGACTGGAGGTGCTATATTCCACGAAATGATGAAACGGCAAGGTGTCAAGAACATCTGTACGCAGCAACCAAGTCCCATTATATCTGTTTCACATTGAGATGATAACCATACCTAGTCGGGTACCCTGGTGGTGCCATTCTTCCCGTGTTCGACGCCATCTACAACTCCCGAAACTTCGACTTTGTTCTGTCAAAACACGAGCAAGGTGCTGGGCATATGGCGGAGGGATATGCCCGCGCGTCCGGAAAACCAGGGGTGGTCTTGGTGACTAGTGGTCCTGGTGCGACCAACGTAGTCACCCCAATGGCCGACGCATTGGCCGATGGAGTTCCCATGGTGGTGTTCTGCGGCCAGGTTGCCACAACCGCCATTGGGAGTGACGCCTTTCAGGAGGCGGACATGGTAGGAATCTCCCAAGCGTGCACCAAATGGAATGTCATGGTGAAGAGCGTGGCAGAATTGCCGAAGCGTATCAATGAAGCCTTTGAAATTGCCACAAGCGGCAGGCCAGGCCCGGTGCTCGTTGATCTGCCTAGAGACGTCACGGGTGGCATCTGTCGGAAAGCCATCCCTACGGAGTCCACCCTTCCTCGGTCCGCCTCTGTCGCAGCACGCCAGGCCCTAGAGTTGAATAAGAAGCAGCTGAACCAGTCGATTAAAAAGGTAGCGAACCTTATCAACAATGCCCAAAGCCCGGTTATCTTTGCCGGCCATGGCGTCGTCTGCTCGGAAGGCGGCCCCGAGCTGCTGAAGACTCTCGCGGACAAGGCGTCCATTCCCATCACCACTTCTCTCCACGGACTCGGAGCTTTTGACGAGCTTGACGAGAAGGCTCTGCATATGTTGGGAATGCACGGGTCTGCATATGCAAATATGGCGATGCAGAATGCCGATCTGATCATCGCGCTCGGGGGACGTTTCGATGAGCGAGTTACCTGCAATATCACCAAATTCGCCCCAAAGGCTCATGCGGCTGCAAAGGAAGGTCGAGGTGGCATTGTTCACTTTGAAATAATGCCGAAAAATATCAATAAGGTTGTCCAGGCCACTGAGGCAGTCGAGGGCGACGTGGCTGCCAATCTACAGCTCTTGATTCCCCACGTCCAGGAGAAGTCGATGTCAGATCGCAAGGCCTGGTTCGACCAGATCAATGAATGGAAGAGAACGTGGCCTCTCAATGACTTCGAGAAGGCCGAACGTTCTGGATTTATCAAACCCCAGACTCTGATTGAAGAACTTAGCAACTTGACCGCGGACCGCAAAGACCGCACCTACATCTCAACGGGCGTTGGCCAGCACCAGATGTGGGTCGCTCAGCACTTTCGCTGGAGACATCCACGTACCATGATCACATCGGGCGGTCTGGGAACTATGGGGTACGGTCTGCCTGCTGCAATCGGTGCTAGTGTTGCCAAACCAGACGCCCTCGTCATTGATATAGACGGTGACGCATCGTTCGCCATGAGCCTGACCGAGATGTCTACCGCCTCACAGTTCAACATCCCCGTGAAGGTCATCGTTTTGAACAATGAGGAACAGGGGATGATCACGCAATGGCAGAACCTCTACTACGAGGATCGATACGCTCACTGCCACCAGAAGAACCCGGACTTTGTCAAGCTTGCCGAGACGATGGGATTGCAGGCCCGCCGGGTTATCAAACCAGAAGACGTTGTTGATAGCCTGGAGTGGCTGATCAACACTAATGGACCGGCTCTTCTTGAGGTTGTCACCGATAAGAAAGTGCCCGTGCTGCCGATGGTTCCTGGCGGATCTGGTTTGGATGAATTCATCACATGGGATAGTGGTATGTATTGCTGGTCTTCTAAACAACTCTCGCTGATCACAGTCGTTAAAACAGCAAAAGATAAGGCACGAAGGGAGTTGATGCGGCAGCGTACGCGTGGCCTTCACGGGTAGATGATTCCATCTACCTATTTCGCGACTCATTACGAGCGATCCAATATTTCTTTCTATTCTTTTAACAAAAGTTGGCTTCTACTTCGGAGTTATACTGGGATATTTCTAGCGTATTCTGCCACTGGATAAGCCACGGGTATGATGTACAGAGGCTGAGATGGAGTAGGGGATGAGATGCTTGGCTAAAGAAGCTAAAAGTCTTCGTTTGATGTGTTTCTTATAGCTGTTCAAATATATAGTGAAAGGAAGGACCCTCGACGAGGGTCAATTCTGTTGGGGAGTTCTCTTCGTAGTTAGACCGTCACTGTAGAGTCCTTGTCCGACCCAGCGATATTTTTTGAATGGCATTCATTCAATTGATGGACGTCCAGCATTTGTACGTAGCATTAATTTACCATTGAATACCATCTATTGTAACAAATAGCTGTATTCACCATTCTTCTCAGGCGACTTAGGATGGTGACATGGAAGAACATATAGCGAGACCATGAAACTTTGACTCCACCTCATCATTGCCTCGACACCAGGCGCAGTCCGCCATCACTCATCACCAACTCCTGGGCTGTGACAAACTGCCCGAACCCTGCCCTCTTTGCTTCTCCAAACCATTGTAGCACATGCATCATTGGGAGAGCTTCAAACTCCGTGGCACCAGCCATCTCGCTCGCATGCATCGCGAGGTCTGCAGGAGTGGCACGCAAAGTACCAGCATAGCGCAGTACATGTATATTTCCGAGACTCCGCGCCTCCTCATCTTGTGACTCGCAACATTCGCAACAATGCGGTCCGCAATGTCAAGCACCGGCGCGATATCGGTAGCATGCTCTTGAATCATCTGGTCCACGCGGTGAGATATCGTACCCGGCCACTCAAGGTTCATGTCGGTGCCTGTTAGGCGCGTCAGTATACGAACTCTACGTGCAAAGGGTACTCAACATCCCGGCTCACCCCTTCCGACGTCAAGGGCATGGTCAATATCTGACTGGGGCCACGTAGGCAGGGATTCAATAGTCATATCAACACCCTTCGCCACTTCCTCAAGGAGGTTGACGAAACTACGGAGGAAAAGCTGTGCGCTCGCCTGGGAATACAGTGCATCCTGCATCTTCAGAGTCAAGTTCGATTCGCCCGTCGGGTTCTCCGTTATCTCTAGACCCATGTCGTAGCCGATTCGAGCAGCATGCCATTGCTCTTCGCTCAACTTGCAACCGGCGTAAGTCGTGCACTCCTGGACTATCAACCGGTAGTCCACGAGAATTTGGAAGATGGGTGCAGCGGAGTTGGAACGCGGAACATTGAGGTCGTTTAGGAGAATGTCGAAAGGTACACTCGAATGTTAAAGTGCAGCATATGCCTTAGTACGCGCTGTCTGGATGACGTCGCTGAACCTGACGCTAGGTTCCGGTCTGTCGAAGCGTAGCGGAAGCAGGTTAAAGAGCATACCAACACTGTTCATGAAGTCTTTGTCGAGCTTATTGGCGTCAGCAATACCAATGAAGAACTCATTGGTTTCTGGGAGCATGCGGAAGATAAGCGCTTGGAGGGCAGCCAGGTAAAGATGAAATGACGTGGAACGATGCCGACGAGCGAGGTGCTTCAGCTTGGAGGCGAGTGGTGGCTGGATCTGAAACTGGACGTCATGCGTGCTGTAGCGATCAAGTGGCGGGCGGACTTGAGATTTCGCAAATGGGAGCAAGCTTATTGGCTTCAAGTCGTGGGGTATGACGGCGCGATAGTATTCCAGCGCGGACGCCATCCTGCAGGTCTCGTAAAGCTGCCTCTGTTGTCTTGCAAAGGCCCTGTATTGCGATGCGTCAGGCAGAGCCGGCAGAGAGCGGTTGGAATATAGAGCATCGAGATCCAGGAACAGAACATTGAAACTGTGACCATCCAGCGAGATATGGTGTGTCCCAACGAGCAAATAGTGCACCGAGTTGGAAAGTGAAAGTAAGCGGATTCTGACGGTCACCCGCCTATATTCTGAGGAATGATTCTGTTCGGATATGGGATCACCCAGTTCATGGGAGTTTATGGGGTTCAATTTCGGGTTGTTTCGGTACCGAATAAGTACAGGGCGTTTGAGGCAGTATTTGTATAGGTACCTTTGTACATGGCGGAAGAGATACCTCGGGAAGCCCTCTGAACCCTTCTTTACTGACAGGTCCCTTCCTTCCGAAGATCGGCCCACACGCCTTTTACATTCCCTCATGTCCTCATACGCAGCAGCACACGAGGCACCAAAGGACCAGGCGATGGGCGACCCACCGCATCGCAGATCATTGGGGCGGAGGGTCTTGAAGGGAAATGGACCGAGAAGACCATTCTCATTACCGGCTGCTCTTCTGGTCTCGGCGTCGAAACAGCGCGCGCTTTGGCAAAGACAGGAGCGACTCTGTACCTCACTGGCCGTGACGTGAAAAAGGCAAAGGCCGCACTGGGCAACGTCCTGGATCGCGATAATGTCCATCTCTTGACTCTTGATCTCTCCTCTTTCCAGAGCGTTAAAGCTTTTGCTGCCGACTTCCTGTCAATGTCCTCATCACTGAATATCCTTATTGAGAATGCCGGAGTCATGGCCCCTCCATAGGGACGTACAAAAGAAGGATTCGAGACTCAATTTGGCACAAATCACCTGGGACACTTCTTCTTGTTTCTCCTTTTGAAGCCTGTGCTTCTCACATCCTCGACGCCCGAATTTCATTCCAGGGTAGTGACCCTGTCCTCACCAGGCCATCGGGACTCTGAAGTGAACTTCGAGAATATCAACTTGGAAGGAGCGTATCACCCTTTGAATGCTTATGGCCAAAGTAAAACTGCCAACTTGTGGACCGCCAACCACATTGAGCGCAAGTACGGTGCCCACAGATTGCATGCTTTCAGCGTCCATCCTGGTCTGGTTATTACCGATTTGATGCGACACATTCCTAGGGATCAGGTCAAGATGCAGGCAAACAAGGATCTGATCAGTTGGCTGAAAACCCCGGAACAAGGAGCAGCAACAAACAGTGTGGGCTGCTGTGTCCGCATCACTGGAGAGCTTTGGCGGGAAGTACCTAGAAGACTGTCAAATTGCGAAGCCATATCGTGAGGGGCTGAAGCATGGGGACCGGGGTATGCCCCTTGGGTATATGATAACGAGAAAGAGGCCAAACTATGGTCGCTTTCCTTGAGATTAGTGGACATGGACCCCGAATATTGAATTTGAACACTGGTAAAATGAGCAGACAGTTTATATTGCAACAAGGTTTGAAGACGAAGAATAAAGTAACCCATAAAAAGCCAAGTATATGCATGTGTTCTAACCAACGACTATGTCACAATTAGATCGCAAATTCTCATGCGAAAACAACGCCTTTGGCGCCGTCTATACCGCACTGGCATTATTTGAGCGAGGATCATCATTAGAAGGATTAGGATTAATTTCGCCATGAGCGGCGGCGGCATCAATCTTCCTCTTGGCAGTAAAGAGGCCAGAGACACCACGCTCTTGATTGCGACCGAGCCACGGCTTGCGGGCCTCACCAAGGACGCGACGGCCCAGGAAGTAAATGAGCTGGCCGACGATGATGAGAACAAATGCAATGGGATACATCCAATGGATGGTATAGTGGAAGACCTCGATGCCGATGACGACACCCCAAAAGTTCATTGTCAGCATGGAGATGTTGAAGAAGGCGGCAGATGACAGGCGGAACAGCAGCGGAGCTAGACAATAGAAGAAGCTCAAGCAGAGTGTGTACCCGGTCAAATACCCGCCGACCTGGCTGTTCCAGGTGGCGGACCGGAAGGAGGCACGGTCGAAGATGCCAGCCTGCACGCCGTTGATGAGCATGCCCCAAAAGGCCATCTGACCCAAAACCTCGTAGACCGGCTCCGTGCTGACGAAATACTCCTCTCCGGTATTGGCGAGACCGTAGAAAGTGGCACCAAGCAGAGCAAATAGATCCCCCTTGACTTGAGAACCGCTAGAGATATCGCCGCCGTTGGTGCCCGTGATGTGGTCGGAAGCAATCAAGACGCCCATGCCGCCGATGCAGATCAGAATACCCAGGATCTGCGAGATATGATAACGGACGCGGAGGAAAATGAAGGAAATGATCACGACCACAGCGATGGCCCAGAAGTTGATCAGCTGGGCACTCAGCATGGTCGTGTAACGGTATGCCAGCACAATGAAGTAGTTTCCCTCCACGTCGCAAAAGGCAAGAATGAAGTCTAGCGTTTGATTTGGTGAGCCATGAGGGTCTTCCTTTGGATCTCGAAACGACTTACATTTCCAGCCGCGGTACCAGACCATTCGGGCCCAGCCCTTGAAACCGTAACGATAAAAGGAGTAAGTCGTGAAGATGATATTCAGCAATACATAGTTGAAGAAAGTCTGGAAAGCTGGGATAGAGGTTCCATCATTGGACAGGAGAGTACTGAAAGTACTGGTAGCGGTGTTTGTAATGGCCAGCACTTGACTATATGGAAGTTAGATAAGTCAAAGAGTATCGTTTTTAGACTCCCATGAGGGACTTACCCCAGGATCAGAATGATGTAGAATTCCTTAGTCTTGAAGTACGCCAGAAATCCCTTCTTCTTGTTGTCCAGTTGGTCAGCCGGAGCCGCCTCCGAACTTGAGTCGGCTTGCTGAGGATTTGCATCTTGCGACCCCACATCATGCGGGTTACGAGAGGCCTCGGATGGACGCCTGTGGTCGCTTGAAGCCACCGACGGATGGGTCGTCACGATGGTATCTTTCAAATCCGACATCATGGATGAGGTGGGAGGTACCAAGCTGTTGAACTAGACAGATAAAAGGTGAGGCCCACTGGTAAGTTGAACTGAAGGAGGACCGCAAAGCTCCCAAAACGACCGACTGCGAGAAGAGTGGGGTATGGGTAGATGTGACGTTGGAAGAATGGACGGGAGCTTTTCGACCTAAACGAGCGCAAAACTCCCAGAAGTCGCCCGTCTGCGGTCACGGAGAGGAGTTCACTCGACGGAGAGTCGTGAAGATGAAAAATCTCGAGTTAGCCGGACCAAGCGCGCAATATAAAGTAGCAGACAAGAAAAAAAGTGGTCTGGCCGACGGGAGACCCTTCTCCAGCCTTACCCGATTGAGCAGTTTTCGCCGTCTTGATAAGACGGCGTGGGGTTAGTCCAGCCAATCACTACCCTCCATTTGAGACGACTCGGATTATGTCATCCACACAATGCCTCCAACTTCCTTGGCACCGTCCAATCAGCATTTGACGTTCAGATCCATCGCGATGGAAAGTGGAAGTCCAACCCAAGGTTGTTTATGTATCTCATCCCCAGTTCACCAGTGGAAGGTGGTACCTAGATCTCAACCATATGGTTCAAGAGTCATCTGTGTTGATTTGCTACCTAAAAAGAAGGCACTTCTTCCAGCTTTTATATTCTGAAGGCCAGAGGGAGCGTCACGGTCTGGATCAGACCTTGGGTAGGTCACGTAACCCAAGTACCTCAACAACTATCCTTGGTCAAGGCTGGAAATATCTGAGTTGGAACAATGAGGCTACCGCGAGCTTCAGGGTCGGTACTCCAAGCTATGGATGTTAGTCTAAGGTTATCAATCTAGACGATGTGGTTAGGGAGTGGTCACATGACAGTATCCCCGTTATCTCATCTGCAAGTAGTTTGTTCTGGAAGAAAACAAGAAAGGATCCATGCCACGCCATGCCATCGGTTCGGGGATCTTCAAAAAGAAACTTCAAGACAGGGTGTGGATGCCATGTGATTTATTTTGATGTACATAGGGAGACATTCCTCGCCCAGATTTTGACATGCCAGGCTTATCATTCTCGTAAACTTTCTCTGGCATCCTTCTGTTCCATGCGTCTACGGAGTAATGCTCTTGAGCAAACTAAGCACTTGAATGAGGATTACCTACTTCATTGTTCCGTCAACAATGTTTGATATGTATGTTATATCAGACAGTGAACAAAGACAGGCACCATTGTCCTCTTGTCACAACCTAATCAATTTCAACTGGAATGATCCATGGTACGCCACCCCAATCTTGTCGGATCCAGCAGAGCTTTGATAACTGGACCCATCGTCTTCTTGAGCTCATATAGCGATGCCACGCAGTTGAATATACCTACATACCAGGGAACAAGGGGAGTTGAAATACCACTCAACTTTGGCGCACGTCATTCGTTCTTGGAAGACACCGATCCCCGCATTGGGAGACGAGCTTTAGGCATGAGGGACTCTTGTCAGGCGCCGGTCGATGAATCTCTACTTCAGAAGACATCACAAAAAGCAATGGCTTGTAATTGTGGACTACTTTGGGACGAGGAAACTGGTTTATGAGACAGACATAGTTTGCTCGAAAGAGGAAGCCCAGATATGCGTAGCGCGTCGTAAGAGATATTATCCCTGCGGAAGCGCCAAACACGGTGATAAGGTTATCATCTACGGTAGATTATTGACGCGGAGGTATAGAAGTATAGAAGTACTCAATTCAGGTTGGGAAGCTTGTTCGCCTAAGTATACGGAGCTGGAAGATCCCGATAATAATATATAATGGTACATAGACCCAGATATGAAGAGGTCATGTGCCCAGTTGAGAAACAGTCCACCCCAAAGCCTGTTCTCAGTAGAGACCAAGTATTATTTTTACTATTCAATTGTTACTTGATTTCTGTTTTTGAATTATCGATATTCTCTGACGCTCGTCGTGAGTGTTCATATCAATTCCAGATGGGCGCAGCGAAGGAGGGTTAAAAAAAAAGAGCAAAAAAGGAAAAAGGCCGCGATCGCTGCCGAGGCCGTCAGGTGGCCCGACCCCAAACTCAGGATCATCCATCATTATCATCGAACCTGCATCATCCGCAACACCCAAGTTTCCCCATCGCTAACTCACCTCTCCGCCCTCCATTTATCCGCCCTCGTCGTCGCCACTTTCGCCTGTCGCTCTTCGTCGTCGTCCTCCCCTCCCTTCTTCTTCTCCCACTCAAGGCAGCGGCCGACCGTCCTTCCTCCCACCGCGACTCTGGGGCTCTCGCGCCGGTACACTCGTTCCTGAGTCGTTCCGGAAGAGACGCCACCTCTCACCCTATCCATCGGACCATGGCGTCGGAGCTGCAACCGCCCAGCGATCGCAAGCGGGTGAAGGTCTACGAACTTAGAGATAATGACTGGTTTGATAGAGGAACGGGCTTTTGTACCGGTTCGATCCTACATGTAAGCCTTGGTCCTTGGTTCCCCGTCACATGGCGCCCTCCCCGTCGCGACGCCGTTTATCAACCACCCCCTCGTCGTGCGCATTCCGCGACGGATCCGACGCGCGCTCATCTCTTGCCTGTCATAATTTTCACGTCCTCGTCGCTAACGCATGGTTCTTTCTACTAATAGGATGAACCGCGAATATTTGTGGAATCCGAAGATGAGCCCGACCGGGTCCTCCTGGAGACAAAAATCTCCAAGGACGATGGGTACCAGAAACAACAAGGTTCGCGCTCCATTTCTCTTCGCATCTTAGAATTGTACTCGGAACACTTGCTGATCATGGTGCGCCGCCACCAGAGACCTTGATTGTGTGGACGGAACCCAATGGCACGGATATGGCTCTGAGTTTCCAGGAAGCTGAGGGTTGCGCAGTAATATGGTACGCTTCGTGCTTGAATGCTCGTCGTGGGACATCATCTTTTGCTGACAAGGCTACCTGAAGGAACTTCGTCAACAGTGTTCAGCAGCACCTTAGCCTGGCAGCCGCAGGTTAGACTTTCCGCATGCCCTTTTCCCTTGCAGACGACATGTTCGTGTATCGTGGCGACTAACCTTGTGCTTCCAAACTCCAGATGATGCGCTCTCTGATGACCTCGAAAGCTTTCAGACGATCATGTTGCCTGCGCCCGAACTGGCAAATCTCCCGGAAATCGATCACGTTATGAGAGCCGCGAGCCTAACTCAGGCGGGTCGAGACGCGCTCTCCAAATGCGTCATCCGGGACGAATACATTCAAAAGCTTGTCCCGTTAGTAACGGTTGCCGAAGATCTAGAGAGTCTGCCCGACCTGCATCGCCTGTGCAACATCATGAAATCGCTGATTCTCCTCAACGACAACACTATCATTGAAACTGTGGTTACGGACTCGATCATTTTGGGGGTTGTCGGAGCGCTAGAATATGACCCCGAGTTTCCTACGCATAAAGCGAACCACAGGCAATATCTCTCGGACCAGTCGCGCTATAAGGAGGTTGTTCCCATCAAAGATGCTGTCATCCGTCGCAAGATCCGCTCAACCTGGAGGTTGCAGTACCTGAAAGATGTTGTTCTGGCGCGAATTCTGGATGATCCAACCTTTTCCGTGCTCAACTCCTTGATATTCTTCAACCAGGTCGAGATAGTCAACCACATCCAGTCGAATGGCCCTTTCTTGAAGGAACTATTCTCTGTCTTCGATCCGAGGAACGCCGACGCGAAGCGCAAGGAGGATGCCGTCCAGTTTCTCCATCAATGCGCCTCCATCGCCAAAAATCTACAGGCTCCCGCTCGTGCCAACCTCTTTGCGAACTTCATCAGCCATGGGCTCTTTGCCGTGATCGCATTTGCTATCAAGCATCCCAATCCTTCCTTGCGCACAACCGGAATCGACATATTGGTGGCGCTCCTCGACCATGACCCGATCATGATGCGCAGTTACATGCTCAAGGCTGTCAACGAGAAAAAGACACCGCTCACCGATACGCTTATCGATCTCCTTCATACCGAGTCTGATCTTGGGGTCAAGAACCAATTGGCAGATGCGGTCAAGGTCTTGCTGGACCCTCAGATCGGCATACAGGATACTATGGGTCGGGCTGGACCCGAAGGTTATACGAAACTACGCCCTAACATTCTCTCCGACGCATTTGTCCAACATCACTTTGACGAATCCTCGAAAAAGCTCTTCTCACCTCTGAAACGGCTCGAGCACCGTACCACCTGTTAGTTCCTTCCTTCATGGGACCAGCTTCGCACCTCGGCTAACTTCTATCCTCATAGTTAACGACATGAAGTTCCAAGAAGTTGCGTTGTACTCACACCTTGTTGACATCCTTACCTTTTTCGTCCGTCAGCATTTGTATAGGACGCGTAATGTCATCCACAGCGAAGTTCTTGCTCCTCGGGTTGCTCAACTGCTAAAAGTACCCCAGAAGCATCTCAAACTAAGTGGGTGACCTTTACTCCTGCGCTTACAGTGACTTGACTAATAATTTACCAGTTGCATTGAAATTCTTCCGTACATTGATCAGCCTCCAGGACACCTTCTATCAAGCGTTGATGACCCACAATAATACCTTCGGACTGATCCTGGATATCGTTTATGAGACCATGCCACGTGACAACCTTCTCAATTCAGCCTGCCTTGAATTATTTGAATTCATCAAGCGAGAGAACATCAAACCCATCGTCTTGCATGTGGTGGAAAAGTATGGAGAGAAACTCCGGAACATTACCTACGTTGATACGTTTCAAAACTTGATTCTGCGTTATGAACAAATGCAGGGTTACGGAGCGGAGACGACAGACACCACCTTGTTTTCACAAGACGACGGAATGTCCGCCAGGATGCAACCCAATGGGCGATGGCAAGGCGTCAAGGAGATGGATGCTGCAGAGGAGGAGTACTTCAACGCTTCTGATGATGAAGATGAGGTAGGACTTGATACGTCAAACCGGTGGATACAATGTGCTAAATCGCTTTCTAGTGGCAACAAGACAGTCAGCCTCATGCGGCCGTGGGTGCTGCACCGCAGAATGGCGCTGCTTCACCAGTCATCAAGCCCCTTGTTGACTATCCAGACGATGATGAGGATGATGCCATGGATACCAAAACAGAAGGCGCCGATGAAGGGGTACAGGGCCAGCAGGCGCCTGTGTCTCCAACGACTGATGCATCGCCCGAATCACCCGCAACTCCAGTCTCCTCAACGACACAGACACCTCCTGAGCGATTGTCAGAAAAGCGTCGGCGCGAAGAAGAGGACGATGATGAGCTAGTTAAACTTACATCTGTTCCAAAGAGGAGGAGCTCCACTAGTGGTGGGCCCGGAACTGCCGGGCTTCTACGGAGGAAAAAGAGCATCACCATAGGCACCGTGTCCTCTGCTGATAAGGGCGCAACCCAGGGCACCTTGGGGGGCGTCACAAGCACTGCTGCGCCCAAACGGATAGCGATCAATTTGGGGTCGTCTACTGCCAAATCGTCGGACGCCGAATCGACAGATTCCACATCAGCCCAGACGAGCAATGAAAAGGAGAACAAGAACAACGACCTTGAAAGAGGGAGAGAATGATCTTGTACAGATGTCTCCTCACGTCTATATTGCATTTGGCTGCGTAGCTTGCAGGCATTATTTCCGTTTGTCAAGTACGAGTTCCACTGTGTTTCAGCTTCTTAGATACCATGACGTGTGTGTGACTTGTTTTCCTTTTCTGCTTGTACGATTGATTCCCCTTGTTATCATCCTTGCATTCTTGCGGTTTTTGGCATTTGCGGGTTTTCTTCATCGGATCTCTAATTTCAGCGGAGGCCTGGAAACCCGACTCCAACCATTGTTCGCTGCATGACGCCTGATTTGGTGTACATCGATCATGCTCTACCATGTTTGTATCTTTCATTGTCATATCTGTTTAAACGTGCTTATGTTTTCGTCGGGCAAAAGGGAGCTTGGGAATCAAATCCTGGGATTCACTTGTGGGACACAGCGACTAAGACCAATATCGGATCATGGAGTTTGGCTGGGTGAGATGGCTTTGCGATGGATCACTGGGTATCTGCATTGACGGGGTCTCTGATTTGACTTGCCCTTTTCTCTGTGCGTCGAAGGTTACGATTGGCGATTGTTTGTTTGATGGAGCGGGTCGTTTCTTGACCATGATTGATACTTGCATTCTTCTGAGGAGATATTGGCTGCACATACCGTACATATTCGACGGCACAGTAACTTGATATCTTCGATCAGGATTAATCAAAGTAGAGACGAGTTGTTCTAGCCCCAATTCCTCCTACCCACGGACTGTGCGTTAGTCTGCAGTGATATCCATGATCATAGTAGCCACTTTCTTGGCCATGACGTCGCTATGGCCTGCAATCTGGGTATTAGGGTCTATGACAAGCCTGGTGAACTGAAGAAATAGGTTACTCACGAAGACAGAAGGCATGTGGGAGACCCTCCTCACAAACCACCATTTTTGGGCCGTCTGGCGCCTGTCCTCGGAGCTCAATAATCTCGTCGCGCGTCCGCTCCGCAACCCAATGATCATTGCGGCCAAAGTAGAAGAACAGTCTCGATACGGGGTCCTGGACTGTCGACATGCCCCAGACATCATCATTCCATTGATCTGACGTGATTGTCTGCATCTCATCTGCCGCCATATGCCTACCCACACTGATTAGGACCGAACAATACAGTTTGCCTGGGGCCTGTGACTGATTCCAGACAGGGGGGAGGGGGACAGAACGTACAATGCCTGCCGCACACCCCGGACGCTCTTTATAAAAGCAGTCGTGGTGTCTACCGCACCGTCGGGCGGGGAGCCCATGTAAAAACTGACCAGAGAACGCAGAACAGAATGCGGCACAAGCGCCACGAGAACGCGGACGAGAAGACCCGCTACAAGCGCAAGCTGTGGGATGAAATACAACATGCGCTGATTGTGTGATTTAGCATACGGAGGTTACGCGGAAGGCTGGCTGTTGGCGGAATGGAGGAGAGGGCTCTCACAGTCAATTTTTGACCCGACGGGGACTTTGCAATGTCAACGACAGTAGGGAATAGCATAGCACCGCCGATGATGTCGAAGTCGATGGGGCTGTCTCCAGATTTTGTCCTGTCGCGATGCCGTCGCAGGGTCTCCATGGCTATGTAACTTCCCACCGAGTGACCAATAAGAATCACCTTCGGTTTGGGATTAGAAGACGCTCCTGCACTAATGCCTTTCAGAGTAGCGATGAAGGTATCCAACTTGTTCTGCACAAAGCGGATCTGCTCTTCCAAGTCGTAGTAGCGCGCATGTGGAACGGCATCGTCGCTCGCGCGTTCTTCGAGCTCAAAGCCTGCGAGGCTGTGTCCGTATACATGATATGTACATTTCTGCTCCTGTCGAATAGCCTGCGATTTGATATTCTCTGACAGTAACGAGAGAAAAGTGTGATAGTATCCTATCAAGCCTGGGTTTCCTGCTATGAGGTAGATGACAATTGGGGACGATGACTGCGCGGATGATGGGGAGGTCGAAATGGCGTAGTGAAAGTTGTCTTCACTAATGTGCGGTACTTGAGGCGTTGGCATTGTGTCAATTGGGACCTCAAATTCCCTAATTTTATGGTGGCATGTGGTTGAAACAAAGCAAAGCAGTGCAGTTCGGAGACGGATGGCACATTTAAGGTATGCCCCATGCATCGCAAACACCAGCCAATCAAGACCCAGCGTGGGATCGGCGAGCCGAGGCTTCCATCCTGCTTAATACTGGGCACTACCTAGGGAGGCATCTTTCCATCATCCATCTTATAGTGCATATACTCTAGTGTCTACATACAAGGTCATGTTCTCCTTATGTTCTGTTTATTGCCTTGCTAGTCGCGGTGGCGGATGGCGGTAATATGCCCGCGCAGGAATCGAAAAGAACAGAATCTTAGTTCAATCCATCTCTGGCCATCAAGTCGTGGGTATCTCAAAAAATGCTACCATACGCCTCATGGCGCCCCTGAATGGCGCGCATCGGAAGAACAAAAGAGCAAAAGACAGACGGGCCGATCTTCTCAGCTTTGATTCTGCTGGTACGCAATTCCGGCTCTTCGAAACAAATCCCCAAGAACATCATTTTGAGGATATGGTGGCGGTGCTGCAGGAGCGGGTGAATTCGTTGCGCCAGGCGACCTCCACAGGAATGCCTTCAGCTTGTCCGTATCTGTAGCGTCATTTGCGGAAGGTTGCGGTTCCTGATGCATGCGGACACTGAATCCGTCATCCTGTGCTCGCTGCTGGCCAAAAAGATCCTTGAGGGAGATTTGACGGCCCATGGGAACACTCGCTTGTACTTCCTCGACTGGGCCAGCCGTGGAAGATGCTGCTGCGGCCGCAATATGCATTCCGTTTTGTTGGGCCGCTTCGTTTCGTTCCTTTGCTAGCTTGAGACTATGTCCGGCATGCACAGCGCATTCACGAATCATCTTGGCGTTGAGAGTGCGTGTCTCCGCGGTCGAGTTGGGCGGGGGTTCGGAGTAGATCCACAGACCGTAGATACGGATCCCGGTGCCGTCCACGGATTGGTTTGTGCCATTACTCGGCTGACCGGCAGGGCTGCTACCCTGGCTAGCGTCTAATTTATCGTCGGCCTTGAGGATGACGTATTCCTCCGTGAGCTCAACATTGTCGCCGTCAGTCAAGGGGACATCGAAGTTATTTAGACCTCGTCGGTTGAGGACGAAGACGCTGTATCTCTCTTCCCCGAGAATCCCCTGTGTCAGTTGGCAGACAAACATCGTGCCCTCAACCCCGCTCTTTTCCCACTGCCGCGTGGAAGGACTGAATATGTAGACGACTGCATACGGTGCGAGGGAGAGGATGGAACTGATGGACGGGTTGTGGCGTTGGAGGACGGCGAGGTTCAGCTCTTCGTTGGAGCGCAGAGGCGGAGGAGGCATTTCTTGTTGGTCTAGTTGTTGCTGAGTATCGGAGAAGTAGTTGTGGTAGTCAGAATCATAGTCGGAGGGTTGACCGTAATTCTGGCGATTATTGTTGATATTGTTGTGGTGGTTATTAGGCCGTCGAGATCGCCGGGAAGCCATGGTGGAGGGGGAAAAGGAACAGAGAGACGTCGTGGGAAAAGGAGTTGTTGAGAGTGAAGTCGCTGAAGACAGAAAGAAAGCAACAGCTGAAGCGGTGATGCTAAGTATCGCCGGGTTGGGAAAGCGGTCGGGGGTCTCCCCGCCATCATTCGCGACGAACTACATCCCGGTTCTGTCCATACTTCTCTCCCTCTCTTCCTCTCTGTGCTTCAGTTCTCAAGGATTTCTCTCTCCATTTTTGGTTCACAGTATACAGCTATATCTGTCGCCCCTCATCTGCTTCGGCCTAGAACCTATTGCGCCGCCAATCGGCCATCTTGGACTTCTTTTCTCCGGCCCGTCGGAAGTCAGCCGCATCCTTCGACGAACCTACAATAGGAACTGAAAATTGCGCGTGATGACCGGACAGCTCCCTAGCGTCTGAGTGACCTTTTAACCACATTTATACTCCGCTCGTGATGATTTGGGCTGTCACACTCTCTTTCCTGCGCGTTCTGGCCCCATTCGCACCTCGTGTTCCTGCACTGCCGCGGTCTCCCCACTGAAAGCTCGGCTTCCCCAGGTCCGAAGCCATCGCCGTCGACATAGGCCGCCGTTTATTCCTTTCTACCTGATACCTATGAAGTCGCAACGTTGATACGGGCACATCCTTCTAGATCATGGCTTCGACACTCGAACGGCAAGAATCATCTCAGTCGTCGCCCAGCTCGTCTGATAACGAGAACCGCGCCCCGCTGGAAGAGACAACCCCCGACACGTCTTCACTCTCTCGGGCAATTAAAGCCAGGCGGGCGGAGTATACCACACAGCGGTCGATCCGAGTCAAGGTCGGGTCATGGAATGTGGCGGCCCTTCCCGGTACAGAGGAAGATATCGGGAAGTGGTTTGTTCAGAAGGAAGGAATATGTGAACATCTGTCGGGCTTACGAGTTTCTGGTCTGGAAGAAGCTCCTAGCAGTGATAATGGTAGCAAGAAAACTTTCGCACCACCCGACTCTGAACCTGAGCAAGTTGGCCTTTACGTCTTGGGGTTGCAGGAGATCGTCGATGTCTCCTCCCCGGCAGAGACGCTGAGGCCCTATGTTGATCCGGCGCCAGCGAACAGATGGAAGGAGGCCGTACAAGCGGCCCTGCCCTCTGGATACGTCTTGGTTGCGGAAACTCAGTTGGTAGGCTTATTGCTGTTGATCTATGCCGCCCCACCGTTGGCGGACAGCATATCCTGCGTCAGCTGTGCTAATGTTGGCACTGGGCTGTTGGGCTATATGGGCAACAAAGGTGCTGTTGCAGCACGTCTATTGATCGGGGAGACTACCTGCTTGATGTTCATCAATTCTCATCTGGCAGCTGGCGCAGATAAAGGTAGCCTGGATCGACGGAACTGGGATGCATCCCAAATTATCGCTCGCGCCAAGTTTGATCCAATTGACACCGATGCAACGCTCAGAGATGAGCCGACAGAGAATATCGGCAAGGAAGACTTTTGCTTCTGGTTCGGTGATCTTAACTATCGACTTGAGGATATTCCGGGCGACGACGTACGGCAAGTGCTCTCTCGACACACGGAGAATGAATACGACAAAAGGCACAGGTCACATTCTGTCAGCGACGATCCGGGGTCGCGACCAGCAGAAGCTGATCACGAGCACCTTCCCACAGTTTCTGATGAACAACTGGACCCTCATTCGGACCCGGCCTCCTTACAAACTACCATCTCATCATTACTCCCGCACGATCAACTCCGCCTGCAGCAAGAGAAGCAGAAAGCGTTTCACGAAGGATGGCGAGAGGGGGATATTTCTTTCCTTCCAACTTACAAGTACGATGTGGGTAGCGTTGCTAAGTTCGATTCCAGCGAAAAGCAACGAGGACCAAGTTGGTGCGACCGGATCCTCTACCGGACACGCCGCGACAAGTTGATCCATGAGAAGATAGCCAAAGAGGCCGCAGAGGCCAGAAAACGGGACGAGGAAATGAAAGCCCGAGGTTTGGATAAGGCCGCCGCTGACGACAACGTATTGTTTGACTATGACCCTGACGTGGATGGGGCAGACAGTGGTGACGAATACGATCCAGCTATGGACTTTGGAAGTGACAATGTCACCCTCAACTCTCTGTCTGATGCTGAAGATCCCATCAAGCTGGACTATTATGTATCACACCAGGGGATTCTCAGTTCGGACCATAAACCTCTCGCTGCTGGGTTTACTCTGAAGTACGAATCGGTCGTGCCAGATCTAAAAGCAAAGGTACATCAAGAAGTGGTACGAGAACTGGATAAAGTGGAAAATGAGTCTCGGCCAGGCTTGACGGTGGTAGTAGATCATCATGGCTACGAATCCACCAACAAATCATCGGAAGGTGACCCAAATGCAATAAATTTCGGAGACATACTGTTCGACGTGCCTGTGACCAGAAGCCTAACAGTTGCGAACACCAGCGGTGTTCCCGCTACTTTCACGTTCGAGAGACCAGACCATGATGCCAGTCATGGTCAAAATCTTTCAGCGTGGTGCGAATTTTATGTGGCACAACCGCACCGTGAGGATGCGGAGACCGTCAAGCCTAGCCCACAACCACATGAATGCACCTTATTACCTGGAGAGCTAACCAACATTGAGGTGACGGCACATGTCAAAGACATTGAGCTGGCTCGGACATTGAATGATGGAAAATTTACGCTGGAGGAAATTCTAGTCCTTCGGGTTAACAATGGGCGGGACCACTTTATACCGGCCTACGGCAAATGGCTTCCTACGTGCTTTGGAAGGAGCTTGGAGGAGCTGACATTGATGCCCGAATCTGGCGCACGCACTCTACCAGCTGCCGAGTTGTCGACGCGTCAAAAAGAAGGCATGGGGGTTCCCCTTTCGGCACCTCGTGAGCTTTTCCGCTTGACAGAGGCCATCTCTGAGCTGACAGAACGCGCTGTCGCTGAGTGGAGCATGATCAGAGGTGATTCTGCGGGGACCAACCCTCCGTGGGAAACCTCAAAACATGGCCCAGGGTGGCCTTTTGAGCCATTAACATGGACGTTGAAAGACGAAGATGAGCGGAGGCATTTGTTAGCATCTGTCCGAGAAGCATTGGACACCAACCAGCAGTTCAACGCCGTGTTTGCGCCTGAGGTATCCTCACTGCATCGGCTCGAGATCCTGAGCGAAGCTCTGCTGGTATTCCTGACCTCCCTCAAAGACGGAATCGTCTCCGCCACGGTATGGCATGATTTGGATCAAGACATTTTGTCCCGCGAGAAGGCCAAAATGCCGCCACAGTCGTGGGAAGAATCTCAAGCGTGGGTATTAGAAAGCCTTGCATATTCTCCTGTCCACAGTGTGTCGTTCACATTTGTCACGTTCATGCTCGCTCGCATTGCCAACGAAGTGGCGCCCGTCTCATCGATGCCTTCAGGTGCCCCTGGCAAAACCATCTTCGAGGCCCAACCGGATGGCTGCGCTCAATCTGCCAAGACAACTGAGTCTACCCCATCGACACCGGTATCTCCTGCGGCAGCTTTTATATCGGGCGGAAGCTTCCGACGAAAGACGCGAACATCTACAATCTCGAGTGTATCAGACACTGCGGCCACTACGCTCATTGCACGACGACAGGCTGTCGAGACCGCCCTTGCAGGAATCTTCTCCAAAGTACTCATCTCCTCGGATGTTCCAATTCCGAGTAAAGACAAGGAGCGACGTGCTCTGGAGGACCGGAAACGGAGTATAATCGAACCATTTTTGAAGACCATTGGAGTTGATTCCAATGGCCCGTCAGGTGGCGCTTAACGGGATCTAAACGGGATCTAAAGTTGGATCTAGAAGTCGCTTACCGGTATTTGATATCTACACATTTCCTGTAGAGATACATACATGACTTCCTGCAAAGAATTAATTATATATGTTTAACATGGATCTCTCTGCCTGATCGACATCCCAGTAGTATCGAATAATCTAAATGTGTAAGTAGAATGAGTCTGATCCTTTCCTTGAACACCCGTGGGTTTCCGAAGTCCTCTCCATATTCGAGACCAGTAACCCAAAACTGGCAAGGATGACACCAATTGACAAATGAAAGACAACAAATTGTGCGAGGTAAAATCCGACCATCTGACCGGACCTGATTATCGATGTTCTTGGATTGGTTTTAGTCCCTTCGGGTCGGTCGTAATCTGTTGCGCACTTCGCTTTGGACGTCCCGGGGAAGGAGATTTCCGACCATGCGTAGCTTTGCCCTTGTTCTTGTGCTGGCCTTGTCTTTCAGATGGACCTAGCAGATTTTTGCCGCATTGCAGGCATCGCTGTGCTACATGAAGTGGAAGGACAGCCAAAGACATGAACATCTGCAGCGGGAGGCATGCAAGACCATAGATCCACTCGCATAACACGACTACCAGGCTGCGGTGTTGGGATCTGGAGCGCTGTGCTGCAGCTGCTAGGGAAAATGCATCGTGTACTTGCGTCTCCAGGTCATGCAGTCGGGATTCCGTCTGGTGTGTTGTGATAGCCATGCGCTTCTCATATCGCCGAACGGCTCGAGTCAACGCATCAATATCAGGCTGGAAGGCTTTCCGAATATCCGCAGTGGCCTGGGCAACGGCAGACTTAGTAGATTCTGGGCCTCGTGCAGCTTCTTCACCCGACGCCTCGGTTTTCTCTGAGATGCGTGCCGCGGCGGATTCCGCGATATGGGCTTCCAGCTCATCCAACCTCTTGATGAGATCCGTGATCGTACTTGCATCGATCTTCTCCTTTTCGTCCTCGTACGACGAGGCAACGACACGTTGTAGATGCAGGGTGCGTGCCTGCACCATTTTCAAAAGGTGGGAAAAGGGCCGAATCTCGGATGCCAGGAGGAAGATGGTCAGGTTATAGTTTGATACCAGGCCCTCCGAGGGGCGCGATAGTTTGGAGCGGATGGTGTGCAGAAGCCACGTTCCTATGACGGGAAAGACGAAACACGATGCGAGAGCCACCAGTTCGTGGATTTGTAGCTCCTTGCTCGCTGCATTGGCGGCGTGGGATGTGGACTGCTCTCTTTTTGGAGCTGCTTCGTGTTGCGCTTCTGGAGATTTTGATGGTGTTGTTTTACGGTCTTCGATATCAAAACCCAACGGAACCTCGGCAGCATCATAGAACTTGGTGTGATGGCGGGTTGCCTGAGCAGAGCGATACCAGTCCCTGGGAGGATTCGTCAGCCGGGAGAGCTCGCAATCGGGACGAATAGATGACCAGGAGGGTCCTACCATGGCAATCGTACCGACCAGTTCAAGAAGATGGCTGCCAGCACTAATAAAGTGATATCGGTGACTACGGCGCTACCGTTCTGGAAAAAGATTCCCGCAATGGCGGGTAACAACGCAAGGCCCAGCGGCGCGGAATGCCAGTGCGACTCCTCAGTTGGTAAGTTCGCATCGTCTCGCTTGACTACGCGGGGAAAGAAGAGATCGTCTGTGGAAGATCGAATTGAGTTCCGGGCCTCTGATACCGTATCTGAAAGGGTGGAATTGCGTCGCTGGTTGAGAAAACGAGTCGAAGCCTCAGCAGAAGTTGCGGAGCGGGTTATGCCACGGTGACGGAGGCCCAAGGGTCCAGGGGAATGGACCCGGGGAATCGGGGCGCTGTTGTTGTTCTCCAGCGGAGAAGATGAGGGTGGTTGGGACATGGCCAGGCACCTCAGGGAATAATCAAGCCACGCGGGTGCTATCAGTAGATCATAGGGTCGGTGCGTACCCGATAAGAGGGTTAAAGAGAAAAGGGAGATGGAAGGATGAGTGCATCGAGGCCACTACTGTAATGGGGTAAGTGCGGAGGTGGAGCTGCGGTTCGTGAATAATGACGCCATGTGCCGACCAGAGAGACCCACGGCACACGACAACCATGTATATCGCCTCCAGAACCCATATGGAGTCATCTGCGCTTCTGTTTTCCGTTCGCTGGATTATTCATCCAGAACAGTGGTACCGTCTCATCGAAGCTAACGATATGGCCTGGGTGATCCCGGCGTCTGCAGATGTGCTATGCCCGGCGTCATGGTGGTCTCCTGTGTATCACGCTAAAAGTCTGTGCTCGTTCGGATCTCCGGCCTCGAGCGGTTAGCCCAATGGGACTTGAAGCTATGTAAGTAGCTAGCTCTTTGAGGAGTTCTTGATGACCAGGGGTTTCCGCGTCCTCCGACTGGCGACTTTTCGGGGGCTGACTGCATCGGAATTTGGGGGCCATCAACGCTCCCGGGTGTCGGATCAGACTCTAAGCTAGATAGTGACGTGTGCAGAGCATGCGCAAAGGGGGACTCATGTGCAATTTCCCGGAACGAGGCAGTGGGAACAGACTGACGAGGAACACGGGGGAGACCGAGAAGGCGAGAGGAAAAAGGCGGACTCAATAGGAACCATGGTGAACCCTTATTGATACCCCAAACGGGAATGGACCGGTTCGGCTGCTGGTATCGACTTCTTCGCTCTGGCTGGCTTGTCTGACCCTCCAGCACCGCCTCATTCGCTCCTCTGGGCCCTTGCTTTCCAAGTGCAACCGGCCTCGACTCCCTCCTGGTCTCGTCTGTGATCTCATCGGAATCTATCCCAACCAGCACGAAGCATGCAGACCCCAAGTCGAGGAGGGTCATCCTGCTGCAGTCCCCTCCTCCCGCCATTCCTACTGAGATTGAAACAACATTTATTGCACAATCACTCCACGTGTTTGCGGTCTGTGTCTCGCATCCTCGCATTCTATTCCCTATTGACAGTCATCAGGAATCATATTCTGGGACATGGAATAGGGACGTCAACTGGAACACATCTGACTCTATTCGACTTTCGATCTCCACCCTCAATAAGAAAGACATCAGGATGAGTGTCTCCTGTTTCTGATTGATCTTGCCGTTGAAGCCCTCTTGTCTCTACTTCTCTGTTCTTTAAAAGAGAGGATGATACTGGCTTCCAACTCCAAATCCTCCATTTTTCGACTCCTTCAGATATCTTCCTCCAGACGAGTCGTTTCTCCAGAGCATAATCTGACACCATTCAACTATGGCATTATACGCGCAGACTCTACTCGTCCCCATCTTGTCCGTGGTGTCCATGGTGCTCAGCATCACTCCCTTGATCTTACACTGGCAGAACCGCAACTGGCCCGCTACATGTCTGATATGCTGGTGCTTGGGCCTGAACCTCTTCAATGTTGTCAACGCTTTGATTTGGCCAAATGATGACATTGACTCCTGGTGGAGTGGAGTCGGTCTGTGCGACCTAGAAGTCAAGATCATGATCGCCAGCTATGTGGCTGTCCCTGGGAACCTCCTATGTATTTTTCGCAACCTGGCTTCGGTGCTGGACACCAGGCGCGCCACTCTGGTTCCCTCCAAACAGCAGCGCTGGAGGAATCATTTCATCGACATTCTCTTCTGTATTGTCGTGCCGGTAATGGCCATGATTACTCATATTATCTATCAGAAAAGCCGATACGTCCTCTGGGGCATCTCTGGATGTGTCAACAGCTTTGACGAGAGCTGGGTGAGCTTCGTACTTTCGTTCATATGGCCTCCGATCATCTGCTTCATTGCCGGATACTATTGCGGTGGGTTGGGTTCTCGCTTGTCCTGACGTCGGGATGCCTGGCTGACCAAAAAATTAAGCAGGTCTCGTCCTCTACCGACTTCATAAATATCGAAGCCAGTTCGGCAGCATCCTGGAATCTGCGAATAGCAATTTAAGCAAATCCCGGTTTCTACGTCTCTTTTTCCTCTCCTTTGTTATGCTCCTTGCGATCATTCCCACTCAGATCTTCGTGATCTACAAGAATGTCCAGTATTCTTACCCATGGCACCGGTATTCGTGGAGCACTGCTCATTCTCCTGATTGGGGCACAATCCCCAAGTGGCGCTCGGATGGGGAGGTCTTCTTTGACCGGTGGGTGCCCATTACTTCTGGGTTCCTCTTCTTCCTTTTCTTCGGATGCGGCCACGATGCTGCTAGAATCTATCGCACCGTCCTTCGCTTCTTCGGCTTCACCTGTGTGCGGGGGCCGCCCCTGGCATCCACTGTGTCAAGCGGAACTGGGTCGATGAACAGTCGAGCAAAGATCTTAGGGCGCAAGAAAAGGTCGTCCGACTCAAGGTATGGATAGAACTTGTTCATACCGGTGCTGTGCTTACATTCCGCTAGAACCTACGTGAACAATATCACTAGCACACGAGTGGCCGGTACGATCTACGAGGATCTGGAGATGGGTGCTTCAGTCCCCCGTGGACCTAAACGCTCGGCCTGGCTACGGTTGTTCAAGCTGTCCAGTCGAGTGAGGAAGCCTCCTACTCCGGACTTGTCGACTCCATTGAACCTGATCTGCACAAATGCATGGGCAGGGACAAGCATGAGCCGGGGGAGCAGCGATTTCACCGAGACCCCTACAAGAAGGGATTTCATTCGAGTAAAACAGGTGATTAGCCAGGAAAGTGAGGTGCAACTTTGACGGATTCAAGTTTTACTCCCAATACTTAATTTCAGATTCCAACTTCTCCTAAAGCTTGCGGCTCGCCACGGCTCTAATTACGTACGCCATAGCATTAGCATTTTAAAGTGATGTACATACGTTAGCACCGTCGCGCAGAGGCCATCAATGCACATGATCAGCTACAGATACCTTCATTACGTAGGTCACCGGACGTATAAATTTAGAAACGACACACATGTACTGCATATAGATCCCGAGGGAAAATCATTTGAGGGTATACTTGTACAACATCGAATACAGAAGGCAAAATGATACATGATCTCCGACTGTCGGTGAGCCGACTGTCGAAGCGCAAGAGCGGAGAATTCGAAAAGCAGCCCATTATTGAACCTAAAACACCACCAGCCACACCCGTCTACCCTAACAATCATTTTCCGTTATCTTAATAGCTCGAGACGGTGGGGTCTTCCGAGGTAGCGGTAGAAGGGCGCTTGAGAACCTCGAGGGTGCCTATAAATTGGAGCAGATACCAGGGATTAGCCTTGGGAATGATCTCCGGACGGGATCGATCGCATCTGCAGGACGAGGACATAGCTTACGTTGGACAATGCTCAAGCTGGACTGCTTCTTTCCTTCGGCGTCTTGCCACTGGCGCATGCTTGCGTCTCCCTCGACGTACACCAGAGTTCTGCGCAGAATCACACGTTAGCATTGCATGGGTACCGCGCATCCGCCTGCAGGCGCGTGGAGACCCCGATATAGACTATAGTATGCTCGACGGCATCCACAGCATGACGCTCGTCGACCGTACTATATATATATCGCATCGGCAGGCCCACGCGGCCCACGGCACAGATGCGTGCATCTCCCGTGCATGGAAGAGATCGCACGACTCACCCTTTCGGCAGGCTGAGCAGGTGGTCCCGCTGGGGGCCCTCGGGCTGGAAGCTGGAAACGCGGAACCAGCTCGTCTGGCGGTTATCGCGGGGCCCGTACGACGAGCCCACCGCATATTTGATGACGTCCTGGCCGGTCGAGGTGGCCTGCAGCTCGGGCTCTGCGGCCAGACGGCCAGTGATGATCATACGGGCCACGGAACGCGACGCGGAGGAGCTGAAGGAGCGCGCGGAGAGGGTATGAGGTGCGGCGCGCGCGAATGGGCGCAACGAGGCAGCGAAAGTCGACATGGTAGTGGTGTCTAAGGGAACGGAGGTTGCTCTTGGTCGTTGGGAGGAGTAGCAGCAGCAATAGGAGCAGTAGAAAGGGAGTCGTCGCGACTCAACTGACCCATGATTACGTTACCGGCGCGATAACGCGAGGGGCGCACGTGATACCGAGACAATTATTGGACGGGCCTTGTGTAGTCCTCCTTCATCCATCCACCAGCCTTACCTACTTTAGAATCATATTCAGGCAGACGCCTTTTTGTTTTCAATCTTTATCTCCCTCTTGTTGTTGTCGTGTTGATAATCAATGCAGCCGGATTGTCGGCTAATCGCCCCTTCCTAGACGCCCTTAATCCTGATCTATGTATGTACTATCGATACGAGAACCACGATATTGAGCTCCTTGTGACCTGTGAGAGCAGACGTTGGTTTTCATTGATTACGCCAGGAAGGCCCTCGCTCAGCAAGAACCTGTCAACAACAGCGACCTCTGCCAGTCAGATCATCACCAGGGTGGTCTTGCTCACCGCTTCGATCCTGCAGCGTATTATTGATTCCCAGCAGAACTCAATTCGACAGGGAGAGTCCTTCGTGAGGTATCTTATGGAAACACCTACATTATTCAAGAGATGGAGGAACACATGTTCGAACCTTTACGTCAATCGCATTCTGGTCCACATTGTTGCCAGTCTCGCTTCCGTCCATGCAGATAAGACTGCGATTTGGAGCGACCTCTCGTGATTCGACAAGGACGACCAGGATCTCTCAGACATGCAATATCTCGGAAATTAGCTATCACCTTGTCACCCACGGAAGTCGCAGAATAGATCCCTGTGGGCTTCCAAGTCACCATGTTTTCTTCTGTTCTTGGGAGCGGAGTGGGGTGGAGAATTTGACCTGTCGTCCCCTGCAGACAATCACACTCACACGCCAACGAATGGTAGCCAGTGGCGTTCTATGATGATCAGCGACGTCGAATCCGATGATCAGAGAGGAGCTCTACCATGGCTTCCCTAGCCCTCCTATGGCCTTGGCGGAAGCCACCACTGACAGACGTTTTGATTCTGCCCGACATACAGGGTTGTCGGTCACCATAATGCCAATGCAGGGTTCTTGTGCGTGGACCCCAGGACACACCACGTCAATTTGCCCACCAGTTCGACGAATGTGACTCTTTCTGTGGCTTTATGCGTGTCCTCCATGACACACTGAGAGTGTGAGCTGGCATTCAGCTCAAGAGCCGACCCTGGTTCGCCTAGGAGTTCAGTCGTAACTATTGGAGGACTAGGACCTGTTCCTTACATATCGGACCTGACATATCAAAGACAGCAGGCCGCATCCTCTTCCAATCACCCATTCGGACCGTCCAGAATCTAAGTCTGTACAATAGTCTAAACGCTCCTAATGGATGGTGCCTGGATTGGCTGATCATTGCCCGATGGCTCGATGCTACGACAACTGCATCGACGTTTTGCTTTTTCGCCATCCCACAGTGGGCCAAGTCACATCTTCCATGCATCGGCTTCGTAGTCTATTTCTCGGGGCTCGCTACGGATCTGGTAGGTCGGAACGAGCCACTCCCTACCTGTCCCGGATTCCGATTGCTCTAGATCTCCCGCCTCCAGGCCGCCATTTGAAGCAGAACCACCTATACATAGTGGAAGCAAGCCCTGCATCATCCTGTTGATTCTTCGCCACGTTTATGCGCTCTGCTGTGCATCAGTATCACAAAGTTGTGCCGCATTGATCTTATATGTTGCCGAAAGATCTATCACACACTATGAATGATCACCGCTAGGTAATCTTGTTCCGAACCATCGGCCCATACATCATAGTTCCGAGTCCCAGATTCTGCCACTCCTCTCGGCCATCTTCTTCAAGCCTGTCGACTGTTTTTCGTCCGAACCCCGCACAATGCGGTTGGCTCCTCATTTGCCCGTGCTGGCCTGTCTCCTCTCTACTTTGCTGGTGTTTGCGGCCGGAATCCCTAGCTTTGGGCGCGAGGGCCATGGAGGAATTGTGAATATAGTGGTACGGGAGACGTCTCCTGAGACGGCGACAGCGACAACAGGTACTACAACAGAGGCGGACACAACAGCGAGCGGCACAACGAGCGCAACGAGCCATACGACTGGGACATCGAATTCGACATCAACGACAAATACGAGTACCCTGACCTCCACAGCTGTGCCAACACTAAATGTATCGGCACCTTCGCGAAGTGAGTATAATCTGGGGGTACCCAGATATCGTGCATTGTTCGTTTCTCACATTCTCCTATCTTCAAACAGATGAAACGAACTCCACGGCACCAGGCGCTCTGCCGCTCCAGCCTGCTGTCACTCCCGCGTTGGGAGTCGGTGGCTTCATCCTGATCGCTGCCGGTGCCGTTCTCGCGTTAATCGGCATTCGCAACTTATGGTAATATTCTCAATCTATCAACAAGACATCGACTTACAGGAAAGATAGGGTACAGGTGTTTCTGTCGACAGCTTTCTTGACCAGTCTTGGAGTAACGGTTAGTCATGCTATCAATCACACAGTCAATAGCGTTGCTCATTGTCTATCGCAGGTCTTGATTGTCTACGTTATGAACCCGCCGGTGCGCGTTGCAGTCCAGGGCGCATATTTGGTTGCGATTTTCTTCACGGGAATAACCTTTGGGGCGCTCTCGATCGTATTCAAGGAATTAACGGAAGGGCTTGGATGTCTTCTGGGCGGTTTCTGCCTCAGCATGTGGCTTCTCTCCCTAAAGCCTGGGGGTCTTCTCACAGACGATGGCTCTAAGAGCGGTTTCATAGGCGCCATCTCTGTCGGAATATACGCCCTCTCTTTTACGCACCATACCCGTCCTTACGCGTTGATTGGGTCAACGGCTGCAGCCGGTGGTACGGCAGTGGCATTAGGGATTGACTGCTTCAGTCGGGCCGGGTTGAAGGAATTCTGGCTTTACATCTGGGGTAAGACACGGCTTTCCCGCTTACACCAGTGTGCCCCTGCTGATCAGAACACAGCGCTTAACGAAGATATCTTCCCGCTGAATACGAACACTTACCCAGTGACTCGCAACATCCGTGTGGAGCTCGCTGCGACAGTCATCGTCGCTATCCTTGGCGTGATCTCGCAATTGCGACTGTGGAACGTCGTCCGCGAACGCCGACGAAAGGAGGAAGAACTCCGCGCCGAGGAACAGAGGAAAAAGGAGGAAGCCGAGGCGGAAATCGGACGACAACTCGAGGAGAATAACCTGAAAGAGCGTCTGGCGTGGGAGGCCCGTTACAACAGCACTGAACCAGATATCCCGGAGCTCGGATCCAATTCGAAGACATGTCTCACAGATGAGAAAGCAGAATTGCGGAAGGCGAAAGAAATTGACTGTATGACCGTCTCATCCGACCAGTCGAGCACATCGGAGGCGTCCTATCGATGCTCCGATTGCAGGGAGAGAGAGGCAAATGGTGAATCTGCGTATGCTCCCTCCGTGATCAGTGAGTCTACCGGCGCCTCTCAAACGGGAATGGAAGATGATGATCCAGATGCGGTCGACCGGAGAGGGTCGCAGAAATCTCCCACTCCCCTTAAAGTTTTTGATGGTGCTGCCGCGGCAAGAATGAAAGATGACAATGGATCAGAGGTGACGGCCATCATTGGGTCAGAAACAGGCACAATCCGGTCGAAGCGGTTTTCTGGAAGGTCTATCCTTGACAGGATGTCAGTGAGAAGCAGCCTCCGACAGATGTCAGAGTCACAAGAAGCGCTTGTTTCCTGCGCGGACGGTGCCTCCTTGCAGGATGATGTGGATGATGACCTCGATGGTCGCAGTGAAGAGTCTGAAGACCGAGAATCTGCAAGAAAAAGTGTACACGATGGCGGTGCACACAGCGACAGCGACACGGAAGGAACTTCCCAGCCGATGGAGAAACGGCTCTCTTGTCCAGAGACCGCATCCGACGTCAAAGACATCGCCGCAAAGACCACGGATGAGCAGAGTGTTTATTCCCGGGAAGTGGAAGAAGCTAAAGACGGAAGACGAAACAATTCTACAGTGCAAGAAGCGAACGACCAACGATGTCCATCGGAGTCTCCGAAGGAAATAGTAGCTGAGCAAAAGGATGAGCAGGTCCCCGAACAACCGCCGCCCCAGAAATCTGCGGCAGAATTCAATCCGATCGAGGCCAAAGACGAGAAGAGAAAATCGGACCATATCGGTGTCACCGAAGCAAACGACTCGTCTTCTTCTGCTCCAGAAGGCTCAAGTCGCAGTCTGTCTCCAACCGATCAGTCAAAGAGATCTTCCGACAGCAAAGGAAGCACGCAGAAGGAGGAAGGATCATCGTCTAACAAACGAAGAAGCGAATCAACATCGACAGCCAAGGCCAAGGCCAAAAAGGAGCCGGCCAAATTGAACGCCAACACCGTCAAGCAACTCCCCCAGAGAGACTCGATAGTGGTCCAGTCATACAGAACAAATGAATGGGCCAAGCATCTAGCCGATGCGGAAATCTTGGAGCCGGAACCTATCGAACCGATAGAGGAGGAAGAACCAGAAATCCCTGTGGGCAAGGAAGAAGCTCCGGCACCTGTCAATGTGGAGGAGCTCCTGCAAACGCCCCTAACCGCGCAGCCGCCTCCCGCTGCAGAACTTCACGCGTCTCTCGGAAGAACACCGTCGATAAACGAGCACTATCGGACGTCTGGGGAGTCTCAATCGCGCCGGGATTCTCAGTCAACAAAACGAGGATCTCGCTCTAAGCGCGTCTCCGGTCTGTCCTCGGTTCCAACCCCTGATGCTTTGCAACCCTTAACTCCCGACGCCCAGCCACAACCCGTTCCGGCCACAAAGAGCGGCGCATATCATGCCCCTACTCCCCTATCGCCCATCGCCGATGCAGTTGAACAGCCTCGCGAAGAGGTGGAGCCCAAGCCTCAATGGGTAGGGCCACCGCCACTGATCGCCGTGCGAGAGGGGATGGTGCAGAACAAGTTGACATCGTTCTCTCTGGGGACAGATCCTTGGTCCTCCCGACTGAGTCCCGGCCTCCCATCAATGACCCGTTCGTCATCGGCATTGTCCACCAACCCTGTGCCCGAGGATGAGGACAACATGCCGCTGTCTCGACGTCGGACAATGCTTCATCAGCAAACGCAGCGGACTTTGCAGACAAAAGCATCTCCTCTGTTAGCCACGGGATGGAGCCAAAGCAATCCTACTCCGATTGCTGGTCCCACTGCGGCGGTGTTGTCGCGGCGGACATCAACACATGACGGCGGCTACCACAATCGGAATTCATTGTCGCGAAACAATTCGGGCGCAAAGATCGGCGCCAGTCCGTATGTCCTCGGACAGCAGCAGCGCAGCAGTTCCTCGATAAATATCGATCAGGCCATCGCCCAAGGGATGCAGCGCGGTGACATGAGTAATCTACATCGGGATGCCATGCGACGAATGCAAGCAAAGGCCAACCAAAAGGTGAACGGGCGGTGATGCTAGGATGTTTTTCTATTGTTTTTCTATTTCCTCTTAATGTTTGGGTTTATTTGTTGGAACTGGATGTTTGGCATTTCAAGATTCCCCACAGTCAGTCGACGTCGTCTTAAGGTTATGGCAAGCACGCGTTACCCATGTGTTGGAGTTTTGGAAGCTTTCTAGATAGGAGGTATAGGAGGTAGTTTATAGGTAGATGGAGGTGAAAAAGCCCACCGCAATTGATGAGACGTTTGATGACGTATTTCTACGGGACTGTTTCACCCAAGGGGACTTTTGACAGTCTGGACTCTGGTGGAAGGATTGCACTATGACGATGGAGGATATGACTAGCGCTAGTGATATAGTGGGAATATAATTAGCACTGCCAACGCCAGGGGCCGGACGGACTATCCGCGAGAATCCGAGAAGGATTGGCGTTTTTCGGCGCGTCCAGTTGAATGAAGCCTTGTTGGACTGGTCATGGTTCAAATACTGGTCTGAATAACTGCTGTAGGTGCTAGAGAGACAGTTCTGTCCTGTCTGGGCACAGGCGGTTGTCATGCAGTCGAGGTATAATTTCGTACGTATAGATTGCCGTTGACGGGGATCCCAACTCCGTTTGAAACGTCCGTACGTAGGTACTTCGGAGTACTTTTTCTTGGTCTTCTACAAGTACGCTTCACTTTTTTTTAAAAAAAATTTTTAGTGTTTGATTGCTTGGCCTGAGATGATGCAAAGTTTTAAGCCTTGCCTGGGCTATTGAACCATTTATTGTTTCGCCATCGGGTGGGTATTGGGCATTGGTCCTGTTTAAATAATACTACACGTCCATCGTCTTTGCCTCTCTCTCGTCCTTTGTTTCTAGTTTTGACTTCTCCTTCTGATACGAAGTCTTCTTTGTTCTGTTCTGGACAGTAATAAGGACTACTTACTCCTAGGTTCAAAATTGATGTTCCCCTATTCGGCCTCACAGCCCTAGATAAACCATTTATATAGTGGCGTGCCAGGCAACATCCATTCCCAACGACCCAATTGACTGAAAGGGGTTCTGGCCTGGATCGGTTCTACTCAATAGAGCCCAATAATCCCTTCTTATCATCATCATTATCAACACCATCGAGAAAGAAAACCCGCTGAATGTCGCGCTCAGGCCGAAGAGCGTCCCTTGCCTGGTTGCCCCTTTCGACTCCCCACCGACCAATCACCGGCCTAATCTCTCGCCCACCACGGCTTCAACTTCTTCGTCAACTTCTTCACTTCCCCCTCTCCCTCCTCATCCTCCTCCTCCTTCTCTTCCTCCATCGCTCCCCTTGGCGCCCTCCTCTTCTCGCTCCGAAACAGCCTCCATCGCCCCCTCGCACCATCACCTCTTGTTACCATCGTCCGAGGTTGAAAAGCCCGCCTCCTGTTCGCGATTCTCCCCGCGTGGCCCTTATTCCCGCAGCCCGCGCGCTTCGTTCCAGTCCCACCCACCACCGACTTTGGCTGCGGCCGATCATCTCCGTCCTAAGAGTTCGTCGCGATCCATCCTGCGGCCCCGAAATTCGTGGATTCCACCCACCATCTTACGTCCCCCCGCCGTCCGACTCGCCAATCCCGTCAACTACGTCCCGCGCATCACCCCCGTAGCCGTCCCCCATCCGCTACAGTTCGCCGACGACAACCTCTCCCTTGACGGGAATCGCGAAGCCTACCCTCTCCTAACGCTTCCCGAGCGGCGTCGCAGCCGAGTCAACCCCTCGCCGAATAGCCTGGTCGTGGAGCGCAGTCAGGGGGAGACCGAAAGTGGGCGCTCTAGTATCGCATTGCCTCGAGGGCAGAGGCGCAGTGGCGGTGCCTTCAGTGAGAATTGGCCGCTCCAAGAAATGTCCGAACCGACCGCGAAGGATGGGAATCAGGAGGCCGCCTCGAATCTGCGTCCCCCCGAACACGCGTACCTCTCCGATGCCCGCGGGCCGCTAGACGACCGGCCGCGTCACGTTCAATCGCAGACCTCGCTCCGTTCGCAATCTCAGATCGCGTCCATCCCGTCCCATACGGGTCAGCCTATCGGCCCCGAGGCTGACGGACCGGAAGAATTGGCCTGGGGTCCTGCCCATCCGTGCTACCCTCATATCAATCCTCATGTACCGCTAGGCTCGCAGGAATACCTGACGACGCGGATCATCCGTATCCGACGGGATTGGATGGTCAAGGGAGATCTGGCGCCGACGTTTTCCAACTTGTACCCCGAGATTCTCGATCCCTTACTGCCCGAGCAGGAATTCCGCAAAGTGATCTCCACGATCAATGACGAACTCATCAAAGCGTTCGATCCGTTCAGTCTGCGCAACTGGATTGACAGCGCCTTGGGCCTCCTGACTGGCTGGCTCTGGGAAGATATCGGAGCCCCGGGGATCAAGAGCCATCTCAAACGAGTGGAAGATTGGCTGGAGAGATGGAACCGAGAGGTTGGCGAAAAGGACGGTGTGCATATCTGGAGTCTGCGACGGACTGCGTATATGTCGTTGGACATCCAGATCCCCGACCCCAAGGTGGGCATCATCCCCAGCGAGGGCGGTCCATCGTTACCAGGAACTCGACCCAACAGTGGCATTGGACGCGACGTCTGATGACCGCTGCTATAATGACGTCCACTATATTTTCTTCGTTGTCTCCTATTCTGGATCTTTACTTCTTGTAATTTTTTACTCCTTCTACTCTTTGGCTGCTGCATTTTCTAGCGGATTTGGACGTTCCTGGGATGCGCTCTGTTACTTCTTATATGATATCCATGTCGTTGACCTGAATCAGTGATACCTCTGTTTGACTTGGGAATGATACCTGAACACTACAGTGTATACAGTGCTGGCCTTGTAAATGAGGATTTTTCTGGAAGAATTGTATAATATAATTTATCTTTGTGGTGCTGGAAATGTTGATCGTAAGTGCGTAGAGAAATTGGCTTACCCCTAGTCCATACATTCCCCACGTCGCCGCACCCAGAACTTCCTCCGCGCAGATCTCCAACCGCAACTTCATCGTTCCCCTTTCTCTCTCTCTTCTCCCCCCATTCCTCTCCGTCCTTTCCCTCTCACCTCCCTCCACAATGCTCTCTGGCATTCTCATCTTCAATCAGAAAGGCGAGAATCTCATCTTCCGCGCCTTCCGCAATGACTGTCGTCCGCGTCTCGCGGACATCTTTCGCATCCAGGTCATCTCCAACCCGCAGGTCCGGTCGCCGATCTTGACGCTGGGGTCGACGACATTCAGCCATGTGAAGCACGAAAATATCTATCTGGTGGCCGTGACGAAGAGTAACGCCAACGCCGCCCTAGTGTTTGAGTTCCTGTACCGGCTGGTGATGCTGGGGAAAAGCTACTTTGGGAAGCTCGACGAGGAAGCGGTGAAGAACAATTTTGTTCTCATCTACGAACTACTAGATGGTGCGCTTGTCCCATACTCTTGCCGACGATTTACGCGAAGCGCGCAATGGCCTTGGTCCCTGTCCCGCAACGTGGCTAACTCCTGACTCGCAGAAATCCTGGATTTCGGATACCCCCAGAACACCGAGACGGACACGCTGAAGATGTACATCACGACGGAGGGCGTCAAATCGGCCATCGCCAACTCACCGACCGACTCGAGCCGCATCACGATGCAAGCGACGGGCGCGCTGTCGTGGCGGCGATCCGACATCAAGTACCGCAAGAACGAGGCGTTTGTGGACGTGATCGAGGACGTCAACCTGCTGATGTCGGCGACGGGTACGGTGCTCCGGGCGGACGTCAACGGGCAGATCGTCATGCGGGCGTACCTGTCGGGCACGCCGGAGTGCAAGTTCGGGCTGAACGACCGGCTGCTGCTCGACAGCGACGGGCGGGGGCCGACGGGGGCGGAGCCGGGCAACCGCGACGGGACGATGAAGGCGACGCGCGCGGCGGCCGGGTCGGTGACGCTGGAGGACTGCCAGTTCCACCAGTGCGTGAAGCTGGGGCGGTTCGACGCGGACCGGATCATCTCGTTTGTGCCGCCGGACGGGGAGTTCGAGCTAATGCGGTACCGGGCCACGGAGAACGTCAACCTCCCCTTCAAGGTGCACCCGATCGTGCGCGAGGTCGGAACCACGCGCGTCGAGTACAGCGTCGCCATCAAGGCCAACTACAGCTCCAAGCTGTTCGCCACCAACGTCGTCATCCGCATCCCCACCCCGCTCAACACTGCCAAAACCACCGAGCGCACCAGCCAGGGCCGTGCCAAGTACGAGCCCGAGCACAACAACATCGTCTGGAAGATCGCCCGCTTCTCCGGCGGCAGCGAGTACGTCCTCACCGCGGAGGCCACCCTCACCAGCATGACCCACCAGAAGGCCTGGAGCCGCCCGCCCCTGAGCCTATCCTTCAGTCTGCTCATGTTCACCAGCAGCGGCCTGCTAGTGCGCTACCTCAAGGTGTTTGAGAAGAGCAACTACAGCAGCGTCAAGTGGGTGCGGTATATGACCCGCGCGGGGAGTTATGAGATTCGGTAAGCCTCCCCGGTTTCTGGTCTTTTTGAAATGCTGCTAACATCAGGCAGATTCTAGCTGGTCTACTGCGGGCCAAGTAGCCGGGTTCTCTTCAGATACATCTTTACATACATACCATGAGCTGGGTGTTTGGCGTTTTGCATTTGTATGTCGATTCTATGTGTGGATCATAATGTCGCGTGTATCCGTGTAGTAATAACGGGACGAAATAAGTGGCTCTTCTGTGGCGCAGCGGATCCGAGCAGTCACACAATGTGCTGATGAAGGAAGACAGAGTGGAAATATGTAGGCACGATACTACAGTAGTTACTTCGTGCTGCCCCAAACTACGTAGTACCGAACTTATCTAAAGTAGTGCTATAGTCCTGCGCCAGGCACCCAGCATTAGTACGAAGCTGATTCCTCACTATAACTGGAACACGGTTTTGAAGGTTTTTGAGAAGTATAGAACACTTTTTAGGAGCCCCTGAAACGTTGCCACCAGCATTCGTCGGTTTCTCCAGGATCAAATGTGTCCCTGTCTAGTTCCATCATGCTGCTGTGGCTTGATCACTGTGGTCGATCTGGACACGCTTGCCTTACAGCCTATAGCGTTCTGGCCTCCAGGCTGGTTAGGCCCTGTTCTCATGTAGCACCTCTCAGCCATACTGTGAACTCAGTAGTCACATCCAGCCTAGACAGTCATCATCTCGAACATTTTGAGGGCCTCTTCTAGGGCTCGCAACCTGGCCTCGATATCCCGCTTCCTGGACTGGGCTGAGCGCATGGCTTCAGTGACATCCTTGTCCTGTACTTTGCTCAGCTCTGCCTGGAGTGAGTCAGTGTCATCCTGGTCCTTTCTTGCTTCATCCAACTTCGTCTTGACTCTTTCAGCCTCCTTCCCAGCATCTTGTATGCGATCGCTGACTTCAAGATAGACATTCGCATCTGCGGAAACAGGGAAGACTGCACAACCAGTAGGACTGGCTTCTCCAACGTTCAGAATGCTAATATTCACTGGTGTCTTGCCACTGAGAGACTTGATTGCGGAAAGCTGAGCGGACACAGTATCGTGCGACATTTGATTCAGAGGTACGATATGAGCCACGCATTGATCCTTCACAGCATAGTCCGCTATCAGTGAGCGAATACCTTTCGAGCAGCCCAGTACCAGCTCATAGGCTGCCTCGGATCTTGGATCATCAAAAGACGGCTCATACTCCGGGTACTCGGCGATTGTGATTGAGGATGTGTTGTTGCCTGGTCTGCGCGGGAGCCTCTGCCAAAGCTCTTCAGTCAAGAAGGGCATGAATGGAGACATGAGTCGCAAGCCGGCCTCGAGCGTGGTGTATAGTGTGTCCATGGCTGAACGAGCTTCGCCAGGCGTGCCGTCTGAGATGATCACTTTCGAATTCTCTATGTAGATGTCGAACAGTTCATCGTACAAGTACCGGTAAATGATCTCGGTCGCCTTTGCGAATCCACAATCTTCCAGCGCCTGGTTGATTTGCTTTGCGGCTGTGTTCATTCTTGTCAGGATCCACTTCTCTGGCAGACTTTCTTTGCCTGTCAAAGCACTGCTCTCACGGGGAGCAAAATCATCGCCGAGCTTCCCTAGGACATATTTCGTGGCCTGGTAGATCTTATTACAGAATCTGCGATAGCCTTGCATTGTCTTCACGTCAAAATTGATGTCGCCGCCAGATGCCTGAGTGTAGTGGACGAGCGAGAACCGCAAGGCATCGGCGCCGACCTCAGGAATGCCTTGTGGGAAGGCCTTCCTCTGGTATCTTTCGGCATTCTTGACCTCGTTCTGGGCTAGGTTTCCTTCAAGTAGCTTCTGTTGGAGGTCATCCAGGCTGATGCCGTCAAGTATATCAATCGGGTCAATGACATTGCCGAGTGATTTTGACATTTTTCGACCGTCACTATCCCGTATCAAGCCATGGCAGAAGACTTCTGTGAACGGTACTTTGCCGGTCAGTTTGAGAGAAAACATGATCATACGGCTGACCCAGAATGGCAGAATGTCCCATCCTGTTTCCATGGTCGTGTTCGGAAAGTACTTTTCAAGATCCGACGTCTTGTCTGGCCATCCGAGGGTACTAAACGGCCAAAGCGCAGAGCTGAACCAAGTATCTAAGACGTCTTCGTCCCGCTTGAGAGTCACTTTCTTGCCAGGGAATTTCTCTTCTGCATTCTCCTGAGCCTCGAGTTCGGTCCTGCCACATACCCAGTAGTCATCGTTGGCATCATTCCCACGATCTTCACCCTCGATGGTGATGAAATATGCCGGTATCTGATGGCCCCACCACAGTTGTTGCGACAGGCACCAGTCTTGGAGGTTTCGCATCCATTGCAAATACTGTCGCTTCTGGACGTCTGGTCTAGTAACGAGTTCACCACTTTCAACCACATCTATGGCTGGTTTCGCTAGCAGCTCCATTCGCATCCACCATTGGGGCTTCAGCAACGGCTCAATAACATCTCCTGAACGACTGCATATCGGAACAATCATTTTGTTCGGCTCTTGCTTTGTATAAAGACCAAGTTTCTTGAGCTCCTCGACGACGCCATATCTTGCATTGAACCTCTTCTCTCCGGCGTAATGGCCAGCATTGCTGTTGAGAGTACCGTCCTCGTTCAGGATGTTGATAAATGGCAGATTGTGTTTCTTGCCGAGGTTAAAATCATTGTGATCATGAGCAGGGGTCAATTTGACTGCGCCAGTACCAAAATCCCTCTCAACATATTCATCGGCGACGATCCGCAGCTTCCTACCAGGTATTATCGGGCGTCGGGCAGTCTTGCCAACGAAGTCCTTATATCTCTTGTCCCGAGGATGGACAGCAATGCCAGTATCACCAAGCATTGTCTCTGGTCTAGTTGTTGCAACTTCAATTGTCTGCTCAGTGCCTTCGACTGGATATTTGAAATAGGTGAGGGTCCCAAATTCAATCTTCTTGTCGTAGCCAGGTACGGCAAGTTTCGTCGTTCCTTCAAGCTCTTTCTGGTCCACCTCGAGCGTGGACAAAGCTGTGGAGAGGCGGCATGACCAATGGACAAGCCTGTTGGCTCGATATATGAGGCCTTCTGGTGCAGTTGCACAAAGGTCTCCGTAACCGCTTTTGACAACTGCGCGTTCATTGTGAAGGCTTCCCGCGACCAGTCCACCGAGATGCCAAGTCTGCGCATCGTCTTGTTTATCTCCGTTCGGTAATCCTCCTTCCAGTCCTGGCATAACTGCACGAATTCAGGTCGACTGAAATCCTGCCTCTTGGACTTGCCGTTTTTGGGGTGTCTGGCGAGTCGCTTCTCGACAACGACTTGGGTCGCAATTCCTGCATGATCGCAACCAGGGATGTATAGCGTTGAGAACTGCCGCATACGATGCCACCTGATAAGGGTGTCTTCCAACGAGAGTGCCAGGGCGTGTCCAATATGGAGTTTGCCAGTCACCTATGATGATGGTTAGTAGATGGCAATGCCTTTGATACGTGGGTCCGTACATTGGGCGGCGGTATAGCAATCACATATTTGCCTTTTGGCTTGAGATTGCCATCCGCCTCTGTTTGTGGTTTGAACAGACCTTGGTCCTCCCAGAAGCTGTACCAGGCAGATTCGACGACTCTCGGTATGTACGCCTTGTGGAAGACACCATCCAGCGGTTTCAGTATCTTCTTCTGACCGGAAGGCGTCTCCTCTATCCAGTCTTTCGACTCGACAGCAGAAACACCTGGCTTCTTGGCCTTATGCTTCTTCGAGAGACCAGATTGTCCTTGCTGTTGCGCCTGTTGTGCCTGCTTCTCCTTCTTCTTGGCAAACTTTTCGAGCTTTAGCCGTTGCTTCTCGCTCGTTGGCTTCTCTGATCTCTGTGTGGAAGCCATATCCAATGGTGCACGCAAGACCACGAGATACGGACGATAGAAGAGTAGTAGCTCGATGTGAAGGGCAAAAGATGGCGAGGTGAATAGAGTCGGGGTGCAAGAGGAGGCTGTGGGAAGGCCGTCACTGACTCACTGACTAAAAGTAAGGGTGTTACAACGCCTCTCATTCTTTTCCTTTGCTTCATTTTTTACCCTCCTCCTTTTCTAGCTTGCTGGTGGCTACGTTTCTAAGGCTACTAGCAAAATCAATTTTTCATCTTTCCCTATGGGAAGAGTCTACTCGCTGCCCGCATGCTGGCTCCTCAGTGGCTGATGACTCCAAGCGGACGCCGATTTGGACATCCAAGTCAAGGCGTCAACTAGTTAGCCGCCAACGGCATTTTTCTTTATTCCTCTCGCTACGCCTCAAAATATCTATTCTATCATAATTCTCATCGCCATTGAGGCGTGCAACCTTGAAAACTCAAGTCTTAATCCTGCTCAACCGAAAACTGCACCCCTTTACCCCGTCACTATTAACACTCAGTTCGAGGAACATGGATCAGTAATTCTCAACCTGAGATGTCTGCTGGGGTTTGAGGCCAGGACACTCGGGAAGCCGCATGGCTGGCAGTGCCTAGAGCCTCATAACCAACCTTGAAGGACTCATTTTGATTCCCTACAGGCACGCCATGCGTACAGCTGGGGGTCACTTGCGCAGTGCTGTTGGCTTTCAAGCTTCAGAGTCCCAATGCAAGCTGCGTGTTGCGTCCGAGCACCCCTGGTTTTGATATGTATGGTTGTGCGGCTTTCCCCCCCACAACGGAACGGATTGCATCGCACCGCATCACCATGGCTTATATGCAGAAGAGTGGTCGTCGAGGGCGGTGGGCGGTCAAAGTTACGGGTGGAAAGGCGGCCGTTTCTGGCCTCCAAAGCGGTCATTTTCGGCGTCAATTTCACAGGTGCTCATGTTCTAGTAATTTTATGCACATAAATCCCTGTGTTAGACAGGGCTGTATTGTCTTAACCGCCGACCCGACCATAAAGCCAGATGAATACTACGTGCGTAGTTTCTGTAGGAAGTGCACAATGCATTGTGCGCACGTATAGAAACTACAATAATTGCACGACCATGTCGACAATGCACTGCACAAGCAGATCAAGCTCCACTCAAGTGCACCCTTGCATGGTTCCCATGGAGATAAGATACGATCTACAACACTTATCGACAACTTTAATCAATCCAGAAGATCCATTCGATGAGAATGCATAGTAACAATAAGTATACACATGATCATACATGAGCGACACAATCCAGTGTGAGCAGTCCCAAGCCACAGGCATGTACAGATATTAAGAACAGGGTAATGAAAAGAATCATCTCAACACAGAAGAGATCAGAAGAAAGACAGAATCGAAAGAAAACACACGAGTAGTAATACAGCACGCGCAGACGTAATCCGCGACAGATCCAAAAGAAAATGGTCCCGTGATATCCCATAGAGTACATGATGAAAAGTCCGCCAATATTGCACATAACAAAGAGATTACAAGAAGAAAAGAAAAGAAGAAGTACATCGAAGAGTTCATTGCAGCCAGCTCTCGTTGAGACGGCCGCGGACCATGCGCCGGCCTCGTCGCAAGCCGACGTTGCCGTCGCCAACGAGAGCCTGCCACCGGCGCCCGACACTGGCATTGTCCTTGCCTATTCGTCGGGCGCATTCGTCCCAGTCGCGCTGGGATAGTTGGAATTTTTCCAAGACGATCTGGACCAGTCGCTGGTCATCGTCGGTGGTCCAGCCGTCGTCCGACGCGACGGGCTCGTCTGCCTCTTCGATAGACGGCAGCGCCGCGTCGGGGTCGAACGACGGCGCGCGATCATCACGCGTGTTGGAGTTCTGTTTCGTGAGATGGGCGGGTGACGGAGGTGATTGTGTGGTGGGCGGGGAGTGGAGGGAGTAAAAGTCGGATTGTGACAGACCCAATGGTAGGTCGTACGGGACGTGTCGGCGACGCTTGGGCGTCGAGAATCTGTGCCGCGCGAACGTTTCCATCTCACTAGAGGTATCTTCATCGAGGTCTCCTTCGAAGCAGTCGCGTCGTCGTTTGTTAACGCCGCGGGAGGGTGTGGGAGAGGGGTTGACCGCTTTGGGCGTGCGCGACCGGCCAGGAGTCGCGGGTCTGATATGGAGGGGGCTTTGGAGGCGTTGCGGCTTTGCGCATCGCGGAGACGGTGCCGGAGATGCGTTGAGGAGGGATTGTAAGGCGCGACAGGTACCCAGGAGCCCGTTTCTGGAGGGGAAGTCGTCGTCGGAGGGAGGAGGCGTGGAGAATAAGCGACTGGGGGTGAGGCGCGACGGGCGGCGCATGTCACAGGGGAGCGCGGAGGGGAGCAACATGGTTGCGCAGGGGTATATAGCGAGCGGAGAGGTGTAGTGGAGGGTATATGAGATGAATGATTGATGCGATAGGATCGACGGATTGTGTTGTGGCGGGCGATCGATGGAAGTTTCGCAGGACAGGTTTTGTGCGTCGAGGGTGCGCGACGGCGCTGTTTGCGCCGGAAGCGGTTTTCACAAGCTGAGGCGGAGATATCGAGTCAAGAACGAGCGGTGGTGTAATCCGAAGAGTAGCGCTTCGATATCGACCAAATCCGGAGGATGCGACGAGTGAAGGGGAAGAAGACGGATGGGTTGGGGTGGATGGTGTGAGGATGTCAGATGGGAGGAGGACGCGGGAGCGATAAGTTTAAGAGCCGGACGGAAAAGGATGGCCGTTGGTGGTTGCCTCCCGTTCGGTTACCGCAAACGGCCACCACTCAGTCTGCAGAAACACGCCAATGCAAATATAGTCAATAAAGACCCTCAGTGCAATGAATGAACAGTTTGAAGTTCAATAAAGGACATTCCACAAGGCAAAGAAATCAATCTGTCAAACTCAACAAAGAATGGCGGGGTGATTGCTTCCTTTGCTGGCCTGCTCTCTGAGACGGATCTTGCTCTCCTTGACAGGGGAAGGAATGCGACTATATGAGTCTTCAGACGAACTCCTCCTATCGGTAATGGAAAGGAGCACCACTATATCCCCATCTACTCCACGTCGCCCCTCTGGTGGGTGGTGCGGTCCCGGTAGTGAGACAAGGAGTCAAAGAATCGACAAGAGGGATGCACCATGCAAGGACATCTGATGGCCGCAAACGCCGCCACAGATCCCTCCCACGAGACTCGTTGGATTTGTCCCCTCTCTGAATCAGTCGTCATCCCAGCTCGTGGTGGCTCTAGTGACCTCCTTTGGGCTTGGACTCTTCCTGGGTGGAACTCGCTCCAGAGATCGGCTTACAAGCCGGGTGGCTCGGTTTTCACACATCAAGGGTGAATCCTATTCTCCTATCTCCTCCCTGCAGGCGACAATCATGACGTCCAACAGTTAGGCCCGTGCTGCGCCGCGGTTCGACCGCATGGTACCTGCAATGCACGGTAATTCCGGTCTGCAGCCTGTGTTCCTTGCTCCGGGATCGGGGTTTTTTTGATCTCGTTCCTCTATGCGATATTGCTCGATGTTAGAGTAAATGAGATGAAGCTATGGAAAGCACCTTTATTGGCCATTTTGCGGCCGGCCAAACCCTTCGAAATGTGGTTGGGATACTGTCTTACTGTAGAATCTATACACCTGGATTCCTCCCACTTTTCGCCCCAGGAACCCAGGGCATGAATAAATCCCCGGTATCCCAACCCTCTCGAGCTGGTCGCTACATAAAGGCCGTCCTCGTCCCTCGATGTTACCGTCCTCAATTCCTGTTGGCCTCAATCTATACAAACCGCACCATTCCCAATGCGGTTATATTGGCTGTTCGCCGAGATGAAACGCGAACGCGTCGCGGTGCGCGTTCGCTTCGCGGTGGTCGACACGCGCGTGTCCGCCAATGGCAATGCTCGTTGCACTCCGCTTACTTGCCTATATGAGTTAGGCTATTCATCTGACCTCCACAAGCCCTAAGCCGGGATACTGCGGAGGATACAATGGCGTAATAATGGAGTACAGCCCAAAGACAACGAGCACAGGAGTAACCATCCCTGTACAAGGCCAGGAAATATCCCGAAAAAACGGGGTGGCTAGATGTCTATCCTCCTATCGCTCGATCTTATCAGCGCTTCCACCCCGCCTCCTTGCGTTCGGCCCTGTACACAGGGCCTCAAATGCCCACATTCCACTCGAAGGCGCAGACACTTAGGCGGCTGAGTTGAGCATACGGAGTACGCGGTCTAGAGACGTTTCTTCGGGTGGCGCAGGAGTCTCTTGGTTTGTCCCTTTCCCCCTGGTGTGGCCTGATAGCCCCTAGACTTCATGTGTGGCGCGGTCCTGCCACCCCTCGTTATGGACGCCCACGCCCTCGGGCAATTCGGGGTCCTTGCTTGCTGCGAGTGGCCTGACTGCTTGCTGCACCCTCTCCAAGGCTGCATTATCTCGCAGATGACGGCTATGAAATTCTACGAGGATGCCAGGAGTCGCAATGCAGTGTGCGTTTTCTTTGACGGCATATAGATCATGTTCAGGTGTAGACAACGTCAGTTTTCTGCACACTTCCCATTCTTGAACAAAGGAATCCATAGATGCTCAAAGACTCGTGCCGCGTGCTCTCTGGCAGATCCAGACCATGGCCACGGGGCAGGGATCCCCCTCCGCCATAGTCCTTGAAAGGAAGAAAGTCAAGCGATATGCCATTGGCTGCTGAGGAACACAGTCCGAGCGATCTGAATCATACTCGCGAAAGGCTTTCCGGTCTTTCTCCGGTCTCCTTCGATGTGGTCACTGATTCCCAGCCTCCAGGTGGAGTTACACCGTCGGCACGCAAGGGATGCCGCGCAGGTGCATCTGCGCCCAAATCCGCCGAATGTCGATCATCCCATGAATAACGGGTATGCAAATCACTCACTGGCTGTCTACGCACCAATCGCACTTGAATGTCCTTTGAACACCACCGATTGGAATGCAAGATCTTCTCCGGCTTGCTTCATTGTTCCAGCCCTCCGGAACTATAGTCAAATGTATCTCCCGTTCATGCCTGGCGCAGATTGGTCTCAAGATTCCTCAATGAAGCACACCACGTTGCTCGTTCTTTATTCTCTGAATGGTGCGAAGACTCTCGTCCATCTATACCCTATCGGGATACTGCAACGATCGCAATGACAAATCGGGCTGGAGAACGCGTGTAGACAATCACTCGATGGAAGTCTATTCTTAGACTGTAGTTGGGACCTTGGACCAGTAATCACTGTCGAAGTGTGTCATAGTCGGAAGTTCATGGACATCCCTGGCTTCCTTGTACAAGACCCTTCCCTTTTCCGGATGAGCAGATACTTACCACCAAGAACGCCGATTGGTAGTCTACAAGATCAGGCAATATAGTTGGATTTGTCTGTGTCATTCAGACCTGTCCATTGTCCTGTTGCACAAGGATTCAATAGACTGACAGTCCTTGATGGCAACTAGGGTCATACAATGAGGCCGTGACCACACATGTTTCAGTCCCTCTCTTCCATCCCGGGTCTACTCCCACCCTGTCTTTGCTTCTCTGGCGCGACCTTGTGACCGGAGACAGGGAGTGCCTTCGAGCCCTTTTTGCCATTACCTGGATATCCTGTGCCAGAAGGTTTCACTACCAGTCACTTGTTACGTAGGTATCTTCCAAACCGTACCCAGGTTGAAGAAGTAGCAATCAGATCTTATTTTTCTCATGCCTAGAGAACTAAATAATAAGTCTCGCAGTTGGACACTCGACGCTAGAAAACATTCAAACTGTGAAATAGCCGCTGGATCATCAACCCTGACACCCTCTGGATCCTTACACGAAATCTCCGGTTCCGTATGAAACATGCTGACTTGACCTGGTGATATTGTCAATCACCTCGCGGGCCTCCTGCTCTATATAAGCACACTCAGTATTGCAGCTTTCGCAGGAGTCGCTCCTCATTTCCATGCTAGCGCTATCCTCCCGATGGTACCCTGAAGTCGACTGTTCATACTCCACCCAGCTGTCCGGCATGCGACCAGTATGGAGATTTGTGGAAATGGCACTCTCATCCATATCGAATTCCAAGGTGTGCAAACCGACCGAATATTGGCTGCCCATATGTGGCCTAGCCTGCAAGGCGTCTGTCTCAACATTGCCCGCTCGATTGTATGGTGGAAGTATTGGGTCAGAAAGTGTAGATGACGCGGCTTGAGATGGCCTGTAAGAATACTGGGAATCAAATGGTTCCGATGAAGGGCTTCCCACGTCATTAAAGGCCGGAGCAAGAAGTGGTCTCGGGTTGTTTTGCCGGCGCCGAGTGCCTAGGTTGTCGAGATCTATTATGAATGGTTCCTTGCGGGGCAAGGGTCTCCAATCTTCAATCGATTGTCGATATACTCCTTCGAAGATCCTCGCATGATACTTGTTGGTAAACCAATCATGCCGAAGCGCCTCCTTCGCAGACATCCGCATTTCCGGGATAACGATGAGAAGCTTACTAACGAAATCGTAGGCTCGGGGACTGACGCCGTGGTCTCTGAGGTTTTTGTCGACATTGTCATAGTTCGTCTCCATGCTCAACTGCGGTGAGCCCCCCTTCTTGGGTGCGAAAACAGCCTTGGAACCCGTCAGGAGGAGGAAGGTGAGGCAGCCCAGTGACCACATATCTACTTTCTTCGTATATCCATTCTGACCGCATCGCAGTATCTCTCTATTTCCTGTGTCAACTAGATTCTGTTGTTGATTTGACGTCTAGGTCACTTACGGCGCGCTGTAGTCGAATGTGCCGACCATCGTAGACATTCGTCCAGAGGCAGGCTGCACTATTTTGGCACACCCAAAATCAGAGAGGATAACTCTGGAACGAATATCGTAAGACGTTATGAGGATATTTTCCGGCTTCAGGTCCCGGTGGACGATATTTTGATCGTGCAGATAATCCAAAGCAACTACCACCTGCCTGGTTAGGACCGCAGTATGGCATTCGTCCAGTTTTCCCTTAAATTGCAGAAACGAAAGCAGGTCGCCTGCTGGAGCAAGCTCTTGAACAAGATATCTGCTGCTAGTCAGTAATACTGCATTTCAAACGGAAATGTTGACGGGCTGACATTGTGTCTGAGGATCTAAATACTCGTTGTATTCCGATGATGTTTGGCTGCACACGTATTAGCCCATGCGGCGAGATTCACCATGCGGAAGACGTACATGACAGAGACCATGGAGAATATCGGCTTCGCAGATGTAGGGTCGAAGTTTTTCCTGGGCCTTTCTCGCAATCTGCTCTCGGACAGCCAAGGCCCATCCTGCCGTCCGTGGGGTAACATCCAACACCCTCGACTGTACTTCTGCCATTCGAGCGTAGATTCTAGACTTCGCGGCTTGTAGGTCGATTATCTTGCAGGCGAATTGCTGCCCGGTCGCTTTGTCGTACGCCATATGCACCTTTCCGTAACCGCCCGATCCCAAAAGGCGCGTTGTGATTTCGTACTCGTCCTCGAAAGTCTGTGAAGCGTGATCAGCACGATGTTCGCGAAGTAGGGACGTGGGGGGGCTACATGCCTTCATCTCATTGGATTGTAAGGGATCAAATCCGTATCCTTCGTAACCGCTCTCCGAGTTATACCGCATGATGATCGACGGCAACGTCAGTATGTCTCCGTCACTCAGTATGCAGACTCCAGTCTGTCTGGCCATCCGATAGCCGTTCCACCGAGTACCATTCGACGAGAGATTTTGGGCATACACGAGTGGCGCAATGTCGTCGGGATCCCCGTCATCAAAGAGGGCTGTGTAGATCCGTACGTGCAAGTGGGATACCTCTAGACTGTCTAGCACAATGTCACTTCGCTCTGGTCAGTATGCTGAACCAGTGCCGGGGAACGATTAGTGCGAGTTATTGAGACGTACCAAGTGGCTTTCCGACCTATCAGTACCTCACGACGACTGTAGATGAAAAATGGAGCGCCCTCGCTTCCGGTTTGAGGGTCCACCGGAGTGAGTCTACCGACGATGTACCCCGGATTCGGATGAGAGATCTCCGAATAATCGATCATTGTCTCTAAAGACGATGCAATGGATGCACGGTCCAGGTGAGAATAATGAAATTCCGGAGCTCAGTTATCCGGGGGGTGATGTTGGATGGTTGGAAACTAGGTCGCAGAGAAGTTGGAAGCTGGAGTGCGAAGATATCTCAAGAGGGAAAGTGTATGAGATTCGCGACTCGGAAATTTCAGCACCACCATTGCCGTCAGTATCTCATTCATGATTCAACTTTCACAAAGATCTCTTCTCGTTCAGAACAGTGCCGATCCGACTCAATTCGACTCATGATAATTACTATACCTACGTCACCGCATTCATCCCATGGGTTTCCAAAGTCCTTCCCGCAACTTCATCGCCCTTGCATTCGTCGTATGCGCTCCTCGGCCGCTCTAGCTCGTCGCTCCCTCTCCAAACGCATTCGCATCTCTGGTGTCATTCCTCGCGTCTCTTCCTCCCTTTTCTCCTGGGCTGTTTTCTCAACAGCCCCGAGGGTCCGGCCGGCGGGCTTCCGTGCCTCCTGGGAAGCGACCTTGACTGCGTCCTCTTTCTTTAGCCGATCCAGTTCCGCCTGGCGGCGATTAGCCTCTTCCTCTTCTGCGGATTTGCGTTCCCGCTCCGTGCGGCTGTCGGCGTCAGCTTTAGATAGTGCAGACGGGACCTTGGTAGCCTCCCAGTTCCATTTGGACTCGCCAAGCTCGTGACGCGCAACCCGGAAAGCATCACGTGTGGCGCGGTCACCGGCCAGCTCAAACGGAGTTCTTCCTTCGCCATTCGTTGCGGTTGGATCTGCCTCTACCTTGGTCAGGAGAGCCAGGACCATGGCCGGCGAATTTAGATTCGCAGCGAGGTGAAGAGGTGTGGGCGCGCGGAAATTCTGCTGCGAATCGCGCGGTTGGAATGTGAACGAGGGGGGTATAGAGTTTTTTGACAAATAGGACACGAGAGCGGGGATCTTCGAGCGACGGATAAGGGCCTGGATTTGAGTCGTGTGAAGCATGGCAGCTTCATCCTCCTTCGACACCTTCGGCTTCTGTTGTTGAGGTCGAGGTGTTGATGGTTTGGATGCTTCTTGTCGCTGTTTCGCTTCGGTCGCGGCGAGCGCAGCCTCGTCAACCTGACTGACTTTCACGCGAGTGAGTTCCTTGAAACATCTCATGAGTTCACCTTGGGTGGCTCGGCGGGTACTAAAAGGGAATCCTCTCAGTCGCGGATCATTCTGTTTCATGACCTGTCCATCATAGTTTCCAAAAAGGATCCGTCTGTTCGTACTTCCGGTCGCCCTGACAAATAACAGCTGGGCATCGTCGATCATCTGCTTCCAATCCGTCAACAGCTCTCTGATCTCTTTCTCCAATGCGGCTTCGTTGTACCGTCTCAGGCTTGAACCGGCAGAGTGCGCAGCGCCTCTGGCTGCATCGCTAGCTGATTGTGAGCCACCCTGTTTGCGTCTGGTGGTGTAGCGGTGGAATGTCTTGTGCGCGATCACACGCGCCTGGCGTTCTTCGATGCCGCCTTGTCTTCGGTGGATCTCCGGGACCAGGGAAACAAGCATGGCCGCAAAGTGGCCACCTCCGATCATGCACAAGAATATATGTGGGCTGGATGGAGTCTGTTGAGGTTGACCGTCTCCCACCTGGTCATTGGTTCTCTGCGGGTTGACAGGGGCAAGTTGTTTCTTCCGCAGAGATTCAACCAAGTGTCGCGGCTCGTCCTGCTCTACATCCGAAAACAAGGCTCTATAAATGCCGAGTGACGTGTTCGGAGGCAGGAGAGGGCTGGAAAACCAAAACAGGGGATGTTTTCCAGACCTTGTTTTCGGTGATGTTTCTGCTTCTTCATCTTCATTCACCTGGGAGATCTTGGCCTGCCTTTTCAACAAGGCCGAAAGTTGCCCGCCATTGTCATCCTCATCGTCAGCTTCAGATGACTCAGACCCGGAAATAGATTCGTCTAGCTCTCCAATTGCCTTGTTAAACTGCACTTCGTCCAGCGTGGGGTTGCCTCGGAGCTGTGCCTTTAGATTGTATCGATGATGATCCGACCGGACATGGCTTCGCTGTTCTTGGACATTCAGGAATGAGACTTTGCAGAGGGCACAGGAAGTCGAGGAGGCAATTGCAAGGTCTTGTGCTGCTTCATATGGACTCTCTCGAGGGGTGTCGAGATTGTCTTGGACGATTGTGATCCCTTGTTCGTCGTTCTTTGTGGCTAGCGTCGTGAGGAGCTCCTGTGGAAGGTCATATACTGGCAGCACGAAGGGTTAGAAACAGTGAGAACATGTATGAGGATTGTTTACTCACCATACAAAGGCCTTTTGATAAGATCCTCTATTGTGTGTTTATCCGCTACCATATTGGATCAATGGCCGTATAAGGCCTTGTCGCGTTCACAAGCTGACAGATGTTGTATGAAAAGCGAATTGCTGCGGGGGGCAGCGGCAAAATCAAGTGTCAGCTTCACCGCCTTGGTCCGATGCCTAGAACTATCTGAGCTGGTAACAGTTAAGTAGTGTTTGGGTATCGGGTTGGGTTGTCTATGTTTGGATAGTGATAGAAGAGGGATAGTAAGCTGAAAACTGTTGTTAGGAGTCATTATGACTCACTGTGGCTATGGTGGCTCCATTCATGTGTCATCTGGTGGATATATATTTGGAGGACTCGTATAGTTAGGTAACTAGATATCAGGCTGATTTGTCATACATGCCTCACATCCAGAGTACCTAGGCAGTTAAAATTCCAGGGTCTGAATGACCTACGTCGTAGTCAAATTTAAACACTATCCATACTAATAGCTATCCGATTACGGCCCGTATGCTATCATATCTGCTTCTAGGATGATACCTACCAGTTGGCCAATGACGAGCCAAACGTTTTTAAGGCAACGGACGACTCAGCCTGGAATGCAATGCCACACAATTGCAGCATAAGATGCAACTCTTATGGCTGTTATCTTGGCAAGATATTGACACGGCATAAAGCCAACGCCTACGAAGAGGTTGATGGACAATGAAGGAACTGTACAGAGGTTACCCCAGAGCACGTGCAGAGCAGCACAACGGCATTACATCATAATTGGCCAAGGCAATGCTTAACTCACTATGTACCTAGTAATTAGGTGCTACATATCTTGTGGGAGCTGGTACTGACTATCGGCACCCTGGTCTATATCAGGGGGAACTATGGCTCTTATCCTCGTATATGCAGTGGGGATTGACTGCTGCGTCTCTCGTACGAGAATCTTTCAGAGAGGAGCGGCGACTAGTATGTCAGCTTTTGCACGGCTTCGTTAACTCCGCAAGTTGCCAAGAGCCTGCCATCGGATTATGTCATAGCAAAACCGGACTGCTGTGAGGGACCGAGTCGATGCTGTTGACGACAGTAAGGAGGAAACCAGAACGGACGGGACCATAACAAAAAAAAAAAAAAAAAAAAAAAAAAATCTTCGTGTTCCTCGCGTAAAATCACCAGAATCCTCCCATTTGTCTGGGACCGGAGTTAGTCCAGCAATCTGTCTTATGCCGAACCGTCGGGAGTTAGACCGGGGTTTTACTAATCAACCTGCAGCGATCATCAACTGGACGCATTTAGCCTGTCGCCGCACGTTTTCGCTCTCTGACCGCGACCGTCCTCGATTGATAACCAACTCACGGCCTTTCCCTCCCCTCCCCCCTTTTCCTTTATGGGTCGCATCACCCGGGGATATCGTGGTTGAGGTTAAAAGATGCTTGATGGCAACTCCCAGGCGGTCCTAGGGGATTCTGGCCCCGGATCGCTACTATCGTCTCCTCCGATCCCAGCATTCCAACCTGCAAAGTCTCAGCCCTTCTGTGGAGACGTCGAGGGCTGGGGTCCCTTGAGCAGATTTCGATTCGATTTGACACCATGTTTCCTGGATTTGACTGTGGCAATCGTTGCAGGATGGGGGATCATTATGGGGGCCGGAGCCCTCTGGTTCTTGCTCAAGAAGCGGATTCCTCAACCGGTCTCAAAGAACTGGCATTTTTACGCCAAATTGGTGAGCTGTCGATTCCCCTGGCTCCCTTCCCGGCTCAGTCATTAACTGGAGGCTTTCGTGGCCGGTGCGTAGGTTGTTCTCGCCGCTTTGATGTTCACCACCGCTCTACAAGCTGCGATCCAAGTCGAAACCTACACGAAAATCTGGATCGCTGATTTCCGGTTCTGGAGCTCGGTCATTGTTTTCGCCTCGCTTGGTGTGATCTTCTCGGTGCAGTACTACGAACACTGGCGCAGCAGGCAGCCAAACGGCGTCGTCCTTTTCTACTGGCTTTTCTTCGTCATCGCTTATGGGGTGAAGCTGCGCTCGCTCGTTGCACGAGGCGTGTACAAGGATAACCTACCTTACTTCGTATGCTTTAATGTGAGCCTCGGCCTGGCGATCATCGAGTTCGGCCTGGAGTACCTTGTACCCAAGAAGCAGAGCGCCTACGACGCTCTGGGTGACGAGGATGAATGCCCGTATGAGTACGCGGACATCTTCTCCGTGCTTACGTTCAGCTGGATGACCCCGATGATGAAATTTGGATACAAGAATTTCCTCACCCAGGACGACCTGTGGAATCTTCGTCGCCGTGACACAACCAGCGTCACCGGACAGACACTGGAGGAGAAATGGAACGAAGAGCTGGAGAAGAAGAAACCGTCTCTGTGGCTGGCGCTGTTCAAGGCATTTGGTGCACCATATCTGCGAGGCGCCATTATCAAATGTGGCAGCGACGTTCTCGCTTTCGTTCAGCCTCAATTGTTGCGTGTCCTGATCAGCTTCATCAGCTCCTACCGTACAGAAGAGCCGCAGCCGATCATCCGAGGTGTTGCGATCGCCCTTGCGATGTTCCTCGTCTCGGTGTCGCAGACCATGTGCCTCCACCAGTATTTCCAGAGAGCTTTCGACACCGGTATGCGTGTGAAGTCGGCGTTGACGGCTATGATTTACGCCAAATCTCTCCGCCTTTCCAGTGAAGGCCGTGCCTCCAAAACCACTGGCGATATTGTAAACCACATGGCTGTCGATCAGCAGCGTCTGTCTGATCTGACCCAGTTCGGTATGCAGCTGTGGTCGGCGCCGTTCCAAATCACCTTGTGCATGTTGTCTCTGTACCAGCTCGTTGGAGTCAGCATGTTTGCTGGTATTGGCGTGATGATCCTCATGATCCCGTTAAATGGCATGATCGCTCGGATGATGAAGAGACTTCAGCTGGTGCAGATGAAAAACAAGGATTCGAGATCGAGACTCATGACGGAGATCCTGAACAACATGAAGAGTATCAAGCTCTATGCCTGGAACACTGCTTTCATGAACAAGCTCAGCCATATCCGTAATGACTTGGAATTAAACACTCTCCGCAAGATCGGCGCAACACAGTCGATCGCCAACTTTACCTGGCAGTCCACTCCTTTCCTCGTCTCCTGTTCGACTTTCACCGTCTTCGCCCTCACGGATAGCCGGCCCCTGACTACTGACGTGGTCTTTCCGGCTTTGACGCTGTTCAATCTGCTGACATTCCCGCTTTCGATTCTGCCGATGGTCATCACTTCCATCATCGAAGCCTCCGTGGCTGTCAACCGTCTGACGGAGTACTTCACTGCGGAGGAGCTACAGACTAACGCTGTCAAGTACGAGGACCCTGTGCCTCACGTTGGTGACGAGTCTGTCCGGATTCGCGACGCGTCCTTCACCTGGAACAGACACGATGGCTCGCATGTTCTGGAGAATATCGACTTCAGTGCTCGCAAAGGCGAGCTTACATGCATCCTGGGTCGTGTCGGCGCCGGAAAGTCCTCGCTTCTCCAGTCTCTTCTGGGGGACCTATGGAGAACCGAGGGCGAGGTTGTCGTTCGAGGCCGCATCGCGTATGTAGCTCAATCCGCCTGGGTGATGAATGCCAGTGTTCGCGAAAACATTGTTTTTGGACATCGGTGGGATCCGCAGTTCTATGAACTGACCGTCGAGGCCTGCGCCTTGTTGGACGACTTCAAGAACTTGCCGGATGGCGACCAGACTGAAGTTGGCGAGAGAGGTATATCACTTTCTGGTGGCCAAAAGGCTCGTTTGACTCTCGCAAGAGCTGTGTATGCTCGTGCCGACATCTATCTCTTGGATGATGTTCTCTCTGCTGTCGACCAACATGTGGGCAGACACCTTATCAACAGGGTTCTTGGACGCAACGGCCTTCTCAACAGCAAAACTAGGATTCTCGCGACCAACGCCATTCCTGTCCTGAAGGAAGCGGATTTCATTGGGCTGTTACGTAACAAGACTCTGATCGAAAAGGGCACGTATGAGCAACTCATGGCTATGAAGGGAGAGGTTTCTAATCTTGTCCGGACGACCATGAATGAGTCGGATGATGAGAGCAGCGGCAGTGGTCTTACTAGTCCCGAAAGCTCTGAGTCGGCTACTGTGGTTGAAAATGTTGACTCTGACATTTCGGATACGGAAGCTGAACAAGAATTTGGATCGCTTCTTCCCATCAGGTCAAGTGCTGGCCGACGAACCAGCACCGTCACTCTCCGACGTGCTAGCACCGCCAGCTGGCAAGGCCCTCGCCGCAAGCTTGGTGATGAAGAGAACGCATTGAAGAGCAAGCAAACCCAGGAGACGTCTCAGCAGGGCAAAGTCAAATGGAGCGTTTATGGAGAATATGCTAAGAACAGCAACATCATTGCTGTTGGATTCTACCTGCTCGCCTTGCTGGGTGCTCAAACTGCCCAGGTTGCTGGCAGCTACTGGCTTAAACATTGGGCGGATTTGAGTGATATGAACTTGCACCCCAACATCGGCAAGTTCATTGGTGTCTACCTGGCATTCGGACTTGGTTCTTCTCTCTTGGTTATCCTGCAAAATCTCATCCTCTGGATCTTCTGCTCTATTGAGGCGTCCCGGAAGCTTCACGAACGCATGGCCTTCTCTATTTTCCGTTCCCCCATGAGCTTCTTCGAGACGACTCCCTCTGGGCGGATTCTGAACCGTTTCTCGAGCGACATTTACCGCATTGACGAGGTCCTCGCTCGTACATTCAACATGTTGTTCGGAAACTCGGCCAAGGCAATCTTTACGATGATAGTCATCTCCAGCTCGACCCCCGCGTTCGCCTTGTTTATCATTCCTCTTGGATATGTATATCTCAGCTATCAGAAGTATTACCTGCGAACTTCTCGGGAGTTGAAGCGCCTGGACAGTGTCACCCGAAGCCCCATCTATGCTCATTTCCAGGAATCTCTGGGTGGTATCTCGACCATCCGCGCCTACCGGCAGGAAGATCGGTTCGCTCTCGAGAACGAGTGGCGTATGGATGCCAATCTCCGTGCCTATTTCCCGTCAATCAGTGCCAACAGATGGCTGGCTGTCCGTCTTGAGTTCATTGGATCTGTCATCATTCTGGCATCCGCGGTCCTCTCTATCATCGCTGTCGCGACCACCGGGATTTCGGCAGGAATGGTCGGTCTGGCTATGTCTTATGCCCTTCAGATCACCCAGTCATTGAACTGGATTGTTCGACAGACGGTGGAAGTTGAAACGAACATCGTCTCCGTCGAACGTGTGCTGGAGTATGCCAGCCTTCCAAGTGAAGCGCCAGATGTCATCTTCAAACACCGGCCGGCAATCGGCTGGCCGGCGCAAGGCGCCGTGTCCTTCAAGGGCTACAGCACTCGCTATCGCCCGGGATTGGACCTTGTGCTCAAGGACATCGATTTGGACATCAAGCCCCATGAGAAGATCGGTGTGGTCGGCCGTACGGGCGCCGGAAAGAGCTCTCTTACACTGGCTCTTTTCCGCATTATCGAGCCCACTAGTGGCAGCATCAAGTAAGACCGCTTGCGCAATTTCCCCCTTTCTTCGTACTAACATCGGGCTACGCAGCATCGACGGGTTGAATGTGTCTACGATTGGCCTGTTCGACTTACGTGGGCGACTTGCCATTATTCCACAAGATCCTGCGATGTTTGAAGGGACTGTACGCGACAACCTGGACCCTCGACATGTGCATGACGACACCGAACTGTGGAGTGTGCTCGGTACGTTGGGCCCCAATTGCTGCATAACGAAAACGCACGGCGGTTGACTGACTCAATTTCTTGCAGAGCACGCACGACTGAAGGACCACGTTGCGAGCATGGAGGGCCAGCTGGATGCTCGAGTACAGGAAGGAGGTGAGTGTCTACGTTCGCACCATCCCTTGCAGGAGTTTAACTAACACGACGATAGGATCGAATCTCAGCCAAGGCCAGCGCCAGCTGGTGTCTCTTGCACGGGCGCTATTGACACCTAGTAACATCCTGGTACTGGATGAGGCAACAGTCAGTCACCCTTGCCACACCGAGTTTTGTCCCTCGTTGGAAAATTTGTTCCTGTTTACTAATGTGTGCATAGGCGGCGGTGGACGTGGAAACGGATGCATTGCTTCAACGCACGTTGCGCAGTAGCATCTTCCAGGATCGCACGATTATTACCATCGCCCACCGCATCAACACGATCATTGACTCTGACCGAATCGTGGTGCTGGACAAGGGCCGTGTGGTTGAGTTCGACACCCCTGCCGAGCTGATCAAGCAAGGCGGTAAATTCTATGAGCTGGTCAAGGAGGCCGGGTTGCTTGACAGCGACGGCAACGCCATTGTGCAGTGATCCATGCGCGTGCTCCCTCTCGCGGAGGCACGCATGAGTGGCGGAGGGTGCGTGCAGAGCATATTCTAGACTTTGAAGGGGAACCGTGGATGACCACCGCATCCTAGCTGAACCTATTTCTACCTCATGGATGGCACCTGAAATCTCCCGCGAGTCTGTGCGCACGCAGAGGGGATCGGCCCTACGCGGAGGCCGAGATTCATCCGAGGTCATGAGCGAGGAGATGTCGCAGATCTGGCTCTAGACTCGGCGGGTTGGCCGATATGGGTTGGAGAAAGGAAAAGTTTGGTTCCTACAAAAAAGTACAGGTGTTGATATTGATTTTGTGTGAAAATCTAGTTATTCTGTCTTGTCTATAGTCAGCGCATCGCCATACACATACATAGTAATGAAGAAGTACTGAGAGGCGCGGGAAGTCCGGTTGTGATGTGTCAACAGTAGCGGTGTAGAAGTGAACAACATGACTGCACACCGTCCATGCAGCACCACGCCACTGTCTGATATTTTTAATCTCACCTCGCATACGACACGGTGACAGCAGAGCAACTGATATTAACGGGCGTGACGACGACGTGCAGACAGAGGGGAGTCCCTGGTCGCATAGACGGGGACCCCATGAGTAACGGTGACGAAGTAACGCACGCTCTGCCAGACGATGATCCGTTCCAGCCACCGCAATTCACAGCGACCCCGCACCGATAAGGAACGAGAGGCATCAACAAGTGCAAGCGCCTGGGGGTGTTTTGCAACACACTCAGAAATCCCCGAAAACCCAGTCTGGCGCCGGTCGCTCGCACTATGGGGGAGGCGAAATCACCCGTAACAGTCCCTGAAGGTTATCTCAGCCACTCGACTGTCGAGAACAAACTCCGCGACGAGAAGCGTGGCAAAATAGGCTTCTACTCCTTGCATCGCGTGTGTCTATCATTGTCATCGTCACATGGCGATTGATGGGAGGGGGACGGGCCTTATCTCGCGTGGACAAACATACGCCCGCCCTTGTTCGGTCCTGCAATTTAGTTCCCTCGCACGCAATCCAATCCAAGCGCAAGCCGGAAAGCAGGAAAGATGGCACGCGCTAGGAACTCCCGCGATTCCGCGAAAGTGTCGTTCGAACTGGTTCGATCTATCGCGGATCGAATCGCCCGCGGGCGATGGAGTCATGACGGCACGGCGGATGGTAGATAGATCGATCTTGCATGCACCACCAGGGCTGTCCTGGTTTTCGGGCCCGGAGGGGGGGCTGTCTCTACGAGATTGGGAATGGTGTTATCCACCATGATGGCTGTTTTGGGCGAAGTGCAGAGGTGGTGGCGACGGGAGGGTCCTGGATGCCGTGTCGCAGAGGGTCTGGAGTCGCGTGGAATATATCTAGATCCGCCGGGTTTTAGGGCTGGTTGAGTGTCGTCGCGGACTGCCGGGGTGTTGGTAGCAAGAATGTAATTGTGATGGACAATCGCTTGTTTCATCTTCTCTACAATACCATCGTTATCATGACTCAAGGATGTACTCATTTGCTATGCATAACTACGGAGTCCATGCATCTGCGACTCATTGTGCAGCGTTAAGCGAGAAACGCTCAGGCCGTTGGTCGAGCCCACATAGTCCAATCGACCCGTCAAAGTCTAGAAGAGACCGCGACAGTTCCAGCATCCTGAAACAGAAAAAAGAAATACCCACGGTGCATGATATTTCTTCTTTTCTCTCCGCTTCCTCCACATCGCTTGACAGTAGCTTGATGGGGCATGAACAGCTGGCCGGAGTCCATTTGCTCGACCACAGACCGGGCTTTGCGGCGTTTGCCGTGGATCCCCCAAGCGCAGGGATCCTGCGTCCCGCCACGATGCGCTTCGCAGGGAACACCAGATTAACTCCCTCGGGGCGTCGATCTGTGGCTGGGGAGGGGGTGGCCGGGAGCTGGGTTTTCTGCGTCTGCGTCGACAGCTGCCTCTAGACCAACCATCTGCCTGCGGAGAGTTCAATCGTCGCCGGGAGAGCATCGAAACCCGCCGCATTGCATACCCCGAAAGGAATGGAAGAGCCCCATTAAGCTCGTCGCAGGTGGTATTCCAATCCTCAGCCCAGCGGACTAGACGATCTTCCCTGGGGGGCTGATGTTGTCGATCCCCGCGCACCGAGTTCCTGGACTCAGCTGAAGCGTAGTTATTTCCCCGTTGAGCAATATCTCCGTGCCAACACCCACTTCTGTTGCCGGGGGCGATCCACCCGACACTTCTTCACGGTTGATACTTCATTCTTCACTGCTCACTCTGGGGCAGGAAACTGTTCCCCGAGGAGGCCCTTCTGCATGGGACTTCGGAAATCCGGGAGACCCTCGTCTCTGTCCACCCGCCCCAGTGGAGATCCGACGCCTTTCCAGCGGAAGACTGCCAGGTTCCGCCGATAATCAGCGGGGAGCGAAGACGGGAGGAGCGTTACTGGGATCTGAAACGCCCCGATAGACGCTCTTCGGCCGCGACGGCTGGTCGTTAGTCGTTGACCTGTCAATGTTGTGGGTGACGCGCGGAGACTCAGAGCTATTCCCATCTGGAGATATGGCGGGTTACTCTGCAGAAGCTTCTTGCCTGTTCCAATCTAGCCTGGGTGGCTTACTATTCTATCGCCGAGGATGGCCGTAGCGATGAGGAATTGGCTGCGGATAGATTGGGGAGGTCTGATGGCTTGATATTGTGGATATGCAAAGCCCAAGTCATCAATATATTGAATATAGACGAGATATATACTCCGTAGATAGGAACAGCGCAGGCGCGCTGAGAGCCAGGAACTGCCCGTGCGACAGGCATCAATGTTTCATGCAGAGTCTGCACTCATCCGCAATCTCGTGGCACGACACCGAACTGGTTCGTATCACATTGCTGAGGAGTCGACCGGTCTGACGCCGGGATGGGCCCGGACGCGAGCAGCAGCGGAACGAAGTTCGCCCACGCAAGGGCGGAGACATAGCGTCCTCGCGGAAGAGTCCATGCGAATGGCACGGTGGGCTGACTCGACGTCCACGAAAGTACAGTCTGATATCATAAGATCGACGGCATAACCGTCGGCCACTCTCCCGCATCCGACTACATGGATCATCCCTGTTGGGTATCGTTCCTTCGGGACCAATCGCCAGCCATCGTGATGGAATTGGCAGAAGAGGGGGATGCGGGACATGCGCGCGGGTGATTCCTGGGCGAATGGAATGAAGAAGCCGCGAACTATCCAGGTAGCTACTCGCCTCCGTGCATATGAGGTCCACTCGCCGGAGTACCCAGTCGCCAGTCATCGATGGGCGACCGGGATGGGGCGAGTAGGATAGAATTGGCACCAATGCACCGGTGCAGATTGGGTGGTCGATGGCGTTTTGCGCTGGCTGTTATGCTTCAACTAGATTTTCCTGTTCGCTCTTTGTATACATGATGCGAGAGTAGATTTGGTCATTCTTTGCCGGCGGGATCGATCTGGTGGTATGCAAGTGGAGAGCGCTAACACATGGCGGGGTTTCCCAGTCCTACCAAGTACACCCTCGTACCTTGATGTGCAGCTCGCGATGAAACCCAATCGGCCGAATTACCACCACTGATGACATGGACGTGGACAGGTAGAATCATCGCGGTGGACGTCGACTCCATCGGGGATGTCTTGGGATGGGACGGAGTTGTCCTGGTGCAGATCGGACGAAGGATGCTTAGGTACAGATATAGTTCGAGCCAGCATGCAGGCGGTTCCATGGATCTCAAGGCCTTCCGCTGTTACCCGCAACTCTAGTCGCCACTACCAAAGATCGGATCAATATTGCCATTAGCACCAGGCATATATGCTTTTGATAGGATTCTCCGCCATCGCGATGGAATCTTCGCTGAAGAAAGTGGACACATTTGTCTGCACACTTCTATCGAATCCTGCGGCTTCGAAACCCCACCAACTATTCAAACCTCACGCACGTCATGCCCGCGGTCGGAGAATAGCTTAGATAATCGCGATATCTGTCACATCCCCCATGTCTTTGTCCACTGGCTTCCATGTTGTACAACATTCACTCTAACTCGACGCAGACAATATGGTGCATTCTCCTGTGACATGCAGGGCTCTGCATAGGCCCGGCCCGATCGGGAAATGGGGCCATCCGCGGAATCCAGGCCATCTCTCACCCAGTTCCGGTGAAGACCAAGGATGGATAGATGCGACGGACATTGTCCGACATCGCGCGCATTAGCGATGCGTCGCTAAGTATGTATGCATTTGTTGATTCAATGGTATTGTTATCTTCGGGACCTGATTCAAATCGAATTGTCAGCTGTCGGATGGGAGAGTAATAGTTATCCACGAGAATGCTTCTATTGACAAATCACTGCGGATACGATTTGCATTAATGTTTATATATGGAGTATGCTCGTATACTCCGTACTTGCAGCGATCTATTAATAAGCCGGGCTAAATTTAACCCCCGGCCAGACAGAAGACAGGATCAAAAAAGTACCGGACTAGAGCCCAATATTTGTCAGTGCCCGTTGCCGGAGCAGATGACCTCAGCCCGGTCGTCGCCTGTCAGAGAATAATGAGGTTGGGGCGATGAAGGAGCCCACCCATCTACCTGGCACTCGGGGCATGGTTCCTGGGAGGGACAATCTTCCCCAGAAGTACGCAGAAAGGGGAGCCCCGGCGAGGAGATGAGGGTGGTACAGTACCTTTATCGTTCCGTGTACCGGATTCATCCCCGGCGCATCCACGATCGGTTCTTCCAGTTCCTGGGAGCGATGGCCGGCTGGAACCCAATCATCGAGCTCGATCTGGCGATCTTGAGCGAAGGAGCATGCCATCGTGATGCGCCTAGTGAAGTCTGGAACTCGGTCTGACAGGCAGATTTGCTTTTTGATGACAAGCGTTGGTAGGCGACGTTCGGTCCGCCGTCTCCCCGGCCCGCGCCCCCCGCCCCGCTCGGAGCGGCTGACCAAAATGACGGCGCTCTGGACCCTCCTCACTAGTGCATTTAGGGTCGCCCC